AGTCTAGTACACCACTTCTCGGCCACCCCTAATATGGACCACCTCAAAAAAACTATTATATAAATTTTAAACCTTAATAACTCAACAACTATTCTATTTCAATACAATCATTTGTACCCTCTGTTTCATAATCATCATTAGAATCAATTTTATCAATTTCACAATCCCTAGCTTGATTTGCACCTTTCGAATAGCTTTAATTCTTATAAACTTTGAATTCGGATTAATCCAGATTATTATTCTTTTTTTATTTCAATCTTTAATAATTTTATGAAAATGAAAATGAAAAATGTAAAATTACTAATCAAAAGCTGATATTTCAATTATTATATGATTCAAATTTTAATAAATAAAATCTAAAGATTATAAAGTTATTGAAGTTTAAAAATAATTAAAAGAATCTAACAAGTTATTCAATCAATTGATTATAATTTCTTCAATATTAAGTAATATTTAATAAGATTTTATATAAAAATGATTTATAAATTTATTATTAAGTATATAAAATTTCATAAAATTTCATAGAGATTTGAAAGAATAATAAGTGATTTAGCTTCGTCTATGCTTCTTTAAAAATCTCGCCGAGTATTACCTAAATCATAAAACAATTATTCCATTCTATCCTATTCATTCTATTCCAGTTATACACTAATTACTAGTACTGTATTAATTAATCTATAATCTAAATCTAATGAATATCTATAATTACTACTAATCTATTAATCTACTACTCTACTACTCTACTACTCTACTACTCTACTACTCTACTACTCTACTACTCTACTACTCTACTACTCTACTACTCTACTACTCTACTACTATAACTATAAATACTCTATAAACAAACAAAACAGAAGTCATACAAGTTATTATTATTCCCTACTTTTCTAACCCCAGTCAGTAAAAGTAAGCAAGCGCCTAACTCTTCAATCCTACAAGTCCCATCAATAACCGTCCAACCCAACCCGAGTATCCATATATCCGAGCACACAGTACACCAACCAAAAGCTATATACCTATCTTTATCCGAGTAAACCAAGTTATAAGTCATGCCACTATGAATTCCATACGCCGGTATCAACCGCTAAAGAAACATCCCACCACTCTCCTCCATCACACCAACATTTTCGCACCCCAATCCCATCCTCACTCATACTTCCCCCAGCTAAAGTCCCCACACTAGCAATTCTCCTACGTCTACTACTCAAAAACAAATCCACCATCTGTTTACTGCCCAACTGTAATTGATGTTGATCCACGCCTAACCCACCATTCGGATCCATCGAACCACAGCCCTCAACCCCATAACCATCATCTGGTCCTCCTGCCCTCTCATTTTCTCTTCCTCCTGCTCTTTCTCTCCTCCTCCCAGTTCCAGATCCAGTTCCATTGGCACTTCCCAACCCCGCACTCCCAAATTGTCTCTCCACCGCCGCTCCAATCCCTGTACCAGGACTACTCTGCGGCGTATAATTATACACTGGTCTCCCTGATCTCTTAACCAATTTCGCCGGACTAGTGGCACTCGCACTCGCACTCGTATCGAAACTCTTAACACTTCTTATACTCTTAGAACTTCTCAATGTTGTATTCGATACGTTTCGTTTGTGGAGTACATTGCGATTACTAGCGCTTTGGTTTTCGACACCATGATTCGGCGTTGTTGGCGCGCTTCTTAAAGTTGCAGATGAGAGGCGTTTTTGCAAGACGTTGCGACCATTTACACTAGGATTCCGAGTCTGACTGACGGAACCAGGGGTAGTCGGTGTGTATTGAGAAGTCGAGGTACTTTTTAGACTTGCCTTGCTTTGAGTTGGTCTTAATGTAGATCTAAGGGGAATAGGAGGTGGTAATGGTGGTGCGGGAGGAATATCGAATGATTTATTATTGCCAACATGTGTATTTTCAGCCAAAGATGTTGTAGAACGATTTTTCAATATCGGCTTTAAATGAACTTGGCCATTACCAGGAAGAAGATTTTGTTGAACTAGACCAAGTGGTTGTTTGCCAACGGCCATCTTTTTCTGCGCAATATCGGTATCATCATCAGCCATTTGAGCGTATTCCCTCCTATGTGCAATGTGATATGGACTTGGCATCGTTGGCGTGGGTGATAATGAACGTTCAATGTTGCTAACGCTGACTCGATTCTTGCCTTCTGGTCTTTCCAATTTCGCGACTTCAGATGACATCCATTTTTTCCATTCAATCGAGCCTCCGGAATTATCACCTCGTTGCCTAGGATGAGTTGGACGATAGGTGGTGCTATTGATAATGACAGCACCGCCAGCACTCGGGCTCTCGACAGGTAATAACGGCATCCGTACATTTGAGAGTGGAACAGAGGAATCACTACACATAGCCTCGGAAATATTACGGCCAACACTTCGAGAGTAAACACTCTCACTGTAGGCGTCATCATCTACCGACGATTTTCTCACTTTGGCTAAACCATGAGCTGTTGTTTGGAGTATGCTTCGAACCGGCGACCCTCTCCTAGCCATGGAATCATCGCTGGCAATGGCAGAATTGTCACTTCCTGCCAGCGCTCGACGATATGGACTTGTATTTCCGACTCTAACTATTTTAAAGGTTGAGCCTCCGAAGAATGTAGACCTTGCCTCGCGGATAACCTTTGTGCTTGGCACTATAGGGTCGTCCCGTTGGGCAACTTGCTGCGGAGTGAGACCTGATGGGTCTTGCGTTGGAGAATATAGAGCATCGATATTGGCCAAGGCACGTCCCTCTGTAGAGTCTAAACTATGCACACAACGTCGCTGGTCGAAGGAGCTGCCATGGTTAGATTCTGGGTGTGATGAAAATACGTCGTCTTCGTTTTGAACTCGCTTATCATACAACGGTAAATCTGCAGAATTGAATTGATGGGCGCCTCCAACTGTCTGATCAGAAAGATCTTCAGTCCTATCAGCGAAAGCAACATTATTTGAATGGTATACTTGAGGATGTTGATTTTGACATTGATTGCTCCGATCACAGTCCGGGGGTACTTGTCGGATCCATTGCTTAGACTGCAAAAGAGGATTGGTAAAGGAGCTACTGCGTCTAGGGACTTTTTCGGCTCTGAGGGTTTCGGTGCTGGCTTTCTTTGACTTTGCGAGTATTGCTTCTGGACTGTTCTCGTCGAGACGCTTCATCAAAGCAGAGCAAAGTCTGGCGCTGTCTACGCCTCCTGGTCTAATTGGCTGAGCATAACCGGGGCGATGAAATGCAGGATAAGTGGGATGTTGATTCTTTACATTTGGGCGATGAAAGGCCCCTTTAGAAATATGTGTACCTGATTCATTGATAATAGAAAGTCTTTGATCTCTGCTAGGCGGAGGACGTAACCCTTGACTAGTGACCGTATTGTTTGCCGTACTATTGGTCCAGCTTGTTACTCTGGACTTTTCGTCACTATTGTCACTTCGGAAGCTGCGAATACTACCACTCTGTGACCTGAGTCTCTGACTTGAAGCAATAGCACGCAGTGATGGGACCCGAGCCGCCACATGAGCGAATGCGGCCTCATCGGGTCTAGGAATATCGAGGAATGACTCATGATCTGGTGATAATTGTCCAGCATACTCTCGGACATGAGTTTCAATAGCCTCCACCTGCTGATTGGGGATAACGACAGGCTCTTCCTTGCTACGTCCAAAGACTTTCCGTAATCTACTCTTTAATCCCTGGGATACTTTACGAGCTTTCGCCCTCAGTCCGCCTTCCCTTACAGATTCAGCCGAATTAAATGTCGCTGCAGACTTTCCGCTGCTGCTTCGAACCGACTTTCGAAAAGGCTTTTCTTGCCGTTGTGCTTTTGATCTGAAAAGGAAAGACGGCTGCTCCCGAAGTCTTTGCTGGGTGGCTTGAGCAAAAAACCTGTCTCTGGCCATTTGAACGGCATCATCGTTTCTTTCGGATGACGTGGAAGACTTGAAGTAGTCTCGTCCTCCTCGGAGAAAGCTCATTGATTTGGGAGCTCGCAAAGGAGCATCATTTTCTTGAGTATGCGGAGTGGATGAAAAATTAGTGCGGTCAGGGCTACCATTACTGTAGAAGACGTTGGATGGGGCCGACAAGGGGCTAAACATGGACTTTGACTTTCTGATCCGCCGATAAGAAGATGGTGTTGAGGCTACATCATCCTCTTGTGTATAATATTCATCGAAAGCTAAGTTTGTAACGTAATTATGAGCGGCATAATCCTGAATAGGTGCGTTGCCGATCGAAGCCTTGCCAATTGAAGAAGAACGACTCGGTGGACGGTATACGGCTGGGACCGGAGCATTCGTGGTCATCGCAATAGGCCTCAAAGTGGCAGTACTTGGCTTGTAGGTTAATGCTGGGGGTTCCATTCGTTTTCCTGTCGACTGACGCCCTTTGACTGCATTGGGCCCAGCAAACCTAACACTTTGCTGCCGTTTAATTCCTGTGTTATCAAGATTTGTGCAACTAATTTGTTGCCTCGAACGAGATTGGTTTCCTTGGTGTGTACTGTTGTTTCGTGAAAGCCCATTCATGTCTCCATAAGTAGTGCGGTTCCTTTCTTGGGCTCGATTGAAAGCATACATTGCTGCGGCATGAGCATGCAAGCGAGACTCTTCAGGGTCGACAGGATCGTGTTTTGGGTAGACTGATGATGTTGATTTGCTTCGACTAGGTCGACTAGAACTGTTTCGCCGGAGCATATCCTTATGCAATGCTTACAAAATGAGGTAAACTTGAATGAATCGAAATTAAATGTGTGATACAGCTATTACATGCATGCATGTATTAACCAAAAGTTGATTGAACCAAAAATTTGTGAATGAACGACTTTCAACAGAAGACAAGACGCGACATTTTGAAGGATGATAAGGTGGCTGGACCATACAAGGAAAGGGAAGAGCTCTTAGCATCAACGCTGGTTGAGGAAAGAGCCATAGAGAGTATAGTCGCTGGCTACTGCTTTCAGCCAGTCTCAAGAGACACATTTGCATTTGGGAAGTCACCAAATCAGATATTGTCACGAAATACATGCTTGTTATTAGAAATAATGAGTTGTTACAATTTAATATAAATACTGGTCTATCAAGTCTTAAGACGCGAGACCCCCTAGTGTTCCTAGACGCAGACCGCAATAAAAAAACCCTGTAACCAAAAGATGCATATGGAGACATCCATCCGGCTCCAACCCATAACCATCATAACAAAGTGAAAGGAAATAGTGAAGAACCATGTCCTTCAAGATCTATGCCAAAATATGGCATCGAGCCGTATCTAAATCTAAGAGCTGAACTCCTCGAAAAACTCGCTGATCTCCTCATCAACGATCTTTTGAATCTTCTTAGAGAGCTCCTCGGTCTTGGAGACGATAGACTCGCCCCCCTTAACAACCTTGCCAGAGAGCATGTTGAAGTCATTCTCGATGGCCTTCTCCAATAGCTCAACAGTTGTTGGAACTTTCTTGGATGCCTTAGCAGCATATCCACCAGCCTTGATAATAGAGGTGTAGTTGGAGGATCCACCACCGTTCCATGCAAGGATGTTCTTGGTGTTGGATGGAACATCAGAGAGAGCACCCTCGGTTGCAACAGAGAGAAGGTTCTCCTTCATCTTCTTGGGGGTAATCTCAGCAACGGCGTAAGCAGAGTCACTAGATGGTTGAAGAGAAAGATAGTAGGCCAAGAGACCACAGATGTGGGGAGAGGCCATGGAAGTACCAGAGATGGTGTTGGTGGCATATTTGCTACCGATCCAGGTTGACAGAATGCTCAAACCAGGAGCAAAGATGTCGTTGCAGGTACCGTAGTTGGAGAAGTAGGCACGGGAATCATCGAGAGCGGAAGCACCGACAGTGATGGCGTTCTCGGCAGCAGCAGGGGAGTAGTTGCAAGAGTCGGCGTTATCGTTACCAGCGGCGACTGCGAAGTGAATACCAGCAGCAACGGCACCGTTAACGGCACGATCAAGAGCAGGAGACTTGCCACCACCAAGGGACATGTTGGCAACAGAACCCTTGAAGCCTTTCTTGCCCTCCTTAACCTTCTTAGTGTGGGAGTTGGCAGCCCATTCAACACCCTTTACAACATCTGCCATGGTACCGGAGCCATTGGATCTGAGTACCTTGACGGCATAGACGTGGGCTTTCTTGGCAACACCATACTTCTTACCAGCGACGGTACCGGAGCAATGAGTTCCGTGTCCGTTTCCATCCTCATCAGCATCGCCAGCTGGGATAGTCTTACCCCAGTGTGCACGACCTTCGAAATCAACATGTTCGGTGTTGGTTCCAGTGTCAATGACGTAGGCATCGACTCCCTCACCCGCATCAGCGGCATACAAGTATCTGTTGAATGTGCCGAAGCTCAAGCTGTCTCTGTGAGAGATACGAGCCAAGCCCCAAGGGGCATTCTTCTCGATCTCACCCTCGCTATCCCCTAATGTGTGTACGATGGAATCTTTCTCAACGTATTCGACCTGCAAGAGAATTGGTTAGCACAACTGTTGCGTAAATTGAATAGACCAAGGATTGAGAATGATGAGCCATCACGTGCGAGCTTGCCGCTTACGTGTGTACCAAGAAGGTTGAGTCAACAACAATGGGCTTTTAAAGCCTTTGTTGGTAGTATCAAGATAAGGGGAAACATCGAGATAAGGATGGCTTCTTTCCAGTTGGAACCAAAATTGAAGATAGAAAGGACGCAATTGCGGCGGAAAAGGAAGAAGGGTTTGTACTTACATCAGGATGTCTTCGGACTTCTTCAATAACAGAATCATCAAAGTGACCCGAGTAACCCAGGAAGTCACCGGCAATGTTATATGTGTGCTTGAGACCCTCGAAGATATCGGTGGTGATAGGGAATTGTCCTCTCTTTCGGAGTTCGGTTCGTTGGGCTTCACCGTTTGAGTGGATGTCTTGAACCCAACTGTGATGCTCACTGGCAGAGGCCTCGGTGACATGCTTCTTGAATACAACAATGTAGGAGTCTGGGACAGCTACAGAGTTTGATGATGAAAGGAGAGGAGCAGCACCTTCGTGAATGGTTTCAGTGCTGAATGTTGGCGCTGAAGAAGCCAAGAGCGGCAAAAGCGACAAGCTGACGAGCCCACGCATTATGAATAGATGAGATAAGAAGCTGATGGTCTGCCTGCGACTTTCAATGAAAGAGAAAACAAAGACTCTATGTGAGGATTGATTGAATATTGAGAGATGATAAAAGTGATGGATGAAGAACAGTTATTAAAGCTGTCTTCGAGATAGTATTAATGGAATGAAGAAGGAGGAGATGATTGAGGGTGAGAGAGTTGTTGATGTACTTGCGAAGCTCGGGGAACCGACAAAGGTGCACTAGGCAACTACGGGGTTGCTCGTTTGGAACTAAGCTACTTTGAGCATTAGCGTCTTAGTTTATCAATGACGATTCTGACGAATGGATCACGCAGACAAAGTTGGCGAAGCGATAAGAGCAGAGAGTGAAGAAAGGGAAAGGAAAGGATCTAAGGGTAAAAGGTGTGGCTGTTTTGGCATGGGTGTTTGGGTAAGAAAGCTACCGTGGTTCTAGTAAATGATGAGGGTGTGAGGCAAATAAAGCAAGTAAACTGTAAATCATGTACTCCGTACGGACTACAGCGTAAATAATGCAAAGGGATGGATAGAATAATGGATCCTAGATCCTGTTTTGTCTTACTTTTCTGGTTCTAGTCTCTTTATCGAGTGGTTCTCCCCCGTACTTTTGGACCTCTTAGAACGGGACGTTTTGGATATCAGTATGGATATGAGGTATCGTGATCGATAAGTCGTGTTTATCTATCTATGATTGATTGTGATGTTGAGGATGCAGTGAAACTCGAAATGGTGTACAGTTGTATGGGAAATGTAATGAGATGGCGGTTAATTCAAAAGGTGCATATTTTAATCTATCCATATCTATCCATAGCACTGAAAGATCCCTTGACGTGATTTATACCGCGGCAATCATGTACCCCGTACCTACCTAAGTAAGCCCTTTCTCTGAAGCATCGGATCATCGAATAGGAAGAAATGATCCGCGGCTTTAAAATCAAACTTTCCAGTCATCCAGCCTTTGAGCTTCCAAGGCCTTGTTCGTAGTGGCTTTATCATTATTACCTAGGTAGGTATCCAAAGGCTACCAACAGCTTGCGCTTGCTTTCACGGTCCTGGTGTCTTGGTCCCATACGTCCATACGTAGCTAGCTAGCTAACCAGGTACATACATACCTAGCACAGTGGCACAGTAGTACAGTAGCACATACTCCGGACTTATTATTATTAAGCTGGCTGGGTCTCCACATCTTACGAGTAATGAATGCATCATTCAGGTACGAGAAGCAGCGGAACTCGGGGTCAATCAGCATATCTACCAATACCGAAACAAGTGCCTACTAGGTAGCTAACTAGCTGTTCGAACAACGAGGCGGTGTCCTTTATCATACTTTCCTGTTTCATTCGGTGTGGCTTTCTTAATGGTATGAATCATATGACTGATCATTGATAGCAGTATTACCAGTATTACCAGTATTACCAGTATTACCATAGATTAAACCAATCCACAACCAACTCGTCAAATTCATTCGGTGTGGCTTTCTTCATGGTATGATTTGATTGTTGATGGCAGTGTTACTGCAAAGAAATCCACAAGATCAAATTGAAACGGTCAGCCTCGCACGAGACCATTCAAAGATATGCGATATGCATCTCTCTAGTCATCGCATACCTCCTTATCTATCTCTCTTTCTATCCTTTCTTCCATGGGGCCATCCATCCTTCCATCCTTCCTATCTATCCTATTACCCGTATTTGCTGTATATCTCTATATCTATTATTCTAAATTCACCCCCCTTAGTGAGACAGTCTCCGTATGATTTCAATCACTATTTCTATCAATATTTCAACATCATAACTAGTGATTGAGTCAGAAGCACTGGACATGTGTCAACGCACATTCCCTCTGGCTTCCGGCTTCGGGCTGATGTTCAACAAGTCCGCACAGCTTACACGTGATTCTTCCTTGATTGTTCATAGCTCCGAAAGGGGGTTTCTATACTCTATGGCTTCCGGAATGGTAAACAAACAATTGTTTCACAACTATGACTTCTGAACCTCGATGCAAACGGATATTTCTAAAACTTACAATCTTCGAGAAAAGACGTTAACAGTTGATCCATCGTAGACGTTCTTCTCTCTTAAAAATATGGCTCACCATCCAGATTTAGGCACTAGTTTTGAGGCTACAACTTTTAAGCTGGCGAGGTCATTGACGATAATGTACATAAGGCTGACACCATGAAATTGAGTGAATAGCAACAGTTTGGAGCAATCTACAATGAACTCATGGTAATTTGGCATTTGAACTATCTCTCACTGAACCCGCTATCTATTTCCTCACTTTCCTTCCCAAGTATCAAAATTGGCCGTCAACAAGGTTTCCTGTATCCCCACTTCGCGTACCAGTATCAAACAAAGCCCAGCTTCGACGAAAGTCAACCTTGATCGCACCCTAGAACCCAACATTTCAAAATAACACAGGATCGAAACGAAGTCCTTGAAAATCGGAGTGAGTGCAATAACTAATGCGGGACAGGCAGGAAGGTTGATCCCACAAGCTGGACATAGGCGGGGTGGAATATGTCGACACGAGGCCGGAGACATCGCTCGTCGACTGCGGCTTCATCTCCACCTGAAGCAACCAAGGCTACCGCAGAACTACAAATTCTTCTAGATGATTTGTCTACGGGGCTCCAAAAGCGCATCGAAGATGTATATCCGGATCTGCCATCAATTGTTGAGCAGGTTCAGGCTATTCGAGTCTTTCTAATAGCATCCTCGCAAACATCGCGATCAAAAGATGACTTTCGACATCTTCATGGATATCAAATTTTGTTGAGCACCCTTCGAGCGTTTTCGGGATTCTACCATCCTTCCAAAAGGAATCAGCAGGATAAAGTTCGACTCTTCGACCTTCTCGAAAACATATTGAGGGTGTTGGCTGAAACATTCCGGGATCATTTTGGGAATAGGAGATATTTCAAGCGTCGAGTCGAGGGAGGAGGGTGGGCGGCTTTAGAGCAAATAATAGCTAGCATTGGTATCGGTGGTAGTGAGTCAGATGTATGGACTGAAGCGCAGCTCTTTGGGCGACTTCTTGCATTCGCTTTGGACGACAAAAGGTTGGAGACTTTATGTCAAGTTGTCGCTGAGTGCCATCCGTCAAGAGTCGAGTCAAACGATCTCGCAGTATCCGAAGATGTCAAAGAGACGCCAAGTGCACCCCAAGATCCAGAATTTAGGCCTGAAAACATGAAGAGCGATGAACAAATTCTGCAATTGGTGGAGACTCGTTTACAAGGCATTCTGCGCGAGAGCTCCTTGCTACACCATGCAGATATTGTTCCAGTTATTATTGACTTCTGGAAGACCATACCTCGAGTGCCAAACGTACCGGTAAATCCAGCTGCATTGGTGGTTATGCTAACGTTGTCAAAAATTTCTTCAATCTCAAATCACAGTTTGTTGGCTTTGCATTCGACAGGAGTATTATCTACCCTACTTCCGCTTGCTTTCGATAATGATTCTCCCTTTGCTACCACTGAGAGACAGGCCGTTGAAAACTTGTGCGGTTCTTTGATGTCTCTAGGTATTAGCTCCTTGAATGATGCCCAATATCTAGTGTCTAGTCAGTCTCCTATTGCTAGCGAATTCTTGCTTCGTACGATGAAGAAATCTCACACCCCTTCATACATCCAATTTGACCTTTCTTTAAATGGCTTTGCTTCAATAGAACTTCCCACTCTAGCAAGGTCTTTTCCACCTCCCTCGACAGTGGGAGGCTATACATTCACAGCCTGGATATTCGTGGATAAGTTTGATCCAAATTCTCACACAACTATCTTCGGAGCCTACGATGAGACTCAGACCTGTTTTCTGCTGGCGTATCTCGAGCAGGATACTCACAATTTTATTCTACAAACATCAATTTCCTCGTCGCGACCTAGTGTCAGGTTCAAGTCGACAACTTTTCAAGAGCGCCGTTGGTATCATATTGCAATAGTGCATCGACGTCCTAGAACTATGGCTTCGAGTAAAGCAATTCTTTATGTCGATGGAGAATTTGCGGAACAAGTCAAATGTCAATATCCGGCTCCTCCGCCGCTTGCAAATGCTAGCACAGATAGTTTTGCCTCCTTCACCTCAACTAGTGCGAAGACACACCCAGTCCAGGCATTCCTTGGAACTCCACAGGATCTTTCTACTCGCCTCGGGCGCGGCGTTGTCTTTTCTCGTTGGTCTTTGGCTTCAGCACATCTTATTGAGGATGTGATTAGCGATGATTTGGTAGCAGTTTACTATCGTTTAGGGCCACGATACAATGGAAATTTCCAAGACTGTATGGGATCGTTTCAAACGTATGAGGCTTCTGCAGCTTTGGGAATGCGTCAGGAGCTCATGCACCCAGGAAAAGAGGAAAATTCGGATATCCTCAACGCTATCCGTGGAAAGGCTAGCGTATTAGTACCGGAGTCTCGTATCATACTAAGTATTCTACCCACTGCTATTCTGGGAGAGGAAGATCGGCTCAAAGGGCCGGAATCTCAACTTTTAAGGGGACTAAATAGGACAGCCTCAAACAACTTATTTCAATTTACGCATAATAGTGGTACCTCCGTAGCTATCAATGGATCTGCTCCCGCTATCAATGAAGCGCTGACTAGAGCCCATGGCACTGCAATTCTAACAGGGGAGCCAGTCGTTATTGTTCCACAAGCTTTGGATGATGCAATGTGGAGGCTGGGAGGGTTCACCGCAATTGGACTGAAGCTAGTCGAAGCCGCCAACACAAAAGAAAGCATTGTTCGAGCCGTCGAAAATCTCTTTGAGAGTATTAACGCAAGTTGGCGTAACAGCGAGGCTATGGAACGAGAGAATGGCTATGCAATACTGGGCGCACTTCTGCGTGGCAAGATGGGTGCCGGAACTGTCATTTCGACACGGACGGGTGGCCCTGGCAACGCAAATATGAGCGAAGATGATCGCGACAAACTTGGGTTCCAATTACTGAGTTTGGTACTAGATTTCGTTGGCTATAGCCACGAGACACCCGAGGAATCATTTATCATAAACCCTCTTGCATATCGGATATTACTTGTTGACTTTGACATGTGGCGGAAGACTGCTTCAATAACTCAAGGGTTATATTATAAACAGTTCATTACGTTTGGTGTTAACAGTAAATATCACGAGTTTAATTCCCGACGCTTATTTCGAATGCGTAAGTTTGTTGTATGTAGTCACGATGGTTACCTTCGCTAATTCTCTGCAGGAATTGTGAAAAGATTTCTTGATGCTCTGAAGGCTGAATTGTTCCCTGTGGATGTGTTTCCTTCTTTCATGGAAGCACTCACAAGTTTAGTGAAATGCAATATGACAGCCGAAGTATTCCGCTCTCTTGCTCTTTTTATCACTTATGCATATCACAAGCCGACAAGCTCTGCTTCGAGAACGCCAAAGAACCCGGGATTGACGATTCCTGTACGATCTGGCACAATATCAAGAGGTCCAAGAAGACCAACCATCAGCACTGTATTCGACTTGAATGAAATGGTCTCGCCGATAATGACCAAGAGACAGCTTGGTAATCGAGTGCTTGAAATGTACACGGAGCTTCTGTGTGAGAAAGGCACCACTTCAAACATTCGAAAATTTGCTAGGACTGTCACAAATAAGGTATTTGCTCCAAATCCAGTATGATTGAAACTATCTCTAACCTTGTCAGTGGCTCTTACATCTCTTGACAGAAGATGATCCACAAGTCGTAGTCCTTGGATCGAAGATATTAGCCCGCCTCTTAGTTGTTCATGGGTCCAGCTATGCATCAAAATTCTCGAGTAAAACAGGAGGCTTTACTATTATGCGACATCGATTGAAGAGGTGGTGGGACATCCCAACACTATGGCCTATTTGCTTTAGTATACTATTTGGGCATGACGTCGCAGATATTGATTTCGAGCAGCCATTCGAGTTATACAATCTTCTGGAGACGTTTGGCACAGGCAAAATTGTGTATCCTAATGTGTTGCCCGTTATTATGACGATGATGCAGCATGGTCTGAAGGATGTTCTACGAAATCAAGATGACCCTGACTCGCCACTTCATGAAAAGGGCAATTGGAAAAATCAGGATCCACCAACAGATTCCCTTAAACCTCCAACTCGCCATAGATCAATGTCTCTCACAAGAGAACTCGAGTCTCGACGTAAGCTAGTTGTTTCTTGTTTTACGGGAAATTACGCTAACCTAGAACAGAATCCCAGCAGCGTAAAAGAGAACGACTGGTAGAGCAAGTTATCATTCTACACACGATCATTCGCTTTCTTGGGGACCTGCATAGCAAATCTCAAGATTTTAGGGACTTTGCCTTGTCTTCTGACTACGTCAGATATCTGCTTGCCGCTCTATTCCCCGTAGTAGTTAGTGCAGATGCTGTCAGTCCGGAGACGGAACTGAACTCTCGTGATTCTGCATTGACTTTCGAAGGCGACGACGTCATCATTAGACCGGTATCTCGCGTATCACCTATGCCTACCCCTATTGTCCGGACATCAACGGTGGAGACTCTCCTCCCACCTAGCCCCACAACTCTCAAAGCAAAGCCTCTTCGCAGGGGGTCATCATTTGTATTGCTAACAGCTCGCCCTTCGGAATACAGTCCATCTTCTGCTAGACTTAGCTTAGTCATGTCACCAAAGAAAAGAATCGCTACGCAGAAAGTCAGTAATGCAATAGTTGAAGGCATGCTAGAACTAGTTGTCAATGTCTTCATTGACCAAGTTATGGCCCGTAAAGAGTTTCCCGGATTTGGACTGTTTCTCAAAGTTCCTCCTGGATTTCAAGAACACCAGGCGTACTTCGAGTCATACGTCCTACGCAACATGATTTCTCAGCTTGGTACTAATATTCAATTGGACCAAAAGTCGATGTGGGAACCAAGAGTCATCCAGAATATGGCTCGTTTCGTCCTCCATATAGGCGAAGCGGTATTTGAAGGCTGGTTTCTGGGCGGAGCTGAAACATTATTAGACTTTGCAGGGACAATATTGGAATACTTGGAGCGACCTGAAGTCTCTAAAATCAAAAGCGTCCGTCTATGCAGCCAAGCAATTGCTTCGATCAAAAGCGTTTTCCTTCGAGTCGTCTTACTTCGTCTATCTGAGCTTGATGTGCCAGAGGCTCCTGAGTCCGAAGCATTAGCCTTCATGGACAAGTTGCTATATTGGCAAACTGTGGTATTGTCAGCGGATGTGACTGAAGATAACTTCTTGAAGCTCATTTGTTACCAGCTATATGTGAAGTTAGTCGATGAAAAAGAAAGCATTCGCTTGGCCGCCGCAAACATTTGGCGTATATTGCTTGTACAGAAGCCCGAAGAAACGTCTAATATGCTTCGTCATGCTATGCCTGGCCAGTACAAGTATCTAGACTCAGGTTTCAAGAAGCTTACCGAGTTGGATAATGAGACTTTTGCGGAATGGGTTGATAGCTACAGAGCTGAGCTTGATGCTTTGTTCTTTGGTGCAATGTCTCGTGCCTGGGAAGATTTCGTCAATGCTGAAAATGAGAAAACCGAAGATACTCTTAAAAGCCGCGTTTCTAAGCGACGTGAAAAACTTAAGCAATGGCATGCAGATGATCTTAATGATGAAGATATATTGTTTCGCCATGATCTTGCATCAAACCTATGGATGAAGAATATCTATGCATCCGAACATCTCAAGCACCAAAGAGCACAACAAGATCAACAAGATAATTTCAGTTTTCTCGTTTCTACATTTTCCAGGATGGATCGAGAGCTTCATAGGCCTTGTGCAGTTTTTGATCGTGGTGTTCCCTCAAAGTGGAAGTTGGACCGGACTGAGGGTCGTAACCGTATGCGTCTTCGTATGGTGCCCGATCGTGCTGCTCCGACTTATGATTACAAACCGAAAAGACGTCCCACGGAGACAAATACAAACGATGTTTTGCAGGTAAACACGAAAGCTGGCGGTCTCGCCCCGGCTTCACACCTTGATTCAACACCTAACTCTGCAGTATCACCACCTGGGGACCCTGAGGGTCAAAATGGATCCGAGGTGAAGACTGAGAATCCATCAGAGGAAGAATCAGGTGAAATACCTGATAGTGTTGTTCAAGAAGAAGACTTTGAACTTGTTGATGATCCTAATGACCCTGGCGATGGTGATGACGGGTTTGAGGATAAAAATCGAAAGGTCATGCGCAGTCTTCAAAGAGGAGATTCGGTGCAACATGTTTTTAATATTTCTCGAATCATCGGACTCGAGGCAGTTGAGGGTTTATTGATTCTAGGCAAAGATTCCCTCTACTTAATTGACAATGTCTTCCAAAGATCTGACGGAGAAATCGTGAACGTTGCGATGGCTCCCAAAGAGGAAAGAGATCCTTATTTACAGATGATTGCTGGTCACAAGGCAAGTGAGAAAACAACGCAAGCCCTCAGAACTGAGCAAGAATCTAGAAGTTGGAAGTGGAGCGATGTCATCAGTATTTCTAAACGTCGTTTTCTGTTTCGAGATGTTGCTGTAGAAGTTTTCTTCACAGATGGCCGTAGTTATCTACTTACAGCCATTTCGGCGACGCTTAGAGACGATCTATTTGCCAAGCTCTCCTCAAAAGCTCCACATACCAGTGGTAATTCAGTTTTACCAAATCCAGAAGATGGTTGGCGTCTTGAGGCTCTCAAAGTATCGGATGACGCACCTGCTACTTTTGGTTCCAAATTTGGTAACATCTTCAATTCTTCTGCTTGGAACCCAGCAATGCGACGATGGGCAAAAGGAGAAATCTCGAATTTTCACTATCTAATGCTCGTCAACACAATGGCTGGTCGTACTTTCAACGATCTTACACAATATCCTGTCTTCCCTTGGGTTCTGGCCGATTACACAAGTGAAGAGCTAGATCTCAACAATCCTGCTTCATTCCGAGACCTTTCGAAACCAATGGGTGCGCAGCACAACTCACGTCAAGCGGACTTTATTGAGAGATATAAAACATTTGCGGAAATGGACAACACTACACCTGCCTTTCATTATGGAACCCATTACTCCTCAGCCATGATCGTTACATCATATTTGATCAGACTTCAACCTTTCGTCCAATCATACCTGCTACTTCAGGGTGGTAATTTCGATCATCCTGATCGATTGTTTTATTCGATCGCAAAAGCTTGGGACTCTGCATCTAGAAGTAACATGTCTGATGTGAGGGAGCTCATACCAGAATTTTTTTACCTTCCGGAGTTCCTTACAAATAATAATGGATACAATTTCGGCCTACGACAAGGAGACGGTGGAGGCATAGATACTGTTGACCTTCCGCCGTGGGCTAAAGGCGATCCAAAAATATTCATTGCCAAACATCGCGAGGCTTTAGAAAGCCCGTACGTGAGTAAGTATCTACACCAGTGGATTGATCTTATTTTTGGTTGCAAGCAACGCGGAGAAGCCGCTGTTGAAAGTGTTAACGTATTCCACCATCTTTCATATCATGGTGCAAAGAACCTTGATACCATCGAAGACCCTGTCGAAAGACTAGCTACGATTGGAATTATTCATAATTTTGGTCAAACCCCTCATCAGGTCTTTACCAAACCTCATCAATCTCGAGAAGACATGCGTCAAAAACCAAGAAGACTTGACACTTCAGCTGAATTTCTAACACGTCTACCATTTACCTTAATCGAAAGTCACGAACGTGTCGCATCACTTATTTACTCAGCAAAGTTGGATCGGCTTCTTTGCTCTACAGCATTCCGCCTCAATCTTCCTCCAACGTATGATAAATATTTAGAATGGGGTTTTGCCGATAACAGCGTCCGATTCTACTTCAATGACTCCAAAAAGCTCGCTGGTCTCTTTGAGAACCTTCATCAAGGTCAACTATCTACCGTCATTTTTGCCTCCTCACAAACTCTCATCACAGCCGGTGAAGATTGTGTAATTTCCGCGCATACAATCATGACTTCCCCATCTAAACATGTCGATCTTCAACCACGCTCTTCTCTCTTCGGACACAAAACACCAGTCACTACTCTTGCAGTCAGTAAATCTTTCAGTACAATGCTTAGCGCATCATCCGATGGTCTCGTTATTCTTTGGGATTTAAACCGCTTGGAATTCGTTCGCAAACTCACTCATGGTCGGCCTGTAGAATGCGCGCGCATCAATGATGTAAGTGGGGACATTATGTTATGTCGCGGCCAAAAGGTTGCTCTTTATACCCTAAATGGCGAAACACTTCTCGAGCAAAATGTATGCGCAGATCTAGGACATGATGATTACATACATAGTTGTGCATTCTACGAAGGTACTGGAAATGAGTGGCTGGAGAGTACATTAATATTCACGGGTCACAAGAGGGGAATAGTATGTATATGGCGAAAAGTTGTAGGTAAAAGTAGTGGGAAGTGGGAGTTGGAGTTAGTGAAGAGGTTGGATCATGTGGATGAAGTAAGGAGGGATGCTAGTGTCAATAGATCTACAGGCGCACATGGGAGGGTTACGACGGTGAATGGAAATGTAGAAGCAGGTATTAGTTGCGTGGTACCAATGGAGAAGGGGGTTTATACTGGAGATGAAGACGGGAGAGTGGTGAGTCTTTTTTTGTCTTTGCTCTCTATCTAATTATGTATTGAAACTAATCATGATTTTAGTATGAATGGACATTAGTCCAACGCGAACGATAAGATAACCCTAGCAAAGTAACCCAAGGCAAATCACACAGCGAGCTATAGAATTGATTACATATCATGATAACCCCATGCATAGAGCAGCGTGTCGTGGTATGGTCTCCAAATTAAATTTCCAATACCTAGAATAAAAGAACAAAGACGTGATAATGAACGGAGAGGCGTAAGGCGTACTTTTCTTTCCATCGTCAGTTCTTTTTCTCTCTCTCTTGGGAGGGGGGTTATTTTCGTTTTGTTTTGTTCTGGTATCAAAATGGAAATAAATTACATGAATTAGTATATTCGCTGGTTTTTCTTTTTTTGCTTTCTTCTTCTTGGTTGTAGCGGAGCGTTTGTGCGCATTTGTATTGTGTGATCGTGGTTGATTGATTGTTTAGAGGTTTGGGTCGGCGGTGGAAGAGATGGGATGACAAGGGATGGAATGGGAAGAAATGTATGTAGAATATGTATAGGTAGGGTTTGTGAGGAAGTAGGTACATACATACTCTGTAAATAGATAGATAGATATCCGAAATGATGAATTACTGATATTTGTTTGGTTTTTTGGTGGATGGATGGTTGATATCTTAATGATGTCTTGAATGTCTTGATTATTATTCCAAGACTCTACTCGGGCTTGTTTTTGATGAAGGGCCGAGGGCTTAGCAAAGTATATTTTTATATCAAAAACTATTTATTTTAAAAATTTAAAGTAAATTAATTCATTACAATATATATTTCAAAAATTCTAAATATATAATATACTTATATAAAATTCAATATAATGTCTTTTTTTTATTTGTATTAAAATTCAAAATTTTAATACAGAAAAATCAATCAAAAATTTAATATTAAAATCAAAATCATTTTGAAAAAGATAATTTTAATATTTATTATTTGATTCTTTAATCAATTCTAAAATTTCAATATTATAAAATATATAACTGAATTGATAAAGATTTTTGAAAAGGTTGATTTTTGATAAAGAAACGTACAAAAGCTTGGGCCCGGCCCTTATCAAAAACAAGTAGAAGCCCTAGTGTCTGTTTTCAGTGTAGCACTTTGGCTCAATTCCGGCTAAAACGCCACCCCATCCTATCTATCCCCACCAAAAATATACCTACCTACCTAACAAAAATAATAATCGGAAAATAATCTGATCAAAATTAAATAAACCCAGAACGCAAAACTCAAATCAAAAAAGCAGAAAATGACAAAAGAGTAATTTCCGAATCCGGGAATCGAACCCGGGGCTACTCGGTTCATGGTCTCATCTGAAGGGTACAACAGAAGAGAATTGAAAGCGAGTTATGTTAACCCCTACACTAATTCGGAGGTTGTTGACTGGGAGGTCTTTTGGTATGTTTGATTATATTGAATGGGGTGTTTGTGGATATATTTGGGATTTGTGGAGGTGTTTTGGAGGAAGAGGAAGGGGAAATGGCTTTGTGAATGTGGGGTAAGTAAGGAATAGTGTAGGTTGAGGGGTAGGGGGGTATGTATGTTTATTGGAGGATTTTATTAGGGAGGGGTTTTATTGAGGTGTGAGGGGTACAGTGGAGGAGTAGAAGAGGAAGGTTAGAGGGGGATTATTTATTTAGTAGTTACGTATTCAATTATCCTAAGTAAGAAATATGCTAATATCTCTCTGACCCCATCATTCCTATAATGGGTTACTATTTTCACGAACAAACTGTGAAATTGCATATTAACAAATCCATCACCATATCATCATAAAACGGAAAAATTAAAACAAAAGTGAATAACTAATCATAAATTCATCAACTAAACATCTTCGCGCTTCAACTCCACCATTACATCTTTGGATTCTCCCCCTCCCTCCATCCATCCATTCATCGCTATCCCCTTACAAGTAACTGGCATCAACCCACCATTCATTCAAGTATGCACTTCCCAATACTGTTTCAATGGCAATGGGTGAAGTGATGGAAGAACTGAAGCTTGCTCGGGGTCCAGCGGCACCGGGTCCTGAGTTGTTGTATCTGGAAGGTGGTTAGTGTATTTCCTGTAGGGGGAGGAAAAATGAGAGAATGGATGGAGCGTCAAGATGGTGACAGGATTGAGGCAGGAAAATGAGAAGATCTCAATGAAGGAGATCGGAAAGATGGAAATGAGAACTTACTCTTCAAAAACAGCGTGATCAGTGTTTGGGGTGCTAGTAGACCAAGTACTCCAGCCAGCAGCCTTAATGTTACTTCCCAAGTAGGTGTTTTGGAAAACGACTCTTGCATAGTTTGACCATGGGCGTCCCAAGTAGTTCTTGTTTGTTGCGACGGTGGAATTGATGTTGTCCACGTTTGAGTTGTTGATCACATACCAAGATGGGTTAGAGTCGGAGGAACGTCCGGAAGCTGTGATACTTCCACCGGCAATAGTACGGATATCGTTGTTCTCGAACCAGGCTTGAGCTGTCTGTCCGAAAATGAAATCGATGGCACCGACGACGAGACATTTGGCATAGAGTTGAGTACCGGTGTTGGCCAAGATGGTATCTTGATATCCAATGAATTGAGTAGCGTAGTATCCTTGGTTTTTAGTGTCTATGAACAACAAAAGTTAGTAATTGTGTCTAAAAGTGAGGTGCTAGAGAAGATGAATCCTGGCAAAGAACCTAGTTCATGATGTAGGTTAGAATAGTAAATCGGTTGTCTTACGTGCAGAAATAGCGAGGTTTTGACCATTTGAGTTGATGTGCCCGAATGTGTTTTTGATGATGAGGTTGTAGACTTTGGTGTTCTTGTTCCATTGACGTAAAGTAGCTGTCAAATCATCGTTGGTAGTATTTATGAGAGCAAGGTTGTAGGTAAGAGTGACTTGGTTACCAGCATATGTGGTTGCATCTTCGGTATAGCCCTGGATTGTGAGGTTGGATTGAAGGGCCGGGACGTAGACTTGTTCAGTGTAAACACCGGGGTGGATGAAGAGGTATTGATTAGCTGTGGTGGTGGTAGAGAGAGCATCTACTCCTTGCTGGAAGGTGGTGTATGACCCTGGTGTAGCACCAGTCTTGTCGACCACGACCGCACCGGATGGAGCAGAAGTTCTGGCGGCTGCTCGTGCCTCTAACACTGGAGCGGCAGAGACTCCCCCTAGAAGGGCGGCGGCTAAGGAAAGGATCGGGATGAGCGAATACATGATCGTCGAGTATGCAAAGCAAGCAATTGTTGTTTGAAGAGATTTGGATGTCAAGAGAAACCCTCGATATAGATACTTATACACTTCAAGCTATGCTATCTGTGATTGGTGCAGAAATTTTATGGAGATACCACCTGCACCGACAAAAAGGTGGTGGGTATTTTTCCGTAATGGATTACCTGGATAGATGAAAAAGATAGTTTAAAGCAGACAATACTAATCAAGTGCTTTCTCTAATTTACTAGAGGATATCGGAGCAATTCCCTATTTCTGGGCAGGGCCCTGATGCATCTCCTACAATGCACATTGCATGGCAGCCCACTAGCAGCTTTGCAAGGTGGAGCTACGACTCACGAATAAGAAGATGATATATTGTGCTAACCAGTCTTGGTCTTCTTCCCCTGCAGCGCAGATATTGATGACTTGCTTCATCGTTCACTCAGTGTGGTAGTTCATCATTTTGTCTCACCGCCAGAGCTTGGAAGAATCGGGTTGCCAAGGTATTCTTTACATTGGTTAGTGTAAGAACAATGGTTTGTAGAACAAAAGTTAAACTACAAGAATATGCTCAAAAATGAGGGTCCAGATGATGCGAACTGGTCAGAGACAATAAAAAGTTTGGGAGTTCACCGGCTTTGAGCCTTGGGAAGAGAAGCGGAAAAGTTCTACGACGGCTCTTTCCGAAGTCTTTCCACCTTCGTCCCACAAGTTCCTAACACCCACATTGAGGATGCGGCTGGTGAAGGATGATAGATAAACTGTCTGGACCAAATGAAGACACGAAACTTTGGAATTTTATGGGATTCTACTGAATTTGGGCAACTCCCGTTTATAAACCCACTTACATGGATTTAGCCCGAGTTGTTTATATCCACTACGGGTTTACGGACGCACGGAGTTCATTGAAAATGCAGGTTCAATCGCATCGTGCACATTTGATAGATGCTGTTGCTCGTCCAAACCTGATAGCAGGATCGCGTGATTCCATTCACTCACCGCGTTAGTGACATTCGAGTCCACATTTCTGTCAAAAATCCTCAATATCAAAGAACCGGTGTCGATTGAAAGTCGGTGACTGACTGCTCTCACATTTAGAGGTTGTCCTCGGTGAGCCAGATACGTTTGTTGTCTGAATCTATGATCAGTCCGCTATCGTCCTATCAATATTATCTTCGACATTAATGATATTTCATTACAAGCAGCCCCGACCACTCCGATCTCTATGCTCACGGATGGGAAACTATTCACTATCATCATATTTCTTCTCTGCGAGGTTGGCCCTTGCTTTGCTTAGCCACATGGTGTTTTGATTCGGAACCCCATCAAATTGCTCTCCACTTTTTCGTGGTTTTTCGTGGTTCTTCGTGGTTCTTCATGGTCAATTCTTTTCTTAATTCAAAATCCCATCGTGAGGATAAGCAGAGCAGCCATGAGATAGCGCCGGGGAAATTCCATTTCCGGGCTCAGCTCCGTTTCCAAAAGTCCATCCAAGTGGATTTACTTCTAGAAGACCGTGCAAAACACTGTCTTCCTCCATAAAAATTTGACGATTATTGATCCTTTCCGTCTTCCGCCATATCCTTAATAACTACGTCTTGCTCTTCTTTTAAACTCCAAGACATGAACTGCATATCCATGCTACTTGCTGTCGGGAGCGGCGGAGCATTGGGCATTCAAAAAATGTGGACATTCAAATCCACTCAGATATTGAGAATATCAAACATTTTGCAATAAATTTGTCTATTTCATCAACTAAAGTGGCAAGTCTTACGATCATAGCCAAATAAGACTTTAAGTTGCTTTTTTGAAGGAGCGAGCATTGAAAGTCTCCCTTCAAATGGTATATATTAAGTAGTCCTTCTGATATACTTGAGGGGAAATTCCCAAACATCATTTCCTTCTTCCTTGTCAGTATTGCCACCAAGGTCAAATTCATACATATAAAGTTTCCAAGTCCCAATATCAGGGATCCTGACTATCTGGGTGAACCAGCTTGGCACAAGGAGGGCTATCTAGATTAAAACCACAAGAGTAGTGAGAAGCCGTAAGGAATTTCATAGTCAGGCATTTTAGCTTTTCACTATGGACTTGGCTCGAGGGAGTTTAGATGTAGGAGGGAGGCACTCGGAATTGAAAGCCATGCCGGTACTGGGTTTTTCAGATGCTCATCCCATATCAAGCTACTATATATAGCTCCTACGAATACGAAGACAATAACTCAATTCGCACACTCACAAAACATATACTCTGTCAGATCCAATAGGCTGGTGAACATACATCCACTACCTTCATAGTCTTAAAATAATTTACAGTTTTCTAATATCAACATGCACTTTCCGGAAGTGGGTTCATCAAAAAGTTACTTTACTTTCAGGTAACATTTTGTTTCAGATGACGTTGATTCTCTCAGGTTTTAATCACTGTTAGTCAATTTCAAAGGCAATTCACTGCATGTAATTCAAAAACATAGCAATTTAAACGCATCTCAGTTTCCTGTATACTCCGACTTGTCCACTTCAAGCTCCAACAAACCATGAAAGTGTTACGAACACCCGTGAACATTCTGTTCTGAAATGGTAAAAAGCATCTTGACCAATATCTATTTGTATTACAAACACAGAGGTAATACTGCCTCGATGTTTCCTCCAGAAAACTAAGTACTCTAATGTGTCTGTATCTTATTGTTCACTCTTCATGCATTAGGATGCTCTTGAACATTCAGGCCATCTCAGACATGTGCCGCTTTCAAACATTCAAACAGTCAAACCCTTTCAGATAATCACCTCATATCAACCTCATCTTGCGTGTACCTCAAATGCATTCCACCAACCTAGTCAAAGATAATTGCTCCAACCTCCCTAAACACTTTGAGGTGTTTTTTTCAGCGCCCCGGAATCAAATCAACTGACCACTACCTTGCATCGCCATGAATTCGTAGTCTCATTTTCGCCATCCACCACTACTCCGAGTCTTTCCTTCCAAGCTTTTCTCCACACCTCTCTCAAATCAACACACTCGGAGTCCCTCAACCCAACTTCTCAAAAGCCCTTTAGTTCTATCCAAAGTTTCACGTTTTTGATCTCATCATCTGCATCTCCTTCTCCTTCTCCTACTCAATCACCATCGCTTTCTCCCCACTGTCGCCCCCATGCCATCCCGCAGTATCCCACTCCCTCACCCACATCCTATCCCATTATATTCTCATCCCATAATAGGCTGCGCAACGGGGCCCCGCGGAGCGGATGATCCATTTGCAGAGCAGATAATTGAAAATCCGAATGGGTTATCCTTCGAAACAGGTTATTTACGGATAATCTGCAAATAACCCAAACCAGATTATTCAAATCCGAATGGATAATCCGAGGGGCGGGCTGTAGCTCTTCGCGGAGTATCCATGGATATCCGTGGGTTGCGGATTATTTTTGCGCAGCCTATCCCATATCTACAACCTACATACATCACTAGCACCTACAAACACAAGCCCAGCATAACATCTCCTCTCCTCCTCACTTCTCTCACTTCACTTCACTTCTCTCACTTCACTTCACTTCTCTCACTTCACCCCACTCCACTCTCTTCCTCTATTTTTCACAAACCTCAATCCGCTTCCCTAGCTAGTATCAATCACCACTCTACCAAGCTGCTCGAAGTCAAAATAAAGCCACAACTGACAGCTTTCAACCAGGCTAAGCTTTTATAGAATTTCCCATCATCAATATCCAAACATGGACAGAAGTCTTTTGATTTAAACATCATAAAGCTCTGTTCGATGACGAATCTATATCGGTATAATATCTCCCTCTCAATGAGTCGATCCGTATCTTATATCATTCATTCAGCCCATTTCCCATTTCCATTTCCCACACCTTCTGATTACCTCCCCAACTCAGCATATCAACCTCACGCAGCCCTTCTTTCACTATCAAACTTCCCACAACCACATCTTGTGCATTCGCATCTGCATCTAGAAATCAATATCCAACACCCAAATATCCAACAGCCAAAAGCCAAAAGCCAAACACTCACCAAATCCAAATATATACACCCAGATAAAATTCCCAAGAGATGTATCTCCCAACATCACACCTCACACCTCACACATCATGAAACATTCAAAAATCGTACAAGTAGAAATGATTATACAGATTGCAGAATTCCAGAAAAAAACAAAAAGACAAAAAAAACAAGGGGAACTTTCAAGACTAAAAGTCAAAGAGAAGCGAAGGTGTAGTACGTAAATGATCAATGAGGGAGGGAGGGAGGAATATGAATGTCTAGACTGTTATGCACGGGTATGCGCGGTATGTACATCTTACCTCGGGTGGAATATTAGCGAGTTTGAGGATGAGAATAATAGCTACGTTTTACTTCATTGGGTTGATGTATCAAGAACTATGAGCTGTAGCTTAACTCAGAAGGAGCATTTGGAAGATTTAATGATTTGTAATATGGAAGATGTTGAAATATTCATAGGCGATTAGACATTCGCTTAACATATTCAAACAGCTGACATGATGCGAAAAGAAGGTACTTGCTACTAATTATCAGACCCGTTAAACCTCCTTGAATCCTTATCATTCCTCCATTCTCTTCAATCTCGCCATGTAAACTCCTAAAACCCCATTTCCCAGTTCAGCATCCTTGAATCATTGTTATGACCAGGCCTTTGGTAAAATCCAAGACCACGAATCCATTCCAATACTTGACTCCTTTCAATTTGTTACTTATGCTTTATCTTCCTTGACGATATCTTCGTAAACCGGAGGTGGGCCCTGATGTTGAATGAGGCCTTTGTCCTCCTGGCTACCTTCCTCGGCAACGAGTTCTTCTTGTTGAACCTTAGTGTATTGGCTTTGACATCCTCTACGGAACAATAAACGCCAAATAAAGATAACAAGGTGGCCAGCTATCATACCAACAAGACTGGCAGTGATTCCAGCAACGATTCCAATGATGACTGGAATAACGACGTGTAGGACAACACCTCGCAAGAATCTGGTGATACCGTGGTGTTTGTGGGAAAATCGATGAGGTCTACCATGAGGACGTTGATGAACATGACCTTGAGGTCGGTTGTTGTGAGAAGTTGGATCAGCTTTGCCACCACAGCCTTTCTTGAGAGCCGACAGTTTATCTGTCATAATCGCTCTCCATTTGCAAAGCACCGTTGTACATTCTTGTCCATCAGAGGTTGGATTAGTTAGATGGCTCTTTGGTGGTGATGGTATAACTTGGGCATCGCCAATCATCAATTTCCCACTTGGTGTTGTAAGAATCTTGAGTTCGATGTTATCCACGGTATCCACGAATGTATTACCAACTTCGATGATTTCAAGAGTAGCGATCAACAAATCGATCTCATCTTGCTTGGAATATGATATTGGCTTGTGGATGCGTAAAGCATAACCTAGGTCGGGCTCCGCGGCTTGAACCCAATTGCCTTCCGATGTTTTGATCAGTTGTGGGGCTGTAAGACGTTCGAGACTGGATTCCATATCGATGGGATAGAATTGGCGTCCGTTCAGAAGAACACGATCAAGGTCATTATCGTGTGAGACTGAGAAGTTGAACAGTAGTCTATTTAATCCCTTCAAATCGTGTCGACCTCCTCGTACATCCTGGGCAGAAATTGGACAGCCAGGGCAATTGACAGCTAACATTCTACCCTCCGCCTCGATGGCAGCATCGAAAGGTAAGGCATTCACGACATCGCTATCAGAATTGGAGATGGTTGGAGGAAGTAGAAATGCTTGGCTGATGGTTGCAAGAGTTACCCCCGCTCCGAGTGTGATGAAGCGCATAGTGAGGTGGATCGGTAGACTGGGTATATCGTGGGGTTGTTGTTTGTGTTGAATATTGTGAAGGGAATATATATTCTCGAGGACCGGTAGACCTGCTACTTAATTATGAGGTCTTTTGGGATAATGTTGTCATGGAAATATGTGGAAATTTGCGAAAATAAATGTGAGTGAATCAGTGTAGGTTTGTTGTGTTGGATGGTGGAAAGACGAAGAGTGAGTTATGGTTTCATATCAAGTCTCAAAGGGTCGAATTGAAAGGAAGCAGCGGGGATCCACTAATGGTACACAGCATCTAATAATCGGTGTTTACAAACGACCGACTAGTTCCTAATTGGGGGAAAGCAAATGCCCTCGCAACATTTTTTGGTGTAAAACATATCAAAATCCTAGAATGGTATTGAAAAGATACTATTTCCGATATACAATTATGAATTTTTAAGTCAATATAATTGAAAATAGATAATCTCAAAATTTGGCATATTAATTCAAACTTGATTATCTCTTTCTTAAAATAATATTATAAAGACACTTGCTTTCACCAACTAGGAAATACAACTCAATCAAACCGGGTTTCTGGCTGTGATTCGGCACATGTTTTCTTTAATAAGTGAGGCTTGACACATGCAGGACCAAACTGTGGCTGGTTAGCATGTGACTGCTGATAAGGAATGATTACATAATCGTTATCAACAACTCAAGCGAGCATGAGAGGCAAACAACTTCCGGGTCGCCGATCCATTGTTCCAGCACAGAGCTTGGAATCTCAATGCATGTTTCTTCCTTGTTGGGCCTTGTGCTGCTGTGATGTGTACGCCGTAATGTACAAAGTACAAAGTACAGAAGTACCTGTCGGCGGTCTGTGTCCTCTGTGTCCTCTGTGTCCTCTGCCTGAACCTGGAATGTTGGGTGTTTGACCTCTAATACTTCTTTTCTGCCTCAACAATCACTCTTTGGATGATTCTTTTTCTATTACTATTTTTGCCACTCTTTTCTCCATATCTTTTTCTTGCTTTGGACATTTAGCTTTTATATTTCCGCACATTCGGTGTAGCAAAACTCGATAGCAGCGAGACTGACTCGTCCAAGCAACAGGTAAACCCCACTGAAAATCCCAACTGTATCCATTCTTGGTGGGGAGAGTTGGAAGCTGCACTGTCAGAGATGATGTCAACAACCCTTGGTACATGAAATAGGTAGGTAGCTATCATTTCTGTTTTCACTCCTCATTCAAGTACCAAGGACAATACTCAATACTTCGTCAAACTAAGTATCAATTTTCTTGGAATACTCTTCTCTTCACAAGAGCATTCACTGTCATACAGATTGTTATCCTCCAACTGCACTTTCACCAAATCTATTTTGTATATCGTGAGCTATTCAAAGCCCTCTTTCTATATTCCCCCCAATCTGTCAATCATACAGGAGCCTGGTTGCTGTCATTTACGTACTTTCTTCCTCTTTGGTTTTAACAGCCTCAACATCATATTGATAATGTTTCGAACACAACTTCTTCGAAATACAGCTCGTGCTGCCAGAGCTTCAACAAAGGCTACTTTACCTCGCACATTACCAGCTTTATCTTCGAGACCGATCCACAACACAGCTTCCCTTCGTGAGAAGATTGACGATCCACCACACGAAGGTTCCTTTGCCCGAACCGACTCCTCTGTGCATGTCGAGTATCCAGAAGAGCATGAATTGCCATCCAGTAAACCGGTACAGGGCAGAGGTGGACTCCATTTCAAGCGTACACTTGCATCCTTCTCTCTAGAAGGTAGAGTTGGCGTCGTCACTGGAGGTGCCAGAGGTCTGGGACTTGTCATGAGTCAAGCCATGGTTATTAGCGGTGCTGATATTGCAATCGTCGACATGAATAGTATGTGCCATCTACAAAATTAATGGCAACATTATGCTAAAAAGACAACAGAGGAGGAAGCCGAAAAGCAAGCAGGAGAACTTGTTGCTTCATTCAAGAGAGAAAACCCAGGCGCAGAAAAGTAAGAGCTTGATTCTTTTCCTAACATGGTATCACGAAGGCTTACAAATCGTTTTAGTGTTCCCAAGGTTACCGCTCATTATGCAGATGTCTCTTCCCAAGAATCTGTCGATGCTGCCATTGCCGAAATTATCTCTCAGCACGGAAAAATTGATAATTTAGTGACATCAGCTGGGTTCACAGAGAACTTCGAGGCCATCAATTACCCAATTGACCGAGTACGAAAGCTGTGGGGTGTCAACGTGGATGGAACATACTTGTTTGCAATTGCAGTTGCAAAACACTTGATGGAGCGTAAGGCTCCGGGAAGTATGGTGTTTATCGGCAGTATGTCCGGTGCCATTGTCAATGTTCCACAACCCCAAGCGCCGTATAACGCAGCCAAGGCTGCTGTCCGACATCTTGCCTCATCCTTGGCTGTAGAATGGGCTCACGCTGGCATCCGAGTCAACTGCATCTCCCCCGGATACATGCTGACTGCATTGTAAGATTGAACCCTAGAAAGACCCCGTGGGGGTGCAAGTTTTTCATACAGGCCAATGCTAATTACGGAATTCAATAGAACCAAGAAGATTTTGGACGAAAACCCGGATTTGAAGAAGCAGTGGACTTCCCTCATTCCTCAGGGTAAGATGGGTCAGCCAGAAGATCTTATGGGAGCCGTTACTTTCCTCTCGTCAGATGCCTCTAATTACGTTACTGGAGGTAAGAACATTCTTCTCCTCACATCCTTTTGAGCCAATTTGCTGACAAGATCTGCAGCCGATTTACGAGTAGATGGAGGTTACACCCTCACTTAATGGATCCTCATTCTTCAGCCGGCCATCAAATATGTTTATAGCGCACTTTCTTATGTTCACAAAAGCATAGACTTCGAACCCGAGTTGGGGCTGGCTTATGGCCCCTTCCTTTCCAACTCGGCTTAATGTAGCATGAAAAGATTTATGAAATTTCCACAACAGCAGACATGAGAATTTTCATTCAACGTGACTCAGATTACTGCGTCTTGTTATGTGTGTTACTTGTGTAATCCCTTAAAATGCTTGTGATTCATTATGACATCACGTGTAACTAAATCTCTACGTCTTCCGTCCTTATATTCCGTTCACTCCTATCCCATTCCATCATACAGAATTACACACATACCGTAACATAGGTAGCACTGATTACGCATCAAGTATACTGTATATTTGCAGACTGCAATGAAGAATGAATTTGTGAATCGGATAAGGAAGCCTGAGGATTGAGATTCTTTTTGTGCTGGTTTGGCTGAGGTTTATGGGATGGGTTTGGATAGGATAAAGGAGATTTGGACAGTAAGATGGATGGCGACGTGATGCGATGCGATACGAAGGGTGCTGATGGATTTGTGCGGTATGGAATATGATGGGTTATGATATTATATCTATTATATGTTGTAACTAGGTAATGAAAGGTATAGATGTATTTAGTAGATATAGATATATAATCGAAATAGATAAAATATTTCGTATATATAGCCGCGCCTTTCCTTGTGTTGGCCTACTTGTTTACTTGCTTACTTGCTTGTTTACCCGTTTGTTTACTATTTGCGATATCCTGAGTGAGCGCTTATGTGGTTCCTGTGAATAAGTATGTAGGTAGGTGGGTAGATATTTATTATCAGAAGTAAACATGGAAGATTGTATAGCTAGAATAGGATGGTGTGATTGGACAATGGAGAGGGGTGATTGTTGTAGGTTGTTGATCTTTTTTTTTATCTGGCTTAGAGGATTGAAGAGTTGAAAATGTCGGGAGAGAGACAGAGAGGGAAAAGGGAGGGAAAAATTTATATTATAACTTTTTTTTATGTTTGAGGCTGGATTTATTATTGTATTTATATTAGATAGAGTATTTATCATTATCTACTAAGAGATAAATATTAGATCTGGTTTTGAGGATTGGAGATGATATATATAAAGTATATAAATTGTTGAATTCAGATTTGAATTTAGGTATTAAAAAAAAAATTTATATATATAATTTTAATTAGAAGATTAAAAATTAGAAGTTTTTATTGTTTATAAATTTATTTAAAGATAAAAAAATATTTGAATCTTATTTATTATATTATTATACTTTTATTGTTTTTAGAAGTTTATATATATAAAATTATAATTTACAATGAGAAAATCAAAGATAACGAAGTAACCCCGACCTGTAGTTCCGTTACGAGTAATCGAGGCTCATATAAGCGAAGCTCAAATTCATACGATGGCTACATACTAGCTAGGTAGCTAGATAGGTACCTAGGGAGGTATTGATGCCCAAAGCAGGGCCTATGATTGAAGCTTGCTACAGCTAGCAAGACCGGAGACCAAGAAGCAAAAAACACGTTTCTAGAAGCATTGAATAGGAAGGAAGCTAGAAGGATAGAAGGATGGAAGGATTTTCTTTTGCGTTTTCTTGGTCCGAGTTACTGATGAGTGAGACATTGGTGGAGCATGGAAGATGGAAGGCCTGCGTGGTCAGATATGGAAGGAAAAAATGGGCAAGGGGCGGCTCCGCGGCATAGCTCTGGATGTTTTTTCCCCCTGAGTTTGCTTTTGCTTTTGCTTTGCTTTGCTTGCTTTGTTTTTGTTAGGCTTTTGATGGTATGATATGATCTTGGAGGATTTGGGCTCATTATTGGGTTCTTTCTTCTTCTTGTTCTTGTTCTTCTTGTTCTTCTTGTTCTTCTTGTTCTTCTTCTCCTTCTTCTTCTTCTTCTTCTTCTTCCTCTTCTTCTTCCTCTTCTTCTTCCAAGACATTAGAAAATGATTTGGTTGATTAGAAGATGTTTTTGTGGACTCGAGATATTTATTGAGAGCCTCGAAAAAGATTTGAAACATGCGGGACGGTTGGTTGGATATGAAAGAATCCTACTGTTCGCCTGTTCGCCTAGGGATACACATCAAGAGTCAAAAGTGATGAATGAGGCTTGAAGCTCGAGTAATTCCCAAGGGTTTGACGTATGGGTTATTCTGTTTTAGTGCAACACTAGTTAATTATCTCATCGTTGTTTGTTTGTAAATGTAAGTCATGTGGAGTCATATAGAGTGGGGTCCAAAATCCGGGGGTTTGGTAACTTTGGTTAGAATATTAAAATAAGATATATCTTGGTTCAGATATCTCGCTCGATTCTCTCCATCCTTCTCCGTCCTTTCTAGGATTAATGTAAAAGGTCGTACAAGATCTCAAGAAGTTGTTTGTTTTTTGGGTCTCGTGATGCTTAGTTACTCTAGATTTGTTAGATATATTGGGGAAGTACAAAACATCATACAAATATCATCCATCTCCAAACCAGTAACAATGAGCGTCACACGACGTTTCCCTAGATTGAGGCGGAGAGATAAAAAAAGGTCAGATGTTCATAACGCTTCCGGACTTGGATATCGGAAAGGCTTCCGCGACGTTTCTGAAGTCGCAAAGTATAAAAGCGTGACGGAAGCTACATTGAAAAGGATCGATTAGGAAGGTAGGTAACTTTTTTCTGTTGTGCTGATGAGAGCTGAGATTTGTTGTCGCATGGAGAATGCGTGTTTGTTGGGATTATTTCCTTGGATGGAAAGGATTAGCCTTGTCTGATTCGTTCCTTTTGCCTCTTTTGCTTTTGCTTTTGCTTTTCCCTTTGCTTGTCTCGAGCTTGCGTGCTGGGCTCTGAAAAACCCAAGCAATGACTCTTTCGTGATCAGTGATAAGATGCGCCTTCCCACGGTAATGCAAATACCAGAATCCCTCGATAGCGGTGAGTCCGGATGGTCGAGTAAGATTGAGTAAGGTACGGTACAAAGTCTGCCAGCTGTAAGACTTATAAGACAATGTACCATGAGTATAATACAAATGCGAGACTGACAACGAGAGAACTAAGAGTCGTGTCGGTAGATTGTCGCTGCTCGGGGCGGTTTCAAGGCTAGAAACCGGCCTCGCCTTGTATTCCATTCCTTTGCCTCGCGCATCTATGCATGTCGTAAACCCCTGAATGTACATGGAGCAAGGTAGTGATTTGGTATTTTGCCGGTTCCAGAAGCAATGTAAGAGGTTATTATCGACTTATTCGATATAACAATTGCAAAGTGGTATTGAACATACGTAGAAACAGGCATTAAGACGTGGCTCCTACACGAACCAAAGATGCGAATGTTCTATATTGGGGCAAAAAGATGAAGATATTCGTGTGTCCATCTTATCTCATCTGATCTCATCCTCTTAACTTCACCTGCATCGATCTTCCGATGGACAGGTGGTATCATAAGATTATGTATAACATCTCCAGACTTTTCAGCCGTGCAAGGACGGAAAGGTGTACAGTACAACCTCATATTGTTCGTAGGTTGGCTAGATGCTCTTTTAGCAATTCATAAGTCACGAGTCGTTGCAACTGCCACTCAACACGGCATGACTTTGTGTTGCTTGTGATACTAGGATTTGGATAGACTCATAGAGATCTTCGGGCCCATAAAAAGACTCTCGGATTCGTCACCAAAATAAGGTGGAAGGGGCCCTCGATCGATGTTGTTATGACCGTGGATACAAATGAAACAAAATTATGAGATATTAGAAAGGATTCAGGTATACTGACTATAGTTTTATTCTTGATAGTAAGTATATATATTATATACTCGAGTATGTTCTACATAAACGAAATAGTTCGTTCTTATGACAATTGAAGATTCTTGGCAAAGAAAAAGAACATACATGAGTGGTACCGGTAATTCAAGGATGTTTAAGCATCATGGTGATCCTGGAAAAGAGGCAACGGTTTTCTATTTACGGAGCACACCTCCTCCCTTACCTTATTCTGTGTCCTCCTTTCCAATATCTCTCTATCTCGGCCGCATTATATCAACGAATCACGATACCGATGATATCTCAAGTCTCTTCAAAGGTCCTGGAAAGCTAAGCTGATGGCCGAGTAGAATTAATAAGGATCAAGGAACCCTGGCTTGGGCTTAAGTTCTGTATTAAGCATCAGCACCGGCTACTCCCTTTAAGGTTCCCACCGTTTTGCTCCGTAAATTTGATTAAACATAATATCCCGTCTAGACAATAACTGATTGTTTTGTGAGTGTGCTGCAGAACGGTAAGAGGAGAGAGAGAACCGCGCGAGAGAGAGAGACACACACAGAGAGAGAGAGAGAGAGAACCGCGCGAGAGAGAGCAAAGCAGAGAGGAGGGTTAGCCTCTTTGTTACATAAATTCCTGTTCGTCACATTACCATTATTACTCGAGATCCCCTTCCTCTCTTCCTCTTCCGATAACGTGTGTCCCAACTTTGAACCTCTAATACTTTATACAACAGTAGTGTACCGTCTATACATGATGGAAAGGGCCAACTCAAAAAGTCTCAAACAACAACCGCGGCCTTGTCAGTCATATCCACTTTCTGTTTGATCTACCAAGATCGAATCTATTTCGAATCTATTTCATCCAAATCGGTGTTGTCTATCCATCATATCATCCATATACGTAGGTCCTTTTTGACCTACCAAACTTGTCCACAGCAAGGTTTACATTACAACAATCAATATCCTTCCTTATTATAATAACTCCTTTGGTTTCCCGAGTCTAATTGCCGATCAATGAACCGCAGTCTCATCAAACTCCTTGAGCTAATCATCTAAATTAAGGATTTCGAAAAGTTTCCCTACCAATCTTCTCTACCAGCCGTACGGAGTATTCAAGAAGTACAGTACCTGTTCTAACGGAGCCACCATACACTTTTTTCGCATTTTATGTGCGTGCTCCATATCTACCACTCTACTGCACGAAGCCAAAGCAGTGTCAGTCCCGTGCACGTTATCCTTTCGACTGGAGAAGAAAAAAATTAATTAATTAATGATTTGATTTCATAATACTCATACTCATACTGTCTATACTTTATCCAAACCCAATGGAAAATTTTATCTTTTCAACTCAAACCTTTCCCTTGATGGAAAGTTAATAAGTTGCCCTTCCAATGCAGAACGAACGATCGATATAATAAGTCATAGCCAAGTCAATGTCTACGGCCAAAGATACACCTCCTCACATATAATTTACATTCACTCTACCATACTCTCCCTCGTACAGCTGAGGGGGGATATCATATTCCAACTTTTTCGATTTTCGCTGTGTGAAATTTGTGGACTGTGAACTCCCTCACATCGCATCACGTTCACACATTCATTCATACATCCATACATTCATACATTCACACATATTCTATTCACATATTCATTCACATATTCAACAAATTCTCATTCCTCGGATCAATTCCGAACCAGTAAATTTCGTCAATTTCAACCAACTCCTTGGTACGTATAAATGATACACATAACAAAACCTTAATTAGCCCTTCATCTTCTTTTCTCTTGCATGAGGAATCTAATAAGAAGCTTTGAAATACTTCCACAAGCAGTTCTATTTTGAAAACAGTTCAGAGACTAAAACTCATACTATCTTTCTTAGCTTCACTAGCTTTTTTCCCCCATCATCATCAATATCCTGGATCTTCCTCATCAACCTTGGTCCTTGTCCTTTTACCGAATTACTTGTTACGAAATCCCGTCCCTTTTTCCAGACTCAGCCAAACCTCAATATTAAAATAAACCTTAATTCCTTACTTTGTTTTTCAGCTTTCTTAGCTGTAAAAGCCGTCTTCCCCATTCACAGTGACGCAGCAACTTCTAGGTAGGCTAGCCGCCTGCCTCAGAAGAGCTGCAGTCACTCAACAACTTTCGGTTCTGGCGACGTTAAGAGGATGGCGTTGATATTGCCAAAGGGCTTTGTGGTCAATTCTCCGCAAATTGGGAGCACCATCGAGAGATTCAAAAATGATCCTTTAGATCTTGCCGACATTGCCAGATTTTGGAAAGGTACTTTACATCTCTTGATTCAAACTAAAGTATGAAGCTGATGGTCCTATAGTTTACACTACAACAAAACGAAGACTTCTCGATCCCACGGCTGAGCGTTTAGAGAACTACTGGTGGCGAATATGGGGAAGTCGACGTCGAGAGCTGGATGCTTCAACCGTTGCTCGACTGTTCGTACACATTTCAGAGGGTGACACTGTTGTGCCACTCAGGGGACCACCCAATCGTTATGAGCGTGAAGCGCCAATGGTATGCAAACCTGTTAATAGGCCATGGAGCTATATTGATTTGATTATCAGAATAGTGTAGCCTACATTGGAAAAACCGCCTCGACTACCTCTGTTGCTCGTGCCCGCAACGAGAGCCGACCACGTACCACACCGACATCAGTTGCCAAGACATCTGCTCCTATGCCACCCCCAATATTAAAAAAGACCCGAGGTCCTTCTGGAAATGGTCCTCGACCGACTGCGCGCTTCATATCCCCTGCGGCGTCAGAAGATGAGTCGGGTAGCACAAACAAGCAAGTCATAGTACAATCGCCTCCACCACAACTTGAGCAGACGAGTACCATTGACGAGAAGATTGAGAAAGAGAAGGTCGATAAGAAGTTGATGCCTGCCCCGGCAAGTAAGAAATTCGTTGCTTCGGCTGCCAAGAAGAAGAGACCAGTCGTTGTCAGGCGACAGAGTTCGCAAACCTCACAGTCCTCGAATGATAGCTCAGCGAGACTTGCCGGTGGACAAGGACAACAAAGCAGGAATTTGGGAAGACCGCCTCCGCTATCTGTACCACCTACCCGAAATCAGAACACACAGGAAAATGTTGTAGCGACGCGATCTACAACATCCCCCACGAAACGCAATCCCTCTAAATTGGCAGCCCCGGCTCGGGGTGGCTCGCGCAAACTCGCAAGCACTCGTGAGGAAATTGTCGAGCTAGAGCCAGCCAAGCCAGCTAAGCCAACTGAGACTGTTCAGACTCTTCAGCCTGTTCAGCCTGTTGAGCCTGTTCCGCCACCTCAGCCAGTTCAGCCAATTCAGCCAATTCAGCCGGCTCCTTCGAATGACCTTCAGACACTGGCGAACAATCAGGTTCCGACGCAGGTAGTTAGTGAGGCAGAGTTTAAAGTGCAAAGAATGCTTTTCGATAATGCTAAGACAGCTAGCATATTACCACCCGCCCCCCCAAGTCCAGATTCTCAGGCATCAATCACGTCTAGAGATTCGAGCAATGGCAAACCGCCTGGTTATAGGAAGACAAGTGCAAAGCACCTTTTACAACAACAATCTAAAGGTATGGTCAGCTCGGCACCAACATTGACTGATGCCACTGGTCATCTCGATTTCGGCAACGGTAGTCAAAGTACAACAGTACCTGCATCTCCAGAGAGACCAGGCAAAGGCAAGGCTCGGACTCTTATGAAAGATCTTTTCACGAAGAAATCATTGCCGCAAGTAGCATCATCTGGTGCTCAACCAGTGAGCATACCGCCGCCAGGGTCTCCAGGACATTTAAGTAAAAGCAAGTCACAGCTTTCACTCTTGCTTGAACGAGATCAAGCGAGGAGCCTAGAATCTAAGGCGTCGCCGAACAATAAAGGAAAACAATCGGTGAAATAAATTTACATGCGATATACGAAAGATTAACGCATAGTTTGTACATATATGATCGATTTTGGTGGGGAGCATGATACATACGATGAACAAAAGTGTTTCCATGGCGCATCGTTTCTATTGTTGCATTAGAGGCGCGTTTGGAACAGGATTGCTATTGGTGTCATGGATTTTGAGAGTCGGTAGGTTGCGAATCTGGCTACGGAGTTTTGGGAAATGATTGCATTTGGGAATGGAGCTTTTGAATTACCCTTACAGGGCTTATTTTCATGATGAGCGAGGACATCGGCATCGGGCGTATACATACAATAAAAGTAATTCTGGCTGGTGAGCCTGTGCATGTTTGTGAAAATGATAAAAGTATAAAACTATTTCAACTCGAACTACCTAGACATGTTCATGGCGCAATATCTTTGAGGTACCCCATGAGTATTTATTTGTATGTGAGGCTTCAATTACATGTGATACTTATTGTACATGGACTCTTACTTTCCTAATTGACTCCTTTGCATATAAGATGTATATCCGATTGGAAGGTCGGGTAAAGGCATCCGAATTTCTTGTAGAGATTCCTTGTCCTCACACACACCTCACACCTCTTAAATTTTATTTATTAAAATAGATAAACGCGGCAGGGTGGATGCACAGCATATGTACAGCGTTTCTTACGCAATGACGTAACGTATAAAAGCGGGTTGGTGTGGTGTGGTGGTGTGTTTGTGTAAAGTTGTCGTGTACTTCAATTATATATATATATATCTACCTACCTGCCTGCTCATATACAATCCTAACTCCTACTACTACTATTGAAAAAAAAAGTCGATGTCGCGATTCCTCATGGCGGGTCTGGTTTATTATATATATATATATATATATATATAGTACATCCAATTCATCACACCTACTGGACCCTTAATGTCCATCCATCTATCCCAAGACGATCGATCATTCATTTATATTCAGGTTATAGCTAGCTAGGTATACAAAATATTAGATCCTTGATCATCAAGATTGCTAACGAAATGAATTAACAAGTTAAACAGGCTTAGTCTTCATGGATCAAGCTTGATCTTTTCGTACCTTTTTACTTCATTCCCACTTCTAGCTCTAATATCTTACTGTATCCAGTATCTAGTATCAGAAAAGAGATGTGTTTTAAATGATAGGGGTCTAGATTGAAGAATAGAATTGATAGGGTATTTATACCCGGATCAGTATTAGATCTAAATTAAATTAATATATATATGATCTAATAAAATTATTTTTGTTACAACTTTGGGTATATACCAATCGTACTTTATGATTATATTTAAATGTTTTCGAAACGATCAAATCGATCCCGAGACAAGTTCAATAAATCGATATTTTCAATTTTTCAAAGTAATCATTTGTTTTCAATAATAAATAATATAATGTATATATTTTTGTAAATTGTTCTTTTCTAAATTATCTAATAATCTTTCTTTTTAACTTTTAATTCTTCGATTTCTAAAATATTATAATTATATTATAGATCTTAAAATAAAAATTTAATTGACTTATAAGAGATTCTATATTTTTCGGTTTGATAACTATTATATAAATCTTTCATTTTAAGAACTTGATATATTATTATCGATAAATGTTTAGAAAAGCTTCTTATATATATATTTTGAAACATTAATAAATTATATTCTTTTTTAATAATCAAGTATCTCTTTTGCAAACGAAATAACTTCAAATGATCATTGTAGTATATTTTTGGAATCGAAGTTTTGTTGATTTGTTTAATAATATACAAATACTTATAATCTTTATCAAATCCAATGATAACGAATAGATTATATTGTAACGATCTGGTCGAGGCAGCGGCTGCCTGAGGTTTCGTTTAATTGGTAGTTGTAGGTTAAGGTTATTAATCACTGGTTATCCACTTGAAAGTGAATTCGTTACTAGATCAATTGAAATGTAGGTAAACTAATTGATAACTAAATTGAGCACGAAGCTCCTAAACTATGAAACTTATTCTGACTATATACTAGGTTCTTCCGGAAGCCTCGAAAAGCCTACACTTCTGAGGGCTCCATTACATAATTTCCATCCTGATAAGTTAATCCTAACAATCCTTTCCTACCGTAGGATAATCCCCTCTCTAGGATAATTGATATCCTAGTATCCGGTATCCGTTTTAGTGAATGGATTAATATAATAGGATAATACGAGTTTTTCTTATCGGAGGATCTCATTCCTGGTATTGTGGTTGAGTAATGGGAATCGGAAGAACGGTATATGGCTTAGGGTCGATCTTGTTTAAATGTCGTTTGTACAAGGCACAGCGAATGGATACTCGAGTGTGATTTAAATGAATCGATGTAAGACGCCACATTCTTACAATACTAGCTTGCTTCACTCGAAAGATGAGGTGTTTGTCGTCTGCGGCGAAGTTAGCCGTTGATGTACTTTGACGTACTATGATACCCCCCCTTGCATTCTTTATTACTTATGTAGATACAGGACGAAATTTTTTGGGGTGCTGTTCTTTGAACTTTCTCTGTCTCTATCTTTCTCTATCTTTCTCTCTCTTTCTCTCTCTCTGTGTATGTCTTCAAGGTAACATTACCAACATGGCTATATTCAACGATATAACCATGGCGACAGCTCGACGACCCTATACTTTCATCCTCGCCTTACTCCTCACTATACTTTTCTTCCTCTACACATCGCGACTGGAAAAATTTTCGTCCGCTCCCCCGCGGATATATACGCCGACTGCTAGTGAGGAGATGCAGCTGGATTCGGAGTATATCAGTGGCCGATTTGGATTTGATGGAACGTGGAATTATACGAGAGATTATCGCAATTTGTTCCTGTCGCAGAAACAATGTGATGTGGCTTTTCCGGGCTTGTTTGAGGAGGTCGAGAGACCGGTTCGCTTGAGGAGGAATAAGAAGATTTCGAAGAAGGAATTGGATGATACCCCGCAGTTGAATGGGTTTATTAGAGCGATGATTTTTGATCAGCAGGTTGGTGATTCTTGGTTTTCTTAGAGAAGATTTGCGGATAACGGAGGGAGGGTGGAAGGGAGATGTTTGATTCGGAAACAAGCTAATGACAAGAAAAAGTTATACATAATCGACACATATGGCAAGATCTATTCTCGTGGTATAGCAACCCTACAGGCGCTCCACCGCGCGATGCTCACCTCTCCCGAACCCCTCCCCAATATCGAATTCACAATGAACGTCGACGACAGAATGGAAGGACACCCGCAATGGCTCTACGCGCGCCAAGCGCACCAGAGCGAAACCTGGCTTATGCCCGAATATGGCTTTTGGTCCTGGCCAGAAACAAAAATAGGTAGTTATGGAGAAATGCAAATGAAAGCGCTGCTGACGGAAGCCTCCTGGCCGTGGGATCGCAAAATCGATAAATTATTATGGCGCGGCGCGACGATGAATCTAGAAGTTCGGAAGAAATTTATTGAGGTGACGCAGGGAAAAGAGTGGGCTGATGTAAAATCGTTAGACTGGCATGATGAGGGCAGTATGAAAAATGATTTGAAGAGTATGGATGAACATTGTCAGTATAAATTTCTAGCGCACACAGAAGGGAATTCCTATTCTGCGCGACTGAAGTATTTGAGGAATTGTCGGTCAGTGATTATAGCGCATCGGTTGGAGTGGATGGAATTTTTTCATCCGTTGATGAAGAAGGATGGGCCGGAGCAGAATTATATTGAGGTGGATAGGGAGTTTGAGGGACTGCAGGAGACTATGGTGGATTTACTTGCTAGGAAGGATCAATTGGAGGAAATTGCGGAGAGGAGTGTTAGGGTTTTTAGAGAGAGATATCTTACACCCGCGGCGGAGACGTGTTATTGGAGGAGATTGATACAGGGTTGGAAAGAGGTTATGGGGTTTGAAGTGGAGTTTTTTAATGTCACGGCTTTGGGGGAGAAGAAATGGAGAGGGGTTCCTGTGGAATCTTTTTTGTTGGAAAGGAGGTTGGAATGGGACCCTTATTAGTTTGGGGGTTGGCATAGGTTTTGAAGGTTGTGTATGTGGATGATTTTTATCTACTGTGCTTCGTATATATGGTAATATCAGTGGTAAATTTATATCAATTGGTCTATTCATTATAGAGAAGATATGCTGAGATGAGCTAGGCACTTTGTACGTATGTATGTATAGTACAAGATCAACAGGAAAGCAAAATCTATACTTCCCTCGAGAGATTTTGAGAAAACCTTTAAGATATATAGATATAGCAAAGAAAAGAAGAAAAAAAGACATGTATAATATATATTCATTGATATTATTATTATTGTATATATATTAAATATACAATTGATACAATCATAGTAAGCAAGAGGGTTTATATTAGGAATCACTAATCACGAGCAGATAGGTGAGATATTGTATAGTTCGAGACAGGAAACAGGTTCAATTCCCTATCTATCCTAGTCTCAAGCGTATAGTCAGTGGCCTTCGGTCCAATCGGGGAGTAAAATGTGGTAATAATAGGCTATTCTGTGCGCCATCTGCTTTGATTTATGGTAAATCAATGATCGGGAGAGCCAGCTGCTCCTCCTCCTCCTCCTTCCCCTCTTCCTTCCCCTCCTTCTCCTCCTTTCCTTCTTTCCCTCCTTTCGCTCCTTTCCTCCTTTCCCTTCTTTCCCTCCTTTCGCTCCTTTCCCTCCTTTCCCCTTTCTACTTCTTCTTTCTCAACACCCTCTCCTCCTCGTCTCCCTCCTCCTCCTCCTCATCCTCGCTCGCATTTTCATTGTCTCCTGAGAATCCTTCATATCCAACATATGCCATCATTGCGGCTATCATCTCCTCTCTCAAATATTTTCCAGGGGTACCCCAATATTTGCTGAATCGTAACTTTTGCTCCTCAATTCTTTGCAAATTTATCTTTTTGCGAGCCGCGATATTTATACATACAAGCCAATGATAATATAGATATCTTCTTCTTGGTCTATTTGCATTTCTGAATGCTAGTTTTCTTCCATGAAGATCTCTGAACAAGGTTTGAGAATAATGATGGCATTTATTTAATAAATGTTTATCCATCACACTTAATTCCCAAGCATCTTCTTCAGATAAGCATGGTACAATTGCAAGTTGACAGTTGTCAAAATACTGTTCAATCTCATCTTCTAATATAAGACCATTCTTAACTGATCAAAATTCATCTGCAACATCTTTTCCAAATATATGTACCAGCGGTAATTGTCTCAAACGAAAGGGCATTATATGGGCAGCTTTCCTTTGCTTGTGGGCGCCCCACGTATGTGATACTACACACCACAATTGTTTTTGATCCTTCTCGTCGATGCGTTTCACATCATAGTAATCTACCAATTCGTTTTTGAAGGTAGTTTGCATACTACTTGATCTTTTTCCCTTCATACAAAGTTGTAAAACGAGCTCAACCTGTGCATGCGGGGCTAATTCCAGCAATTTTTTCCTTCCCATTGTGATTCGGAATGGTTGACTTATGTGACCTTGCTAATGCTTGTTCGATCATGTTCAAATATGAGGTTTTCCTTCTATGCCAATCTCGTTTGCGTTCGTGTCGTTTCTCCATCGAAGTTCCATGAGGCATCCCTCTTTCCATTGCTTCTTCTTGCTCGTCCATCTCTCGAAGCGCAGTTCTTAAAATATTCACCTCCATGGGCCAATCTAATTCCTCCTCCTTCCTTTTCTTAGTCTTCCGATCTGGAATCTCAGATGAAGAGGCCATGACTTTGGAAAATGTTCCTCTCTATTTACACCGCAGTGAAAAAATGTGCAGCCGAACAAGTTCGTGATAGAAAAAAGACCACTGTGTCAGAATTTTTGAGACAACCATGATCACTATGAGAAAAACTCTTCCAGCCCTCAATTGACTAATTGGCACTAATTGTAACTAATCGAAGTCTAGTGGCGAGGATCGCTCTAATCCGAGTCCTATCCATCTTTATTCTTTACTCATCTAATTTATCAATCCTTCTTTTCTTCAAAACCATCTAATATTATAAATAAAAATTCAAACCAAAAACATTCTTTCTTTTGTTTTGAAGTCGAGTGTATTGGAAAACCTAAAGAGAGCTAGGAATATATTGGGCGTAGATGGAAAGGATAAGAGTTAGGTAAGCGAGCTAGTTTAGGGGCAGATCACTTGATTCTCTAATCATAGGCCTTATCATTACAATAGGAGATTTGTGTTGGGATAAGGGTAGGTAAAGTTATGTTATTCTTGGATATGAATCATGAAGGGGGAATATGTTATGGGATACTTGTAAATAATGAGAAGGTTACCTAGATAGTAGTGTGTGTATATTTTGCTAAGAAGATATAATCTTACAATTGTTACTATCGTCTATTTGATACAATCTATCTCCTTCCTGCACCAAAATCCAACCACGAATGAAAAGCATCCCTGTTCAGCGCAAAATCCCAAGTACCAAAACCTAAAAGAAATGAACCTGCAACGTCAATTGGACAGATAACTCGAGATCTTCCAGCTTGATCGTACTCCGTAAAGATGCACTACGTGACACGACATGTACCTACTGCATGTTTAATATTTAAATATCCCCGAGAAGGGTGCTTTGTCAAGGGTCTTTCACCACTGATAACCTCGGTACCTATAGTTACGCTATTCGCCGATATTCAAGGCACCACTCTTTACACGACTTTTGGGTGGGTGAGCTTACTAGGTTGTATGTATGTGTGTGTGTGTGTGTGTGTATGTATGTATGTCCAGCTGAAAGAAGGTAATATCTTTCTTTCTTTCCTTTTTGAGGGCATTATTGATCAATTGGGGGGCGACGTGCATGTGTATGACGAAATTAATAAGGGTATTACCAGATTGGTGGTGTGGTGCATGCAGGTTAGAACGATTAGAGTATGGGAGTATTGTATGTGCACTGTATGGATTGATGGATGGATGATGGATTGTACGAGTAAGGAAGATAATCCGCCTAATGGTACCTCCTGTTTGATAAAGGAAGATGCAGTGCCGTCATGGAGCTGGCTTAGTATCTACTATCCAATTATCCAATCTTGGATTAACCTTACAAGATTCCGGATTCCGAATTCCGAAGTTCAGATTTTGATTTTCATCAGATTATGAAAAACATAACTTATTAATCTTATTCCTGCATATTTCCAATTTTCCATTCACTTCAATCATGCATCATGCACCATGCACCATGCACCATCCATCATCCCACCTTCCTTCATTCCTATCCAAATCCACCTGATGCAATTCTCAGAAAATCCCATCCAGTCCCCCCCCAAACCCCCTTCTAATTTATTTCCGTGGCGTTACAACATTACTCACTATTCACGAAAAGCGTGCAAGAATCGCATAGACACAACGTGGCGTCCAGGTTCCTCGCCATGATTTGATCCATCGTTAGGGCTGTGCAATCTACCCAGACCAAAAATTTCCACAGGGATTTTTCAGGGTCCGTATACAGACGCCCGGGTCTTCCGTACCTGAAAAAGCTGCATTGAAAGTGCATTTAAACCTGTATTTTAAATACTTTCATGGATGGTTCGCCGGGTCCTGAATCGGGGGTGTGAATGGTTACGAATCGAGTGAAGCTGTATTGATTGGAAAGAGAGTCGTGGATATATATTTGTAAACTTGGTACACTTATTTAGCTGATCGGAGAAAAAGAAAAGTAAATGGAGTAGGAGTCATGACTGAAAAGATCTTTTTTAATTTAGTTGCCTGTACAATGTATGTGTTATCTTTTTCCTGGTGCCTTCTTACTTGGCTGGCGTTGATGGATGGAGGTGTGGCGTCGACTACCTATTTTCATCTCTGCTTGCCCAGGTATTTATTTATACTCGAGTGCCTATGGATGAATGCAGGTGGATAGATTATTACCATCATCCTGACTATGTTCATGATCTGATTTCCTTTTCTCCTTTCTCCCTTCTCCTTTTCATATACTCGCTCTCCTATTCCTCATACAGTGACAATCCCGTTTCCGGTCTTCCTCCCAGATCTTGTATCACAAAGTTTTACTTTCAATATAAATAATTAATTGAAGGGAAAACTCAAACACAAGATCGTACATATGTATATATATATATATACATATATCTCCACATATCAAAACTCTCGACAACCATTCTAGCGCCAAAATATCCCGCTTCAAAATATCCGCCCGGGGAGGAAAAATAAATGATCCGAATGAATTAGCATCTGCTCTGCTCTGCTCTGCTCTGCTCTGCTGCAATTCAACCGCACCACCCAAAAATTAAATTCACATACATAAGGTTGGTTACCTGCTTAGTTACATACATACCGACCAATCTAAGACAATCGAAACGGTTCTGAATTCCGGGCCTCACGAACGATTCGATCTTTTCTCTCTCCGTCTCTATCTGTCTGTCTGTCTGTCTGTCTGTCTGTCTGTCTGTACCTATCAAAACAAAGCTTGAACTTTACTTTATTTTACTCTACTCTACTTTACTTTACTTTACTTTACTTTACTTCCCTTTTACCTTCTTCGCTTCATTATTCATTTTATCCACCAAGAAGAAAGTACTGTTTAAAGATTCTTTTACATATCATACATACGTCCGTCCATACATCCATCCATACATCCATCCACCCATCCACCCATCCATCCCAACTTTACATATATAACCCCAAGAGCGAGGAATCCAAAACCCACGACGATCTCCCATTGCACCACCCACCACCAACATTAACTTTCTCACTCAACTCAAGACTCACGAAAACTTTAAAGATTACCCGCGGCCGGATACTACTCACTTATTCACTCATTGGGGAAATATTCTTTTGGGAAATCTAAAGAGGAAGACTTTCTTTCCACTCACGCACGCGTCAAACGAAACTTTTCTCTCAAAACATTCAAAACGTTCGTTCAACGTTCAACTTGCATGTTGCATTAAGCCACCAACAAGTGCTGTTGAGCTTATTGGTCCATTTTTTACGAATCACTATCATCTTGGAAAGACTCGGAGAAAGTTACGAAATCTACGATCGACTTGTGTTTATTTATTTATCCTATTTATTTTACTTTTTGGTATTTTACGTTACTCTATTAATTTGAGGTGAAGAGGTGGAAAAGGGTTTTTTTTTCATATCCGATATATTTTTATTCGGGGTAGTCGAGATCACGTTGGAAATCTGGAATCTTTGTCAAATCGGGCATTCGTACATACGTTAAGTACGTTTGATACTCTATCTATAGAGATTTAGGAAAGGTTCAAGGGAGATATTACTTTTCAAGACCTTTCCAAAAGACAAAAAGAGGCATCAAAATTATCAATTAATTTCAAAATGGCGACGAGGAATTCACGGTAAGTTGTTTTTTCTCTACTTCTACTTCCGAAGTTGAGCTTTCGTTGTGGTTGGTGCATAGAACGCACGGAGGTATGAATCAGGGGTAAAGTTTTTATATTGGGGAGATAGATGACTGATTTGATTATTGATGATTTTAGGAGAGATTATCACATCGTCGTTTTGGGTGCTGGTGAGTTTCTTTCCCCTTTACTTTGTCCATTCAATCATTCACTTCAAGGAAATTCCATCACGAAAGATGTCAAACGAAAGATAGGATGTTGATGGCTAATTATTTTTCTTTATCTTCAAAGGTGGTGTTGGCAAGAGTTGCCTAACCGGTAAGGATCATTTTTGCTTATTTACCGAAACCTTGACCCACTCTCCGCCGGGGACTTGAGGTTGGGGGTTTGAAATTTTGAAGATTTCCGTGGGAGAAACCGTGGAAGGGAGAATGAAAGGAACATTCGCGTTATAGCAGAGGATGCAAGATACGCAGTGGAGTGCTGATTTGTGATTGTGTCTTTCAGCGCAATTTGTTCAGAATATTTGGATTGAAAGTTATGATCCAACGATTGAGGATTCATATCGGAAGATAATTGAAGTCGATGTGAGTGTTTTGGGGGTTTTCTCCGTCTTGGCGACTGGGTGAAAGAGGGAGTGGGAATATGCTAACAAATTTTTGGACGAATAGGGACGACAATGCATGTTAGAGATGTGAGATTTAGCTTATTTTTTTTAATGGGTTGAAGAATTTGATATTGATTTATATGTTTAGATTAGATACTGCGGGTACCGAACAATTCAGTAAGTCTTTTCCTCCATATCACATGATATACATACATCAACTAACATCGTTTCAGCTGCCATGAGGTACATACAATCCAATTTCAAAACCTTCATTCAACCCTCCCACTAACTTGCTTGTCTCAGAGAACTTTACATGAAAACTGGTCAAGGATTCCTACTCGTCTTCAGTATCACATCACAAAGCTCCCTAAACGAACTCAGCGAACTACGCGAAACTATCATACGTATAAAAGATGATGAAAATGTTCCAATAGTAATTGTGGGCAATAAAAGTGATTTAGAGCAAGATCGAATGGTTAGTAGACAAGTGGCTTTTAATGTTAGTCAAAGTTGGGGAAATGCGCCATATTATGAGACGAGTGCTAGGAGGAGGGGTGAGTTTATTATTTTCTTTACTTGGAATTTGTGGGATTGTTGTGACAAGCGCGAGGCATATGATGAAATGTAGTAGAAGGAAATGACCGGGTTTGATGAGCTTTGCTAATAAATCTGGAAAATAGCAAATGTAGATGAAGTCTTCATAGATCTTTGCAGGCAAATTATTCGTCGAGATAATAATCGATCGACGCCGGAATGCGATGATGAGGTTCATTCGCCGGTGGATAAAAAACATCATAGGATGAGGAGGTTGGGGAGATGTGTTATTTTATGAATTTTTTGAGTTGAGGGGGTGTATGATGATGGGTTGGTGGGTGGGTGGATGTGGTAATTTGACGATTTGGAATGGGAGGGAGTGAAGGGGAGGAAGAAAGAAAGAAAAGATAAAAGATGGATTGGGAAATTTGGGATTTGGGGTTTGCGGAAGTGATTTAGAGTTGCTTATTGTTGTGTAGGTGGATGTGAATAGTTGGGTAGGTGGATAGGTGGTTAGATGTGATAGTGAATGGATGAAGTTTTTGGATGTGAGCTTGGACTTGGGCTTGGAATTATGGTTTTGTATGTGGAAAATTGGGATGGGGGAAGGATGGGCAGGGCGGATGTTATTTGAAGTAAAGCGGAAATGCAAGAGATATAAATATCTAGCATTAGATAAATATTATGATTTACTTAAGTAATTAAAGTCTTAATGATGAGATATTATAAGATGTTTATAAATGAAAATAAATATAAATATAAATATAAATAAACAATAAGTATTTTAAAATTCTTCTTTTTATTAAATTGAGATAATATATATTGATAGCTGTCAGTAAGTAAACTAGAGGTTTAGGCCCCCATCCCATAACATCACAAGGTAACAATAATTAGTCCGAAGTAAGATCTACCTATCTAGAGATCCAACAATCCAATACGATCGCTCACATCGTGTTTAGAAATCCGCGATCTTTACCTAGGTACCTACCTAATTAAGAATAGGAGGACAGGACAAGAAATAGCTTGAAAAAAAACCAACCAATCAAACCAATCATATCATCCGCACAATACAGTATATCGCAAAGACCAAATCCTACTTACTTACTTATGTACTTACTGCTGGTAATATAAGCTTTTGATGTGGATATATATGGATATAATAGCCAATGTTAGGTTAGATCAAAGTTTAGATAGAAGCCCCTTCTCAGGGGAAGAATCGATGAATATCCGAAAAGTATCTACTGGTGTCAGCCGCAGCTGATAGATACCAATGACGATGAGCTAGCTGATGTATGTAGGTAGGTAGGTAGGTAATACCCCTCTTCTATACTATATATTTAACTTTTCTGAGGTTTTGGATTGCGGGAAATGGTAAGCTCGTGATATACGCAAGTAGGAAGTCCTAGGGAGTAAAGGAACTGCAACCGTTTGATGTGAAACAGAGAACCGGCTCTATAGGAATTTCCAAAATTTGAATTATTAGAACCAACAGTTCCTAATGTCTAGCTAGTCCTGAAAGCCTAGAACGCCGCCACCATTTTAGTAACCCAATTCCAAAATATTCGTCATATCATATCAATCTGTCAAATTAGTTATCAGCAGATCAAACATCACGACCCAAATGATAGATTTTGACAAGTTCATAAACCCAAGATGGCGGGACAAAATAAGTCTTCATGGCCATTCACTTCAGCCCGTCGGTCGACCCAACAATTTGTTTGAACTATACCCTGATATTCCTGTCCTGTCTTCTCAAGCCTTGTGTAAGGAGTGTTAGTTTCAAGGGAAAAAAACCAAGAAATTTGAACGAGGGTTGCATCTTCCGGTTAACAATCCTTGAACCTAGGGTTTTCTTGAAAAGGACTAGTAAATGGGTGAAGCTTGCATCTGCAGGGTTTTAGTGAGATGTGGGACAACAGCTTTTTGAGCCTTCGAGCTTTGTTAGTCTTGTTAATCGGCGTCAAAGCTCCTTTTGCTTCCTTTTTGTGTTGCTTCGAAATAATTCCTCCCCCGCATCATTTCCCATCTTTTCCATCTTTCCCATGATTCCCAGTTTTCTTCCCCAGTATTTTTTTCCGTAGCCTCCGTTGGACTAGAGAACGGTCCCCCCGCATGTAGGGCGTGCGAGAGAGAAATCTATTATGAGTCCGTGATAACTATTTGGCTCCTTCGTAACATAAGAAAGTTCCTTTTTTCGCTTGGAGTTCGAAGTCAATCTTACAACATGATGATATACTTTAAGATATTGATCTTCCTGTACTTGAAAAACTCTGTTTGAACTTCGAAACCGAACGAGGAACGGATAAAGTTTTAACTTTTAAGACATTCTCACGGATTGCCACTCCGTTTATCAAATCCTGGAGAGCATTAACCCTCTAATGGGGTTTCCTTGCACTTGGAACCAATCAACCTGTCAATCATGCCAAGGAGTTCATCGAAAAGAATCCGTTTAGTGTAACGGTACAAACACTTTTGCTCCTGCTCCTGCTCCTGTTATCACTCGTGGTATCCTAGCCCAAGGTTAACCCCCCCCGAAAACCATTAAATGCATGTTGCCTATACCTGCGAAGAAATGATCAGCAACTTTTGTGAGACACGAGACCAACATATGATGACGATGATTAGTTTGGATGGCACCCTAACAAACGGTCTTCCTAAACTCATTTGAGGGCACAACAGTGGTATGGATAAGTTCAACATCTGGAAAGTCTACGATAGAAATGTAAGATTACATTTGTCCACCGTTTGAATTTCTAGGGCTACTAGAAAGATGGGATATTCCTACGCCAAAGCCAGTGGAAGCAAGCGTCAAAGAATTAAATTATCGGAAAGGTATCACAAAAGAGAAGGGATATGAACGATGGATTTCTTTATTATCCGAATTGGGACGAATCGGAGAAGGAACCAACTTTTTTTCTGTCAAAGTTTCCGAGAATCGACTAGTTTCACAATCTCGAGATATCATTATTGACAATCATTGGAGATTCCAGAGGCGTCGTTTGCCCTGCTTCAAGGGTCCAAGGATATCCAGGAATTTTGAGCAGGCTCGTAAAATTATTGGTTAGTGATCGGAAGAAGAAAAGGGTAAAGGGCAGTGGGTGTGTACATTCAAGGTAGGTATCCGATCGGCTTCAATTGATTCGGTTTCCTCAAGGGGCAATAATGGATATTTGATTTGATGATTCTATCCACGGGAAAGAGAAGAAAATGAAAAAGCTATGGGCAAATGTTCTGGAGATTTGAAAATAGCTAAAAAAGTCCGATCTCTGCATTGACCAACAATGGTGATCTAGAGCTTTTTAATAAAGCTCCTTCCCAGACGAATGCATAGGTCGGTATTGAAATGACTGACATGACAGTTGGTATTCCTCTAGGGAAAACTTTCTTACTCGGGGAGGAAAAGAAAGAAAGACTGGAAGCAGGAAAAAGCAACCGATTGTTTGTAACTGGTAAAAGGGAGAAAGCAGAAAAGACCACATTTTTTACCATCGCTCTTAATAGCTAGAGCCACAACTATAAATCATGATACATGGTTAAAATGACTCTATCTAGATTCAACCTATGGAAGATGTTACCATATTTCAAGTATATGACGATTGATTTCATTTCAAATGATATTGATATGGATATTGATATCAACAAAATGCGTCGTACCATCCCCATTCTCATTTCCCCAACCCACACCCACACTTTCCCAAATGATCTACCTGCCTTGCTGTCTTGTCTTCATCAACCGCAGGCTTATTCTGTTTGATTCCCCTGACGATTGCAAGCCCAGGTAAAAGGCTGTGTTGCTGTTTTTTCCTGGGGTCATTCTTACTACATATTCTATATTTTGATTTATGGCGTACTGAGTAGATAATAGATATGCATCCATCTGTCTCCCCAGTTGCAGTGTAAGTGTGCAAAGAAATCCCGCTATCTGCATGCTGCACGAGCTAAATTAGTTTAAGTGTATCTTATCGAGTCCCGACCAATAGAAAGTCAATTAGCCGTTCTTCTCCACACAATGTCCTAAAATTCCCCAAAGCAATCAACCCCCCAAGTTCGAACATTGATTGAATTACTGGACCACCACAACCTTTTTTTTTTCCCTATACATCCCCATCATCTCACTTCTTACCTACCTACCTACCTACCTACCTACCTACCTACCTACACACAGTACATACCAACAATAAACATTAGAAAGAAAAAAGAGAGAGAGAAAGACAAGACAAGACAAGACAAGACAGACAAACCAATTCAATCCAATCCAATCCAATCCAATTCAATCTAGCCATTCTGTTCATTCCATTAAAAAAAAGAAGAGAAACCTCAATTCCAACCTCCATACTTCTTCTCTGATTTGGTCGAGTCACACAATTCTTACCAATTCTTCGTGTCTATCCATCCATTCTTTCTCTCTTTCTTTCTTTCTTTCTTTCTTTTCTTCTGACTAAATCCAAAAGGCCAAACCAACCAGCCAACTTCCTTATCAATCCATCGCAATATTATCTCGTCTCTTTACACACTGACACATTTACACACTTTCATCCGAACCTTTACAAATACACCCATACAAAGTGGAATCTATCATCTAATTCGAAATACAATATATCTCCTCGGATCACTAATTATCATAACCATCATATTTATTTCAAAGGGCTCAATACACGCGCGCGAAAGGGAAGGAAAAGTTCCCTGAACAGTGGGAACCTACCTACTTCCCACCTACGGTCGGTACATCGCACGGTCATCATTCATCGTCAGGTACCGCATATTTGATAAGTCAACTCGTACGGATCTTATTTACAGTAGAAAAGAAAGATTTCAACATTACAATTACGATATTGTATACCAAGCAAAACGACGCAAGCATACAAGCATACAGCATACAAGCACGACTTTCTACCACTCTTTTGACTCTTGTTTACTCGTACTCCTACTATCTATCGCGCATTTCCCCATCGACCCCCCTCCAATAATACATACCTCACGCCTCACACCTCACATATCACATACTACCATTATCTTTTCATCCCACACTTCACTTACATACACATACTGCCAACCTATTTGCGCAAAGCTTCCTTATCATTACATAGCACTCCACTCTAATCTTATTTCCATAATCAACCTCTCACCCTCATCTGCCCCCTACCACTTTCTTACCCGAACACCACATAATCTTCGAGCGCGTCAAATCAAACACTACGGTCGCAAAAGTATCCAAGCCTTTCGTGGTCTCCCCACACGTTCCAACTGATTGTTCTGCACCAAAGACAGAGTAACGAATACCCCGATAATTTATCAGATTCGTTTTCGACCCATCTTCTTTATTTGCGACACTTCGAGTAGTTAAACAATTACAAACTTCGATATTTTTGATCACAAACTTCACACCCTTACACGATATCATCACCAGAGAATGCCATGAACGCTCCAGTGTTTGTCCCACAAGGCCAGGCCTTTCGTCAATCTAATGGCACCCAACAACCGTATCAATCCTTATCAATGGCTACGATGAACGCCTTTGCAGCAGACACTCCTTTGCAAAACACCTCACAATCAAACGGAGGCGCGTCATTTGCCTCGGGACCATGTTCCGTTTTAATCCGACGCTTACCATTAAATACCACTGAAGATGCACTACGATCGATGGTAGTTTGGTCCAAGGAGTTTACTGAAGCTGAAGTATTGTCTCAAGAGAAATCTGAAGATGCAGGATTCCGATCTGCTATTCTCCACTTCAAGTCTCATGCGGGCGCACTCGAGGCCAAAAACATGCTTGATGGAAAACCAAATATTGCAAACGATGCGAACATGGTGGTGGAGATATTTTATGGAAGTCCTACTACCTCTCGTCGATATACTGTCGATACGAACTCAAACCCCGTGCCATCTAGCTCCACTTCATCTACGGCTTCTTCGGCGGGTCCGGCCCCTCGACAATCGTCCAGATTTAACGGTTCATTTACATCTGCACAAAGGGTGTCACCCACAAACAACAATGGGAACTATGCAAATAATGAATTGCCCAATCCCGAGTCGAGTACTCGCTATCAAAGTTTGTTCTCTCCACAATCTCCAATTGGAAACCATCTCAATGACCGGACGCGCATCTCGGGAAAATCACTGATTAATAACGATTCTGTTGAAGATGATGAGACTGGAGAACTCCTCAAAGATCCAGTAGCTTATGCAGAAAATGGTGCCGCATCCATCCAAGCTCGACGCCCAACCAATCCTCAGATTCCTATCACCGCACGTATGGCAAGCTTATCTCTGACAACGAATAACGCTACAGGCCCGGTTTCTATGTCTTCTTACACACCCCAGCAGGCTATGCCATCCATGACACATGCGAACACCATGTCGCCAGTGTCCATGGGTAACGGTGGCCCGCCTGTAAGTTATCAGCTTGGAAGTCAGCACTACCAACGCCACAATTTCCCACCTGTCAATCCTGCCGATCAAAACCCTCCATGTAACACTTTGTATGTCGGTAATCTCCCGATCGATACATCTGAGGATGAGCTTAAAGCTATGTTCTCTAAGCAGCGTGGCTACAAGCGCCTTTGTTTCAGGACTAAGCAAAATGGTCCAATGTGTTTTGTGGAATTTGAGGACGTTTCGTTTGCGACAAAAGCTCTCCATGAATTATACGGCCATCCTCTACACAACAGTATCAAAGGTGGCATTCGCTTGAGCTTTTCAAAGAATCCTCTTGGTGTTCGATCTGGGCCAGGGATGGGCTCATCAGGCCCTGCAAATGTATCAGGCGGCATGCAGGGTATGAATGGCATTATGATGGGAGGCGCAGGAGGAGCTTTCAGCACTGCGAATGGCCCTCCCCCGGGTCTTTCTGCTCCACCAGGCTTGGGACCAGTCAGAATGGGTTATGCGGGTGTGATGTCTTCTGGTGCTATGGCCGGCACTCAATATTCTGCCAATGCTTCATTCGGGGGATCCAACAATTGGAATGGTCAAGGTTTCACATCAGCCATGGCTGCCGGTGGCCCAACACCAATGATGAACAGTTCTAATGGAGGCTTTCCTCCTGCCTATATGATGGGACGATAGACGGTGCGAATTAATGACATGTGGTGAGCGGTACGGTGGCTGTAACCACGTGGTCTGTCATTTCTGGGAGTTTTTTGTTTGCTACTATTTCACTTTTGCAACCATCAAGTATGGTAGAGTGATTTTTTTCCATTTCATTTTGTACTGGGTTATCAAGGGGGAGTCTAACGGTGCCGCATCAGGTTGCATTTTACATATTCTGTAGTAGGGTGTTCACGATGGTTAAGATTCCCCATATGCGTTGTTGCACTTGTGGGAGTTGCAGCAGAAGCTGGAAAGGAGATGGTGGCATTTGGCACGGTGTTTTTGATGGACTTTCTTTATGACCTTTGGTGTTTTTGCAATTGTTTCTTGCATCTGTGTACTTTCGCAATTTCAAGGGCGCAAGCTGGCTGGCCTGCAAGAGTTCATACTTGAAGTATGGTTTGAGTACTACTACAATTAGTCTGGGTAAACGGGATGGATTTCATGCATAGCAAGTAAAAGAGGGGATGGAAAAGGCGTCGGAACGTTTCGTCAATCATCTGGGCATCTACATGAAAGGAAATACTATGTAATGGATGGCATATCAAATTCAAGGCGATGTGTTTAGCTCGGCAATATACTCGCAATAATGGGCGTTTCCGGCATTCAGGGAATGGATTTTGTTGCTGTTCCTTTAGATTTCCGTTACGAAGAGCAATCCTTACTTTTTTTTTATTGTATGGTTTGCTTTGGAAGTAGCTTTTTGGTCTAGGAAAATATTTCATTTATGATGGCCATGAATATTTGGGACTTCTCTGCGTGAATTAAATACATGTATATCTGAGCGCATAATAAGACGAGAGTACATCGATACCTGAGGTGAGATCAAAAATTACTAGCTGGCACGGTTGTTTGGCTCTTACCTCGGACTGGAGCCAAGAAAATCTGCGGGTGGGGTGCATACATTTGATTTCGTTCATGTGACACTGATGGAACCTACCGGCGCTAATACATTTTCGCTTAAATTTTTCCCTGTGCTCAAGCTCTTCTTCAGTTTGAATTTTAATTTTTTTTCCATCAGAAAACATTCAACATACCCAACACAATTGTCCTCCACCACAGACCGTGGTAGGAGGATACTTCAATTCATCGTAAGTCTCTTCTTGATCTCCTGCTTCTGCAATTTTTATATGATGAACATCGTGTCGCCCCTATCTTACCAATGAGCTTATGCTCCCGTGGTGATTAACCTGTCTTAACCAAACGGACTTTCTGATATATCTTGCACAATTCTTCTTCTCTTGGAGCTTTTATAGGATACTGGAGACTAATTGCTTTGCAGATTAGGGATTTAATCATCTACACAAATTGCGCCACCAGCTCTCTTGCGCGCTGAGTTCGATCTCAGGCGGCTCAGCTTCGGTTTGTTTTTACTACAACTATTTCACAGATTCTCGATGCGATGACATATCAACTGTACGTTATCTCCTTCCTTGGTAGCGTCAAGTTCAACCAAAGTACAGTGATGAACAAACTTGTACTATCAAATACAGATCAACAATGACGAACAAAATTGATTCGATTACCTGATAGTACTTTGGTTGAACCTTTCGTCAACATCAATTGACACAATTCCTTGAGGATTATACTAATATTGGAATCTATAGAACTTTGAGCATATTGCCCCCACAGTCTTTTGACGTCACACTAATCAGGTAATTACTCGGTTCTTTTCTTCTCTCATTAAAATGGACAATCATCCATTTGTCGATGATGCAAAAAACATTCCATGCTAAATCCGACAGACTCCTGTCTAATGCGGAAAACAACGTAGACTTTTCATCTTTCACCTGAGGCACTATTGATATCAACATATTATATGAGGACATCTGCAAGTCAAATGCTAACATATTAAATAGAAAACATAGCTAGTCACTTCATAGTGTGCGATTTTATCTGGGCATTGCTGATAGCTCAACGAAGATGTGAAGACATGATTTGGAATAGAGGTTGTAAGGAGGCAATGATGGAATATGGAGTATGGAACATCTCATAGGTTTTAGGGCATAGATAGCAAGCACAATTGGACTTCTGATTCAAAGATATACTATGTCGAACCTACCCTTCAAATGTGATTCGAAGCTTATGAGCAAGACTTGCCCAAGAACATATTATCCTAGCTTTGTGCATTGCGTATTGTAAGATATCGGAGAATTCTGCATCTGTCGATCTCGGGTGACTCGAGATACTTTAGTTTACAGTCTGATCTAGACCCAAAGCTTAAATACACACATAAAATATCCAACATGCTCTAAAGTAACAGCGGACGTGGTAAACCAAAAACTCATCCCTACATTACGTTCCGCACCAAAATCAACACGACTAGATTAGAAACCACATTTAGAAACTAGAAACCAAAGCACAAAGCACAAAGCAGAAAGCAGAAAGCAGAAAATCTTTGTGCAAGAAGCAGCAATGCATTTCATATTCTAGATGTGCTTAGGAAATAAGAAGAAACTTTTATGATGGAGATGTGTAGATGTGTAGATATTACTTCCCACATCCCACTTTTTCGTCCCTTCACTGTACGTGCCCGTGGAGTGTTAGGATGGGATATCATATCATATCATAAATATTGCGAATAATGATCGGGGGTTGGTTCTGTATCAATATCAATATCAATATCAATATCAATATCAATATCAATATCAATATCAATATCAATATCAATATCATGAAGCTCAAGTAGCTCGAGAGATGGTACCCCTACTGCGTGTGGTATTAATTAGATGAGGATTTCAGGTGATCGATCAGCGGAGTAAGTAGTGGGCGGTTCGTCGATATCGCTGGATAGGTACTGGATGGGTTTGTGAGATTATATATTTTATCATGATATAGAAGTAAGAAGGTAGATTGTATCACATTGAGAAATGAAGCGTGGGACTTTCGATATATCTGTTCAATAATTAGATACATGCGGTAACTCCACTTGGAGTTGTGTGAATAGAATATTATTTTACCAATCCAAGGCATCTTCAATTATTCTACTCGAAACTTTGAAATGTGTCTTGGCTATCGAAGAAAAACTTCATTATCATAATTACAAAAATTTCTATCAGTATACTAGTATATATTCCCAAACTCTCCCATCTGTTCTTCTCCCTTCCATAGTAGGTGTAGGTATCCATCGTCCTCATATCCTTCTATCCATGCCTTCCAATTTTATTAGTGTCCAAATCAGACCTGACGCCCTCCAAGTGCTCAACTGTTAAATCAACGTTGAAGTATGGATGTATATAATGTTTCCATCTCGCTACCACCTCCCTCTTTACACCCACGGACAAATATTGACCCCCTGAATTTCAACCCTCAATCCTAATCCTGACTCGTACTGAAATAATATTCATCCCACAACCACAAATAATCTTCCACCACACCTCCAATCAAACTTGGTAAACGGTTGCTCGTCCTATGTAACCATCCCTTTGTAACATTCTCGTAGAATGCACCTCGTAATGCCCACCATCCCATTGCCCATCCCCTCTTATTCCATTGTTCCTTCTCTAAAGCAGTAGTTCTGTAATTCTCGCTGCGGAGTTGACGTGCAGCATATTCGATACTGAGTCCTATAGCCCAGGGTTTCCATGACTTGGGGTTCTTGCGGAAATGGGCGAGAGCAATGGCGTAAATGACGGGTTGGAGGATGTGCATATATTCTGCGTATTGAGAGGGAAGAGTAAGGGGGTTAAGAAGCGAGATTGGCGCTTTGATGTCATCGGCAACAAGGACTTTCGAAAGAAGATAGTTTGAGATATCGCTCGAGTTTGGTAGATTTGGAAGTGTCAATCCCGTTCTCTTCAACTTATATTCTTTCGTCTCGCGGCTCTTTCGGAGTTTTTCTTCTTCTCGCATGGCTACCGAATCATTGGTATCGAGCCAAGGGGGTATTTCATCGGTTTCTGCAGGTGATTCTTCGGGTATGATATCACGTTCGGGAAGAGGTGGTGTAACAAGTGGTCGTCCTTTGGTAATTCTTAAAAGAAGCAGTTTACAAACCGCCTTGATGAATTCTAGAAAAACTACCACTCTCCATCTCATCTTCTCTCCTTTTCTCTTTGCCGTCATCTCCCATAATAACTCAGTATACTGTATCATGCTCAACAACATAGCTATCCTTCTATACATCCCGTTACCCTTGACCCAATATTTGGTATATCGATTATGCGCATTTTGTCTAGGCATCCCAGGGAGTTTAGATAAGGCTCGAGAGAGGAGGGTATCATGGTAAAGCGACAGCAGCTGAATAGAAGAATGTAGAGATTCGGATGCGAGTTCGGCATCACGGAAACGACCAGGTATTATATAGGTTAAAGAGCGTAGGGCAGATTCGATTTGAGTAACAGAAGATTGGTTTTTGAGGATGAAGTCGGAGTAGAGGTTTAGCGCGTTGGGGATCTTCTCCCGCACACTTTTTAGGGAAGCCATGATGAAGATGCACTCATGAGATGTGATAGTTGTTAGGATAGACTAGGATAGTGAAGACCAGAACGCGGCTGTTGGTTGTGAATAAAGATTGAATTTTGGTATGGAGTCGCAAAGGGGGACTGGCGTTGGTTCATCGTTTCCATTCTCAGCCTCGGCCCCAGATTTAGACACGCACGTGAATTTTAGTGGCGGGTCGGCGATAAGCTTAGCTTCCGCGTCCATTCACATTAATCCCTGTTCATCAAAATTGATAAGGCGAAGCCCGAGGCAACTTTTCGAGATGATGTTAATTTACTATTGAGATAGATTATTATATTTTCTTCTGGATATTCTCACAAAGCTGCCCTTCTGAGGATCATTAATACTACATCATGCCCAAACGTCGAAGATCAAGTACGTCTCAAAATGATTTACCAATAACGAAGAAACATTGTCTACCACCGAACAAACGCGACTATATATCTCATCTTTCTTCCGAACTCCTCATACGTATCCTTCATAACCTACCAATTGAAACTCTCTTGTCCTGTCACTCAGTCTCTCAGCATTTTTATATTCTTTCCCATGATTCTCAACTGTGGAAATCATTATATTATTCTCGATTCGTGTTACCACGCGCATTGCGCATACCGGGGATAAAAAACAAAGAGAAGTCGAGTAATGGGAGAAGTGCGGAAGGACAGAAAGAAGAGGGAAAAGAACGGGGTGATGGGGAGCGGTTTCGATTTAGTTCGAGAAGGAGTAGATGGTTGGATGAGGAGGGGCTGAGGAGCAGAGGGGATGGGGGAGGAACTAATTGGAAGAGACAGTATAAGTTGAGACATAACTGGGCGAAAGGCGCATGTGAGGTCAAGGAAATTGAAATTGCGCAGAAGGGTAGTGTACCAAATATGTTGGTGAGGTTGACTGGAGGAGTAGTGGTTACGGTGGATGAGATGGAGGGATTGAAAGCCTGGGATCTTAAAGGAAGGGAGTTGATTACAACGTGTGAAGTGGGTGAGGGGCTACCTACGTGTTTAGCCGTTGATGAACAGGATGGAGAGAAAGGGAAACTAGGGATTGTGATAGGCTTTGAGGACGGAGGTTGGGGAACCTGGGAGCTCGATGTCGGAAATAGGATGTTCAGAAGGAAATACAGACATCCACCGAGCAGTAACGGAATGTTAAGCGCGGTAGCTTACGCACATCCTTACATATTGAGCATTACAGAAGGACAACTTCTTTCATTTTACACTCTTAACCCCGCGGCGTTAATACGAGAGTCTGGAAATGATGACACGACCATCAATATACAAGAAAAAGAATCACAAGCACGACCATATCTCTTAACATCACTCAAATCACATTCTTCATGGCCACCACTATCACTTTCTATCCGTTTAACGCCAAGTACAATCATCGCCTCAATAGCCTACACACTCCCCACCTACCTAAGCGGCTACACGATCTCCATTCAAGAACTCCACTTCACCACCTCACCACCTTCCTCACCACCAACCCTGACCACCTCTCGCCTAACCACCTCCTTCCCGTCCGGTTTCCGCCCCCTGACCACAAGCAGCTCTCCTACTCCTCTCTCCCGTCCAACAACCCTCTCCTACGCACACCCCTATATTCTCGCCACTCATGCCGATAACACACTCTCCCTCTACCTCTGCACCAGTACCCACTTCTCTCTCTCTCTCCACCTCAAAAATTATTCGGTCATACTAGTTCCATCAGTTTCGCAAGTATTACTAGTAGGGGGAAAGCAGTAAGTGTTAGTGAACGTGGAGGCGAATTACGTGTTTGGGAATTGGAACCAGGGATGTTTAAGAGAGGGGAGGGAAAAGGAGAGGAAAGGAGTGTAAGAGTTGGGGAAGGAAGGGACAGGGTGGATGTTAGTAGATTTGAGGAGGAAAGAAATGATAGCAGGAGGAGAGAAAGCGATCTGGAGAAGAAACTCTGGGTAGGTTTTGATGAGGAAATGGTTATAGTGTTGAAATCGAGCGTGGAAGATTCGGGATGTGAGTGCGAGTATGAGTGTGAGGATGATGAAGGTGAAGATGATACGATGACTTCGTTGAATGATGCGCATGATGGAAATAGAATGATCCTGAAAAGGACTAACGAAAAAGGATGTGGGAACGGAAGAGAGAAGCGGGGTACACAGCAGAGATTAGTTATATATGATTTTACTTGAGAAATACATCTATATATTATACATATCCCAATCCAACTATATAAAAGGAAACCAAGCTAGAAACATATAATCATCAAATCTCATCATCCGTTTATGTACACTTGAACTTCTATAAATAGTTAACTATAAAAAGAGTACTGCTTAGTAATTGACTCACGGACCTGTTGGACCAGTCTAGTAATTAATGTAACGTTGAGCATATTTTTCGAACCTTCATCTCAACGTACTGCTTGCAACTCTCCCCAGCCGCTTCCCGAACAAGGTGTCGTGGACCTGCCAAGCTGTTGTGGTTGACAAGATGTCCAATCTTGCGAGGCGTGCTGTCCGCCGAGCCGTTGTGTCTTTTACGAAAGACATGGCTCAATCAGTCAATTCACAACGTCACATGTAGGTAGGAATTGAGAATCTAAAGATTGATAGAAAATATTGAGATGGCAACGTGCTGTTCAATCATACTATTCACTCTCTACAATCTTTGACAAGGACAACTGTGTAGTCATCATACTATATTGTTTCCAATTTGTTATATAGCTAGCAACTGTGATAAACCATTCCAGCTAATCGTAGGTGTGGCAGTAGTGAGCTTTTCTTCCTCCGCAAAAGCTTAAAGCAGCCACCAGTAACCTACGATTAATTGATGTACAAAGTTTTGTCCTGCACAGCAAGGTAAGACTCGACCGGTGCCCCAGCATTCTGGCTTCTGACGACTCTCGCTATTTGGTTATCGTTCCTGTAACCCCAGGTATCCTTTCCTCCATTGGCTTTAAGAAGGGTCCAAAGCTCGCTTCCTCCCTTTTGAAAGTCGTTGCCATCGTAAGTGACACTGACATAAATGTCAGATGTGGAGTTGTTGACTACTGTGATGACACCCATTTTGTCTATTAGGAATGTTAGCGTGTTCCTCCTTCCTCCTTAGTCAATATATCGCAGCTTACTTGGAGGGAGTTGACGACGAGTGGTTTGAGATTGGTCAGAACGTTCGAAGTTTGATGAACTGGATCTCGAATATAAGTCAAAATGTAGGCCCAAGAAGGGACGACCTTACCTGGCAGCGGAGTTGTCAAAAGATTTGGAGAGTTGAGTTGATTCAGATGTAGCTTGAATTTGAGTTTGAGATTGGAAAGTTGAGATGGATCAGAAAGTGGTTGTTCTTGAGTTTATATAGCCACACATATGTAATACAATGGACTGGGGAAGTCGTGATATCCTGCTTCAGCATCGTACCAAGCGATAATAAGCAAGTGCTGCATCTTTGAGTAAGTCTTGAGTCATGATGTGCAAGCCTATTGCAGCTGAAATGCATAGGTAAGTAGCAGATCAAGAACTCTGCACTGTGGTGAAGTCTTCAATGCAACAGCAAGTAATGCAACTTACCCATTTCGCTATGTCTTTACTTAATCGAATTACAGTTTTTGGAATCGTGTATCAACTCTCCCCCTCAATACGCCATTTTAGCAAATAACACGCAAACTTTTGTCATCAACATTGCCACAGCCACGCAGTACTTTCTCAAGCTGATACTGGATGCTTCCGGTAATCTTGCGCCATCCCGCTCATTCATGCAACATAATGTCCTTCTTTGTGTCACGAGCACCGGCACGTTTATCCTATTTGTCCTGCCAGACTGCTGCATCATCTAGCAAGCTTTCCGCTAATACACAAACCAGCAGTCAGCTTGCCTCTGAGCTTATAGATTGCAACACTTCTTTAGCTCCCATCAGGGTACGCATCCCTCCGGATATATTCCTCTTTACGCGACTACTGCCTACTCCTCTTTCTCGATGTCACAACCCTGCGTCGTCTACCCGTGTAACACAGTTTGCTAGTCACGATCGTTACGGATCTGCCCCGCCATCAATAGACTTGTACGGGTCCCATCTAAACTCAAACCTACCCTACCCGCATCACGCTAAACCCTTTTGAATTAAGCTTATTTATGATTTCTTAGATCCGGGTAGGAGAATCAGCAAAGTGGGTCAGAGATGTCGATTCATTGATCCACTTTGTGACCTATCCCATCCAATTAAGGTTATAGGTTCACAACCTTATTCTATAATAGAGAAAAGTACGTAACAGCACGGGGAACTAACCCCACACCATTCTTTCGCCTTGCAATTCCCTTCCGGATTCATCTGCTTGTACTTGATGCTGTAATGGAACTCTCATCTTGCGCCATACAGTCCTTGGTGTGTGGCACCTCACTAGAGGTCTCAGGTATTCCGTTCCTTGATTGGACATTTGTGCATGTTTTTCAGCTGCTGCTGTTTATCCTTCCGTTCTGTTCATCGTCAACTTGGAGTAAGGGGTTGTGACATCATACGAGTATTGCCTCGTGAAATTTGTTATTTGTGGTGCTTGTAGCTTCAGGACTATAGCAGTACCCTACAATGATAGTCGTTTTTCCAAGTGGTAACGACGAGAAGGTTGGCTGAGCTCGGGGTGGTGACATTATCGACTTTGGAATATTGAGCTTATCCCCCGCCAGTGTAACCACAACAGCAACGATTAAAATTCCAAGCCTACATTGGCTGGCTGCTTGCGCTTAAAAATAAGCAAGCATCAAACCCCTTGTAACAGTCATCATCATCGCGCGAATCATTTTTATTCATTTATTCATCCATCAACTAACAATGAACTAGATGCCCCGTGTTCCATTTTCCTCCTTTGATGCAATGTTCCTACTTCAACTTGACTCGCCTCACGCTCTTCAAATCCTTGCGCGCTGACGGACTCCTAACATCCCGCGCTGTTTTTCAATAGTCGCTGCACGTCTCATCCATCCTTATCAGTCAGGTACGTAGAGTGTTTGATATTGATACCAGTATATAAAATTAACTAGGTGTTGACAAAAAAATTCTTAGACACCACCTCTGACTCCATGTTTCTGCCAGACAGCGTAGCAAAAGCAAGATGAGCGCTACACAGAATACTTGAAAGCGGGACAATCCATCGTCCAACAAGCGCTTGACTATGTACGGCGGTAGGCACGTCATTCTGCAAACTCGATCATCCCGTGTTTAGGGTGATGCTTGCATTTTTGATGGGTTTCCAAAAATCAACCATATCCCCTTCGTAAGCTGGCATCTTACCTCGAGTCTTCCTTTTCGCTAGCTCATGGACTCTAGTTAGTGCTGCTAAAGTGCCGAAATGGCGACATTTCAGAAGATCAGGTTAACTGACAGAAGAGTTGAAGACAAACTCTTGCAGGCAGCACGAATCATACCGAGGGTGTGTCCGATGTCCAAATGGGTTGCAGCAAGAGGGTTTCTCTAACCTGCTCGTCGAGATTCGCATGGTTTTTTTTCACTTCTTTTTCAACATACCATGCTCCCTACAGAGTTAATAATAAAGCTTTTCATCCATGAGTGGTCCTTCTACAATTGCTACGGTTTAGAGATGACCTCGAGGAAAGCTTAGAGGTGTCAAACAGCGTTGTCGCCTTGTTCCTCTGGAACCTACATTGCCGGAGATAAACAACAGCAGCAGAGACTAGACTCTTCAAACCAAGAGCGTGCTTTGTGTACTCAACTGTGGTTGTTGTCTTAAACAACATTTTGTTTCCATGTAAATAATCCAATTCACGAATTGATCATACGTTTCTATTCTAACCAGAGCCTGCAGATTTGAATCCCCTATGGAATTGTCGATTGCGCCTCTAAAGCATAACGCACGAAGCAACTATGAGCAAACTTACGCTGTCTCCGAAAGCAATGGGCTCATAGAGTGTCACGTAAAGGCGTTGGAATGCTTGACTTTTTTAATTCTCCAATTATATCACTGCTTAAACTGGACAGAGTGGTTTGGTTTCCCTCAACCTGGTGGGCTTCTTTTACAATAGTCAATCTCGATAAAACTGTCCCTTTTCGGCACTGTGCAACGTCAGGCTATGTTTGCAAGTGCCTTTACTTAGCCATCTGGTAGGGCGTCTGAATTCCGAGTCCTCTAGGATGTCATCCGCTTCAGTACTTCTTTCTTTTAACAATACGCTTTTCATTGAGTCCTTCTTATTTACGAATCCGATTCGACAGTAAGCTGCATACTAGGATGTATATTATCTGTAGGTGTAGCAGCTGGACCCAAGGGGTTAGGGACATCAAAAGACAAGTCATGTCTAATTTGATCTGGGTTGAAATAGACTTTTATCCCCATCGAGTTGCTAAACCACGACTGAAAAAAAGATGAAGCAATCGAAAGCGCTTATACATACTCTGAGGGTAGCCATCCTCCGAGTCTTCCTTCCAGCTTTTACCTAGTTCTATATCTCCCTCAGTTATTCCCCAGGTGGCCTGTATATTGTTCTGGGTTTAATCCTTTACTTATTCCTTTACTCATTCATTCACTCACTCATTCACTCACTCATTCACTCACTCATTCACTCACTCATTCACTAACTCCCTCATTCACTCACTTCCCCATTCATTCATTCACTCATTCACTCATCTATCATTTCCATACCCACCTACCTACCTACCTACTATTCCAAATCTAATCATATCATATCATATCATATCACACCCACCTAGCAAGCGCTCATTACCTCGCTCCTCGAATCTCACGTAAGGCAGACACATCTCAAAAGCCAGCTCTCCATCCTTCCATCCTTCCATCCTTCCATAAACAAATGCCATGCAGCACCATAATCTCAGCACAAGACCAAACAACCAAGATAAAACAATCACACATGCTAAAGCAGGCTTGCCCGATATCTCGAGCCCATTATTTCATAACTAAAGATTCGAAAAAAAAAACCCCCCTAAAAAAAAATACCTGCTAGAAGCCATCAAGATAGAAGAGTAAATAAAACTTGGATGATTGATTGATTCATTTCAATTTTTTGCTTAGGGCGTTGTTAAAGTCTTTAATCTATTTATTCATTAATGTCTTTCTTTATAAGATCTTTAATATTATTTATTTACATCATCACATTCCAGGTGTGATTTTCAAGGTTTATTTTTTAATAAAGAGAGAGAGAGAGAGAGAGGTTCAGTCCTTTAGGGAGGGTTTACCTATTAACAACTTATATCCCTTTGGGGATTTCTTCTAATTACCTAGGTAGTAGTAGATTAAGATGGTGGAGTGTGTGGTATTGTGTTAACTAGTATGTATTATGATGGCTAATATTTGTCAATCACTCAACAGAGAATCACTCAGAACAATCACTCGATTATTCAATCACTCAAAAATTTCACTCCAGTAAATATGCAAGTATGAGTGTAGATATTCTAAATATATCGATTCGATTCCACAACACAACACACCACACCATATCAACTAGCTATTTCCAATCCAATACACACTTCATGCACTATGACACTCTAATATCCGTATCCATGGCCAACTAACTCAACGATCCTATACGATCCGATGTGATCTGATACAAGATATCCATCAACAGCCAGACCATACATACATAAATCTTTTCAATGGATCCATTCCATCAATCCAACGTCTTTGAGATGCCATACCATGTCATACCATACCATGCGACATTGTGCATTCGTTGTTATAATGTGTTGTTCTCCAACCTTCCAACCCCATCCAAACCATTCCTATCCGACTATCTGCAAAAAAATTCCTAACCACCCCATCCATACCCAATGCAACCAATCACCAGACAAATCTCCAACCATGCCATACCATAGCCCGACAGCCATCCATAACCTATGAGAATGGTAAGACTCATGTGAATCAAAAACGCCAATAGGATCCCGAACTATCCCGTAGGAAACCATAGATTCCATAAGTCCATCCACAATGCTGAAGATCCATCCAGACTTTAAAGTCAAAGAAAATCCAAAAAAAATGACAAGCCGGAATATAATATTCCCCTGGGCCATAATGAACAAAAAGAGAATAAATAAAGTAAAATGTTATCGTGAGAGAGGAGCTGGGCGGGCTCTCTTGGGTATCAAAGCAGCCCGATGCAAAGATAATATGATGTTAATATGTATGTAAGATATGCACCAGGCCGAAAATAGAAAGGAAACCAATGTGTTAAGTATCATATGCTTGTAAACTGTGATATCAAAAAGGGAAAGTCGAGTCTCAGTATAAGCGAATAACCGTCGCAATGCAGTTGAAATTAATCAAAAATTCGTGAATGAAAAATGTAGACAGAGTCGTAATCGTGTATCGTGTATTGGTATAAAATACCAATAGGTTCGTAGTGATAAATGATGGTGGAGTGGTAAAATATGGCTAGCCGACAAGAGCCATCAATCTAAGCATACTTCTTGACCCAAGATGGATTAAGCCAACCAACTTTGTCAAATGCTTGCCAGAGTTTACTAGCCTTGTTGACATCAATCTTACATGCCTGTTGGGCATCAGTCTTTCTGAATTCCTTCCCAACTCTTAATGCTTCAATTCTTTTCATGAAGATTCGACGTTTGGATGTAAGATAGGTTGCACAATCAAGGCGAAGATTGGCTGCGAGAGAAATCTCATCTGGATGAAGAAGATGAACATTTGGATCATTTCGGAGATCAATTGGAGCTCCCTTCCAATCAACTTTCAATGAGTTGGGTTTGTTAGGAAGACTAGTGATTGGTGGACAATAGTCTGGAAGGTTCTCAAAATCCTTATCTTCTCGAGCAACTCTCTTGATATCAGGGCCAGGTGTTGCTGACGATACTGTGCGGACTCCGCGAGGTGTCTGAGCAGGTCGAGGAGGGCGGACCGTCTTTGTAACTCTTGTAGCAGTATTGCCTAAAACCCTATTGCCTCTTCCCACTGCAGGAGCAATGTTTGTCCATCGTCTTGCGCCAGATTGTAATTCCCGATCTTCTCTAAGATATACCATCTCCCTTCGTAGCCAAAGTGCTGGATCCTTTGACATAATCTTTACCACTTGTGATTTAAATTCGAGAGCGAGCTCATACTCATCGCGGCGTGGAGGGGAGGCTTCTCGAAACATGCTAGCTTTCCTTGCTGCAACATGCTCATCAACTAATCGGTGTGTAACGAGAGGGTCATCACTGTCTTCGAAGAGGGATGATTGACTGGCAGATGAGCCTTGGTTGTCGGAAAGTGGATATAGAATTGGATCGGTGATTGCTTGTGAACCAGTGGGCTCTTCTGGTGACCTGGCTTTGGTCTCTGGAGACACAGGTGGCGATATGGGAAACGTCGCACCGACGATTGAGTGAAGTTTTCGCATCTTTGAATCCATTGTGAATCCCTGGCTCGAATGTGTAAAGTTATCGAGAGGAAGTGGCTCTGGCGGTGACATAAGCGTATTGGCAATATCAAGTTGATTCTTACGTTGCATATTCATGGGTCGGGAAGAAGTTGTAAGAATTGGTTTGATGAATTGAGCCGATGAAGTAGAAGTGGAGGTTGATGAATTGTTGAATGGTTTTGTAGCAAACGATGACTGCTGTCTAAGATCGAAGGTAGTAGAAGGCTGCAGGATCGAGGTGAATGTTTTGTCATCCATATTTCGTTTGTTGTTCGCTGCCCCGCGCCAATTTGTGGCAACCCTTGACGTCGGATTTCCTGTTTCTTAAATCCGCAAATATGATTTGCTAAACAAGAAAGAAGTTCGGAGATTGGGAGAGATATGTCGTAGATATCGCAAGAGAGCTGGCTGTGTGTGTATTAAGTAAGTGTTGCGTAGGTAGTTCGTTCTGGTCAGCTGAGGCTTAGGGTGGAAGTTCTTTGTGCCTGTTTCGGGATCCAGTTCAATGAAGAAGGCGTAATCTATTGACATTCGAATTTCAATTGAGGTATGGCGGGGTATTGCGTTATTGTAATGGTGAATGTAGAGAGGAATGCAATCAATTGCGAATCATATAGAAGGCAATGGATTGAGATATGCTTGGAAGGATGAGATAGAAATAACAAGAGCAACAAGAGAAAGAAAGGGATTGCATGTGCGAGAGCTGAGTTTAACAATAAGTAGGTACTTTTTGTGAATGATGTGAATGATGTGAATGGGTGTGAATGGAGAGGTGTGGGAGGAATGTATAAAGCGTGTGTGTATGAATATGGATTGAGGCGGATGACTTTAACCAGTCATTCAAAATACGCAGCGGACGGTTCGTAGGCTGCCACGAGATGATCAATTCAACTGGTCATGCACTAATAAGCGCAATTGGAATAGGGTGTTGTCCTAGTTCTTTTGGTTGATAATTATCAAGTTTATTTCTTTTTGATAAAATAATAAATAGAAACCGGACTTTGACCAAGGAGTTATGTATGGGGGGAAGGAGTATTGCGGGACGAGAGGATGGATGATTAGAGTAGAATAAAATGAAATAAAATAAATCAATAAATTAAAATAAAATAAAATAAAATAAAATAAAATAAAATAAAAAAGGAGGTGTGAATAATACTTCTTCTTTAAAGGTGAATTGTGTGGATTAGACTTTTGAATGTTCTTGGACTGATTTAAACAATCCTGATTGGTTCCAATTGTATCGATCTTTTGTTTGTTTCTTTGTTTTGCCTTATCCCTTTCTTCCTCCTCTTTCCTCTCTTTCTTTTCTTTAGCTAAATTCGTGGGTTGTTGTTGATTGATTGAAGCATGATATGCGTATGTGTAGTGTCATGCGTGTGCTTGGTAAAAAAATAGGTGACACTATCGGAGGAGAATGAAACAGTACCTAATATGTGCTCTATGGCTTTCCAATGATATAAGATTTGTAAATGTCTTTCGCGTTCTTGTTGCTCAGGAATCAGGTAGGGTTAGACATCAGCAGAATGATACCATTACCTTCCAATTACCTTCCATTGACCTTCCAATTGACCAATGATATGATGGGAGATAGATAGATTTGTTCCAGATAATTCGTCAGCATACTCCGTACTCCATATATTGGAAGGCGAATAACTTTGAGATATAGGTAGGGACGGAGATAGTGTACGGAGTACTCGTACTTTTCGAGGCTTTGACCTGATCGGTGAGAGGAAAAAAAGGGAGGAATTGTAATAAAAGTTTGCTCTCAATTACTCTAATCACACCAGATTGTCTCAATTGTGATGGATACAATCAAGCAATTGACATGGAGTACTCGGATTCAATGTGCCCTCTTTTTCCTTTTCCCTTTTCCCTTTTCTCTTTTCTCTTTTCTCTTTTCTCTTTTCCTTTTTCTTCCTCTTTTAGTCTTGCCAGACTATTCAGATTGTGGGAATTGGGTTGCAAAACAATTGGCAGTTGTGGTTGGCCAATATTGATGGATTGTCGGATGAAAGAGGCGAAGAGGAGAAGTGTAACAGAAGATGTGACTCACCTTGAGGGAATTTGGAAGAAGTTCATGGTTGGGGTTTGGCTAATAATGAATTAGTTGATAATGGTCGTAGTATGGTGTCACATTATACCACATTAAGTATAGCTTCGAGGTCGGGCTGATATTTGAAATGCATCGAATTCTGAGAATAGCGGCAGTAATTAATTATTCATCTTTGGGTATTTGGGCCGGTATCTTTTAAGTTTTTGCTTATCAAAGTGTTGCAGCGGGCTGAAGCGGCGGCCGCGGTTAAATTTATGCAATTGCATACAGTAGTATACAGTAGTAGCTTACAAGTGAAGGGGAGAAGAAGGCAGGCATGGTTGCATAAGTGGCCACGCACAGCCAAAATAATGTTTGGGATCTGTCTTGCTTGCTTGCTTGTGTGCTTGTATGTATGTGTGTGTGTGTGTGTGTGTGTGTGTGTGCGTGTGTGCGTGCTCGTGCTTGTGCTTGGATGCTTAATGAAGGATGCTTGTAAGTCTGATTACCTACTCCGTAGCATGGGGAAACACAACTTCATATCCAGCTATCATATTATACATGTGGCTTCATCATGAAGAATTGCCATGAGGATTTCGGATATGCACGAATATGTGATGGAATTGAAAGCAATTGGAAATAACCATTGGAGTTATTCAAACTGGATTTAGTTCAAACAGTCAATACACTTACATTTGCATTACATTTGCATTACCTTCAGATAAATCCAATTCATTGTCATTATTCGTATACTCCGTATGTATCACATCAATTGACACCATCATCGGGCTATTTTCTTACTCAATTGGTCCAAGACATCCATCCATCCCATTCAACCCATCCAACATCATTTGAAATCAAGTGTCAGAATTTCTTGATTCCATTCATGCAATTTGTGTATGTCTCGTCTACCTCTCCTTATGGCCTCCTCATTGCTCACTCGCACTCAACCACCTCTCCACTCAAAAGTGACTTCGCCTCAATTGACTTTATCCAGTTCTAGAACTATGATAGATATGTTTTGCTCTGCTCTGCTCTGCTTTGCCTGCTCTCCTTTCCTTTCCTGTCACAACTCAACGAGCATGGTCTCCGGCTTCGTTACAACCATACTCCACTCCCTCCTCGACCCGATTCAATTGAGTTTTGACAAATGCCCTTTCCCTCTCCTAATTCCATCCTATCCTATGTGCCCCCTCAAGCCTCCTCAATTTCCATTCTTCAACGTGTTTCCGACCTTGCAGCACTTTACAGTACCAAGCCAACCAATTCATCTCTTGCCCATCGTTCGTACACGTGTTTGAAGCCCATTCCCAATTATAGCTACGAGCCATCTACCTACATCTACCTAAAGCCATAGCATGATCTCCCCAGCCCAATGATGCACATAAACAACTGGAGATTCGCAATTGGCATCTACATACAAATCATCCATGACGTACTCCACTCTTTCTCACGAACTTGTGGTGTACAACACAGTACTTACATAGCGTAGCTGAGTAGCAGTGCGTACCAGTGTGTAGCATCGCTTTCCCATTGGCGATAAATGCGCCTTTCTTCGCTCGTGGTGGAGCATGCTGTACTATCGTCTCGTCTCGTCTCGTCTTGTAACGTGCAGTTAGATGTATCATGAATCTCTATCCACACACCTCGTTCATTTTGCGTGCTCTTCTCGTTAAACTTGATCAAAAGCTCTAGAGCCATTCTTGAAGAGGTTGCTATGTACTTGAGACTGGGTACTAACTAATCTTGAGTAGGAAGAGAAGGTTCTCATGAATTGATCATCCGTCCCTTCATATCTACAATACAAGGTTAGAACACCCCCTCTTCGCCAATAAAAAGGTCATCTGCACCACCAATTATCTGCCTTCTATCCATCACGAATCAAGAACCTATTTGCTCCCAACCGTTCCAGTAAACGTGGAGACTATCGGGTCTTCATCACATGCGAGAATTCCATCCTGTCTCACCACCCCACCATCCCATTCATATACGCAGATCATATGATAGAAAGTCATCACCCCATCACCGTGATCATCTCACCCATCACACCTTTTTCTTCAACGATGATAGTCCACCCATCACACCCTTTCCATTCTTCAAAAAACCCATCTACCCCAACCCCTCATCCCCATCCCCATCCCCATCCCCATATCTATCCCCCTTCCCGAAAGCAACCGAGAGCCCTCCGAAGCACTGAAACATCACCTCTAAATGAAACACAAAACCCAACCCAAACCACCACAAAAAGATCGATATGCATGCCGATAGTGTAAGTTGCATGCACTCAATCCGTAATAACAAGGTTATGTCCCCCCTCCGCTGCAACCTGCACAGAAGCATAAACACGACATCAATCCATGCACGACCAGTAGATCCTGTCTACATGGCATGCATACATCAACATCGCATGTCCTCTATTCTAAGATTACATATCCGTCTAACTCTAATACCAAACCCCGTAAACTCAATATCTCGCATCATCGGCATTAGACAAAATAAACGTTATTTTCACATCTCCAGATGCGAAAATTCCGGGATTGTGAATCGTAACTGCGTCATGGATCTCATAAATCTAATGGGACCATCCATACCTTGAAAGCAAGCGTCTAAACACACAGATCATGTGTACCAAATATCCAAGCACCTTTCCAAAATAGGCATTAGCATTTCTAGGTGATATCTATCTATATCTTGGGCTCGCACATTAATTAAAGCAGATAAGAACAAAAGTGGGAGATCTCGGAAAGTTTTTTTATTATTTTTGCAAATTCGATGCAGGTTAAGCTTGGTCTTGCAAGCGAGACGTGATCCTTTTAGTTCTATGTACTTATCGATAGCGATAGATTATGTAGATAGATAGGGATAGATAGCGAGATAGATGGAGGGGTAAATTCTAATCGCATAGAGGGGTAATTGAGGATTTTCAAAGAATCCAATTTGATAAGAAAATAGAAAGGTGGATGGGGAATCCGAAATGTTGGTCATCCAATGAGACATTCACAGCAAAGAAGTTGGAAAATAGGAAAGAGGAATTGGAAGTGGATTGTTTATTGGAGCTATAAGACTTTCAATTATTAATTGCTGAAAATGAGGTAGTGGTCAAGATGCTAGGTTTCGATGTTTTTATGAATGCATGATTGTTTGCAGTTTTTCGCTGGAGTTGAAGGGTGACGGGTGATGCTTATAGCAAGCTTTATCCCTTCATATCATAAAGTTGAATATCTGAACAAATCGAAGTTCTTTTATCTTATTTTATTTTATTTTATTTTATTTTATTTTTTTATTTTAGATTGCTGGTATTGGTTGGGAAAACCATCGCTATTAGGTAAACATTTTCAAATGATAATTTGTTTCTTTCGGCCAGCCTCCTTCATTCATCAACAATCTATCATGAGAAGTCTCAGCTGATAGTATCCCATTTCCTCCATAAGTGATGTACACCGGCCCCTATATCATTACTTGGTATAATTCTTCAAAATGCTAAACCAAGTCCATAATGGATAGAAGTCTATCTCCTCCAATTGTACCGAGTGGAAAATGCCATAAAGTGCTATTTACTACGAATAAATCCTATTCAATTCCATTCACTCACCAAAAAGCCCATATGGTTTCTAGATCTACCCTCAAAATGGATCCAGAGGAAGTTCTGACTATCCGTGAGAATGATACCTAAAAAGAAATCGTCATTGCAAGTCATCTAATTACTCATCGTCATTGTAGCCTAGTAGGCTACAAGTCATCCGAATCCTAAGAACATATTTGAAAGGCTGGGAACCTTAAACTAAAGCCCTAGCTAAGCAAGGGAGTATACTAGAACGATCATTGGGAATGAGCAAGAATGCCTAGGTGAGGTATAATGCTTTGTTTGGGCTGAACTGGAAGACAAAGAATGATGGTCGATGTCAATGGATACGCTGAACAATGCTCCGGTTTCTTTCATGGAATGGATGGGTAAAGAAAGGTCTACCTTTTCTTCATGGAAGATTATTGTTGGACTGGATTGCAATTGTCTAGTGTACAACAGAGTTACTTTCCGGCAACGGCGGTATGGAATTGTGAGAGGTGATACCTAATATTTCTCAAATCTCAGAAATAATTTGGAATGAGGATCATCATCTGGAAAGCCTTCAAGATCCATCCTTTCACTCTAGAAATTTCTCGACCTTCGCCTCCTGTGAAGGTTTATCGGGAGGGAAGAAAGCCCCTTCAACGATTCCATTCGTGCTTGTACAACCCCCTATTCCTCTCGATTCCATCCGAGATTTCGATGAAGATCTATTCAGGGCTAACCATGCCATTGCATAAGGTCAAATAAATGGCAATACAAAGAAAAAAAAGAACATGCGTCCCATACTAGAACGACATTAGAAACTCACCTCCCATCAAAATATCAAGATTTCCAAAACAATGTCGCAACAAGCCTACCCTAAAAGTATATATTCCTATTCCTATTCCTATCGCCCCATCTCTCCTCCTCTTCACCAATACATCACCAAAACTAACATCACCACCATCATCACCACACCATACCACAGCTCAACCTACTTTACCCCCAAACCCACACCCACACCCCCAACCCCCAAAATGTGCAAATCCACCAAAACCATCCCCATCTGCGGGCACTACAGTTTCTGGGTGAAAAGATGTCGCTCCGAAACGCAACCCACCCACTGTCCACACTACCATCAAGTAACCGTTAGTTCGAATAAGGTATGTGGTGGATGTAAGGAGAAGGCCGACGAGGAAAGAAGTATTTTTGAGAAGATCTGTCACTGTGGGTTGTAGATGGAGAGGAGAGTGAGGAGTAGAGAGTGAGGAGAAGCGGTGTGGGATGCTGCGGATGTGAGATGTGTGGAGATGCACATGGTGTTGGAGATGTATCTATCTAGCTAGCTAGGTATGTTGTGTTTACTTACATTCGCATTTGCTTCTATATTCGCTTTTGTGTTTGCATTTACATCCGCATTTGCATTTACACTTCTTACGCAACCGAAATTCAATTTTCTTCCTAAACTTTATAATTTGTATGCCTTTTCTGTAATTTTCCCGTAACTTTCCTGTGTCTTTCCCGCAATTTTCCCATGATTAAATAATACACACACAAACCCGTTCCCAACATCCAACACAATACAAACCCAACCCACACTATCTACACACCATATCTCCCACCAAACTAGACAAACCCATATTTGAACACTCGCTCTCCTATCGATATTTCATTCCAGTTCCAGTTCCAGTTCCAATTCCAGCTCCAAATCCTAACCCCTCTCCTTTTTTGCTTTCTTCGAACCAAAGAACCAAGAATCAAAGAATTAAAGCAATCAAAAAAAAAGACATAGATAGATAAGCTATGCGCAGCAAAACGAAATAGAGAGTTGCTGTAAGTCTTGGTGGTGGGTGGTATTGGGTTTCGATGTGAGTGTTCTTGACAAGTTACAGATCGGCAGAGTTGATAGATACTCTGGGAATCTTCTGATTTTCACCAAGGGGAGGGGTTTTGATGCAATGAACTCTTATATTGATAGATGCAGTTGCTGGTAGCGCTCGCTTTGATTAATATGGTATAAGCTCACTGGGAGGGAAGGATTTGAATATGAAGTATCACAGTCGTTTTGATTTCGGAAGAAATTCACATTTATGCGTTCCTCTATTACACTTCGTCTATATACTATCCATCATTTTAAGATAACCATTCATTAAAACCATTCATTAGAATCATCCATTAGAACCATTCATTAAATATTATCATACCACATTAAAACCTACCAATCAAGCCATTCCTTCTCCAGAATTAACAAGACCCTCCCGTCTCGCTTCATTAATAGCCTTCAGCTTCGCGGTTCCTACACCTGCAACACCACCCTGTTGATCTTTGCCCAACCACGGTTTGACTGCATCTCCCAGAATACTTCCAGATAAGAAATATACGAACAGTCCTAGGATGATCAACACAAATGCAATTGGATACAAGTAGTAAATAGTGTATCCAAAAACATTGATGCCGATAATAACACCCCAGAAATTAGCCGTGAGAAGCGAGATATCGAAGAATGCCGCAGAGGCCATTCGCAGAATGATAGGAGCGAGTGTATAGAACAGAAAAAGTGCGAGTGTATATCCAACGATATAGCCTCCAACTTCGCCGTCCCAGACGGCGGTTTCAAATGAGTGGCGATCGAATATGGCGGCTGTGATACCATTGATGATGATGCCAAAGAGTCCAAGCATGCCTAAGACTTCGTACATGGGGCGTTTGGAAACGAACCATTCTTCAAAAACGTTTGAGAGACCATACAGGGTAGCGCCAGCTAATGCAAAAAGGTCACCTTTCAACATGGTGGGCGGGTTGCCTCCATTGGAACCAGTAATGTGATCAGATGCGAGGAGGATACCCATTCCACCACAACAGACTAGAATGGAAATGACTTGGAGCCACTTGTATCGAACACCGAGGAAACAGAACGAGACGATGACAACACAAACGATGGACCAAAAATTAATAAGTTGGGCGCTTAAGACATTAGCTGTAGAATGTTAGTAATCGTCACTCCAAAAGAGGTACTGAAACCTCTGTTAAAAGACTCAAAAGAATACGTACTCCATCGATAAGCCAACACAGTGAAATAGTTTCCCTCGACATCCATGAAGGACAAAATGACGTATTTCCAGCCATCTACCCAAAGGAGCTTCAAGTAATTCCTCCATCCATACTTGTAAATAGTATACGTCGTGTAGATGGCGCACAAAAGAACATAATTGAAAAGAGTTTGAAAAGCTGGAATTGAAGTGCCTTTATTTGCAAGGAGTGTCGTGAACGTATTGGTAGCCGTAATACATAGGGAAAGAATTTGTCTGTAAAACGGAAACGTTAGATTCGATATTTACGTAGAAATGAATAATGCATCGAAATTGCTCAAAACAAGAGGAGACATGGGAAGTCCTGTTCAGGGCAATGGTGTTAGTTGTCTCATGGCTTGGTCTCCCAAGTTCTGAAGTAGCAAATACTTTATAAGTTGCAAAACATCATGTAGACTTCCCATCATCTTAACAGCAAAAATAAACATACCCAAGAATCAAGACCATCCAGAAGTCCCGTGTAAGCAAATATGCCCACCATGCTTTCTTTTTGGACTCCAAATTTTCAATGGCATGTTCCAATATCTCTCCATTGATCCGATCTCCACTGGCCCGATCGCCAGCCATCTCAAAGCTTCCACTGCCGTCTGCAGCTGTGCCATCACTCGATTTTGTATGTCTCTCGCCTCCCAAAGAATTAATGTTGGTCTCTACCCCGGTACCTTTCGCACCGTCATCCATTTTGGGACTCATGTTGTCTCTACCAAATCTTTGCGCACTGAAATCCAATTGACCCTGGCCTTCGTCCTGATATACAGAATTGACGTCCGAGTTTGAGTCTGAATAGAAGGTGTCTTCTAGGAGTCCAATTCTCGATTCCGGATCCACGATTAGTGCTGAGAATATTTTTCCTGTAGTTCAACTAAAGGTACTTTTGGTAGTAATGATGTCGATTGAATGATGGACCGGTACTAGGCAGTGGATTGTCGCGAATGATCTCGAGAATCGAAATAAATCAATAAGTCTTTCTATCCTTCCGCAGTTGTAAATTGTGAGCGCAAAGACTTCAAGTCGCTCACTGCAAGAATTAAGCTATCTGCTTCATTAATCGGAAAAGCCCAGGGAAAAAAGATTCAGTGAGGAGCGCCAAATGGAAAAAGAAAATCTTTAATGGGATTTTAGATGCCTTTAACTCTTTTGGACAACGCCTCCAGTTATTTAATAGTGGGGCACAGTGGATCCCATTTAGATCGTAAAAAGATAAGTTAGTTTATGATTGGACCAATGTGTGCGATAGCTAGGATATGGCTCCGAACCGAAGAGCGGGATGATGTGAGCCTGGATTTGAGTCGGAGGATCCCGATGAAGAAATAGAAGAGTTTTTTGAATGGTAAATTGTCTCCATGGATTGGCACGTTCGTGGAGATATTGAAGAGTGGCAGGCGAATGCGGACTGTGGGATAATGTCTGACACATGGAGATTGAGTAAGTACTACATGGGATTTCTGATATACGAAAATACAATTTGTACGCAACTTTTTTTTTACAGCTCCATAAACGCCATCAAGCCATGCTTCGTCTCATTCGTGAAATAAAATTTGGGTTGTAAAGATAAGTGCGTTATATCCCTCAACCCAAGAACTTCTTCAATGGTCCACCGACATGCTCCACATCCAATAGGAATGTATCATGACCAAACTGGCTAACATCCTCCCCGAGTTCGACGTGACTTACTTTGGTATTTCCCGCTTTTCTTAGCGTCTCGGCAACCTCTCTTTGCTGCCAGGCCGGGAACAGGATATCGCTAGAAACACCCATAACCAGAGTAGGATGATCTTTCATAACTTTCATTCCGGAAACCAAGTCCGCAGGAGGGCCTGGAGACGGCTCAATAGGGGCATTAATATCTGTAGACTCATTTTCTTCTGGTTGTTCCTTGTATGGGCTATCGGGAAGAGTAAGGCTGCATGCTGCATCCCCAAGAGAAGATACAACTTCAGACCCAGCTTTTATACGTGCTAGATGGTCTGTCCTCCTTGATAAAGTTGCAAATTGATTTTTCGCACCAAGGTCAAAGAGATCCATAGCCTTGCTAACATACAAAAGACTATTTGGATCGTACTCCAAACAAAACTTTTCGCCGGCGTGATCGAGATATGTCTCGATAAGAAAGTCTGGACACAAGGCGGGTGGTTTGCTTGGATCAGCTCTTCGTCGACCAAATCTTAACTCCCATTCAGGCCCCGAACGGTATGTTACGGTGGCAATCTCACGCGCAAGTTTCATACCTGCGTGAGGAGGAATATGATCATAGTAAAATCCCCGATTCCAATTCTTATCCATCATCAACACTTGCCGCTGAGTATGGCGCATTGCAATGCTATAGGGATGGCTCCTTGCGCATCCTGAGATACTGGCCACTCGACCAACCCGTTCGGGAAATAGAACTGCGGCAGCTAACGATTGCATACCACCCATACTCGATCCAACGCTCGCATATAGTTTTGTAACTCCGAGCCCGTCAAGTAATCTAAACTGTGCGCGCACCATATCTTCCATGGTAAGAATTGGAAATCTCGTCGCATATCGTTTTCCATCGGCAGGGTCGATCGTCGAGGGTCCCGTTGAACCATAACATCCTCCAATAACATTCGTGCATATAATATGGTATTTATTCGTATCAAGACTTTTATCCGGACCTATAAACTTTTCCCACCACCCTGGTTTGGGGTTCGCTTGTGTTGAATGTGCATGTGAAGATGCAGATAAACCAGTGTGCAGTAAAATGACGTTCGACTTGTCTGCGTTCATTTCACCCCATGATTCATAAGCAATATCAAATTCTCGCAGTACTCCTCCCCAGTCAAGCAATAGAGGTTCATCGCAGTGGTATTTGACAGTTGCTCCGCTAGTATAAGATGGCTCTGGACCACTTGAAAGGGAACGAGCTTCCAAGGTCGCAGACTTGGTTTCCAGGGCATCTAGACAAGGGAATGCCATTGCGGGGTTAGAAGCCTTTGCTAATGACGCCGCGGAAGCATTGTGCGAGCCAGATTCATGATATGATCTCGAGAAGGTTTGCGACGACTTGTGAAGAGGAGTGGTAGTTTTGAAGGATGATTGTCTCGACCAAGATCTTGGTACAGCTTTCGTGTATCTCGCATTTGTTCTTGCAGCCGCGGCAAGAGTTCTGGAGGCGTTCATCTTCGAAGATTTGCAGGTAAAAAGGAAGTCATTCTACAAATACAAACGGCCTCTGAGAAATCAACTTATATTCTGCAATTAATCTATATTGTTTTGTCAGCGAATTCGACTACCCGGTACAATTTAGCTTCCAGATAGATCCATCATTTCTTTCAGCCAATTGCGTGCTAGAACGTGACCTTTAATAAGATATAGTATTTATATATAGCTGTAATTAAATTCTATTAAAGAACTATTTATATTTAATTATATATAAAATAATGTTATATAATTTATTAATTTTTTAATACAAAATAAATAATTTGAAATTTTATTTAATAATATTAATTAATATTTGAATTATATTTTATAATTTTAATTTTTTATATTAAATATAGATAATTATTTTTTATTATCTAATGTGATTTTAATTAGATCAAGCTTCATTTAATCAAGTTATAACTTGATCTTACTTTCATGAATAAAGTTAGAATGAATCCAGACGCCGTCTAGTGCCCTTCCCTCAGTTGTAAAAGGACCTTATAGAAGATTTAATTGGTGAAATTAAGGTTTCCCCACGAAATCTAACCCCGTTAGAAAAGAGTTGTGCCGCGCCGCCTAATGCTTCTTCGCTTCTTCATTTAGTGGACGCCCCGTCTCTCGATATACGTCATGTAAGGCAACACTATCTATCTACACATCCCTACTGAGTATTTCCTTTAAATAATCCGGCTTTCCAACGAAGATCAAAGAAACATGCTAAAATTTGGGAAACACTTCTACAATACTATTTCCAACATCATGTCATCAACCTATAACAACAAAGAACCAGAGTCCCCGCTCCTACTCAGCATGCAACTTTTCGATGCCGATAGATTTCTGCCATCTGTAGAAGATGTGCTCGAAGTTAAGAAAATCTTCTTCAATGCAGCTAAAGAAACACGACTACCGTTAGAAATCATTGAAAGCATAATTGATCTCGCCGAATATTGGCCTCATGCAACAACATCAGGTTTTGCCATTCCCGGTTCTCGAGATAACAGACCCTTTGACAATCCTAGAAAAGAAATCACCGTTAGATCAGGTGCTCGAACAGAAAATCAATTTCTTTTACGCTCCCTCCCCATCGGCTACTTCCCATTTCGAGAAAATAAGCACGATCTACCTTCCCAAAAACATTTGGAAGACGAGACAGAATTCACCAAAGTCGAACCCAAGCCTTGGCCATCGGATGAGCAAATTCCACAAGATGCCACAGAGGAAGTTATAAAGCAATGGGCAGAGGTGTCACTTTGTCGAGGCCAATTCCCTTGCAGGAAAATTATATTCCGAATTAGAAGTCGTGATCAAGGATGGGGGGGTGTACGCGCAGATAAAGGAACATACAGAGGATCATATACATGGTTTGACGTCGGTTTGGAGCGAACATATGCTACGAGACAAGGTATTTCAACACATTCCATCAAGATTAGCACCTGCCATAGACCTAGTCTTAAAGATCTAAAAACTAACAGAACACTTTGTTAAAGACCCACACTTCCGACCATACGACTACACACAAGAATCGTCGAATGAGATAGTATGCGGTGTACAAACGATAATCCCAGAGGTGGTCCAACCCAACCCAGATGATGTTCCCGAGAATCACAGAGATTCCACTGCAACGTATCCAGCTACGTTCAAGCATAAACTCAACCCCGACACCAAAGTCCTCCAGAAAAACAAAACCGCTACAGCAATACCAGAAAATCATGTAATCACATGGAGATTCAATGACAATATCCATCCAGAAAGCCCCGAAGCTGATAAGTTAGAAGAGCAAGGCAGAGGACGGGATACCGGAAACGGCGAGTTTGTTCGTAATCTACGAATTGGCGACGTGGTGACCCTCTGGGCAAAAGCGAGGTATCCAGGATGGGCTAACACCATCGAGGATGTGAGTATAGAGGTCTATTATGCAATCTAAGCCTGCGTGCTAGCTGAGAACTACATCGATCGTACCGCCTTGGAACTTTTAGTAGCTGGGTTATCTGCCCATTATGAGGGATGGGGCGTTCGGGTCGAACTTTGGCAATGTCTGGATTGGGGCACTTAAATCGAAGAATCAAATTGAAAAAACCCTGTTAGTTGTAATATAGGCTTAATAAAAATATTACAAAAATCCATATATTTGAGATTATTGTCAGAAATAATGTGATATATCTATCCAGCAAAGTTGGTACGAATGTATTCTAAAATAGAGGTAAATTGTTACACAGAACATGGAGTCAGCAACTTATTATAATAATAATCAAGCATATACATATTTCTACATATCCTGCAAATTTTTAAGCCTACCTAACTTCAATTTTTCCTGATTCCCCTTGAGAAATACACCTTTTCATCTTCTTGAATTCTTATCCTGAACACTGACTTGTGGTCGAACATTGATACATGTTTGTATCTAGCTCAAACCCTGCCAAGACATATACATAACAGTTTGCGAAGAATTTTCATTTATGCATGCCTATACACTTTTAATTTTATCATACAAATGATCGCCGGATCCTAATTGACTCCCTCATTGAACTTTCTTTCCACTCTTCGTTAACTTCAATGGTACAGGCTTGCTCCATAACCAAAGAGCAACGAAGGCAACCCATCCTGTAACTGTGGCGCCGATTCCGGCAATCCATGGCCAGGCATTGCTAATAGCCCAACTTCTAGTATATTCGTCGTGGGCGAAATGTCTGACCGTGACGGTGTTCTTTTGTTCGATGCTGGTGAGGAATGGTCGCTTGTAGTTGACCATAAAGTTAAAGATACCATGTTGATCTGGGAGCTTGAAGCTCGCCGTGTAGATTTGTGAATCAGAAGTGGTAGTGGATGGTTCAAGTGTAAGACGATGGAAAGGAGAAAGCATAGAGAATTCGAGTTGCAAGGAGTCTCCGGATGGCGGGGTAAATGGAACCCACTTGTCCCATGAGTACTCGGAAAGCTCGATTTCATATGTCTGTTAAATTGTAAGCGATGTTTCAATAGTGGAACCGCTTGACTTACCACGTCATTTTTAATTCTGTAGATCTTTGGGTTGGTGTCACTGCTCTTCACCCCATTCTCATGAAGATAGTGCTTGATGCTCCCAACCTTGAGAACCCCAATTTCCTTGAAAGTCCAGCCGGTGACCTCTTTCGAGAATTCTTGATTGGAAGTCTTAATCTCCTCGGCATCAGATCCAACACCACCCATCCCAATGCTGCGCTTGACCTTAGCATCAAACCATGTGTCCTCGAGGAGCTCCGATGACCCAATCACTGTAAATCTCGCATTGTTTCTAGCCTGCATAGTGGTAATGAGTGATAATTGCTGTCCAACCGCAAATGGGTCTTCCACACCCTCGATATCCTCCTTCGTGTTATACGAGTATGCGGTCCTAGAAGCTCTGAGAAGAGGTGTCAATAATGGACTGGTGTTTCCCAAAGTTTGTCCAACACCTCTTGGAAAAGCAATGACTTCCCCGCCTTTGCCATCTCCACGGAAGTAGTTTTTAACATCTGGTCTGACAGCGTCTGGTCGTGGCATAAGAACAACATCGTGCTTCTCTGCGGCACTCAAAGTATCATAGTTGAAGTGGTCAACAACCAGAGAAGTGCGGTCTGTTGGAAGGTGGATGTCGAGCTCCAAGAGTAAGGATACAAGGGCAGTAGGGGTAGGGTGGGATGATGAAAGAGTTAACAGGATATTTCCGCCCTTGTTGATGAAATCGAGGAGAAGTTTAGGTGTCAATGCTGGTCCGAGACCTGCTATGTGTTAACCGAATTCATTCCACTGATGCCAGGATTTGTACCTTTTGACTTGGATGGCAAGACGAGTAAATGGTCGAAGGATCGTTCCCCCAATTCGAAAAGTCCCAATTTCTCATTTTTCGGTGACTCAAAAGTTAACTTATATCCTCGTGCTGTGTGTGCATATATATTAGTATAGCAGACCTTGCAATTGTAAATCAATGTCAAAAACAGCTACATACCTTCAAGATCCCCAAAGTACTTCGAGTATTTTGATTTCTCTGACAATTCTTCCAATACAACTAGCAATTTGTCTCCGGCAGAACTCAAAGCTGAGACAGCACTGAGCAGTCCCAGTAGTAGAAAAGAAAGAATCCACCTCATTATTTCGTTGTGGTTTACTTCAATATTCTTTTTCTCGAAGTTGTGAATTGCGCGGCTTCAAGCTTTAGGAAACGTATGCAATGCCAAGAGTTTCCCACGGCTACAGGGGGTCGATTAGTGCGGGATAGCTACACGTGATGCTACTTCAAACTCGCGACATCAACGTCGAAATTCCAGCCTCGAGCGATTTTAAACCCCCGCAGAAGGATCCAGCAATTCAAAATTCTCGTGAGTTAGCTATTATTTGACCAGCAGGATAAGATCTCACATGTCTTAGAAATATGCTAACAATCACAGTCAAAATGTCGTCCACAATACCACGATTCTTCTCCCAACCTTTCCGGTACATACGATGGGCAGCCATTGAAAAGCCCGCTATCTTCTTCTCCATAGTCATTGGAAGTATTGGACCAGTCCTCGTTCTCACAGTGCCAAAGATTCGCCATAGACTTGGGGATGGACCAAGACCACAGATTCCTTTGACATATCCAAGTACGTTTTTGCATAAATTGCTTTACAAAAGCTATTGATACTTGCAATTACTAACGAATATATCTCGCGCAGTCCCAAATGGACCAAGAAAATCTTTGAGTGGCTACGATGATGAGTAAATATTGTATTGGGGTTAGGGAGGTTGCTGGACGAATCGATCGTGTTTGTACATAGGAATGGCGTCAATGAATCGAGGGAATACCTTTACAATTACAATGACCTGATTACTGGCTTCCATCTGCAAAAATGCTCAGTGGAAGTTCATGGTAGGATCGCATTTCCATGACACTTCTTCCAGTGGAAGACTAGAGCTTGATCATTTCTCCCTGCCAAGTGACCACCGTGAAGACTTGGTATTTCCTCTTCGACTCTGGATGGCTCGAAGCCTTTTGCAAAACTTCATTAATTAATCCGTGGGCATTGTGGATACCCTAAGCCATCGACTGTAAAGCCTACCATGAACAAGATTATAAGCAAGTGCATTCCTTGAAATTATACTGTTCTTCACATATGCACTACGTGTTTAGCTCAGCAACCTAGTATCCATTCAGCCTGACTTCACTGGCTACTGCTCTACCTATCAGTACAGAAGTAATTGTGTCTGTTCATGTGAAAAACCTGCGCCGCCTTCAACATCTGTAATGCGAATTCCACCAAATATCCTCCGTATAGGCAGGCACGATGGAGAATGCACGAGTGAAACACCAGAGTCATTTTCTCTTGAACTAAATTGGACTATTCATTACAATCTTAATCCATCATCATTTCCTGTGGTTTTTGCAAATGCCAATTGAATATCCGCATAAGAAACTCCTTCTCATGAGTCTTTCAATGTTGGTGAAGCATAATATATACCCGAAGAATGTTTTGGGAAGCAAAACATAAACCTCCTCTAGAATCTGCGTGTCCTATCTCATGGGGCGGCCTTGGATGTTATTATTGGTTCTGACAGGCTCTATTCTCACAGAGTTGTTCATGTTGTGATTATCGGACCCGGATTTCCTAACCACTGAACCGTGAGGCTCAAAGGTCAGAGAGAGTTCGTTGACTGACATGGCGCGGCCAATTTGATGTCATACAGTAGGATACTCATCCACTTATTGCAGTGCGGCTGGAATGCACTGACTTGCAAGATTTGGTAAGTCTCATTGACTACCCCTCATTATTCGGAAAATTCCACTCCCTTACCTGACTAGGGATTGAAAGATTTCAGTTTCTGGCTTGCGATAACAAGCCCTATATAGCGGACTTCACCATGAAATATTTATGGGAAGTTTTGGAAGGGTTTCATAGCGAGGTAAACATTCACGAGCAAAGCTTTTCCATTTTTGATTGATGAAAATATATCTTCTAAGTTTCGAGTTTATCATTCTTGGCGATCTAAATTATTCAATGCGAGAAACCTAATCTCGAGACATCAGCGCTTGTAGCCTTTCCTTGTATCATCTCCGCCATTACTTTGCCTGTACCCAAACTCATACTAATGCCCCAAGGACCATGTCCAGCCGCAAGCCAAACACCCCCATCTCCAGCATTCCTAGTCCCCATTCCACCTAAGTCACTATCGGCTATCCTCGCCAAAATTGGCGTTCCCCTATTCGTAACCGGTCGAAAGCATAAGCCTTTCCTGACAACTTCCATTTCAATGTTTTTGTCAAGGCCAAACATTTTTTTCGCAGTCTTCTCTAACCTCTGTACAACATCCTCTTGGACCTTGGACTCTGTTGCAAGTCCTGGCAATGGTATAATTGAAGAGTTCAAGCCCGCAACATAAATCTCACCACCCTTCCTAGAGAACACCTCAGGAGAATATCCATCCTCATCACTAGCAAATACGGCATGACATTCCTTCTCCTCCAGCTGATCATTCCAGCTCGATATCCTCACTACCAAAGAATGACCAGCTAGACTGGAAACCGGTAATTTCAATCTTGATCCCGGGAACAAGGTAGAAAATACCTCTGGCGACCAAGCACCAGCTGCTATCAGAATTTTCGTGCACGGAATATCAGACTCGATATTTGTGGAGGTGTTCAAAATCCGTATACTAGATATTTCGGATCTCATATCTTCATGAACGGACAAAGCTTTTGCAGGGTGGTGAAGTTGTACGCCACGGGCGAGACAGGTGGTGAGAAGAAATTGACATAATTTGAGAGGGTCACTTGATTTGTTAATGTGATTTCAGATGAGTGAGAAAAGGTTTTAGACTAACTCACACTTGAGCTGTACTTCCATCTTCACTAATGACTTCTAACTCATCACCTTCATTTCTTCTTAACCATTTGGGTCCCTCTAGTCCAGTAGTATCTATAATTTCGTCTACACTAACACCATCGTTACCACTAGCAGTCTCGGCTCTACTTCCACCCCCTCTCAACCAAGCATCTCCGCTGACTCCCTTCTTCCCAGTCCTCCTAAAACTTTCCGCAGCAACATGACTCACATAACTCATACTTTTACTCATACTATACCCCCATTTTTCACCACCAGCATGTTCCTCCGCCAGTTTCTTATGTTCATCGAAACTTAAGAGACCCAAGTCAGATAATTCCTCGGCAAACCAATCGCGAGAAAGAAAACCACCTGCGTAGCCAGAAGCAGAAGAGAAAAGAATGGGTGATGGATCTACGAGGTGGATGGTTGACGGGTCATGGGAGTGAGAGAGATAGTAGGCGGTTGAGAGACCGATTATACCGGTGCCGAGGATTACGGTATTGGACATTATCAAGAGCTTGGAAGAGAACTTTCAAGGGAGCAATGTTCACGGGAAAACTTGTACTGGAACGTATGGGGAGGTGCTCTGGTGCTGCGAGCTCCTCGTCGACGCCCTTAAGCTTACGCTCTGCCCCGCATGTGATATGACGTAATGGTCCAATGAAAATGAAGTAATTTACATTTTAAATATCATATCTAAAGATTGAAAAAAGGCCAAAAAAGCTATTCATTATGTGTATATAGAACAAATAGAGAACATGTTCTTATCTCCTGCTTACCAGAAGCAGTTGTGAGAAGCCATCATCTAGCAAGCAAAAGATCTCCAATCGCCCCACCAAAACACATTATATCAACTCAATCACGCTTTTCTCCCCACTCATATATCTAGACAGTCACCACGTACAACAATCCATTTTGGTTTATCCTCTCACATTTTCAATTTATATAACAATGTCACCTCGAACAATAATTGTTACCGGTGCAAGCCGTGGAATCGGTCTTGCTATTGCTCAGAAACTTCTGAGGGAAAAACATAATGTGGTGCTTGTAGCTAGGACTGCAGAACCCATGGAGGAATTGAAGAAACAGTATCCAGAGCAGGTTGAAGTCGTTGTGGGGGATTTGAGTGATTTTAAGGTATGTTGTGAGGGAGACGTTTAGTTTCAAGGATTTATGTGGTTTAGGGAGTATGGCTGGAGATGCAGGTAGTCATTCCCCTCTACAGGGTCAAATGTGTTTGGAAGTTTCTACTTCTTGATCAAGGGCTGAATCACAAATATTTAATTATGAAGTTTCACTGTTCGATTTCTTACCTACAATTCAATGAATATAGTTAGATCTTTCAACTAATCAAACTCTTCATTACTAGATAGGGCCACAAGCCGTCGATACCACCATAAAACGGTTTTCCAAACTCGACGGTCTAATCGTCAACCACGGAATTCTATCTCCAGTAAAACGCATAGCCGACAGCACCCCCGAAGAATGGCGTACCCTCTTTGACGTCAATTTCTTCTCCGCCCTAGCATTCGTTCGTCTCTTCCTACTCCGTACCACGTGAACATAAACGTGAGAACTAACCCCTCATCTAGGTAACCCCAGCAATTCCCCATCTGCGCACCACCCAAGGCACCATCCTACTCACCTCATCCGGAGCTGCCGTCTCCGCCTACTCCACATGGGGACCCTACGGCTCCTCTAAAGCAGCCCTAAACCATCTCGCCCAGACGCTTTCAGCCGAAGAACCACTGATCACCACCCTGGCTATTCGACCAGGAGTCGTCGACACCGACATGCAAAAGGAGGCCCGCTTTCATAGTACCAGCGGAGTAATGGACAAAAAAGATGCAGACAAGTTCATCCAATTGCACGAAGGACGGAAATTATTGAAACCAGAGCAGCCTGGAGGTGTCATGGCAGGATTAGCTGTGGACGAGAAGTTGAGGGAAGAAGGATTGCGCGGGAAATTTCTGAGGTGAGTGAATCTAATTTTAAAAATGGCAATGAGGATGGAAAAACTAATGGAATATGATAGTTGGGATGATAAGTTATTAGAAAAATATCGGGATTAGTTTCCGAATTCGTATGTGAATGAAACCCTCCAGGGGGAAAGACAGCGACAAAGCATGATTATGGAGAAGCTTTTCTCCTCGTAAAAGACTAAACAGAATGCATGGCCGTAGACCAATCACAAAGCACCAGCAAATATAACCCTCACTTTTAGTCAAAGTCTAAAACCAATAACATGCTGATCTTTTCCATTGGAAAGTTTTGTTGCATATCTCAAATAATTAATTGTCGTGATTTTGTTGACTTCAATTGAAAAGCCAAAATGCGAATTTTTATCAAGCCCAACTAGGGTGGGGTCGCGAGTTCTACTCCAACATATCACTCTATCTTTACAAGAGCCACGCCCTGAGCTGTCCCAGTCAGATCTATCGATATGGAACAAATGTATATGATTACATCTAGCCAGTCCTCCGGGTATCATGCAAAAAGGCACTTACTCTTCCTCGTTCAAACATCTCCCCTTTTCGCCTCTCCACCACCCATTATCACTTATTCTAGTACATTGGTTTGGCTGATGCCAGGATAGAGCTTCTGGCTGATTATGCCACCTATGCTATGCTGGGAAGCAAAGCTTACACTTAGGACGAAGCTCCTGGTTTGGGACTATTCTGTGCGCTTCCACCTCGTTTCATTAGTCCGGCAAAGAAAGATGCTAATGCTTCGTTCTGAACCTTTCCGTCTGCCGATGGGTCGATACGTGCGCCTGGTGTCGTTGCCTCTGGTGAAGAATATGCTTGTCGCTCCTAGACCTTGTTAGTTTTGTCCAACGCCTCCCTTATTTAGGAAATAAATACCCGTAATCTTTGCAACATATCATCGGCATCGACCTGAATGCCGCCCATGTTGAACTGCACCGGCCCAATATGTTCACTAACTCTTCCTTCATCAGATGCTTTCTCCTCGCCATTCCCATACTCACTCGACACCTTGCGACCATTAACCAAACGACTACTATCCACGCTGGAGACATCTGGTCCTTGACTAATTTTATGTAGGATTTCGACTTGTGAAGCTAGGAAACTCTGAGCATCAAGGCTGGATACCTCCAGTTTAAGACCTTGTGATTCTGCAGATGTCGCTTGCAAGGCATCGAGACTGGGATCCCTGATGACTTCCTCATATGCTGAGACCGCGCTTTCAGCCACAGGTTCTGGTGGTTGTGAGTGCGTACAGTCATCACTGCTTGAATCTTCCTCAATGTCAAATGACCAGCCTTTGTTCACTTCCTCTACATTGAAACCTTCCCGCAGTACTCGTATTTTACCCCAGGAGTCCCAATTGGGTGGCACGACTACCTTGTCGCGATCAATGAGATTGTGCCTAATAGGTTGCTTTTTGAGGAGAGAGTGTATGCCGAGAGAGGAGTGTATTAAACCTTGTAATGGACTAATAACCCCAGGTGTTGTGTATATGAGGGACGCCCCATCTGACGTAGTTAGCATGTGTGTGTGAATGTAGTAAAAGATCAAACTTACGCTTGAGGAGGGTTGTGCGCAAAAACTGCAGAACGAAGTCAAATTCATCTTCCCTCCAGGACCGTTCTTTCTCCAGCCTTTCGATTTTGTCAGACTAGACACCTGTTAACAGAGCACATATATGCGCATACACAATAAGACTTACGTTTTGACAAACCACACATAGCGGTAAACCCAAGGCTTCTTCCCATTCTCCAGGACCCAAAGGCAGGCTAACATCTCCCTCAGTAGCAGTACTTCCCCCACCATCCAAGCTACTTCCACCACGCCCTCTATCCCTCCAACTAATCATAACCTCCTCCATTTTCTCCTTGCAGTCTTCATCCAGAGATATCAATAACGGCCGCAGGAGACGTATCCAGTCCCGCAGTTCCCTCAGCCAGAACCATGGTTGCGACCAGTCTAGTAGTATGACAATAAGTGTGTTTGGGATCGTTTGTGGTGTGAGAAGTGGCTGCATTAGAGGTGTGAAGGAGGGCGAAGGATCCGCAAGTAAATATAAAGATAACCGAGCCAAAATATCTAGGTAATGTCAGATTTTCAATTGAAGGGTTAGTTGTGCCGAGCTGAAGCATACCTTCATGATCTGCATCCAAAACATCATGATATGTGTACCCCAAAGCAAAGTTGTTTGCAATAGGAGGTTGTTTGCTACTCTGTCTATCCTGTGATTTTCTAGTCTCATCCACCGACAAAGCCTCTAAAAATTCTTTCTGTGAATCCGCGGTCCCTCCTACTTCATATTAGTTATTCCCTCGTTGGCACATGGGGATGCTGCTGCAGTACCTAGCACAAGGATATTCTTCTCCGGTAATCTTTTCCCACTAGCTACTCCATCCAACATAGACGACCACATATCCTTCTTCTCTTCATCATCCGTTGATGTCGTAGCTTGCGTATACGTCGATGCCCTATTGTTCGCCATATTCGCTGCTTTGGAAGGGTTATTTACTTCCTTTCCCCTATATTGCACTCGTAACCATGCAGTCTGTAGGTCAATCTTTTAACCTGAGTTTGTTTGTTGATTCTTCCCGGCCCAAAAAATTCCCATCCGATATTTTGGAGCAAAGGATCGAAGAGTTTCGTATTTATCGCATTGGTTGATCTGAAGTTCCTCAAGTTCTGTGGTTTGGGGAAGCTTCATAAAGTTGTGAACGGAAATCAATGCATTGAACACGCGAGGCAGGGGCCAAACATTTTAATTTTGACAGCCTTGTCTCTGTGTTTCCGCCTCACCATGATTGTTCATTCTCTACATGTAACAAAATGAATAGCATTCGTCAGATTCAAGAGCTTAATAGACGTGAATTGGAAAACGGAGTGTAAGTCGCATTCATTTTTATTAAATCACATTGCGATAAAGTATGTTTGCTAACTGATCTCTAGCCCTCCATCTGCATCATGGCACACAGATTATCGCGACACAGCTTATATTTATATCGGCGGGCTCCCTTTTGAGCTCTCCGAAGGCGACGTTTTAACTATATTCTCGCAATATGGCGAACCTACATATATCAATTTGGTGCGGGACAAAGAGACCGGAAAATCCAAGGGGTTTGCTTTTTTGAAATATGAGGACCAGAGGAGCACGGATTTAGCCGTCGACAATTTAGGGGGCGCAGTAATTGCCGGTAGGACTTTGAAGGTAGATCATACGAGATATAAGAGGAAGGAGGGAGAAGAGGATACTGGAATGGATCTGAATGGAGATTTAGATGGTGAAGGGGAGGAGCGGCGGAAGAGAAGAAGGACCAGTGCGGAGAGTGAGGGTAGTGAGGATGAAGAAGAGCAGAGGCCGATGCTTAAAGAGGAGAGGGAATTGGCGCTGTTAATTAGAGATCACGACGAGGATGATCCGATGAAGGCATTTTTAATTGAGGAGAAAAAGGAAGAGGTCGCGAAGGCACTGGGGAGGGCGAAAGAGGGAAGTAGATCCGAGAAGTCAGAAAGAAGCAGAAAGCATAGACATCACCATAGGTCTAGGCAGATTAAGGATGAGGAAGATTTGGATAGTGGTCATCGATCTCGGCATAGATCACATGGTCGCGATAGAGAGCGGGATCGAGATCGCGAGTCCAGGAAGAGATCCCCAGAAGATAATAGATCGCGGCGTGAACGGTCACCAAGTGATAATGAGGCTGATAAACACGTTTCGCGATCACGGAGAGATAGGGATAGAGACGCACCGAGGCGTCGTCATTACGAACGAGATGATAGGGACAATGATAGGACTAGCGAGCGACGCGACAGGAGAAGAGATGATTCAAGGGAGAACAGACATGATAGACGGCGGCAGTATTAATGAAGTATAGAAAGAAGACCTTATTAGTATTGACTTATTAACAATTCTATGATCCAGTTGGTGCTATATGCAAGTTCTTGTGCATAAATAAGCCTCAAATCCATGCGCATTGTCCAACCATACACGACGTACCCTAATAACTCCGATCATGATGGTATCCTGACTCCTTGCCGTGCCGTGATATATATGCATTAAAAGAAAAGGGAATCTACTCGACTCTCAGAACCCTCTTCCAGCCATCCCGTATACAGTAACGCTTGCCATCTTCACCCTCGGCAATGATGAACTTCTCCCATCGACTGTCGGTGCCTGCTCCGACAACAATCAAACTTTCATCACTTGTCCATCCAATGAGGCCTTTCGTGGGTTTTGGTCCAGCCTCGCTTGCTGTTAGTGGATTAGAAGACGCCGACAAAGGCTCCTCGCCAGTCGAAAATGCCGCTGTAGCAAAAGAATATACATCTGAGAACACTCGAGGCATCAAAGGAAGTCTCCCTAGAATTCCCCACTTGTTGCTGGTATCAGAATCCGGCGTCGATGGACTACTGATGCCACCACCCCCAAGGGATGTAAGCCGTCGATGGCCAAGCTCTGATTCAGATCTCGGAGGCTTCGAGGGATGTGGAATATCGAAAATATGGAGCGTAGACTTATCTGAAGTAACAGCTAGAAGCTGTCCCGAAGGAGCAATGGAAATAGAGAAAATATCGGCATGATCAACACCTCGTCTGAGTTCAGCTATTTTCGCACAATTACTTGTTGCAAACACCCGGACAAGTGTTCCCTGCGTCGATATGAGCTTAGAAACTTTTCAAAAACACACGGGCAATGAATGAGGACGTACGGTTTCGCTGGCAGTTGCAATGACCTCCTCATCACGACTTAAAGCTAGAGCTCGGAGAGCCCCCGAATGAGCGGGTATAATGCTAACATTTCCAGTATTGAGTTCAACCACTTGTACTTGACCAGCCGTTCTACCAGGAAATATCAAGATACTGGCCCCCAAGCAGCATAAACCATAAGGATTTCCTGCAGTTTCATAAGCCTGATATAGCTCAGGCGTACTATGGAAGAGGTAGACGCGTATGCTGTTCAAAAGTGCGACGACTATGTGAGTCCTCGAAATCCGAACGCCTCTAACAGACGTAAGGACCGATAGTTGTGCGGCAATCTTTCGTTTCGAATCATCCCAGATGATTACCTACGACGATGTTAGGTTACAAACATGAATTCAAATTCCCAGTATCCGCTTGCCTTATTTTGGGCAAACTTTGGTTGTTTCCCACCACCAACTAGAGCAATATAGTTGGTCTTTCCAAGCATTTCTGCTATTCCAACTCCACCGTTGAAATCTATCTCCCGATCAGCGTTGCCTACCCGCGAAGTTGTGGTTGATAAATACCTCTGGTAACTCGTTGTTGACATCCTTCTGTGTTGAATACTACATTTTTTTTAATTAGGTCGCTTTCCTGAGGAGCTGCCTAGGAACGCACCACGAAATCCTGTATCAAGCCCAATGGCAAAGCAGCTGGCATCGTGGTTGAAGGAAGCCGATAAGGCTGCGGGATTTCTCGAGTTCTCTATCGCTGGTCTGGTATTCATCTTCGATAGCGATAACGTGCCGCAATATTAATATTGTATGTCCTTGTAATGCCAAACAAAGGATGAATAAAAATAAAGTATAATTTGTCAGGAACTTGTACAGCCCTTCATCACTAGCGAGCCCCCAAGTTCTGAGTAATTCGAAAGATTCGGGGCAACAAGTGTGTCCCAGATATAGATGTTTGTAGTGGTGATATGCTGTTCCAGCGGGACCGTAAGGCTGCTAGACTATCAATCAGGCAGGCTATCAACAACAATGCACCCTATCCACCGTTCGTAATCGCAATAAATACTCAGTGTTGACACGGCTCCAAATGTTTTCCAACCCTTTGGACCTTTCAAAAAACATGTCAAAACCATGATAGACATTTGATTGTACCTAGGAATGTTGACATTCAATGTTAACCATGTAACTTTAATTGCACGAGCTTTCCCTTGTTCAAGTTGAGTGAATATGATGTCGTTGAAATTTGTTGAAATTGATAAGAAAAATCCATCCCATGTAGCCAAGTACTATTATTGCCTGCCTACCTAGCTATTATTACAAGATAAAGAAAAAGGTACCGATTGTAACACCCCAGGAAATCCCTTCTCTCAGCCTCGCACAAGCTCATATCATCCGCTGCTGAATTGGGTAAAGCGTTTAATCTACCACCCATTTCGCTAAGTATTCCCCTGACCTGAAGAAGCAACGACTTGTTGATGGATAGTTTACATGAGATAAATCCAGCGACTTCAATTTCAAAATTTCAATAGACTGAAAGCATTTACATTCTTTTCCATCGACTCTTCTTCAATTTATTTTGCCCTCTTATATTTACAGCCCAGTTCATCCGTTTTCCTTCGTGGCTAAAGCCTCGTAATAATAAGACCATCATGTCGTCTCCATTGAATGCTGTACGTTTATCCCTATCAACAACTTGGTGGTCTGCATCCAAGTCTGGACAAAAATCTGACCGCAACTTCTTCAACAGCCCTTCTCTGGGGTTTGTTTTCTCATTTTGAAAGTTTATCAATACTAACTCAGTGATCCGATAGATTAAGATGCGAAAGAAGAAGAACGTCAAGAAGGGTATTCAGTTCTGTTTGATGGTTTGCGGTGCATCAGGCACAGGTACGGTGATACGAAACACACGTAAAAATGAGCGGTGGTATTGACTGGATCTCTCAGGACGAACTACTTTTGTGAATACTTTATGCGGCACAAAAGTTCTTCCCGGCAAGGACTCCGATGATGCTGCGAATGCTCATCTTGAGGAGGGTGTTAAGATTAAGCCAATCACAGTTGGTCGGTAGCACTTTGATCTAGCCATTGACCGAAATTAAAACCCGACTAACACATTAATAGAGCTGGAATTAGATGAAGAAGGAACTCGTATTTCACTCACAATTGTCGACACTCCTGGCTTCGGGGACCAAATCGACAATGAGGCAAGGTAGGAGGAACAATTTACAACGTGAAGATTTCGAGCTGACATATGTGAAGTTTTGGAGAAATTGTGGGTTACCTGGAGAGACAACACGACGGTATTTTGGCAGAGGAGTCCCGTATCAAGCGTAATCCTCGTTTGAGCGACAACCGTGTGCATGCTCTACTTTATTTCATCACCCCTACCGGCCACGGGTATGTCGAATCTCAACATTTATTTTGCGACTCAAAGCTGACGTGTCTCATAGCCTCCGCGAATTAGATATCGAGCTCATGAAGCGCCTCTCCCCCAGAGTTAATGTTATTCCAGTCATCGGAAAAGCCGATTCCTTGACACCCGCTGAACTTGCAGAATCAAAAAAGCTTGTCATGGAGGATATTGAGCATTACAGAATTCCTGTCTACAACTTTCCTTACGACATCGAAGAGGACGACGAAGACACAGTTGAGGAGAATGCAGAGCTTCGTGGTTTGATGCCATTCGCCATTGTAGGATCCGAGGAGGTTGTTGACATTGGTGGACGCCAAGTTCGTGCAAGACAATATCCATGGGGTGTTGTAGAGGTCGATGACCCGAGACATTCAGACTTCCTTGCCATTCGAAGTGCTCTTTTACACAGCCATTTGGCAGATTTGAAGGAAATCACTCACGATTTCTTGTATGAAAACTACCGTACCGAGAAGCTTAGCAAGAGTGTTGATGGTGGCCGTGGGAAGTATGTTTTCGTTCCGATTTAATTGTACTTGACGAATGCTAATGACTTTACAGTGATGCTTCTATGAATCCTGAAGACTTGGCCTCTCAATCTGTCCGCTTAAAGGAAGAGCAACTCCGTCGTGAGGAGGAGAAGCTCAGAGAAGTCGAGATCAAAGTACAAAGAGAGATTGAAGTTAAGCGACAAGAGTTGTTAGCTCGTGAGAGTCAATTGAAGGAGATCGAGGCTAGAATGCAACGCGAGCAAAGTGCCCATCTCGAGGCAACCAACGGAACACACACGTCAGCGGATGCTGAAGCTTAATGGTGATATGTACAGGGGAAATGTGTTTATGCATAGAAACATGGATGGATGACTGGTGGCGATTGAGAGGCCTGTCGATTGCTGCACACGCTTTCGTTCGGATTTCTGGAGCTGGGGATTTTCTTTTTGCAGGTCGTCGACGGCGCTGCATTTATTCTGGCTTTTCAAACAGCTAATAACGTAGTTTCTTATTGCCTTCTAATGTGCAGCTAAATCGATATTTATTTCTTACTAGGTCAATAATTCTTGAACACATCAGAGCTATCCTGGTGATAATTTTCAGTGATGTGTATTTTCACAATTTATTGGGTGAGATTAATATCATGATTGCAAAACCTATTGTGGTAAAATGGTCATATTGAAACATCATAAAAGTTGACGAGTGAATTTAAAAAACATAGAGCAATCGTTATTTTCGGATTACCCATAATAACCAGGAACATTTTATTTTGAGGCAGCGCTAATGTACTCCGTACGGTGTAATCCGTAGGTAGGTACTACCCCATCATATGACGATTACGTTATGCTTCTTCGGTATTCTATGGACAGTGCCTCTCCTCAGCATCTCATCTAGACAATCACTTCAACACCACTTTTCGTTTCTTCAACAAACTACCGCCACTGCATCGCTGACCATCATTAACTATTCTTTCAGATCCAAGAACTTATGGCGTCGAACACAAAATACTCTCGCGCTTCCCAGCGAGACTCGCTCGATGATCCCGCTCATTATTCGCAAGCCCCTCCATCTTACGCCGAACCTTCTTCGTCGGCAGATAATGAGGCTCTTCTAGGAGGGGGACCAAGAAGCAGCGAGGATAATATTCCGGATGACTTTAAGGTATATACAAGATTGCGGCTTAATACTTGGAGCAGGTATCTGACAAAGGTGTAGTTTGGAGGCTCTGTCGCTGAAGCAACTATTGAAATTCGGATGCAGGTATGTAGAGCTCTATTGTAACCTCGATGACACATTTCCTAACAACTCTTCAGTTTGTCCGAAAGGTTTATGCTATTCTGTGAGTGTTGCGCAATTCTACCAAGATGCTTCCCTTGTGTTAATTTCGTTGCCAGCTCTGTGCAACTCATCGCCACAGCAGCTCTGAGCTCTGTTTCTTTCTTCAGCCAATCCTACAAAACATGGATTCAGTCAAACACTTGGTTGTTATGGACTTCGGTATGTTAAATCTCTTAGCAATAACGGGATAAAGCTGACAGTCACAGATGTTCGGCGCAATTGGTTTTATGCTTTTGACATACTGGAAGCGGAAATCTTATCCAACCAACCTACTGTTCCTCGGAGGATTCACGGCGCTCGAGGCATACACAATATCGGTCATCGTATCAACATTCGATTCCCGCATTGTCCTCCAAGCTGTATTGCTCACCGCTGGAATATTTGTCGCGCTCACGCTCTTCGCCTGCCAAACCAAATATGACTTTACGTCATGGATGCCTTATCTCTTTGGTGGACTATGGGCATTGATTCTCTTCGGCTTCATGGCTATGTTCTTCCCAGGCAACAGTACTGTCGAGTTGATTTATTCTGGTATCACCGCCGTTATATTTTCCGGCTACATTCTTGTTGATACCCAACTCATTATGAGACATTACCATGTGGAGGAAGAGATCGCGGCGGCTATTAGTCTTTATCTTGACATCATCAACCTGTTTTTGGCCATTCTCCGAATTCTCAACAGCCAACAAAATAACTAGGGGGGATACTGTGGTCGGAGGGTGGCATTGAGGGGCTACTTACGTACGGTGCCGTCTGGTGTTTACAATAAAACTTTCAATGGTAACAAATAATTAGGGGAGCTAAGGGTCAATTTGAAAACTAGTACTATTGGGATGGGGTTTCTGTGGGTCTTTTGGGTGGTTAATTTGTTTTGATGGTTTTTCCCCTTTACGTGGAGCAAATCCACATTCAATGTATACGTCGTCAGTTTACATGCCGGAAATCTTTTGTGCCATGATGTTTTTGGTGAAGCTGCCTAGGTATGACGGGTCTAAGCTTGTTGAATTGTCCCCTCCTATCTGGGTCAGGGGTCTAACTGATACTGAAGGGGTAACAAAAAAATCCCGAAGAAAGCTCCTCAACGAAAAAGTTATTTGTGCTATGTGCGCATACTGGCGCGGCATGATACTTGCATCATGCATCCCTTGTAACGTCTAGAAGATAGTCTTTCAGCTCTTGAAGTGATTCAAAGTTTAAAGTATCGATCAGCTAGATATCATCGCTTCTCTAATACCGGTATGTAGCAAATCTAGACCTAGAACGCTTAGTGCACATTGAGGAGGGTCCTCCCGAGTCCCGTAAAGCATATTCCGAAGGAAAAAGTGGTCAAAGTCAGATAGAATTGGAGATAACCAAGCCAACGTTGTTCGTGGGCCATTTTCCCATGGAAACATGAAGGAGGGAAATAGAAAAAACTCCCCTTCTCACTCCCTGGCTCCCCAACTGAGTTACTCGAGTCATTTTCAATATGTACAACATCTAGCTACCTAATAGGTATCCAATACCTATCTTACTTGTCTCTATATATAATCTGGATGTTATTCTCTCCTCTTCACAAATTAACAAATGCATTCTTCTCTAATCTGACTCGCACGATGACAGTATCATCATTTTGATTCGTCGATCGCACCACCTTTTTCTTTCAAATGTAAAACGAACCCTTTCACAAATAGTAAAGAAGCTGCAGCCACTCACCCAAATTGGTTCCCCATCCAACTCCACCTGTTGTTGCAAATCCCTCGTCAAAAAAAAGTACAACAGTGAGTCGGAACATTGGAAAATATTCACCGCCTTCTTCTTACCCTGCCAGATACATCAAAACTGTCCCATCCACCATCCACCTTTCCATTGTCTACTCCCGTCCTGTCCCTAGCCCACATTCGTTTTGACTCGAACTCGGACTGGTTTTATTATCATATTGCATACGAACCATAAAGTATTCCATGTTGTATTCACTCACTTCAACTCTCGGGTTTTAAAGGACAATTGAGAGAGAAATATATGTATTCCTCACTCAATTGAACCTCAACAATTGTCAAACCACCAAATTAAAATTTACTCTCCCCCTCACTCTCCGCTTCTCAAGTCGCCATGAGCTCAAATTTTCCAATCGATACAATTCAAGATGGGACAAACAAAGCTGCGCCAGAGTGGGCACATCAAAATGGAGACACCACTTTTCCCGTAGAAAAGAAACTCGAAAGTTCAACACATTATCCAGCTCTTCCAGTGATGGGTAAGAGAAAGGCCAAAAGGAAAGATGATAGCCCTCTGGATATCATTTGTAGATTCGTTGTGGACCATCAAACTGGTAAAATTCTCTATCGACATCTTTCTCTAGATTTTTCTAACAATGAACCTTAGGACTATCTGTCAATCTCCTGATGCTTCTTTCCTTAACACACATTTGCTTTCCGAAGGCCCGCAGGCATACCCGAAAATTCTTCGAGCTTTCTTACTATAACCCGGAGTCTGGCGAGTACTGCGCCGGCTGGAATGATGCTTGGCTTGTGTTCTATTGGATTGTTATCTTTACCGGACTTCGCGCTGCTTTCATGGATTATGTCTTAAGGCCATTGGCAAGAAAGGGCGGGGTGAAGACTGCGAGAGACGAGACCAGATTTGCTGAGCAGGCTTGGCTTATGGTCTACTATTCTGTGTTCTGGACACTGGGCATGGTTAGCTAAAGTCGAATATATTGTTGAAAAGCTTCTCACTAACAGATGGATAGTACATATATGTCAACTCGGACTACTGGTGGAATTTGACTCAGCTATGGACTAATTGGCCTAATCGAGAGATTGGTGGACTTCGAAAGTGGTATATACTCGTCCAGTATGCATTCTGGCTCCAGCAAATCATGGTTATCAACCTCGAAGCACGTCGAAAGGACCATTGGCAAATGTTTACACACCACATCGTTACGACTGCGTTGATATTCACAAGTTATGGTTATCACCAAACCAAAGTTGCAAATGTGATTCTTTGTTTGATGGACGTGGTGGATCTTTTCTTCCCGGTAAATACTCTCTTCTGCCCTCTCTTAACAGAAGCTGACAGCAGCTTCCATAGTTTGCAAAATGTCTCAAATACCTCGGATACGATAAATTATGCGATTTCATGTTTGGACTTTTCATGCTTTCTTGGGTAATGGCCCGTCACGCTTTCTACCTCATTATATGCTACTCCGTTTGGGCCGATATCCCTAAGGTCATTAACTATGGTTGTTATCAGGGTAAAAATGGTTCTATCTCTGGTCCTTTCCCGGCCCCCGATCGTTTTGCACACCTCTTCAAGCCATTCCAAGATCCTGCCGGAGTCATCTGTTGGAACAATAACATCAAATGGGGTTTCCTTAGCGCCTTGTTGTTCCTTCAAGGTATCACACTAATGTGGTTCTGGATGATTATTCAAGTTGCTATTAAAGTCATCAGAGGTGGTCAAGCAGATGATACTCGAAGTGACAACGAAGAGGAAGAGGAGGAAGAAGTTGATTTGGACGAGGAAGCCTTGACTGAGGAAGTCCATCTTGTGGAAGGAGAACCATATGAGGAAGAAGTGGGCGTGGAAGAACTCAATTTGAAGGGGAGAACGTTGAGAAATAGTCGATATAAGAAAACTACGAGCAGTGCTAGTGGTGTGAGTATCCCGGGGCACAGCGATAGAAAGGAACTGTTGGGCAGGATTGGGTGTGACAAAGGCGTTTAGGAATATGTCATTGTTTCCGATACATGATTTTTTCTGTCCCCGACGGGTGGGCAGCAGCAGTGTGATGAGTTGGGGAGCGAGGAATAACTCGGACGAGAACTGGCGAGGAATATAACAATATTTTCTTGCTTTTTCATGGTATATGGCATGGGTTTTCTTGTTTCTACAGGGATTTGGGAAGATACCGATTGATTTTTCCATTGATGGTTGAGAGTTATGATAAAGCATACCCATTCTCCTATTTTACAAAAAGTTGAACGAGGGGAAAGAAAGGTTCTAGTTATTTTTGCGTTTCAACGTGTCATCGTTGGCATATCATCAGAGATTTCATGGTGATGGACTTGTAGCGAAGGGAAGGCATCATTGTATGTATGTACCTAGTATGTATGTGGATGGGATTTGAACTATACCCAGTTTTAGACAACTCTGGGATTTTGTGTGTTTGTCCACCAATAGTAAGAAATGCTTTGAGGACCATCAGCAAGATTCAATATCCTGTGCACAGTATTTGATATAAGGATCCTTTTTCTCTAGGTCTGCCTCGTATAACCTATATCAATTGATACCATGGCCTGCCTCTAAAAACAAACATAAAGCCAAAGTCTCCTGCTATTGATCCAATTAGCAATTGGCGTATCCGGACTTTGTCAATGAGTATTCCACAAATAAATTATAAATTATAAATTCTGGACTACCGGTAAGGTACTTTGAGCGGGGCCGTGATTGCAGCAAGTTACGGAGAAGAAAAACTTGGTCAAGTTTTTAGTGTTGCTGGCAAGTCCAGGTCTGCAAGGAGTAGGCGTGGTTTTTTTTCGAGGGGCTCGGGAGCAAAACGTGCTATGATTGTGGAGAAGATTCTGAAATCTGAATGAAGGAGCTTTGAGGATGACAGGGTAAGCCCATAAGGCAGGTCCCACCGCGGCGTTCCGTGTATCATCCGTACATAAAAATCATGCATATTAACTCATTATGTTGTCATTATAGTAATCATACAGTTTTCTTTCTTTCCAAATCCTCTCTTCTGCTGTGTGGATTACTTTTGTAAAGCCCTTGATTACCTTTGGAACGCGGGGAACTTTTGGTATCGAGTGACTTTTGTTGTGCAGATCTGGGAGACATTAGGACAGCTCGAATTGAGACTTTGAGAGAGGATACACATAATGGCTGCGCCGGTGGATCCAGCGACGAGAAAAAAGGTGTTGAAAGTGGTTTTCTTTTCGCTGTTGTTAGATTTGGTATGTCTCATATTAGCAGATTCAACTGAACAGGATAGCAAATATAGCTAACCCATTACTTCCAGATCTCGTATGATATACTTTCCAAATGAAACAAGCCGGCAGAATGATAGCAAACTGACGCGCTATTTTGGCAGATTCACATTCATATTGCCTCTATTTCCAAAGCTACTAGAGTTCTATAGGAAGTGGGTTTAGTCGTTTTCTTTAACTATGCGGATAGATGGGCTAATAGGAAAGCAGTCTCGAGGCGCCAACAGCCTTTTCTTCTTCATCCGAGTCGCCTACACTTCTCGCACATATCTTGACATATTTGAATACATACAAAGCGTCATTTGCTAGACCGATCGAGTCTCGATATGACATCGTATTGTTGGGCGGGGCTCTGGGGAGTTTATTCTCGTATGCAGCTATAAACCCGTTGTTCTTTTCGACCCGGCTTTGCTAATGGCATTCATCGCAGTCTTCTCCAAGCTCTCGCATCCCCCATCATCGGAACCCTCTCGGATAAATATGGTCGTCGAACGGCTCTCCTCGCCAGTATGACTGGCAATATACTCAGCGTTCTTCTCTGGGTTTGCGCCACTGATTTCCGTACCTTCCTCCTTTCGCGCGTAGTCGGTGGACTTTCAGAAGGCAATGTTCAACTGGCAATTGCAATTGCTACAGATATATCAGACGAGAAACAACGCGGTGCAACAATGGCATTGGTGGGAATCTGCTTCAGCATAAGCTTTACATTTGGGCCTGCATTGGGTGCTTGGCTCAGTACGATTAGTACTGTGCAGGCCAATCCTTTTGCTACTGCTGCTGGATTCTCCTTGTTTTTGATTGTGACGGAAACACTTTATTTGTATTTGTGTTTGCCAGAGACACTGCCCAGTAAAGTTGCTCAGGCTAAGTTAAATGGAGAGCCAACTGCTACGAATGGGATTACGAAGGCAGCTGGCTCTTCGAGCGAGAAAACGCAAGCTAAAATGGTATCGACAAGTACTCCTGGGGTGAAAAAGCAGGGAAGAACAAACTCCCACTTCCTACTCAACCTCACCCATCTTTCATTCATTCTGTTCTTCTCAGGCATGGAATTCTCACTTCCTTTTATGACATATGATCTTTTTGGTTATACATCTGCACTCAATGGTCGTCTTTTAGGATATATGGGTCTTGTAGCCTCTATTCTTCAAGGCGGCGTGACTCGACGACTTCCACCGCTCCTTTCCGTTCGCATCGGTGTGGTATCATGTCTAGGAGCTCTATTCCTCCTCGCCCGCATCAACACCGTCTCTGGTCTCTACCTTGCTACTACTCTCCTTGCCGTCACAACCGCAACAGTTGTCACGGGCCTAAATGCACTCAGCTCTTTTGAAGCAGGCGAGGATGAAAGGGGCGGAAAGCTTGGAAATCTGCGAAGTTGGGGGCAGCTCGGAAGAGGTCTAGGACCGTTATTATTCACGAGTGTTTATTGGTGGGCGGGCAGAGAAATGGCCTACAGTATTGGCGGACTGGGGCTTATGGGGGTGGCGCTTTTGGTTACTTTTGGCTTGGAAACACCTGGAGGAACGAAAGGAGAGAAGATTGGTGATGTTACAACTGAGGTTCAGGATTTGTAGATGAGGGTACAGGCTCCAGTTTGTTAGTACAACCTCTACATTCGACACTTTCATTGTCCTACTCGTTGGAGATGCAATCAGTGAGGTCATTATGTTTGTCTCCCCTGGAGCTTTTATAACCCAAGGTCGACTCCATGCCGTTATGAATCATCAAGTTTGGCCAGACAATTACCGGTTTGGATAGATGAAAGCGAATGGAAGCGAATGATAGTAAAAACTAGGTGTAAATACTAGTGCATTACATCTACTCAGTACATGGAACTGATTGAAATGGAAAGGAAGAAGTGGGAAGAAGGGAAAGGAACGCTTGCGATGGGTATATATATATATGTATAAATTAGCAAATATATGGATAGGGAGAACAGAATAAGAAATACGAGGTAAAAAAAAAATATTAGGATAGGAATTAATTATATAGGCATAGCATTAAGAAGGCTCCTGTGTTATCTTTCCATCCATCCATCGCAAATTTCGATCCAACCCAAACGCCCTATGCTGGCTGATCATTCTAATCTCATCTCTCGTTTCTATATACAAACTACCCCGTCAAGATGTGTAATCCTATCTTGAGGATTAATGAGCCAGTAAACACATGGCCGTTCTACTAATTATCCGTTCCCAACAATCGTATGTGCAACATCCAATCCGTAAGCCAATCTCATTCTTCACTATGATCCATCATCTTCTTTCCTCTCCGGTTTCCTCCTCAATACTCCCCCAAAACCCCTCGTACTTTCACCCTCTTTTGCATTTTCCTTCCCGGTATCGTTCCTACTCGCGCCACTGTCTGCTCTGCTTGTAGCCCCATCACTCACATACACGTCTTCTTTTCCCCTAGTACCTTCTCCTAAACCAGATACTACACCACCTACAGCACGCCCCACACCAAGGCTAATGCCACTTCCACCTATACTTCCGGCTCTGCTTTTGTTTCCTTTTGTTTCGAAGGAAATGTTGCTGCCAATAGAACTGCTTCGAAGGGGGGTTCGAAAGCGGGCGGGAGTCGATGTTTGGGTTTGGGAGTTCGGTTGTGGGGAGGGGGTAGTGATTGGTATGCGGGAATTAGAAGGAGAAAGAGGAGGGTGGAAATTCGGTGCGGGCGTGGAGGGTGTTCCTTGTGCGCTTTCTGGGAGGGGCTGAGGTTTCGGTTTGAGGGCATGATGTGAACCGTCGAATTGAGGGAATGAGTTGGATGTAATGACACCACTAGCAGAATTTTCGGAAAAGTTATCATTGTTGACATGGGAGTTTCTGGAACTGAGCTTGACGCGTTTTCGTGCACTATTATGGTTGTATATATCATCGATCATTTTGAGATCGGCTGACGATTCGTCAGCAGGCTGTAATATGGTAGTTGGGTCCGCATCGACATATGTTCCACTTTCTAATGACTGGCTATCCTCTTCGCTCAAGTAGGTCAACAGTCTGTCGTTGCTGGCACCAATGCGCAGTGAGTTAGTACGAGCGCGATTATAATGTTCGTACTCCTCTTTCGAATGATCAGCATTGTAGAAGGATTCCAAGGCGTCAAAAACATGTGGGAAGACTAGAGTGTCGACTCCCCGAGCCCAGAGAAAATCAAGATGCTCATAGTGGGCAATTTCGATATGGCTTGTGTGGTTTGGAAGTTGTTTCAACATTACATTTATATCAACTAGTGAGTCGCTGCCACCATATAGTAAAACGATTGGTGTTTTGATATTGCGAGTTGGAAATTTGGCCACTTTAGTGTATCTGTCTACTCCACTAAAAACAGGTTGCGGCTCGTCATCGTACATTTGGAATGACTTGGTGCGGATAATTTGAAACCAGTGGACAACGGATTTTGTACTGGTGAAAGAATACAAATGAGGGTAGGCTGCGAGCTTCTGTGATGTGGATATGTTTTTGGCGTGCCAACCAAAAAGAAACGACAAGCCCATATCTATGAGACGAACAAAAATTGGAGGGTAGAGTATGGATTGCCACATAGTTGCTGATGAGAGGATGGAGCGACGGCCGAAAAGAAGAAATAGAACTTGAGGCGATGCTTTGATAAGGGCATCTACTATGCCATTCGAGAGACCAGCTGGGGACGTCGCAGGTGCAAGCGCAATGAATACATTAATTTGATCGTTGAGTTTCGGATGGACAGCCAAAGTTGCAAAAGCTTGAGCTGTTCCTTGAGAGAATCCAATGTACGACAAGGATGGCGCAGAGGTTGTGTCAAGTATGTATTGAATGGTGTCTGGGATATCATGGAAAGCAAATTCATCCATTGAGAAGTCCCAAAATGCCGTGTCTGCTGGTGAATGGTGGATGGATTTCTTAGAATATTTGTTTCCACGATTGTTTCCAAGCTACAATCGTTAGTCTCTTGTGTGAGCGATATTAACACGGGTTGAACTTACCCAAACATCATATCCTCTATCCACCAGGGTGAAAGCTAAGCATCTCTCCTTATCAGTCAAACATACCCAAACCTCACTATTCATGAGCAAGCCATGGTGTAGATATACAACAGGCTTCTTGATGCTATTTGATCCACTATTGACTTTTGTATTTTCTTCTCCTTTCTTCCAACCAAGCCGATGAAGACATAGCAAATAGCCATCTCCGGTTTGTACAACATGTTCTTCGGCATAATAACCAGCTAATTCGCAGAGATCTACAAAGTCTGAAGCATTTCGAATCGAGGTGGATATATCTGAATTTGTCAGTCCTAATCCTCGCTCTACTTCTACTGAAGGACCGCTCCAACCTTGCTTCCGTGTCTCTGATCTCTTAGCTGCCGGGGATGTGAACCGATTAAAGAGCCGCCTCGAGCCTCGATAGCATAGTTTTATGATCGTCGAAGCTGTGCCACTGTTAGATGATCCATGAAACATGTTTGAAGGGAGGGGACATACGCAGCGCAAGTGTCAGTACCCTAATTATTGCTTCTAATCCAACAAGAAAGAAAGAGCTGACTAGCGCCAAATATTCGCTCCTGTATAATTGATCAACAATCACCCTATATCATAGCTAGGAATAAAACTTACGGGCAGAGCCGTCCGATGAATGGAAGATACATTGTGTTGAGTATCTTCTATCGATGACTTTATCTGCGCGGTGAGAGAGTTTTAATAACTTACTATCTGACGAGGATCTTGACCGCAAAACAGATAAAGAGCTTAATATATGTATTGTGATTACCCTATAGGGTCTAGACCTCCAATACCTGTGAAAGAATTGTGTTAGTGAAGCAATTGACGTGGACAGAGCTCTCAAGTGCATCCATACTCGTACGAAGTAGAATCCAATCGCTGGACCCTTTATTGATGTCACATCCACTTTCACATGCCAATTGCACGCCCTTCACTTCATTTGCGCCTCAATTTGAAATAGTTGGCTCAAAATGCTTCTCTGAATTGATCAAAGGAGAAGTTTAAGCTGGCCAATACAATACCTAGGTAGCAAAATATCTCGAATACATGTATGTACCTTGACTCTAAACATTAGACGATAAATCAAATCAAGAATTGTCGTCCCTGGATGAATCTAGTGGCGCAGTGGACGATCTGGGGCACCGGGGAGCTTGTAAGGTTATCTAATCTACTCCGTATGCCGGGTAATATACGGGCCTCACAAGCTTCTCGCGAGACTTTTGAAAGTTGCTGCCGTCGCCTATACCTTATGAACTTTTGTCTGTACCGGTTGGATGTATTCATGACACTACCTACAAGCCTGCGGTTTATGTTATACTTTTCACAAGGTCTTCATCCATCTTTACTCCTTTTTGGCCTAGAGGCAGTTTCATTCAAACACCAAAGGAAAAATCCTTCAACATGCCTAGTTCCTGCCAAGATATTCGTTCGCATCTTCTCCTCCCTTCCCGCGTTTCCCCGCTAACGTTTTTTTTCCCGCAGGAGCTGCGCTGGCACAATGTCTTCAAGAGTCGGACTGCGTCATGGTGTATCGCAACAAACCATCCGATTGTCTGCGAGCTCCTCTCCTCGAAACGATGCCCACCAAGTGTCAACAGTTAAAGAAAGGCTATGGTGAATGCAAAAGGGGATTGGTCGATATGCGCAAGCGATTTAGAGGCAACCAGCCGATTTCTGTAAGCAAAGAGATTGAGGGAGGAGGGAAAAGAAATACTGGTGGTCATATGCTCTACGCTGGAAAGCCAGCTTTTGATAGCGGGGTCAAAGAGACAAGTGGAAATGAGCCCGAGGAGAAAGACTGGAGACAGCTGGAGAACGAAAAGTACAGAAAGGAATAGAAAACACAGATACGATAATGTCAGGGAGGATTCCGGGTGTTCTGCTTATGTCCGCTGGATTTGGGACTGTCCATTGCATTCGAAGGCGTTCGGGTAGTGTATAACAAACGCATCAGACGGCCAAGATTGATCATCGCAACAGGAATTGTAAGGGAATCTGCTCAAACACAATGTCCTTCATGATAAATACGTCTGTCTCCTAAGATAGGAAGTGAAAGATTTTTCCACTTCGTCGTGGCCACTTTTAGTTCGTCACGCTGTTGTTGGTTTCTCTTTTCGTGGGAGAAGCTGGAATAATCGTCGGTAGACCAATTCCGGCCACAGCCATCTTTGCTTACCTTCGATGTGACTCACAGAGCACGGGTATGAGAGAGCCGAAGATATACGACCTGTGTTACAGTCGGGTTCTCTGCCGAACGAGAGAATCCGCAGGTTTTGTTTCATCGGCGCTGATTGCTACAAGTGAACGTATGCTGCGTGGGTGGCCTGCATCATAGGATGCATCTGAAGTATAGCCGACTTTGTCTTACTTATGCACGAATATTTGGCAGTGCTCTCTGCCCCATCACCCTGCAAATTTGGCAAAGGCGGCCGAATGTCGGATATCAGAATATTCAACACTCAAAAAATATCGGAAGAAGTTTTTCGGCCATTAGTGTTGCGGTAGGATCGTCACAGTTTGAGAATATTTGATTATTGTATTATCCCCGCTCAGGAAGAGTTCCCTAGTCTTGGTCACTTCCATTTTTCCTATTATCATCCCATGATTAGCTCTAGTTTTGCCCCTTCATCCTGTATCCAACACCATAAGTTAAGTTCGCCGAAAGAACATTCCTTTTTCCGCGAAATCGCCAATCTAAAAATATACAGAACTCCAAATCACCATGGTCATTGATTCATTCAAGGACTCCAAGGTTAAATTGGTTCAAGGTCCCAACACCATCCGCCCATCCCCCTATCAGCTCACTACTCGACGAATTTTCGCGCTGTGCCTGCTCGTACCGTGCCAGTAAATCTTGATACATATCACTGAGATTATGTAACTCGGTACTGAGCATTTTCACCTGGTCTTCAAGTCGCTGACGTTCGTTTGCTTGGCGCTTCCGAAAATTCCTCTGGGAAACGCGATTTTGCACAAGCCGCCGCTGGAAATGGTCAGGGTAAGACAATAAGATAGGAGAGTGTTCTTACCATCTTTTGAGCTGGAGTTTTCTCCGTTACTGAGTCTGCTGAATCATGTGATGTCTCCCGTGTGCGAGTGCCTAGAGATTTGGGTTTCCGATCACGAGAGGCTCGGTTTTGACTTCGTTTCTACGTTTCGTCCGTCAGCCCAGAACAGAATTTGCCTCAATCTAAGGAATTATTATAAGCTCTTACCGTCTCAACTGACATCTCCTCATTCATCTCATTCCTTTCCGATTCAAAACTTGCTCTACTATTCTCTGTCGAAATGCTTTGATCCAATTCTGGAACCATAGAAGTATCGATGGTATCAAGATATGGACTTGGATATGGCGCTATAGTATATATACTTTCCGTTTGTGGGATCGTACAGGTTGCCTGGTCGTCGTGTTAACGTCTTAAATTGAAGCGGCTCAAGGATTGAACATACATATGGAAAAGCAGATTCGAATGCATTGGTACCCAAGTCACACAATGCGTCTTGATCAAATGTCAAAGGAATTGGGGAAGGAGGCGAGTACCAAATTGGGGCGGAAATTGGCATTCTCTATTTAGACTTATTTTTGTGTGTGAGTTCTTTTTGTGTAAATTCGAAGCTTGTCAGGAAATTTGTTATTGAGGTGAAGTTTGTCTATGCAACGGAATTCGCGAAGGATATGAAAATATATATAATCAGTAATCAACTATGACTTTAGCAGCTTATAAGACCTTCAACTGCCGCATATTCCCGACCTCTAGGCGACGGATTTAGCGCAGATTAAATTTTTTAGCCTTTCAATAGGCTATATCAATCACATACCATAAAATTTCAGCTTACATATCCGAGACGGCAACACAGAACACCCGCAGAAGAATCGATCGAATGTTTAATGCCCGCCAGTTCATGGGTCTAAACGGGGTTTGACATCACTTTCTCAGCTATTTTAGTCGGTGAGTGGGCAGCCACAAAATCGCAAATAAATTCTTCGTGTTGCGAGCACCCTCGGAAAACCAAAATTGTTAATGGAAGTAGTCACACCAAACGAACGCCTTTCAATTTACAATGCATAAATGGCGAAGCTTACCGTATCGGGTGCGTGCACTTTCCATTCTGGGGGTCCACGTGCCTGGGTTGTCTTCTATTCTTTTCTTCGTCTGCAGTGTCAGCGAAGTTGGATATCGAGTCGACTTGCTCTATTGGGCTTTATGCATGGAATTTTAAAGGTGCATGCATCGGTCTTTCCGCGTCGTTCAGGCTTGATTACAAAGACGGATTTACAAATTGCTTTTTATATCCAACGTATCTGCACCTTTGAATCCATCGGTTAATCAAGCCTCTTCAACACATTCCGCCGAGGCAGCGAATTTTATAATATTTGTAATCCAAATATGTCTTGCGACCGAGGAGGAACCAAATACATATTATTATTGCAAGTATCTAATCAGAGAGGAGATCCAAGCCATCCCGCGCCACCATTCAAATTAAAATCCTCGCTGCATATATCAAGGTTGCCCCGCAGAGCCACAGTAAGTGGTGTAGATTTACCCTCCGTTTTTCCAGACGACGACCCTAAATAAGTAAATAGAGTACCTTCAACTTTCTTCCATGTGTCGAGACCAATGCCTTGTAACTCTATCATCGCGTTAGCTACGTACCACGCTCTGCGATGTCTCTCTACATTTGAGCGCTCTCCTTGGAGGATAACACGAGCAAGCATCTCAATGGCTCTACCCCAGCCACTAGTCGTGTCAAGTAACCGATACCTGCAGGCTTGAAAATATTTCTCACGAAGCTGCGGCGTGGTATTGAATTCTTGCAAGGCCATTTGGAGGTAAATCAGGGATGCTAGTCGGAAACACTTCCACATGATGCTGCGTCTCTCGTCGGTCGCTCGCTCGGTTGAGTGAAGCCAACTCATTCCTATGGCGGCTGAGCAGATTCGATCACTGAAATTGTTCCATTGTTCTGGGGACGTTGTCTTGGGCGCCTCATCTTTGATAATTCCAGTCGCTCTTTCTAGACCATAAACCATCCTTATGAAGTCTGTGCAAAAGTTATTCTTTGCTTGCATCTCCGCGATTTGGTATTGGAGCGTCGAGGCTCCAAGTGAGCTTGTTGTTGTCAACTCTTCGATTACGTTTTTATCACATCTCGAGTATATTGGTCGACTAATTTGTATATACGCCCTACATAGGTCGAGACTGAAATTGAAGTCATTAAAAATTCTTCGCGAACAGAGTTTAAACGGTGCGGACTACAGCTTAAAAATGAGCAGATTTTGATGCTTGTATTCACTTGAGTCAATGAAATTTATCGAAATGACCAAGCCACTCTCAATGAATCATACTTTTCCAAGCATTAAAACTTCAGATCGAGCTGCAGTCTAGACTACTGGGTGCTCTGGGCTGGCATCAATACTGCAGGTGCAACATACCTCTCAATCACAAGCTGCAAAGGTCTATTCCTAGAAAAGGCGACAAGACCTCCTCTGCATTTAACCATTTGGTCCAGACCATTCATATGGATACTGAAATTTTCGGGAAGACCGGAAAGTAGCTACACAGCCTATAAGAACATGCACATGATAATAAGGTTGAGGAGACCCACCTCATGACCTGTGAAATTCGCAACAGCTCCAATACTTCCATCAGAAAGAGCTTGTGCGGGATCATTGAGTCTCTTGTTGATGACGCGCATAGCCTCAGTTTTATGTTTAATAGCAATAGGTGGTTCTTTTTGGCCATGAAGTCGAGCCATATGTTGGATATTAAATCCCATAACGATATGAGCGGGTTCGGGATCAAGCCAGGAGACTCTTGAATATAGCCATCCAACTCTACCAAAATCTGTACCTGTCGTCTCTTGATCCATACACGATGCTGTTATCCAGCAATCTTTTCTTGTTAACGTTTGTTCCAATAATAGCAATAGGAAAACCTTATTGTGGGGAGGTGTATCTGGAGAGCTTACAGTGATGGATTAGCCTTTGTATTTCTGGTCCTTCGCCAAGTTTTAATCTTGAAAAAGGATCCGCATTTGCGATTCCCGTCCTACACAGAGGAATAATTGTCTGGCCATAGTTGGAGAATTGGTCGGGTAGTGTGTTGAGATTTCCTGATAGCGTTTGGGGCGTTTCCTGGGCCATTTTCGTCCTCGGGGCTTCACGAGCAGAACCTTCATCAGACTCTTCATTATCAATATCTGATTCAACGCAATCTTCCGGATTTCTAGAATTTGAGTGATGACGGGCAGTATCCTGCAAATCTCTACGTTTTGATATCCTTGGCCTCAGACTACACGAGTCTTTCTTGCGGTGCTCTCTGGCTTTCTTGGCATTTTGCAGCTTTTTCTCTCGCCAAAACTCGCGCATGACATGGCTACGAGCTTCGGTTCTTGGACCTCGCCCATTGCTCACCTGGATGAAGGTAAACCCTGCAGCTTTACTGTGGTTTAAATCCACTTCACATGGATCGGGAGAATTTTCAGTACCAGTGGAAAATGATGATTCTACTCCGAGTGGTGGTTAGCATAGGGTACCCTCGTATTGTGAGTATATTGGTCAAACTAAACATACTTTCAGAATTTGGTGATAGGGTTTCCAATCGAGTCATTTTTCCAGGATTGACGCTAGACATAGGTTTCAATACTAGTGTATCTGAATCTCTGATCAGTATAATATTCGCCTCTATCTTGCGATTTTCAACTCAATTAGATCATCAGCGAATCTGTCAAACGTAGCACTCACCGCACAACGCATATTCTCATTCTCGCAAATATCTGTCGCTACATTAAGGCATTCCTCTCAAAGTTTAAACACTCCCAATAGAATAATAGCCCTTTTCAAAGAGAATACTGGCTCAAAATTAGCGGTGTTAACAGCACTTCGTACTTGGTGCAGAGAAGTTCGGGGTTGGTTTTCGGGGATTGGAAGGATTTATAAGCATTACTTGCATTGCCGTGAAGAGTATTATGTCAGCTTGCTTCACGTGATGTGTGAATAGCCAGGCACTTTGCGCATCAATGTCGACCCAAAGCATTCCCCATCGTCCCAATTCACAGTTTAGAATGAAACTATCTTTCGAGCTCGGATGCTTCTCAATGATTCAATCCCGAATTCCAATGATTAAGATTTGATGATCAAATAGTCTTCTATTCATGCATAGCCAGATACCTTGGATGCTCAGGATATTGTATTGTCCATCGCACAATGAAGTTTGTAAGCTACTGGAGTGGGAGCCGATATGGAGCTCTTGACAATTTATTTTCTTTTCTTTTTTTGGATGCAAGATTGTATGAATGTTGGTCATTTAAAGTCGGAGCTTCAACATTTCGAAAGTGTTCTGATTTTTGATACAAAGATTCACAATGAATTTCACCTCTGTTCGAATTCATTACTCCTCTTTATCCATCCGTCCCCCGACGTTTGCGTTCCTCATAAGTGAAACCGAAAACAAATCGAGGTGATGAAAGGCTTTCTCACAAACCATCTCTGTCTCCAGCATGCTCCAAAGATTGTCCCATTCCCGTAGCTTGATGATCTCAAAAAGCATTTTATTATCAACTTCCTTAGCGAAAAATGCGATGAACGGATAAGTTGCAGTTGCCTTTAGAAGTGGCATTTGAGCATTGAGGTTCCGTCGAGATCGTAAGTTTATCTACCATAGAGCATTTCCAATTTTGATGTGCGTTCACTTTTTGAAATTGAAATGACGATGTGGACCACAAGGCCTGTCGCCTATCACTCCAGAGCAAAGAGAATGTATTGGTACTAGTCAGACAAACAGTTGCTTCTAAAAGCAATGATTCCGATATCTCCTCGTGACACGATACTGTAGGCACCGGTCTGGCCACCAGTCTAGCCACCAGTACAAGCTCATTCAATGCTAGAGAGACTCGGCCAGCGCTTTGGATTAAAATGGAAATACATGCAAGAGTTTCCATCAGCAGCTAATTGCTCTTGAAAGTGATTTCGAAGTGGCCGAACACGGCAAGTAGTGGAATTGTGATCTGGTCACAAGAGCCACCTCCTCGCACTAGGCAATGTTGGCTCTATAGACAAGCCATTATATGCCGGAATGACTATCAAAGCCTTTCAAATATCATAACAGTCACTATCCTTCCAAATTCAGTAACACCATTCACCATGCCGTCTATTAATACCACCGTCCTTGTAACAGGCACCAGCACTTTCGATTTCAACATCCAAAAACTTCTGAAAAACTTTCTTATTTTATTGTTCTTCGAGTTTTCATGAAAGGTGTGAGTGACCATTTTAGCCTTGGCTCTTACTCAGATACAGGTATCAATCAGGTTGTAAGTTGATTCTATAAATTACGAGATCGTATTAAGATTCCACGTCCTTTGGCCCCATACTTGTATCGACCACACGCACAGTATTACCGGTGATCTCGTGTACAATCATCATCTCGAATTTACAATAGAAAGACTAATGCAGGGTAGAATGAATCCGGAACACCATCGAGATTATATATTATCCTTGGGAGTTGTGAGTTTCAATCCCTGGCAGCAAGTGATGAAGTTTAGGCTTCCTCATTAAAGAGACTCTGTTACGTTTATGATATTCCGCCTCGGGGTATTGAAGTTCCAGGCTATTGTAATGACAGCTGATCTTTCTTGGATAGGTCAAATTGGACGTTAGTATCATTACCACTACACACAGCTCACAACGGGTTCTTTATAAGGTCAATGAAACTTTTTGAATTAAGTAAGAGTTCTGGTCATTACTCACCGCACCCCCTTTAAATTTCACCTACACTTTTGAAAATTTAATATTAAATCAACATCACAATATTTTTTATTGAAAATCTGATAATATATTAATGAATAATATTTAATCTTTTTACTTCAATTATATCCTCTAATTTATAGATCAATCTTTTAATATATGATCTGAAATTTAAAAGATCAAATATCTTCTACAACTTTTTAAACTCCCTTTTCAATTCTTCAATAAAAATAAATATAAATAGTAGTTTTTTTAGCTCCTTTTTTATCCAATATTATATCTTCTCAATTGAATTGAAATCTGAAGAAAAAAAAGATCATTGAAAGCTTTTAATATTATATTTTAATCGAATTAATCTAATATATTTCAAATGAACTTTTGTATTGTTCTTCATAAATATATATTCAAACCTTAATTTATCAAATAAAAGGAATATAATAAAAATAAAGACCTAATCTTGATATACTATTAAATTTACCTTTTTATCATCAAAATTCTTTTTCAAAAAGATTAATAAAGATTTATAATTCCAATTAAAAGCTTTTTATATTATTACAAAGATCCTTCCTGATTTTTATATTGATTTGATATAACTTTTATACCTTTTTTCTTCAATTCTACAAATCATTTATATCCTACTATATTTTCCAACCTCGAAAATGCTTTTATTTAATTATATAACCTTCCTTCAATCATTTTTTTTAAACTTTTCAGAAACTATATCGATTATTTTCTATCAACAATATACATATACAAAATCCAATCTCTTTTTTATTTGTTTCCTAAAAATAAATAATTTAAAATAAGTTATACAATGTTTATAATTATATTAATATAATTCATATCGAATAATACATATCGAAGCTTTAATCTTTAGTATATATTTCATCTATTTAAAAATCATCCTTTTTCCTTTTTAATCTTTTATTAATTCTCTTATAATTCATCAAATCTCTTTAATTATCATTATAAAGAATCGATATACCTTTCCTTTACAAATAATTCTAAATGAATTCGATTTAATAATATCTTTTACAATATTTCGAGATATACTCAAATTTTGTTCGATCCAAAACTACGATTTTCTATCCTCCCTAATTTGAAAGATTCTAGTTCTACAAAAGGTACCCCAATTTTGATGAAATTCATAATTATTACTTTCATTTTGAATTTGAATAGAAAATATTGAAAATTTGAATTTTGATGAATTATTTATAATTGAAGATTGAAAATAAGATTACAATTATTTCTCAGTAAAATATGTAATTAGAAGTTTCCAGAACTCTTACTACTAGAATTAGCATTGATGCTCCAGCTACAGACACTCAAGATCTCGTCATTTCCGCCTTCCAGGCCATAATAATCTCACAAGTTCTCAAGGCATACCACACGAATGATAGTCCATGTGCAAAGGAGAGAACCCAATCTCTGGAAGCCACTGGTCTCTCAAGCTCCTGGCACAATGTTCTGTGTGGTCATTATCCAATGTAACATTATTCACCATTCCTCCCCTTCTAAATCCCCTGACTGATTGCTCTAGAAAATACGCGCAATGGGCAAGGTGAAACTCCGCGGATGAATAGACCGTTGTATGCTTACCTAGTCTTACTTCTTCTAAAGTCATTGGTGTTTGCAGACTCCGATCAAGCCAGAAAGGATAATCGTGGTCAGAAAGATACACCTCGTGTAACTCAGAGTCGAAACATTCCGGCTGCAACCATGCTACGAGTATCACATCGAAGAAACATCCTTTGGCTCGTGCCTCCTCGCCACTACCGCCACAGTCTTTCCAAACCAGTTCGGTTTGTGAATCATGGCTATGGTGGCTTACTCCAAGATGTACTAGATCAGCTTGTTGTAAGGCTTCAGGACACAGGCCTCCAGCATGCGATGAAGCCCCTCTTGCCATGGTAAGAACCATACTAAGTAGGACAATGATTGCAAAAAAGAGGACGGCAATCATCAAGCGACAGATTTCGATCGCAAGCGCATTGTATCTAGAGATGGTCGGGTCTTTGGGTCGTTGACGCTGGTTGAAAGGCGTTTTGCCATATTCTTCAAGGAGTGTCTCTTCATGATCTAATTCACTAGACAAAGGGGAACATGACGGACCCATTTCTCCGGGCTGTGTAACTGTTACAGTCAAAAGTTGGAACAGGTGATGGAACAATGAGTATTGGACGGAGATGGGAAGTCGAGAGGTTGAGGATAGTTGTGATGTACAGGGAAGAGATAAGATGTGACTGTGCTAAGAAGAATTATGTAAATAATTCTAGACTCCTTGGATGTAGATAAGACAGTAGTACTGAATGCAACTGGCATTATCTTGCAGGTAAGGGCGGCTAGCTGTAATGCAGAGGAACAGTCTTACAGTAGCTTCATGCCTTCCGCTAGGGATAGGCAGGGTATCGTTACCATTGGGTGATGGCGCTGCTTGCCTAGATCTGGGGTAGTTTTCCTGACCAGATTACTGCTTGGGAGTCAGCCGACACAACGCATCGATTGGAAGTCCCCACAGATGGTCCACAATATATTATGGGCTGTACCGTCCCCTCGGTACCTACATGGCTATTATGCCCTGTCACCATACCGTACTCATGCAGCCAGCAAGTATATCACACATTCCTATTCTAGTTTAGATCTAAGGAGCTAAACCTTGAGAAAAGATAGTAGAGCCAATAGAATCGATTATTTTCTATTGTTCCACTTTAACAATACATACAAACACAACTGAAATTCTACGATTTGTTCACTTTGAAATCGTAAGCTTGTGCATTCATACTCTTTTGATGTCTTGTAGATTCTTTTCAATATTTTTCTGACCAGAATAGCTTTTATTATATATATAAAAGGAACAACAAAAAAGTAAAATCATATTTTTGAAAAATCGATCTTTATTTATATTGAATCCTCACTGTAAAGATGTAACAATCTCTCTCTCGAAGATTAAAAATTGATATTTATCAATATTGTAAAGATATTGTCATTATTAATAAAAGAAGAAGTATAAAATAATATAATATTAAAGATTTCTTCAATATAGTATTTTAATTATATAAATAATTATTATTTGTAAATAAAGATAAAAGTTCAAATCTAAATCTTTATTTTTCAAAAAATATAAAATGAAATTATTAAATGAATAAATAGATTTTAAAAGACATCAAACTTTATATAAAATATTATTTCAAAAATATAACTTTGATTAATTATAAAAATAACATAGAATTTGTTATTATTAGATATATTATAATAATATAACGATCTGATTATTATAAATCATCATCATTTGAGTTATTATAATATTGAAAATGTTGAAGAATCAATTATCGATTATTAAAGATTTTTTATCATCTGTAATTAGAAATCTAGAATAAATATTTTAAACAATTATAATAAAACAAAAAAATATTCTAAATAATTAAAGTAAATTAAAAGGATAATTATTTTAGAATAATTATTCTAGAATAATTATCTTAGAATATCAATTATTTTAAAAAATGAATTGTTTTAAAACTATGATTCTAGAATAAATATACTAGGACAAATAGTTTTCCAGATCGGATTATATAATAAACTTATTTTATTAATCAGTTAATATAATTAATATATAATCAAAATAGTTTTATAATATAAAAACTTTATACTCAATTTAATTATCAATTAATTTATTTATATTTTTGAAATTATTATTAATTTCGAATTTTATTAATAAATCATCTGAAAATTACAATTGAAGTATATTTTGTAGTTATAGAAAATTTTGGAGTTTCTATCACTTGTCTAAAATTTGTATAGTTTGATAATTCCGGTAATATATCTCCGCCCTGATAAAAATATGTAGCTCTTTCAACGATACACTTTTGAACATTGATCCTAAAATACCGTATAAACTCACCTAACTCGGCTTAAGCCTATTCTTGTTGAGTATTAGCTTTCTCGTCTAAATCAAGGTGCACTGGTTGAGGGGAGCATGTGATTGGATGAAGCAAGCATAGTGGCACATTTTCCTTGTCTTAGCGAGAGAGAGATCGGGCTTAAAGGGTCCAGGCTCAATTCGAGTTAAGTGAGTTTATACGGAAGTAGTAGAAGCTAATGAGATGCTACTTTTGTGCTTTTCTCACAAATAGATAATTCATTATCCAATTGAAACTTCTTGAATGTTTGTAGTACGAAGTATACAGTAATCTATTAGTGGGTTTGGTGCGGAAGGTTCGGCTAGCTACCAATCTCAGCCTCAAAGAGGCATTTTTCCAGATTCCCAACTTCTATCGTCCGTAGCGATGTTGATTTCTCACTAGCATTCAAAGTGTCTGCTTGTATCTATATTGAGTCCACTCCAGAAGATTCTCAAACTTCCGACAAGTATGTGTCATTTCCGTATTTGCCAGCAAGAGACGAGACTCGGTGTACGCCTTAGGAACGGGTGTCATGTCGCCAGCACATTGGAGCATCTGTCGGAGGGTATCAATGCAATGATCTAGTTTCATCAGCGATAAGTTAAATAATATACAAAGCGGAAAGCCGCACCGATGTGTAACCAGTAATCCGGGATTCCTTCCCTAGCGATATGAACATCCGGATAATGATCATCATATAGACACTGTCGGATATAGTTCTTCGACACGAGTTAGTAAACCGAATCTTGGACGATTGAGCTCACTTACTAAGCAATGAAGGTTATGCTGCGATGCAGTCCTAGGATGGTCAATTTTGAGCCAGATGCTAGAATTCTACAAAACTTACGCAGCTAAATATCCACCTGGTTTGTACTCTGATATTTCTCCATTAATACTCTCAGACTCTTCCTTTGTAAGCGTTACAAATCTTCCTAAAGCTTGGTTAGATTCTAACTAAAAATTTCAGAGGCTGCTCGAACGAACCGGTGAGTCGGTTCCATGCCTCATCCATCTCTGCTGTAGGCTTCCCAACATATCTCACGTGTGTACTCGGATCGAAATGCATATAGAAAGTTCCGTTCGGATGAGCCTTGATACCACCCCAGAAGTGGACTTCTTCTGTCTCAATGATATGTACTCCAGCTTCTATCAACCCATGAGTAGTCAGTTTCGATATACAAGGTCTCAAATTGTAAGGTTCATAAACTCACGCATCTCTGTTGCAAATCCGGTCTCATAGCTGGCAGGAAGTTTTAATGGATAACTGATAAGAAGAGTTGCAAGAAGGCAAAGAGCTAAAGCAAACGTGGATATCATCCAAGGAAGTGCTGAGTTTCTTGGATATCTCCTCGTTTTTTCAGTAGATATGGAGTGAAGAAAGGGCTCGTTGTCATCCAGAAAGCCATCCTCTATCTCTGTGAGGGTCTTATAGAAGAAGAGCTTGCGTGCGCGTTCAAACATGTTTGAGATTGTACAGAGTTGTAAGAATGTGTGAGGTGAGACGATATCTTCGAAAAATATAAATAGATGAAGGGGCAAGAATATGGGAATAGTAAAAGTGGCTTTTTCTGGAATCTATGTCTTCGACTATCTGAAGGTCATCTGACGAAGGCAGGGAAGTTTTGTGGCCCGTCTTATTGTGGTTCTTCTGCAGTTGTCTGCACTCAGATAATTGAATGTGAACCCTGCCGTCCCAATATCCGTCCTTTTTAGTTTAGAGATTGGACATGCTGGCTTATTCTACATTGCGAGGGTGGAAAAAATATATATATAAGCCTGGCACTGCCTTCTCAAAAAGAGCTTCTGTTCTCTATCCACGACTCATTCTAGAGAAACATACTCTTTCTCTGAATTTCAAGTTCACTTGCAAACATCCTCCATCATGCTTGTCAAAAGTCTCATTACGCTGCTTGTAGCATCATTAACTGCTACAGCGGCTCCAATTGCGACAGTTAAACGCGGAGAAGCTCCCGATCCCGCCACAGACATTATTTGGACCAAGAACTACGGCGACTATGAGAAGCGCGCCGAAACCCCCGACCCAGCCACAGATATCATCTGGACCAAGAACTACGGAGACTACGAGAAGGCTTAAGCCATTTCTCCAAGTTCCATTCGAAGTAAATAAGGAATCTCGAAGAACCTTTGCTTGACTAACGCGTATTAGAGCTAAACTTGAGATATTGAGATGGCTGTGCCTGCGGAACATGTGTGGCTTTGCGATGGGGTTTGGAAATGGAGATGACACAAAAATTCCAGATGTTATAAGAGGATTTCCAATGCTAATACAATCCGAAACACATGACAAATAATCCGCCTCGCTCTTTCTCCTCTGATAAATGTGATTATGCTTTCATGATGAATGACTTTGGATTAGACCCGATGTACTTGCATGATCATCCGATTATTGCACGAAGATAGATAGACGCAGTGCCAGTAGAATGACTACTGTAGAACTGTCTTTACTTTCCGGACTCAAAAACACAAGGTATGATCATGTGGATGGATAGTAATCTAGGACTAGAAGATCGGTTACATGAATGTAAAGTAAAAACCATGTGAATTCATGTGAGGTGTTATCGTCAGATACCTAGGAAGAGCTCTTACGTACACTCATCAATTGCGCTGACCTAGGCGGAGCTTGAACTATTGCACAATCGCCGATGAAGGACACCTAGAAGGGCATGGGCGACGGGTGGTCTTCCGGTGTGTCTTATTACGTCGAGCTATGGGGAAGTTTGTGGACTGCCACACCAAAAAATTTCAGTTGCACGTCTGCAGGCTTTGCCATGATATCACCTCAAGGTAGTACTGCAGACTAATGCAAGATATCCTTCAGATGGTTAGATCACTATAGAACCAACTTCAAAAGCAGTTCGAAGTCTGGCATTTCCATATCCTAGCCATGCTGCGTCAGATTGATCCTCAGTTCGTATAGAGGTTATTCAAATACCAATCACTGGCAAAATAATTGATACCAATCATACTGGCTAGTAGATTAAAGATTACAACGTATCATCATGAACACGCAGAGTGTCCAAAATCTGTATCCCTCCCATGCGCATCCGCTGTCTTATCAGTATTTCTCGGGAAAGAGTTTCCTAAACAGAATATATTGAGACCGTCTAAAGATGCTTCGTTCTTCGCACAGAGGTAGTTATCTGGCTTTGGATATGTAATGACATGGGCAATCATGGCTGACACGCTTGTAAGTTGAAATGATCTTACACGGCCCTTAGCTATAGCTAGGCTAGGCTATATGACTACTGCAAGCGGTGCAGCGAAATTGGTGTCTAACTGCCCAAGCGGTGTCCTTGGTCACCCTGCTATTAGAGCCTTTATGCCATGAATAATAACTATATAGAATACCAATTCATCATGATAGAGTAGCGGCCATAGTATAGTTGTGCTGATGGAGGTTGATCGTCGACCCCACTTTAATTTAGATAACAAGCGAGGTGAGACTCACGTGCTTGCCAGGCTAGATAATGCTTACATGCATAAACTTTAATCACTATTGATGTTGGTTATCTTATCAGCACTTTCTACCTCAGCGTCCTACCCCCTCTTTTGAAGCGAAGACTAGCGCTACGAGGGCAATTAATGTAATACAGTACAGTATCTCGAAGCGGGATGTAGGTGATGTGATGGTAGGGATATAACTGAACGGAGAAACACATCCCAGCCCTCAACTTACCGGTTGTAGGTCATCCCACGTGTAAAAGATGTCAAACACAGTTGCGCGCAGCATGGAATCAATTGCAGTCATAAAACATTACAGGGGTGGTGTGCGGGAAAAATATGGAGTCATTTCTTTGGTTTTGCGACTTTGTGAACATAGCACTCGGCAGGCTAAGCTCCTGCCGATTGCCTTTCAAAAACAACACACATACATGTATGTAGTTCGACTTTATACTGGGTGTTAATTACTACAAAATTAGTCCAAAGAATTTCTGGGAGCTTCATTTTTCGAAAATTTCGTCATGAGAGCAGGTACGCAGGCCTACTCCCCCGTCTCTTCGGATGAATCTCTTCCTCTAGAACAAGATCCGAATTTAGGGGAGAAAAGAGGCCTTCGAAGGATTTTTTCCTTTCATAAGTTTGCGAGATTATGGATGTTTGGGAGTTCTCTCCTCCGTTTCTGCACGTCTATTCTCATCCTAATATATTCCTTCCGCCTGGAACCGAGCGACATGCAGTGCGCTCGGAAAATGGCTGCTCCTTGTAAGTTACGCAAAAAACAGATTCTGAGAAATACCACATCTAATTCCTAAATTTCTAGCACCTTTGATTAAAGACATCGATTATGAATGGATTACATTCGAGAACGACTTTTTCCATAAGTCAGTTTACCGAGGTTCCCCAACTCCCGAACTAGAGAAAGCCTGGGATGAGCTTTGGAATTGTAAGTTTATGTGGGAGTGAATTGAATTTTGTACTAATTTCCACTAGATGGAGCTTTTAACGTCCCGGAAGAAATGCTTCCGGGACTCAACAAGTCAGCAACGGGACTTAGAAAAGTGCCAGAAGAGAAAGGAGGAGGGGTGGCCGGTCTATTGGAAGGATTCCATCAAATTCATTGCTTGGTAGGATTAGTTCCTTATCTTATTTCAAAAACCATGGAACTAACTTCTTCGATCTGAATCTTATCAGGCAGTATACGTATCGAGATCAGTATGATTACAGCCACTTGCAGTCATTTGATGGCAGCGACGCTCTTATTCGAAAGCATGTGGACCATTGTATCGAGACATTGCGTAAAAACCTGATGTGCACTGCAGATTTGACACCGTATCTGATCAAGCTGGATCCAAAAAGATTGACAGGAGAAGATCCTGATTTTAACACATTGCATAAATGCCGAAGATGGGACCAGGTCGTAGCGTGGGCCAAGAGCCATGAAGTTTTTAGAGGCCTGGATCCAAAGTCAGCACATGCAGGACATCACTGATGTTTGCAGTGCGATACAGTAGCCACTTTACACTGTTCTATAGAAGCGTTGATGCATTCATGAACATTTGAGTAACCCAAGTTTTGCAGAAGCTCAATTCTGTGGAATCGGAGTCAGATTGGTCAAAAGTGGTCAAGGCGGCATTAATAATCATGGCTTCATATATATAGTGCTCAAGAGCACCTTTCTTCCTCAATAGAATCTCAAATATTTCAAATTTCTATAATTCTACCCCTACTGTTTCTTACACCTGAGATATCATGTCAAAATTCTAGAAAACAGGTCAATCTCCATCAACCTACTCACACATTGAGCCTGAGTCCGGAGATGAGCCCACATCCACAGTTTCTCGCCTTTCTTGGTACCAGCCACCTGGAGTATCTAGAGGTGCTTTACTAATACACGCTGTCCTCTTTTTCGTTTCTATAACAACTGGTTTTATTCTCTCTGCTCGTGCATCCAATTGCTTCCACCAATCAGTGGCTCTCTCCGGAAATCACCCATTCGAGATCCCCATTTACGAGAATATCTCACAGACAGAAACATTGAGGTTCATCGGTAATCCAGATGCCAAAAGCCCTTTCAAAGGGCCCCCAACTGCTGAAGTTGATGCTGCTTGGGATAATCTTTGGACTGCGAACGTCGTTCTTTCTCATGATGAGTACATGATTTCGGAACCTGAATACCCGCAGATGGGGGTAAAAGCTGTGAATAAGAAGGACCGCACGTATTTTGCTACTTTTGAAGCAACAAATCAGTTAAATTGCTTGGTACACTCCCCACATGCCATGACACGGGGAATGGAGCTGATTCTGAGGCATTTAGTATACACTGTTTCGAGCATCTTATGTTGACTGCTACTAGCCCGAGAAGAACTTCATGGCAAAGAATCCCGATCGGTATCATGCTCGACTTGACCATTGTACTGAAATTTTGAGACAAAAACTGATGTGGTACGATTAATTCCCATACCATGGAGCTAACTTGAGCTTATAGTGAGAATAGTGATGCAGACGCTGGTATCGTAACGTACAACTGGGTCAAAGGAAAAGATAGTCCTGTTGCAAATTATAATGTTATGCATCAGTGCCGCAAATACGATGTTCTTATGGAATGGAGTGAAAGGCGTGCTGCCACTGGAGCCGTGTTTCGGAAGACTGGAAGTGCTATAGAGCTAGACCAAGATCCTTGAACACGAAGCGTTCCCCCTAAAATTCTTGGAATCAGTTAGATATTCAATATAATGTCAAGGAATTATTGACGTACCGTACTCCGTATAAACGGAAGAACTTTATATGTACTGTGAGAAAGTTGGAATTATAGGCCAAATACATAGAGGTTTTTAACTAATCAATCACATAACCTTTTATAGTTAGATATAAAAAAAGAGCTTTTGCTTCTTCTTTTGAGAATAATCAACCTTCTACATATATATATTTGAACCTATATAACATCAATTTTAAAATCATTGTAAACCCTGTTTTCTTTATAAGTAATGTATTACAATATAATCTAATTTAGTTTCCTCTTCCAATTCCCTCCTTATAGTATGCTATCGGGACATATGTATCTCGATCTACCACTTTTATAGTATTTGAACCCTTTTTGAAAAATAATCACCTGTGGATTAGTGTAACGGATCTGGTCGAGGCAGCGGCTGTGTAAGGTTCGTCTGATTGGTAATTATAGATTAAGATTGTTATCATTAGTATCCATTTGGAAATGAAATCATTATTAGATCAAGTAGAATATAAATGAACTAATTGATAACTAAATTAAATATGAAATTTTTATATTATAAAACTATTTTAATTATATATTACTAAGAGAAAAAAGTTTATTAGAATTTAAAACCTTTTTAAAAATTTTAAAACTTTAGAAGTTTTGTAAATTTTTATAGCTTTTTATTATATGATTAATCTTGAAGCTTTTCCTTTTTTAGAATATTTATTCTAAGAGCTTTCTTTTGGAAATTTTGTTTTAAGATATTATAAGTCCTCTACCCCACATTCCGACTACCTTTTCATTCTGATCATCTTTTACATCAAAAACTATGATTTTTATTTATTAATAACTTTCTTATTTATGAATATAATTAAATAAAAATTGAATCCTAGATTTATTATTTATATAATAGTAAATTCTGAGATCAACTAGAAATACTTATTGAGCATCCGGCCACTCTGACATGGCATTAGCGCAGGGACTTGGTTTCTCATGTGTATGGAGTCCTCTCCAGTAATGATTTTCAATGCAAACTCGACGTGTTCCAAGCACTTTTCGAAGAATCGCAAATCGCACATCGCACATCATACATCCCAAACAAAAAATATTCAGTTCTCGATGGTGTAGTACCAAAATAAGGTCACTTAGGTTGTTCCTTTTAGGAGGTATCCTTATCCTTTACAAAGCACAGAAATTTTTTATGGTATCTTTTCTAAGAAGCTTGTTTTTGGTCTTTCTCTGCTAACCTTGCTAAGGACGAGACACCAGATGGTCGGCAACGCTGTCTAGAGATATACGGAGCGGAATCATGGAGAAACGCGTTTGAAATGAGGTCTTATCAACCTCGAATCAGCATTTTAGCCATGCAATCGAAAGAAGTCGAGAACGATCCAATCGTCAGCATTGTGATTTTTCATAAGAATGACGGTGACTTGGGTGGGTTAGAATTAAACGGAAAAGTACGTAAATTATTTCTGCCGTTGTGGAGTCAAACCTCTGATCTCAAGCTCATGATATTGTTAGAAGAAGTATGTTTGCGATGCGAATGCTATCGCAGGAAATCTGTGCCACCTCAATGATTACGGTGCATTCATCGGAAGACATGATGAAGCGAAATTTCCCATTCTCTCAACAGCCATTCATATTTCCCAACAACCTCAGCCTGTAGTTTTTCCGATAGAACAAAGTGGCATATATTGCGTTGAAGCAATGGGGTTTACAGCGAGAGAGTTCCAACTTTTGGCGCAGTTTGACTTGGGATATGGCCAGATTCCAGCTGTCCAACTTCCGAGACTCGAGTTCTCTGCCTTCCTTACTATTACCAGTGCCGCGGCAGCGATAATATCAACTGCCTATAAATACTTCGGCCTGGGAATGGATGCCATTCTCTATCAGCTTTCAATATTCTAGCATGGGTCTTCACATTTCACTCGATGATGTTGTGGACACATCTTATCTACGTCAACGAGCACAGTTACGGCTACCAAGACCAGTTCCTGCGAGTGTTTGTCATATTCCTTGTCGCTCTCAGGGACTGCTTCGCCGTCATACTTAGCGATCAAGCCCTGCCAATACCACCAACCCAAGAGAAATTGCGAAATTTCAATCGTCTTGCAATATTCACCTTGGCAGGCCTCTTGTTCTTCTGTGTGGCAGCTCGAGAAGACGAGATTCTCAAGAGTTCAAGTGGCACAAGAGATAAATTTGTTCTCATTTGGACCAATTTTGTAACAGTCGTCTTGCTAGTATATCATGGCTTATTCATAGGAAGTCTACGTCTAACGCTTCAAAGGCAACAACAGTATCCAAGAAGTCAAGAGTTCAGCAGAGCCAACTCATTAATGTACGCATTAGGTGCAATTATGGGCGCTATAATTATCTTTGCCACCATTGACTTACTCCTATTAATATCATGGATACAAGCAGATGAGTATGGACGAGATATCCTATCAAAGACTTGGCAGTATCGCTGGTTTTTGGTCAATGAATGGCAGACGGTTACTTTCCTAGCTGATATCGCAACAACCATGTATACATGAGCATGAGCATGAGCATGAGTTATCGAGCTAGGCAACTCTTTGGGAGGGTGGTTTGTGGTACAAAATGTATTCAAAGGGAAAGATACAGATACAGGTATGAGGAAAGAAAGTGAAATGGCAAAAGAGATGGACTGACAAATTGGGAATTGCGAACGCGTTTTCTTATCAGTAGCTGAATGATAGCGTGTTAAATGTGATCTTACCTGGAGGTTTTCGTATTATGAAGTCGACCTGCCAGAAAAGGTGTCGCTCCACAGAAACGACCCCTGCAAACGTCCGGTGATAGATTCGAATACAAGCTTTGATCTTCACATAGCTTGATAAGTTGATACTCGTTTTAGTACGGGTCGGGATAAATTATGTTCTGCTACTCTGCTTGCATTTTCTTCTTCTTTTGTTTTACCATAGGCGTACAACTCCTTTCAATCTAAAAGCAACTTTAGCGTGGCCTGGAGCTGACCCACCCAGGATTCCAGCTGCGCTTGTCCGTTGCTGATTAACTTCTTCTACGTCAAAACTTCCGCATCAATTGTTTTACTTACCATTGTTCCATCTGGCATTGGCAGAACTATCGCTCGTGAATGTCCTTCCATAATCATGAATAACTCAATTATCTGTCTTCCAAATGCGGATAATCGCTTTGGCCCTCGGATCGATCCATGCCAAAGGCAATTCGACTTTACGCTCCTATTCGAGCAGAGCATTCTCACTGTCGGTCCATCTACAATATTCATGCTACTAGTTTCTGTGCGAATACCTCAGCTATACCGTAAAAACAGGAAAACACTACCAACTTTCTATTGGTGTCTTAAATCGGTGATTATTTGTTCCTTCATTGTCATGTGTCGGCGCTGACGGCGGCAGATGGCTATATCGGTATTTTTGTGTCTTCAAATTGCCACTTTAGCGTTATGGATAATGTTTAAAGGCCAACAAACAATTTGGTCTGTGCCAGCAGCAGCGCTGTCAGTAACCGCCACTATTGGCCTCGCAGTACTGTCAAACCTGGAGAGCACTCGATCTACACGCCCTTCGTTTGTGATTTGCACCTACCTCCTTGTATCTTCGCTTTTAGATATAGCTCAAACAAGGACACTCTGGTTGCAACATGGAAGCACAGCATTGCCAGCATTGTCCACATGCGGTTTGCTTGTCAAGGTAATCCTCCTATGGCTCGAAGCGTGAGAGAAGAGGTCCTATCTCAAAGAGCCGTACAATAAGTACCCTCCCGAAGCCTTGGCGGGAGTCATAAACACAAGTTTCTTCTGGTGGCTAAATACACTTATTGAAAAGGGTCACAGAAATATCCTCAGTCTTGGAGATCTATTTGACACTGATAAGACGTTGTCATCTTCTTCTCTGGAGGCAAAAATACAAACAGCATGGCGAAACCAATCGCCGAACGGAAAATATTCTCTACTCTTCACCATACTAACATGTTTTAAAGTTCCTCTGCTCACCCTTATCTTTCCACGTATTTGCCTGATCGGATTCAAGTTTTCTCAACCCTTGCTAATAAATCGAGTCATCTCGTTGGTGGAAGCTCCCGAGACACCACTGAACAAAGACATTGGCTATGCATTGATCGCTGCAACCGCTCTGATATACCTTGGTCTCGCAGTTAGCACCGCCCAGTATCAACGCCAGATATTCCGGGTCATCACCATGATTAGGGGAGGACTGGTTTGCTTCATTTACAATGTAACACTGACACTTGATGCAAATTCTACAGGCGATTCTGCTGCAGTCACGCTGATGAGTACAGACATAGAGCGCATTGGTACCGGATTCAGTACCGTTGATAGTTTATGGGCTGGACCCCTTGAAGCTGGGATCGCGATATATCCACTACAGCGAGAGTTAGGGCTATTGCGCCGGTCATTGTCTCACTCGGTGAGTCTACCTTAGGGATCTTAGCACATTTATTAAATGACATCTGTAGCATGCACTGTTGGGGCATTTTAAATTATGAAATGGGCGAAGCATACGCAGAAGGAATGGGTAGAGGCAGTCCAAAAACGTGTTGCGATCACATCTTCGGCACTTAAGTCAATAAGGGGTATCAAAATGCAGGGGCTTACAGCGCCGTTGGCGGAAGACTTGCAGGAACTTCGTGTTAAGGAACTCGATTATGCGAAGCCGTTCCGCAGAAATATCATTGCCACAGCAGTGACATCCAACATCACCACCCTTTGCGGGCCAGCCATAACGTTCGTTGTTTATATTCTCATCCAGAGGACTAAGGATTCGGCAACTCTACGTATTGGCCAGGCCTTTACTAGTCTGTCTTTGATTTCCTTATTAAGTACACCTGTTTCAGAAATGGTTCAATCTATTCCCACGTAAGTCTTCTTCGCTGGTACTCGGAGATGCCACTGACTTGAGAGAAGATTTGCTGCTGCGGTGGGATGTATGGAACGAATCCAGACGTATATAAAAACAAAAGACCGCAGCGATCCTAGACTTACCAGCCCAGATTTTGAACCTAACTCGATAAGTAAGAAGTCTCGAGACAATGTCAACATTTCCTCCCGTGAGATTGAATTGCAAACGGTAGACGTAATCCCAACCATTCCGATCCATGCTCAGAACGAATGTATTATCACAATCAAGGATGCATCTTTCATATTTTCACATGAAGGTACACCGGTTCTCGAAGACATCAGCCTTGAAGTTTCTCACGGCACCTTGACGATGGTTATAGGTGCTATAGGAAGTGGAAAGTCATGTCTACTGAAGGTAATACTTGGAGAGTTAAGCAGTAGCAAGGGGTTTGTATTTGCAAATACTTCGAGCATTGGCTGTTGTTCTCAGACACCATGGTTGCCCAACAGCAACCTACGTGAAGTCGTGCTTGGGAGTTCGAGTTATAATGAAGCTTGGTACAACGCGGTTATCAACGCTTGCATGCTTCATTATGATATTGCGAGCTTTTCGGATGGCGAGAGAACCATGATCGGCAGTGATGGAGCTGCTCTCAGTGGTGGACAGAAGCAGAGAGTAGTGAGTCTATCTACTATTTGCTGACGAATCTTGACCTATTTCCCAGAAAAAAGCTAACGGTGATTAGGCCTTGTATTCTAGAAAGGAATTGCTTTTGATCGATGATGTATTGAGTGGGCTAGATTACAAAACGAACCATGCTGTATTTCGAAATGTTTTTGGTAAAGAAGGTCTTTGTAGTTTGCATAACATCACTGTAGTTCTTGCTACGCACGCCGGTAAGGACAAGCCGGTGATTACATGCCATCCAAAAAGACTTGAGTAAGACGGCAAGAAAACCAAGCTGACGATATTTAGTTGAACATCTGCAATCTGCCGACAATATCGTTATTCTCTCTAATAGTGGTACCATCCTAGAGCAGGGAAAATTCCAAGAGCTACGAGAAAATGAAGATAGCTATATCAAGGACTTAATTTTCCATGAGCGTTCAGACGAGGATTCATATGCAGGGATAGATGAGGCTCCTGCTATAATCAAGACACAGGCTAAAGCAGGACCGCTCAACATAAACGACTTTAATCGTCAAGGCGGCGACGCCAGTGTTTATTTTTATTTTGCCAAGTCCGTAGGCTGGCTCCATTTTTCCCTTTTTATCGGCATGGTAGTTTTGTACACTTTCTCTAGCCAGTTCCAAGCTGTTCTGCTGGAGTTGTGGTCGAAATCAGAGACTAGCCATTCGGATATTTATACTAATATGTATATGGGCTTATACGCAATGCTATCAGTGTTGGCCTTGTGTGGAATTGGTGGATTGCTGTGCGTCACGCTGCTCTTTGCTGGCCCATATGCTTCTATCAACCTGCACCGCACGCTCTTGCATACCGTGATGAGTGCGCCGTATTCTTGGTTTACAGCAACGGACAGCGGAGTGACGCTCAATAGGTAGGTAGCTTGACCATTTGAGGCTGATTTATCTGCTGACCCTCTTCAGGTTCAGTCAAGATATGAGTTTGATCGATATGGAGTTATTAATTGGGACAGTCGACACGTTTGCAGGCTCGTTCATGGGAATTGCTCAAGCAATACTTATCGCTATTGGTGCCAAGTATGTAGGAGTTATCCTTCCATTAATTATCGGAATCCTATACATTTTACAGAAAGTATACTTGAGGACATCGAGACAACTTCGGTTGCTAGATCTCGAATCGAAATCGCCACTCTACTCGCACTTCACCGAGACACTTAGTGGCCTTACGACAATTCGCGCTTTTGGCTGGCAAGCTCAATCAGCCGAGAAGAATCGGAAGCTTCTGGATATCTCGCAAAAACCTTATTACTTGCTCTATTGTATACAAAGATGGCTCAATCTTGTATTGGATCTGATCATCGCCGGCATCGCAGTAATGCTTATAACATTTGCAACACAGATGCGTGGGACCACTAGTGCAGGTACTCTCGGTATTGCTCTTGTTAATGTTCTACAGTTCAACTCCACATTGAGTTTTCTTATCAGAAAGTGGACTCAGCTAGAAACTTCTATTGGTGCTGTAGCTAGGGTGAAGAGTTTTGAAGCAAATACTTTGTCGGAAAACGGACCTTTGGAGGTTAACCTACCACCATCCGAATGGCCCATCAGGGCTAAAGTCGAATTTAGAGATGTCACTGCGACATACGGGTAAGGGCTCAATCCGGAAGTTTCATCACATTGCCAACCATGTCGAAAGTATTGACGAACCTGCTGTGTGTAATGTCTCATTTTCCATCGAGGGTGGCACGAAAATGGGTATCGTTGGTAGGACTGGGTCGTACGTCTCCAATTCCTTGCTCGACGATTAAGAAGCTAATACACCTTCTCATAGTGGAAAGTCTTCCCTCATGTTGGCACTCTTCCGAATGCTTGAGCTCAAAACAGGAGATATCCTCATTGATAACCTATCCATTTCTACTCTCAACCGCCAATCCGTACGCTGTTCATTCATCACTATTCCCCAAGAACCCTACTTCCTGTCCGGTACTGTCGGCTTTAATGCCGATCCATTCCACTCCTTAGACAACAAATGCATCCAGATTGCACTTTCACGTGTTGGAATCTGGGACGTAGTACGTGAAAATGGAGGTCTAGAAGCACCTATGACAGCAGCACCTCTTAGTCAAGGCCAGCAACAACTTTTCTGCATCGCAAGAGCAATCATAAGGAAAATGGCTCTGGGAAATAAGGATCATGGTATCTTGGTGTTGGATGAGGTGACGAGTAATGTTGACTCTGGTACTGAGGAGATCATGTTGAAGATTTTAGAAGATGAGTTTAAGGGATGGACGGTGTTGGCTGTGGCTCATCGATTGGGAACCATTAGGGACTATGATAGGGTTTTGGTGCTTGATAAGGGCTGTGTTGTCGAGGATGGGGCACCGGATGAACTGATTCGTATGGAGGGGGGTCTGTTTAGGGAATTGTGGGAGAGTGGTTTTGGGAAGGTGGATGGTGTGTAGTTTGTTGTGCGGAATTATGTTTCTTTGTCTGCTTCCTTCTGTTCCGCTGGTTAGTATGATTAATACGGTAGAAAAATTCTTTGTTCGTTGATTATCTTCACGTCATTGTGATTGTTATCGATGCTACTGTATTTAAGGCAAAAGAAATGACTCATCAATGATAATCTTACCCGGACGAACAAGTTATCGAAGTTAACTATTGAGTTTCTTCGAGACAAGACCGTAACGTTTCAATATTCTTAATATTGCGCAATAATACTGTTCGGATTGATAAACTAAATAGTTAAGTTAGATTATTAATATCCATATTGAAAAGACATATACTCGAAATATACCATCGAGTATCCATCACAATCCAACTTGCAGGACGTTCAATACCAGGCGAACCTTTGTCGATATTTGAAGAATACAGAATGCATTGATGTCAATATCAGTATTTATATCTGTGTCCGGCGGGTTTCTGTCATCATAAGATACTGGATAGGATATAGTGTAAAATCCTATCCGCATTTGAACTTTGTTATATATATTCTGTTGATATATAGCACTCCTTCTTGTTGTTCTGTCTGTATAGGTCAATCTGTAAGAAAACTCCCCATATGAAATATGACCCATCATCACAATATCAACATCTTCACTCATCTAAATTCCCACCACAAAGTTCAAGATTCAAAATACCTAACATTACGTTATTCATATTCCGCACTTTAGTTCTAGCAATGAGTATCTAGTATCTATCTAGTCTCTATTTTAATACAAGATAGATACTCATCATATCTATCTATATATCCATCGATATAATTATCATCGGTTATACTTACCTCACTCTCCTCTACATTATTCACCAACAATTCTTTATCCAGGAATTTTTCCGCTCTCCTCAACTCTTTGAGTCATTTCTCTGCTTTTCCCCTGGGGGACTGAGTCGAGTTTTGTTTGTGAGATTTAATGTTTGTTTTTTTTGAAAGAATAAGGTTTTATGGAGGAGAGATATTGAATTTTTGAGGACGGTGTCGCCGGTGTGTATGTAATGTTATAAATACGGATAGTTCTATACCTAGGTATGGAGAGATAATTAGAGATAAAGAGATAGATGGATGGATGGATAGAATAGGAGTAGATATTCGATTGTGCAGAGTAAGGTTACTTTTGATATTGCATCATTAGTTTTTATTTTGTAGATATCAATTCTAGTTTTCTATGCAATGCAGGTGCAATGAATACAAGTTCCCCCATAATCAATAATTATATCCAATAAAGGGATTCCCGGAGTTCCCTAGTTCTTTATTTTCATTGCGGAGATGTCACGTATGGATTATATTTCATAGTATAGTATGTCAGTATATACAGAGTTGAGTAGAGTAGAGTAGAGTAAAGTAGAATACTATTAACAATCGAAATACCGCAACTGAGCCAGCCAGCCATCCATCCATCCATCCATCCATCTCGATTCTAACTAGACACCCCAATCCCCAATTCGCAATTTCACGGACAAAGCATGGCCATCAATCAACCTTTTACTCCGTAGATCACAAGTCTTTGGTCTTTGGTCTCGAGTCCTTAGTCTTGACCCTGCTCACAATTGCAATCGCAGACTTCCCGACCCCTCGAAACTTCTTTTTTGTTCTAGAACTTTGGTTCGCCTTAAGGTTACATGGGTATTTATTTATACTACTTACCTACCCCTACCTAGATACCTACGGAGTTGGGAATTTGGTTTATCGGCCGTTTATTTGTACGGACTTTGTACATGACAAAACAATTAAACTAGAATAGAATGAAATAAAATGATGTCTCTCTATATATATATATATATATATATATAAGAAGGACGATAGGATTATGGGTGATAGATATACAGAGAATTGGAATATCTATCTTCGTGAGTTGGGTTTGAGTGTTATTTGCTATGTCCCTATTGTATGTGTACTAATTATTACGGAGTACTGGTATCCGCGTTAACGGTGATTATTCCCAACATTGGAAAACAAATTGAAGGTCGGTGAAGGTTGTTTGTTGGTAAGGGCCATGATATCGGTGAACACAAATGATGTAGCATGCAGTCAGTGAGTGCATTACGAGACCGAGTATGGTGGTACCAACGAAATGTCTCAGCGGATTAGGAAACGAGATACCTGAGTGACATAAAATGTGAAAGCAGGAAGTTTAATTTTCGATTTTGAATAATGCTTTGAACTTTATAATTTTCATCTGTTATTATATTGTGTATGTGTATGTATATTACACCTCTGTTGAAAAATCATCACGGTATTATTATCTTAATCTAATCATCGTTGATATTCTATAATATAAGATAATAATGATCTCTTATAGTAATGCAATGTAATATACTATATAGATGATCGTCAGAAGATAAATCATCCATCATCAATGATGAAGATCTGATATGAATTTACAATAGCAGGATATACAGTTACAAACTAATAACTAATCATGTATCGAAAATCCCCGAGTAATCAGATCAAAGCTTTGTTGTTCCTTCCCCCTTTCTTCTCCGTACTACATCAAGCTTTACGATCAGATGTATCAAATACTAAGTGGATAAACTTACTTTTTCATTAATTCGATATACGAGTACTAGATATCTAATTATACAAGTTGTAAAGGTATATATATATATATATATATATATATAATATCTAAATCATCCGAGGCATTTTTCATTTATATACAAGTACCAAATACGAATGAAAAGGGAGAGAATTAACTTTTAACTTCTAACTTTGTTTCCGGGCTATCATATGCACCGCAACTTTAAGTGCCGATGACACATACAGAGTATGATGAATGGAAGTGAATCTGGTTATTGAGGTAGGTGCTCGGTTAGAGATGTCTTGATTATGGTGAGGAGATCTAATGCAGGTACTGTACGGTGCATATCCCTGCCAAGAGAAATTGGATATCTGATGAGAATTGATTGTCCTTGCTTAGGTATTTAGGTATGGCGTAGAATTAGAAAGGAAGAAAGGATTTATTGCATGTGTTGTATGAGCTCGGTCGGAGTGAGGGTTAAAGGGTTCATCGAAAGGTTTCTAGATTTCTCTATGGTGTGATGGGGAAATCTTGGGGAGATTCTAGATGTCTTCGCTATAAGGGTTTTTAATATGAGATCTTGTATATTGTATATGTATGTGATATGTACAGAGTACGAAGGATGTATACCTACCTACCCAGTAGAGCATCTCGATTTAAAGTTCTGAAAAACAGCCACCCATCTGCACTCCTTCGGAGCTATAGCTTCCCAAAAGCATCCGCGGAAACTTTTTACCTTTTTTACAAAACGTTTATCCTCATCCCTCCCTCTCTCATCCAGCATCCATGCCAACCCCAGAGTCCATCCCATCCGACCGGCAAGCACCAACAAATTACTCCAAGGAGTGAATTCATGCGTGTCCCTGTTCGAAATCTCGTTGGTGCAATGCTTGGTACTCTATTTGTTTCAACCCTTTTTCCCCTCATCAAATTTTTGAGATGAACCCTCGTGTCATGCTATATTGCGGTGTGCGTGTATGCTTGAGAGTCTGCAGTATATGGTTTTTCTGGCTGTGATGACATCACGATTGCTGTTTTGTGTCTTGTACATTTTCTTATCAATGTACTTTTCCGAGGACGGGAGAGAATTGTTGAATTGATGTTGATGCATTGATGTTCGATATCGTGTTTGATTGCTGGCCTACCACTTGCTTGGTTTGTGTCGAGGTAGGTTACGAGGTAGGTAAATACCTCATATAAAATGAGGGGTTTTATGAATTCGGGAGTTTACAGGAGGTTAGGTGGGTAGGTGAATGATTGCAATCGGCGACTTGGTCGACGGGATGCTTCATGACCGATAATTAGTAGAAGGGTAGATGGCTAGAGCTCTTGAATGATCATCTATCCATCGATTTGTAGGATTACACCAACATTGGCTTAAGGTTATACAAGTATACCTACCTACCTACCAACCAAGGTACCAACTTCAACCCAACCATTTTGATCCTTCAGGAATAGACTCTAAATAATATATCCAGACAACTCAACCAAGCAGTCATTCCGCTGAGGCTTTTTCACTCGTCTCACAAATCTCAAAATCCATTCGGCTTCCTCTTTTTTACCCCTCGCCTCGGCGTTTCGAGTCCCCTTCCTTACTGTACATACGTAACTTCATCCCATCCCAAGTCTTGGAATAACCTTAAACCCCATAGACGTCTATTACATTCTCTGTGAAAAAGAATAATTGAAACAATTGGATTATCGCTGTGACCAAATCGATAGTATGAGAACGTGAGGTTTGCATGTATGTCTAGAGAATCGCAGCACAGGGCTGTTTCAATTGAGAAGAAAAGGAAACATATCACACCCCTCGTGTCGTCTCACCGTCTCATCGTACAAGAAGGCGAAACTCCCCGGTTGTACAGGAGCACCAAATTGTTTCGAAAAGAGAGAGGAAATGAAAATGGTATGGATGAATTTACTGGATATTTCATCTATCTGCGGAGTGTACGGATTATTCACCAACGAGCACTCACACCACCACTTCCGACAGATCAAGTTCGGATCTAGAATCCACCAGATCCAAATTCAAATTCAAATCCAAAAGCCTAGGTAACCACCGTAAGAATTCTGTTACACTTCTTCATTTTCACAGCTTTTCTATTCATCAATTTGCAATTTCCCCGAATGACACCATATCTCATCATAACAGAGTACAAAAAGTCGAACTGCCGATGTAGACATCCTCAGTAACCTTCGCTATCCATCTACTCCCAGAGCCAACACGGTACAGAGTATTCATCACAAGCTCCACGCTCCACGCTCCACGCACCACACACCACGCACCAAGCTCAAGCTCAAGCTCCAAGCACAATCCCACGCACAATACGTACCGTGCCTAGCGACTAGTCCCGGCTGTCCGAGATGAACCCAACAAGGCGCTGATAGACAAACTCTGTACCTGTTTCAGAATAAGTAGCATAACAGCGGGAACCTGGGAGCTGCGCATCTAGCCCTGTACAGACTAAGGCTACTCCTGTAAGATTTCGCTTGCTAACCCTTTTTCACAGATCGATCGACCTATCGGAAGAATTTGGTACCTGCCTACGTATCACCTACCTAGGTATCTAATATTTACCCATACACTAGATTATCCATCGACAATCAACCAGTGCCAAAGTTCTCCTCGACCTCCGTACCCTTCTCCCCCTTCTCACGAAAGAAAACTAGTGGTAGCAAGACTGACTACCAACCGACCTATTCCGTATTCATTCATCTTCGGAGACGTCTAAGCCATCCATGTTAATTTTTGGGGGTTAATCTTAATCAATCCTCTTTTATTATTTTCCTCTAATCATTTTACACCAAATAAATAAATATTCAAAATAATCAACAAACTCTGTACTGCGTTCATATATACCGGTACTCGATCCGCATCTTCCCTTCCCCCTTCAGAAGAGAACTAAACCGAGATTCCGCGGTGAAAGATCTCTCTTCCTCTCCTTATAGAGATCTTTGACTAGCTAGGTACCTAGCTAGATAGACACTTGAAAATCTATTCTAGTTTTCCAAGCAAAGAAATAGAATAAAAAAGGTAGGAGTTCTTGGTATGTACAATCAACCAATCAATCAATTTATTCATTCATTCATCAATCTTTTAATCAATCAATCAATCAAATAAATCTATGCGCTAATTTCCGGGCTATCCCGTACCTAACACTATCAAGTGACAGTTATTTGATTTTCATTTCATTTCATTGAAGTAATACTAGATATTCGTATTATGTATAGATTAATATATTTGTATATTTATTTCCTCGTTTACTAGTTTTTCCATTTGTTGTTGTTGTTCTATTTCGAGAGAGAAAGAAATAAACAGAGAAGAAAGAAAGTGATGTTGATACAATTATTTCTTTAGATACTCATTTAATTCCGCTATCGTACCTCTTTAATAGATATCTAATCCGGACCTGGTACCTGAATAATATAGCGGAATTCGAGAAAGATTAGAGGGAATCTTTTACCGACCAATCATCAAGTCATCAAATCATCAAATCATCAATAACTTCAAAGAAATTCTTCGTCATCATACAAATTGCCCCTGGATTATTTAATCCCATCACATCTCCCTCGAAAAAAAGATTAAAAAAAAGAATCGTTCGTCAGAATATTGCATTCATTTACACTCATTACTTTTGTCAACGTTTACTATCCTTGTTAAACATCGTCACCCAATCCTTCTACTTTCCACAAGATAACCCCTGGACCAAACACTTTCAAAGATTATCCACTAAATCTTATTAGCCCCGCTCCACAACAACCAACCCCAGTCTCACCCATCCATCAAACTTACCACTCTTTGAAATAAAACCATCTTCTTTCCCCAACCCATCTGGATCTGTTCCTCTTTTACCCACCACCTATTTACATTCCTTACAACCAGTCTTTCGAGGCACTTACACTCCTTCAAAAGGCTTGTCATTCTTCGAAAGAATCTCCTTCACGAGTACAGCAGTGCTGCCAATCTTTTAACGCCCAATTTCTTTAACGAAACGCGGTCCAAGTACCCTCACTTTCTCGAAGAAAGCAAAGAAGTTCCAACAAGGAAACACAACCCACATTACCATCACCATCATTCAAAAATGCGTTCCTCAATCGCCATCGCTTCCCTCTGCGCTGCATTTGCAGTCGCTTCCCCAATCGTCAAGAAGGGTATCGAAATCGCTGCTCCCGCCGATGAAGTCGTCGAGACACATGTTGAAGTCGTCACAAACGTCGTCATGGTCACCGTTACTGGAGAGCCCGTCATCGTCACCGCTGAAGCACCTACCCCAGCCGCCGTCATCGTGACTGTCACTGCCCCAGAACCCGTTATTGTGACTGCCACTGCCCCAGCTTGGTCTGCACCAGTTTGGTCTTACCCTCACAGATACTCCCACTCTCAAGCCCCACCGGCACCAACCTCAACTTCCGAAGCCGTTGTCATCGTCACTGAAACTCAAGCCGCTCCCACCCAAGCCCCACCTACCACTACTCCTGCTCCCCCAGCTACTATTGAGGCTGCCGATGCCAAGATTGTCAAATCATCTCCAAGCTCCGTCGCTCCTGTTGTAGAGAGCACACCGGTTCCCTCTGCCACCAATGCTCTTAGCCCATCTGCCGTAGTTGCACACAATGATGCCCGTGCTAGCCATCAAGCTAGCGCCATGTCCTGGAATCAAACTCTTGCTGATTATGCCGCCAAAGAGGGTAGCTGCGCCACTTTCGCACATGACTTGTGAGTTTTCTTCATATCTCTTCTATACCATAATGTAATGCTAACATAAAATAGGACCGCTGGTGGTGGTGGATACGGACAAAACATTGCTGTTGCCGGAAATTCCAACTCTGCTGCTTACACCACTGAAGGTGCTCTCGCCGATGCCATCAAGGAATGGTACGCTGAGGAATCCCTTTATGGTTCCTTGTACGGTGTCTCCAACCCATCTGAGTCCGTTGGTGATTTCTTGCATTTCACCCAAATGGTTTGGCAAGGATCCCACCAAGTCGGGTGTGCCGTTAAGACTTGCGGAACCGACAACACTATCTACCCAGGCATGCACGTCTGGTACAGCGTCTGCAACTACTATCCGGCTGGAAATGTCATTGGTGAATTCGACATCAACGTCCTCAATTAAATGATATCATGCCCGTTTGCACATAAAGGAGTTATTGGCGTTTAAGCTCTGGAGCTTAACTTACCTTTCATGTATGAACTTCTATTGAGAGGAGGTTTTGTTTCCGAGCGCTGGGCCGCGACTCATACCTTCGATACGCAGCTGATGACATTATATTAAAAAAAATGGATAGATTTGGACGGAACTGGCGATTTCCCAGGGTGTTTGACGACATTCTTGAACTTATGTGTTGCGCCTTTTAGAATACCCCTCGATTAGCTTGGGTCCCTAACTGCTTTTGTTATTTCGCACGTATTGGCATTCTGTCCATTATTCAATTCTTGTACATAATTGAACATATAGGATCCTTGAGATGCCTTTTTTCCAATACTTCCCCAGTTCTTGATTGCATTGTGATTGTAAATTTGATTGTGAATGGTTGTCGTTTTGAGTCTACCGAAGTGTGACATTTGTCCTCTTGCTTGACAACCGAGAGAGGAGACAACATCTTAGTTTATAGGTAATCTCTAGGATGATTCGTCTATACCTCTGTTGGGTTCTAGGCCATGGATCGATTAGGTTCGGAGTGATCTGCGATGATGTGACGATATATCGGTAGGCATGATTGAAGTGAGGTGTGGTTGAGATGAAGAAAGCTTGGCAAGATTGAGTCAATCAAGTCGTAGGTAAGTCTCACCTACTGTAGGTATCACTTCTTCGGCAGCTATGATAAAATGGTCCGTGCCTAATCGAGTGATGGAATTATTGGTGATATGGCGATAAGGCGATACGCCTAGAAATGTCTCGAACTTTTTCTCTGGGTAATTTACACAATACATGAAGTCAACTTTTATAAAGTCGGGTGCTGCTTGTTTTTGTGATATCTATTTGATTTCAGGATCTTTGAAGTGTGAAAGATATTTTTGATTGATCATTACCACTTATTCTGCCCGTGCCGCCCTTCAGTAACGGAACTATTAGGTATTATTAAGTGCGAAATACGAGGCAACCGTTGAATAACTTTGAGAATCAAACTCGATTACGCAACTCAACTCTCCATCTGTCCCGCGAGAATTTCACCTTGCCACTGTGTATAAAACTCGCAACTTACTTACAAGACCTGTCACACCTCAAACCTCGATTCAAAGACACGTAGTTGACTTCGGATCACGATGGCTACAAATCTGCGTGGCGTGGGGGAGGGGCAAGGCATAGGACAAGCTCTGAAGAGTATGTTAGGAAAGGCCACCACGGCGGTACCAGAACAGAAGAACGATAAAGTGCAATTAGTTAATAGGGCCGGGGAAAGCAAGAGTCCATATGTTCGCGCACACTCTTCGAATCCTGTTGCATGGCAGCTTTGGGGAGATGAGGCTATTGACTTGGCGCGCCGAGAAAACAAGTTATTGTTTGTGAGTATTGGTTACAGTTCTTGTCATTGTAAGTTTTTCGTTCCGCGATTCTTAGCAAGTGGGTGATCAAAAGCTTACGGGATGTATTAAGGGTGCCATATAATGGAGCGCGAGTCCTTCGAAAACGAAGAGGTAGCTGCGATATTAAATAGCTCATTCATACCTATCAAAATCGATCGCGAAGAACGTCCGGATATTGATCGCATTTATATGAACTTTGTGCAAGCTACAACGGGCTCTGGAGGATGGCCACTGAACGTCTTCCTTACACCGAGTTTGGAGCCAGTGTTCGGAGGGACATATTGGCCAGGACCAAGTAAGACGAAAGCCTTCGAAGACCAAGTCGACTTTTTGGGAATTTTAGACAAATTGAGCACAGTTTGGTCAGAACAAGAACGGAGATGCAGACAGGACTCGGCTCAAATTCTGCAGCAGTTGAAGGACTTCGCAAATGAGGGAACATTGAGTAACAGGTTAGGAGATGCCGTGGACAATATTGATCTCGAATTACTGGAAGAAGCCAACCAACACTTTGCGAAGAGCTTTGATAAGAAGAATGGAGGTTTTGGGTCGGCTCCAAAGTTCCCTACTCCTTCAAAACTGGCCTTTTTGCTCCGTTTGAGCCAATTTCCGCAAGCTGTACTTGATATCGTTGGCATTCCTGATTGTGAAAATGCGAAGAATATTGCCATCACAACTCTACGGAAGATGGCTCGTGGTGGAATTCATGATCATATCGGGAATGGATTTGCTAGGTATTCTGTCACGGCTGACTGGTCTCTTCCTCACTTCGAAAAAATGCTTTACGACAATGCACAACTACTACATGTCTACTTGGATGCTTTTCTTTTATCAAGGGATCCGGAGTTTCTAGGTGTTGCATACGATATTGCAGATTATTTAACAATCACTCTTTTTCATCCACAGGGAGGATTTTGTTCTAGTGAAGACGCCGATAGCTATTACAAAGCTGGCGATACCGAGAAACGAGAAGGTGCCTATTATGTTTGGACGAAACGAGAATTTGAGAACATTCTTGGCACCGAACATGAGCCGATACTGTCAGCATTTTTCAATGTTACTAGTCATGGTAACGTAGCTCAAGAGAATGATCCACATGATGAATTCATGGACCAAAACGTGTTGGCCATTTCAAGTACTCCATCTGCATTGGCAAGCCAGTTTGGTATGAAAGAGGCTGAAGTTATAAAGGTCATCAAGGAAGGCAAAGCGAAACTAAGAAAACGCCGAGAAGCTGATCGAGTAAAGCCAGATATGGATGACAAGATTATTGTGAGCTGGAATGGTATTGCGATTGGGGCATTGGCTAGAGCATCTGCAGTTATTAACGGTTTCGATCCAGTCAAGGCTCAAGACTACCTAGATGCGGCTCTTAAAACGGCCAAGTTTATCAAGGAAAACCTATATGATGAAAAATCCAAGGTTCTCTACCGGATTTGGCGTGAAGGAAGAGGTGACACTCAAGGATTTGCGGATGATTATGCATTTTTAATGGAAGGGCTTATCGATTTATATGAAACTACATTTGATGAAAAGTGGCTTCAATGGGCTGATGAACTTCAACGTAAGTCATTTCTTATCCTCTATCTAATATATTACTAATTGTAATCAATAGAATCTCAAATAAACTTCTTCTATGACGCAAATAAAGGTGGCTTTTTTTCAACCATCGCCTCGGCACCAAACGTGATCCTTCGTCTTAAAGAGGGCATGGATTCTGCTGAGCCCTCCACAAACGGCACATCCTCCTCGAATCTCTACCGCCTATCTTCGATTTTGAATGATGAATCTTATGCAAAGAAGGCGAATGAGACAGTCAAGAGTTTTGAATCCGAAATGTTACAGTATCCTTGGTTATTCCCCAGTTTCATGCCAGCAATAGTAGCTAGTCACTTGGGTGTAAAGAGTGTTGTGGTTCATGAGGTAGCTGGTGATACCATAGCTGAGAAGCGAGTTCGAGAATTTCAAAAGGCGCCCAGAGGTGGATTGGAATCGCTTGTTCTGTTGAATTCATCTGAGAGGAATGGACAGTGGTTGAGAGAGAGAAATTCTCTGCTGAAGGACACGGGGAAGAACGAAAAGACTAAGATACTAATCTGCGAAAATGGGCTATGTAAAGAAGAGGATGAGGTATTCTTTGTGGACTCGGGTGTAAAGATGGAAAGTCCCAATGATGGTGAAGGGTTCAAAATGGCTGGTTTGCAGGGATCATTACCGAATTTGGAAGGAAATGCAAATAAGATTTAAGGAGGGAGTAAAAGTTCAGAGGCACATTTGAAACAGCTTGAGCAGCTAAACCTAGCGTCACGGATGCAAAAAGGGAAAATTGGGTATACGTACGCTCGTGAGTACAGAGCGTTTCTCACAGTAAATAAATCTTTGTAGTTAGCCACACTTGGAATTCTTTTTATATGTAGTAGGGTGGAAAGAAGGAAAGAAGGAAAGAAGGAAAGAAGGAAAAATAGCGATCAAGGCGTTAATATGGGCTCCAGTGGAGCTTTGTCATTGTTAAATCTTGAATAGCATGTATAAAATTATTTTTTCACTACTTAGTCACTCAATCACTCAATCACTCATCAACATATTCCTTTAAATGAAAAGCTATCATCATCATCATCACTGATATATCATCATCCATCCATCCATTCCATCCATTCCATCCATTCCATCCATCTTAAAATCAAAGATCGCACACATGTACATCACAGGTCCCCCAGACGTTACTGGATATTGTGAGCTGCTGGCTAGGTAATATACTAATTATCTCTACTTGTGGATTTATAGATTTATAGATTTATAGATTTATAAGCCTATAAACTTATAAATTTATAATAAAAATTATATCTTTGCTAAAACTTTGGTTTTGGTTTTGGTTTTGGTTTTTATATTAACTTCTCGTTTGGTTTTAGCCGACTGGAAATTCCGCTTGCGAGGGGCAGCTGAATACAATTAATTATAAGATACGGGGGAAGAGATACTGGTGATAAGTATTCATGTTTGCAAGACTAAAGGAGATGTAAGGTTAAGTCTTAAAATTTCCAAAATTTATAATCATAATCATAACGCTAACACAGCCCCATCCGTATCTTTCATCCACACTTTTGAAGTCCGGTCCAAGTATCCAACGTTTCACCAAATGACTGTGTTCCCAACCCCAGTGCCAGCTCTATAAACTCAATATCACACTTCCTTTAACCTCGCTACCTGAATCAAAAAAAAAATGAAATCCCGTCAATACTCCAAAACTATCTTATATTGTCCTAGATTGAGGTATCATCCGTGCCAACTCCTCGAAATTGATCGCGTACTATCCCTCCATAGCCCCAATGCCCAGAAACGAGAGTACCAGTTTTTAAATATATATATGCCCATTCAAAGTTTGCATCGAGTTACCGAATCTTAACATACGCGTTGGTTGAGCGAGTCGGAAGAGGAAGATAAGTTTTCAGAATGATTTTCAGAGGGAGACCGGGCCATCTTCTCTGTGCTGGCCGCACTATCCGCATCATCATTCTCCTTTCCCGCATCTTGCCTTTCCTCGTCTGTAGGTCCCGCCTTTGCCGAGCCAATCCTGCAAAAAAGAATTAGGATACACAATGCAGTGCTCGCACAGGCGACTTCAAACCAAAACACTGCTTTATAACTATGTCGTAAACTCCCGCCTTTCTTCAGCACCGAGTTTGCAATAATTTCCGAGAAACCTAAGCATACGGCGATAGAAAATTGCATAATGGAGTTGATCAGAGCGCCAGCAAGACCCTGCTGAGACGATGACAGAGAAGTAGTGATGAAGATTGTTGTGACGTTAAATGTTATATCTATGCCGAGTGTTGCACAAGTCATTGCTGTAAATACCCACGCCCAAAATGATGCATTTTTCGGAGCGAGTGCGAAGAGCAAAGGAGCAATGATCCAGCATATGCCAGAGAAGGTGATTAGAACTGTACCGGGGATCAAATGGAGTATAAAGCCGCCGAACGTGCCTATCAAACATCCACCGACAGCGAGCGGGACAAACCAAGCAACAAGTTGAAGGTAAGAAGCGCCCATTATGTTGGTGCAGTAGAATGTGGCATAGAGAAGAAAGACTCCGAGGCTTCCATAGGTGAAGAATAAGGCAACGAAGAGAGCTTTCATTCTTGGGACGGCAAAGATCGAATATGGCAGGAGGGGCTGACTTGCAACGTATCGTTCGACGTACATAGCGATTGCAAAGAGTACTATCCCAGACACGAATGTAATAATGATATAAGGTGTCTTGAATCCCTTCGGCGCATAGGCGCTCTGTGTCAAGGCAAAAACGAAAAGTATGAAACTAGTTGCCAAAAGCCCCGATCCAAGCCAGTCCATCTGAAGCCCCTCGTGCCTATCATTTTCGGATGGAATGCAGACTGTCGCAGTGGCGACACTTATGAAGGACAAAATAGCCCCAATCCAGAAAAACCTAAGAACGAATTAATGAAAATGGCTAAAACAATATGTTGCACATACCATGCCCATGTAGTGTATTCGGCAGTCAACCCAGCGAAAAAGATGCCAATGAAAAAGCCAGCCGCTCCACATGCACCATATATGCCTTGAAGTGGTTAGATGCGTAATCGTTGTCTTTCGATGGCCACTCACTGAAAACAAGATTCTTTCTCGGCCCTGGTCGATATGTTCGGCCTAATAACATCATCCCTGATGGCATGAATGCAGCTGGGCCGAGCCCCTGCAACGCTCGGCATATATCAAGCATATACTGATCTTTTGAAAATCCAGCGATTAACGACCAGAGTGCAAGCCACGAGAGACCAGCGATGTAAACAGGTCGCCCACCATATATATCCGCCAGTCTACCTAATGGTAACATTACAGATGAGACCATCAGGGAATAAGCCGCCGCTGGCCATGTTGATGAAGATATTGGGATATTAAGATCTTTCATGAGATCTGGGACAACAACAGCAAATCCGCTAACAAAATACTCCTGCATATATGGCGTAAGAATCAAACGTTGTTTAGATGCTTAAATTGACATACCGAAAGAATCTGAGAAACGCAAGTAGAAAATCTAAAGATATACCACACATCAGCATTTAACGGAGAATTTGGGGGTAAAAAGAACCATCGTATTGTCGGGAAGTTTGGTCGTTCGGCTCCTTTGGAAAATTGAAACCATCTAAGGTATTTAAATCATCGGAAAGATTTGAAGTCATGACAGAAAGGAATCATTCTGATCATTAAAATCGAATAAACGCGCAGAGCAATTCTAAAAGAACGGAAAGTTCTGACGTACACAAATCCAATTTCGACCCATACCGTCTTGAATTGAGGCGGTCTTTGGCGACCTAAGCGCTCAGTATCGGATTTCGCCAAGTTCAACATGAGAAATGTACAGACCTAGAGAAGTACGGAGAGACTACTCTACTTGTACTTTCATAGATCATAGGAACGAGCATTTTACTGGGATCCAAAGACCAATCGGCGGTTAAAGCGCGAGCTCTTGCGGTACGTGGTCCACATATTACTAATATATCGTGCAAGCACCTCTCCATATGCTTCAGAACAGACAACCAAATGGCCGGGAACCTAAGTGTTTCCGTAGAAAGGATGCTGCGCGTATGCCCATCACCGACCTACCTACCAGGGAGACTTCCCCGATCCTTGCCAGCAGATGGTTCAAGAGGCACATCCAATGATAGATTCGCACATGCTATTTATTGTGTGCTATGATGGAGTACTCGGCCATTCTAGACTGGAAAAGAAGCAACTTTAAATGATACTTTCAACCAACCAACCAACCATACAGAGAGGGAGAGAGGTAAGAAAGAGGAGTGTTTTGTTGTAAGGAATTGTTAGATGATCATGATTGGAAGAATGGAAGAAGATCTTGCGGATGATTCTGCTAAAGAAGATAAGACGGGATGGAGAACTCATCCGCGAATAAACACTAAAGATTGAAAGGGGTTAGCTCGACCGTTGCCACTTTTAATCAATGGCCACAGCTGCTTGGAACAGCTGTAAAAGCAGCAAGTCGGTGATAGAAAAAAGAATGGGTTACGTAGCCCGTCGGCAAATTCATCATGTGAGATGAGTCAGCCAGTTAGTCAGTTAGCCATCTCAAAACTTGTCAACCTACAGTCGTATATTAGGTAATTACAGAGTTACATGCCAAGTCATCAATCATAGGATCATAGGTAGCTTTGGGTACTGTATAATGTTTCCACCAACCCGTTCTTCCATCTCAACACAAACAATGAGGTTTGGAATGGATGAAAAAAAGAAAAGGAAAAGGGAAAGAAAAAGAAAACCCCGAGGGAAAATATGATTTGGAACCACAAAGACATCTCGAGCCTGCCTATTATTGCCAGATCAGCATTCTCTGAAGACCCCGTACCCAATTTAACACCACGTATGGAGTTTGCCTAGTACTTGGTTTTTTTCCGTGCTATCTCCGTATTTATGCAGAATCCGTTTCATACTGAACAAGGAAAGAGCAAATCTACTTTTAGCCACGTCCTTTCCAGCCCGATGGCCAAGTGTGCACATCTTCATGGAGGATTCCGGACTTGGGACGCAATAATTTGCTTTTCAAGGATACTGCAGTATCTGCCCAGGTAAACTTTTCACTCCCAACTTCGTGCTTTCAGCAGGGCAAGTTACATTTTGATTTTGTTCAGGGAGTTACCGAACAAGAATGTCTCGGTACTTGTGCCTTTTATCCTCCCGGAAAGTGCTTCCTTGCGGCTAATCGTCTTAAGCCTTTCTTTTGAACGGATTGTTCGGCATCACATTGTTAAATCGTTGTCCTTACCTTCGCCACGCTATCTGGCGACAAGACTGTACCGGAGAAAAGCCATGGCACGGTAGTTGCTCTGGTAAGAGCGGTGAAGTTAAGGTCTCCAGGTCTAGTGTATTGCTTGATCAGAGGATATTCATTCTGCCGAGCGCTTCACTCGGTCCTCGCATATTAAAAAAACTGGTCGCTTCCACACCAGCACGAAGCAAGCGCGGTGGGCAAGCTGCTTCAATACTGACAGATAAAAGAGTGACACCTTCAGAAACTCTGTGCTGTTCTTCTCTTGGCATTCGATTCACCAAGCCTTCATCTGCCTCTATCGTCTGCTAGCACTTAATCCCTCCATTTCCGGTATAATCTTTCACCAAGTTTTGTGCCACGTTAGAATTTATCTCAAAAATGTAGAGCAAGAATCAGAGTGCTGGAGGTTTTGTCACTAGATCACATGGTTTCTGGCAGCCTCCGCATTCTCCCCCCAGGAGTAACGAGACGAATGAAACTCGGACCGTATACCTATTTCAAGCATTTAGGCCACGTGGACTACTGCATAGCTGTATTTAAGCTTTACAGTATTATGTATCGGGCTAATTTTGCCCGTGCAATATCTTTCTGATATATCTACACAGGAAAAATAGCAGCTGGCAATTTCTACCTCCTCTTTGGAACTTTTCCAACATCTAAATACTTATATCTCTGTTGAAAAGCTGGATTGGTCTTTGAATTTCTTTTTGTATGTTGTAGTATCTAGGGTGAAACAGAATGCTGAGGTATATGGATATGACAATTGTCATCTGCTATTTTTCCTCTAATCGGCTTGGGCTTGGTTTGTTATTGCTTCTGACAATCCGCGACATGGTACTTATCCTCTACAGTCGGATGCAAACTCAAATCTCACGTTAGAAACTGTGAGCATAAACTTTCCGTCGCCGCTCATGCTAACTACATTTTTTCAGCGGCATGTAACCGCCTGCTCTTACTGAAGTATTTATCCGACCAATTGTTCTTCAAGGTTTATTTCCCAAAAGTCTTTCTCTCCCTATATTAATCAAGGTAGCTAAAAGCAGAAATGAATGCCGATATAGATAGATGGCTTATAGAGTTTCTCAGTCGAGGTCTTCTCTCATTGAAGCTCACTCGTTCCAATGTCTAGTCACTTTGATAACATAAGCTTTACAAAGCTTAAAGGGCTGAAGTCCGTATTCCAGATCGATGGGGCGTATCATATTCAATGCAAAGTATCTCTTTCTTGGCTCTCTGCAATTGGATAGTGGTTCAATTCATGTTTTGGGAAAAGGGCAAGTTCATGTATGTTGGTTGACTGTAGTAAACAATTTGGATAAAAGAGACCGGAAATACGGGACAAGTAGTCGAAGTTTCTAACACAAAGCATACTTAACCTAATTAATCTATAACCTCCTTCACCAACGTCAGATCACATCATCAAACTCTACGTATACAAATCCAAATCAATCTCATGATCCAACTCCTCCCCATCCACAACCCCGTCGCCAAGCCCGATTCCCACATTCTTCTTCACCTCCACAACCCTTTCCACAACCCCATCCCCAAGCCCATCCGCAAACCCAATTCCTACATTCTTCTTCATCTCCGCAAGCTGTTCCACTCTCATCAAAACATACCAAAACCCCTCTTTCATATGGTCCTCACATCTCGCATTACGACTCAAAATCATAACATCTTGTTTGCGATTCAAATTGCCATCTTCATCCAAGGCCCCCGCTTTCCCCAATACATTTTCCTCGCTGCCTTCCACGTACAGCCCTTCTGTCTCGTTACGCGGATCGAGACTCAGGAAATACCGATGCACTTCTGTACATGTTGTTAAGCTCAGGTGGGAAAAACGATAGTAGGTTGTGGAGGGGGGGATGAATTCGAGAGGTGGAGGGTGAAATTTGGTGGTTAGGGATTTCACGAGGAAACTGTAGAAGTTTTCGAGAGCAGGAGGAAAACTAGACGGAAGGGGGAGTGGTTGGTGGCAGCAAAAATACGGGTCTGAGGGGGAAGGTGTTTTGATGGTGGTTGAAGAGGGGGCGGCAGTGCTAGTGTTGGGTGGTGGAGATGGCTTCTTGTAGGCGCCTGCTGCGGGTGGTTTGGGGGTTGAGCGGGGTGTCCCTGTCGGAGTTTCTTTGGGCGTGCTTTTCGGTGATCCTTTCTGGGTTTGTTTAGAAACTCCTTTTTGGAAGGGCTTTGTAACTTTGGCTGGTTTTATTGTTGCTTTGGTGGGTTTTACTTCATCGATGTCCATATCGGCGACATCTTCTTCGTCCTTGCCGGGCTTGTACGCACCGTCCCGATCTCCTTTCTTCTGACCCTGGCGTGGCATTTTTGGTAATATTTCGCGGCAGTTGTTGTGGATTGAGGAACGATGGAAGCCCTCGAGAAGGTTAGAAAAGGTTGAAGAATTGAGTCGAGGTTCTCTATTCTTTGTTATGTGAAATTCTACCCTAGACGCATTCGATGCTCTTTGTTTTGTCGTTGGATACTACTTGGAGCTTCCACACTGGTTTACGTGCTGCTCTCTTTGTTTGATGAACTGCGTGAGAATAATGCTCATTGGATACCTTAAAGCTTTGGTCTTCCTTTATGCATGCATAGAATTTAGTTCCTCATCACCAAATAAAGAAATATTGCGGGCATAGCCTCTTTCAGGTATCTGGATTGATTGGGACGTTGAGTCTAGGTAACACAACACTACCAATTTTCCACAGTAGCAGTAGCGCATCCAAGTATATATCCCTTCAAGCACAAACATGATACACAATATACGATGGTCAAGCCTTCTCTCCCAGCCGGAGCCTAGTACCACCACTAGCAAGGGCAAGGATAACCCAGCTACCAAATCACCATATGACACCGATGAGAAAGCCAAAAGTTGTGAAACTCCTCTTGCCACACCAATCCACCCATTGGACGTCGACCGGCGCTTTTTTATCACACCCTCATCCCCACCCACCTCTCCAAAAACCAAACCCGAATCCTCCACCAATTGCCTCACAGAAGAAGCTCTCCTCGCCCTAACATCCCAATCACTCATCCACGGCGGAGCCTGGAGCTCTCCTCGCAAACCCAAATGCGAAAAACGAGCCAAAGAAAAAGTATACACAGGTATAGGGGAAGCACCGCGACCAAAAACTCCAAGCGAACTAGCTCGTGGGAAACAATGGATTAGCAAGCGAAAAACAGCCGCGGGGGATAAGAGACGGGAAGTAGAAGATGTGACTATGAATCAGGTGACGGGCAGGGATCGATGGACCAAGCCTGAGCCGGAAGATGGGTTGGATGTTGCGAATTGGTGTAGAGGGAGTTGGCGTTGAAAAGAGCCTTTTGTTATGTGGTAGCAATATTTTCTCCAGATTAAAATTCAAAACCGAAACCTTTTCGACATACGGATAGCTTTGACTTTTTGAAATAAACGATTTGACAATATAAATAGATTTGTTTTTGCCAATCCCATCCAAATATTGAATAGACCCCGTATGTGGAAATCACTCACATTCCTTTTCTGTGCCAAAAGCCATGTTCCTAGGATAATACCCTTCTTTCCCTTGAACTGTTCTCCTACTAATTGATATATCTAAGAAATTTTCAGTCGATACCAAAGAATGCATTATCAAATTGGCCATGCTCCATTTCGCTCAGTTCTCCGCCTACATTTGCATCGTCATCACCGCCGAAAAACAAATCGTCAAATACACTTTCCTCTGCCCCAACCATATCATCGAGGTCTAAGTCCAGGTCCATACCGTTATTGTTATTATTAATATTGTTGCTGTTGTTGTTCGCACGACTGCCACCAGTCATGTCAAGGAGGTCGTCCACCATATTTCCTTTGCCATTTGTTGTAGAGGTTTTCGCGTTGTTAGAAGAAGTTTCATGAGAAGGTTGGAGATCGTTTATGTTGAAATCTTGCGGATTGCTCCCAAATGTGGAGAGGTCAAGCTCTGTATTTTGTGTCTGGTTATTGTCCAGACTTTGAGTGTTTGTGGTTGCATCCAGCATTGTGAAACCCATGTTATCAAAATTAACAGGTGCAGAGTCTTCTTTCGCAGCATTTTCAGGGATATCGAAGAGTGAATCGATTGAAGAATCTTGTCTGCCTACTGTGGCAGGTGCAGGGGCACCGACAGATGCTGAAAGTGTGGTGTTTCGTCCCAAATGGACAGCCTGCGACTTATTGTCATTCGTACTCGGTGGAGATAAAACCATGGCCTCTTTCCTCTCTTCCTCACACACAATTTCCTTCGATGGGTCATTTTTGACCAGGTTTTCCTCTTCTGTCGAAATTGTTTGGAGAGGGGTAACTTCTCGAACTCTCTCTTCCTCCATTGCTACAGCTTGATCATCAAATTTCGTATGCGGGGGTGATGCGGGCTGAGATGCGTCGGGTTCATTGATCAATTGGATTGGAGGGTTCTCTGTCGCAATTCGTTTCGACCGTAACGCTTCTAAATCTCGTCCCAAGGCCGATTTTGCTCGTACCTGTAGCCTCATGTTAAGACCATACGATTGGTGACTTGAGATAGCCCACTTACAATTTGAGCTTCAAGATCATCTAGAGCGCGGTGAAAATTGTCGGTAATAGAGGGAATGGTTGAGTGAAGTCTTATAGCGGAAATGGCCATTGTCTTCCCTCCTTCTAGACCTGTTGCACGAAGAGCTTTACCAGTTTCTATAAGCTAAAAGAGGTGAGTCTATGTTTTAATCATTAAGGCAATGATACATACAACAGCATTTATCTGGATCTGCAGTATCTCCAGAGGAGTTTTGGGTTGTTGCACTTGAGCCATGATCAAAGGAGGGTGAGTGTGATATTTTAAAGGCAAGGTAAGGTTTGAAAGAATATGAGAACTGAAGTAAAAGGTAAAAAGATATCAACCCTTCTATTCAGGAAAAAAAAATAGATATACTTGAATATTGGATAGACGTTTGGCTTTACAGACATCTAATAGTTTCATCATAATACAGATGATAAGTAATATTGAAGTTCGGAGCTTGCAATGATTGTTCCGTTCAGTTCATTCCCCACTAAAGTTACTTGACTAATCCTAGAATACCAACCACCATCACTTAATACAGCATAATGACAATCAGAACACCAGAATTTGAAGATCTAAAGATTTAAAGATCTTGTCCTAATAACAATTAACAATTTAATAATCGAAAGTATCAATTTTGAAATCAAAATCAATTAAATTATATATATATAATATAATTATAAAAAGTTATAGATTCTCTTAATAAATTTATATTTTTAAAGTTTAACAGCAAAATCTAAATTGAAATATTGTAAAAACTCTATTAATTCGGTATGAGTCTATCTGTATCGAGTTCTAGTTTTCTCGCTTCTATAACCTTACTCAAGTAGCTGAAGAAAAACCCTACTTTGTTTATTAATACACTTTCTAGCCATATGAGTACACGGCCCCAGTAGGCGCTAGAATTCGAAAGGTTCACCTGAACGGCCTGATTAACTGAACGGTCTAATCTAATTAGGTCACTGGTCTTAATACATTCAGGGCTCAAAAACCATGCCGTCTAAACTCACTTGAAGTCCCCATTCACATACCAAAAATAGTGCCTGACATGAAGTTGAAAAAGCAGATTGTGCAAGGTATTGAAAGGTACCCGAATAATATCAACCTTGTAAGGCTTAGACTGGTGGACATTCAGTTGCAATTTGTGACATAGGCACGTGCACTAGCGCTGACTATCAAAAGACGTCCTCACGATCTTGTTCCTCCCTCAATTACGGTCTTGAATATAATTTGATTTGACCTTTTCTTTATCATTTTTCATTGCTCATATAAAATCAAACCCCTAGCTCCAAGGTGTTGCTAGTAATGATTATTTGTTATATAGAGTTCCTATTAGAACAGTCTAGCTAATGGATGGATATTCTGTAATACACTTTTGGAAATTTGTTCTTCATCAAGCTGAATTGGATGTTTGTAAATATTCCTAAATTGTTTCAGTATCTTAGATATCTGTCTATGATGTGCTATTGGTCCTATGGAGCCTAATTCCTAGCTTCAAAATGTCTCTAGTGGAGACTCGTTGTCCTGTGCAGTTCCCATTAGAACTACCTAGTTAATGGATGGATATTCGATAAATACACTTTTAGATACTTTTCCTTTGTTAGGCTGAGTAGAATGTTCACAAAGATTCTGAAATCCTTCAGTTCTTAGACATATTTCTGTGATATAAAGACAAGTTCTTTCCCTATTACCTTGAAAATATTCCTACACTACAGCAACACCTTCTTCCGTACCCACTCCGAAATCCAAAATCATGATGCAGAAACCCCATATCAACAAAATGTCATCAATCATCTCCTACACCACACTAGAATGTTGGAATTGCCAAAAGGTGCATGGACGCACGCAGGAGTCGTGCCCTTCCTGCAACGGATGGACAATCAATACCCACGAGAATCATGAAGGCAAAATGAAGCTTCTTGACTGGTACGTTTTTCAAATCACAAGAACCGACTCGCAACAAGAGAAGGCCAAGACACTCCAAAAAATTGAGGATGCACTCAGGGGTGACCTGCGTACCGCCGTCCTTGCTGCCGGTCCTCCGAATGGAACAACGAGAGCGGTCTATCTGCATAGGCCGGGAGGCGACGCAAGGCTCTCGTTTACTAAGCCGGGCTGGGGCAGAATTTCAGCTAGTTCCAGGGGAAATGGCGAGATCGGCTTTGAAGACTGGTTAAAATTCGAGGAATTGATTGGATTAGTGAAAACTACAAACTCATGTAAGTATTTTCAAGTATTGCTGTCTGCTTGGCATAAGCGCTGACTTGCGAAATAGTGCCAGAATCTTTCCCAAAGCCAGCACGTCTTAAGTAGGAGGTGTCGAACTAGATATTGGTGGGAAATCGGATGAAATGGTTGTACTCGGGAGAGGAGGCTATTCACACGGGAATAGTTCACGGACCAGATTCGTTTTTTTTTGCTGGAAATTAGCTTCATTGTCGGGAAGGAAGGAAATGCTATACACGCTCTTCACCTGTGCTTAATCGAGAATTTGTGATTTTGATTGCTTGGTTTGTACTTTTACACAAATAGGCAGGGCTTTCAGCTTAGCAATGGCTTTTTTTACGTGCTACTTTATGTGCGAAATTGCGGGAAGCATCTCAGCAGTTTTGAGAGCGGGTTTGTGCTAGTGTATGGAGACCCCTTGGTACCAAAAAACCATCTTCATTTCAAGTATTTCGAACTAAATATTGAGATAAGCAGAAGCTAGCTCAGCCAACTAACTATATGCTGATTTCCTTGAACCACCGCTGAAATTCTCTTTCATGTTTACCGTGTTTGTGTTTATTGTCATCTATTGCATCATCATCATCATCCGTATCCGTAAGCTCAGGGTCAAACACATCCAGATGCTCTTTCGACCACCCCATATGCCACTCCAAAAAGTGTTGTCTTATTTTACGGCATTCACAAAAGTCGGGGCCAAACCAGTGATTTGCTCCATCCGCTAGTCCATGCTTACTTTGACCGTGATACCCTCCACCTATCCACAATTTTTTTATCTCCCTTATGGTCTTCACCAGCGCCTCCCAGTCATCCAGTGTGAATCCTGGGGGGAAACACTCCCAAAGTTCTGCATGTTCTCTTACGGATAGTCCGAAAATGTCATGAAGTCCTACCCACCAAGGCAAATAACTGGCCGTTTCCCAATCTATCACTGCGGTGACCTTCCATTTTCTCTCTGCGTTGTCATTTGAAGCAAAGAGATTCGACCCATTAAAATCTCCATGGGTTAAAACATATGGTCCACCCCTTGGAAACTTTGCCTTGAGCTCAGCTATTTTTTCGTCCGCTTTTTTGACCCAAGCGCCTCGCACTGCCGGATCCTTGAGCCCACGCCGATTATCCCACCAACTATTCAACAAAAGAGATTTGCGCATCCCGGGAGTTAAGTTTTCCAGCCACTCTTCTTCAGTGCGTCCTGTCTTGATACAGCCGTAATTCTTGCAATTGCCAATACAAGTATCGAGAGCTTCTGCACCACCTACTCTTTGCATGTAGGGACTAGTAAACTGGCTTATTATTTTGAAAACCCGTCTATAATCGTGCTCAAGATCAGCGAGTTGTTCGTCGCAGAGATCTTCAGCAGCGTCCCCTAACATTTTTCCTTTTGCCCGGGACATCATTGTAAAATTGAACTTGTCATCTTTTCCGCCAAACCTGTACATTTCCACTAGAGGCACACCTGAATTCGCTTCCCGAAGAAATTCCTGTGTTGTATAGTCCGTTTTCATAGCGATACCAGGGATGTTTAATTCGTCCCTCAGCAGCCACTGCCCATCCGGACCGCCAAGTTCCCAAATAGCATCATTGTCTTTTACATAGTAAAGCTTGATGCGTGAAGTATATCCGAGGCCGGCTCGAGAAGTATCTATGCCACAATTACGGCATAGTATGTTGCCTTTTGCTGGCCAGTAGTTTAAATTATCAACATAAGTTCCGCTAACCACGGTGTTATGAACGAAGTGAGTGAGTTCTTTAACATCTACTCCCGGGTGACCTATAATATAAGTAATTAGCATCGAACCATTTATGTGCTGGACATTTACTTACAGGCAGATTCAAATTCTAACCTGTCACGAATAGCATCGCGACGTTTTGGTTTGGGATTTCCTTCCTCCATTGTAGAGAGAGGCGCGTGAAGCGTGGCTGCACTTGATTTTATACAAAACACGTAGATTGAATTCCAATATTGTGGATATGGCATTCAAGAAGCAGGAAAGTAGATGGTGCCTTATAGACGATGAGTACAAAGGAGAAGGAGGAAGACTTAGGGAACAGTGTTGGTATATAAGCCGCACATTGACGCATTCGTATTATCCTTTATTATTATCACCTTTACATTCCTAAATGGTTGTCCGAGAACAATGGAATACCCATCTCAACATTGCGTTTAAAAATTTGACATGAAGGTTTGAAAGTGGGTATGATTGTAGTATACAAAAGATTGCAATTGCATCTTTGAGATCTCGATTGGATTCAGAGGAATTCGAAGTGGCAGCAGTTACTCGTCTACTACTGACAACAAAAGAGACAAGGTCATCTTTGTGAACAATCTCTCGTGTCATTAGATTTCACTCAGCGTTCCTTTTTGTAGTAGCATATTTTAACCTTAGTATTTTCATTGATGACCATGGATGCTATGACAATATAAGTTCCACTTGTCGTGTAGAAGAAGATTAGAAGATTGCACTTGAGGAGAGGTGAGCGCGAACTTTATAGATGTTTGAAAGCAGCGGTCGCTAAACCCGAATGTTTTTTAGTGTTCTTGCTCTGCGCACGGACCACCATGGCGACCGGTTATTCGCATTCTAGGGCTAAGGAGGAGGTGGTTCAGCTTTTCACTACATCGCAGATTTACGAGTAGACAGGTACAAGCTTCGGCTGTAAATCAACGTCAAGCATATAGAAGTTAATCACTTTGTATAATATCCACGTACATAAGCCTTTCATGCTCATCCACACTATACTTATCCATATATACTCAGTATCCTCATTCCTGTGTAACTTTTCATCCATGTTCTTGATGCATTCTTCTATCAACTCACCGCCTGCAGTCTGCGACCTGCAAAGACGTTTAAAGGTACATACTTATATAAGGCCAACATGCTTACACCTACCAATCAGAAGTGATCTTCAGCATGATATTGTAAGTAAAAACTAGCGGGGTAATAAGATCATTCCCCTCGGACCTTAATGCCATGACTGAAAACTATGTCAAGCAATGCAAATACAAGTGACATCTTGTTGTTGAACATGGCTTTGTTAGCAATTCATTGGCCAAAAGCTAGCTCCGGGTTGTTTTTAGGTATAATTGAGGCACAGTATCACACCTCCCTGATAACTAAACTCAATAACACACATAGATAAAGTAGGAAAACGGGAATTTTGAGGGAGCATCAGCACTATTATCGAATATCACTTCAGTCTGTAGGTAGTAGTTCTAGGTCCCCAACGCCCACACTTCGACAACTACTTCATAGCTGGAATACGTAGTTAAATACTCGGACCTGTTTAGTTAGAATGCCCCTCGATAACACAACCTCCCATCTCTTTAGATTCCAGGTACTATGCTCGGTCATAACGAAAACGATAAAAACTGCTGAGGGATGTAAAAGTTGATTGGACCCATCTGACGGGATTCGCAGTGCGGAGATAAGCTTTTGATTCCATGTTTGTGTGGTTCTCATTGCTCCGCACGGAAGTTTAGCCTCGAGAAAGATGGGATGATCTGTCCACAAGACGGACGTCGACTAGTTAATGCCTTAAAGGGTACTACTGTCATATCAATTAAGTACTCCGTATTTCGCCAATCGGCAGCCCTTGATATTCCCTCCCGTCGGTATAACATCTGCTTTTTTTTCACCGTGGGTTTCTCGGCCCGCTCCAGCGGGGAGCATTTGAATAGAGCAATGACTCCATTCCGTACTGTGTGACCGGGGGTTTCCGTTGGTTGGTGGTTTAGAGTAGGAGCTTCCTGGCCAATAAGTATTAAGTAGATGGGTAGGTAGGCGCCTAATAAATTAACAAATGATTCTGTGGGTTGACTTGAGGAAAATGAATGAAAATACGTAGAATGACTAGTCTGGGAAGATATATGGGAGGGGTATTGACGCATATAAATAGAATGGGTAGATATTGAACAGGTTGCAGTTGTTGAATTCATTGGTGATCAGTATCTTGCAGCTGGCGGCTTATAAAAGTCTCCAAACTTTTTATATCTTGAATTAGCCATAAGGTATTTATATGACCAGTATATGGTATGTTACTCGATGGGTCTCAAACCATCGATGGAGTAAAACAAAATATACCTGCTTCGACAGAACTTTGGTAAAACTTGAGACTAATAAACGTTGAGCAATACCCATCCAATAGGCGGATATCTTCCACCACCACCAACCAGTCCTTGAAGGCGAATTTATCCAAAGGAGTTCAGTTGCATTCAAAGGGAAGGAATCTCTCATGGGCGAAAAAAGTCGAATGAAATTAGCACTCAATCACATCCTCAGTACGGAGTATATCCTCAATATTTTGAGATAGGAGTATTATTAGGGAGTCCCTTTAAATATTTAAATATAGGAATGGTTATAAGATAAGTAGATAGGTACCTAATTATGGTAAATCTTATATGGTCTGAACAATGATAAAATGACTCGAATATTCAGACCGGGAAGAGTGAATTATCATATAATTACCAACAACAGTCCATATATAGCTTTTAAAATATATTACATAGGTAGGTAGGTACCTTAGGTATTCTTTTTGGCTTACGGACCTACCTACCTACCTAGATAGCCTTGTCCATTAGCGTGGAACCTAACAGAAAGCAGGCAGAGCTACTCTTTTTATCAGACCCTCATTCAAACTTGCAGCAAAGTAATTTGCGCCGAACATCTTCTACTTTATCCCCCAGTTTCTCTTACCTTCACCATCTTTTTTTTCTACTGTGTGCAAGAAAATCATTTGCAGCGTCGTCGTCTCTTTTCCTCTCTCCTTTTCAATCTACTGTCGATACAGGCGTTTGGATTTTCGAGTGGTGTTTTGTCTCCTCTCTATCCTTCTCGTCTTTTATTCGTCGTGATTGAATAATTTCTTCCATATTCATACCTCTACGTTGTCATCGTCTCCGTCTCATCCTCTTTATTTCTCACTCGGTCTTCTGAGATTTTGTCGCAGAAAACCCCTCCTTCATCGATCTCATCTCTTACTACTCTGCTACTTCTGCATCATACCAAGCTTCATTTTGAACCTTCTCTGTTCATCTTGAATTCCAACAATCGATAATTTATTCACACAATAAGTGTATAAATTTAACTTGTTGCTATTTGACTTTCATCGATCTGTTTCGCAAGTCGTTTATCGAATTTTCGAGTCTCACGCGCTTCTTATCGTTCGAGTTACACAAGAACGCAAATCATCGCACCTTCACAACTCAGCTTTTTTCGTTCCTTGTCATCGATCGCTTTACGATCCTATCCGCTCAATTTTCTACTTTCGATTTTCCCTTCCTCTGCGCAAGTATTTAAAGCAACCACAGATAAGATATCATCCTTGATCAAATTTTACAATGGCAGACAACGGTTTACCAAGCAGCGTCCAGCTCCCACCACCACCGCAGACTTCTGCTGGTGCGCCAGGCTATGAAAATGGTCACAATAGCCAGGGCAACCCCTCGCATATGCCACCGCCACCACTTCCTCCAGTGATTATCCCGCAGAACACGAATCCAATCCCAACTGCTATTACCTCTCCTATGGGTGAAAATGGTGGGGTAATGTCGCCAGATAGCGCTGGCGGATTCGTTCGCCGAGCTGCACCAGAACCAAACAAGCGCGCATTATATGTTGGAGGTCTTGACCCAAGAGTCACTGAAGAGGTGCTCCGTCAAATTTTTGAGACCACTGGACATGTTCAAAATGTTAAAATCATTCCTGACAAGAATGTAGGTGCTGTCAGTATCTATCTACTATCTCCATAAATTCCCAAGTTTCGAGCTTTCAAAGCCTGCAAAATCTTCAATATTGTTTAACAGTTGAACTCTTTCTTTTAAATACAACCTACATATGTATAACTTAATGCTAACCAAGTCTCAGTCAAAGGGATTCAATTATGGTTTTGTCGAATATGATGATCCTGGAGCAGCTGAGAGAGCTATGCAGACCTTGAATGGAAGACGTGTTCACCAGGCCGTGAGTGTTAATTTTCTCCATCTTTCCAAGCAGCAAATTTGACTCTATACAGGAAATTCGAGTGAACTGGGCCTACCAGTCGAACACTTCAAACAAGGAAGATACATCGAACCACTTTCACATCTTTGTTGGAGACCTCTCAAACGAGGTGAACGACGAAGTTCTACTACAGGCGTTCTCTGCCTTTGGTTCCGTTTCCGAGGCACGTGTTATGTGGGATATGAAGACAGGAAGGTCCAGAGGCTACGGCTTTGCTGCTTTCCGTGAACGTCAGGATGCCGAGAAGGCATTAAGCTCTATGGACGGTGAGTGGCTGGGCTCCCGAGCTATTCGTTGTAACTGGGCAAACCAAAAGGGCCAGCCTTCTATCTCGCAGCAACAAGCCATGTCTGCCATGGGCATGACTCCTACCACTCCTTTTGGTCATCACCACTTTCCAACCCATGGTGTTCAGAGTTACGATATGATTGTTCAGCAAACTCCTCAATGGCAAACCACTTGCTACGTCGGAAACTTGACACCATACACAACACAGCAAGACCTTGTTCCCTTGTTCCAGAATTTTGGATATGTTGTGGAAACTCGTTTCCAGGCTGATCGTGGCTTTGCATTTGTAAAGATGGATTCTCATGAAAATGCTGCACTTGCCATTTGCCAGTTGAGTGGATACAATGTCAACGGCCGTCCTCTCAAGTGTAGTGTAAGTTTCGCTTATTTCTTCATATCTAATTCTATGCTAATAATTCTCAGTGGGGCAAAGACAAAGCACCTACTTCGGCAGGCTTCGACGGCTCTCAGCAGAGCTACAGCCCTCAGGCCGGACCGACCCCGGGTGGATTCCCAGGTACACCCAACGCTTATTTTCCACAATATGGTGGAATGCCTCCGCAAGCTGGACCGCAATCAGCTGGACCCATGGCTAGCCAACAGTCTCCAGGCCAGTACGCTGGTCAACAAGGGGGATATGGTGGTCCTCCGGCTCAATCCCCCGCGCAATATAGCAATCAACCCATGGGTTATGGTGGCCCTGCCAGTGCTGGAGGATATGGTCGAGGAGCGCAACCAACCCCAACCGCGCAATGGAGTGCTCCCACTGCACAAAGTTACGGTAACGGCTTTGGTGGATATCAGGGCTAAGCTCTATACGGCCGCACGCATTTATGACCTCTTTTGGAGCAACTATTTTCAGGTGTATTTTGCTTTGTCAAGTTCTTAGGGTCTTATGGGGATCAGGGATATTAAGTTTTGGTGGCATAATCTCATTCCCGCATCTGTGCTTTGGTCTTTTGCTTGACGGCTAGGCCGAGCAGCATTGAAGTTGCATAGGGTGCTCTATTTCAAGATAATTTTCTTTCGATCCGTAGTTTCCTATGTTCCTAAGTGTTGGAAAGGTGATTGTCACGTCTATCAAAAAGTTCTTTCCTTCTCTTCTAGGTTATCATTGCCTTGGTTTTATTTCTCTGCATTTGATTTGTGGTCTCTCGTTCTTCGCCTTTTGTCCTCATGAGTCCACGAATCTACTATAGCGACTACCCCGTTCATATTGTGCCATGTCACTTCTTCTTTTGGTCAACGTTGTCATTATCGAAGTGGCCGGCAGTTACATAAATTATGTTATGCAGAAGATTGCAATGAAAATGATAGGATTATCTTAAGATTTTTCTGCAAAATCGGAGGATTTTGTTTGGCCAGGTAGGAGGCCAAAATGGGAGGAGGGAATTGTAGGGTTAGAAACATTCACAGCTACCCATAAAAGTTAAATGGCCGGTGCTGTCAGCAGGAGTCAGCAATGAATACTGCATATCCTCTCTACTCAAACTTATGATGGTGAAGTACGGAAACGTGCTAGGTGATTTGATAAATTAATCAATAAAATTGATGGGAACTTTCCATTGTTGAAATGGCCCGCAGGTAACAACTGAAAAGAGACGAGACCCAATATCTGTTTAGTAAAGTTGAGTTACAGCAAACTTAACTTGGATATGTTGGATAGCAAACTTCCATGTTTGATAGATAAGTCTAACAGGAGAGTGGTCTCGGGCTAATAATAGGGAGGCTGAGATGTAAAATAAACTAAAATGGGCACCTACTTACTTGCGCTTCCACTTTTGATACTGCTTACTGATAACGTATCGGTACCTACTGACGAGCCCTGTGGTTGTGAAGCTGCGTTTACACTCCGTACGGCATTTTCTCCACATAAATTCCTAACATCTATGTGGGGTAAGGCTAGCATAAATTAATCGATTCGACGCGAAACGCGAATCCCCGTGACGCAAGGCAAAATAGCAAAACAATTTTAGCATTATACCCCATCGGACTATCACTCACCCGTATTTAATCACTTTGACATTTAACAGCAAGAGGTGCAGGTGAGTTCAAGCAAGCGCCTTTTAATAGTTCGCACTTTCCTCAAACGATTTTATGCCATTTGGCTGCACCAGCTCTCCAGCACTTTCTTCACTCATCAGAGGTCGTCTTGCGCAACGCTGGAGAGCGCATCCTCGTTTTATATTTCGCATCACCAATGTACCAACTCGAAGAGTTCTATACTCTTCTATCGCAAACGCGATGCTAGGACGTGCTGTTAAAGCTAAAGCTACGGAGCCCCAATCTCTGCATCCGAAAAACGACGCAAAGAAGGCAGCAATTACTCAACAAAATATGACACGAAATGGGAATATTCAAGAGTCATTAAAGCCAAAACCCTCGCAGGCAATCGGTGGATATGTACAACCCTTGAGGCCAGCCTCAGCAAATGAGAAGATGTTGCCAAAGAAAAGTCAATCGACAATTGCATCAAGTGCCGTCAGCTCTCATTTGAGTTCGTTATTCAGCAGGGATGGTGCGTTCCAAGATACACCAAATAGTAGCTTTGCTATGGAATTCAATGAGGACGATTGGAGCGATGACGATAATATAGATTTCGATATCAGTTACACGTTGCCTACAAAAACTTTATCTACCAATACCTCCATGCCAGCGCCCCCGAAACCTACCCTTACAACAATACCGTCGTCCCCATTTGCGGAAAGAGTAAAACCACAGCGAGCTCCAAGCAGTAGCGCGCATACCTGGTCGTCTTCGCCACCTTCGCATAAAGAGACGCCGCCTGGAGCTAAAAAGCGGAGAGAGCGTGAGCATGAGCAATCGGCGGCACAGTCTCTCATAATCATAGAAGATGATGAGGCACCAAAACCAAAACGACGAACATTACCATGGATACAGAAACAGTCGGAACAAGATGAGGTGTCCCATAGACAAGAACAAGCAGATGAAAGCTCTCAAACGTCTGTCATATCTGCTCCAGCTGTTTGTTTCAAATGCAGACAGACAGGCCATTACAGCAAGCAATGTCCGAACAGCCGCAAGGGAAAAGTAAGTGAATGGGATCTTGATCGGCAAAATTGTACTTCGGTGAATCAAGACAAGAAGCAACCTTGGGACAACACTGAAAGACAGGTTGCGGAAAACAAGAAGCTAGTCAAGGAAAGGCGAAAGAAAACAGTTGACCTAGCTGAGAAGGCAGCCGGCGAGGCACATAGTCGCATTAAGACTGCTAAATTAGCTCCGATACACCTGACTGACGAGCAAACTCGGGTCAAGAGTTTGGTCGTGGATCACGGTAAAAGTGTCTTCTTTACTGGTTCTGCCGGTACTGGAAAATCTGTTCTGATGAGATCCATTATTGCTGCTTTGAAAAAGAAGTACGTTCGCGAGGGTGACCGAGTTGCTGTCACGGCTTCAACAGGTTTAGCTGCCTGCAACATCGGTGGCGTGACTCTCCACAGCTTTGGAGGCATTGGGCTTGGTAAAGAAGATGTACCTTCACTCATAAGAAAGATAAAGAAAAACAACAAAGCTAAGCTTCGGTGGACGAGAACCAAGGTTTTGGTCATTGATGAGATTTCCATGGTTGATGGCGATTTGTTCGATAAGCTAGAAGAAATCGCGAGGGGAATGCGTAACAATGGACGACCATTTGGAGGTATACAACTTGTGATCACTGGAGACTTTTTCCAATTGCCCCCTGTTCCAGATTACAATCAAAAGAGTCGAGGTGTCAAATTTGCATTCGACGCTGCTACCTGGGGAACGGCAATCCATCATACAATTGGTCTAACTGAAGTTTTTCGTCAGAAGGATCCTGGTAAGGTGGAGAATCATTTCATGCCGAAGCAAGCTAACACTGCATAGTATTCGCAAATATGTTAAACGAGATGCGGTTAGGAAAAGTCTCCCAAGACACTATAAAAGCTTTTGCCGGAATGAAACGCGCCATAAATTATGAAGACGACTTGACTGCTACAGAATTGTGCGTATATTTCAATACTAGCGCTCTTCATCACTGACTGGTCTTTAGGTTTCCAACTCGGAACGAGGTCGAGAACTCAAATACCTTCAGATTGAGAAGTCTACACGGCAAGTCATATAGATATGATGCTGCTGACTCGGGTTCAATCACTGACGAAGGGATGAGAGAGAAACTTCTTTCAAATATGATGGCTCCTAAATCCATCGAACTTAAGAAGGGAGCTCAAGTCATGTTGATCAAAAATATGGATGATGGACTAGTAAACGGATCACTTGGGAAAGTTGTCGCTTTCATGAGTGAAAAGTCGTTCGAGATCTATGATTCGAACCCAGATATACTCAATGAAAAAGAACTTTCCGATGCTGAGGAGGAACACAACCGTCAATCAGACCTAGCGAGGTTTAAACAGACCAATAAAGAGTTACCTATCACCGGAATCTCCAATAATGGCAGGCTGTTCCCGCTGGTGCGGTTTTCTATCCCAGATGGAACTGTCAGAGACCTTCTTGTTCAGCCAGAGGAATGGAAGATTGAGCTACCAAACGGAGAGATACAGGCACAACGCACCCAGTTACCTCTTATTCTTGCCTGGGCACTCTCTATTCACAAAGCACAAGGGCAAACTCTTGAGCGTGTTAAGATTGACTTGAAGAGAGTGTTTGAGAATGGTCAAGCTTATGTTGCTCTGAGTCGAGCAACAAGCCAAGCTGGCTTGGAAGTCCAGAACTTCGATCCGAAGAAAGTCATGGCTCACCCGAGGGTTGCTGAATTTTACAACAGCTTGTATAGCGTTAACAGAGCTTTGGCGCACCCCAAAGTTGCGAGGGCTGATCCACCAAAGATAGCAATGAAACCTATCAAGCCACTGAGAGACGATCCGTCTGTTGATGAGGACGAGGAAGAGATGGCACGCAATTTCGGTTGAAATAGCGGGCGTCTCAAAGAGTCATGACAACAATTATTTCGGGTGTTTACAGGAGTCGCTAGGAGTGGCTTAGATTTTGCTCAATTGGTTTGTGAAAGTTATATGGTCGATCTACAATCATGAACTGGGCTCGCAAACGCGGGAATTGTTTGAGCGGCGCCATTGTTTAGCATGGGATTAAAAGACGAGTATGAGTAATGCCCTCCCTCTTCATATGTATAAAATTTACTCACGAATAAAATACAAGGACTTTTTGTTAAACCCGCTAATATTGACCAAATGAACACTGTCTAATGTTTGTGCAATACTCCTGCCCCTACCTCTGAAGATCTTAACGGACGTTTGGTACAGTGATGCTCAATCTTGTTGTATAGGTAGTAAGACTTACGTACTATTTTTGTGCACAACCTACTCCCTACTTCTATTTCTGACGGACACTAAAAGTTGTTTGATATCAGTCGATGCCGTCTTATTGGTTGACCACCTGCTGTTTGCATAAGACTTCTAACTCCGAAGAACCGATAATCTGTTTATTGTCAATCATGCTTCATCCTTTAAAACGATTTGGAGATCAGGAAAACTTTTGTCTTGGGATTTGCACCGAGCCCTTCCTAAGCCTAAGCAGATTCACCCCGCCATACCCACCTGGTGACCCTATCGATAAGGCGGCGGGGATAATGTTTTGAAGCGGCGATCACCGATTAAGCTAGAACTAGCTCAAAAACCCCGATATACTTTTTTTTATCTCACCTCGCTATCACCTACCCTTGTAAACCCCCAACCATCAGAGAAGAAAAATCAACATACCTAGTTGTCAACTTTGACAATTTTGGTTTCCCGAGAAACGCTCCTCCTTTTACCTATTTCCAATCACTGTTCCGCCCATAGCTCTCTTCTCTCTATTGATTGAGAGTTCTTGACACGATCCTACGCGCTTACACCACCCTCCATCTCTCACTGCATATCGCGAAGCCTTCTCCCCCGCCAGTGGTGAGCAACCAAAAACGGAACCTAACATGTCGAATCAATTCATTGGGCTTACTATGCTGGTGACTCTGAGTTCTCCACCTGGTGCGCAGTTGCGAGGCATTGTCAGTAGCATTGAACCTGGTAAAAGCCTGACTTTACGAGAAGGTTAGTGCTCACGTAACGTTGGCAAACACATCCGTTGCTTTCGCTAATACAAAGCGTCTTCCACAGTTACCTGTCCATCGAATGGTAAATACGTCCCGGAGTTTACAATTAACGCTGCGGAAATTACAGAATTGATTGAGGCTCGGAATGAAAATGTAAAGCCACCTCTTTCGGTAATACAACAGAAGCCAGCGGTTGTACCTGCATCGGCAGCGAAGAAATTTGAAGATCCGGCAATTCTGAGCATGGGAAGGAGATCTGTATTGGACACTTCTCCTGCAGCACCGGTTCAGTCGCAGTCTCAATGGAAGAGTACAACGATGGAACGCGGTGATTCGGCGCGAACTGCTGTGAGTCGTGAGGAGAGGCTCAAAGAACAGAATACCTCATCTATCTTACCCGGCAGTATGACGAGCTTGGAAGTTCATGATCAGGAAGGGCGTGAAGAGGTAGAGATCCTGGAAGAACTCGACACAGAACTAGCCGATTTGTCAGTGGAACCAACTTTAGCCAAATCAGGACGACGACCTCGTAAGCGAAACAATCGAGGCAAAAAGTCTGTAGAACGTGCTTTTCAAGAACCAAATGTTGTCCCGGCTAAAGAGACCACCCGATCAAAAGGTTGGCGACAGACCCCGTTGCTAGAACCGGTTACTTCATTTCAGCCATTTGCGACCTTGAAAAAGTCTCAGAGAAGGGGCAACAGGAATATGGAAGAGAGTGGATGGGCTACCGAAGAAGCAACCGATGTGCAAGAGATGGGAGATTTTGATTTTGCTAGTAGTTTAGCAAAATTTGACAAAAAGACTGTTTTCAACCAAATCCAGGCAGAGGATGGTATCGCAGAGTCAGATCGTCTGGTTGGACACAATCGCTTACCGAAAGCAAAGCCAGGAACGTATGGAGGAAAGAACCTTCATCCTAGTGAGAATGTCCTTGATACACCAAACGGTGCCACAAAGGCTTCAGAAACCTGGAAGAGCGACGCGGATGACACAGATATTCAAGAAAAAAGCAGTCAAAGAGGTTCTGGAAGTGGTAGAAACTCCCGTACACGAAGGCCTGAGAGTAAAATAGGCAACCACCACAGACCGATCTCACGGAAAGGAAGTACTGTCCCAAGCTCCCAGCCATCACGAAATATCTCCGTCGGACCATCAAAACCTATGTTCTATCTTCTTCCATCTGATCGTCGATGTGAACCTATATCAGCGCTTCAAATGCTTAATTTGGAAAACATTGCAGATACTGAACTTGGACTTACCGAGGATATGATGACTGAGAATGCAGGTCGTGGTATTGCTGAAGTCGGATTATCGGCTGTGAAAATTGAAGGTCGTGGCTTAACCCAAGGCAAGAAATCCACCGTTCCCACGGTCATAGTCTTCGCGGGCAATAACAAAAGTGGTCTTCGAGCGGTTGCAGCCGGTCGACATCTCCGAAACCACGGTCTCAACGTTGTAGTTTGTGTCCTTGGCCTTGAGCGTGATTCCGAACTCTTGGTTGGACTACGTCGTCAAATAAAAGTTTTCCGCGGTTTCGGCGGTAAGGTTTGCACCAAAGCCGAACTTCTCGATTTCGTCAAAACTTCGAATGCGCCTATTGATCTGATAATAGATGGCCTTCTCGGTCTCACAATGTCTTTTGAAGAGCTCCGAACCGGTGATCAAGCTACGGCCTACGAACTTATTGAATGGGCCAATAGAAATAAAGCGCCAGTTCTTGCCATCGATGTCCCTACTGGTATTGATCCCACAAGCGGCAAGGTTAGCGTCATTGATGGGCGAAAATTGTATATCTACGCGAGATATGTTGTTGCAATGGGAGCACCTAAGAAAGGTCTATTAGAAGCGATGATTATGGGCGAGGGAGTTGGTAATGAGGAGAAAATGGGATTAGGGATTACGAGCTTGAATGCGAAGGCGAGCGAGGAGTGGCAACTTTCCGTTGCGGACGTTGGGCTCGGTATGGCCGTTTGGAAAAAAGCCGGAACGAGAGTTAGGAGGGGAGTGGAGTTTGAGGGAAGCTGGGTATTAGGAATGAGGTTTCAGAGCGGAGCGAGGCTTGCATAGATTCTGGTTTGATTGCAGATTTCCTTCATTTCTTGATGGGTTTATATGTTAATGGTTCAAAAGCGTGGATTTTGGAACGGGAAGCTGAAATTAATAAATAGCATAGCATAGCATGGCGTTTCAATTGTTGCATATTTTTTGGTATGGCTAGCTTCTTGGCTGGGTATGGCTAGCTGGCTTGATGGGATGGGAATGAATTGAAATGAAACGAAATGGAATAAAATGATGTGGTAGCGATGCCTTGCTTGTCTAGAGACGGAACAGTAGCATTATGAAGGGGAAGAAACATGGAAGAAATATTCGATATTATTATCGATGATAATGAATTATAGCTTTTTTACCTTACCTTACATTACTTTTCTTTACTTTACTTTCCAAGGTTGCTACACTTTGCATATTGGTCGGGTCCTTTGTGTCTCGTGAATGACCGAACCAATGCTGTTTGCCCTGTCCCATTGGGGCTGCCAAGTAAGTGACTGCTTCGTTGGAAAGTAACACCAGAAAGGAGGATTGGGGAAAGGCGTGCAAGCAGGTTTTACTTGTGTATACATGTTGAACTTGCATTGTGGGTTTGGGGATGGTTATCTTTATATGTGTAGTTTGGTTGGTGATGGTGATTTGCTGTTGAATTTGATGTAATTTGTTGAAATGGTGAGTGACGAAGTGAAATACATGGAATATATTCGGCAATGCTTAATATCAAACAATGGCATATATTGATGTATTGTGTATGATACTCTTGATTCGTAACATATCCGAGGGAAATCATCAATTTTGAGATAATTAATCTAGTGTAACTCCAGGACTTCCGCGACTCCAGATATAAACCGAGCCGTCAAACTCCAATCCCAAGTCCATTCAACCGCCTAAAGGCACATTATCATAATTCCATTAAATAACCATTTTCATCCAGCCTCGTCCCCGCATCCCAAGAATCTCGGATCCATTTCCAGCTCACGAGATGCGATGTGCTCCCGCCCAATTCCCTTTTGGTTTCCCGAATCTTCTCCGGCGAAACTTCTGCAAAGATTATATGCGTAACATCTTCCTTCTGAACGTGTGTCTCTACATCTTCTCCGCGCAACACCGCACCGCACGCGAATTCGAAGTGATTCATCGCGATCCTGATATCAATGTTAAGATCCGCTTCTTCGCCATCTGTTACCAAAATCCCTCGACATCCTCTAAACGTCCATCCTTTCAGATTCCCAAACCCCTTATCCTTTTCCGCTAATAGCGTCATAAACTTGGCCGCATCAAATTGCGTGCTCCCCTCAACCCTACCCATTCCATCCATAATCCCCCTTAACTCCTCCGGCCCCACATCCCGACAATAAGGATCTCCATATTGATCTGAATTTGCCGCAATACTCTCCTTATCCTCTTCCCTCGTAAAAAGCATATGACCCGTCTCATACGGGATGACGAATCTGGATCTTCCCAATGTCGCATCTGTTTCCATCTGCGCAACTGCATGTAATACCCATTGTGGTTTCACGATATTTGTTTTCCCGCTCTTGATTAGCGATGCGACTTTGACGACGCGTTTGTCGGCAACGACGATGATATCTTCTTTCGCGCTAGGTGATTGATAGATTCGACCGCCGTTATTCTTGATAATCGTTTCTATTTCCGCCTTGCTTTTCTTGACTGGTAGAATCATATCGCTCAAGATGCAAAAGTCCATGCCTTCAAACACGCCCGTGTTGGGTCCCTCATACAATACTTTGCCATCTTCTTCGGTACCCGCGATAATTTTCTCTCTCTTCAACCTCTTAGAAGGTTTCTTCTTCTTATCAACTCTAAATTCATCATCTTTCCCCTCCTCAACCTTCGCTTTTAATTCCATGAATCCCTCGATTGAAAGAGCGCTCTTCCAATCTTTATCCGGACGCAAACGTTTGAAGCGCGGAAAGCGAAGTGTGAAATTGGTGCGGAAGGAATCTGATATGCTAACTGATGCAGCTTTGACTTCTATGACGATGGAATCATTTGGTTTTATCCAAACATCTGGTCGTTCTTTTTCTTGATGTGTGCCTGCTAATTCTATAAATTCTGTTGGTGGGGATTTGGCGTCCCATTTTATCCATTTTCCATCGGTTTGATGGCGGATGGCGGCATAGTCATCTGCGTTGAATCCGCCACCTACTTTGAAGAATGAGAAGCATTTCATGGGGTTTGCTCCTATCTTGTGGTTAGTATGTGTTTGTTGTTTGAGAGGAGAGGGAAGCATCCTACCTGCTCTGATCTGTTTGTCATCAACACGCAAACCGCATAAGAATGATGCTAGATTTCCTCCTCGGTAACCTGATCCATAATAGCCACCAATTATTATACAGTCCAAGGACTCTCCAAATCCAGTCATATATTCAGGTTTCACCTTCATCCAGTCATCGTTTCGGCTGTTGAGCCTATACATCGATAGTGGATTCTTTAACACCAATCCTTCGGACCCTTCAGCAACGATTTTTCGCAGGAGAGGATCGATTTCAGAAGATGATTTGGCGGGTGTAAAATTATGCTTTTCGATACGTCCCTCGACATTTTGAACGGATGACTCCAATACATTGCGCCTATCTTTCAAGGTATATTTTGTGATATTTTTTCCGTTAACATACAAGCAGTCGAAGACTTTGAAGACGGGCCTGGCCGCTGTAGCAGAGAATGGATCCTTTCCTCCTGATATTGCGGCAGTTTTCAGAGTGCCAAATGCCACCATCTTATTCGTAACAGGATCCCATGTGATCATCTCGCCGTCCAATATAATACTACTTACTCTTGGATCGAAGGCGTTCTTCATGTGTCTTGTCAGTGCTGAATTGTCGTCCTCAAAACCATTCCCGTAGAGATATGTATAATCTTTACCCTTTCGAGACCACCAGATAAAACGGCGACCTCCTGGAATATCATCATTCTCTTCCATGTGCATTTGGATTCTTTCGCCGTCCAATTTCTCCTCAATCCAAAATTCTGAATTATTGCCCTTATCATGGGGATTTTGAGCACACATTTTTTCAACCATTTTCTCGAATGAATTTGACATGAATTGTGCGAGTTGAGGTTGGAAACATGACATCAATTCCACGCCCGTCTCATCAGCTTCCAAGGTGACATTGGGATCCGTGAGTTCCCAACAGACTCGACGCAGACTAGAAGAAACATTAAAAAGCGCCTCTCCATCTGGATGCCAGAGCTATAGCAATGAATTAGTAAATTATCAGAAAGATTTGACAGCAACTTACATTAAGAAAAGTCTTTTCTGAAGCACCAATTTTCATCTGTCGAAGAATCATTCGAATCAACCATACTAATTCCTCCGCATTCATCCTCTGATAAAATTCTCGAAAGATAGGCAATTGATTTTCTTCTTTTTGCGCCAAAGCAAGTTTGTCAAGCATCTCATTAACCTCCCCAATAGTCATATCTCCAACCTTCTGTCGCATGGGTCTTTTCGACAAAACCTCATAACACCTACCAGGAAAATCCCCCGAATTAGCACTCGGAGGACCTCGTGCAGGAAGTTTCCAGTTAATAAGATTATATCCATCATCCGAATCCTTAGACAGATTCAGAAGCTTGATAATGAGTCTTCCGACCGAAGCTTCCTTCAGTCCGTACATAGCTCGATCGCGATCTTTTTCGGGTATGATAAGTCGTAACGCGGGATAGAAATCATCGCCCACTTCGCTGCGCCATCTCGACATGAATCGGACGATGATGTTCTTTCGTATCTCATTAGGAGAAAGATTATTAGGTCCATGTGGTCCTAACTTCTTTCGCGCGGCGGCTGGACCTGGCTTTTTATTCTTGTTGGCTTCAAGAGGATCGAAGAGAGATTGAAATAATTCGTGGAATGGTAATGTTTCTCCATGATTACGAGGACGATCTGGATGTCTGTCATTTTGATTAGATTTGATGATAATTGGAATGATTTCCGATTGATTTGACTTACTTGTCGTTAAGCTCTTCTTTACTAATGGTGCTATATGCATATTGACGTTCATCGTCAGCTATAGCCTCAGGACTTGGCTTCTTGTTTTTATTCTGTTGACTTGATGCCATGGTTCATGATGTTGTGTTTTATTAAATTTGAAAATAATTGATAGTTGATTTCTTAAGTAGATCTCTTCTACGTTCAAGGGATCATGTTGCCTAGCCAAGCGCGATATTATCACGTCGTCACGTGGACTTGCCTTGGTCTTTTTGGTCGCTAAAACAATTTCAATATCAACTTCTAACTTCTAACTTCTCCAATGAGAATTGTATCCATGGCCAATCATTCAAGTTTCGGAGGGACTCCTAAAAAGTTGCATGTCTACTTGCTGTGAGATTATATTCGTTTAATATCTCTTAAATGATCCGGTGAATGATAAATCACCCCTCAAACACTCCAATCACTTTGACAATTCCTCACCTGTATATCTATCTATATATTCCAACTCCAACTCCAACTCCAACTCCAACTCCAACTCCAACTCCAACTCCAACCCCCATTTATAAAATCTCACAACATTTACTCCCTCACTCTCACTTACTCATTAAATATCTAATTATTCATTCTCAATCATCTACTTATTTCATTAATAAAAGATCTTACAACCTAATTAAATAATTATATAATTCTAATATCAGAACTTCAAAATCTAAAATCTAAAATATATAATCAATATTATTTATTTATATAATATAATATAATATTATCTGTTTTTTTATTATATTAATATAATCAATATCATTATCAATATCAATACAAATATAAATACAACTCATACAGGCCATATTATTAAATCCCGTCCATTTCTTATTTACTCTAACTATATAGACTAACCTACCTACCAATCCACCAATCCACCAATCCACCTATCTACCTACCAACCTACCAACCTATAAACTCATCTCATTTCATCTACATCCTAGACAAGACAAGACTAGACTAGCGCGAGCCATGTGTATCTAATAAAATCTATAATCTCCTTCTTCTTCTTCTTCTTCTTCTTCTTCTTCTTCTTCTATTAAACTCCCACCCACTATCCTGCATTTCATAGCATAGCATAGCATAACTTCTCCATTATTGCCCATCGATATCCGCCATTACCCAAAAAAAAGAAACGAAAAAAGAAACTACGACCTAATTTTAATTCCACCCATCGCCCCCGCACTCCCCCAAACACTAGATCCAACCCTACCGGGTAACTTTCTCCCCTTCAACCTCTGATCAATAAGCCACAATCCCACCACAAACTCATCTTTTTCCAATCGTCCGCCCGCCTTCATATTAGCCACAAGACGACTTCTGTATCCCCTCCCCTCAACCAAATCCCACACTTCTTCTAAAACATCCTCCCCTAGTCGACTCCTCTCCCAAATATCTCTAACCACTACTCCGGGCACAGTATCCACCGCGCCATCCACTTCTACCAGTTCCCCATCCTGATTAACCGTATATGGATATAGTCCCTTATTACTAGCCCATACAGCTTCATATCTTTTTCTTTCCCTTTCTGTGATTCCATCTCTCCAACGTTTCCGATTTCCCTCATTATGTTTATTCGGATGTTTTTTAACCAAATGTTTTTTAGCCCTTCTCTTTTCTCCCTCTCCTTCTTCTTCCTTGAGTTCTTTTCCTGTTTTAGGCTTCCTCATCGTAGTTTTCATGATCGGGACTCCAGCTGCAGATCCATTGTTCTGAGGAGGTGTAGGTGTCCTGGAATTATCCGAATGGAAGATATGTAGATTTTTATGTCGTCGAGTAGGAGGAGGGGCTGGAGGCCGAGTAGTTCCAGAAGATAAGGAAGGGGTGGAAGCACGGGATGAGGCGAGAGACCCGGCTACGATGGCGTTGGCTAGCGAATTGACATTCATTGAGGATAAGGAGGTTGACTGACTCCGTTTTTGCTGCGCTATTTTTGCACGGAAGGAAGGGGATTTGGGCTTAGGTTGGGAAGAGGCGGAGACGAAAGAATCATCTGAAGATCCATCATCGTCGTCATCATTATTGTTGTAGGACTGCTTCGATACTGGAGGTTCGGATGGCGGTTTAAGTTTGGGGGATTTAGGCGGTGTCTTGGTTGAAGAAGAACGTCTTGGAGGTTGGGCGGGAGGTTTTAAACATGGTTCGTTTCGGTCAGCGCGTTTCAAAATAGGTAAATGCATTGAAAGTGGCAAAGAAGCTTGCACTTGAAACCCTGCAGAATGAGTTTCCAGCGCAGGAGCATTGCCAGGCGTACGTCGTGGGGCCGGTATGGAAGGTTTTTGCACTGGTGATTTTGAGAGTGATTCGGTAGATTCCATAGCACGAGGGGATGTAGGTCGAATAGATTGCAATGAGGGCTTCGCTGACGGCTTGGTAGGCGGCGGGCCATGAGATGAAACAGGCCGAGAGGGCTTTTGTATTGAAGGCTTTGCAGAAAGGTTAGGTGACGGGCCATGAGAAGAAACAGGTCGACTATTATGTATGACAGGTTTCTCCGCCGGAGGTTTCGGAGACGGCTTTAGAGTCACAGAACCAGGAGTATGTGAAGAAACAGGTCGTGCTTGCACTACAGGCTTTGAGGTGGACTTTGTTCCTTCAGATATAAGGTCCTGGGAGGAAGAAGGTCGAAGTGGTACTGAAGCCTTCGCAACAGACTTCTTTGGCTTCAGCTCCGAAGTATGAGAAGAAACAGTTTGAGGTTGGACTGCAGGATTTGCAGGTGACTGTAATTCGTCAGAAATAGATGCTTGTGATGAAGCATTCCGAGGCTGTACAGCAGGTTTTGTCGCAGATGACTTCACCAGCTCCACGTCCGGCACGTGAGAAGAAACCGGTCTCGTCAGCCCTGTCGGCTTTAAAACAGGTACAGCCGCATGGCTCGAAGCCGGTCTCCTCAAACTCTCTTGCCTACTCACAACCTCATTTCCTCTATCACTACCACTCTCTCCAGCTTCTCCAACACCTCCTTTCTTCACACCCCTATTCGCCTGCTCCCACATCCCCACCAGGTTAGATGTTGGAGGAATACTCGATACATCTAACCTCCTATCCAGACTATCAATCGAACTCGCATAACTTTGTCTTCTGCTCATTAATGGACTTCCCTGTTTCCCTATGCCTCCCCCTATCCCAATCCCGATCCCCTGACTCAGACTTGGACTACTCTCTCTACTCCTCTTTGCCGCCAAATTAGCCGCCATAAAGGCTGCCGAACTACTCTTCATATTCGCACCATGTTCCGGCGTGCTATTCCCACTACCAGAAAAAGGAGGTAATAAATGTCCATTGGATCTCTGCTTTCGTTTTTGGAGCCCTGTTTGTCCTATTTGATGTTCCGGCCTTCCATTAATACTTCCTCCATCTGTTGTTTGACTCTCTCCTGTTTTCTCACTCCCTAGTATCTGTTGTCCATGACCCGTCCCCTCATCCGTCGCCGAAACTTTCGATGGACTTCTCGTCCTCCCTCCTCCTCCACCAATGTGTCCCACAGCTCCAGCCTTCACAGCAGCCGCCAATGCCCCATCCTTCCCATTCAAACCCTTTTCCCGCAATTGCACATTCCCCTTATTCGGAACCGGGGGTACCGCTCTCGCTTTCGCTCTTCCCTCTTTCGCATTCGAAAAAGCCAAAGAAGCACCCGTCAACGCAGCATTTTGCGCAGCTGCTATCCCTCTTCCCGTTTCTGTTCCTGCTCGTCCTACATGTGGATTGCGTAAAGAATTGATACTCGGATTATGATTAATTCGCGGAGACGAAGATGTAGTCGATTGCAAAGTCGAAGCCGAATTCTCAAACCCAGCAGATTGTTGTGTATTCCTCGCAGCAGTACCCGTACCAGTTACCGGTCGAGTAACCTTCGCCGTCCTCGTATCACCCGCATCACCCGCATCACCATTGAACATTGGATCCGCCATGATAGCTTGCTATGCGATGTCACAAGCTACAAGCTACAATCCTTCATACGTAATTTCCGCGACGCAAAGAATTTCGTAATCAAAAGCATTGGGACGGATTGCGATAGTACTGCCGTGGCGGAAGTTTCGTGAAGCTTACAATTCTGTGAGTAAGTAGCTGAGGTAAGGTACTCGTATTGATGAATAGCATATGCAAAGTATTGTGGAGTAGATTAATGATCCCCTCGGTCATAAGATCATTGCTTATACGCTCGAGACGTGTAATTGAAGACTCCAATCCATTGAGTCTATCAATCAAATGAATATCAATTCAAAAACCAAGAGAAAAGACAATGTTCGAATTCTTGTACTGAATGTTCTAAACCTCCTCATATTCAAAACAAATAAAACAATGGCATAAATTTGTACCTAGATAGGATATTAATAATTTAACCTGAATACTAGGTATTAGTCTTATCCACGTTTGCGGCACACTATCTACCTAATTAGTATCTAGGATGGTTTTAGCTTTCCCCCTAGGCACAAGCCGCAGCGTCGAAAGCGTTTTTTTCCAGTCCAGTGCAGTCTAAGCATGAGGCCTAAAAATAAATAGAAGAACGATGGAATAACTAGAAAACTTCCATTCTTCAGTCCAGCCCTATGAGAAATAATCGAATTCATTCACTATCAACCAAAATCTAATTATTTATTCCGCTCCATCGAGAATCTTAAAATCTAAAAAGTCTTCTTCTTACCTCTGTCATCTCTCCCACCTCTCTTACCTCTTTATTAATATTCACAAAGTATAACTAGGTAGTACCTAACTACTTATGTGTCCCATGTCCACCTTCATCTCTTCAATATCAACAATAAGTACCAAATATCTACACCTACACCTACACCCAAACCTTACAATTTAACCTAATTATATAAGGTTAGCTAACCAGTAATTACTCTTCATCACCAACATCCTATCCCTTCATATATCACAACAACGTATTGATTCTCATTCCATATAAATAGTTATGGCTCTTCTCCGGTATACAATAATCATCACAATCACAATCACACTCCAGATAAGAATATCTTCAATCTTGATTCATATTCGTGTAATCTATTTCCTCTCAATCCACGAGGATAGCTATTGGAAAAGTTCCAGCAGTATCATATCGACTCCATCGTTCCTAGTGTCCCCCCGTCCATCCATCATCTGAAAATTCATCCATAAAAATCCGGTTTAGGATGATTAATAGAACAATCCATATCGTATTGGACGAGCCGTCTCTAAAAACAAAAACTCCCTTAAACCGCTGCGCTCGCTATCGCTATGAAGAGCTCAAATTCCAAACTCCCCTAAATGTACTCATAAAAAATTCAATCGTGAAATGAAAGTCGCTCTTCCGCCACCGCTAATAAACACACACATTCAAGTTTCGTAATTGATATGCAGAACCACGCCTTCCGGACCCTTGGTGTATGACAAGTTTCATTCTCATATGTGAGATGAGGTAATGGTGGTGGATCCTGTTTTTGGACCTGCATTTCAGCCGGCGCACTGGATTCCCAAGAGTCAATTTCCTCATCGCTAGGGCTTTGACCTCTCTAAAGAACACATTGGACCACTCCGACTTTACCCGCCATTCCAATTCCATTTTCTTCTTGCTTAAAGATCTGCTGGAAACCTCGGCTGTCATCATGCCATGCCATACCATACCATTCGTGAATCCTTACGCCAAACCACACACATGACCATAGACAGTCGTATGCAACCACCAATCCCTTGAACGGAAATTTCAAATCAAAGCGACTGTTCGACTGCTAGACGTTGTGACAGAAAATGCCAACCTATTACAGTTCCAAGTAAAAAATTTCGTGATCGGAATTCCTCTACCGACTGATAAAATTTCAATAGAATGCGTAACACCGAAGTTTCCATGTGTCATCGTGTAAAAAGCCTTTTCTCGTGCTCCTGGGTAAAAGTGGATAAATTGAATAAGTTGATGGGAATACACCCACCCGCTGGAAGGGGGTATGTTTTGTGGGACTAGCGTGGTTCTAGAAGGTCGGTATTTGAAAAAAGCGTCTCCGGTATGGAAGCCCAAGTACCGCTGGAGATCCGCCCGTCGGAAAAATCATGAACCATGAATCTGAATCAATGGCATGTGAAGACTTGAGAAGCCCAAAGCTTGTCGGTGAGAGTGTCGCGTGAATTATGCCGGATAGTCTGCGACGAATGTCTGATTCTGTTTAGTAAGTAAGTGCAGTCCATCGAAGAGGAACTCCATCGTTTCCAATTTCGTAAGGTTTGCTGGATGCCTGTCTGGGTGGCAGAGCCCATCTCGCTCTTCCCGGTTTGCGGTCATCCAACTTTCCATTTTTTCGCATTGCCATTTCCATGACTGCAATTCGGATAAAATCACTATTCTCCCTCATATCGCGTTGACGTGCGACTGGGCCGGTGGCAACCTCGGCGAAAGCTTGCTCAGAATTTGCTTGTCTGTTAGGCCCACTTGGCGGAGTATCTCTTGGAGACTTGGAAACCTTGTAGGTTTGCATCTGAATGGATGCTGTGCATTGTGTAGCACTCATTGTTTGAGTGAGAGATGTTGGCACATGAGCATCCGTGGGTGCATTTGTTGTGGGGTTGAGATAACGACGTAGTGCTGGAGTAGGTGTATCAACCAGTAGAGGTGGCATCCTTTCATCCGTAAACGGGACTTTCGGGTCAATTGACATGATAGATCTTGTAAGAAAATCATCAGGCGTGATCATAGGTGTTGTGAGACTCGAGAATGATTTTGCCGCGGACCTCAGAGCACGCAACGATGCTGTCAAGTTTGATTTAAATGCGGACTTGCGACGTGGGGGTTCGGCACCAGCCATAGGTTGTTGATCCTTGGGTAAATCTAATGCTCGTTGGAAGACTCTAAAGTCAAGTTCTTCAACATCCACATCTGATAAGGGATGGTCGTGCAAAGTACTTTCGCCTGAAAACGTTGGTTGATACCTTCGTGTTGGCAAAGACCTTCTGCCTCTGGAACTCGGTGTTATTATTGAGCCTGGTGTAGTTGAAGCATCACTGAGAGAAGCATCATCTAACGACGGTACGGATTCGCTCGATGTAGTCCTACTCGACAATACCGATCCGGGTCCGTTCTCCGAACCACAACAATAAGTCGAATCGATTTCTTCTGGAGGACTCAACAACAACTCCATAGGACTCATACCGAATGTTATACTCATTTCTTTCTCCGAAACAGCAGTATGTTGTAATATAGCATCCACTGTCAACCTTTGTCTAGATGTAGCTTGTCTGCGAACGCTGCTGTGTGATTTAGGAGGCGGAATGGCGGTAATCGCCAACAGGGCGGCGACAGAGGGAGGAATCGCATCGGGCGAATGGACATCGTGAGGGCGACGACCTGAACGTGTCGAGTACTTTTTGGTAGTTTGTCGACGATCCTTTCTTGGTTCAAATCCCAACCCATTTTTGAAACTATCGTGGTGGCCTCGAGTAGGAATCACAACTGGCGACGAAGTAAAATTGGTCGTAAACTCAGGACTGAAAGTTGACTTTGGCATGTTTTCTGAAGGTTGTTCATATTTGGATTCGGAAGTCGCTTTTGAAGAAGATGTTGAAGGTTTCGACTTCGATTTTTGTGTAGTGAATAACGAGAAAGAAGTAGGCATCATGTTGCTCGCGTGCCCTGAGCTACTGCATGAACCAGTTGTAATTTATTACTTGATAGAAATCAAATTTGTCGGGGATTTAAATAATACGCTCGACAGGATTCGTCCTTGCAAGTGAAGAAGAAAATCTGTACAAACAACAATTTAAAGGTCTTATCGGAAGAAGTTATCGAGCTGTTTGCATAATCTCAAGTTGTTAATACACAAGTCATCGCAGTACTCTGATTGTACTGTGATTCAAGAGCTTATCATGACTTGATTAATGGTCGGATAATGTGGAAGGATATTGGTGTGATTACAAACAAAAGTGTAGGTAGTATATGATAGATTTGAGGCGAGTTTCCAATATTCAACCTTTTACATTAAAAAGGTGATTAATATTTTTGGAGCGAGTATAATATAAACAAACGGAGAAAATAGAGGCAGAAATGTTTTAACTTGTGTCAAGGAGGAGTCCAGCTGATTCGAATCACCACTTTAAAATGAAGGCTATGTATGGATGTATGGATGGCAGGAGAGGGCAGGCTACCGTTAGAGATAAGCTGGAATGAAGGAGATAAGCGATAACTATAGAACTTGGTAGTAGCTTTTGAAGTCGACCTGAAGGCTGGAGAACGATCTATTTGGCTTATGAAGATCGGATAAGCCTTTGGGCAATTTTGAGTACGTCAACAAAGTGATATGTTGTCAATGATGCACCCAATTCCAAGGCTCGGAAGGAATCAGATTGAAGAAGATTGGACAGACCAGATTGCAACTGGAAAGGTTTAAAAGCAGATGAGAGATCTCTCGAAAATCCGCTCCAATGACGATAAAGGAAGGGAAAACCCCATTTAAATGTTTTGCAGCAATGAATGAATCGTCAACACATGCTTTCTTTTTTCTATTCTCTTTTTTCCCTTCCCGTCCACAGCACATATCATTCGGGTATACACAATACGCAAAAGGGTATAGAGAGTGGCCCTGGCCCATTCTTTTTCACACATCTCACATATGTACATCGATAGATATCCTTGAAAGGCTTGAGGAACTTCCTTCGAGTAAGGCTGGTGGTGGTGGACATGCCGGGGCAAGGGATAAAATGATGATGCTGATGTTGATGTTTATTTGCCTGTGGAGCAGATACCTTACCTGAATAGTAGGTACCCGTGCATTCAAGTGCATTCATTGAATTTCATTCATTCATTGGATTTTGGCTTCAACGGTTATGGAGAATTTCAATATATTTGACTTTCCTACTTTCGCCTAAAGAAATCAATCAATCATCCACAATCAATGACACTGACTTTCCGAATCATATTATCAATTATCATCCTACTGTACTCCGTACATATCTTTCAATTCAGTGTCGTCGTCGTCGTCTTACTGTGCTGTGATGAGACGGCCTTCTTATTCAATCACCTTATTCAGCAACAGGAACATATCCATTTCGAGGAATTGATGCCGTGTTTTTGTGTTACTGCTCGTGTGCCTATTTATTTGTTCATTATTCATGGACTTGGCCGGAAGTCCGGATACACGACTTCAAGGCGGATGGATCTGTTCAATCTCAATCAATCTCAGGTAACCACTTTGAGGTGTTCATCCTGTAGTGTTTGTGTCTATATCAGACCGGATGACAGAACGATTCACTTGAGTCTTGAGGTCCCATCATTTAATGAATTTAGACGCAGAAGGAGAAGGAGACAATCTCGCCTTATCCACCTTCCTGTTGTATCAGCTGAAATTGGATGTCGCACCGGTACGGTACTTTCCCCCCTCCCAACTATTAACGGATGGATACATACTTACTGGCTACGACCTAGGTACAATCTATCCATGATACAGGATAAATGATACATACATCTTGGTTCTCGTCTTGGGCGTTTGATGATTTTTGTTCAATGTGGGTCTCAAGATCCTTCTGCTTTATTTTAAATCATTTATCTGCATTCTGATTGTCTCCTTCCCTATCACGAGAAAAATCTTTAGCCACGTCAGTCAAACGCTCCGCTATATGATTTTTTTCGCTTCATTTATATGTTTCATCATTTTCATGGTTAGGTTGTCGCGGGTGTTGGGCCTGATTTCTTGAGCTGGTGACTGAGGTACCGGTACCCCAATCCGAATTTAGTAAAAGGATACGGGTTTGAGCTCGCTCTACCGAAAGAAGACATTTTTTTTATTTTATTTTTTTAAATTTAAAATTTTTATTCATTATTTGATGTTTGTGCATGACTTTTTAGAGCAGTCCTCCGAAGTTTTGCAGTCACAACCCTTGTAGTAGTACCAAGGATAGGGATACTACGGAGTACTGGTTTCCCGGTGTTCTGTACGGGGAAACTTTAGACTCTCCACATTTCATAGAATTTCCACTAGGGATAGCCTCACAAATGTACGGAGTGGTAGAAGTTTCGCATGTCATATCAAATCCACAAATACGCACAAAATTAAGGGTCTTTTCGAAAAAGCATAATGCTACGATCAGCAAAGCTCCCTGACTCCCTCCTGCGTGGATGACCCTTGAAAGAAGATGAACCAAGTTCAAGCAACCAATCTGTTTTGCTTACACCAATTTGTATGTCAGACTTTAACCTTCTCCCCACGATATCACATTCAACCTTCTTGTCCGAAGAGCCAAAGAGGCTGCTGCAAGTGTATGCTTATGGAATTCCGTTATCATCAGAATATGATAGGTTAGGAGATATATAATAGGATCCACTTCCAGGTACCAACGAACTTCCTCATTTGTTCTCGAAGAAGTATGACTTCTTAAAATTATCTTCGCATCTCGCCTCCTCGGAAATTTAATAGTATCAATCGGCGATCGTTTCATTTCTGCCTAGGTGTGATATCCAACATGTCTAGCGGAACGTGATAGCTCACATTCGCTGGTAGGACAGTTAAAAGCCTTTGGCTACACCATGAAGTTTGGATCTTGAATATATATGGAGGTCGACACCAGTAGGAAGAGGAATGTCTAGTTGGCAGATAACACATTGGCACATTTTGTACTGGTACCGACATGCCAAGACTTTATATTTGCTTATCTCGTGGATCGGCTAGGAGCGACTTAGAGTTTAAAATCTGGGGTCAACGACCTCGTGAACTGGTCGGCTTATCATTTTGAGGAGCCTCCGGTTGATCTAGTGACAAGCTGTGTACAACATTACATGGCGCCAATGGAAAGTTTATGTGGAATTAAGGTCATACCGGTAGATGAACGAGTGGGTCGATGTCCTCGTGATGAACCTTCACGTGGTATGTAGCACTTCCGCTGGATAAAACTAAAGCTGAGTGTACAGATTTATGAAACGAGATTAAGATGGGATTCTTTTTGAGATGTGGTTTGGATAATTCAAAGCATGGATGATTTATAGATTGATTGGATGATTCAATAAAATCGAACAGTAATATTGTACATTCCAGAAAGAATCAATTAAAGATTGAATATATCTTTTATTGTTACGAGGGTTGCCGTCTAGATCACGTGGAAGTGTTCTAGGCTCTAGAGATGGTTTATAACTAACTAGACATCAAGCAAAGACTTAAATAACATAATAATGATTATAATTCGTAACTAATAGTAGATTATTCTAAATGATTAATCTTGAGTATGAAACTCTACAATAAGGAAATCCATCTTCATTATATAGACCTTCATAACTATCCTGAAATCGATAACTGAAAAACCGACGAATCGATTACCGCAAAACCGATTTCGATTTGTCGGCTTTCGGATCACATGATAAGACTATCTATTGGATGACTAACCCTTGTTTGTCATGTGACGGGTTTGTTGTTTCGTCCGTCGTAACATTTATGCATCTGTACATCCACATTTGCTTAATCTTCAAATATAGATTTTGCTCGTAATTATAAAAACCATGAATTATATGTCTGATAGTTCTCATATGAAGTAATCTTACAATTGATATTTTTGTTCTATACGGATATCGTTTACATAGACCCTTCTCCTGGAGTTTATATACAACTCATTAAAACTGTAGGTCAATATTCGGATCCTCTATCCTCTAAGATAATATACTTATTACTTATGTAGAGTTTGTACTACGCAAAAAGCCTATCATGATCAACAGGGCCGGCTGAATAATAGTATTCCACGCTCAAATCAAAATAGTAGTCTCGAACTCCTATTTTCATACAACATCACTGAGGTAAAAGTAAGAGTAAAAGCTTAATTAATTTGAGTACTTAATTAGATCTCTTTAGTTGGTTGTGAAAATATTAATAGTGTAATATCTTTTGTAGTTGTGTTTATGAGTATTATAGTAAAGTTGATAGTGAATGATATATAATAAATTCAAGTTTAAAATTTCAAATTCTTTTTTTTTATTTGATTCTATCGATAAATAGAATTTTCATTTTCATTTAGTTTAATCTAATCTTATCTGAAATCCTACTTATTATAGTTAAATATTATTATTTCTTTTTAATTACTTAATTATTCATTGTTATAGATTTATCTGCTTGCTAGCTAGTTCACTGGTAAAAGGGTATCGGTATAAAAGTTGAGGATTACTATGTGGTATTGATATGATTGAAGAGATGGATGGATGGATAGGTACCAACCTACTATTGTAAAAGTGGTAGGTCGAGATACATACGTCCCGATAGCATACTGTGAGGGGGAATTAGAAGAGAGAGCTGATTAGATCACATTGTAATACATCATTTATGAAGAAAACAGAGTTCACAATGGTTTTGGGGTTGAGGTTATATGGGTTCAAATGTATATGTATAGAAGGTTGATTATTATTGAAAGAAGAGACAAAAGCTCTCCTTTTATATTGTGAGAAAGTTGGAATTATAGGCCAAATACATAGAGGTTTTTAACTAGTCAATCACATGACCTCCTGTAGTTAGATATAAAAGAAGAGCTTTTTGCCTCTTCTTTCCACAATCTTCAACCTTCTACATATATATATTTGAACCCATATAACATCAACCCCAAAACCATTATGAACCCCGTTTTATCCATAAGTGATGTATTACAATGTAATCTAATTCAGCTTTCTCTTCCAATTCCCTCCTTACAACATGCTATCGGGACGCACGTATCTCGACCTACCACTTTTACAATATCTAATTATAAGAGATCATATAATTGACTAGTTAAAAACCTTTATTTATCTGGCCTATAATTTCAACTTTCTTACATTATTAAAGGAGGTCCAATGGGATATTAGTTGCACTGAGATGATTATTAACTTGAGAGTTGGCTTTTGTAAGAGGGGAAGAATATAAAAGCTAGGTGTATTGGGAAGTTTCTTTATTTAATTATACTTTATATTCTTATAATATATATTTAAACAATTATCGAGTCTAAAAATAAAGTATAAATACAGGCTATAAGTTTAGAACAAAAGTTATTTTTTAAATGAATAGATTTAATATATTTAATATATTTAATATATTTAATATATTTAATATATTTAATATATTTAATTCTATATACTATTGATAGTGCTTTACTTATATATATAAACCGAATTTCTCAAATATCTAATATCCAACCCACGCTCAAAGCAAAGCATACTCAGCTTCCGATAACTGCAAGGAACCTCTCTAGAAACTCCAAAAAGAGAAATCTTCTTTATATTTCTCTACCTCTAGTTTATCTTTTCTATGGTTATTGTATTTAAGATCTTAACGTTATAAGGATTGTATAATGTAATAATGAAATGCATTTTGTATCTAAAGAAGTCTATGTCACGGAGAAGATTGTTTTGGATAGAGTTTAGAGAATGACGGATAATTAGATAGGTGATGCTCTTGATAAAATATAGTACTACTTATACCTGTCAGTGGGAAACACTTACTACGTTTTAGGAATTCGTCTCTCTATCACCATATTTCCCGAATAGAGAGAGTAAAAGGCTCAGCTGGGAATATCATGCAGAATGGTTTGAGTGGTCTATACAGTCGACTTAATGGTTATTGCTTATTGGTTGTTCCAAAACAGAGTTGAAGGTTGAAGGAATTGAGTATCTATTTCATCTATGTTAAATATAATCTAATATATCAATTTGTCCTTTGCATATGGTGAATCTGAGCAATGCCTCATTCCATTTATTCTCTGCACCGGAATCGAAGAGTCCAGAAATTAAGCATACATCACCACCATCCATAATCCAACACCCCTCTCCCATCCGCTAAACCCCACAATCTATACCCTCCTAGCCAACAAAAACAAATGCGGTTCATCTTCACTATCCGCCTCCTTTGGAGGTTGATAAACATTGTTCCACTCCTCCACAATCTCAAACCCATTTTCCTTCAGCAACCATCTCCACCCCTCTCTTGTAAACAGCGAAAACGTAACTACATTTCCCATAAATCTGCCCTCTATACCTCGACAACCAAATCCATCCTCATCATATCCTTTTCCCTCCCCATCTCCCTTCTGCTCTCCGTCCCTCGGCTGTAAATCCTCAGCCGCAATCGTACAAATGCAAATAAAACCGCCCACTTTAACCCAATCTCGCCATTTAGAACCCAAAGCTTCAATTTCAGAGCGAGAAAGCGCAAATAGAGAAAGGATGGTAAAGATAGCATCGAAACTTCCATCGATTTTCTTCAGATCAGAACTCCAATGCTCAAGCGGATCAAAGGTTCGCATGTCTCCCATGGCGAATTTACCGTTGGGAACCGAGGTTTGGCTGAGGGATATCATGGTTTGGGAGAAATCTAAACCGTAGATTTGGTGCCCGGCTGAGGAGAGTGTGGAAGCCACGGGACGGCCGGTGCCGCAGCCTAGATCGAGGATTTGGGAGTTTGTGGGGAGGACTGTTGGAGTGTTAGGGGGAAATATTTGAAGAGTTGGGATTCGGGGGAATATTTGATATTCAATTTAGAAATGAGGATAGGACGGGAATGCAGTTATGGCGAGTGGGATGAAAGTTTAGGAAAGATATTCTAAGGGAATAAAAGACGATATATTACAAAACACAATGCGAATAGAACTAGCTATTGCATATCGAGATAAAAACCAAAATCGTAAGGAAAAAACTCCCAGGAGAACAATTAAAGAATAAATCCAACACCCAAAATCTAAAACAAAAAGAACTCACTCTCAACAACCCTCTCAAGAAATTTCAATAATCCCTCATCCTGCGCAAAAGCCTTCTCATATGTGCCACCTATAGCAGAGTACATTTCCTCGAAGTTTTGTATCGGAGACGAGGAGGAAACGGGATCGGGTTTGGGCTTGAAGTTTGAAGACATGGTCACTAGAGCACTTTGTCTTTTGATGATTTTGAGGTGTACTGTAGAGATTGATGAATGCGGTTGATACGGTTTGACTTCGTTGATACTGATTGACCTGTTTTGATTCGATTCCATCTGGGATCTTACAAAAATTTGATTCAATGATTACAATAAAATGAGTCTAGTACCCCACTTTCGAACACACCTCTTTTGGATCACCTTTTTATGTCAAAAATCATGATTTTCATTTATTTATAATTTTATATAAATCAATTTAATTTAATTAAAACTTTAAATACTACTTTTTAATAAAGATATAAATCAATCTTTAAATTTTATAATTTTTTTATAAAATATTTAAAATACATTATATATGACGTACAAGAGCCTCATAAGAGCTGAATAAACAGGGTGAATTATATTCCTTAGAATCTACAACTGAAGAACTATGGTGTCACGAAATCATTTTATAGAGTGTCACGAGGTAACAGTCAACCTGTCTCTATGAGCTTTGACCTTGTTGAAAAGCAAGGCAACTTGTATACAAATTTGTATGGCAACCGCTTCGTATGGTCTCCCCACCTTCAGCAAGCTCGGACATATGGTCTGATCCTAGTCACGTGATGGAGCCTCCAGGAGCGTGGGCTCCTGGAGGCTCCCAAAATGGATTAGTATATAGTCAGAATAGTTTCATAGTTTAGGAGCTTCGTGCTCAACTTAGTTATCAATTAATTTACCTACATTCCAATTGATCTAGTAACGTATTCACCTTCGAGTGGATAACCAGTGATTATTAGCCTTAACCTACAACTACCAACCATACGAAAACCTGAGGCAGCCGCTGCCTCGACCAGATCGTTACATATGGCTCATAGGGAGCATCCTTATATATATACAAAATACCTATACGGTAGCTGCATGGTTGTGCGCAATCTGCCTTAAGGTGACCATAATGCCATACTAAAAAGGGTAAATTTGGAAAAGTGTGCACAGACTATCAGCTCACCGATAGGAATTGTCGATTAATTGGAATCACGTGATCGTCCTTTATACGAGGTCCGTGACATTATAATATTTAATAATTGAAAAAAATTCAAATTTTTGATATAAAAAAAACAATTCAAAAGAAAAACAATCTGAAATAAGATATTAGATTTATAAAATATTAATTTATTTACACTTACTATGATATTATACAACTCAGAAATCAATATAATTTTATAATTTTACAATTATAAAAGACACCCGCAATATGAAATCTATAATCCGTGATCTGCAATCCGTAATCTGCAGTCTGTACTCCGTAATACGCAATATGCAATATGCAATGTGTCACACCGAGACACCTGCAGCATGTAACCTTCTTTACGTATGTGTCAGTCAGATTGTCGTGACCCGGTCAATCAATCAATCAATCAAATCAATCAAATCAATCAAATCAATCAAATCAATCAATCAAGTAAAGTTACTCCCCATAATCTACCTCTCCACATTTATTACTTTTCCGCAAGTTTCTTCCCAGAATCCAATCGAACCCAGTCCAATACCATACCATACCATACCATACCATTCTTTCGCATCATAGACTTAGTACCGTCGTATTACTGGTAATACATAACATATACTCGAGTATAGCTAAACTCATCAAGTAACACCACGAAAGGAGAGGGTTAAACATCATATTAACATCCACATACAAATTATCTCTAATCGGAACTTGAAATAACATCTCAATTCGTATTGATATTTAGATACACAAAAAAGGCCCTCAAAATTCACCCATTTCCTATATGTGTGATTAAAAAAACGCCTTTGATACATCCCTTAATCCATCCCATCCCAGTGATCATTCCGCCCGTTCTCTCATCGCATCCATTCTTTTTACTCCTACATTTCCCCGTTACCGAACCTGTTACAAAAAACTTGTAAATGCAAAAGAAGGAAATACCGGAAGCTTGAGAACAAAAACGTAGATGAAAACAGGCCGTTCCAATCATACCCAAAGCATGTCAGTCGTACCATAAAAAAGATCTTATGCTGGAAAGTAGAAAAAATACAAGAAACGAAATCTGTCTAGGCTTTTGAACCCATCATCGACAACTGGAAAAATAGAGACATATAATTTGGTTAAAAACACCAGGAAGCCTACCCCAGTTATTTTATTTTGGAACCATTATCCAGTTAAAAGGCATCTTCATCTGTCCAATTCGCTTCACTTCCAGATACAATCCGAGTGCACAATCGATCATTACTAAGGACTTGCCCAGCAGGTCCTTTATAAAGTGGATAGCCCTTTTTCTTCATCATGCTGCTATTGACAGTAGCACTACCGCGGAATTGAGTAGGTTCATCTTCTGGAGTGTATCGATTCGCTCTGGCAGCTCGAAGTTTTGCGAAATAATCCTCATTTGAGTCTTCTTCTGGCTCAGTCTCAGAAACATCTCCATAAGTTTCCCAGTTCTCAGAGCCAGAGGCAGTGTTTGCAGAACTAGATGTAGTAGAAAGTTGACGACTGCTAGCAGGTGGTGCACTTCCATAAGTTAACGATTGACTAAAGTTTGATCGCATTGATGACCTCAAATCCTGATATGATTGAGGTCTTTCTTTAGCTTTTGGTGCTGGGTGTTCAAATACGTCTTCCGGGGAAATAGGTCTAACGCTACTGCTTGAAGAAGCAAAGCTCTCATTGCGGTGATAATATGTTTGGGTAGGAGGAGCTGATGGAGGTGGTTCAAATAGTTCACGCATCTTTGGAGGTGGAGCTCTTGATGGTGGTGGGCCCATTTTACCACGAATTGTGCTAGTTGCTTGTCTTGATTCAGGCCGCATCGATTCGGTCCGTCGATGGTTGCGTTCTGGAGAGTTGGGAAGGTTAAGACTTGACAAAGGTATGCGATATGGGAGCCTAGAAGGTGATCTTGTACCACTTGCGGCAGATACTGAAGCGGAAGATTGATGTCTCTTCAATGTTCCTCCTGCGGTTGGCGTTCTAGCACCAGCTCTACTTGGGGGACCAGGCCTTGGCGCGCTGTTAGAACGACCTAGCGTTCCAGCCTTAGTAATGGTCTTCGGAGGGGGCTTCATGGAATTTGGAGGGGGTCCAGCTGGTGTTTTCGAACGTGGTCCTGGAGCAGGCTTGACCTCGGAAGTTTCTAGTTCATCAAGGTATCTTTCACCATGAACCATAAAAGGGCGGCCATATTCGTCCTCCCAATCCTCCAAAACTTTTCTCAATTTTGCTGCAATCTTTGGTAAGTCTTTAGCAATTCTCTTTCTCATCTTTTCCTCCCTCAACAAGCGAGTTGGATCACGCTTTTCACCTTTTTGACCACGCATCATTAGACGACTAGCATCTTGTGATGATGCTTGAAGGTCATCCCTGTCTTTGACGAGTGATCGATGTTCCTCGATAAGAGCTAACGTAGGTGCACGTTGCTCTTTGAGAACTTCCAGACGTACGATTTCCTGTTCATGGGCCTCCAAGAGAGCATCACTGTATACATCTGAGAACGCAGGTGTGAACTCGAGCATCTCTTCCTCGGAAAAGTATAGTCCATCCCATAGCTCTTGTAATTTGTATCGAGCATCCTCCACAAATAAATGTAGATTTTGTCTCTTGAGATCATTTAGCCTTGACAATTCATCTTCGAACTCGTTAATTTGTCGCATGCCAAATCCTCGGTTGCTGTTCAAGAATCGTTTCCTCTCAGGCTCTTCGACACCAAGCTTTACCCACAAAGCTTCCACAGTAGTACGAAGATCTCGCAAACGCTTCTCTCGACTCTTCTTCTCATCTACCAACTTGCTTTGCTTCATGCGCAATCTGGAAATATCATCTTCGTGCAGACCAAGCTGCTCTGGCGCATCTCGATAGTATTTAACAATCGCGCTGTCGGTTTGAGCTTGCGGGGTGCCGAGTTCAGCCCATAATTGAATAATGTTTTCGGCGGTAGCCTTCACTAGTGCGACACGGCGGGTATATTCATCGTAGACGCGGGTAAATTCGTCATCGAGATCGGTGACGTAGTTATTGGAAAGGTCGAATGTGGGAGGAACAGTCGCGTTTGGAGATGTAGGTGGAAGTTCGATTTTAATGAAAGATGGCTCTAAATGCGATGAATATGACTCGAGAGCTTGGACAAGTTCTACATCATGTTAGCACAATCCATTGTTATTCCCAAGAATGTAGAGCAGCTTACTCTTGACTTGTTCAAATCTCTCCTTATGTATCTTTGATATACGTAGATGTTTTTCGTTTAAAACTTGTAAACATTGCGTCAATGGATATGTAATTTTGAGATCATCATCTTCGGATCCGTATTCATGATGATCTTTGTTATCATCAAGGGAAGTTTCCATCTGCTTAATTGTCGTAATAATGCGGCGTGCTTCTTCTGACAAATCATTTTTTTCGTTCGCGACTAACTGTACTTGGTTGTGTAAGGTCTCGGAGAGGGCAGCGAATAACTAGAAATGTTAGGTTTCACTACTTCTTCTATCATAGCCAAGTAATCACTACATACCTCTGCCTCTCGAGACTCTCGCTCTCTCGATGGAACACCAATCTCATCGAACAAGCCATGAAGTTCATCTATGATCGTCGAGACCTGCGACGTTAGGTAGCTAGTATCCATTGTGAATGCAAGGCCACTTCTGCTAAGGTTAACGGGCGGGGAGCAACTCGAATTAAAAGAGATGGCGGGTAGCCCCTAATTTGAAGAAAGGAGAAGGTTCGATGTGATGTAAAATGGATGACTGAGAATTGTGGACTGTGGAGAAGTTCTGTTTCGCAGAAGTGGAGGGAGGAATCGAACGAAGGTGGAGAATCGGAAGTTCGAAACAATTGAACAATGTTCAACTGCTCTGCTCAATTGCTCAATGATCTCAATCCACTACCACGACAATGAAACCAACCACGCATTCGATAATTTTTGAAATTCCTGATCAACAAATTAAATGTGTGCTTGTGCGTGTACACTTTTTATGCCGTATGCATTGAATAAAAGTTGAGTGGGTTCTTTTACTCCGTAGATCGATCTGAAGTGGTAGAACTTAGCAGAGAGAAAGTTTGGATATGAAGGTCCACTTAGAATGAAAGATCGAGAAATGATTCGCATGGGAGGATTGAGATCGTTTTGAGGAACACTAACTGGGTATTTACACATAAAGCTTGAGGCTGGATAATCGTTGCTAGAGGGACGTCCCGAGATAATGTTTCATTAAATTCATTAAAAATCCATGGAATTGCCTAAATGGGCATTTGATTGGTCAGGATTAATTGGGATAATGATAATATTAGATAAGCAAGGATTTACTCCTAGCGTGAAAGTTAGTAGACCCCGCAAAGAAGCCGTGTTCAACTGTGGTACAATCAAGGAAGGTTGACCAGGCTTTTTATTCCTAGAAGCTTCACAAGGCTGTTATCCACTAGAACACAAGTGACAGTTCCTCAGTTCCTCAGCCACCAATACACATCATACCAAGACAATAGCTCGGTTTCACACAGCTGCTAATAATTTTGGGATTTATCATAATCATACAAATCCAGCAAAAAGAATTGCTTTTGATTATTGATTGAAACTTATCCATTAACCATGGATACTGCTTTCAAGACTTGGGGTAAGTAAAACTCCTGGATCCCGCACCCCCCACCTTCCCTGCTACTGCTCCCCCCACCCTCTCCCCTCCTCTCCCATCCCTCATTGTCCCCGCTAATCAGCTTACCAAAAACAGAGCTTGACAACAATGTCCAGCTCGTGGACCCCAACCGCGACGCCCTCTACACCTACGACCCCAAAGAACAGAGAGCCATCCAGGATGCTAAACCATGGAAAACCGACCCTCACCACTTCAAAAATGTCCGGATATCCGCTGTCGCTCTTCTGAAAATGGTTATGCATGCCCGCTCAGGAGGTTCTATCGAAGTTATGGGTTTAATGCAGGGAAAGATTGCGGGTGATACTATCATCGTCACAGATGCATTCCGCCTGCCTGTCGAAGGGACGGAAACTAGGGTAAATGCTCAAGACGAAGCGAATACATACATGGTCGAGTATCTACAACACTGTAGAGACCAGGGCAAGTTAGAGAATGCTGTAGGCTGGTATCATAGTCACCCAGGCTATGGATGTTGGTTGAGTGGCATTGATGTCGGGACGCAAGCTACGCAACAGATGTTTTCGGACCCTTTCCTCGCTGTGGTTATTGATCCCGATCGCACTATCTCTGCTGGGAAAGTCGAGATCGGAGCATTCAGAACTTATCCTGATAATTACAAACCTGCGGATGCAGGGTCTGGAGACGGATATCAAACGATTCCGCTTGCAAAAATTGAAGATTTTGGTGCACACAGCAGCCGATATTACTCTCTGGAGGTCTCACATTTCAAGAGTTCATTAGACACGCATCTTTTGGAGTTATTATGGAACAAATATTGGGTTCAGACATTGAGTCAAAGTCCTTTATTCACCAACCGCGAATACAGCAGCAAACAGATGCTCGACTTGAGCTCCAAGATTCGGCAAGCTAGTTCTGGTATTATCCGTGGTGGGAGAACGCCTGCTGGATCATCGTTAAGTAAAGGAATGGATCAACAACTAATGAAGGTAGTCAAGGATAGTAGCAAGATTGCCGGCGAAGAGATGACGGGCTTGAAGGCTGGCGAAGTTAAGGCACAGCTGTTCAATGGTTTAGGCGAGGCACCGAAGGCCACAGCTGCCCCACTTGCTCCAACGGTGACGGCCGCAGAATAATGCTTTTTGCAGACACGCAATATTTGGTAGCAAAAACTGCTAGGCGTATGGTTTAGTGATGGCGTTTGAGGTCTAAAATATAAGGAGGCCACAGTAGTTTAGAGTGGAGAGAAACGAAGTTATGATACAATTCATCAACATGATACATATTATTATTTTTGTCATCCCAGCCAGTGACTGGAAACCTATCATCTCGTGACCATAACTATTCGAGTACTCGCAATTGTTCATCGTTTTAACAGCCTACCAGGGATCATAGATGACCATGCATCAACCACACTCACTACTCTGCAGTCGAGGCTCCTAATGCTTCGGCATGAGATTTGATATATTCATCCATAATCTCCTTCGCGACCCTCAGCCTACTAAGTGACTCCTCCCTGCCCAGAATCGCCATAATATCCGATCCATCCGGTCCACTTTGTCCACCCGCAATCGCCCACCTAATATATGAATGGACAAGTTTTGTCCAACTCTTCCTTATTACCTTCTGTGCATCCTCACTATACACTTTAGTAGCGGTGAATTCTGCCGTGCTCATCATGGTTCCTTGATCGATGATGAGATTTGTGAAACCTTTTAGTTCGGCTGCATTCCAGTTTTCGGCGGCGATGGAGGAGAAGCCCTCGAAGGAGGTGGAGAAGTCGTCGGGGATGGGATGGATTACTTCTTGCGGGGCGTCGTGGAGTTTGTGGGGTGGGGTTCTGGATTCGAGTTCCAGGGGTGTGGGGGCTGTGAAGAAGTATTTGTGAGTTGCGTAGAAGGTATCAGGGAGGTTGTAGTTTTGGATCCCGGCACAAATTATGGAAAGGATATAGTTCTCTTTTGCGACATCCGTATTTTCACAGTTGTAGAAGATTAGTTCTTCGTACTCCGGAAGACTTCTCATACGCTGGAGGACGGGCTTTGCAGCTAATTCTAAGAGATCTTGAGAAGGCGGAATAGGTTCATTTGATTGTCGTAATTCCTTATATCTTGCGGCGTGTTTTCTTTGCATGAAGTTGAGTTTTGCCATGGTTACGACAGAGTCACCTCGAGTGTATTTCATGCTCGCCTGTATTAAAATCAGTGCATTGTTCGTTACACATGAAGAAGATGAAAGACATACATTGTCTACAAGTTCCTGCATACTCATTATGTCGTATGATCGATCATGAGACCATCCAAGAAGAGCAACAAAGTTGGTTATGGTCTCAGGAAAATACCCTGCGTCTCGATAGGTTGCTATATCTATGGCACCATCTCGTTTGCTGAGCTTCTTTCTATCTTTGTCTAAGAGAAGACCAACATGTGCAAAGGTAGGCGGCTTCCATCCAAATGCTTGATACATAGCAACATGCATATGCGTTGAAGGGATCCATTCCTTGAGCCAGAATTAGCTCACATCTGTTTGGAAGATGGAAAGTACATACCGATCCTCGAACAACATGTGTAATCTTCATGAAATGATCATCCACAACGTTTGCCAGGTGGTAGGTTGGAAATCCATCTGATTTTACCATTATAGGGTCCTGGAATTCCTTATATTCTGATCGGGGGTCCCGGGTCAACTTTGACCTAATCTGACCATACACCTCATCCTGAAAGCCTGGCCACTGCTGGGGAACCTTCATTCTGATCACGTGAGACTTTCCTCTCGATGCCATCTCGTCAGATTGATCCTTCGGAATATGCCTGCAGGTACCATCGTAGGCTTGTGGAAGACCCTTTCTGCTCTGATAAACGCGTAACTCATGCAATCTTTGAGAGGAGCAAAAGCATCTGTAGCCTAAATCTGCTTCAACCAGTGTTTGAGCATGTTCCCAATACATTGCTCTTCGTTCCGACTGTCGAAGACCAATCAATATAACAGTAGATGCTTTGAGAAGAGAAGAAATTGACATACTTGCCTGTATGGAGTAAATGGTCCACCAACCTTTGGTCCTGAAAGCTTTTAGCACACCCTGTTTAACTAATTTATTGTCGAGCTAATATACCTTCATCCCATTGAATACCAGCCCATTCCAGATCTCTATACAAGCGTTCTTCAGCCCCGGGAATAGTTCTATCCTTCTTTATTTAGTATGATCCCGTTGGCAAAAGACTGAATATATTACCGTATCCGTGTCTTCAATCCGTAAAAGAAACTGACCACCAGTAGCCTTGGCAAGCAAGAAATTGAAGAGTGCCGTTCTTAGGGATCCTAGATGCAAATTACCGGTTGGAGAAGGCGCAAAACGGGTTCTGACCGGGCCGGCAGCACGAAGTTTGGTCGAGGCCACGGACAGAGGATACTCATTTGCTTCGGTAGAGGCATGTCTCCTACAAATGGAACAAACATTGTTTTTCCATATTCTCTGACTAGTATTTCTTGTCAGCGGTAGAGGAAAAAACCTCATCTCCGGCTCAACTTTACTATGAAAACAGAGAGCAACCCTAGAAGTAGAGGGTAAGAGCCAGTTCAATGTTTGATGCTACCGAAAAGATTGATTAGAGGTCAAAAAAGTTCATGAACGACTTGCTTGAACGAAGTAGAAACCGAGCACCAAATTTTTCTAATGATTCTGAAGGAGCAATGTTCGAAATTAGGTCAAGTTTCGGTTTAGCGTTTTTATTTCCCGAAATCGAGAGATATGATATATCGGGAGGTGATTGTCAATTATTTGAAGTTCTTGTATTGAAATAATCATGAATATTGAATTCTTATTGCTGGGTATGATTTTGGTCTCTTTTCAGCCACTCCACTCTCAGCCACTGTCCCGCGCCGAGGCTCCGGTAGGTTAGCTCGAGCTTCTTGCAGTTGGGAAAGCGCCAAGATAAAAATAATAGAAAAGCTTCATGATCTTTTTCAGCCTTACCACTCACATTCATTTTTGATACAAATTCCGTTTTGCGAATTTGCACATAGTATCTGTATCAAATTTAGTATTACACTTTTCTTAGTCGTATTTCGATATCATAGAACTCCAAATCGCATATTTTAAACCCCCACAACTCACTGGACAATCAAAACTCCCCGCCATCAATTCTCGAGAAACTTCAACATGACCACCAACGGCGCATCGGAGGACATGGATCTCTATGGTGAGTTCTTCGGTAAAGCTTAAAACGGCAATTATTAAACTACGTAAAATAGGTATATTGGGCATAAGCAAGGATGCCACAAAATCCGAGATCAAAAAAGCCTACCATAAGGTATGCCCGCACTTAGCTTCACTGAGATTTCCTATTGACTTTCTCAGGCAGCATTACAACATCATCCCGACAAGGTAGCAGAGGATCAGAGAGAGGAAGCAGATGAGAAGTTCAAGACTGTGAGCCAGGCATATGAAATTCTTTACGACGAGGAGAAGAGGGAAATGTACGATACTCATGGTATGGCTGCATTTGATGGAAGTCGACCTGGGATGGGAGCAGGCGGAGTTGATTTGGATGATATTTTGTCGCAGATGTTCGGTATGGGTGGAGGTATGGGTGGTATGGGAGGTATGCCACCTGGATTTGGAGGCCCAGGAGGACCTGGAGGGCCAAGACAACCACGGAGAGGAGCAGACGAAGAGCAGCCATACAAAATTTCACTCGAGGACTTGTATAAGGGAAAAACAGTCAAGTTCACGAGCAAGAAGAACGTAATCTGTAGCCATTGCAAAGGTACTGGAGGAAAGGAGAAGGCCAAGCCAGAAACTTGTGGCAGATGTAAGGGCAATGGTGTCACCATGGGCCTCAGGAGCGTCGGACCAGGCCTTGTCACCCAAGAAAGAGTTATGTGCGATACCTGTTCAGGAGCCGGTAAAATCTTTAAGGAGAAGGACAAGTGCAAGAAATGCAAAGGAAAACGCACAACCAAGGAACAAAAATCATTGGAGTTGTATATACCCAGGGGTGCAAGAGACGGCGACAGAATTGTTTTGGAGGGTGAAGCTGATCAGGTACCCGATCAAACGCCCGGCAACATCGTATTTACTATTGATGAAGAAGATCACGAAATTTTCCAGCGGGCTGGCGATGATCTTTCTGCGGAGCTCAACATCACACTAGCTGAAGCTCTCACAGGATTCTCACGAGTAGTTTTGAAACATTTAGACGGGCGTGGTATTTCAATAAATCATCCCCAGGGAAAGGTGTTACAGCCGGGACAAATTTTAAAGGTTGAGGGCGAAGGTATGCCTCTGAAGAGGAGCGATGCTAAGGGTGATTTGTACTTGATTGTAAAAATCGACTTTCCTCAGGACGGATGGACAGAAGACACAGCCGCATTCTCTACTCTGCAGCAGGTCCTACCCAAACCTGGGCCACCGATCACAACCGAGGAGGTTGATGAGGTGGAATACGACTCTGATGCTGATCTGGACGATGTAAGTGTTGCTAATCTACTCCCACATACTTTACAACTAACTTATAAATCAGTTTGGTGCAAATTCTGGGGATCCTCGTGCCGGTGGTGAATGGGAGGACGACGAAGAAGATGGCGAAGGAGGTGCTCAATGTGCTACCCAATGAGCTTGGACATAGACTAGTATTTTGTGCATCATGGGATTCAACTTGCCACTGGGTGGCGGATTGGTTGGATCGCCTGCAATATAGAGAGCGGTAAAAACGGGACTACGATATAGAACCACAGCGGAAGCAAATTCATGGGAGGCATGGCGTTTCGGGGTTTGTTCTAGCAAACATTGTAATAAACTCCCGACAATCAAGCTCTATTTGTCCACATTCTTACTGAAACTTACATTGCATTGTAAATATTCAAACTGGCACACTGCTTCCAGAACTGATCTTGTTTCCATTTTGGAGCATGCGTCCATTTTTGTTGTCTGTTGATGGACGGTAACACTTTCGACGTCCAAACCCAACATAAATTTTCATTCGACACTTCCAAGTTTTCCGGAGACTTTGGGACTTGAATAACCCAATTTTGATTACAAGAGCCTCTGTCTTCAACGGTCTAGAATCTTGTAAGCTCTCCGCGCGTTGGTTGTCATCCCAAACACGTGACATACACGCAAGCCCTAACACTTTGGTGCCTCAGGTCTAAATATTCGCTTAAGATTCTGTGGGCTTAAACTACGAGACTACCAAAAAAGATTTCGCAGGAAATCGTATCAACCAACGACAAACAATCGACAACCCGACGACAAGGTGTGTATTGCTATTACCATGTCTCTTGGAGAGACGCAATCACTTCAATATCCATTATGCTGACGGTCCTCTAGATGGTTTCCGCTAAGAAGCACGTTCCTATCGTCAAGAAGCGTATGTTTACTCCCTCCTCGATCTTCGACATACGATTTGCATAGCCTGGGACCGATGAAGAGTCGCGATCGCCATTGGAGAGTCTGCGAATGGAAAGGGTTGGATCCGACTTCGAAGAATGGTTGATTAATGATTTTGTTATAGGCACCAAGCGTTTCCACAGACATCAGAGCGACTCCTACAAATGTGTCGACGCAAGCTGGAGAAAGCCCAAGGGTATTGATAACCGTGTCCGAAGACGGTTCAAGGGACAAATGGTTATGCCATCGGTACGTGCAACTGGAACTGGCTGTAGTCAGAATGATATTCGGAAAACAAGATGGATTGGGATCCGAGCAGCAGGAATCAATTGAGCAGCGGCTGACGAGGATATAGATTGGTTTCGGATCCAACAAGAAGACCCGCCACATGATGCCATCCGGCCACAAGGCTTTCCTCGTCAACAACACCTCCGACGTTGACCTCCTCCTCATGCACAACAAGACCTTCGCCGCAGAGTAGGTTTAACGGATTCAGGAGCAAATAGACGTGGCCACTAACAAATCATTAGGATCTCCCACGCCGTTTCATCGAGAAAGAGAGTTGAGATTGTTGCACGCGCTAAGGCACTCGGTGTTAAAGTTACCAACGCAAAGGCAAGAGTTACGACTGAGGTTTAAGCGGATGGGTTTTGTTTGGGCATTTTACACGGGATGGGAATGCTTGTTAGCACAAACAAAGGCTTTGCAGAATTATAGCAAAAGCTCTTTGAAAAATGAAGATCCTTAAGCAAATCTTTAACAGTCACACGAAGCTCCACTTGTGATGATTGTTCTTCCGCTGGGATATCCCACACGCTTCCCTGATATCCACGACATATTGCTCTCTGTTCAAAAGGATCCGAATACGTGCAGGTCTGGAAAAAATTTCATGGCGTTATGGGTGGTTTATCTCCCAAAAGGTTGCGGTAGAGAGTTTCGGTTTCGATTTGTTCAATATCTGTGCCATTGGGCCAAATCAGTTGCTCACACGCTGATGAGGGCACTTTAAGCGCGAATTGTAAAGGGATACTAGCTCCTTTTCCGTCCAAAATCCTACGCGCATCCTAATCTGTTTAGGTGCCCGATATTGTGCTGCATGTTATGCTCTCCAACCTTGTTGCCCATCTTCTAGTTCTAGTCACCGTATGATTCGTATTCTATCCTAAAGGCTTAAAAGCTCAATTGGCTGGCCCATCTATGAAAATATCTGGTGGGTTAAGCGGTACTAGCGCTGCACTTTACTCTCTGTGTTACGTGTTTTTGTATGATACATGTGAGTCGTTGCAGCCTACCTGGACCAACCATGAAATCGTCATTAGGTCTTTCCACCCAAATACTAATGAATAATCAATGCGAGAAGTATACCGCGAAGATTCCTGTGCCAAATATGCCTTTTGGAGATCTAAAAACTCGTAGCTAATATGTCCAAATACTCATAGCGCCACCTTTCGAAATAAGCTCGCTCCATGTCATTATTATTCTTGCTGTATTCCACAGCGCAACTATAGCTATCACTGCAAGTATACTTCCTACAGTTCTAAAACAAAAGGTTTCCCTGCCTATTGCTTCGCTCCTGCAGGGCGAGTGAGGGGTCTAGTTAATGGCCATAATATGATGGTAAGTAGGTAGGGTGGCGGATTGTCTCATTGTTGGAGCTACAATTCCTGATTCTATAGACCATAATCGTATTTGCTATATTGAGCCTAGCAACGCCTACATCTTGAAACTTTCTTCAATAAATCACCTGAGATTAGAAGATATCCATAATATGTTAACTTACGATTTATACTACGCATTATTAAAATCTTAGACACCTATCTATAGCTCCTTTATAAACTGCGCTATGAAGGCTTGTATCGACATATTGATCTTTTATTCCAATTGATCTTCTGATCTTTTAGATCTGTAGTCACTGTGTATATATACGTTTTAGAACATCGTATTTTGGGAAAATGATACCGTGATACACTTCAAAAGAAATGGAAACAAGTATCTATCGACTCTACAACTAGCCCCCGACCACGTTCGAGCCTTCCCGTGTATGCATTTTTCCTGCTGAAAGAAAAAGAACTCCTCAAAATCAAGATGTGATGGCCAAAGGAACAGGGACGTTAAAGTCCTATCGTCACTAGGTTTCTTCATTATATCACTCCCTGCAATGGAATCATAGTACCATACTAATACCAGATTTCCCAAACATGCAGATCAACTCGACCCCACACTACCCAAGCAAAAAATCTCATGAAACTATCCAAAAATGACGCAATAACCATAAGATCCTAGAAGCGGAAAGGTGCGTGTGTACTAAAGAACTAAAGAACCAAGCCAAAGTCTGTCAATGACAGTGTGCTTGATCGAGTAGTGAGAGACCGTTGATTTTAAACCATGAATGATACAAGAGGTCGGGAAATATACAGGATCGAATACATTACAGTGAATGGCCCCATGCAGAAACCATAGGAGATCTCCAAATGTCATTTAAGGCAAAAAATCGGTTTGGAAAATATGGGTTGAACATTTTAAAGAAAGGACTAATCGAGATTTAACCTATTGTAGGCTTTAACAGCTAATTGCGCAGATCCATAAATCGATTTCTCCCGATGATGTTCAGTTTTGTATGCCTAGGCTCCATGCAATCGCTTGTTGGAAGGGGGTCGATTGTGATGAAAGAGATACACATGAACTTTCAAGTGCGTACGTCTTCTCAAGTATAAAATACTATATGGCCTCATCAATCACCTTCTTTGAGGAGTCCAGACACCCATTAGAGTTTTCAGCTATGTAGAAATAGAAAAAACGGTCTGCTGCGAGTTAAGCTTGCTAAGTTTTTGGGACCACCAGCCTTTCAACCGTTTTCCCTTGGCCACGATGTACTAGTGACTCCCCAGATCAACCACAAGTCGACTAAGAACACAACAAATGAGGGACCAACACCACTGACTGGCTGAAGTGTCAAATGATAGCATATTACAAAAAAAGTTCCTTTTCCTCTACTCTGCAATTACACTCACAGGCTCACTATACATAACACATCCGTTTTCGACGTCTCAATCGTATATTGATACCTTTTCTGCCATGAATATCTATTTTTTCAAACCATCTATACCCACGGAGAATCAAGCACACATATATACCACGAATGAACTTGATAGTTCGTTCAGATGTCTCAACATTTCCTCCAAGCTGCCCGACCATTGATCCATCCCAGCGAATGGAAGAAGATACTTACCAAATGTGAAGTCTGGAAAAATGGCAAGATTTTTCGTGAAAGGAAGAAGTCTGCCAATGAGAAAACGTTTGTCGAAGAATTCAGATACCAAACGACGCCCGTACCTGGCATGTATAGAATCGATGAGAAGGGAGCGACATTTCTCGTTGCCATTCAACCAATCCAAGGCCGGAGAGACAGCGAAGCCATTTTTCAAATTGCTCCTGTCAGCGATTGTCCCGATCCATCTTTAGCCCGGGTTCCTTCCACGTCTAAGGAGGAAAATCAAAGCTCTGAGACTGAACGATTTCTTGGCTATAGACACCTTCGCGATCAAGCCGAAGTTGAATACTGTGAGATATTGGCTCGGTATATGTTCAGCGACGAGCTGAAAAAGCGACATGTCACCTACGAGCACAAACAGGGCGTTTCTCACTTGTTCCGCTTGAACAATCCAGCCATTTATACTATGATTGGTGGTGGGAGAAGGAGAAAGAATGGAGAAGCAGTCAAGATGGGCAAGCTACCCAAGCATCATAAGGGTATCAATGATAACTTGTGGTGCCGCGACTTGAGTAATGGCACCTTCAGAATGATGGGGATTGCAGAGGCGCAAAAAGCCAGGGAAGAAATGGCGGAGAAGGGATGTGATGCGTGGTGTGAGACGGGGAATGAGCCTTATCTGAAGGTTCAGAGATATGTGCAAAGTACTATTTCTTTTACTTCCCCATTTACAAGATTGATTTGACCTACATGTATAGGTAAAAAGATGGTTCGTTCAGTGGTGTTTGGGCGTTTCAGGGGATGGAAGCAAAGATATCCTTTATGTCCAGTTGGCATAAAGTAACAGCATTGTATGCAGCGACTGCACTTGCAGATAGATCAATTTAAGATCAATTTAACAGCACCAAATATATCTCCGGAGACAAGTGCAGGATCTTAATCTTGCTCAATATCGAACTTGAGATGAGACGTCCAAAGACTACTGGCCATTTTCCCCCCACGCGATCATAGCTGCCAATTGCAAGTCTCACTTGAAGTTTGAGAACGGCTTCATTCTCACACAAACATCATACGAACCGATACCTTCGGGTGAACTTATAATTACACGCCGAACGTGAACAAATTGAAGAATATACGATTCACAATAAAATATAATCGATTCAGAACGTCCCAATAAAGTTCCCATGTCAAATATACGCGTCCCCACAAAAGCATCTATTTGACCAACAAGAAAATTACGCATTGATGTTTGAGTAGTAAAGTAATCTTGATTCTAATAAGAATCTTTCAAGGATTTCTTTTCATTGTTTTTACTTCATCTCTTACCAAAGACAGAGCTAGGTAGGGTGTCATCCATTCTATCTTTATCCTGTCAGCACATCAAAACAATGGCATTGCTGAATCCGAAGCCTGAACCCGAAGCGTGAAGATGTACCTATTATTAGGGGTTTCTACACCGTTCTGCTGACATGAAACAGGGATGAAGAATGCCGTTAACATGGTTACCATGAGGATCTTCATCGCGCCTACTGCGCAGTCTGCGCCTTGCTCAAATTAAACTCCTGCAGTACTGGGTTTAAATCTTCATGATGCAAACTTTGTCAATATCTATTAACCCCTCCTCAAATTGAAAGGAGTCCAGTACTCTCGTCGCATCAATCGAGTGAAAAGCATTCACAAAAACAAAGTGTAGAGTAGTACGTTGAAGTCACACAGCTCCAGCCTTGTCTTGGAATATAAGCAGTACCTACTGGATCACTGCAGTCACTACTATATTGTCTCATGACCAAACACAACACACGGCGAGCTCATGTCGGCAACAATAACACTCACGATGTCGCAGACGTCAGGAATTCAAGCTGCGTGTCCGAATTGTGGAATGGCTTTACCGCATAACAATTCAGAGATTGCAATAGATGCGCAGAAACAAATTGAGGAATTACAAGCTCAAGTAAAGTTACTGACAGAGAAAGCAACCGCCGCAGGTAGGCTTTTCCTTATGAATCTTTAACCTCCCGACTTATGATAATACTAGTGGATAAATGGGCAGACTACGAAGACGAAATTCAATCGCTCAAGAAGGCACAATCTCAGCAAATTCCAGAACCTCCGCGTGCAACAACACCAACACAAGGGCTCACTGAAGATCGAGCCGGAAGCCCAAGTCGTTTCTCATATCTGCCAGTTCAAAATCGACTTTCTTCTTTGCTGTCTCGCAAGTCCACGCCGAATCTGCAAGCCCAGCCTCCGCCAACCCCGAAAACACCTTCTACAACGGAGTTAATAGCGGCTTTAACAAGAGAGCAAGGCTTACGACAGGCAGCGGAGGGCAAATTAAATGCATCCAGTGTCGAATTAGAAGAGTTGACCGCACAACTGTTCACACAAGCCAATGAAATGGTTGCCACGGAGCGAAGAGCGAGAGCCAAACTCGAAGAGCGAGTTGGAGTATTGGAAAGAAGGGATGTGGAAAAGGGAAAACGGCTCGAAAGGCTTGAAGGCGCGGTGCAGAGAATTGAAAGAGTCAGGGGGCTTTTGGCGCCGGAACGATGAGAAGAGCGAACACGACGATACGACTAAATGCATGAGAACAAGACGACTGGGAGCGCGGGTCATTAAAAAGGGGCTACGGGGCTATGTGCATGTGCGGCAGAAGGTCGCAGTTTTGTGTCATACGAAATCATTGAAAGAGACAGAGCGATCTACTACCCGCGAGATATCTTTAACAACATTAATAACACGGAATCGAACCTCTCGTCGGTGTCATTCCAAATCAACGAAATTCCATACCATCTCTCGACCACATCATCAATATCACTCACGCCCCAGATTTCGCGATGTGTATAGACCAACCTGCATACCGGCGGCCTCGGAAATGGAAATCTGGATGATAGAGCTGTGGAAGGACTTCCTCCTCGAACCTACGCCTTACCTAGTCATATCCGCTACTTTCTACTTGGGCCTCTTTTTGATATCATTACAGTATTATCCGACCATTTGGAATATTGCTTACTTTCTCATCCAACTTATACCTTGGGATGACGATTTTGGAGCCCCTGGTCATTTATTTTGACTATACCTTTTAATGCGTTTTTTCGGAGCTTGTTAGATATGATACCCCAACTTGTATATATATTTTCGAGACTTATTCATACCTGCCAGGTGGAGGTAGATTAGTATCCACCATTAATGTCTACAACCTTAATAATCACATAATGTTTAGCAAGTATCAATAATAGAAAATCAAGCTGGTGGTATCTATTCACTATAAAGACACATCGCTATACAATGCAGCGATCCTCGACGAAGTAACCAACCCACTCCTTTCTAAGCTCTTACTTTCCGATAGTTAAAAACAACCTATCGCCCACATCCCCCAATCCTGGCTTAATCATTCCCTTATCATTAACTTCCTCATCCACTCCCGCACACCAAATCTCTGTTCCCTCAGGCCATTCGTTGGCTGCATGTTGCAAGCCCGGTAAAGCAGCTAACACACTCATCACAATAATTCTCTTGACACCCCATTCCCTTAATGTGCGAATAGCAGCAGCGCAAGTACCTCCCGTAGCAATAACGGGATCGAGCAAGATGGCAAGCTCGGAAGCGGAAGAGTTGGGGGTGTTGGAGGGAGAAGAAGCAGGAGGTGCGTGGTAGGGAAGATTGTTGTAGTATTCTACAGGCTCGAGGGTGGTGGGTTCGCGGAAGAGTCCGAGGTGGTGAATGGGGGTAGGGGTTGGGAGGAGTGTTTGGAGGGCTTCGACCATGGAGAGACCGGAGCGGAGAATAGGGATTAGGGAGATGGAGGAGGGGGTTATGGTTGTGGTTGTATATTCGTATCCGAGGGGTGTTTTGGCCTGTTGGTTATTTGGTTAGTTGAGTTATGGGTGGGGGTGGAGATGGTGAGGGGTAAAGGGAGAGAGGGATGGCTGGACATACAGTTGGACCTTTGGAAACGGTAATTCCAGCAGCTGTAGCTTCACATCCTATTATCAATGAAATTTCATTAACGAGAGCTTTGGTTTCGCGGGTATTGGCTTCGCTGGATCGTAATTGTGAGAGTTTGGCTTGGAGACATGGGTGAGTGGAGATGTGAACGTTGGGTGGGAGTGATTGATTCATGTTGAAGCTCTGCGTGATTATTGTTTAAGATGTAGTGAGGATGAAAGATATTTGATATTGAGCAAATAAATAAAGTTGACAATTGAAATGAGACGTATGTTTATTTGTTTATGTAAGAGTGGACGTTTGATGTTGATGATATCTAGATTACCTGAGGTTTCGCATGCGTGTTATTCACAGATGGAAGTCAAGCCCACTTCACCCACATCTTATCAGTGGACCTCGGGCCTTATCAATCGCAAACGGGCGCTCCCCGAATGGATTTTCCGAAAATCTTAACTTTAAAAAGACGGCAACTATTTATGGATTGAGCTAGAGAACATGAAGCCCGTGATCCATGTTACTTTTACTATGTGATATGATGCCAAAAATTGCTGTTTCCATAGGACTTAGATAATATCAGCAGGGGGATCATAACCTTCAATGGACAATGGCGACGTCGAACCCAATTGCCAATGGCACCAGACATGAGTCCTACGACATTAAGATGAGCCCAGACCACCCAAAGTCTTTAGAAGGTCCATCTCAAGATCGACGTGCACTAGAAGTACAGGATGCGGGATATTATATGCCAGAGAGTGGTTCGCGACTCGACGAAGTTGATATGTCGGCACCAATACAAATCAAGGGAGAAAATCGGTTGCGACAAAGTCAATCTCTAGGACATACGAGTAGCAGAGAGCAAAGGGCACACCGCCGTGGAAGTCGAGCTTCTCACCCAGATAGCGAGTACGATATACCAGACGATTATGCCCATCTAAATGACCTTGCAACATCATTGCCAGTGGAAAACGCCCGCGAAGTTCCGGTATATCTACATAAATCTTTAGAGGAGACGAAAGACGAAGAACAGGAATATGAACAGGATCGAAGGGATCAAGAGCGCAAGAAACGAGATAGCATTGCTAGAGGCGAGAAGCCGCCAGAAGAAGAGAAGAAAGATGTCAGCATCAAAAAGGTCTCGAAATTTGCGACACAATTATATACTATATCATATTTAATTTTATTTTCAATATTTGGAACACTTGGTAGATTAGGTCTCCAATCCATCACATTCTACCCCGGAGCACCTGTCATCTTCAGCGAACTATGGGCTAATGTTGGAGGAAGTTTATTTATGGGTTTCCTCGGTGAGGACAGGATGTTGTTTAAAGAAGAATGGGGCACAGCTACCTATCACCACAAACTCCAAGAATGGAAAGCTAAAGTCAAAGATGAAGAAAACAGTTCTGGTTTATTAGCTATGGAACAAGGACACGACTTACAAGCCGCAAAAAAAGCACATGCTGCCACTAAAAAAACTATTCCTTTGTATATAGGTCTTGCAACAGGGTTTTGTGGTAGTTTTACATCCTTTTCGTCGTTTGTTCGAGATACGTTTTTGGCGCTTTCGAATAGTTTGCCAAGTCCCCTGAACCATCCGCAGGATTATAGTCCAGTTGTGGCAAGCACAAATAGTACCGTGAGTCGGAACGGGGGATATTCATTTATGGCTACTTTGGCTGTTGTAATTACGACTGTTTCGTTGTGTTTGGCCGCGCTATTTTTCGGTGCTCATCTTGCTATATTTCTGGAGCCATATATACCCAGCTTATCGTTTCGTAAGTCCCGCAAGTATCTGGATCCCTTTGCGGTATTTTTGGCATGGGGCTGTTGGCTTGGTGCTGTTTTTCTAGCTATCTTCCCACCAGATAGAAATGATGCAGCGCCTGAGATATGGAGAGGTCGCGCGGTATTTGCCCTCGTATTCGCACCCATTGGCTGTCTAGGTCGTTTCTACGTTTCCCTTTACTTAAATGGTAAACTACCATCATTTCCACTCGGCACTTTTGCAGTCAACATGCTTGGAACAGCAATCATGGGTATGGCGTATGATTTACAACATGTACCATTAGGAGGTGTAATAGGATGTCAGGTGTTGCAAGGGATCGAAGATGGGTTCTGTGGATGTTTGACGACGGTTAGTACGTGGGTGGTGGAGTTGAGCTCGTTAAGGAGGAGTCATGCTTATAGATATGGTATGGTGAGTGTGCTTGGGGGACTGGCTTTAATGGTGGTTATCATGGGGAGTTTTAGATGGACGCACGGGTTTGAGGGGCTTCTGTGTACGCATTAGGGTGTATAGTTGGATGATGAGGAGCTCATGATATAAAGCTTGGAGTTGGGGTTTGGCAGCGTTCGTTTCATTAGTTTGGTGTTGTTGCGCTGATATATTATATATACACTAGCATGTGTATGGAATTTAATCCGGGTGAGAATCACTTAATATGGAATGTACTAAATATACCTAGTCCACTTCACTGTTCCTTAAAAATGGCTATGAAGACGCATGCAAATGCGGATGCGGGACATTCGTCAGGTTTAAGGATGTCCTGAAGGTATGAGATGATTTGAATGATGGAAACTATACCTGGAAGTTGATTGAATGCAGCTGCTAGAGCGTTTACATTTACTGGCTATGTATGGACGATGTGCTTGTGGCTGGAAATGCCAAGGATGATAGTCTAGATTGATTTCTTTTCAAGGCTAAAAACATGCACATGCAAGCTACCATTTTAGAATTAGGTCATCGGTTAGGTATCTCCGAACTAACTTAACCACACATGTTACCCGATATCTTGGAAGCAAGGTTCGAAAGAAAGAGCATATGAATCTTGGTTCGGGATTGAAGAGGTCATTATGTGTAGCATTATTTAAGACGGACCTCTTACTTCGGTACATTTTTTATTCTTCACTCAATCTAAGCAAGGGGAGTTTATCTCCCATTTTTGATATCTAGGAGCTATTCATCCTTCGCATGCTCCCCAGATTACAGCACCAAGATAATTCCAACAAGATATCAATCACAGACAATCTAACCACCAAATGCCTCATGATTATTCCAGCCCTCTGTATACTAACCTACATCCTCCTCGCCCTCTTATCCATCACAAACTCCGATCCCCGCGAACCTCCCACAGCCCCAACAAGCATCCCATACATAGGACACATCCTCGGAGTCGGACGACGAAAATTCAACTACTATGTTGATCTCAGCCAGAAAACACTCCTCCCTATCCTCACAATGCGTCTTCCTGGCGCTAAAATGTAATCTTATATTGTGAATAGACCCGAGCTAATCCAGGTAATTTAACAATCACCAAAGAAACTTGCATTTCCACCCATTACGGCGAAAATTCGCAAATCAGCTCTGTGGGGTTAGTAAGAGGGCGAGAGATATTTTTGCGGTGAATGTTAATGGGGATGAGGGGGATTGGTGGTTGAATTTGGAGGCGACGCCGCTTATGAAGAGGGCGCTGCAGCCGGGACTGGGACTGGATGGTATGAATAGGGTTATGGTTGGGAAAGTTTCTGGGAGCTTGGATGGGTTGATTAGAGAGGGGGAGGAGAATGTGCAGATTGGACTTCATGGATGGTTGAGGGGTTTGCTTACTACGGCGACGGAGACCTACCATAAAGGTAAATTCCAAATTCTTCAATCCCACGAACAGATTATCAAAAACGAGAAGAAAATTGCCGTGCACCATTTCTACAGCACCAGCCAAAAGTCGCCATATACGAGTGAGCAAATATCTACAGCGCAAAGTTTTTCTTCTCAAAGAAATGAAACCATAACCAAGAAATAAGGAATTCGAACAAGATCATAAAACCACTATACCTATTAATGAAACCCTCTCTTTTAAAAGCTACGTTTCCTTCAATGTTCAGCTGTTGTGTGTATGAAAAGAAAAACCCCGGAACATAACGGTCAATTGGTGTGGTTCTTGATGATATCACTAGATTCCAATGAGTCTGAGTCCGAGTCTCCTGTGCGAATATTGCTCTTATATCAAAAGTGCCAGTTCCAAAGGAACACGTTGGGATGAAAGGTTTGAGAATGGTCATGGAAGAACTATATAAAGCGTACGATTTGTTCTTACATCTTGAATAGAAAGATAGGCCTTGGAGTAAATATCCTCAGTACTTTCGGGCGAAGGGGAAGAAGATATATCTTGAGATGGTCTGTATCTTCTTCATGCGATATTTGTAGGGATGAAGTGAAGAGCGGAGCCAATGTAACAAAGGAAGCTTCCTGATCAGGCTTTGACACGGGTACTTCTGTGGAGGGCAAGTATTCATTGAGCTTCCAGTATTTACTTGGAACAGGTGCTCAAGGTAACCAGGTATATCACACTATGAATCCATACTATCATAGCCAGTATCCGAGAAACCCGTAGGCCCAATTATGGACAGGGCGAACTAGGAAATCATTGCAATCGTCCAACTGCTAAACCTAGGTATTCAAATGCTAGAGCACTGCAGCCTCAAGAACTCCATATGTTGTGATAATAATGATACTTTGCATAGCCGTACTTCTATTCGCGAAACGAGTTTTCAGGTATTGTTCCGTGGGCAGGTCAATAGACGGGCTGAGGAGGTATATGGTATCATCAAGAGAAGAGAGGATAGAATTATATAACTTATTAGCGGAGCAAGCGAAGGGTGAAATTTCGATTTTCAAGGAGCTAATAGTATTTATTAATTCAAGCAGGATCTCTTTGCTTGCCGTCAGTAGGTCGTTCGCTTCAAGGTAAATATACGTGCTCTTCAAGAGCCTACGTATGATCAAGTGGTATTCGAATGCGTGTCTTGTGAATTTCTCGAGACTCATCAATGGAAGACAATAGAGCACAGAGGGTATGACGTACGCGATTTTGCTTCTTAGTTCCTGAAATCCCCATTTATCATAACAAACTCATGTGTAATATCACATGTCCAATAAACCGCCTCCTCATCGTCTTCACGCCATTTCCTCCCATCATCCCGCAAATCCACTATCACCTCCACATCCTCTTCCTCCATCAGCTTTTTAGCCCTCACCTCATCAACTTTCACCAGCCCACCTTTCTTCACAAAGTTCAATTCTTCCGTGCCATCTACGGGCATGAAGCTCACTGACGTAGATTCAGGGTTAGTAATTCCCTTTCCAGCAAAATTCGTACCCGTCAATGAATAACCCAATGCGGCCAGAACACCTAAAGGATTTGGATCCTTACCATAGACCCCGATCTTGAAGAGGACAGAGCGCGCAATTGCGGATGCGATATGTTTACCTGCTGGGTAAGTAGGCGCGCCTCGTACTCGTATAGTAATAAACTTCGTCGCGCCTTCGCCGTCTCTTACTACCAACTTTGCCAGATCGGCCATGAACTCAATGAGCATTCTTTGAAAAGAGATGAGATCCTCAGACTGTGATTCTGCTGAGGAATCGAAGTCAATTGGGAAATGGGCATTGTTAGGTGCAGCAGCACCATTTGCGAGCATAGCGACCATGTCATTCGTGCTCGTGTCGCCCTCGATAGAAATGCAATTATAACTTTTGTCGGCGGCCGTACTCAAGAGCTGTTGAAGGGCACGAGGTGTAATAGGAGCATCGGTACAAATTATACCAAGTGTGGTAGCCATGTTTAGATGGATCATACCGGCACCTTTGGTGATGCCTGCGATGGAGGAAGTTGTTTCCGGTGAGGATGGAAGGGTGAAGGTCCGGGATGCAAGTTTGAAGAATGTGTCGGTTGTGCATATACCCCGTGCTGCTTGTATCCAGTGATCATGGGTGGTCCCCATGTTTTGCTGGAGTTTGGGGAAGCATTGGATGATGTTATCAATAGGGAGTCTATCGGATGTCAGTAAATAATGAATGGTGATGTGAGGGAATTTACCGTTGGCCACCCATACCTAATGGCGGAGGAGTCCATTGTCAGTTCATTGTTTTCGTGCAGTAGAAGGAACCGAAATTATCAAATGTACTGTGACATGTACAACGAGGAGAACCACGGCAATGAAAATTACTCCGAGATAGTCACTTACCTGTATGCATAACCATCACAGATTCTTCTTCCTGTCCACTTCCCCTACCACACACAATCCGTCCCGCCTCCCTACTCATACTTCTCGAATCCTCCAGTCCCTCCTCCCCCGTAAGTAAATTCGCACATCAGGAATTTGCAACGACACCTCTCAACCCTTTGCCCTTGCTTTTCTTCAACAAATCCTTAGTTACAACCACACTAGCGGCTGGAAACTCTTTATTCGTAAGTACAGCAGCTCCACATGTCTCCCATTTCTTCTCGCCGGCGACTAAAATCAAGTCTGGTTGAGATAGACGATCTGGCTTTATCCTAACATTCGAACTACCTACTAAGAAGCCTTTTGGATAGGTGCCGATGTTGGAACGAAAGGCTGTTTGGAAGCAGGAATGGGGGAGCTGCCAAATGAGTCAAATTTAGTGAATGAACGGCAGTGGTTCTACGTGGAGCGTCTTCTTGCGGATATGCCTGGCACCAATGCGAGAAATTATGAGCATGATTTTAGTCGTATTTGAAAAAATAGAAGGATACTTGTGAGCAAGGTTTAGCGATGTGTATCGTTAGAATGTCGTATATCCATTAACTCAATACAAATATACGATAAATACCCCGAATAACGGCCTTTTAATTTTCGACAACTCGTTTAACATAACAATAGTTGGCAAATAATCGGAGCTATAGCAACTCATAATTCCGATCTAGTTTCATTCGAATTCTTACCTGGTAAGTAAGTATATGAGATCCAGATCTCAAATGATATATAATTTCCTATTTTTTTTCTTGTATGATGTTTGATAGTTCGCCGGTGCATAATCCGTTCAACCCTACTTGTAAGATTGACTGGGAGGTAGGACAGGCGAACTTTGTGTGTGATGATCTAAGATCGATGTCACGTTTGCATAAGGTTCTAGAGTATCGTCTTAACTACTTCATATGACACTTTTTACTTTTTTGGCGTAAGGCTGCAGATGTCTAAATAGATGAAATTGGATTGAAGGCTTGAATATTTTGAAATGACTTTCTCAATTCTACCACCCGGAAACACCCAATGTTAGACAGAGTATTTCACCAGCCATGAAATGGTCTATATATTTCTGCATAAGTTTTACATGTGGCTGTACAACGCCAACAATGATATCGTGCCACCTACGATAAACCGTAGCGGCGTAGCATGTCTACTAAATTCGAAGTAGCCAATTACAGCTTTTAATTGGGTTCTGGAGACTATTGTGATTCGTGAAGTACAAGACCATTATCTCACCACCTAATTGTGGAATATGTCCTGCATGCAGCGTTGCAGTCAAAGTCGTTGTCATATGCATGTACGGTACGTACCTGAAGATGTTGCAAAACTCATCTACACTGGATCATACTAAGCCTATTCAATCTCTAGCTTTCCCGGGGCCGAGGGAAAAGTGGATCAAAAGGTAGTAAGGTACAGGAATACGAAGTAGAAAAATAGCCTTATTTCACATAGGTTTAGTGCGTTCTGATGAAGATGAATTTATACGGAGTACGGTAGTATAAGTTACAACTTACAACTTATCATCTCAACCGAGCTGTTTATTATGGTTGGTCATCGATATAGATGCACCTCCCTTATTCGGTAAAGTGGAAGTGGCATTATACCGTAAAAGGCAGCTCGAAAGCAAACTTCTCGTTTCGTCCGAGCCCTCGCCGTTGTGCCATCAAAACTCCGTGAACCAAGCAAGCTAAGGACCCATCCCGAATGTACGCTGACTCATTGAGGCTAAAGTTCTACGGACCCAACCTTTTGATAAGGTATATACAGTAAAGTATAGCTTTAATAAAACTGGAGGACGATTGAAGCAAAGATTTGAAGTGAAGTGGCTCATCAGAGAACTATCCTGCGTTATGTTCAGATAATTTGCCAATTAATGGTAGTGTTAGTGACGTACCTCAGCTCATCGAGTTTCGATGCTATGCCAGCTTAACAAGTATTAGGTCACGGCCTAGACTATCGGGCTCTGAGCTCTGCTTGGTTCATCGATCAAGTAAGTACACCGCCAATCATCTTTTATGGGTATCTTCGGCTCCATAGACACTCTGTGCATGAATCATTTGCCTTCCAATTTGTTAACTTGTACGTATATGATTCTTATCGATTGTGACCCCCAAGAAACTGAGGATCTACATAGAATGTAGTCTCATGGGTCTCGACGTATGCATGCTTTCCAGATATGGTAGGTGATACCGGTAGCTTTTAGCCGCCCCCCGGGAGAAAAAAAAGGTATGAATACTTTGAGTGAATCCCTAATTCACCATCGAGTCTATCCCTCTCTCTTTCAGTTGTCCTTCTTCTACATCTGCGGGCTCGAGTCTCTCCAGGTCCTCGATATTCATCATGAAGTGGTCAATTGTATCCGCGGTCTCTTTGCTGGTTGCAACTGCAGCTGCTGAACATCCTTTTCGTAAGCTGAGAAAGTTGGTTCCACCAGTTGAAGCAGATGACGAATTCCCTGTATCTACCAAAGCAGCTGCAAACACTACAGGTTCTGCATTTTTCACCCAATTTTTGGATCATGACAATCCTTCCAAAGGAACTTTCCAACAGAAGTTTTGGTGGAATGCCGAGAACTGGGCCGGTCCAGGATCGCCAGTAAGGGCACCCACGACCTCCTGCCATTGAACTCTTGCTGATGTTTTTAGATCGTTTTCTTCACTCCGGGTGAAATTGCTGCTGCGAATTACGGTGGATACTTGACCAATGTCACAATTACAGGACTCTTTGCACAGGAAGTCAAGGGCGCCGTTGTCATGGTTGAGCGTATGTAACTTCACTGTTTCGAAGTGGAAGATGTGCTAATATTCTGCAGATCGATACTGGGGTGAATCGTCTCCATATGACAATTTGACAACGACGAACTTACAATACCTCACTCTCAAGCAAGCTATTGCTGATTTCGTTCACATTGCAAAGACAGTTGATCTTCCATTTGACACCAACCACAGCAGTAATGCAGCTACTGCACCTTGGATCCTCTCAGGTGGTAGCTACAGTGGTGCACTCGCTGCATGGACTGAATCTACAAGCCCTGGTACATTCTGGGCATACCATGCATCTAGTGCTCCAGTGCAAGCTATCAATGATTATTGGCAATACTTTTACCCCGTCCAAGATGGCATGGCAAAGAACTGCAGCAAAGACGTTTCTTTAGTCATCGACTACATGGACAATGTTTTGACCCATGGAAACAAAAGTGCAGTGACTGCACTCAAGACCAAGTTTGGTTTGGAATCTGCCAAGCATAATGATGACTTTATGGCAGTACTTGAGAACGGTCCCTGGTTATGGCAATCAAATAGTTTCACCACAGGCTATTCAGAATTCTTCCAGTTCTGTGATGCAATTGAGGTGGGTGTATCCATTTCTAATGCGGCTAATCGTGTTCTAATCCAATAACAGAATGTTACCGCCGGAGCTGCTGTCACCCCAGATGAGAATGGCGTCGGTCTAACTACCGCATTGGAAGGTTTTGCAAAATGGACCAAGAGTTACATACCCGGCTGTAAGCACCTGATTGACACTCAGAATATCAGGTTACTGATTAAAGATGAACAGACTGTGGAGATTACTACGACGGCGATGATTTATCCTGCATCGATACATATGATTTCAACAACCTTATGTTCAGAGATTATACTGTCGGAAATGCGGTTGATAGACAGTGGAGCTGGATGCTTTGCAATGAGCCATTTGGCTATTGGCAAGAGTATGTATTGCATAAATTAACATTGTACTGCCTGTACTAATCGTTTTGACAGTGGAGCACCAAGTAACAAACCCACACTCGTTTCTCGTCTCATCAACGCGAATTATTGGCAACGACAATGCGCCTTATTATTCCCAACTGAGGGCAAATACACATACGGCAGCGCCAAAGGTGCAACTGTGAAACAGGTCAACCAGTTCACTCAAGGATGGAATCTTGAGAACACCACTCGACTTATCTGGACAAACGGGTATGTAGTCCGATCCAACTTGCTGGTAATCTGCTGACACGCTTGTAGTCAATATGACCCATGGAGAACATCCGGTGTCAGCTCTCAATTTAGACCTGGTGGCGAGTTGCAATCTACTGCGCAACATCCGCTACAAATCATTCCTGGCGGATTCCATTGTTCGGATCTCAGACTGAGCAATGGAAAAGCCAACGCAGGTGTCCAAAAAGTAATTGATAACGAAGTGGCACAAATAGTAGCATGGACAGCGGAGTATTACAATAAAACTTCGAGTTACCATTCATACTGAGGATATAGATGAAGATATTAGTATGGTTGTAATATCTGCACGTAGGTAGACACACGAGAAATCTACTCGAATGAATAATGAGAAATGAATACGTTTCGTTTTAGACCTTGAAAGTTTCCAACTTTACAGCTTGTGTGAAGGAAATACGGATTTCTAATCCTTAGATGTGATATGAGACTAAGGGGGTGCTTTTAAATAGTTCTCCGGATATCAGATATATTAATGGAATATCAGACATACTAGTTTAAGAAGTATTAAGTTATTTATAGTTCCAGGTTTATGTTTTGCCTTAAAAGCTTGTAATTCTTTGAATAGTAATCAGTAAAAGAAATGCATGGCCGTGTCTTGGCTTACTACCTCTTATCGCTTATCGTTGGCCACCAAGTTACATACGCACCACTGCAGAAGCAAGCTGTCCTTCCTTTCTATTAGAAATCAAACACATCTGAAATCAGGTATTTAGACCCCCAAGGACTTCTTCCTGAACCAGCAATTTAGTTCTACCATACAATCAGATACTTACATCATTTACCAGAAACGAATCATCAAAATGGTTCTCTTAAAAAACCTCGTGTTCGCCGGCCTCGCCACAGTAGCAACGGCTTCCTCTGCCGTCATCGATCTCATTCCTTCGAATTTTGATCAATTTGCCTTCGAGGGCAAGCCGGCATTAATCGAATTCTTTGCACCATGGTGCGGACATTGCAAAACTCTTGCTCCGGTTTATGAGCAGCTTGCCCAGGACTTTGCATTTGCAAAGGATAAGGTCACAATTGCGAAAGTCGACGCGGATGCCGAAAAGAGCTTGGGAAAAAAATTCGGTGTTCAAGGTTTCCCAACCATCAAATATTTCGATGGAAAGAGCAAGACTCCAGAGGATTACAGTGGAGGCAGAGATATTGATAGCTTGACGGATTTCATCACAAAGAAGACTGGCATTAAGCCCAAGAAGGCGAAGGCTGCCCCAAGTGCTGTTGAGATGTTGAACGATAAGTCATTCAAAGAACAAATTGGTGGTGCTAAGGATGTCATTGTTGCTTTTACTGCACCATGGTGTGGCCGTAAGTTCAGCCTATTTCAATATACACTGTGGCTTGCTAACCTATGTTGTTGCAGACTGCAAGACTTTGGCACCAGTCTGGGAGAAGGTCGCTCAAGACTTCGCGAATGAACCTAATGTCCTCATCGCTAAGGTTGATGCCGAAGCAGAAAACTCTAAGGCAACAGCTAAGGACCAAGGCGTCACCTCTTACCCCACCATTAAGTTCTTCCCTAAGGGAAGCACCGAATCCGAAGCATACTCTGGTGGACGTTCCGAGAAGGACCTCGTCGAATTCATGAACAGCAAGGCCGGTACACACCGTGCTGTTGGCGGTGGACTTGATGCTACTGCCGGTACCATTGAAGCTTTGGATGCTCTTGTCGCCAAATTCACCGGCGGTTCAAGCATTGCCGAAGTTGCCGCAGAAGCTACCAAGGCTGCCCAAGAATACAAGGAGGGTGCTCAATTCAAGTATGCAGAGTACTATGTTAAGGTCTTCGACAAGTTGAGCAAGAGCGATAACTACGCCGCCAAGGAGCTTGCTAGATTGGATAGTATTATCAAGAAGGGAGGTTTGGCACCAGAGAAGTTGGATGAATTCACAAGCAAGACCAACATCTTGAGAAGATTCATCGAGAAGGCAACTGGAAAGTCCGAGTTGTAAATGTGTAATTTTTCAATGTAAAGAGGGTTATAGAAATGACCTCGACAAGAAAAGTTTGTTTTGGACTATCCTCGTGGGGTCCTGGATTACTGTTTGCTAAATAAACAATTATGAATCATGTACTTTTTGGATAACAATCTTTAGTATCTCGTCCCGTTTCCTTATTTAACGCCCCTTCGTACAACTTTAGTCCCACTGTGATATGCATATCAACCTACGTTCGGACTAAAGTGCACTCTATATGCCTGCCCTCTAACTGCTCTGAGCTTGATCGAGAACATTGTAATGTACTCGGAGATTCTTTGTAAGTCTACATCTTTGTAGGACTACCTCTTCCATCCTTCAATTCCATATTACTTTGTAGAGTCGCCTCTAGATTATCTAAACGTCGCGACATCTCGTCCACTATTTCGCATATAATTAGTAAGAAATAGTTGAAACCGGGGGAAGATTGTGTGGGGAAAAAGAAAGGAGAGATGTACTTTTCGCGAAGATCTCGCTCGAAACACCAGCAAATTTATTCGAGAGAGAATTTAGAAGTTCATCAACGACGAGAGAAAGTTCGGCGGTGGCTGATGCATCGGTTGTTATCTTTTTGTAAATTCAATAGTTAGTTTATGTTACGGAACGGGAGCTTGAGTGGGTGGTGTTTACTGACAGATGTGGTGGAGATGGTGGACATGCGATTTGCGTTTGGGGATTTAATGTCGTTTGTGGCCATATTTGGGAAGTAGCTGGTTTGATTTTTGGAGATGGGGACTTTAGAGAGTATTGTTATTACACAAGATTTGAAGTTAGAACGAGTATTGTTTTTGCTTTGAATGAGGAATGATGGGAATTCTTACAAAGGTTTCAGAATCTCACAAGAGTGGTCAGTGATGTGATGGGACGGAGTTTAGGAGGGGATGTGGCCGATGATAACCTACCTCATTACTGTAATCTTACCTCGACGAACAATTTATCAAAATTACAACAACTTCATGTTCACCTAACTCTTGCAGATCGGATATGTCTTTTCATCTTTCTCCTGGTTGAGTAGAATATGGCAGATTTTCACATAACAATACGAAGGAAGGGATAATAGATCCGCAAATATGCCACCTCAACGCGGCGATCTCTCAGTCCTCCTGCTCGTCATCATAGTCCTCTGGTGGTTCAATTCCAATGACACCAGTCTCCCCTCGGATTTCGGGAATCCGCGGAAGTACGTAGAAGAACAATTGGCGCATAACAGGCATGTGTTTGGGGTGTTAAATACGACGAGTTATGGGGATTTTGCGCCGAGGAACTCGGAGGATGCGAGATATCTAAATTTGACTGGGTTCAAAGCGAAGGATGGCTATAGATGGGAGAGATTGGATGCGTTCAGGAAGAGGAGTGATGAATTGAGGAAATGGGCGAGAGGGGTGCAGAACGAATCGAAGTTTAATGGAGAAGGTGAGCGGGGCTTGGAGGGCAGGATCTATACAAATGTGACGGGAGTGGTGAGGGGAGGCTGGGCCAGATATATGGACGGTTTGGTGGAGGGGAAGGAGAGGACGAGCAGGCTTAATTTGAGTGTTATTGCGCCGGGCGTACAATGGGCCTTCAAGGATCAGGAGTTATGGGGGAAAAATGTGACGGGTATGGAAGGGAAAGTTATGTTGACGTTGGATGAGGTTGCTGTGGAGGACATGATTGTACATGGAGCTAAAGAGAATTTCTCTGAAGGCGAAAGTTCGGCGGATGCTGGGGAAGAGACACCAAAGGAAGAAGCAAAGGTTGAGAAAAGAGATATATCTGATGGGATCGAAAGGGTTGATCTTGGAATTGGCGCAACTTCGAATACGGGTATACTTGTAAGAGAAGTCAAAGCCTCGTTAACAGTTCAAGATGAGAGCAGTAGTGGAGATGGATATGAAATGAGGATGCATGGTGTACATTGGCCAAACGAAGGGGGAGTTCTTTTAACAACTACGAGCGATAAATTTGCAGGGGCTTTTGCCCTTCCTCATTTCACAACGGACGAGGATCATTTCAAGAGCAGTGCGGAGGTTATGAAAAAGATTTTAGGTGCCAGATTACAAAAGCTTGAGGAATCTGCTAAAGAAAATCCGAGGAGTCTTCTGGAGCAAAATTCAGGCCAAATTGATGGCTTGCCAACACCTCATTGCGAATATATCTTGTTTGCTCAAGTACAACCTTTGAAATTTAATGGTCTCGAATATGAAGACAGATCACCCAAATCTCAAAAATTCGTCCAGGAGCTCGAAGAAGAACTCCGATTCCCAACTGGTGCTCCTACTCCTAAGCCGCCCAAGTTGCAACTATCGACAATAATTTTCTCGCCTGATTGTGGATTTATGCTTGAATCGAAAGGGCCGCCAAAGTTTGCACCTCTTGATGGAGAACATCTAGTTGGCATGAAGCAGGAGGTTTGGTTAGAGAGTATTCGTTCTTGGTTAACGATACTTGCGGTAGTAGCTCTTTGCCAGGCTCTAATCCTGAAGGATCAATGTAAGGAGGCTTCTACACCATCAACCGTAGGGCGTGTTAGTATTCACACCGTTGGTATGATGCTTCTAGCAGATGGATTGTTATTTTTCACGATGTCGTTGACGAGCGCTATATTATCCAGTATCTTCCCATCTGCATTATTATCATCATTTGCAGGCTTGATGTCAGTAGCACTTGGAGTTCGCTTTATGGTAAATATTTATGGCGTCCAGGAACCGGAAAGATTGGAGCGGGAACGGGCACAAACAGCTGTATCACAAGCCCCACAAGCCAGAAATTCACCCCCGACTGGACGATCAGCTCCAGTTATTACCGCGACTGGTGTAGATACATTGCCTACAACTGCCGCATCTTCAGCTCAAAATGCATCCCAGAATATATCCCAAAATGTTCCCATTATTGTCCCTTCGGATCAAGACGTCGACGCCGAAATAGCCGAAAACATCAACGCGACATTCGTACCGCCTCGTGCAACAGGGGCACAAGCCACCGTCCAAGAATCCAGAGTAACTTCAGATATCACTCCCTATTACGGCCAATTCATTCTTCTCCTCACGTTTATCCTCCTGCTTTCCATTGCCTCCGTCACCTGGCCTGTCTCCCTTCGCACAGCCTATGTTTACCTACTCTCCTTCATTTACATGTCTCTCTGGATTCCACAAATCAAACGCAACATCACGCGTAATTGCCGGAAAGCTCTTCTTTGGCGTTTCGTCATCGCACAGAGTTTGCTAAGGTTATCTCCATTTGCTTACTTTTTTTTGTATGAAGACAATTTCATGTTTAGCGAGACCGACTGGACTGGGATGATGATTTTAGCAGGATGGGTTTGGTGTCAGCTTGTGCTGTTATATAGTCAGGAGGTCCTTGGACCTAGATGGGCGATTCCAAAACGCTTCGGATGGTATAAAGAGGGATGGGATTATCACCCTGTGTTACGAGAAGACAATGTCGAGTCAGGAGGTTTACCAATCGGTCTTGTAAAAGTACCCTTGAATTCTCCTACAACTTCAGGCTTTGAAGAAACCGATATGAGCACGGAGAGTGAGAGGGATAATACCAAATCGGGGATTCGTACAGTAGATTGCGCGATTTGTATGCAAATCCTTGAGGTTCCTGTCGTGGGACATGGCGAAGATGAGGGTGTATCGAAGGGAGTCATGGGGGCGTGGGATAGGAGGAGTTATATGGTCACGCCTTGTAGACATGTTTTTCATACACAGTGTTTGGTGGGTTGGATGAAATATCGCTTGCAGTGTCCGATTTGTAGGGAAGGTTTACCGCCTTTGTGAGGGATATAAGTAGGTACCTAGATATGAATATGTGAAAAGTAAAAGTGCTAGCAACGATATATATTGGACAAGAATATAGCTCATATTGTATAACAAGATAGCAAGGAACTATACTATTGAACATATATTTATTATATCATAATATCAATCATCAACTTGAATGAATAAATATATACATCTCCTCATTTTCTACAGTTTTAAAAACACATCTACTTAAGATAATCTTACATCAGCGTAGATAGAAAAATCGCTGTATACCTAGATATTTACTTACTTACTCACATCTCGAGTCTCTTTCTTGATAAATTTAAACGTTTTCTCTATCCATCTATCTATCTATGTATGAAGCGGACGTTCTCGCTTACGTATTTACGTATATTATTAAGGTTGTTATTATTATTATTATTATTATTATTATTATTATTATTATTATTATTATTATTATTATAAAATACGCCACTGGAACTTGAAAGGAAGTGACTTGGGTTCCGAATACTTGAATGCTCGAGTACATTTTCTGGATTTGAGGAGGCTTTAAATGGATAGATATTATTTCAAAAAATTCTCTCCTGCTATTGAAGATTTGGAACTGTAGATTGGTGGATTGGATTGGACTGGATTAGACATACTAGTAGGCAGGAAATTCAAATTCCACAAGTATATTTTACACGATCTACTAAGCAAGCTCGAAACTTTCTTTCTTTTATGCGCTGAATTCTATTTACATGTACATATACATCTACCTCTTCAACGTCTTCTGTTTCTCTGCATCCCTAACAAGTTTTTCCCCCTCGACTCTCAAGCCCTTCCTCTTCCTCACACCATCCATATATTTCTTGGCCACATTCTCCTTATCAGCCAGCTCTCCCAGATCCTCCAAATCATCCTCGGTAAAGGGTGTCCAGAAGGGATCTTCATCTAATATCTCGTAGCCCTGGAAGATTAACTGGGGACTAGCTGCTCCAGATGTTCTCTTGCGGATTTCATCTGAGAAACCAAAGGAGAGGGCCACAGGGAGAAGTGATACGATGGTGAAGAAGGGCGTTCCTTCTTTAAGGGATTCGGAGAGGATGTGTCCACGACGACGGGTGAGAACGTCATAGACGCGGCCGAGTACTTCGGCTGTTGGGTTTGTGTTAGCTTTTATTTATTTTCTATATGAACCTCAGGGTATTTATGAGTAATGTAAAGAGAACTTACTACTAGCTTGAATTTCACACGAGTACATAGCAAGCATAAGTCTTGGGGACCAATCCAAGAAACCTTGTTTAATAGCCTGTTGAACGGTTTTAATCACTTCACCAGTTAATCGACCAAAGTTATCACGGGTTGATGATTCATCGTCAGTGGAAGGGGCTATGGTGACATCTTCGAGGAAAACAGCGATTCCTTGGATAGGTTCATTGCAGAGAGGACCTTGGGCAGTGGCGAGTTGGAAAGCATAGCTAATTTTATCGGAAAAGGACCGGGCTTGAAGTGCTTGATTTTGAGCTGTTGAGTCTTGGGAGTCGGTAGTGGTGTCTTCGCGAAGGCTATGTAACGTTAGTGTCCTGTAGCTAAATAAGAATGTGCTAGAGCTTACAATTTTCCAAGGATTCCATCTGTTGTGGAGTCAAGTAAAAGATTAGGTCCAGTCCTTCGTGGACCAAAAGCAGTAATTTGATCCACAGCTGAAGCCCAAATATCTTTTTGACCTTTTACTCCTTCGAAGGTTTTTTGTAGTTCTTTTTTGAATTCAGCCAATGACAAGACTTTTTCGCCACCCAATAGTTCATCGACCTCTTCCTGTTCAATTGTCTCTTGAGTGGAATCATCGCTAGTCTTCTTGCTCTTTTCCTCCGCTTGACGATCAGAATAAAGTCTCTTGATGGCGCCAGCATTCTTGACTAAGAACTCAGTTACCTCCACTGGGAGTGGTCTTACACGTAATCGAATCGTGATTTGTTTCGATGTAGTTGACAATACAACAGTACCTCTTCCAAGTTCCTTATTTGCTAGAGGTTTCATGTCTTCGGCTCTAACAATGGTTTCTCGGTATGGTACAATCGGCTCTCCTGCCTGGATGTCACATCCTGCAAATCTCTCACGAAGATCTGTCAAACAACGCTCCAAATGTAATTCTCCTGCTGTAAGTAGAACATGTTCACCACTGGCAAATTGCTCATACTCAGCACAAGGATCACTCTGAACGAGTAACTTCAGACCTCGAATCATCTTGTCGAGATCTCCAGGCCAAGCTGGTTCTAAAGCAACACGGACGATAGGTTGAGAACCCATGTTAACTCCTGCAAGATTGACACTACCTTCCAATTGACTGCAGAGGGTTCCAGATTTGAGTATATGGCCTTCAAGACCTCCAATACCAAATACAACACCAGCTGGAACAGAAGTAAGCGGTTCTAATCCACGGCCCATCAATAAGTATAACGCCGTGACTGTAACTTTCTGTGGTTCAGGACTATTGTGTGGGTGTGCAGGTGAGAACTTTGGCGGTAGTACATAAATAGAATCTCCTACAGATAAATTCCCGGAATATATACGTGCAAAACCTATCAGATGTTCTGGATCGAGTTTCTTCTCTTCCTCGGCAGGCTCCTCAAGGCTTACTGATCCAAGTGCATCGGATACTCCATCCACAGATTCAGAGGCTCCTTCCAAAGCCTGCTGTCGTGCAATTTCGGCTCGCTTGCGTCGACCCATCTCCAAGGCTTCTTCAGGGCTTAGAGCACCCCCACGTCGCTTATTCTCAGGTAGTTCACTCTCCGGTATCGAAACCATCTTACTGACATAAGCCACAACTGGCTCATCTTTTGAAGTCTTGAATTTGATCATTGCTTCTCTAACCTTGGGATCTACATGCGATGCACCAGGAGATGCGTCGATGAGTGCTGGTAGTCTCCCTTCTTGAGCAGCAGGTGGAGCAGGTAAAGATTCAATGACAGAAACCAATAGAGCAGTTGATAATGGAAGCCATGCTGAGAACAATGTAGTAAGGATGGCTCGTGGATCGCGGGAACGTGTAACATGTGTAGGTAAGGTAATGTTTAATGACTTGGTAATCTTTTCTGTCATGACAGGATCACTAAATAGACTTGAGTTAGAATTGATAGTTAAATTGCATAAGATTAGATATATAAACAAGTTTAAGGAGAGATAGAAATCCACGCACCCCTTCCCTTTGTCACCACCCGTTGTTGCTGCATAAACAGCCCACACCTGTTCCAAAACTAATTGGACAAACAATGGTTTTAAATTTCGCCCCTTGAGATGTTTTGGTCCAAGGACTTTTTTGGTCTTCGGATCCAAGTAGAAATCTCCCCATAGAACCTTCTCCATTGCAGTTCTCTTGATTCCCAATTTCTTTTCATATAAGCTGGCGAACTGTCTAACTGTGAATGCCCATCCATCAATGGCGCTGCTGAATATGACATTATTCTTTTCTGGTGCAAAGTAGATATCCTCATCATCTTTTTCTTGGAATTCGTTCATAGCTTCGGTATCAATTGAGGTGCTTCCGTCATTCCCTGATCGTTCTTGTTCTTTCGCAGCGGCAGCGGCAATTCTCTCATCCACTCTGTCTCTCCAATTTAAGTCCTCCTCCATTCGCTCCCCTTGGAAAAAGCTTCCAAGTACAGCGTTGACTTGCTCCAACAGTTTGCTTAAATGTGTATATGCTTCGGCTGGGGTCATCTTCAATTCCGTAATAAGCCTGTCCATCTTGTTTATTACCAGGAGAGGTTTCATATGTTCTACCCATGTCTGCCTCAAAACCGTAACAGTCTGACTACAAACTCCCTCGACAGCATCCACTAAAACAACAGCGCCATCGCATAATCGTGAGGCAGTTGATACCTCACTGCTGAAATCGATATGTCCAGGCGAATCTATCAAATTGATCAAGTATTCTTTTTGCTCGGGCGTAGCATCTGGTGCATTTCGTCTTAACATGGAGAAATATAATGATATGGCAGATGATTCCATAGTAATCCCGCGTGTCTGTTCATCCGGTCGAGAGTCAAGGTATCGTATTTTACCGGCGAGTTTGGGAGAAATGATGCCATTTGTGGCAATCAGAGCATCTGAAAGTGAAGTTTTCCCATGATCCTGAAGATATTAGCAATGGAAACAAGATGTACAAGAACGGGGCATATACTTACAACATGTGCTAATATGCATATCTCGAGAGGACATTGTTAGCATTGAGAGTCCTAACATAAAACCTGCCCCGCCAAAGACTTACATTTCTAATGTCTTGAGCATTTTGCTGTAGGGCAACTAGCTTTTCTGGATTGACGATCGGCATTCTATAGATTAATTTGAGATAAATGTATATGCCTTTGATTTAAATGAAATATTAGGCCCAAATTTATATGCGCAAAAGGTAATTTATATCTTGTCGAGTTCTGCCTATCTGAGGCGATTCTGTTTACCGGACTTGGCACTGGGTGTGGATGATGACTGGGGATTTATTTGAGCTTTGAATAGAGAAGGATGAATATCTATTGATGTAAAAAATGACTCACAATGATTCAATATGTTTAGATGATAGAATGAGCAACAAAAGTGCAATGTTTGATAATTCGACGCGGAGTAATATGGAAATGGGAAAATGTTACTATTTTTCTGGAGCGGCCGCTTACCCCGAGCCTTCACAACGTCACAGAACCCCGCCAAACGTGAAAGTTACTATACACGTGCTTGACGGCAAGAATGGTGGAAGTATCTAGTACGAGTCTATTGACACTATTGAAGTAAAACCATTATCCATATACCTATGTAAGATTACAGTTGCTACTGCCGCTGACTAACCTACTATAACGATGGAGAATCCAAAAGGCAGCTTTTCAATTTCCCAAACCTCGCCTAGCACGTTTTCGCGACGGATATCATCGATGATGGATGGATATGCTAGACTTCAATAACCCTCGTCATAGCTTTGCCAGTACATTTCAGAAGTACGTCGTCATTTGGGAATGTGAGGCTAGAGATAAGATCACATTGCCAGAAGCCATCACCAGCAAGTCGTTCTAACTGCAATGTAATAGCTTACTACGATGTACCTCGAATGTGATACTTATTACTAGTAGTATTTGAAGGCATCAGGCGTCGATGGAAAGTTGAGGGTAGGTCATTCGTGGATTTTCCAGTGGTCAACTTGATGATTGAAGATAATGATCAAAATTTTCCATGATTTCATCTGTCTCATTCTTCGGAAGTTTGTGTAGTAGTAGGAGATTTGCAGGGTCTGAAGACGATATATGTAACGGGTAGACTCTAGTAGCATGATCAACTTTCATGAATCGTTCGAAAATAGTATGACTTACACGTGATATACTGTAACTATTGGAACAGCTAACGTTCTAGTTCATTTCTTATGGACGGAAAGTCCACAAAACTCATGTACCTTTTAAAGTATCCTTAATTACCATGATAATATTACCACATAGAGTTACTCGATAAACGACTATCTATGATGATATACATTTCAGAGGTAGACTACTATCTATAATGACATAGAATTTGAGAGGCGGAAAGTTTTCATGAATGATAATCCTTTATGAGGATTTGAATTGATTCAAAGTACCGCTGTTGAAGGAAGAATATGTGGGATTATCGAATACGGTACTCATACTGTACCCATACTCATACTTATATACTTTTCTTTCTGTAATATTTTCTATACCTCATTCTTGGGAGCCTATGCCGAAGTCGATAAAACATTCGAATCTCCAGCACTAAAACCACAAACTCCTCTCGATATCCAACTCCTGAGACAAGTAACGGCCTAGGTATTCAAGGGTGGAACAAATTTACGGTCAAGCATCAAAGGTCCTGCAGCTGAACATAGAGAAGTATAGCAAATCAGATAAAAGGGGTTAGAAACGAGGGTGGAAACCAGGGTGGAAACGAGGGTAGAAAAAGTTATCAAGATGGAACTTCATAGGGTTACGTTGAAGAAGCTCCGATCATTCTTTGCGGAGAACAGTGTTATTAATCAGGAACGCGGGATTGAGGCTATTGAATGAAATCTGCTAATTCTGTACATATTTCTCATTGCAATGAAACAAATTTAATTACTAGGAGAGAGAGAGGGATAACAGCAGATACTTGAGTGAGAGGTGATGCAAGATGCAAATGATTATCTATTTAAATTCTATCCATCTATCCATCTAGCCATCTATGACATCTAGCCATCTATCACATCTAGCCATCTATGACATCTAGCCATCTATCACATCTAGCCATCTATCACATCTAGCCATCTATCACATCTAGCCATTCTCTCCAACATACCTGCCCTAGTCCATCATTCGAAACCAGTTCGAGGACCATCTGATGAAATGAATGACCAGATCTCCAGGCCAAAACCCCCTTGTAACGGCGAAATGTTAAACCAATTGTTGTAAAGATCCTGCCTGACCCAATCAAATCCTGAAATTAAGAAAGTTCCATCTTTATTCCATCTTTATCCCACTAAAATGCCCAGTAAAATGTCCATCATGATCCTTGATGGATTTTGGTTTCACCATCATAATTGATCTAAAAAGGTCCAGACGTTATATGTTATTGACCGGCAGCATATAAGGTTAATATAAAACGCTCCAACCAACAGGAAGAAAGGAAGAAAGGAGTGGTGAATTTACTTTATATTGCTTCCCGTGAACTTTCTCTGTTTTGTATTTGGTGTGTGATTAGGTTACCTATTACTACACTATTCTTCTACCATCGCGCATTACCTGCTAGATATCGTTGCTTCGAATAATGTTGTTTGTTCTAACCTCATCATATCTATTATACTTTTACCCTCGAGAGCGGTGACCATCTTCTTTATATTTTGATCAACACCAAGGACGAAACCTCCTCAAAACATCCACCTTCGAAAGAAAATCGAGGAGGCTGAACTGCCGAAATTTCAATCTCTAAAATCAGAGGCAGTACATTTTTCTCAAGATTACACACGGCTTAGGAGGAATTTGGGCTTTTTTTTTAGCTGGAACTCTTCTTTCTACAACATTCACAAGTAACTATAGAATCGAACAACTTCATATCAAGCTTCAAGCATAAGCTTTCTTCCACAATCATTACATCCCATCACAACAATTCACAATAATCAAATCGCATACACAAATATTCACAGTATACATGCCTGGAACAATTATGGCGGAAGTCCAGCAACCGTCAATGGTACAGAGTCACCCACGAGCAATCCCTGGACAGGATACAGTCTTGCAGATACAACCTCCAGCTGCTACAGCACTTTCTCCCTCTGCGCCCATAAATCGTGTTCGCAATTCGCATCTCGCTTTAGATACTTTTTCGCCTGTTAATCAGAATGGAAGTTTCGAGTTTGATCGTGTTTTAAAGAGTGGTTATGTGCAGAAACGAACGAGGAAAACAAAGGTATGATTTCGTTGACTATGATTACATTTACATGAACTCATTATCATTTCGCAGGCGTGGAAACCTATTTTTCTTGTCCTCCGACCAAATTACCTCTCAATCTACAAAGACCAGAACGAAGATAAACTGCGCCATAAGATACATCTTTCAGACTTAACAGCCGTCGCATTCCTCAAAGATCCCAAACAAAAAAGGCGCAATGTATTCGGTCTCTTCACCCCCTCTCGAAACTACCATCTCGAAGCTACCACCAAAGGCGATGCAGAACAATGGGTTAACCTCATCCGCAAAGAAGCGCGAATCGACGAAGAAGAAGAGGAAGAAATGTTACTAGCCAGTCCTTCTGGTAATATAACTAGTACATATCCTGGATTCGATCAAGCCGTAGCCCACCAACAGTTACAGCGAAAAACTGAAGCCCAAATTCTACATGATGAAAGACTAGGAAGTAGTTCTCCGGAGCCAACAGATCCTTTGCCACGGACGAATAATAAACAAAATATGTCGGCATTTGGAGGAGGCAGACGCCCATCAAATACAATCGAATATTCTGGCAATGAACTAGTTTCCGATGCCGAATTTTCAGATACAGATCTTGCGCGCCTCCCTGGTACCTCGACTATTTCTCTGAACCTACACAACCCTCCCAATAACCTAAACTCCAACCAAGATCTCGAAGTAAAACCCCCTTCCTCAACGCTTCCATTCGCACGCAATACATCCCAATTATCTCTCTCACAACAGCCACCCCCCGATCAAGACCCTGAACGCGTAGTCTATCAAGGTTATCTCCTCTATTTACGCTCGAAAAACGGTATTCGCTCCTGGAAAAATCTTTGGGTAGTACTACGTCCCCGTTCTTTATCCTTTACAAAACGACTCGGAATACTCACCGGTCATGATTGTGCCCATGGAAAATGTAATAAATGTTGTGGAAATTGATCCATTGAGCAGGACGAAACCATATTGTTTTCAGGTGATTAGTGAGGAAAGAAGTTTTAAGTTTTGTGCGGGTAGTGAGGGGGCGTTGGTGAATGTTTTAGGAGCGTGTAAGAGTTTATTGGCGAGAAGAAAGGGGGGTGTGGGTGTGTAAAGTATGGATCGAGATGGGATGAAGTTGGGGAAATTTCCCATCTCTTCAGGCAGAATAGAAGGTAGGGACGAGGCGAGACGAGAAGAGGAAGAATTCTAGTAGCCAGCGCTAGGAATTGTATATAAGCTGGTGTATATGAGTGTATGTGGTAGTGACAGGAGCTAGCGAGTGCGAGTTTGATTGTGAATGAAGGAATCATTTGTAAGGGAAGGGTGGAGGGGACAATATAATAATGAATACGAAACGAACTTTATGATCAATGTAATTTAATCAATCCAATACCTATACCTGTACTGTACTTGTATTTATATATATATTAATTTATTTGAGTATTTAATAGATTTTTTATTTTATATTATTTTATATTATTTTATTTTATTTAATTTGATTTGATTTTAGTTTTAGTTTTTATAAATATAAAACTAAAAAAGTAAAAAAAGAATTGAATTAAGTTTGATTATTTTTTATTTAATTAAAAAAAAAATTAAAAAGACTTTATTATATTTTAATATATATAAATGTAGATATTTTTTAAATAATATTTAAGATTTAGATATAAATAAATATAAGAAAAATTAAAAAGTTAAAAATTAAAATTGAAAAGTTGAAAAGCTGAAAAAGGAGGTGATTGTTTGAAATTGAATGTTAGAAGGTAGAGGTTGAGGTTGGAGGTTGGGGTTGGGGTTGAGATTAGAAGTTGAGATTAGAGGTTGAATTAAATTGAATAAGAAGAAGAAGAAGAGGAAAGGAGGGAAAGGAAGAGTAAGGGGAAAAGGATGAAGAGGAGGAATCGAAAAGAGGAAGCGTCAAGATGGAAAGATGGAAAGATGGAAGATGGAAAGATGGAAAGATGGAAAGATGGAAAGATGGAAAGATGGAGAAAAGGAGGAAGGAGGAGATGGAAAGAAAGGAAGTAGAAAGAGAAGGAGAAGGAAGAAAAGAAGAGAAGGTAGAAAAAATCTAAGAAATCATGGAATCAAATATAAATTCTCTACCTCTTCTCTATCTCTCCTTCATTCAATTTCAAATCTACATCTATATCTATATCTACATCCCATCAACACTTAACCCAATCAATCAATCTATTTTTTATTTAGATTAAATTAAATAAATAAATAAATAATAATATCATCTTATCAATATATTTTATATTATATTTTGATTATAAATCTATTATAAAGGAAGTAAAGCCTTACAATATAATAATTATCATCAAAATTAAATTTTTGTTATAATATACACGTTATGTTTTCCTTGTTGATATTATACTCTATACAATATCATTCTTATTGCTCTTGTCTTTTTGTATCGCATACTTTTTCTCATAATTCAGGGATCCAGTCCCAAATATTTTACTCCATACAAGGTTTATTCACATCTCCCTCTCCGACTTTTTATATCGCACAGCAAAACCCCATTCCCTAATAGACATCCAAACCATTTTTGATGGCGCAGTTATGAATAAATCCAGTCAAGCCCGCATCATAGCCAATAAGCCGTTCCTTTGTTCATATCATTCGCATCATTCGTATCGTGAGCCCAAATCAAATCACAATAACCTGTTCAATGGCATTGCCACTCCCAATAACATCTTCATTACGAAAGCACTTTTCCACATCTTACCTTAATATTGTGTAATCAAAACATCTGGAACATGTAAACCTACACCTTCCTCCATAACAGCAACCCCATCCTCTACTTCCAACGGTTCCGCACCAAAAAAGTGACCATCAGACTCGGATTCTTCCATTAAAGTTGGTGTAGGAGTAGCTAATAGTGAGACTTCAGATGGAGTTTGTGGAGGAAGAGGAATTAGCACTGCATGGTTTTGGGGGATGTTTGAGTTCGTGGATTTGAATGGATTGACGATATTGTTTGATTGGTAGGTAGGAGCTGGCATGGCGATGTAAGGAAAAGGATAGGTGCTAGATTCAGTAGATGTTGAAGTGGTCTCGGAAGAAATTGGAAAAGATCCGGGGATGAAGGAAGGAGAGTTAGAAAAGAAATCAGATCTGGGAAAAGAGTTACGAGCTGGATGTGGGTTGCAGGTATGTGTTGGAGAGGGCGAAGAATTGTAATTTGGATTGTTAGGACTTAGAGTGGCATTTGATCGATGAGTAAGGATACCAAGACCAAGGTTCGCCGCTCGTTTTTGATATCGTAGGTTTCGAGATCGTGATCGGCTCGGATTGAGCTCCTGAATTGGGTTAGTCTATGTGTATATAATTGTAGTAAACTTGATAGGGAGAATATTTTTATTAATACATACAAGAGGAACTGGATTTGGTCTTAATCCCAAATTTTTAACAATCTCAACTTTGGCTACAGGTCTGAATTTCTGTAAATTAAACCCAAATCCAGTGACGGCAGTGCAAGGTAGGTCGTCATTCAAAATGGCATTGAGACTAAGAAAGCTGCGATCGAGGAGGGTGGGCCTGCATGTGTGGCAACATTTGAACTGACACTCTGTACCTCTAGACGGTAACCATGGACGCGGGTTTGTAACTCTCATATTTGGGACTGTTTGAGAGGTACTGAGCGATGGGCGGGAGAAAGGATTGAACAAAAGCGGGAATGTTGGTGGAAGAGTTTGACGGTGTGAGTTCAGGCTCCTCAGAATCGGCAAGGACGTCAAGAAGCTGAATGTGATGTCAGAAAGGGTATTTAAGAAATTGGAGAATTACTACTAACATGACTGCGTTGTCTGAGAATAGTTTGGATTTGCGCAGGTGTATATGTTTTGAGATCTTTGTTACTGATTTCATCCAGGAAACTTAGTCTTGACTTACGTGCCTCTGGTCCACGAGGTCTGGGCGCCGTACGTCTTGGGAAAATATCACAGAGGTCGTCCAGTTTCTCTCGACTCTTTATCGATGTTAATAAATAAGGTTATGCGAAGATTGAAATGTCTCGATAAAAACTTACAGCATGTCCATGATCCATGTCATCCTCTAACATGAGTTCACGATCTTGAGTACATCTCCACACCCATCCAAATGAACTTTCTCGGAAACAAATACCACATCGAAACTCTCTGGTAAAGAGTCGCGTAGTAGTCAAATGTGTGCATTGTACATTTCTTGTAACATGCGTGGCGCGTCTGGTAGTTTCTGCCAAAGCAGGTAAAGAATTTCGATTTGTAGTGATAGGCATTACGGTAGTCATTGAAGAGATGATGCTGGCCGTTGATGCCGATGTACGTCTAACTGGAAGTTTTGAGGATCGTGTTGTATTATTCGTTGTCGGTTTCGTTGTCGCCATGATTGTATTGGGAGGATCAAGAATTCAAACAAACACTTGAAATGTTTGAAGTTTTGAATGAGCCACAATTCACTATCAAACTTTGGAGATGTTTGGAAATGAATTATTCGATTAGATGAAGTTATTAAGGCGCGTTGAAAAGATCAATATAAAGGTGGGCTGAGTGAACATAGGTTGCAAAATTATTTCTTGTTTATGACGGTTTCGTAGGTATCAAATTGAGATGAATTTTGACTCGCTTGACGGATGATGGAAATTACGTCGACCAGAGATTTTAATAACCAATTGAAAAGAGGTAGAGGGAGGCAGATAGAAAAATAAGAGTGAAGAGTGAAAAGTGAAATATACCTAGTACCTACGCATTCAAAGAGTTCTTATCTTATTGTGTGAGTTGACTTGACATGAAACCAGCCGTATCGTGCCATTATTAATAAGAATGCTCTTTTCCTTCACCATTTGAGTTCGAAAAGGGAAACTGCAGCATTCAAAAATGCCATTTTTGGTCGTCTCGTACCAACATGTGTAACAGTCGCTCCTACCTTTCTAGTGGGAGGTTCTAAGAAGACATCGGGTTGGCATGATCAGAACATCCAACATCAATCAAATTGAAAGGCTTTTCATCCAATCTGAGAGAAAGGTAAGGTAGGGACTGAATTTTCAGTATTTCTATCTGATTTCGTCCCCTGTCTCCTAACTTCAATTGGCACCTACCTTCACCCTGACGAAGCTCAAAATTCACATTGCAACGGCAACACATCACCGATACTCTTGATATAAAAGCATGACGCGCTTATGGAAAGGAGCAGTCTGACGAAGTTTCTCAAAACTGCCTTTTGAATGAATGGCATTGCTTTGGTGATTGAATGGGCGTATTTGGGGAACTCTCCTGAGGACTTCTTTCGATATACAAACAAGTTTGAAGCAAACTTTGGGAGAAGCAAGTTGATGAATGTTCCTTGTGCTGCTTTGATTTCTCACATGGATTCGTCTTGAGGATTGTATTCCAGAGACGTATGTGAGCAATTTCGAGATATCTTTCACCGTACAAGTTTGAAGCGATTCTTGAAACGACCAGCTCGAAGAATGTTTCCCGCAGCTACTGTGAATTTATAGATTTGGGATAAACATTAAATAGGCGTATGGAAAAATTCTCTGGAGTCAAAGATTTTGAAGCAAATGGTTGAATTCGATCCATGGATATTTTATGAAAGTGGCACCGCATTTATGCTCCATATTGTGGTTCTGAAAACTCGTTGAACGTTTAAAAGATCTGGACAACTGTCAGCAGAAGTAAAATACCATTCTATACCTAAGGATAGAAAATCAAGCATACGATACTGGACCTTCACAACACGTAATCGTACAGGTTGACAGGATGAAATTGAATCAATGTATGACTCCAGTTAGAAAATAAAGGATATTGGTTTAAGGGTTTTGATGTACTTTATCGGTTTCAACTTGCAGAGATTTCAACCGTGATGTCTCAAAACTTGGACGCTTTCCCTTCAAGTCCCACACATGTCTCTCATTTGGTCATTTTCATCACTCATGAAATTCTAGACTTTATGAGCGAGTTAGGGTTTTATATGGAGATTACCAATCAAAATATGAACTTCAGCTGGTCAATGCACGAACCTGGGGTAGATGTATGTACGGAGGTAAGTGGCTATCAATTCGTAGCGGAGTAATCGTTATTTGCCCATTTTTAGAGAGTGGGAGTAAGTGGAGAATAAAGAGGACTAAAGACAATGAGAGAGGAGAAGGAGTGAGGATGTTGACATGAGGTGATCAGAGTTGATGTGGGTGATGTGGATGTTATGATGTATGATGGATGTATGGTGGCCATGGATGATGTATGATGGATGTATGGTGGCCATGGATGATATATGATGTATGATGTATCTCATGTATGTATGATATGGATAAATATAAATATAAATAGGGACGGGTACACTTTTAACATAAACGTTATATGGAGCCAAAACGATAAGTAATTAAAGGAAGGCTCAGTGCTTATCTACTTAGGGACTTACCTACATACGTTAAATCCTTAAATCCTTTTTATCCTCGTAACGTTTGGGCTTGGTATATTTATTAATAAATACTTTAGCTGTGTACCTACGCACATACACATCTCAGACTGTCTATTTAAAAGGTTATTGTTCGTATATTTATTAGTGTTTAATTTCCAAAGCGGACAACGCGGGAAGCAAAAGATTTTCATTGTCATCAGATATTATGATTTTTATTCCTAATCCGATATTCAGATTCATATTCATATTCGTCGTCTTATTTCCAGCCAATCTTTGTTGTCGCTTTTTTACTATGCTGGGTTGATGCTTGATGTAGTATACATTTTTATTTATATGGTTGATGCGTTGTATGAATTCTGTTGTTTGGAGTGACTCGTGAGTCCATCAGAACAGGAGCAAATAAGAGGAGAGAGAAGAGGAGAGGAGAGGAGAGGAGAGAGAAAGAGAGAGAAAAGAGAAAAGAGAAAAGAGAACAGAGAACAGAGAAAAGAGAAAAGAAACAGGCTTCACTTCAAACAAAAGCTTGCTTTTTCTTATCGACAACTTCATTTACTTTAGTATTTTTCACCCATCATTGCACATTGCACCTTGCATACTCCATATACACTCTATACATGGTCTATTCGGTGAGAGAGAAATTTGATAAAACTGTATGTACCACCAGATCAAAATCCTTGTCAAGCCGCTAAATACTCAGATCAATCTCCGCATCCCATCCATTCTATCCCATTATTCTATCCATCCCGTTTCATCCCAGAGTGATCCCATAGTGATCCCAATCTCCATCAGTCCAGTCAGTGCTCCAAATAAATCAATTCAATTCAAATCCATCATATCTACTAACCTTACCAGACAGACCTAGACACCTGGTGCACCCAGATATCTATCTAGTAGTCTAGTAGTCTAGTACTCTAGTACCCTCCTCCACCAGTGCTCCTACCTTACCTACTACTTAATACGCCCTGTTGATCTCCGACCCGAGCCCTTTTTAAACTCGAAATTACTTTTTCCTGCCACCAAAGAAAAAAGTCCCTCCTCTTCCTGACCACACCCCCCTCCCCAACCCCAGCCTCCAACTACTAAAACCTTTTGGGTCTTATTTGTTGTGCAGGAAGGAATATACTCCGTACAGCGTGTCAACAATTTTACTGATTTGATTGTTTGATTGATTGATTGATTGATTGATTGAACGATCGATTGACCGATTGATTGACCGTACATCAATCCATATCCACGATTTGAGGTCAGTTCACTTACTCCACCCCGCATTATTTTAAAACAATAGCAAGAGTTAGAAACTTTTTAAAATCTCCTTGACTATTTATTATTTATCTTGATCTTGCGCAATCGCCTCTTCTTAAGAGGGCGGGGGGGCCTGTGTGCGCCTCGATCAAGACTTGTTACCTGAGCTCACCTCGGCTCTGCATCGTGTAAACAACAAGAACAAGTTTGGAGAGAGCTTGTTGTTTCTTCTCCTCATTTCTTCAACTTCCGATATTACCGTTATTTCGAACAAGTCGCATTCACGAGCTTTTATACTGATAAGTTGTTCGTTCCTACAGTCTCCGAGGGTTTGAATGACCTCTCACCCATCACAATGTCGGTCAAATTCGAGAAAGATACCATAAAAACCACCGGTCCTCTTGCAGGTATACAAGGCGTTCCAGCGATCGATGTTAAAGATGTTCATCATCATCATCATCACCATCTACCAGGTCACCACTTAAGACACAATGTCGGTGTCGCATTAACTGGAGGAAAAGCCAATGAAGGAGCACCAGGATACTTATCTGTAAGCCATTGATCTTGGAAATCATTCATGGCGCAACCAGATCGCTCACTCACTAATCATGTTATGTTTGAATAGCTGTACCTCAAAGAATTACAAACTAATCCTCTTCGTACGAAAATGCTCACGTCTGGCACATTATCGGCTTTACAAGAACTTTTGGCCTCGTGGATCGCTAAGGATCGTAATAAGCAGGGTCATTATTTCACGTCTCGAGTTCCCAAAATGGCTGCATATGGTGCTTTTATTAGTGCTCCTCTAGGCCATGTATTGATCAGTATTTTGCAAAGGATTTTTGCTGGACGTACGAGTTTGAAAGCCAAGGTTCTTCAAATTCTGTTGAGCAATTTAGTGGTAGGTTCAGCTCGTCTGTTTTTATCATGTAAAAAAAGCTGACAATAGATCAATAAAAGGTTGCTCCTATACAAAATACCGTGTATTTGTACTCAATGGCACTTATTGCAGGCGCAAAGACCATTCATCAGGTACATGCAACTTGGAGAGCTGGTTTTATGCCAGTTATGAGAGTCAGCTGGATCACTTCCCCTCTCGCTCTTGCTTTCGCACAAAAGTTCCTTCCTGAGCACACTTGGGTTCCATTCTTCAATATCATTGCCTTCACAATCGGTACATATGTGAATGCGAACACAAAAAAGAAGCGTCTCGCAGCTCTTCGCAAGAGACACCACGATGAAGCTAGAGGAGGAAGATCTGACGACTACCCTGGCCCACGTAATGGACCAGGAAACCAAATGGGAGGCCCAGGACCAAAACGCGAATACTAATTTAACGAAGGGACGGATGGGAAGGGGGTCATTAAGATGAAATAGCACAGCATGAATCAAATCCGGCTGTGCTTATTGTCACAAATTTTTCCTTATCATAATGTATTTTCGGTTCACGGATCTTAATTTGGCACGAGGTCAAATTTACTGGTTATGGGTGGCGACCGCTTGCAGATATCCTGTGGTCCATGCGAGGCCTTGCTTGCTCTTTTTTCGGGGGGGACAATACCACGTAAAAAGCCTCACCTCACCTGTTGTATAGTTTTTACGATTTCATTGGTTATAAGTAGAAATGAATGAGCGTTTGCTTGTCAATCTCTTCCATCTGAATGTGAATGCTGGGTGATACTTCGATGGATTTGGAAAAGCAACCTGCCGAAGGCAACCTGTTTTTTTAACACGTCGCCTTTGTGGGATATGATTGCTACATGACATGAAGACGGAAAGGTAAGTCATATTCTTGTCATTTGTCATTGACACCTAGGCACAGCATATGATTACAATAACGGGTGTTCTAGGACATCACTGAGGGGTAAAGCTATGGATGGGAAAAGATAAGGATAAAGTCGAAGCGAATTCTCTGTATCTCAGGGTTTTGGTGCATAGGTTACTTTTTACATCAGTTTGGTTTGCACGTTTGAACGACTAAAGCGGAGTTTGCTTGAGCTTTAACGAGGGCACGCTTCGTTTTTCGCCACCTACCTTTAGCTCATTCTCTTAGCTACCCAGGACCCAGAACCGAGAACTTACAACCCACTATTCACTTCTCTTCGCTCGCATCATCCACAAACTCATAAGTCAGCCTGTCTAGTTTCAACACAACTTCGGGCAATGTCAGCATTGATACCTTTATCCCCATACGTCCCCCCACGAGCACGTGTTCTCTCACCCTCCGATCGATATTCAGGTGGTGCCCGGGGAAACGCCCATCATGGACCTCTGCTACGCAGTTCTTTCGACAGTGGCTATAATGCCCTCGGAGGCAATGCGGCCATGATACCTATCCCTGTATTCGGTGCCCGGGCCGGACATGGAGCACTCTCCCGTGGTGGAGGAGCTGGAAGAAACTATAATGATATGAACATAAACATGGTGGTGCCGATCAGGAGAGGAAGCGTAGATATTTCTTACCACAGCATTCCTCATTCACACGGCCATCCACTAATGGATCCTCGACTACGACATGCGCCACAAGTACAGGTTGTGGATCCATCGGCTATGTTTCGAGATCCGTGGAGAGCAGGGAATATAGGGAGTTGTACGCAAGAACCCTATACATGCCCTTGTCATGAATGCGAAATCCTGCGTTTACCGCTTGCTCAACATGGGCTCCAGGTCGCGCCGTTGACGGTGGGATGTCATCATGATAGTCATGGACATTCACATGCGATGGATTTGCATAATCATTGTTGTTCTGGCGGAGGAGGACATAAGGAATCTTCATCCTCTTCTTCTGGCAGTGAGAGTAAAGAAAAATCGAGTTCAAGCGGTGGAAGTAGTGGAGGTGGAGGAAGTAATAAGAAGGAATACGGATTCCCTACCAAAGATATCGTTATCCGTGGGAAAACATACGCCTGTCGCAAATCCTTCCTAGCGGATCAAGGCAAGTTCGAAGACTCCCTCGTCAAAATGATGGAAAAGAAAAAAGAAGACGAAATCCCCACCACGGTTCTCGATTCCCTCTTCTCGTGCATCAATGAAGAAATCGTGCTATCGACAGCCTCGGCCCACGATCTCGTCACCCTCAACGTGCTGGCGTCTTCGCTGGGCGTCAAAAGCGTCATGGAGAAATCGCTCGCTCAGCTGAAGAAACAGTGCTCGGACAATATCGTTAGTGGGAGTACATTGACGGGCATCGTGGTGACGGTTATGATGAGTGCGAAGGTTGATGAGGGTTTGAGGGATTGGTTGAAGAAGTATATTAAAGGATGGGGTTTGTGGGAGGAGTTGCAGGGTTTTGCTATGTATATTCGTTGTGTGGAGGATCACCCGGAGATTCATACGGGGTTGTTGGAGTTGCTTGGGTTGAGGAGGAAGGCGGATGGGGAAGGGTATAGGATTATTTAGGGTTGTTTGGAGCGGGGGTGGGTGGGTGTGGGTGGAGGTGGGAGGTGGATGGGGGTAAGAGAAGGAGGGAATGCAAAATGGAAAATGGGGTGGAAAATTATGGAAGGGAGCAAAGTCTTCGAAAGGCAACCGAACAAACTTGGGAAAATTGGTGATCTCCCTGGCAGTAGATAGATACATCAAAATCGGAAAAAAAGGGTAAGAATACGATATTCTGTAACAGTCAGTACGTAGTCAATAGTCAATAGTTAGTAGTCGGTATTTAGTAGTTAGTAGTTAGTAGTTAGTAGTTAGTAGTGTTTTAATTGTATGCTAGTGTGTTGTTTACTTCTGTGTATGTTTTGTGTTGAATTTATCTATATCTATATCGTATAGTATAGTATAGTATATGGTATATGGTATATCTAAGGCACCTTTTGGGGATTTTCTGCAGGGGAAGAGGGAGGCTGGTGGGGGGAGTGACTGTATTGGTTGGGTAGGTGGGTAGGTAGGTAGGTTGGTAAATAAATAGATATATTATATTGGTTATATCAAAGTCAAGAATCTTATAAAAAAACTCTTCTTTTATGTTATTTTATATTCTTGTTAATATATATATATATACGTGAGTATATATTCCAACACTAGAACTATTGGAAGTGGAAATATACAAATTATATAAATCTAAAGAATCGAGCAAATTGATAAATCATTAATTAAATCGTTTTCATTTATACTATAACCGGCTAATACGTGGTAGATATGGCATTGAGTATATATAGACAGATATTCGGCTTTGAGATACCTGTCTATCGAGCTATCTTTGTTTTATTTATCTATAAATTGTGATTATAGTACTTTGTGTTCTTTGTGAGGTTATGAGATATTTGTAGTGTAGAGATTGTGTGAAGGAGGGGTTCATTACGTTTTTTATTTATTAGTTTTATTTCTTTATATGGATGTGAGAGTGGAAATGGAAACGGAAACGGGAATGGAGGTAGAAATGCAGATAGACTATTGATTGCATTGACTATAATCTACTTGGTATCTACTTGCTACCTACCTACCCAATACTCTCAGCAATACCAATATCAATACCTCCAAAACCCAGAAAACCACAATAAATATAAAATATGTACAACATATACACAAACATACGCACGCACACATACATACAAACCTAGATAGATACACAGGGAATTTGACACATGCAGTGAAAGCAAAGCCAAGCATCCACCAACCCAGTCCGATAACAAAGAGACAGAAATGTAGATAATCGGAGATGGAAGTAAAGATGGAGCTAGATATGCATAACGAAGGGGCTTGGAAAATGTTTGCCTTCTTGTGATTGTTATACATGGAAATGCTGTGTGAAGAGAAATACGATGTGTATAATATGATATGATGTGATATGATATGATATGTAAAATCCAGGAGGGATTCTCCGTCTCCGTTTGAGATGTACGAGATGCACCTTGATGAGGAGATATCTTCTGGGTGTACAGGATGTGTGTGTACTTCGTATGTATATGATGTATATGCGAGATCCCGTAGATGTGGTACTCAGATGAAGGATCGGAGGGAGCTCCGTTTAGGACTCCATTTAGGGTTATTGGTAATGTGTTGGTGGTTCTTAGTGAGGTTTGATGTACTCATTGGATACATACTACATATATCGGAATTGAACACTTGTTTTCCCTATCTTCGTCTTTATCTTCTTCCTCAACTTCGATGCTATAGCTTATAATTACCATATTCTTTAACCGTACTTTCAATTTGACCATTATCCTGTTCTCACATCCTCCATATTCTTTGAATCGTTCTTCGATTTCGACAATTAGCCTGTACACAATCCTTCATATTCCTTAAATCGTTCTTCGACTTCGACAATTAGCCCGTCTCACATCCTCCATTCACTTCATAACTTTGCTTCTACTGAGTATTTTTCCACAAATATCTCAAACTCGTTCCCCCAGCCACAGTTCCCAACAATCCCACCCAAAATTCTGTCACCAGACCCCCTTCCGTACTCCAATGCATAGTCAAAGGCGCATATGCCAAATTAACAATCAAACTCTTCTTCCACCTCTCCATCCACTCCCTATGTTCCTTCTCCTTCTCCCCCTTCATCTCCGCCAAATCCTTATCCCTATTCCCATACTCGATTCCCAACTTCACAATATCAAGCAACACATGTACCATCCAACATCTCACACTCCATATACCTGCTTTCGCTTGTTTGGTTTTATCCCATGGCAGTATATTTTTCGAGCTGAGATATGCTCCGTTTTCTAAAGTCTGAAAGACTAGATTCGCAAGTACTTGGATTTGTACAATCTTTCTAATAAATGTATCTTTAGGCGGACTATTCCATGTAACTTTTGCCCACTTGTAAATTGCTAATAGACCCCAAAGACGCCCAAATGTTCTAAAATCAGTTATCAATGCACTCAGTGCCTTGAATCGAGTAGCTAGTACCAGTAATCGATTACTGGGTATAGGGAGTGTAGCAGGTGATAACACGATTGTGGTATTAGGAGGAAGCGTAATCGCTTTTTCGATGAGGAGGCGCGCGGTTTGCTGGATCTGATGGACGGAGAGTCGGGAAAGGAGGTTGGAGGCTAGGAGGGAACTATAGCCTACTGTGCAGAGGAGAACATCGATGCCTGAGGGAGTACTGACGAGTTTGGAGAGGTGATTGAGTACGCTATCGGTTTTGGATAGGTAGAGAGGAAGCCATCTCTGTAAGGCTTGTGGTGTGGGAATCTCTGGGGGAAAAGGTGTGGAGATGGGGAGAGGAATGGCGGATGCGGGGGAGGTTTCTGCGGGTGGAAGTCCGGTGATTTCGGACATGATGGGGTGATGGGGTGATGTAGATGTATAAATATGATATATAGAAAGATATATAGTTTTAAAGTATATAAGAAGTATGTAGAAGAGAAGTAAATTTTACTTAAGCTTTTGGGTACTTGGAATCTGGGATGGACAGGAGCATGGATAAGATGTTACGGGACAATACCGAGGCTCGGAGCTTGAGCTTGGTAGCTTTTAGCTTTGTTGAAGGGTAAAGCTCGGCTGTTTTATATTGATTTATATTGATTTCGTAACCTCAAATCAAAGATGAACATGAATGAATTATTTCGAATTCCACATCCACATGGCAGATGAAAGAAAGTGGATGAAGTGAGTGGTGACGAGAATGATTACGTGTATTGATTATAGAGAGTAGGAATGACTACTGAGCAAGCTATGATTCAATCATTACTAGTAGGAGATCCTGTTTGTTCGAGTCATATTTGGACGATTGTTGTTTCTCAAACTCTACTCTCTACTCTCATCCAATCCATACAAGTTGGTTATACTGAGATATCTGGGAAGGATCAGGTAACAAGTGAGTATCGAAGCATTCTACGAAGCTATTGGCCTTTCGGAAAATTCACTATTGGGGTGTCATTCCATGAGGAAGTATATTTCGCAACATTTCAGACTCACGTTTTGAGACAGCACCCTACAAAATCACATCAAATCAAGTCAGACTCTAATAGATTCAACGCTGCATTGCTTTTCAAAATCCCTAATCGCAATAAACACTCAAATTCAAAGATCTAGACTCTAGTCTGCAGGATCGTTGCAATTACCATCGTAAATACGATAGAATGCAAAGTCACCCAACCGGGAAGTCTATCTATACGGAAAACGAGATAATAACCAGTACGAAGCAGACTCATCTGAGCCTCAAAAGCATCGCCAGCAACAGCCTCTCCAGTTTCCCACGCAAATATCCTCCAAGTCCTTCTATCCACTACCTGCCATATTCGAATATCATGCAAAAAGAAAAGTCCAACGACTCTGGCCTGTAGCCTATCTATTCCAAAAATTATGTACACGAACAACCTCCATTGATCAGCCTATACACGCTCCATTGCCGCAACGGCATCCAACTTTGCCAATTCCGCTTGCAATTCCTCCAATGGTTTGCCCAAACCCCATTCACGCATCGCCAGATTTGGCCTTAAAACCATTCGGAAAAATCTTTGATGCTGCAAACATTTATGATCCCATTTCTCCGCTTTGACATCATAGCCAACGCCAGCGGCGAACCATTGGAGTAAACTGACTTCCGGCCAATCCGATGTCAGATTCGTAGGACAGACAAAGTAACGATGAGATTCTGTCTTGCCGTAATCTTGCCGTGAGGTGATGTGAATCACGTATGTTGGAGGAGGACTGGTAATGAGTGGATTGTTGATTAGGTTAGATGGGGAAAGAACACGTTGAGGAATGAAAGGTTCCGGCTTTGTTTGTGTCCAATATGGTGCTTGAACGGTTCTGAAATCATCGAAGGAAACTTCGGCGAATGTTTCGGAAGAGGTTGAATATCGGGATGGTTCCAAATTTCCAGTGAGAGTTAAGGGTTGATATGGCCCAGATGCCTCGATGGTTGTCGGAGATTGAAACGACCCATATGTTCCATTAAGAGCTGGGGAATGTGTTGGTTCAAATGTCCAAGGAGACTTTGGGTATCCAGATGTTTCAAGTGGAGTCAAAGATTGCGCAAGTGGTTGCATTGCTTGATTAGTCGGACGTGATCTCCATTCGGGAATTTTTGAATCAGTGATGCTTGATCCAAGATTGGGCACTCCTGATGAAGGAAGGGCAGTCACCCCATTTCTGAGAAATTCTATGAAAGATTGCCCAAGTCCGGAAGACACGGAAGTCATCTTGGAGCTGGCTTTAGAGGATGGTGCTGAAGATGGTGGTGTCATCAGGTCTGATTCAAACACGTTGCTTTTTGAAATAGAGTGAAGACCAGAGCATCTTTGGGCTATGATTGGTCTAGGCGGTGTAGTAGAAGGAGAAAAGGGAGGAGAAGAGGGCAAGGTGAATGCACTAGTGAATGCCGATGAAGGGGTGGGAGTTTTAATGCAAGCCAATGAAGGAGTTGGAGCTCGACTTGTCATCGTTTGATGATCAGGATTATAACTTCGGATCATATCCATGAGCGCCATGGAAGCATTATCGGATTCTTCTTGGACCGAGATAGCTGCTGCATAAATTTCAGCAGCCTGACGTTGAATTTCAGCAGCCTCATGAGCTTGGAAAAGCTCAAGTTCTCTAGCTGCTGATATCCGGGCTGCGAAATTGAGAAATGATTGATAGATCGCTTTGTGATAGTGCTTATTTGGATCATGGTAAGGTTTGTCGGAGTGCCGAGTATCGACTTCAGTGCATGACTCGCAGCAGAATACGTTATCGGGAAGTGACATTGTAACGGGATAGTGAGTCAGGGTTGACTGTCACGAATAATATGGTGATGGATATAAAATATCGAATATATGATATGTGCGAGTAATAGAATATAAAATAAAGGTAGGAAAGATAAGTTAGTTTATTTTTGTTCTTGATTTGAGAAAGTTTGATTGAAGCTAAGTGGCTTGGGAGCTCAAGTTGATCGTTCTTGGGTATTTCCGTGGTATGTAAGAGGGAGGAAGTTCACAAGGATCAAACCATCTAAAGACACTCTTATAAAAACCGAAGTGTAAGAACAGTGGCTCGTGAATCATTGTTTCCGCGGTGGTGGAAAGCGGATGAGGGAACTGCGCCACGGCATTCACTCTTGTAGGGTGGAGATGCAGTAAACATTTTCGAGGGGAATGACCTAGTTTTGAGTGGTGGAGAGGAAATTCATTTTTTCTGCTTGATGATTCATAAATGATGATGATGATTTGGGGAAAGGAGTAGAGAGGTAGAGAAGTATGGGTATTTGGTGCAGGTGATATATGGAGGTTATGAGGTGAGTTACGCATATATGTGTGTGTGAATTGATACTTATAGGATGGTATTATACACATCAGTTACACTTTATAAAAACATAACAATACTTACAATAATTCCCTATGGCACTCTTCCTGTGCATTGAGCTTGTATCTCTCTTGTATGTATGTATCTATCTTGTTATCCTCACGTTCTCAACAATAACCTTGGAAGATTATAAGTGTAACTTCCAAGGTTCTTCTAAACAATTTCTCAATCATGATCACGAGCATTTTCTCAGAAATTCTATTATAATCCGATGTCGGATATTTATCTATAGGTAGAAGGTAGGTAGGTAGGTAGGTAGATATCTATTTATATCTATTCATATCATTCTCATCACATCATATTCGTATTCATATTCATATTCACCATCCCTTAAATTTAAAGTCATTCTTCTCTTTATTTCTTTAATCATTTGAGTAAGTTTAAGCTTATATTCTATATTTTATTTATCTATATTTATTTATTTACAATTTAAGAGTAAAGAATAAGATAACTAAAAAACCTATACTCGGATCTTTGTTTATAGAGAAGATATTTATATATAGATATATAAATATATAATAAATCCACTAAGATCTTCTAATATGGGATCAGATTAGAACAAGAATATCTCATCATATTCTAGAATCTTAAAGAGCTCGAGGTGGATGGTGTGGATGGTATAGGTGGTGTGTATATAAAGAGTAATTATTACTAATTAGATTTTCTATATTTTGAAGCTTGGTTGGGTCTAGTTTATTATAATTTATTGTAGAGTGTATGTAATCTGAAGAATCGGCAGAATCTGGAGAATCTGGAGGTCAAGTAGGCTTTTGGTTATGGGGGAGTTTGGGTGGGGGTGGTGATTTGTTTGGTTTGAGGGGACTTTGGGAGGGAGGGAGTGGTTTTGATGGAGGGTTATAGGGGGTGGTGGGATGGTTATGGATGGATGAGGGATGGATGAGGGATTGAGGATTAGGGATTATATAGTGAAGGGGATTGAGGGATTGTTATTGTTGTTGTTGTTATTTTTGACGTTACTGTTCTAGTTGGGTTGGGTTAGTTTGATTTGATTACTTCTTGAATTTTTCTATCTATAAGAAAAGAAAAAAAAATAACAATAATAATAATACATACTATAATATAATAACTAATATCCAATTATCACCATCGAGTCAACGCTAACTCTTCCGCGTAATGGTTATTTTCACTTATGTTATATTTCATTGCTCGCTCTATTACATTGTTACTTTCTCTAATCCAGGACCAAAAACAACCACAAGTCCATACCCCCTGACTTCAAGCGAGAATCTTGATTACCGCCACTTAATATGTAAGATTATAATTAAGTGTTACGATTATCCGAGTTTTTGAGTCTATTTATTGTTATCTGTAATGGATTATTGTTACTACCAGTAGGTAGGTAGGAGGTATGGGTATCATTTTCCTATGGGGGATGTATTTGCTTCATGTGTGTATAAAATATAGTACTCATTCTATTAGACTTATATTTGTTTTTATGAAGGAAATATAAATATAAAATAGTTCATGATCTATACATCTTCCTGGGGTTGAAATTTAATTTCCAACTTTTAGATTCATATATAATAATTACCTGGTCAAGCGGCCTGTCAATAAAAAGGTACTTTCATGGTTTGAAAGGAGGGCAGGGAGATTTAGTATTAAAGGGATGAAGTTGATAATCGAGGGGCTCAAAACTTTCTGACTCATTTATACACACACCATCAATCAATTAATCAATATATAACTGATTTATTCTCCAAGACAAAGACTGCCATAATATAGATATATCAACTTGAGATATAAAATTTAAAATTTAAACAATGCAAATGAAGAACCCCACAGAAACCCGCATACATATATGACATGCCCACACATTCACACTCTCAATTTTATCAACTCCTATTTATTTCCCCACCGGAAAAATTATCACCCAAAAATGAAAAAAGGGGTAAGTAAAAATGGCAAAAATCTGATTCAGATATCGGAATGCCCGTTCTAGGAATCGAACCTAGGATCTCATCATTACTAGTGATGCGCTTTACCGCTAAGCCAAACGGGCTGACAGAGTTGTATAATTAGTTGATACGGATGAGAAAGATTCGGTATATTTTCCAAGGTTGAAGAACCCCACTTGAGTTTCTTTGCCAGATGGTGTGGGGAACGAGGTTTTGGCGAATATGTGGATACTTGTGAGCTCGAGGTGGATAGTTGAAGGTGTGATGAAAAGGGATGGGAGTTATTCTGTAAAGATACCGGCTTGATTCAAGTTTGGTAGTTGGTGGTTGTGGTCATTGTTGGAAGTAGAATAGAGGCAGAAAATGCAAAGGTAAACTTAGAGAAGGATATAAATATAAATCTCGCCGCGAATTCAATCACACGCGTTTGCCATTTTCAGTATAATTTCTTCAATATTATTGTTCCTAACAAAAATTGAGTTTTTGTAGACTTAGGACCCAGCTGAGGAAACTACCAAGCAATATTTAGAAAGCTGTAGTGTCAGCATCGCATTCCATAGAATACACTGCTAAATACAGACTCATGACGGGAATCGAATATCAGGCCTTGCATCACAATTGAGTGGTACACCCGTGCATACAAAATGTGAAATACACTCCGTTGAACAACTAGTTCCATTGTACCAACCTTACATTGGAAGGTATAGGATATTGTAGAATAGATCTGAACTTTGCAGTCGTTTCCTTGAATCGAACATATAAAACAACGAAATAAGTAGTTTCCATCAAAGATATTCTGGGTGGCATAAGTCTCGTTGGTATATGGCGAAGAACAGATATATTTTCCTATCGTGCCAACAGCTCAGAAGATGCACTAACATCCTCGTAGCAGAGTTGAGATTTTAAGAAAATTTGTTGATTTGATTCCTGTTATTGATATTGAAACTTCCGGGATTTAGTCTTGAGTTTGAGTATGAGTAGAGCTCTCAGAACAGCCGATTCCGTGGTTGCCCCTGCCGTTATTTTTTATTCTAGTAGTTGGGCTCAGCTCCTTTCAAAATGATAAAAATCGGAATGGCTCAGCTCACTCTCTGATATGCTGGAGTGAACATCTGATTCTATTGAGAAAGCACGCTAAGCCAGCTTGAAATACTCCAGTAGACATCTTCATCAACACCATCTCATCCTTCAATTTCATTTTACAATCATCAATCCATTAGTTAATATCTGGGTAGAAGTATCTAACGATTGAATATCGAATTGAGTATTCTTTGAAATGCACATCCTTGCCATGAGGAAAAATCTCATTTTGGGATTACACTATATAGTACTACGTACACTGTCGTGTGCAGGATGATTATTCTAAGTGCAGTTTGCTAGAATATATTGACAAGAAGTTAAATCTCACGAATTGTACAATAGAAAAGCTTCAATCCTTTGTTTGAGTTAGCTCTACAGGTATTTCTTTTATATGTCGAGCAAGTCCCTTTGTATCGTTTCCACCGCTTGCGGGCTTTCACCAGCTTTGAAAATAATTTCAAAGTACCCTTTGTCTCATGCAATACATTTAGCCTCTTCAAACAGCACTGTACTTTTTCGAGGCACCAAATACCCTGAATACCTGTATAAATTTTGGAACTTAAGTACGCTTTCCATCATGGCCGCTCCAGAAGATCCGATCAAAAATGATGCCGGGTTTGCAGAGTGGAGGAAAACTGAACAAAATTGGAATCCTCGTTTGGGAGACAATTGGAGATTTAAAGAGCGGATTGCCACTACTGATACTGCGCTTATTGCCCATTTTGTTTACGATGAGGAGCAAGCTAAAAAAGATAAGAAGATTTGGTATGAACAGAAAGAGGTGAAAATTAAGAAAGCAAAGGAAGAGAGGGAAGAGAAGGAAAAGAAGAAAGCCGAAAAAGCGGCAAAGAAGGAGGGAAAGAAGGGGGAAAAGAAGGGGAAAAGAAGGGGGAAAGAAGGGGAAAGAAGGAGGAGGAGGAGGAGGAGGAGGAGGAGGAGGAGAAGGAGGAGGAAGAGTATTATGGCGCTCCTCACACTGAAAATGTGGTCCTCAAAATCAAATATCTACGAGCAGATGACAGACCAAATCGACCCAATGGCTATCCACAGAACTACGACGGAGACAAGCATGAATGGCAATTCCTATACACGCTCTCTGGATGCTATCCTAGCGAAAATTATCCCGAAAAGACCAGAATACCTCACCGCCCCCAAAATATTGTGAGGCACTTTCGTTCTCAATGGCTCAAACCACCAGACGCACCAGGACAGTATGAAATAGCATTTTTGGAATACTGTCCAGGAGTTGAGTGGAAGGGAAAAAATCATTATAATTTAGAAGTTTTTGATAGGGATAATAGTGGCTTTATTCATGAGCTTGATATATGGCTCATTTTCAGACAGTTTACAAGGATGATATTAATGTTAGACTGTGGTACTGAGATCTGGACAGAAGAATCGGAAACGACTGATAGGTTGGCAGAGTGGGAAAACACGGAGATCTGTCATTATAATATAGAGCCGAGGAATAGTAAGTCTTTCCGTTGGAACTTGGGGAGTGATCTCTGACGTGATGTAGTTTTGATTGGATATAAAAATAAGGAAACAGATCGTATACCTATGCTTAAGGTATGTATACCGTGTTAGCATCCAAAGATCAAGGAATAACAAACTTCACAGCTTTGTGATTTTGGCGACGCACTTCACGTTCCTCATTTTCGTGCCCAAGAAGAAATTGGGCGTTACAGGTTCTCAAATGTACCAAATGGCCGGATTGGCTACCGGGCCCCCGTGAGTTAACAGCCTCCCGTTTGTATTTGTGCAGCACACTTACAATCTCACTAAGGAAACAGCCATTGCTACAACCGAGCATGTATATCCATTCCGCCATGGAACATGTAGCAATATATTCCAATTCGCGAATATCATCCGTCTTCTCATGCACGGAAACCAATCATCTGAGTTGGATTTGCATCCGGAAAAGGACAAATGGGTTGTCAAAATTTAGGGACTATTCGAAAGACAGCCCGGCGACATATGGTCGCTCTCTTGTATATGGCGATCACGAAATACCAGGTGTTACATATAGCAATTATTTAATCGATCTCGTCATGAAATGCATGTACGAAAAGCCCAGCCTGCGACCTACTGCGAAAACTCTCTGGTACTTGGTCCGAGATGGCTACAAGGCTTGCCACAAAGAACTCGAGTCCGAGAGACCTAATGTACCCGAAGAATCAGACGAATCTATCGAAGACGACACCGAGGAAGAAAATGCCAAGAAATCCCGTAAAAAGAAAACAGAAGAGCCATACCCACCCCTCCACCCCATATTCCAACAAGCCCAACTAGCCCCAGAAGGCTTCCGCGAACCAATGCCCGAATGGATGGACGACTTCAGCCAAAGATTCGACAATTTCACCTTCCCTCGCACCCCGCGATGTCCCACCCCAGAATACAAAGGCAAAGCACACCTACAACCGGACCTGTACCTCGGCGACGACCTCCCCTTCGACGACCGCACAACATACCCCGCCTCACGCCCACAAGTCCCTCCGCGCTATCCCGACGGTTTCCCCATCGTAGACGAACGTCCCAGCATCAATATCCCAGAACAATACGGTGATCACCCGGGTAGTATCACGAGGAATTGCGATCTCCTCCGCTATTATGATCGTTTGGGTCATATGTGGATGGGCGAGGAGAAGTACTGGAAAATGTTAGAGGCGGGTCTGGATCCCCAGACTTATAGCTGGGGAATGAGGATTCCGGATCCCGAGATGGATGTTGATGTTGGGCCTATGAGTGGGTCGGAGGCAGACGGGGACGGGGAGGAAGACGGGGATGAAGATGAGAGTGAGGCTGTGCATCAAAGTCCTAAGGCTACGTTTAGATTTGTTGAGGATGCGGGATGTCCTGGTGGGGTGTAAAGTTGAGGTGAGGAGTACTCTGTATGATGATGATGATGATGATGATTGGGTTAGCTTGGGATCATATTCTAGTTGCGTATGTTTTAAACAGTTGCTGATTTGTTGCAGTACATACCTAGTACCGTACCTGTAGTGTCCTGATGCTCATGTGAAGAGGAACCAAATATGTATCAGATCTTACATAAATATATTTCAAAGTTTCAAAATAAGAATACCATCATCCATGTGATAAAAAGAAAACCTACTCTCTTCTCTAATCCGTCTATAATGACTACTCTACTCTTAAGCACCACTCAATCACTCACTTAACAAACAAATAAACCATCAATCATCAACTCCAACCATCGACTATTAACCATCAACCAAGATAAGTATATCTCCTCGCCTTCTCTGCCTTTCCTCCAAAAATAGCATTGAGAGCCTGTTCCAAACCAACACCATCATATCGCATACCCGCAGTTTCATCTTTACCTATCGCGCTTATAATATCCTCACGACTCACATTTCCATTCCCATTCTCGTTCCCATTCCCATTCCCGTTCCCATGCCCATTACCATTTCCATTCGCAATATTTCCCTGACCCATGTCATCTACACTCTTGACGGCATCAATCAAGGGATTCTTCAAAATAACACCCGCACCCGCAACTTCAGGTTCAGCTCTCCTTCCATAAACCCTCACAGCTTCAATGCCCAATTTCTTCAACTCCGTTCTATCTACAGCTGGTGTACCTGGCCCTTCTAGATATACTACGTGGGTGATGTATTTTTTCCATTCTTCTTCTGGTATCTTATGTTCGTGATCTTCTTCTTTTCCATTTCCACAACATCCGCGAACAATCGCCTCTATGAAATCTCGTGCCGTGTATCCTGGAGTCTCACGATCTAAACATCCGTTTAATATAAGAACTTTGAATTTAATTCGCGGGTCTGCAATCGCATTGCCTACATCCCTCAGAACGAGACAGGGCAGAATAGATGTGTAGAGTGAACCGATACTATATATAACACAACTGGCATCGTTCAAGGCTTCTAAGACTTTAGTATTAGGCGCGGGTCGGATTTCTTGGCCGTATGGATTGATGTACCAGATTCGTTCGATTGGGGAGGAAAGTTCCTCGGTGTGTGATTTTTGGAAATCTATATTTTGTTTACGGAGTGTGGGAAGAGAGCCGGGGAGGTTGGCGTCTTCGATTCTGTCGTGTTCTAGGAGGTCGATGGATTGTCGTTTGTTCCATGTGGCTGGGCTAACGGGTTGGGTGGGTACGAAGGTTGGGGCTATGGGATGGGAAATATTGTTTTGTCCTACGATTATTGTACCTGAATGTGAATTTGTGTTAGAGACTGCATTGCCTGACGGAGATTTCGTGGATGTCCTACCATCTCGTAATCCTGCTGATATATGATATGAAAAGTTACTGTTAATAGCAGGAATCACCTCAACATTGTCTTTCACACCAGTAATGCTACCTAAAAGGTAAATTGCCGCCTCAAAACTTCCCGTGAAGATACGAGCACCTGTCAAGAACAAATTGCCAACAGAGGCTGATTGAAAATTGAAGACAGAGGTAGGACGAGCTCGCTTGACTATCTCGAGATTGATAGTATTGAGAAAGGATCGGATTAATTCCCGCTTCGCAGAGGTAATTTCACTCCATAATGGAGAGTGGCCTTCAACTATGGCTAGCCATTCATGTTTGGCTTCTTGGGGTGAAGGGTCGAGACGATGGTTGAAGAAGGTTTTTAGAGCAGATTTCTCGGTGTTGGCTCCGATTGGGTCTTCTGGGATGAGACGGACTAGTCTACCTACGAAGGCGGTTAGTTTTTGTTTGGTAGGTAGCTAGCATTGTGTGGTTGTCATGAGCTCGATAAATTGACAACGCGACTGCTCGAGATATGTAGCACGTGACCAAATCCATCCCCATACATAGGGGTCATCTTGAAGTCTTGGAGGATTTGATAAGGGCCGACTTGTCCCCAAATAGCTCTAAGACACAGTTCAATCGAAGGATATGAAGTAATAACATACTTCTCACATCACCAATACCAGGACCACCAAAGACTCGAATAAGTTCAGAAGAAGAGCCTCCATTATCACTAATAGGGATGATACTGAAGAAGATTAACCTCGAGTTCATCATATATCTTCTGATTAAGGTGAATTTGCACTTACTAACTCAAAGAACAAGCCCTATCTTCAGCGACTTTCCCAAATACATCCACGAGACTGTTGGCGGCACTTCCGCCAGAAAATACGACGATACGACGATTCATGGTTGAGACTCGGGTTGGAATTTTGATCTTGAAGGGATGATATTTGAGTTTTTGAACTCAAATTTTGGAATAGGAAAAGAAGAAGAGCTTTACTTGTAACATGTTGAGAAATTTGAGAAATGTGATGGTGAAGAGGGATGAAATGAACCGATTTCGGGACACGTTGTAGTTTTGTTCTTGTTCTTGGTGATGTGATGTGATGTGATGTGATGATATGTCGGGGGTGGTAGGCGGTGCTTGAGAAAATGAAAGGACGGCAGATATCAATGAGAAAAGCGAATCGCACCTACCTAGCTACTACTACCTAATACCTACTGCCTACCTTCCTAGTATATCATATTGTCGGATAAGTAATTGTCGATAAAATAATCAAAGACTTGATATGTTGTATAAAAGTTTACTTATAGCTAGGTAGGTAGGTAGGTAGGTAGGTAGGTAGGTACTAGGTAGTATAATTATAATTACTAAATGGTAAGACTTAGCTAGCAGCCTTGCCAACTCCTTTTCTTCTTTCTTTCTTCTCCGTAAGGTTATAAGTTACTCGGTACCGTTAATTAATCGATTAATCAATTAATTGCACATGGGTATTTCACGTATGGAATATTCCAAATCCACCGGTCTTAGCTAGGTAGTTAGGTAGTTTGGTAGTTTACCTACGAAGTCCTCACTTGGGTCCTCTCAGTAGGCAAGTACTCTCATTAGTACTCTTAGTACTCTTAGTACTCTCACCACTCTCACCACTCTCACCACTCTCACTGCTTCCTCATTTTGACCAATACCGTGGATTCGATGAGACCCTACATAACCCTGGCCAAGTTTTGATATCGTCATTTTAAAGTCGCTCCAATTTGTTTACGGAAGTCGAAGTGTGAAACATAATTGGAACATATGGATATATGGACATCTATTCTAGAACATGTATAGAAACAATTTCAAGCCTTTGTAAGATCTTATTACTCCCTACATAGTGCTGTACAACCTATCGCCGAGTTGGATCTTATCTCCATCCCCCTTTGCGTCCCCACCAACGGGTTATCATGATCAAATTCATCCAAGTTCATCATCATCTCCGCCGAATGCATATCCATCAAAAAAAGTAGCATTATTGATGAAACGTAGACAAAAAGATTACCGTGTCGTATCCGCACGGCTTCATCATATTTGGAACGAATAGGGTATTCATTGTTCATTCCTCATTCCTCATTCCTCATTCCTCATTAGCTATTCACAATTCACAATTCACAATTCACCGTGAAAGAGGGTAATCATCAAAAGCTCTTGTGATAATTACGCCAGTACCTAGGTATCTCTCTACATATATCCATCTCCACGTACAAAGCGGAAGTATCTCCTTATTATTTTATTAGTCTGGAAACTACCACCAAAAGCCCAAGGAACGGAACACACCAACCAACAACTGACTGGTGGACTTACTTGCTTGATCATCCCTATCTTCTACTAGCACTTTACTATTTTAATCAATTTTGGTAGCTTCCTTTAAGTTACGCAATAATGTTAACGGCACAATCGGGAAATTCCAATTAGACACATCGAGCTCAATTTGCCCTGATTCCCCACCCAAAACTTCATTTGTTTCTCAGTAATGAAAGCGCGCGAATGGAATTTATTCTCTTGCTAATGCCAGAAGTTCCTTTATTAGAGGAAGCTTTCGGATTATCTACTCATTGCCTTTACGGAAGTACACGCACGAATGGCGCTTTGCGACTGACACTTTGAGTTGCCATGGCATTGTTAAATCCCACCTTCATCTTTGGGGTGATAGTTCTACTATACCTCTCATCCTTCATCCTTTTCGCCATAGTACGAATCGTTACGGGCATATCCATTCAGCGCATCGGTTACTTTTCCCTGAGGAGACTTGCATTTACCCCGAAAGATGGTATCAAGATTGAGATTCGAGGGTTGGGACTAAATATCCATCGTCCTACCTTCGCAGAACCGACATGGCTCAGTGTTGTTTTGACAGAGCTGGCAGTTACATTGGATTTGAAGGTTTTGGATGGAGATAAAAAGGCACGTGGCCCTGAGGGAAATGAGGTTGTCGAAGAAGAGCAGGATGGCTCAAGTCGCAAAGGCGAACCAGACAGCAAACCACTTCCTAGAGATGCTACCTCCTTCGAGCCGCAGCGCAGCAAAATGTGGGAGCAACTTACAAGCATCAAGGAGCGATTCAAACGCCTACATCGCAACATAAATTGGATTCAAATGGTGGACGTCGTGGCTTCGAACTCATCGGTGACCGTGGTTGATGTTGGCAATATACAGTTAGGAAGTTTTACAATGGCAGTGGATACAAGGAGGAAAGCGGTTGATCGTGGGAGCATGTTCACACATGTGAAGAACGCCAACAGCAATCAGCAACCTGCAGAATGGATGCTGACTATCCGCAGCGTTCTGTTCACGCCGGAAGGAGGCCAGTCTTTAGAAGTACTGGATCACCTTACGTTGAATATAAGCGGGATACTATACAAGGAACTCGATGGTTTGCGGCAGGCAGCAGTTGCCCTTAAACTGGGCCGAGTTCATATACCTTATGATGACATAAATGCATGCATAGACAAATATAAGGGTTGTCGCAAGCTGCGCACAATCAAGGACGGAAAGCCTGCACCGGAGGAGACATCTGTCGCAAGCATTATTGGGGAGCTTGAGAGACCTGGAAGTGAGGAGAAAAAACTTGTACAAACAGTATCGGATTCCAAGGAGTTTGCGAGCTCCATTCTTCGGGGTATAATCGAAGTACAATTTGCAGTCAGCTACATTGGATTCAGTAAGAAAATCACCTCAATACAGCCCTCAGGTTCACCAATGTATCTCAATGCTTCCATGAAGGAGGTTGGGGTGGATCTACATCGTTTAGACCAAAAGTCCCCGGCCCACCGAATGTACTTTTCCTCGAAGGATATAGCTCACCAGGCTCTTATTGCTGCTCTCTCCATCTCTGTCGGAGTCGATGATGGTCGGGGAAGATCCGACAGACTAGTCTATGTTCCAATGGCAACTACTACAATTCGAACTACTTCTTTATCGAAAACGGTCCAATTTGCTATAGATAATAGTGTAGATGAGCGCAATGCGAATCTTTTGTTTGCTAATGCCGTTGTTACATCACCCTCCATTGACCTTGATCCAAGACATCTTCCTCTTGTTCTAGCCATGGCGAAGTCTAATCCGAAATCGAAATCGAAGAAAGATGCGCCAGAAAGACATACACTAATGTCTCGTTTATTACCAAAAGCTAATGTCAAATTCTCGATGCACGAGCCTGTTATTCGAATTTCTCTGCCTCCCGTTGAAGATACGGCAGCCGAGGATGATTTCGATCTCATCATATCTTCCATATCTTCTATATCTCTGGATATAGAATCTTCACATTCAGCGGTAGGAGAGTTGCATTATAGTCTCGGTTCTACGTTGCGACTACAGTCCCATGATCTCTATTACCAAACATGCTCCGGATCTCGATTTGACTTGCTTCAAATCGAAGCGCTCGATCTGAAAGTCTCAGTCAGTGCCAATCCAGAAGTTTACGTTGTCGCCACGGGTAATGTCCAGACATTTTCGGTACATTTGATTCGATCAGAGATCAGTGATGGTGTCCGCCAAATTGTTCGTCAACTCAGGCTCAATGTTGAACCAGATAAGAAACCTCATTCTAGAACTTCTCGAGACCCAAATTTCATCCGGGCGTTACCTCCTTGGTTGCTGCACTTCCAGCTCCAGGGCTCTGATTTCAGCGCCGAAGTAGCTGGAATTGACGAATCGATAGCAGACGATACACGTGGTGTTGCAATTCAGCTGGAATCCTGGACGGCCGAGTATAGAGCCCAAAAAGTTGAGCCTAACGAACGACGGACTCGTCGTCGTGCAGGAAGTCGTTCTCTTACTCCCGATCCTGAGATATTTCTTACAATGCCTCCATCGCCTAGGAAAAGGCGTGATCAAAATCCAACTGATGGCAGGCGTTTAGCTATACACGGTCGTGGCCTTGAGTCGTTTGTCGTCGAATCATCAGAAAAGTGGGAAGGAGAGCCTTTTGTCTCGATTCCTAAATTTGAAGTCGCTCTTTCCACTTCGAGTGACAATCAAGGACCTATATTCCATCTCAATTCGCATGTGAAAAGCGTCTTGGTGCAATATTCATTATATCGACACTATGCGTGCGGTGTAGCTTCAACTGTGCTCAGGAAGGCCTTTGTTCGCACATATGCTGATGTTGCGGAAGCCGAAGAGGCGGCACGTGCGACAGCGTCGTCGAGGAAATCTGATCCTTCTACACTTCTATCGCCGGTGACTTCCCCGGGAGGATTTGCTTGGCCTGGACAAGATGATCAGGAGTTCAATTTCGGAGCCAAAGAATTAGTCACCATAGATTTTAGATCTACTTTAATTCAAGTTAAGGCACATTTGCCATCGGACCCCAAATTAATGCTACAAATATATGGAGTCGATGCTGGCCGCCACAGATGGTCAGCACCCTTCCTCCATGCTAAGCTTGTTCGTTTATATGCCGAGGCTCCACAAATGAAGAGAGTATGGGCCAGAATTGTCAGTATCAGATCGGCGAGAGTTGACTTTCGTGAGAAACGTCAGATGCGTAGCTCCGGTGAGATGCATGAAGAAAAGACGATAGATATTACAACCAATGCCATAAGGCTGGCGGTGCCACATCAGCTCATTTTTCACCAAGTTATCGATAACGTTGTCAACACACTCAAAGCTGTGGAACAACTCCATCATCGCATCAAGACAGGTACTAACGAGTACATCCTCGACAAACATCCAGAGGGCCCCAAACTCATCCCGAGGTTGTCAGTACGTAGCAAAGCATTGCTTTTTGAGTTAGAAGATGGAGCTTTTGAGTGGAAGTTGGGTGCCATATACAGAGCTGGTTTGATTGAGCAGCAGCAACGCTTGGCACGAGAAGCGGCGTTTGACGTGAAAGCAAAGAAGATTGAAGAGGAAGAAATGCGTAGAGATACCCAGCGTTACCGAAATAGGTCGGCGCACCCTCGTGGTCGTAGCAATAACAAGGAAGATTCCCCAAGGCGACACAAGAGTGCGGGCGATGATTTGCCAGAAGAGCGTTCGCCTAGAACTCAACGAGGTCGGAAGTATCGCTACGATCCTGAAGGAACGAGCGGCATAAGTGGAACGGCAAATATATCAATATCTGAAGCTCACGACAGGCTCCGACGTCACAATGCTCAGAGCTGGAAAAGACGTATTGACAAGGTTTACGCCATTGCAAAGGATGGCATGAAAAACCTTCGTGGCGTCTTTTGGGGACCTGACGAATTACCGGACGATATGGAGGAGACCGAAAATATACTGGAAGTTCCACAGCGGCCAGCATTGATGAGCACTTTGATAAGTGACCTTCACATCACGGTCGACAAACCATCATTTCCTATGGATCAGCTTCCTGACTTTCTCCATAAAATGGGGAAAGGTATGCCTCGCGACATGCAGTACTCCCTCCTAGTACCGATGAATGTTCAAATCGATATGGGGGAAGCACGAGTAACGTTACGAGATTATCCATTACCTCTGCTGCATGTACCTGCAATCAGACCCGGGCAGTCACCAAGGATACCAGCTTGGTCCCTCAAAACAGATTTCGTCATTGCTGAGGAGTTCCGAGGTCCCGAGTCTATTCGTCATATAAAGGTCGATATCATTCCCCCTCTCAATCGTGGGCCAGGAATGCCCAATATAGGAGGATTTGCCATAGATGTGCGCAAGACAGTTACACCTGTCAAATGTTATTCCAATATAAATGTCAACATTAATACAGAGTTACCTACTCGCATAACTTGGGGTGCTTCTTATCAACCTGCAATTCAAGACATGATGATGGTCATTGAGACATTTACGAAGCCACAAGTCGATCCTTCAGAACGAATTGGATTCTGGGATAAGCTTCGTCTCAGCTTCCACTCCAAAATTGATATTGCATGGAAGGGAGATGGCGATGTTCATCTCACATTGAAGGGAACACGAGATCCTTACATTGTCACAGGTGATGGTGCCGGGTTTCTTATGTGTTGGCGAAGCGATGTACGAGTGAGCGTTTGCCGAGATGACGATCCACGCAAATTCATCACAGTAGAAAGTGGTGAATATATTCTCGCCATACCAGACTTCAGCCATCAAGCTCGGGTCACTGCCTCGGAGCATAATGATAGCGATAGCGTTGTGAGCTCCGACAGCTTCAGGCACGGTGCAATCTTCAAGAAAGTTGTCATGAAACTATCTGGGAACGTTCAGTGGTTGGTAGGTCTTATGTTTGAGAGAGATCTCGATGACGGGACACGTTCTTTTGATTTCGAACCACATTATAATGTGGTGACGAAGGAATTACAGTATTGCAAAGCCTCAGCAGGCCAGGAATACGATGCATTCCGAGGCTTCCGTAGTCAACACATCCACATGTCGATAGCAGTCAAAGCACCGGTCGACCGTGAGTGGTCTGTATCAAACACGGAGCCTTCAAGAAGCTATAACACTGTACACCTTACTCCCCGCTTCTTCACACATTTCTTTTCTTGGTGGTCGATGTTTGGTGGCACCATGTCATTGCCAATTCGGCAAGGTGACTTATGGCCAGGAATTGAGAAGTCGAGCAAAAAATTTGGCAGGCATCTTGCCACAATCAAGTACAATTTATTACTTGCACCTTTGTTCCTCAGTCACGTCTACAAACACAAAGATGCAGAGGACTATTCTGAAGATGTTGTATCTGCCACTGGTCTCAAGATGAGACTGGATAGCTTTATGCTCGACATGCATCAACGACGAGAAGAATTTATGACACAAGACAAAGGGCGAAACACCCAAACCACGACGACCGCCATTAAACTACATCGAGCACAGCTAGATTTGCTGTCGGCAGATATCCGTGCCATCTCTGCTAGTATCGCAGGAACGACACCGGAAGATCTTCAAAAGGCTTCTGCTCCTACTCTGGTGTCTCAACTAGAACGAGGTCAGACAGATCTGTCACATTTCGATATTCCTGACAATGATTTTACCTGGATTGACATGGATGATTTCGTTGAGTTGGATTGGATACTTCCAGCCGAAGCAAACCCAGAAACGAAGATTCTGCCACTGGCTTATGCCCCACGTTTCACGTATTTCCGACAAACTGATCATGGTGATAATATCGCCGGTGATCCAGAACGAACCAGTCCTTTCGGCAACGAACCTACACATTTCTGCATCATGAGCAAGGATGATGATCCACGACGAGTTCAATGTCAGCTCATTACTGACCGCTTAGTTCAACTCGATAAACAAATTGACGATCACCAGGAAGCTCTCGAGTCCGCCGAATGGGCATATTCGCAAGACCCGCAAAATTCGTCTCTCAAAGCTCAATACGACCAATTGACCATCCATGGCCCATTTTTGCACAACAAAAAGATCTTCCTGGAATCCATGAAAGAACGTATGATGCAGCGTGTAAACACCAATGATCCACGGACTATTCCTGATGGCGGGGAAGAGGCTGACCGTCTAGGGGAAAGTCCGATTGAAACGGAAGCGATTCATGACGGCCCGCCTTCGGGCGACTTTGTCAGCGATTTTAACAATCGCTTCGTCATCCATAACATGCAATTGAAGTGGAATAACGTATTGCGAAATATAATCCTTCGCTATATTCATCAAGTCAGTCAAAGACGTGGGTTTGTGTACTATCTGTCTCGACGGGCTGTGAAGTTCATACTCGACATCGTCGAAGAACAAAACAAAGCCAAGAATGCCAGGCCAACGGCTGCACAAACTGGGGAGCCTTCAATGAAATCTGCCTCTACAGCTCAAACGCCAGAGGACCCTACAGAGGGTCCAGAATCACAAGAAGTTGAGGATCGTATCAAGGAGATTTTGGCTGACGGGAAAAAATTCGTTAATGCTGATGATCCTCAAGTTCATGAAACCGCGCACCAGGTGTCACCCGACCAACTAAACTCGAATATCACTCCTGAATTCACGCCAGAAAATAGCTATCATGTCCGACTCATCGCACCGCAAATACAACTTCAGAGCGAAAAGAACCTAAAGTCTGTTGTGATGGTAACAGCTAAAGGAATGGAGTTGAAGGTTGTCGAGGTCATGGATAAGCATCGTATGTTTGACGATGTTAGTGGTCTCGTACAACGTCGATTCTCGGTTGAAATGGACAGTACACAATTTTTTGTCACACACCAAAAATGGTTTTCAGCTCAGGTTTTGTCATTGTATTCCGGCAGTCACTACGGTGCTTCCGCTGGGTCGTCTTGGCCTCCTTGGGTACCGATGGAAGTCATGTTCGATTTCCAAGTTGATCCATTTGGATTCAAACGTGTTGTGCAAAAGACCTCTGCCAGCTTACGATACGAGAAATACAACACGCTGCGCCTCAAATATAACGATGAGATCAGCAATGAGAATGACCATCCTTCCGGTCCAAATAGCATGGAGAATCGCATGGACAATTTATGGGTGGAATTTCCCAAGATCCAAGCCATATGTAACTCGTCACAATACTATGCTATGTACATCATTGTGTTGGATCTGCTTATGTATAGCGAGCCTCTGGAAAAGACTAGGAATGAGCGGCTCGAAAAGATTATGCTCGCGTCTGACTTCAGCGACTTGCGCGGGGCTCCAGAGATGGTCACTCGACTCCAAGAACGAATTAGACAGCTTGATGAGATCAAGACGCAATTCCAAATCCATTCAAAGTCGCTTGATAAGAAGGGTTGGGAGGATAGAATCACGCTGGATCGGGATCTTGCAGCCTGTGAAGATGAATTGTTTTTCATGATGAAAGCTATTACAAGTTCTCAGCGAAAGTATGATGGCACACAGGCTAGCGGTCTCTTACGATGGAACATCTCTTCTGACCAGATCGTCTGGCATCTAATTCGTGATAATAACGAACCCTTGATGGAATTTCAAATTCAGCATGCCGAATATGATCGAACCGATAATTCCGATGGTTCGCATATCAATCTGATGCAGATCGGAAACATTGTAGGACTCAATCTGATGCCTGATGCCATCTATCCAGAGATGTTTGCCCCATACTTTGATGTTGAACGAGGAGCATTTAACGAAGGAGGAAACCAACAAATGTTGAGAGTTTACTGGTACATGTTGGAGGCAATTGCTGGTATACCGGTGATGGACCATTTCGAAGTTAACCTTTTCCCAATGAAGATTCAACTTGAACGCGAGGTTGGTAAAAGACTTTTCGAGTACATGTTCCCCGGCCACAACGATGACAAGCCGAATGCCAATAAGACCAAATCTCCGTTCATGGTGAAGAACATGATTCCGGTAGATGATGAAGAGGATAGCAACGACACCACGGGTAACAGTTCAATCAACCTACAGGTCACTGATGTTGATAATGGTGACCCTACCTCGAGCACGCGACCAGGATCATTGGAGCTTCGATTGCATCCAACAATGACGTCCGAATATAGGCCGACAACAGCTTCATCTACCAAAAGTAAAGCGAGCAGTATGCTTTCAGGTTACAGTGGTGATAGCCATCATTTCCGACTCTTCCAATCCAACAAGAATTCTACGGCGTCAAAAGGCTCGTCCACGAGAACGGCAGTTTCAAAGAAGCCTTCACTTGAAAGCTTACAGTCTGGTCAATCATTAAAACCGACCGTGACACGAACAAGCACTAACGCATCAACGAATGAGCAAGGTTCAATAAACGGCGATCCTAAAGGCAAGCGATTCGGTATTCGTGGTCCAGGCAAAACAAGAAAAGACAAGCCATCGGATGACCTGACCAAAATGATGAGTCGTGCATCCGAGTACATGACGCTTGCCTATGTCAAAATACCTAGTGTGGTTCTTTGCCTCAGTTACAAGGGTAAAGGCGAGCGCAATATTGAGGATGTACATGACTTTGTCTTCCGCTTACCCATGATTGAATACCGAAATAAGACCTGGTCAAACCTTGATCTCGCCCTTGCTCTCAAAAAAGATGTCATTCGCGCGTTGATATCACACACTGGAGCCATCATCGGTAATAAATTCAGCAAGCATCGTCCCAACATAGCACAACAAAGTCGCTTGAGAGAACTAGCCACAAGTAGTGTAGTCCTCAGTCAGCCACCATCCACTGCCGATGAAGCATACGAGACTAGCGATACGAGTAGTATTTTCGCCACCAGTCCAACCGAGACCCGTAACTCCGATCGATCATTAAGTCGCCAAACTGACCGATCTAAAAGCGGCGAAAGAAGAAAATCATTCGCATCTAGTCGAAATGGCATAGAGGGTCCAGCAAGTGGCTCCAGTAGCGTTTACTCCGGTGTCTCTCAAGCTTCCAGACCCCCCTATCAAGCGTCTTTTACGATGACGCCGGCGAGTAGGGAATACGACGAGGATACAAGGTCGTTGAGACCATTTAGCAGGAGTGGTGCGGTGGACGGGAATACGATTGAAAGGCCCCATTCTTCCGCCGGCGCGTTTATGGCGAGTACGTTTCAGCGGTTAAAGAAAAACCCGCTGCAACATAGGGATGCAATGAGCAGTAGCCCGAGTTTGATTGAGGGACATGAAAATGGAAACGCAGATGCGAGGGAGACGAATGAGGATGCGAATGTAGATACAGGGTATGAGGCGCCTAGAGGAGGAAGGAAAAAGGCAAAGTCATTGCTTGGGCGATCACAGTGATTGATTTTGAGATTGGAAGGGAAAGGAAAGGAAAATAGGGCCGGAGGAATATTCAATTCTTTGATTGTTACCGCTTTTTTTGTACACTTTACGTGTTCTATCTGTCTAAATCTAGCGTGCATTGCGAGGTGTTTAGATGTTGGCGACTTAGGGAGGAAGGTGTGGATTGGATTTCTTTCCAGGGAGTGGAGGTGTGATTGGGGGTGTTGGGCGAGGTTAACATTTTGATATTACATTACATTACATACATGGGAAACCTTGAACAAGTTCTGAAAAGGGTAGAAGATAGAAAATATTTAATGGGTTAGGAGGGGATTGCGGTATGGAAATGGATGGAGGATAGATGGAAGAAAAGGATTTTGTATCATAGTATGGAGTATAGAATTGAGGTAGATATTAGGTAGATGAGAGAGATATATGAAGAGGTTTGAGTTATAGTGTTGTTTCTTGATGTGGGTGATTGTATGTTGATCGATTGATTGATATATATATTTATGGGTGCTGGTTGGATTGTGCTAGTGATCATGAAGTGTTTAATGAAAGATAGGCTAGTAATAGTAAGCTCCATCCTAGACGGCGGCAGACGGCAGAATAGAAGCGGTGGATAGTATAGCTCCGAGCTACCTACAACTCAGCCTAGCACTGTGCCTAGTAGATTCTTCCGTAAACAAGTCCTGGGACCTCGGGATGTTAGGATATAATCTATTTGAGGGAATATAAGTAATTCAGAGCATTTATCTCGGAATTATTCAAATTTCATCATTGATTGTATAGTAGGTATATCTTCATGTTCAATTTCCTAGTACAAAAGCCCCTCATGTTCTTAGGTACTTACATTTCTAATACACTCCACACACAAATCGCACTTCGAGCCAGCTGGTGAAATATCAAATATGGCACAATCAGTTATTGCAATGGAATAGCATCAACTGTTATCTTTACTTGCTATTGGTTTACTGGCTCGCAGTCTTTCCATTCCTTTCTGTCGTTGCTTGTTTGTTGTCCATCCATTTCCTGTTCCAGTTCACTGCGGTCCAATGAAATCCGTTTGCTCCCTCACCAGTTCTCAGCCTTCCCGACGTTGCAATTGTGTCGCATTTATCCCGTTTGTTCTGTTTGGTTTGCGCCCAGAAAAGTCAGCTACTCCTCTACATACATATAGGCATCCATGAACCTTTGGCACATTCGAGGCGCAATTTATCCAGAGGTACAGAAAACCCCGCCTTCAAAGACGCATCTACCCGTCTGCACGAATCTGCGCGAAACCTGATCGAGGCACAGATAACTTGGATCTCGAGTTTGCAAACGCGCATGCCGGAAGGGGTTTATATATGAAGAAGGGTTTGAAAGAGGTTGCGCATTGTACATTCTTTCAAGGAGAATTCTCACATAATGTCTGCGGCACCGAAGACGCCAGGTTTGGCCGGCAAGATTAGAGCAGATGAGGAGATCAAAGGCATTTACGATAGCCTCAATGGGCGATGGGACTTGGGTCTTCTACAGCAGGGTCTCGATTCACCCGGGAATCGAAAAAGTAGATGCAAATCCTCACAACAGCAATTGGTTGACGAGATCATGTTCAAGATCAGATACCTGTACTACAAGAATCTTGTGTATACTCTTCTTGAATCCTTCAATGCGCAAGCTCAAGGTCTGTACAGTGGATGGGCCTATAAACCTAAGGCTGATCGAGGCGTGGTACCAGAAAAAACACGCCAAAGGCCTCACCCAACTACACCCCACGAACGAATGGAATTGCTACAGTGCTTGGCGTCGATTCTAAATACTGAGTTTGAAAGTTGCCAGTCAAGATCCGCAACACCTAGCTCCCGCGGCTTTCAACAGGGTATCTCAGCGAAAGCTAATGCATCTATCCGCTCTATCCAAAATACACATCCTGACGACAGTCCTGTTGCTTTTCCGTTTAAGTCTGCCCAGAAGCCTGATGGCAAGCGTGTCCTTGAGCCATTTCCCGATATTATCACCAACACCAAAAAGACAAAAGCGCCGGAGAACAAGTCCTCTGGCCGCGAAAGTCTTTCTAAACTTCCACCACTGCATTGGAATGTTTCCCGGCCTCAAAACACAAAGTCGGCTCTATCTAAGATGGTACCGTTGAAAGGGGATGCAACCACAAAGGTGGATACAAGTTTTACTACAGATGTCTCTGTTGTGTTTTCTCAGGGGTATAGTAGCACTCTCGTCAATACTCAATCTACGGCTCCGGATCCAGATCCAGAGCCAGAGCCGGTGACGAAAAAATTGCGTACAGACCCCTTCTCATTGGACGAGCAAGGACCAAAAACACAAAGCTCTGATTTTGGTAGCAGTTTTGATACCACTGAGGCCGATATGGCGTATGCCGAAAGCCTTGGTGCTATGGCTCCATCACAAGATCCACCCAAGTATGATATAATGGATGATTTGGATGATGAGATGTCCGACGAAATGTTAGATGGAATCGTGGATGGCTCTAAACACAAAGATACGGAGAGTTGTTTGAACGAAATGCTGCGTGAGTTATCTTCCATACTCACCTGCAGCGCTAAATACATGGCATGGCCACATTGAAACCAGGGCTACAAGATTGCTAATACCTCATCACAGCTACATTACCGCCTTGTCTGAAAAGAGCTCCATTTTCCGTTAGTTACGAAATTACTCGTGTTTTTCTCTTCGTCCAGGTCCCAATATCCGAATTCACTTCACCATACGTTAAGGCATGGGAAGAATATGACAAACTCTGGAACATGTTGAAAGGTCTCCCCATACTTCAAGGTAAAAAGTTTCCGGAACGATGCCCACCGAAGGTTTGGGACATTGCTACAAAGGGATATATACGTGGTTTCAATGGCATAGTCTTTACCGCGACTTTACGTGAAAACAAAACGGAGTCAGGACCTCTGATCTCATTTCATCTCCAACCCATGAAATTGGATTTGACCAATCGTCTCGAACGTAGGTTTGGGAGTGATAGGTTGATTGAGTTTGCGGTTCCCGATTTGGGAAGTAGGAAACGTGGTTCCACGGCATTCAAAGTAGATACCAATGCATGCGATGTCTTGAAGTCTTGGCTAGTGAATGGTGATCATCAACTGCTGGGTAGGACTTATAAAGCATTTTACCTTACGAGTGGTAAAAGGAAGAGGAAGAGTAGCTTGAAGTCAGACGCTGAGGAGGAAAGTTCCGCCACACCCTATCGCGCCTTTCTCTTTGCAACTGATGGTAATGGTTTTGTTAAAGGAAGTAGAGCGAGAGACCCCCCTCCTCAGGTCCGTGTTCGTATGACAGTTGGGGAAATGTTGAACTATATAAGGCCAACTGCAGAGAATGATCATCAGCCTTATATGAAACTATTTGCGAGAACTGCCTTAGGTAAGATCGACATGTTTTGGCACATCCTAGTTTAGTTTCATGATTTTTCTACTTGCTAATCACCAGACAGTTTTGTCTAGGAATCGTGCTACTGTTACTGTCGATCGGGCTCATATTAGAAGGAAGAAGGATATCCGAAATCCAGATGTAAATGATCCCAAGAAGACTTACGTCATGACAGATGGCGCTGGTAGACTTTCATTAGCCTTGGCTAGGAAGATAGTTTTTGAGCTCGAGTTGTCATATATACCAGCCGCCTTTCAGGGCAGATTTGGTGAAGCAAAAGGTCTTTGGATTGTTGACCGTAGCGAGGATATTGAAAGCGATTGGATTGAGTTATATGACGAACAATGCAAATGGAAACGTGGAGAAGAGGGCAGCCCTGAGTTTGATCATTGGTCTCATCGCACTTTTGAAGTTGTAGGACATTCTGCTCCATTGAAGACAGCGGATCTAAATACTCAGCTTCTTCCACTTCTCGTGCATCAAGCTAAAGATCCACGAGCAATGAGAAATGCAATTCTTAATGCATTGAAAGACGGCCTGAAGCAGTCGCTGGAAGAACTCAAAACTGCTTTAACTAGTCCTCAGGAACTTCGCAGTTGGATTCCGCTCACGAATTCATCAGTTCAAGATAGGATCAAGAATGGTGCTATTCAGTGGCGTGGAGGCCTGCCAGCAAAGCATGAAGATAGGCTCAGTACACTTCTTGATGCCGGATTTGACCCCCGAAAGCTACACTACGTCATGGAATTGGCCAGGAAAGCGTTTGATATGAAATGCGAGGAATTAAAGGAACGTCTTAATATCACCGTTGCTAAATCTACCAAAGTGTACATGGTTCCCGATTTTTGGGGTGTCTTGGAGCCTAATGAGGTACATTTGAATTTCTCAAGTTTTGTGGACAACGGATCTGGATTGTCTGATACTCAACTGGAAAATGTGGATGTACTTGTGGCTCGAAACCCTGCTCATTACCCTAGCGACATTCAAAGAGTCACCGCTGTTAGTAAACACGAATTAAGACATCTTAAAGATGTTATCGTCTTTTCTACCAAAGGTTATCCATCCCTAGCGGACAAGTTATCAGGCGGTGATTATGATGGAGATATTGCATGGGTTTGTTGGGATCCTGCCATCGTTGAGAGTTTTGCCAATGCAGATGTCCCCAAAGCTCCGGATCTTGTCAAAGAAGGTTTTATCGGGCAAGATAAAAGGACTTACGCACAGCTGACCAAAGGATGTTCGGATCCAACGAATACTTTTCTGTGTGCCAGTTTTAAGTTTAATATGTGTCAAAGTATGCTTGGCCCGTGTACAGCATGGAAAGAAAACATTGAATATGACATTCGTGACCTCGATAGGCCAGAAATTACATTCTTGTCAACTTTACTTAGTAACCTGGTTGACCAGGCAAAGCAGGGTTACATTTTTACGGAGAAGCATTTCCAAAAGGTCAAGACTCACGTACTTAAAACCACTAGAACACCTCGCTTGCCAGCATACAAAGACAAAGATGAAGTACCAAGCAAAAAAGACCATATTCTTGATCATATGATGAACGTTGTTCACGAAGAAACGAAAGCCTTGAAAACGGAATTTTATGATAGTGTTGACACCCCACCTCAATATGATCCTGAGTTAGCCCAGTTCTACATTGATCAGAGAGAAAAAGTAAAGGTACTGAAGAAGGAAACTGCGACTCCGGAGGAGATAGAGAGGGCAGCACATTGGAAATTACTTCTCGATCAACTGGATGAAGATGTCAATAAGGTCAAAAACAATTGGATTAATCGTATGCTCAGTGGACAAACACCATCAAAAAGATTTACTCGGGACGAAGACGAAACCCGAGCGGATTTTGCACCAATTCGAGATGAATGCTTTCAGGAGTTCCGCGATATCAAACCACACGCCGATAACAAATTGATCTCGACATGGTTAGATCAAGATACCGAAGCGGAATATGGAGATTGGGCTCTTTTGAGGGCAAGTGCTCTTTATGCTACTTATGCCCCAAAACCATATTTCCGAAACTCGGCTCATGTTCCGAAGTTGGTTTGGTGGATGGCGGGGAGACAATTTGCGATGCTTAAGGCGAGGCGGAGGGGATTTGTTCCTGTCGCTGATCATATGTATGTTATGCTTAAGGCGAATGTGGGATTTGTGAGGCAGTTGAGAGCGCATGAGGGGATGGGGATGGGGATGGATTACGAGATGAGGCTTGGGGGTATGGATGGGGATTGGGATGATGGTGAGTTTGATGATAGTGTTTTTGATGAGGTTTTTGAAGAGGTTTGAGGGATTAGTGCATTTTTGAGTGGTTGGTTATGGGTTGGCTTTTGACATGTTGGGTACATTGTACTGGCGAGTTCTGATGAAAATGTGTGTTGATGGGATGGAAGGGTTGGTTTAGGGCGTTTGGATTTGGATTTGGGTTTGGGTTCTGATTCGGCTTCTGATTGGTTTGGAACGATTTGACGTTGGATATGTATTTGACGAATTGGAGGATACCCATTTGTTTGTTTTGTAAGATCAAGATGTGTAAGATGCACAGTTTTTGATATTACGTACTTTGCCTACCTATCTAGGTATCTATTGAAGTCGGTTGGTTTACTGTAATACTGTACTTGAATTTTTTTTTTCTCTGGAGTGAAATTAGATAAGCTAGCTAGGTTAGAAGGGGAGAAGGGGAGAAGTGAAGTGAAGTAAGATGATATTGTAATGAATTCTTTAAATTGATTATAATAAGATTATTATGAATTTATTTGTAAAACTTATTAAATATTAAAGTGTAAGTGAGAGAAGTATTTAAATAGATGAATAAATAAATAAATATAAATATAAATATATAATTTTATATTTTGATTTATAAAACTAATAGGTTTATATATATATTTTTAATTATAATTTCTTATAATTTATTATAAAAATAATATATATCTAAATTAATATATATTATTTATATAAAATTAATTAATAATACATAATAAATTAACTTGAATTGAATTGAATATATAAAAAATAATTAATTTATAAATGACTTTATAATAAGATTTTATTAGTAGTGAATTAATTATAGATATTTATATGTATAATTGTAACGATCAGGTAGAGATAGCGGCTGCCTCAGGTTTCGTCTGGTTGGTAGTTATGGGTTAAGGCTAATAATTACTGGTTATCCATTCGAAGGTGAATACATTACTAGATCAATTGGAATATAAATAAACTAATTGATAACTAAGTTGAATACGAAGCTTCTAAACTATGAAACTATTCTGATTATATACTAATCACTTTCCCATGCTAACTATACTAGCTAATTAGTACGGCTAGCATTTCTGTGATACTAGCTTTGCTAGTTGGCTAGTAGAGCTAGTATATCTCGTGATTGATCTTAAAGCTTCTCATATCCCAAAGCCTTTCCTTTCCTGGAATACTTATCTTAAAAGCTTTCCTTTTAAGAACTATAATCTTAGAATATAATATCCTCTAAAATGATAATCCTATTACAATTAATTAAATAGAATATTTGTTCTATTCTACTATAATTATTTAGAATACTTATTTTAAGAATCCTGAAGTTCTAAACTTAAATAATCAGGATCCTCGAAAACAACGGTTAAATTATATCTCTTCTGTAATCAATCTATAAATCATCAATATCAATAATACTATTATAAAGAAAACTATAAATCGTAATATTATCTCTTTTTTAATTAAACATTATCTTTGATCGTTTATAAGGTTTGAAAAGAAATGTTATTCTTTATATAGTTTATCTTCGAGTATTTCTTCTTCATTATACTATTTATTCGTTTTCAATCTTGTATCGATTATAAAACTTTTAGGTGAGAAATTAATTTGATTAAAAAGAAGATGACTCTTTATATTCGATATGAAAATGTTAGTATTGAATATATTTCTTTTTGTAACATCAAGTATTGTTGTTGTAATTGTTATATTACTTTTAATAAATCATATGATATTTGTGAATTGAATAAAATACTTTTCATTTCTAACTGAAAAACTATTAATATTTAGATCGAATATATGAATATAAAGAAGAATAAAACGATATTACAAATTCTTTATCTTAATAAACAATAAAAATTTTTTTTGTAAATAAAAATAAAAGATAATTATAATTGAATTAAATTCTATAAATAAGCTCGATATTTTAAAAAAAAAAAAAGGAAATTATTATATCCTCCATATTTGTTACTTTTTCCAACCCTTTTAATCAATTTGATCAATTTGATCAATTTGATCAATTAAGCCCTAATCAATTTGATTGATTTAATTAATTATCAATTGACTCTATCAATTCTAACAAAAATCCTACAAATGATTTCGATTTCTTCGACCCTTTTTACAAAAGCAATAAATTCTTCTTTTTTTTAAATAAATCCGGATTCTATTAACGAAACTTCTAAAACCACTTCAAATATTTAATTTCTTTTTTAAATTTCTATATATTTTTAGAATCGAAGTAATTTTCCTATTTTATCAAATATTTGATTTTGTTTCTAATATATTTATAATCTAATATCTTCTTTATTTTGTATTCGATATTTTGATTTATAAATATAATTTTTGTTTTAAAAGTTTTAAATGTTTTTAAAGATATTAATTTGAATAAGGATATATAAAACACTGAATATATATTTATACTTTTTGATAATACTAATTTATAATTCAAAGGTTTTTTAATCTTTTTGATTTTGAATAATCCGAGTTTCTTATAATCCAATTTTATACTAGATCTTTTCGTTTTGATATTTTTTCGAAGTAAATAGATTTTATCCCTTTTTTTTAATATTAATTTTTTAATTATATTTCTGATTGTAATAATATATATTTCTTTCGACAACGAATTTCAATTTTGTTGTTATTTCTTTATGGATTTCTTTGAGTTTTTCTATCTATATTATTATAAACTGGTTTTCTATTTCTATAATCCCTGGTTTACAATATACAACCAATTTGTATTTATAATTGATATAATTCGGAATAACTTATATTACTTTTGATATTGAACTATTGTATATAAATTGTATTAAGAATAAAAGTTCTATTCAATTATTCTATTAGTAATTTATATAATATCAAAAATAAACTTCGATAATTTGGTTTATTCTTTTGTTCTTTTTATTGATTTGTAGATAGAATATAATAAACATTTTTCTCTTTACTTTTAGTAATATTATTAAAATGATTCAAAATTTCGAAATAAAAAATTTATCCTTATCAGAAAGTATTTCCTTTGATAATCTATATATTACAACGATCTTTTTCAGGAATATAAAGATTAATATTTCTGTAATTAATATTGTTTAGTATAATACAAGTAACAGATATTTCGTTAGTTTATTTATTATAATGAAAAGGTAATTGTATACTATTTCTATTATTAAATCCTTAGATTTTGGTAATGGATTTATAAAATCTTATAATATTGATTTTTATAATATAGATAGTATTTTGATAGTATTCATTTATTTATAAAGAGTATAACAAAAAGTTTTATTCTTAATACAAATATCATATTTGATAACTATTTTATTAATTATATTGTAAAATCCTGGATTTCAATATTACTTTTTGATTCTTAAATATATTCTTCAAACTCCTTGATATCTATAAGCTAATAATATATATTATTCTATAATATACTCAAAAACGATATTATTTGACAATTATATTTTGTTTTCTATTTAAAACAATTCATCAACAATTATTGATAGTTTTAATTATTTGATATCTTTTTTATTTTATTATATTTTTATAAATTTCTTTTTCCAAACCTTTATTGATTTGTTCTTTATAATAACGATTTTTATTAAATTAAAAATAAGATCTTTATTTGATAAAGATTTCAAAATCGTTATTTCCTGATAGATTTTATTGTTTTTGTAATCTGATGATTTATTTAAAGTATTTGTTTTTGTATTATTTTTTCTTTTGATATATTTGATTATCAAATCAAACCTTATTAGTTTTTCAATTTATCTAATCAATTTATGATTATCCAAAACCTTAATAATAATAAAAATTTGAAGATTTATATAATCAATATAAATGATTATTAGGAATTTAATCCTTTGAAGATAGATCCTTTAATGTTTTAATATTTTTATAATCGTTATAAGTTCTTTCTTATAGATATTATAATTCTACTCTATTTTGTTCATCTTATTCGAATAATAAACAATAAAATATAATTTCCTATTATTATCTCTTTACAAATAGACTCCTGTTATATAAATATCAAAGGTATTTATTTCGATAATGTTTTCTCGATTATTATAATAATTGTAAAGAATAGATTTTTTTATAAATCTATCCTTGATTTCCTGAAAAACTTATTCTGTTTTTTTATTCTATATAAAAGTTATTCTCTTTTTGGTTATTTCGGTAAAGGGTTTTATTATTTTCGAAAAATCCTTTATAAATATTCGATAGAAATTAGCGAATCCTAATATAGATTATATATCCTTGATATTCCTGAATCGTTTCTAATTCCTTACTTTCTTTGTTTTTTCAAAATCTATATTTATTTGTTTTAATTAAATAACATATTCTAGAAATATTATTTTTTATATTTCAAACTTATATTTAAATAGTTTGAATTTTGAATCTACTTTTTTGAATACTTCGAATATTTTCAATATATATCCTTTATATTCCTTTTCTTTCTAAAAGAAGATTAGAATATCATTTAGATAACAGATTACAAATAAATTGAACTTTTTGAATATCTTATTATTCTATTGTTGATATATAATTGATATATTGATTAATCTGAATAATATAATTATATATTCCTATAAACCCGATGATAATATAAAGGCTATCTTCTATTTATAACTTTTTTTTATTTATATCAAATTGAAAGCATTCCTTTGATTCAATTTCGTATAAATCATTACTTTATTCAATTTATCTCTAAGCTCTTGAACTTTCGATATTGGATATATATCTCTAATTGTTTCATCATTAATCCAATAATAATCTTTACAAAACCAATTATCTGAATTGTCTTTCTTAAATATTAATAATACATTGGATATATAAAGGGATTTAGATTTCCTAATTTATCCTTTCTTCTTAGTTTTAATTCTGTATTCTTTTTATATTTATATAATACTAAGGTTATATAACCTCAACTTTTCAATAAAGGATACAAATCTTTTTTTGAAATTGATTTTATAATCCTAAGATTTATATTCTAATAAAATCTTCAAATTCTATAGATCTTCGAAAAGCTTAATAAATCTTTTGTATTGTATTGGAATTTCTTTTTTATCAATTCTATCAATTAATGAAGGATCTATTGTTATTATAATATAGTATTCAATCTTCTTAGAAGTTTGTTCTTTCGAATTATATAATCATTCATTATTACAATTACAACAATCGAATATTAAAATATCTTTTATTCAATCGATATTTGGATTATATTTCTTAATTTACAGGGTATCAAAAATAATTGTATATCTATCTAATAATACTAAATCCATTTTGATTTGTTTGATATATCTATCTAATATAATCATCTTGATAATATTGATTTCTTTATATATTCAATCATCAATTTCAGTTTTCTTTTCTTTTAACAATATTAATTAATAAAAGTTCTGTTTTAATTCTATAAAAATTCTATTTTCTTTAACGAAGTTGGGATTTATAAATATATTTATAATTCCAAAATTAATCAAAATATTTGTTTATTAATTCTCTAATTTGATTTCTATAATCAATTACTTGATCTTTATAATACTATTGAATTCTAACGATAATAATTCAATAATTTATTCTTCGATAAAGAGATTCAATTATTTCTATTAATATTCATTTATATTCAATAATCGATAAAATATAATAAATAATAATTCTATTGATTTTATTTGAAAATCTCAACAATAATCTTGGTTTGATATTTCTTTGTTATCCTTATCGATTCTTTATCAAATATAATGAATTTTGGCTTATAATAGGATTTCCTATATATCTTCAACTTCTAGATTATATTTACAATATTTTTATACTTCATTAAAGAATAAAGAATCTATATCTGTAATATACCTTCTAATATCATTTACTCCAATATTTTCCTTAAATATTATTCGATAAACATTATTGTATATTACTATATAAAATATTAACAAAATAAAATAATCATAAATTCTATATTTCTCAATAAAATCAGATTTCTCTTTTTTATAATAATATCATATCCGTTTCTTATCTAGATAATTGATTAGATATTATAATACATTTTCTTAAAATAAATAATAAAATTCAATTAATCATTAATCCTTCTCGAATTCTTTATCTTTTAACTCGAATTCTTTTAAGGATTCTTTTTTATAACTATTACTATTCTCAATATTAGTTTTAGGGTTTTAATTGTTGATATTCAATTCCTTTAATTGTTCAAGATTAAATTGAAATAATTCTCTTTCCAATAATCCCATTTCCTTTAAGCTTTCTTTCAAAATCCTTATTTCTCGAGAATTTTATCTTTTATTTTCAAATTTCATTTGTTTTTCATTTTTTATAATAAATAGTTTTTTTTTTGAAAATAATCTTAGAACATATATCCACTTTTCTTACAAATATAGTATAGATTATTCTCCCTACATTTTTTTTTCTTATCAATACTTAGATTGCTTGGCTTTATATAATATCATTCGATATTATTCAATTCTATTAGATCATTAACATTATAATGTTTATTCTAATAATAAGGTTTTTGGAACTTCCTATTCTCCTAAATGATTCCTTTCTTTTCTATTCATCATTTATAGAATCAATTATTAATGAGAATAAAGATTTTGATTAATTCGAAAAAATTAAATAGTTTCGAAACTCTTACTAATTCATCTTTGATAATATCCTTCAATCCTTTATAGAATTATGATTTTAGATAATTATCATTCTATATAATATATTCAATATATTATTGAAACTTGATAATATAGATTATGATTGACCCGATTTGTTTGAATTGTTGTAATATTCTTTTAATTATATAATCAGGGTCTATTTTCCTGAATACTTTATCGAATCTTTATCTGAATAATTTATAATTGAAGAAGAGATAATGAATCTCAGATTTCATACTCTTATTCAATTGATTATCAATAATCTTGATCATTAGATTATTGAAAAATAATTTAATCCAATTGAATATGATTCTTTGGAAAAAGGAGATCAATTATAAGATTCTTTATATAAGAATCAAGAAAAGTTGTTTGTTAAAAGTATAATAAAGATCAGTTTATATAACAAAAGCTCGATATTTGTTATAATCTTTATAGAATAGATCAGGGATGGATATCTGAATTGTTTATCTATATTCTATAATAATAGCGGTCTGAACAAAGGCCCTGATTGGGTTGAATGAAGACGATTCAATAAGCTGTTAATTGAAAATCATTGTATTATATATAGTTTAATTATAACAATACTCAAAGTGTAATGATCAGGTAAAGATAGTGATTGCTTCAGGTTTTGTTTAGTTGGTAATTATAGATTAAGACTAATAATTATTGATTATCTATTCGAAGATGAATATATTATTAGATCAATTGGAATATAGGTAAACTAATTGATAATTAAATTGAATATGAAACTCCTAAATTATGAAACTATTTTGATTATATATTAATTATTTTCTTATACTAGCTATATTAGTTGGCTAGCATAACTAGCATTCTTGTAATGCTAGCTCTGCTAGTTGGCTAGCAGAGCTAGCATATCTCGTGATTGATCCTGAGGCCTCTCATATCCCAAAGCCTTTTTTTTCTTGGAATATTTATTCTAGGAGTTTTCTTTTTAAGAATTATAGTTTTAGGATATGATATCCTTTAAGATGATAATCCTATTACAACTAATTAGGTAGAACACTTGTCCTATTCTATTATAATTATCTAGGATACTTATCCTAGGAATCCTGGGGTTCTAGGCTTAGGTAATCAGGATCCTCGAAAGCAACGATTAAATCATATCCTCTTTGTAGTCGGCTTATAAATCACCGACGTCAATAATACTACTATAAAGAAAACCGTGAATCGTGACAATAATAGTAATGAAGATGAACGGCAACCCCGTATAACGATCTGATCGAGGCAGTGGCTGTCTGAGGTTCGTCTGGTTGGTAGTTGTGGGTAAAGGCTTTAATCATTAGTATTCATTTGGAAGTGAAGTCGTTACTAGATCAAATAGGATATAGGTAAACTAATTGATAGCTAAGTCGAGTACGAAGCTTTTATATTATGAAACTATTTTGATTATATACTACTATTATCTAATCCGTGAATGGTGACACCCCGATTACCCTACTCTTATGTCCTGACCCCTGCTTCCTGCTTCCTGATTCCTGTGAGGAAATATCCTGTACGTGTATGCATGTATAATGCAAGTATAATGCAACAAATTAGCGGCGTCTCCGTGATTATTTTTATTTTTATTGTTTTGTTGCGTGGTGGAGTTCTTTATGTGTGTGGATTATGTATTATGTGTAGGTATAGTAAAATGAATCAATGAATCACTGATGAGGATTTCTCGAAAGATGTGCATTTGATTGATTGGTTGATTCATGTGATTAGTGATAATTTTTGATTTCTCAGACTACGACGTACGGCGTAAAAGGTCAATTTTGTATTGTAAAAATTGATAAATGATTAATTGATTGTGTGACGATTGATGGTTGATTTCTTGTCATGTATGAAATAAGCTTGGTGGTTACCTGGTTGGTTGGCTGGCTGGCTGGTTGGTTGGCCAAGTAAATTAAACGGTTTATCATTTTGTTTGTATGTACGTATGTAAGGTTACGGATGTACGGGGAAGCGAGGTTTGAGGTGAGGTTGGAGGGTCATAGTTTAAGTTGGTTATACTATACTTGTTGAGGAACTGAGGTAGGTAGGTAGGTATTGGGAATACGAGGTTGAAGATCTTGGGGATTTTGAGATGGTTTTATATAGGATGGGCTGGGGATGATAGTATATGGTGTTGGTTGGATATAAGGTTAGTGATATTTTTATCATCGATGAAAGAAAGAATATTCTATTTGATACCTACCTACCTGCCTATCTACCTGCAGCTGACATCTGATACTTGACACTTGACCCCTATCAAATAAATGATGATGGGATGATTAATACTATTTATTACTGTCCTTCCGTTGCTCCTTTGGACGAAGCGAATTGAGACGGAAAGAAAAGAAAGAAAAGAAAGAAAAGAAAGCAAAATGCTAAAATTAGAAACTTGGTCTGTCCATCCCGAGGTCATATGAGATGAGATGAGATGGCCAAGGAAAGGAACGGCCGGCTTTGAGGAAGATGTAGATGCCTGTAATTTCAGGTTCTGTTGGTACATCCCATCAAGGCGTATTATTAACCAAACCATTTTATCACTTTACACTTTCAAAGCACATTTACAGAGGATGGAATAGATATAAACTCCAAAATCAATATCTAAATGTTGAAATTAGAAATTATAGCAGGATCATTCAATGCTTTCATACAAGTTACAGTTACAGCGTTCCTTGGTAATACAACGCCTATTTTATAACTCTGTACGCCGGCATGCTGTACCTAATGCAAGTTGCAGCGTTGCTCGGCAATTGATAGAACTCCGTACTTGTACTTGTAACTTGTACTGGTATTGGTATTGGTATTGGTATTGGTATTGGTACTCGTCCTGGTACTCGTCCTGGTACTCGTCCTGGTCCTGGTCCTGGTCCTGGTCCTGGTCCTCGTCCTCGTCCTGTTATTCCCAAAGATAGAATACCAGCAGTTGATCCGTCCTTATTATGTTTGTGTTGTATTACGGAGTAGTAACGTAACACAAGCAAATGATTTTCCTCATGATTTTCCTCATGATTTTCCTCTATCAAATCAAATTTATCCACAGAACCGCATTCAAAACCGCCTTCCGCCCTTTCGCCTTGATGAAAATTTATTTCTCCACTTTAAAATTTGGTTCGTTCTCGAATCCATTATTGATCTGTAATGTCTTGCTTTTTTTATTTACCCTGAGCCGTGAACATGATCATGAACCCTTTCCTTTCTCTCTTCCCCCTTGTACTCACTCACACTCCGTAAAGGAAACAAAACACTTTCTCTCTCTCTCTCTCAATCAATCAAATTATCCTTCTCTTTTCGCATCTCTCGTTTCATGAATCCCATTTCTACTTTCTACTTTCGTTAAGTCTCAATCAATCAATAATCTAAAGAATAAGATTATTTTCCTATTTTACGAAATACCCCGATTCACATTCACATACGGAGTACATTCACATACGAAGTACACTCACACACACTCAGTACACTCACACACACTCACACACACTCACACTCACACTCACACTCACACACTTCCATTAACACTCTCCCTCAAACTCATACCAAAAATCAAAGTTTGAGACCATTCATCTATTTGTGACAAATTCACTCACTCACTTCCTTCACCAAGTCGTCATCCGATCGATCACTAACAAACCTTCGGATACGAACAAAACAAATACATTGCACTGAAACTGAACACACGACTTTCCCTTCTCGATCTTTTCAAGCAAAGGTCTTTCGTTTTCTATTGCCTGGGAATAACGATCGATTATCTTTAACTATGTATTCCCGGTCATTAAAGTTATTGTCAATATTGGCAATAATACTCGCCATCACTCAAGCCAGTTGGATTGATCGTGGTATCTTTATTAGACAAACAGATGTGATTTCTGCTGCCTTGGGTACAGCGGCAGCTGGAGCAGGAGGAAGTAGTGCTGCCACAACTACTGCAGGGAGCGCCGCAGATTCAGATACTACAACCGCTGCAGCAGCAGCAACAACATCAAAATCTACGACATCAACGACGTCAGCACCAACTAGCAAAGAGACTCAAGCTACTCCTACATCAACCACCCCGACTCCAACTTCAACCACACCCTTAGCACCTACAACCTCATCAACGAAGACTTCAGCATCAACTCCAGTAATCGTTCCTGAGTCATCATCATCATCATCTACAACCACAGCAGATCAAACAACTGCTGCTGAAACTACCAAAGATGATCAAACAACTAAAACGACTGCTACCCAAACATCTAGCAGCAGTACCAAAACCACCAAGACTAGCAAAACTACTACGTCCGAAACAACAACCTCTCAATCAACCTCCTATTCTCGCATCACCGTCACACCCCCAGCCACCCCCGTCGTCGTAACCGTCGTCACAACCGCAAGCGGAAGTACATTCACCTCACAATACACCACATCCTCCACCCCCTCCGCCTACGCCACCACAACCGCCATTCTCACACCCGTCTCATCATCATCCTCCCAATCTATGTCCACTAAGACACGCAACACAATTATAGGAGTAGTAGTAGGAATCGGAGGAGCAATCCTCCTCGGAGGTTTATTCATCGTAGCGTGGAGAGTCTGGGGTCGAACTAAGAAGGAAGATGAGAATGATGGCTTGATGGGTGGTTATGATCCGGTTTCCGCGGGTCATGAAATTAAGAATGAGGGTGGTGCTGTGCCGAATCCGTTTCAGACGACCTTGGAGAATTATCATCAGCCGGGTAGGGGGAATGTTTCGGCGAATTTTTAGGATAGATGGAGGGGAGAAGGGGAGAAAGGAGGGAAGGGAGGGTTATTTTGGTAGTGGGAGAGGGGTGGGCTTGGGGGGAGGGGTTTTGTATACACACACATACATATATATCAGATGAATAGGATTAGTATATTGCGTTTTACATTGTATCGTATAATGACAGGAAATAGTGATAGGAGATGATTATATAGACACTGAAGGAATTAATTATATTTAAAAGTCAATAGGTTAATATATAAAATAAAATAAAAAAGAGTTTTAATTTTTATTCTTTTATTTCTTTTTTAAATACTTATATTTATATTTTTGAATTAATATTTTTTAATGTTTTAAAATTCAAAAAGAAAGAATTAAAAAGTTAAAAGATTAAAAAATAAAAATAGTTTATTAAATATTTATATTATATATATAATATATATAAAAAAAATAAAAATAAAAAATAAATAAATAAAATTTAGAATTTTTATTATAATTTATAGAGTGAGTAGTATAATAATATAATAGTAGTATTGTGATGATGATTAAAATTGGAATAAATCTAGGAATTAGAATTAGAGTTAGGATTAGGATTAGAATTAGAATCAAAGCTCTTCAAAGCTCTTTAATGGTTTAGTCCTGGGCTGTTAACTAGCTAGATAGCTTTTGTATGTCTTATTTTGTATAGCTAGTTATTAGTTAAATTCAAAGCTCTCGGTAGGTAGGTAGGTAGGTAGGTAGGTAGGTAGTAACTAAGTTACCTAGTAGCTCGGTTGTAGAGTACCTAGGTAGGTAGGTAGGTAGGTACTACGAAGTATAGTAGATGAGATTAAGGTTATAAAGGAATGATTATAATTAGGTTATTGAGTTATTTGGTTAGTTGGTTGGTTGGTTGGTTGCGGTAAGGTTGTTATGATGAAATCCTAAGCTGCTAGTTGGATATAGCTACCTAGCTGTTGGTTGTGTGAATTCTAAACTTTCGGTTATAATTTGGCTGAGATTGTAGAGGAGTGACTAAGTTGCTGAGTTAGTTGGTGGCGGTAGGATTGTTATATTTAGGGAAATTGTAGGTTAGTGAAAATTTTGGTGGAAATCGTAGAAGAGTTGTTTCGGAAATGTTCTCTTAGATAAGGTTATGGGGTATTAGAATGGTGTCTCATTAGATAGCTCTTTGTGAAGTATGAAGTACGAGGTATAGTTGGTGTGGCTTTTGAGTGATGGGGTTCTTGGAATCTGGGATTCTGGGATGCTTTTGATGAGAGGGTTGATGAGAGGGGGCTTGGGGAGGTGGTTTGGACTTGAGGGGTTTGGAGTGGTATGATTATCACTGGATGGATCTAGATTCTACATACAGTAGATAGTTAGGGAGGGAGGATCCTCGTAGCGATTGAGAGGTTTTGAGAGGTTTGCAATGAGGGGTGGGTGAAGTCATGATGTGAATGATGAATATAATAAATGAATAGTAACTAATAAAAATTATCGATTGATTGGCGGATACATTCACCTAGCTACCTAGCAATTCAACCATTCCTCGTCTCAGGATATACAAAATTCAAAGGGGTTGAAGTTTGAGATTGAGCGTAAAGGTCTGTGGTTGAGGTTTGAGGTTGAGGTTGGCGGTTTGAGAATTGATAATTCAGTGTTGAGAGTTTGGCTGGGCGCTTGTTTGTTGTTTGGTATTGGATGCATGAGATGAGATGGGATGGGAGGGGATGGATGGTTATTCTCTTTGAGTACCTAGGTATCTTTTGGTCTTTTAATCTATTTCTCCCTTGTTTTTATTTTTGGAGGGGTGAAGTGGAATTTTGTTTGTTGATTTGTTTACTTGTTCATTTATTTATTAAATTTACTGATTTCCTGATTTCCTGATTTCCTGATTTCCTGATTGATTTTTCGGGGTGAAATCTTGAAAGATCTGAATTTTTGTTCCTTTCTTCATATGTAAAACCATACTCTGTCTATATGACGAGAAACGAAGAAATTGTAGAGGTTTTTCATTTATCACAAAGTAAAGTACTACGCTACAGATGAAATTGAAGATTGGGAGTTGAAGTGAAGAATTAAGCTGGTGATATTATCCAGGATTGGATGCGATTATATTGAGTTGGGATTGGGATTGATTGGATTGGATTGGATTGGATTGGGGGAGTGATTCATGGAATATTTATTCTAATCTTACCTGCCTACTTTACATACGAATACACGAATAAGACGACCATCGAGCTTTCGATTTATGAATACGGAATTACTTCACACATATCTATTCATCGCATCGACAAACCTTCATCGCAAACGATAGATACCACATTACTCCAACTCCTACTATACACTGGAAATCAAATCACATCAATCCACCCGCCCGCCCAGCAAATCCCTCAAACACAAATACAAACACAATAATGCAATTCAATAAACTCGTCCTCTCCCTCACACGGGTAACAATAGGATTTACATGGGGAAATATCCAGAATGCGGATGCACAACTCAGTGGGGAATTGGAGAGGGAATTTGAGGGGGATTTCACGGGGGATTTGGGAGGACAGTTGAGAAATAGGTTGTTGGGGAGGGCGTTGAGTAATTTGCAGGTTTGTTTTTTTCTTCCGGTTCTTTTTTTTTAGTTCTTTTTGGTCCTTGTTTTTGGTGGTTTTTGGGATTTGGGTTTCGGGTTTTGTGATGGCTGGGGGGTTTGAGTGGTGGGTGGGTGTTGGGAAGGAGGGGATAGGAAAGAGGAGGGGAAATAGAGAGTGAAAGAGGGGGAAGTATGGAGAGGAGACGTGGAGATGCGGATAGGGTTCTGGAGGGGTCAGGGACGGAGAAGATGGAGAAAAATGGGATGGTGCACGCGGAGACATTAGGATAGATTTGGAGTTGTGGTGTATGATCTATGATATCAGGAAAGGCACACGAATCAGCAGGATCTATATCTGCAAGCGCAAGAGCCGAATACCTGGGATGAAACATCCCGGCGAGAATGATACAAAATAAATGCTGGTATTTATCATTAACTAACATCTGTTTAGATCTTCACGGGTTCACTAGGTGGTGTTACAGCTGATCCGGTATGTAGTTTTACTTCTTCTCGTTCATGCTCGTTACCTCCTTCACCCTATCTTCATGGTGTTTATGATTATCTTCGCCATTCATAACTACTTGCTCAGGTTCTTGGTGGCGGGAAATCAGAACTGCGAGGGGTTGAATGTCTGATTAAGATGAATGAAGAGGGATACATGCTAATTTGAATGTGATGCAGATAACTAATTCGGGAGATCATTCAAGGCCTTTTATGGTTGCTGGTGATAATTTTGTGAGTTTCCTTCTCATTCCCTTTTACCTACCCCTCTATTCCCATATTCTTCCATTTCATCCAATCTCATATATACACATTTTCCCTCCATAATCCATCCAACTTATCACCACCTTTCTTCTCAAAATTTCTATCTCCTCTCCTCTCTCCTCTCATCCATTCATTCATTCATAATCACGTCACCTCCTCTTCAAACGACCATCAATTACCCCTCAAACCTACCTAATATATCTAACATACCTCCCCCCCTCAACAGCCAGCCTTCACAGACGCCATGTCACGCTCCTGCGCAAACCAAGTCAACAAATGCGAAGACGCAGCCAATAACCCCGCAAAAGCAGCTCCGGATTTAACCGTAGCCGCTTGTCAATCTCAACAGTGTATGTTTATCCCATCTTTCAATTCTTCTTCTCCTGTTGTTTTGATTTCTCAAACTCGGAGCGGTGTTTTTGAGAGGATTTTTTCTTGGTTTGGGGATTCGAGACGATGGGTTTTTGTTTTCTCTTTTCGTTGAGGAGTTTTGTGTGGTTTTTCTTTGGTTGCTTTGGGTTTGTGTTTTTGTTTTTTGTGGGCGTTTTGATGGGGGCTTTTTGAGTTGATGTGATGTGATGTGATGTAAGTTGAGGTGAGATGAGATGAGGTACTGGATTTATCTGTGGAAGATTATCCACTTATAGATCGGGCCATGAGAAATAAAAGTAGAGATAAAGACAGACGGCTCGACAGACTAAGGGCAGGTCCCAATTTCCAACACAAAGCTTATACACAGCGAAAAGGAGGCTGGACAGCGAATATGAAGAGAAGAAAGGAGAGCGCAGATGGGACAATCTTCATGTCATGATTGATTTCATTGTACAGAGCGCGGAACATGAAGAAGAGGAAGCTAATTTTTCTTCTAACAAATTCAGCTTCGTGTTTAGCGGCGACAAAAACGGCTACGCAGACCAATTTTCAGGTTTTGACGAGTTCGAATGCGGAGTTTGATTTTGTTTGTGATTCTTAGGGTGGTGTGTGGGTGGGTATATGGTTGGGTTGGGTTGGTGATGGGAGTAAGGGAGGGGACTTGGAAAATGGAGAGCGGAAATGTCAAATGGGAGCGAGAGATGGGAGATGGGAGTTGGGAGATAATAGATGATTGATTGAGCGGGAGGGGAATGAGAATGGTAGTGTTATGATATATGCAATTCATACGAAGCAAACGACTAAAAGGAGGAGAGCATATGGAGTAGAGGAAGATCGATTCACTTCTACTTCTCTATATAAATTCCAATAGGTGGAAAAGAAATCTAATGATGATTGATTCAAACAGGGACAATCCTACAACATAACTAAGTCTACAACACAATTTAAATTCAAAATCTGTAATGAAAGCAAATGAGATATCATATTCTTGAGTAAATTTTCCTGTATTATACTTACATCTTATCCATATCTCTATATATACACATTTAAACGCCTAGAATGGAATCGATTGGCTAATGGTAGTCTTGTAGAAAGTATTCTTATATGCATTAAAGACCTTGTGCATATTGAGAATCGAGAATCAAGAATCAGTTCTCGTCGTCGCTATGCTAGAGCTTGAGCTCGAACGCGAAGTCTTACAAACTCTCACTTTCTTTTAACATGGAAGAGGAGAATCATGAAATGAAATAAAACGAGCAGTGTGAGGTTAAAGGGAGAAAATCATATTTGCCTGAAGATTGAAGTACAGTGGATATGGATATGAATATTATCTCTTGAAGTTTCATCTCCTCTCCTCTCCTCTCATCCCATCCCATCCTATCACATCACATCTCATCACATCTCATCACATCTCGGCTCTTGAGTAGACATTCATTCACCTCTATCAAAAGCACATCACCTATATCATTCACGACTTCATAAAAGAAGAATTGCAATTGCAATTCAGATTGAAATTAGAATTCCTTTTTGGTTGCATATCTTCGCCATTTATTATTACTCTTTATAACAAACACTATCTATCTAAATGCTTTAATTAGGTGATTAGACTTTTAGAGTGTGTTTGATGGTCTTTTTCCTGCTGGAGCTGGATGGATAGATGGATGGATGAATGGATGTGGTGGTGCTATGTTTGAGGATTCGTGTGACGTTGATGGGTTGTAATTAATTTGTGATGGATAGGTTGCGTGCGAAATAGTACTTGCGATGGGATAGGGGATGTGGGTTTATTGTGGTAGGGAAGTTGGATATTCTGTGAGAGCTTTGGGAAGATATGAGATGTTAGGGTATATATTCTAGTTTAGAATTGTATAAATTTGAAAGATATAAAATGATGTGTGGTGTTGATACCTAGTGAATGAGTTGGTTTTGGGCAAATTTTTAAATGCATGAATGTTGAACCGATTTTTGTTTGGAGTTTCTGATTAAAGAAAACTTCAACTACCTATATATGTAGGATTATAATATCTAGCTATTCGTCGAGAATCATAGGGCGGTTCGATAGTAACCCGACGTAAATACCAAGATTGTGAATCTTTTAGCTTTGTATGATATATATGTGTATGTATGTGTGTATTTATGATAGGGGAAGATGGATCTTAGGTTGTTGGTTGTGTGTTTTCATTCATCTAGATAAACAGCTACAGTACCAATAGTAATCTGGCTATGGACCCGAGTTCAAGATAGAGTAGTATTAATATTAAGGGGTCGAAATACTTTTCTTACAATAGATTAAATCTTACTAACAATCCTCATGACTCTGCATATCTCTCCTAATTCCTGTAAATCTGCGAATCTCTTCAAGATCCCTCAATACTTCCCTCCGTAAAAAAAACAAAAGAAAGGTTCCAACTAACTTCCAAATAATCCATCTCCACTCCCTTATTCAAAAGTAGATCAATATCCGTCTGCAAGTACAGCCAGCCAGCACGTACTGTAAATCTGTAACTACTTTACCTACCTACGTACCTAGGTAAACCAACCATTTCTCATCAACCATGGATAGTTATAAGTCACCAAACCAACAAATCTCGTATTACAATTACACGAACATCACCCGATGCCCGAGCTCCTAAGTGGTCGGGATTCGGCGGAATCGTTTCACACATCTTCATTATAACTTCCTCATGCGATACGTAAAATATCTATAGTGTAGTACGTGTTGAACAGTCGAACAGGCTAAACACTAAACTAGACCCTACCTAGTCATTTCCTATTCTTACATCCCTCACTTCCTCACTATCCAAATAACCATTAGTCTGACTAGGTAGTCTCCAAGCAAGCCCAGAAAACAAGGCGGGCGCGTTCCTGACCCCTTGTTGTACAAGAAGAAAATACCAGGTAGCCCCTAGCTCGGAAAAGATCTCCGAGCCGGACTTGACAAGTTGATGTTTGATTAATGCTGTGCTTGGAAGCTTGATTATTGCTGCTTTACGATGTGATTCTTTGTATTATTGAAATTTGTGGGACGTTGATATAGACATGGAGAGAATGGAGATGGAGATGGAGATGGATGTGATTATAGAGATGAGAATATGGAGGGAAATAACAGATGAAATAAAGGGGAAAAATGAAAGGAATTAAGGAATTAAGCTTGACTTTAGTTTGAATCGTTACCGAATTATGCGGCTGATGAATGTGAATACCTACGTACCTACCTACGTATGGAGAGATGCAATTTTGGGTGCGGCGTTGGTACCGGTATTCCCTATGAAGGGGGTTGATTCGGTAGCTTCACCCAGCAAGGAAGTAAGATCTTACAAGATTGATATATCAGCCTGATTGATTGGAGCAAATGAAGATACATGCTGTATTCAACCGGTAAAGATAAAAATGTCTATCCCCTTACTCCGTACCAGGGATGAGCGCTTGATGGAAAGCAGCGCGGATTACAATAAAGCATAATAATAGTATAGCTTCGTTGTTATATGCTTTATTGTTTACAGAGATTAGTCATACATGAATAACCAATCAATATAACATTCACTTTCGAAAAATTATTACTCGATTTGTCCAATCACGTACGTGTTTTGATTGATTCGCTCTTTTTTTTTTATATCAAAAAAGACATTATAATAAAGGAAGTTCGATTATTATTAAAGTGAAATAAATGAGCTGGATTATTATGCTTGAAGCAATTACAAATTGACCATCCCGACTCCATACCCAAGAGTTGGTGACAGGGCGCATATGCAGGTGTGCGGCGCGGAGAGGTGCCATTGATGATGATGATTGGGAGGATGATTGATCGAATATCAATATTGATGGGTCCTGAAAAACTTCAGTAATACTAGCTAGCCATATCACAAGACAACTCTGCCTGCCTAGACTGCGCCCGCCGCAGTGAATTGTGATGGTGTGATGGCTGTTGTGCTGGGAATTGAGATTCATATATAAAGCAAGAATATCGTTTTGGTTACACTTTAGAGTTTTTGAAAATTTAGGATTTTGACTTCATCTCTATATTTTTTGTGAATTACTTCTCTAGTGAGATAGAAAGATCGGTTATTAAACATCATTCAAGTTCTAAAGACAATTACATACCTACACACACAAACATATCAAAATGAAGTTCTCATATGCTTCCATTCTCTTCGCCATTGCTGCACCCGCAATGGTCAACGCTGATAAAACCAGTGTCAACGTGTACGTCTTTCTCAGAGCACCCTCCTTCCATATAACACCCAGTTACAAAAATACTAACCCATCCCCATCCATCCAGCCCATCCGTAATCTCCGCCTTCTTCACCCATACACCCACCCTCCCAGCCGGTGCCTCCTCCACACTAGCCACTGCCCTCGCCTCCGTAGACTACGCCTGGACCACCGCCGCCGCCTTCACCTCATTTGACAAAGCCGTTTTCTCCGCAGCACCTAGCTCCCTCCAAGCTTCTCTCTCGAAGAGCGGATACTACTACGCTGAAGTAGCTACCGCGGACTGGTTCACCAAGAAGGCGCCCAAGGATGCTCAGAAGGCTGTTAGTAGCTATCTGAGTGAAGTATTGAAGGTTGAGAGTAGTGTTTTTAGTAAGGTGGCTACGGAGACCAGTAAGGGAGCTGGGGCTGCGGCTACGGGAGTACCAGCTGTTGGTGTTATGGGTGTTGCTGTTGCGATGGGTTTGGGCGCTGTTGGGATGATGTAATTGATGGTGGATGGGATGGATGGAGTCGGATATATGATGTGATGCGTTGAATGAGTTTATGATGAATGGATGGGTGGATGTAATAAGAAGATATTGTGCATAGAATCCAAATTGTTCATTGAGATATCCTTTGGGTTAGTAGTTGTTGAATTAAAGTTTACCTTTCTGGGTACATAATGCACTGCCATGGATCTATACCTTTTCATCTGTCCATGTCGTGCTTTATGGAAATGTTTATTGGAAATGTTATTACACGGGACGACCCTCCACACTTCCCCGAATACCCCAGCGAACATGTCATAAAGAATCGGAAATAAGATTCAATCAGGTGCTTGTCATCATGAAAACATACAACAAGAACACCATATATATGTAACAAGTTCATTAGACTTTAAGTTATATCTCAGCTAAGTATATTATGCCAATCCACATCTCAAATAGACAAGAAAAAATTATACTCTCCTCCCAAACGTTCCACCAAATCCTGCCTGCCGTAAATCGCGAAAATGTTCAAAATCAAAAGTCTATTTGTGCTCTGTATCATTTCCATCATTCAAAATCTTTACTTGCCATTCCACCAAAGGGGTATGTCCAAATACAATATTTCCGTCCAAATCTGCACCATTTTATACAAGAAGATGAAAACGCCTCAATCGTGCACCAACATCCACCCACCACGCATTTACACAACCCATCCAATCATTTGCTCGGCGCACAACAACCAACCAAAAGAAATGCAACAAAGCTCTAAGGCTTGCTAAGCTGCTCTTTTCTAAAGAATGTGAAAAATCCTCCACAAATTACCAGTTGTAATAATAATCCAATCCAAAACCATGCATTACCCAAACCAGCAGCTCCATCGCTGAAATCAGGGAAAACGGGGCCTGGTCCTATATTATTCGGTGCACAAGCTCTCGCTACAATAGTAGCGAGTGATCCCAAAACTTGAGCAGCAATGAGAGTGAAAGCGATATGGACACGAGTAAGTGTTTGAAGCAAGAGCATACCGAATCCAACACCTTGAAGTGCATCGAGCATACCGAGCCAAAGCCACAAAGATCTTGAGAAAATGGCGCTGGCGAGACCACCACCAACCCATGGTACGTATTGTCCCATAGGACTGCAAGACCAAAGCATTTGACACCATCTAGGGGCTCCGAGGCCAATGGCGAAAATTGGTAGAACCCAACTGTGATCTTTACTCAATATTGCAAAGAACCAGAGGAACATTGCCCAAACGAACCCAAAGAAGAAGATGATGAGAAGAATGATAACCCATGTAGGAGCATGGTTGGAAGAGAAGAGGTAAAGCCAGTTACGACCATAGAGCGTCGAGAGGAAGAAATTCTGAATGAGAACCGTGACGAAAAACCACATGACAATCTTACGTCTGAAGAGCGAGGCATAGAAAGAAGGAACCTTTCCAGGAGCTTGTCGATAATATTCCGGCAATCCAAGGAAAGTGACCACGCCAACTACCCACATGAGAATCGCAATCGGAATCACGACAGCAGACATCTTGGGACTGGCAGATGTGAAAGAGGCTCCGAGACCATCGGCTTGTCGTCTGTTGAGATAACTTCCCCAGAACCAGAGAATGACGACGTAAGCTTGCTGTGTTCCTTGGATGATACAGGAGCGGAATACCCAGGCTTTGACGGGCGCTCCTCCTTCGTCTCCAAAGTTCAACGCGAAGAATATACTTCCTGAGGATGCGGCCACAGCATAGATACCAGTAGCAACATTTTGGACCCAACCTCTGCCATCAGTGCTGGAAACGAAAGGAGCCATGCCGAGGAGGAAAAAGGCTAATCCGTAGAAGATGAATGGGATACTGAGAACGTAGATTGATTTGAAGAAGGAGAAAACTTCCCACCACATGATAGAAAACACGAGATAGATGGTTGCCGTGATGTAAACTTTCTCTGCAGTTTGACCCACAGTACCAGTAAGAAGTGTTATTTGATAAGAATTAGCAGCGATGATTTGACCAAAGGCAAGTAAGAATGAATACACCGGCCAATCAAAGAAGCGATATTGCATGACTAGGCGCAGACCTGTAGGTGGTTTGTAGTCTTTACCAAGTAAGAACTGGTCATTGGCAGAACCGCCCGTGAGTGCCATGTCGTCTTGACTGGAGTTTTGCCTCGAGTGGACAATGGTATCATTTGTGAAGCTATCCTGACTATTGGATCGTCCGCGGCTGTCGTGAGATTTTCGTCCACTGCCTAGGGCAGAAAATGCAGGTGCAACAGAGTTTCTTCCTAATCGTGCATCACGGAATCTATCGAACCATTTCTTTTCGGATTTCATGAGGTATTCTTCGATACACAATGCTGTTTCACTGTTCTTTCCATCCAAAGTATCAAGGTTCTTGGCAAATTGTTGATAGTATTCTCCTTGGGTATCAGTGAAGAATGGATCGACCTTTTGGAGTTTGAAATCAGTCTTGTCTCCAATAACTGAACTCAAACTAAGCATGGAAGCTCTGTTTGCATTGTTTTCACCAAAGATCGAAGGAGGTGGAAGCAAAGACTCATGCGCTCCTGGTGACTCCAAACCTGGTGAGCCAGGTATCGAGTGAGTGGAATAAATATTCGAACCATCTTTTAGTCGTGGCAACGATAATTCAGAATCATTAATATGTAAACTGGCAGTATTGGCATTTGGACTTCGGCGTGATGAGTCCAAATATCCTGGTTGTGGTGCGAGGAAGGCGCCGCCTGCGGGACTATCAGACCGTCCTTTCCATTGCTCTTGCTGTCTCTGAGCTTCTAATTCTTCAGGCGTGAGGACGTATTCGTCGTATATGTCCTCACGGACTTGGTCATCGTAATCATCAGAGTCTTCATCCACATCAGTCAGTCCTTCGTCGACTGTACCTGGAACTCCTGCTTGGAACGGTTCATCACCCTCATTGAACCTCTTCTTCGTCGGGCGATGTCCTGGACCAGCCCGGTATCCTAGAGAAAGCTTTCGGCTAAGTCCTCCAGCTGCTGGCTTTTCAACGCGGGTTGGGGAGGATGGTCTTGTGGAACCTCCAATAGTACTAGCAACGTCAAGTTGTGATGTACTAGCCAAACTGGTACCGAAACTAGAAACTCTCTTAGCGGAAGCGTACAGGAGGTTTGATCCTTCTCTTCCTCTAGATCTCGGTCTACCGCTGTGTTTTGCTTCTTCCCTGTCGTGGATTTTAATCGCTTTACTTTGCAATGTCTCGAGATCAGTAACCCATTGTGCGACTGGGAAACGTTGTTTGGCGGATCGTGCTCTCATGATTTGACGAGTCTCCAGTTTTGAGGCCAAGGCTTCTTTGATGGCTTGTTTGAATTGATGAAGCATATGTGTTGTCGTAGTAGACTCGACAGTGAACCACCAACCAGGCATTTGACCAAGACCACCAACACGGGCACCAATACCCAAAGCTCCCTTTCTACCAAACTCGACAGCGACAAGACCGAAAGGCTCATCTCTGGATGGAATCAAGGCGAATTCTGCTCCGGAGAAGATGAATGGTGGAAGAGCAGTGAACTCGGGTTTACTGAAGACACGACCCTTGTACTTCGTCATCATGACATCTAATTTCAGGGCGGCGAACTTTCCGTAAAGATCAATAACAGGACCAACGCAGATAAGTTGGACATTTGGATTTTCCTCCAAAACAGCAGGCATAACATCAGCAATCAAATCGATACCCTTTTGCATGGACCATCTACCAACGAAAACCAAGAGCTCAGCTTTAGGATTTTGCTCAAGACCAGCCCACTCCTGAGCTTGTCTTTTGAGCTCACCTCTCTGACTTTCGAAATCCTGATTGACAGTTGTCTTGGCCAATGAATCTTGGGCACCGCTCCAGTCTCCAGTATCAGAAGGATCAGGGTTAGGAAGATTACCAATTTTACTCAATCCCCAGAAAATAGGATATCTTGCCCAAGAACGCTTTCCGTATTTCTTACTGACACCAACGGCACCGAAACCCTTTTGATGAACTCTGAGATAAGAACTAGCGGCGTGGAGTAAATTGAACACATCTCCGAATTGGACATACTTGATAGCGACCTCTTCGGGAATATTGTAAACTTGACAAACTTCGGTTCTTTCTTTTTGATTACGCATTGGCCATAAACCTTGGAACTCAGCGTTGTGAAGGGATAAACAACATGGAATTGTTTCCGGAAGAAGATGGACTGGTGCAACGGCTCCGTGGTAATCGTTGATGTGATACAAATCGACAGGGAAACGTTTGATAGTAAGAGCGATACATTGATTCCAGGCACTGTAGTAAACGGCTGAGTCTAAATCGTCCATACGAGCTGGGTATGGCTCGGATTTAGATTGTGCTCTGAAGACTGGTGCATCGAGAAGAACGTAAGTGATGTTTCGCAGAACATGGTACTGAACTTGAATAGTGTAGGAGTTTCCGAGGATCGTGACATCCATAGGTTCAGCTGGTTGATCAACAGGATAGTCGATTCCACCAACGCAAGGAACGACCCAAATGAGATCTTGATGGCCCAAATTCTTTCCCATCAATTGTGCCATGACACCTAGACCTCCAATCTTAATCTTGATTGCCCAATCTTCGATATCGTATTCCATGGTAGCGATAAGCACAGTCCGTCGTCCAGTAGATGCAGCATCAGCTTGGAGTCCAAGTTGAGTAGCGTTTTCGTGAAACATTGAGTGTAATCCTCCCATAACAGTCATTTCTTTCTCGTTATGATCATCTTTATCCCTGTTCAGCTTTCTGCGAATGGCCAATGGAATGTAGTTCTTTGTCTCCTTGACACCAACACTGTTGAGCTTGACGGCGTAGAAAGATTTCATGAAGAGCCAGATACTGAGACCACCAGTGAGGACAGGGACAATCCAGAAAAGGACCACCATCAACACTTGGTATGAACGGTTTCCATAGGGTATTTGATAGTATCTATAATTTCCGTCGTCGATTGCAACTTTGTAACCAAGGTATGGTGATGGAGGCACACGGGTTATGTTAATGAGTGCCGTGGAAAGCGACGAAGGAGGCATGCGGTCAAGGATATTGTCACCGTCGATGTCTCCCATGACAACAGTTTGATCTGGCTGACCATCAGGATTCATACCCCAAACATTTACTTGCATGACTAGAAATTATTAGCAATGATTTTGGACGTCAGAAGAATCTACGACTTACCAGCTGGCCATTCAGTCATAAATTTGAATTCCCAGAGACTGTTCTCCTTATTCAAGCCGAATGTATTTTCAAGACCAGTATCGTATCCGTATTGGTTAAATGGACCATTGGCGAACAAATGCGGAAGACGACGCGAATATGTGTTTGTCTCAAGATCAGAATGTTGTACAACATCACTGCTGCCAATAAGTTTACTCCAATATTGCATGATGACGTGCTCTCCCTCCCATTTTTGTTTGCTTGTACCATTCCAGGCCTGTGCTTCCAGTGTTGTGTTTCCACCAACGTATGGCAACCATTCGGACCACGAAGTTCCCCAATTCAAGGAGTATTTGAATAAGTCTGCTCCAGCAGCTTTATGACTGACGTACAGTGTACCATTGTCGTGCTTGTGGAGCAATTGTCGTGTATAATTTGCAGAGCCAGGGAAAACAATAGGGTTGTCAACTTGTCCAACGCGGAGCAAAAATGTATCTGTTGATCCAGTTGAAGAATTTCCAGAGGCACTCGTGATGTTGGTGAGGGTGATTGAATGGACACCGTTAGACACGTTGGTAAGGTTACCCTTGAAAGTCCAACGAGTTGGAATCGATCCAACGAAGTCGGTGACATTAACCGGGTTAGGAAGTAATGTGCAAGAGTATTCACCGGTAGCATTGGCTAATTGTGCAACCTTTCCATCCTCTGTCTTAGAGGATATTATCATGCCCGAGAGAATATCGGAACACTTCATTTCGTCACTGAAATCGATTTCAATCTCGACGGTTTCTTGTTGCCCGGGAGCAACTGCCGAGGTAAGTCGTGCATCATGTCCTGGAGAGAACGCGGTTATCATAGGCGAAGGTCCAACCCACGTATCCTTTGGCACATATGCCTTATATTCGTACATAACCAGGGTGACACTGTCAAGACAGCCATTGTAGCCTGTTTGATTTGCAATTCCCAACTGGAGAGGTCCTGCTTTTAACGTGACCTCATCATAAGGATAAAACAGATTCTTGACTGTGGTGCCACTGATGAAGGGAGCAACCAGGGAGTCGTTGCTACTACAATCAAAATTATAAGTTACTGTATCATAAACGTTGTGGTAAACCAGCCAAACAGACTGGTTTGCCTGACCACCAGCCTTGGAAAAATCCTGAATACCATCATATTGACCTCGCAAAGTACTCCACATTCCAGTTTCAGTGGCTGTACCGTTGCTACCGGGTAGTAAGATTTCGTATGTCTGGTTGGAGAGCTGTTGCAAATACCACCCATCGTTCAAGACGGGGTAATTGGCTCGCATTTGGAACATCGCCTTGATGATATTTCGAACTGGGTGGGATGGATCTCTATGATCACGACTATTCCAATCATCATGACAACCGCGCGTGCAAGAATCCATGGGATATTTATAATAGGTACCACTACCGAGGGTGTAGCATCCATGAGTTTGCCATGCTTGAGAAGGAGACATAGCTTGTCGACCGAATAGATAGTTGTCGGCTGTGTTGTCCAAGACATAAAAGGCTTGCTCTTCACCCCATAGAAGTAAAGGTATACCAGGCATGTGTATAGTGGTAATGAACAGCGCCAAAAGTTGCTTTTGAGTTCCATTCTGGATAGCTGGCCATCTGAAAACATCTTGATTGCTAGTTCCGTACATGTGTCTTGGATCGAACATTCCAGTATTGGGGTTGATAAGATCGTTCGTTTGGAGCATTATGTTCCACATGTCTACCCAATTAGGGGGTGTATCGTATCCACTTTCCAAGTTTCCATCCATCCCCAAGAATCTAGTCAGCGTGCGATATACACTGTAGTGGAAAGCAGCAGAGTCGAGAGCGTTTTGGCCAGGATCACGGATGAAGTATGATAAACTGGAATTAGAGGTCATTTTGACCGCATCTGGAATGCTAGGCGGTAACATATCAGGTTGACGTCCACGCCCAAGGTAAATACTACCAAAAGTGTTACCACCAGTAATTTCACCGGTAACCATGAAATTCTCCTTTTTCACAGATAGTGCGCATTCCCTAACTGCGTGACTAAAACTTCCCAATGCATCGACCGTAATTTGCGTTGCTTTGTCCACACGCATTCCATCGATGTCCAGCTGCAGGATGATCATGCAAGTGAAGATCTCGATTTTGGTTCTTACAGAGGGAAGCCATTCTCTCAAACGATCCTGGACAGAGGCGAACTTTGATAATTGACGTTGCCAATCGGGAAAGACACCAAAAGCTTCGGTATCACCATACTGATCAAATTCTGAATCATAGCAACCATTCATGAGATCCGTGACATCATCCTTGACGGTATATCCATCATCAAGCCAAAACCTAGGGTAGTTGCAAGTTTTATTGTACTTCTCGCTGAAGGAAAAATCTAAATATTGACGGTTTGGGTCACGCCAAAGGACTTCGTGCTCGACCAGAGTAAATGGGGTCGAAGAGTTCTCGTAACCTTTAAAAGCGATCAAATCTCCCATGGTCCCCATAGTATTGTCGAGAATAACATACATTCCCCTGTCGTGGATGGCAGTGGTGGTTTTCCTCCACAAATCGATATCTCCAAAATGTTGATCGAGAAGACTAAAATCCAAAGGAGAATATTGATCTGCACCCCAGGGCATATTGATCATAGGACTTCCGGCGATATAGATTCCCTTTACACCCATTCCTTGTATATAATCCAAACTATCAATGAGACCCTGAAGATCACCGCCATGTCGTAATTGGGTTTGCATAAAATCGGTTTCGAAATGAGTACCATTAATGTCATCGTTGGTTGGATCTCCATTGACGAATTTATCCAAGAAGAAGGAATAGAAGGGAAAACGCCAATTCTCGGGAGATGGGAAGAATTCATGCTACGAGAATAGAAGTTAGCCTATGCATCCTCGAATTACGATGAGTAGTTCATTCGTGGGTAAAATATGTGTTGAGGAGATTTCCTGACTCGTCGAGGGAAATGAATGTTGACATACTCCGTCCCATTTTCCAGAATAATCAAAAGCTGATGTCGCCGACTCATTCGTATTCAGGTTATAGCCAACATATTCTTTCTCGTAACGCAATGCATTGACCTGTGTATTGAACAAGACGCTGCACAGTACAACGAAATTTCGCGCGAACATGGTGACAAACGAAACCGACCAGATACGATACTCAAGTGACCAAAATCATGAATTATTGTTCATCAAATTTTGCTGAAGTGATATGAGAAGTTTTTCAGAATTCAATCTGTTTGGGCCAGCAATATATTAGGGGATTCCTCCAAAATTTCCAGGGAGTGTGTGGGCTTGGTTGTATAATATTCAGAGATAAGCAACGCTATTTTGAGTCTGTTTTTAAGACAAAGTACAATAAGTGACCGCGGACAAAAATAAGAAATAACGAGCGTGAGAGTCGACCGCAATCGCAGATTGACAAAAAGAGGTTAAAGATGTGTATATGATGAGTTACTTGAAGTTGAACAAGCAAGAGGTAGGAGGCTGAAGTGAGTATGTGTGAAAGATCACTTTGAACTAAGGACAACCAACAACTATTCTCGGTGTTGCCCCCTAGAAGTCGATCTTACTTTTCCTGAGCATATCGGATGCCTGAAGCTTACTATCCAAGGTTAAGACGCAATATTTGATCCTAAGCCATTCTAGAAATGGAACAGAATGCGACTAATAAGGCAGTAAACTTAATATTTGACACGAGCTGCCATATGCTGGTTCAGAGCACGAAAGTCTTGGTTCCAGGGGTAATCCATATGGGCGTCATTGGACGAGCCAGTACCTCAAAGAGAGTGAAGTAGTGGGGACCAACTTTGATCCATTTAATAACAGGTGTATCCCCAAACACGGGCTCCATTATTATTCTCCGTGTATGCTTTACGACCAATGAAATATGAGTAAATGGAGAGATAACGCCTGATGTGGTATTTTAAATACATCCACCATGATAGTTTGAGTTTCTGTCTAACTCAAATAAATTTAGTCTCTCATGCCGCTCTGAACTTTACCAAATAAATTAGGGATCTTTCTAACAACCACAATGGCCTGGTTAATCCTTCTCATGATAAGCCTTAGCTAGCTATCCGCACGTTGAGTTAGACAGTCATCCGGTTCAAAGGATTGTTCGCCGGTAGATTAAAAGGTACAATTGAACATTGCTTTCTCTTGTGTAACCACAAAATAGAAAACCAGCCTTAACTTGAACAAAAAGTTAAAAGTCGGCTGGGTTTAGAACAGCCACATACCGGGGCTTTGGAAGGAATAACTTTCCCTGAGAACTCCGACGCCGAGCATGGGTATCTTTCCGTGTAAGGAGACGTGATCAGGGATTGGTAAAAGGAAGATACGAGGTTTCCCACGCTACTTTTGCGAAATTCTGACGTACAATAATATTTGAAAGTACAGTATGCTCGCTAAAGAACGATTACTAATGAACAATGACTGACTCTCTATAGTCGGGGTGTAAAATATCTACGGAGTAAAGTTAGGCCAAGTAAGCGAGTAGAATCAGTACATAGATAGTATCGTATCCACAGTAAGTGAACACAACGTTGGCTGAATACGATTCGTCCCTGAATGAAAAGTTTTCGCGTTGCAAGTGAACTCAAAAGATCAAACTTGTGTCCCGTAAAGGCCCATAAACCATCTTACAGAGATTCACATGTGGTGAGCGGATTGTAAAAACACCACCAATGTAATTTTGCGTATAAATCCAGATAACCCTGGGTGCCATCTTTTGTAATTTTTTGGTGCCCATTGATGGGACGAATCTCTATCAATAACAACGGATAACCTTGCCGGCCAGGAACATTTGGCAAGTCACGAATGTTACAACATGAATGGTCGGAGATAAGCATGGGGGTGTGCAAAATTGCAGCAAAATGACACGTCCAATTAAGGTGTGGCGGGAAAACATCGATAGGGAAGGTAAAAGTCGATAGAGAAGGTAAAGTGCACCAACCACGATTCAGTGAAGTACTGGCCCGTTTACCTTGTTTGTGAGGCCTCTTACGAGTATTTGATAATCTGAAGTCGAAAAAGTTCATGAAGAAAAGTCTAAGGGGATCAGCGAGATAAACTACCTAGATGAGGGAGTAGCTACATACAGTGAGTGAACTAGTTTTTAGGATAGCCGACTCCTTATTTTCTACTTTGCCGCGATGCCGTTTTGTAAATAGAAAAGTAAAGATTTCTCCAGTTAGAATCAGAATTCGTGAGAAGAAAAATTATTAATAAATCAAGGTGATTGTAGCCAAGAGCAGATCTTGAAGAAGATTCCAACAAGATTTGCTTAAAATTGCCAACACAAGGAAATATTCCAGAGTATAAAAGATTATGCAAAAGATTACACTGCATTGCAGGAAGAAAGGGGAAGCCTGCAGGGGTACCTCCTTTTTTCTCTTAGCTCACATTGCTTTTTCCTTCTCCTCCTTACTACTTTTCTCCCTTGCCTCGATCTTTTTCAATGTCCTATTATCAATTGAAAGAGGGTAGATACGGTCTCACCGACGGCCTACTCTCGAAATTTCAATCCACTCCATCTCGTATGTTCAAGTGGCTTCACCGTCATAGTCGGAATCAAACTCATCGTTCAACAATAAAATCGGAAAAGGACAAACCTTGTGGATGAAATGCCTTTGAGGCTGTAGAGTAAGTGTAGTTGGTCCACAGAGGGGCATCAAGAATGATGAACACGAGAGCTGGAAATAATGGAGAAGTTGAAAAAATGATCGGATTCTCCCCGCTATAAGCTATGTAGAACGTCCTTGAACTTTGAAGGTGGTATTTCGGTAATAGTTTTTTTGGGAGTTTTTGAAATGCCTAATGCCCCTTAAGTATTCTAGCTCGAAAAATTGTTCCACAACTGTCTCCATTGTATATATCGTTTCCCTATCCCAGAGGCTTGGTTCAAAGAATCTCAGTAAAATCACGAAGTTTTCAAATCCCTAAGTAAATAATGCTCAATCATACTTATTTTATTCCAAAAAAGCATCATACGGTTCATGTCGAGATCTTTCCTTCCCGTATAATGTGTAGATTTTCTGATAATCAAAGTGGGCCGACTGTAGCCACTACCCCTGACTAGAATTCCTACTTTATATCCTTCCCCTATTTTGTGCTCTGCCAAGGCATTATGTGCAGGATTTAAGATTAATAAAATAGCTAAATGTGTTAAATTCACTAAGGACTGAAGTCCCCCGCGATACTGAACGAATCTAGTGAGATCTTTCACACCTCAATTTGGGTTCAATCAGCCCAATTGGGAATTTAGAACTTTCAGGAAGTTCTGGAATTTAACATGATCGATCAATCGAAGTTCGCAGCTTAGAAGACCGTTTGCTGGGTGATTTGTGGATGCTCATTTCCTGTCATGTTTATCTGAGCAATTATTAGTATCTTTTTAGAGTTGTCTTTGCTATTATTATGGGTCCTCGAGTAATGTTGGTAACAATGCCCCAGATTTATTTTCATTACCTACCTGTTCACATACCCAATTGGCCTAATTTCAATATCCTTCCTCAATATCCTTCCACGGAGTTTATCGGTTCCGGAAGAAGTCAGCCCGTTAGTTACTTACGTAGGACTGGCCCTAAAAAAGCATGCAATGCCTTTTCTACATAGGCTTAAACTTGACAGCCGAATATGTCTAATTCCACTTCACTAATCCGGAATTCGCATTGAAAAAAAAAAAGGAAAACCCTCGCCCATATTATCCTTCTAGAACTTTACAACTTTCAGCATAGAGCTAGAGGATCTAAACCCCTTTGATACCTCAAATAGCTCTATCTGCAAAGTCTAAGCCTCTATAGGGATGTATTTTATACTTTTTGGCAAACACGAGTATGGAGATCTTCCAGATGCTAGACTGCATCAAGTGGAAGCGTCGGGAAACCCGCACTGCCAAGTAAACCTATCTCTGATGGTAGTACCCCGTTAGACAACTGATAATTCTTGTGTCATTTGTCAATTCCTATTGTGTTCTGCGTCAAAGAAAGCAAACTGATTACATTGTCGACGCCAATATAATCAGCCTTTCAATTGAAGGTTCAGCCGTCATTCTTTATATGCGACATTTGCGACAGTGGTGGTATCGAGTTACGAATTGAAATCATGTTGTTGACCACGTCGGAGGGAAAAACTTCGACGGCATTCGTTAGTTGGTCAATGTTATCGGTGGCACTCCTATCATCATTCGTGCAAGACGTCCACGCTGCTACTTCCGATGATTGGAGAAGCCAATCGATATATCAAATCATCACGGATCGGTTCGCAAGAACTGATGGCTCGACTACCTATGCCTGTAATAATACAGCGGAATTGTATTGCGGAGGGACCTTTCAAGGAATCATTAATCATCTAGATTACATTCAGGATATGGGATTTACAGCTGTGAGTTTGCCCTTCTCAGCTTCCGCTTAAGCTCTTCCTACGAACAATCTTCTCTCTGCTATACTTTGTGCAATCGTCGTGATAAAATGGATTTTATTAAGCTAAACAACGCAAACTGACTGAGACCAAACATAGATCTGGATATCGCCCGTGGTACAAAACATCAATCAGACAACAAAATACGGCCAAGGTTACCATGGATTCTGGAGTCAAGATATCACCAAGATCAACGAACATTTTGGAACTCCAGATGATCTCAAACTTCTGTCGTCGACCTTACACGATCGTGGCATGGTAAGCTGATTCATATCCACATCTCAACCATACGAAATACAAATTCTAATCCACTTGTACGCTGTAGTATCTGATGATCGATGCGGTCATCAACGACATGGCCTACGCAGGGCCTGGGAGTAAAACCGATTACTCTACACTGGTTCCGTTTAACAAAGAAGAATACTTCCATCCTTTTTGTTACATCACCGATTATTCAAACGCAACCAACTTTCAAAATTGTTGGCTCGGAGACGATACAGTTTCACTACCAGATCTTGATACCGAATCTGACTTTGTGAAGCAAACGTGGGAAACGTGGGTATCGGAGATGGTCGCCAATTATTCTCGTATGTACTTCTGATGATGAATCTGATTTATTCCTTGCGCTTTCTGGAACCCTTGGCTGTGGAGAAAATCCGGGGAATATGCAGAATATAAATTGTTGTAAGAGTGGGCTAACAGACATCTGAACCGTAGTTGATGGCCTTCGTATCGATGCCGCTAAACACGTCGACAAGCCCTTTTGGCCTGGCTTTCAAAAGGCTGCTAATACGTTCACCATCGGTGAAGTCTTTGACGAGTTGCCCACCAATGCATGCGAGTGGGCTGTTGATGCGCTTTCGTCTGTCCTCAACTATCCTGCCTGGTACTATATTACATCTATCCTTTCGAACTCTACAAATGGCATGGGAAGTTTAAGCTACCAATTCGATCAAATCCAGCGAAACTGCTATGATACTACACTTCTTGGCACATTTAGCGAGAATCATGATGTCGCTCGTTTCGGATCCTACACAACTGATCTATCTCAAAGAAAAAATGCTCTTACGTTCGCTTTCTTCACTGATGGTATTCCTGTGGTATATTATGGCGCGGAACAAGGCTTTGACGGTGGTGGTGATCCTCAAAATCGTGGAGCACTTTGGCTAAATCCAGCTGGGTATGATAACACATCAGCCTTATATCAACATATCAAGACCATGAATATTGCCCGTAATGCCGTCAACAATTATATGATTTCCACCAATTACTCTAACTGGAGTCCTTACTGGGGATACAAATCAGCAGTCATCTATCAAGCAGACGATGCATTGATATTTAGAAAAGGAAACGTCAATTCAATTGTGACAGCTATCACTAATGTTGGGACCGAAGGTGGAACTGTGGGACCTTACTATATTGGAGACACCAATTTTAGTGACGGAATTCTTCTCATTGAAATATTGAGCTGCAATAGCACTATTACAGGAGTCGGGGGAACTTTCACTCTCTCTTTGAAAAATGGAGAGCCACAGGTATTTTCACATCTTTTCAATGAATATGCATGATAGGATGAGAACTAACATTTGAAATAGGTTTGGATACCAGGTTCCCTTTTAGTGAACACAACCCTCTGTCCAAAACCTATGAAAGATGTCAACAAAACCCAGACCGCTACTGTCAAATCTCTCTCATCTCAAACATCACCATCATCAATGCTTTCCTTCTTTACCGCTTGCTTACTATCGGCTTTATTTTTCGTCTCTCAATGATAATTATGCACAGCATTGGATTGCGTTCTGGCGTTTGGGGTTCACTTATTAAGGAAATGAATAATTGTATAATCACAGGTAGCTTATGTCCGTGGAAGTATTACTTGATTACAGGGCATGGGTAGGAGTGATTCATTCGGCTGGGACGGCGATCAGAAGCGGCGGCGATGGTGACCATCGTAGGATACTCGGAGGGACAAATTATTGGCAAAACCCGGCCATACAGCCATGGACATGGAAGATGAGCATGTCGTTACATCCTTTCAATGTACATATTTAAAGACAGGATATTTAGGGTGATGGAAGAAAGATAAAGATGGTATATGTGTAGATGAATCAGATACGGATATTACCAACCTTGTAACTTGATCTTGGATGCATGTGCCTTCCATTCCAAACTAACAAGTTCGCTATCGGGGGCTTCAAACTAGGTTTTCAATTCAATATAGGTACTCGTCAAAATTTGGAAGCTAAACTTTTCTTTTGATAGAAGCGAGGTTCCATGAAAATCCATATGCGTGAAAGCAAATACCTTTGAAATCCAAAAGCGGAATACTTTGGTGGCTGATAAGGCTGAGGGATTATTTTCGGCTCGTCTCGTAAATCGTAATGCAGTGGTTGATCCATCTCTGTCAAACGTTGGGGAAATAACATCTCATCTCATCTCATGTATGTCAGACAAACGCAGGGGCATTTCTTGGACGCAGCGCTGTGCCACTTGCCGCTATACACGGGAAAATAGGATAATGGCGGTGACGATGCTGGGCTGACAAAATCCAGACGTATAATTTAGAGGCCTGGACTTTATTTGGTACGACATGAGTAGGTTGAAGTACGCCGATGAGCATGGTGTATATTAAATAGCTGAAGGCTCTGGAAACTTAGACGCCCATGGTTCCTGTGTTTTTCAGTAGCCGTTTTACGGATAATATTAATGGATTTATGGCTGTGTCGGGAGGGCGGGTGCAAGCACTGTGGCGTGGTACGAGAAGGGCTTTTATATCTGTATTTTCATCTGGACAATCAGAATATGATATCACGATAGTCTAAGCGATCAAACTGAGCATTCCAGGTTCTAAGATGAATGTAAGATGCCGAGGTTTTTTGAGTCCACTTCGTCCAATTTCTTTTCATTTCAATTTTGTGGTATTGGATCGCTTCTTGCCAGAGGGTAAGCTCAAGCTAACTAATCCTAAGTTGCCTACACAAGTCATTTGCGGTAGTTATGGCCTCCTACAAGATGATTGGAGCGCATCTGGTCATCGAACTACCGGTTTAAATGCAGGGTAAATCTGTAGATTCTCCGTTTTCTCCATTTAGGATTGATGCGGGGTATTGGAGTCTGCAGATGGAGAAATTATAGTTCTAGTGACATGTCCAGTGACATACTACTGGATGCACGTTTGAAATTTCATGAGAATCCGAGGAAAGTGAATGCTAGAAATACTGTGGGCATGCTGTCCTTTTTGTTTTGGACAATCGAAATCATCGCAATTTAACTTTAAAAATGCGAGCTCTCAGTCATTCTAGGCAACTATTGTTGCTTTTTTCTTTAAGTCCTCAATCCATTACAGCACTTCCTCAGAACCTTAAACCACGAGTCGACAATGGTCTAGCTACTACTCCGCCCATGGGGTTAGTATTTCATTTTTCTCATACTCTCACCTGCGTCTTGCTCTCTAACAGATTATTAGATGGAACTCGTATAACCATTATTCCTGTAGTCCAAATGAAACTATCATTCATAGTAACGCCCAAGCTCTAGTCTCCCTTGGTCTCTCTGCTCTAGGCTACCACTATGTGACTGTTGATTGCGGATGGACTTTGCCTGATAGAACTTCTGCTGGAACATTGACATGGAATCCCGACCGGTTTCCGAATGGTTATCCAGCTTTGGGGACTTTTATTCATGGACTGGGGCTGGGCTTTGGAGTTTATTCAGATGCTGGGGTACAAATGTGTATGACTGGCACTCCGACACAAGTGGGTAGTCTATGTGAGTTTGTTATTGATTTCTATAATTGAAACCGATCAAGTGGTTATGGGAGTGTTTTTAAAGAAAAATACTGACAACAACAGATCATGAACTGACAGATGCACAAACCTTCGCATCATGGGGAGCAGATCTGTTGAAATGTAAGGAACGCTTCCAATTGCAAAGGAAGCGCCCAGGCTGACAATTTCAGATGATAACTGCTATTCAGACGCAGCAACTGGATATCCAAACACCAATTATGTGCCCTCGACATCTCCATCTCTGCGTTATCAGAACATGACCAATGCCCTCGCCACTTTAAGCAAGCCCATGCTTTTCCAGATCTGCGATTGGGGTGTTGATTTTCCTTCCGCATGGGCTCCATCCATGGGAAACACCTGGCGCATCACCAACGACATCATACCCTCGTATTCCACGATTCCAAGAATTCTAAACCAGGCTGTACCCCAGACGCCTTTCGCCGGTCCTGGGCATTGGTTAGATCTTGATATGTTGGAGGTTGGGAATAATGTTTTGACTACTACTGAAGAACAAACGCATTTTAGTTTATGGGCGATTTTGAAGAGTCCATTGGTAATCGGAGCAGCTTTAAAGGATACATACACGAGTATTAGCTCTGCCTCTTTGACTATCCTTAGCAACAAAGATGTTATAAGTTATAATCAAGATACATTAGGCGTTGCAGCAAGTTTTCAACGAAGATGGACAACGGATGGATATGAAGTATGGGCGGGGCCATTGAGTGGAGGTCGTACTGTAGTAGCGCTCATTAATCTTCAAAATACTGCGAAGACACTTACCTTGGATCTCTCAGATGTGGGATTGCAGAAAGCAAGTACTCTCAAGAATATTTGGGCCGGTACAAGCGCGACGAATGTTGTGACATCATATTCTGCAACCGTGGGTGCGCATGGGACGATGCTTTTAGAACTTGGGGGGACAACTGTTTCGGGTACATATGCTGCTAGTGATGCTGCTGTTTCTGGGTTCGTTATTTGCTTAGGCTTTCGAATCTTCCTTTACTGTTTGAATACTAATTTGACTATAGCTCAACTATCACATTCTCCAAAATTTACGGTCAAACCTCGAGCTCTAACTACACCGTCACACTTCAATTCAGCTCTTCGTCTACCTCCTCAACAACTTTCACCGTCGCCTCAAAAAAATATACTCTCCCAGCAGGCTCAAAATCTCTAGCCATAGGCTCCCTCTCATTTACAGCATCCAGCACAAACACCCTCGCTATAACTTCATCCTCCACACTCCTGCCTTCTTCCATCGCAGTCGCATCACCACCAGCAACATTCTACTCCTCATCTAGCATGAGTATCTCCGGTAGCGCCACCCATGTAACATGCAGCACAAACTACTGCGCTCCCAGCGGCACAAAAATCGGCTACCTAACTCCCAGCGGCTCCGCCTCCATCACTGTCAATGCCCCCTCAACATCAACTACTACGTCCTCCACAAAATATCTTTCCATTTATTTCTGCAACAATGACGTTGCATTCAGCACATCCTGGACTACCGGTACCAATACGCGCAATATGACGATTAGCGTCAATGGCGTTGTGACACGCGCCGAATTTCCACTCAGTGGGAAGAGTTCCGAGTTATTTGGGACGAAGGGATGGCAAGATACGGGAATTTTTGGTATTTTGACTAGTGGGTGGAAAACTGGGAGTAATGTTTTGACATTTGGAAATGCTGCAGGGGGATTGGTGGATTATGCGGCGGATTTGGTTGGCGTGGGTATTTATTGGTGATGTAGATAAGAACATTGAAACGAGAAGGTGAAGAAATTGGAAAGCACATATTGGCATGTTTTTGAGGTGTCTTGTAACATCTGTGTTGAAAAATAATATAAATATTGAATTGAAGAATATGTACAGCTCAATTTATTTACAGAAAACTATATGCAATCCGAGTTCGACGATTTGATATATTCACAACGCTTGATAGAGTTATCTTACTTTATTCATTCAATCTAAGTTTATGTGAATGTAATATTCACGCTATTTTGTCCTAGGATTCTTGGGAAAAACTATATTGGCATCAGTATTAGATTTGTTGTACGGAAACAGGAAGCGAGGGCAAATGAAGGGGTAATCGGGGAGGCAAAAGTGAAATTTCGAAAAAGTGAAAAAAAAAACGCACCTCAAGTGTCAAAATATCAGTCTTTCCTGTGCCAGCAATAACCTGCAATCCTGCAACAGGTATTGTCAACCCGGCACTACTGGTTTTCCAGGATGAATAAGTCCATCGAGCTTGTTCTAATGGACCCAGATACTGAGTCCAGGAATCACCAGAGACCATGTATGATCCATCTGCATTCAAAGCTTTGACAGCGGCGACTTCTGAGAGTCCGGCATAGTTGATGGGGATCGTGAGGTCTGAACTAGTTTCTTTGCTAAAGGAGGTTTGTGAGAGTGTTGGAGTGGCCCATTGCACAACTTGTATTTGGGATGGTGAGCCCGCGGAGAAAGTTAATGATAGAGTGGCTTTGATTCCAGCGGCAGATGTGGATGAATAGAGGGTTGAGAGATAAGCTTGAGTGAAGGTTAGAACTCCGGCAGAGGTTATGCTGTATGAAGATGTTGCTAGTGTTGTGCCCGTAGATGTTGTAATGGATGTCAAGGTATTCCCATTCAGGAGGAATGGAAGAGATTGTGCGACGACTGGATCTCCGACTTTGTGGAAAAGATACGCTGAGGTATTTTGAGATGTGGCGGAAGTATCAACCGTGCCATCTGGGAGAGAGTTTGAGACTCCTTTGGCGGCGTTGAAGAGGACGGACATTGAGATAGGATCATACCAGGTATTTGTGTCGCGGTCCAAAAAGTCAAGTCCATTATCCCAGAGTACATGTGCGAAACCAAAACTTCTGGCGGTTTTCACAAAATAGTCTGTGTACCTCCATCTAGCACCGGGTTCAGCGACAAGGACAGGTGTGGCTTGCCACTCTCCAATCATCGTCGGGATGCCTGAGAAATTACCTGCGAAAAGTTGTAAGTCTTCTGTTAGAGCGGCTTTATCGGCATCGGAACCCCAGATGGTATCTCCCCAAGCATTGTAGATGAAGCTGTATGGTGAATAATAATGGAACTCGAGACCCCATGGTTGAGAAGTGTAGGTTGTGGGCTTTGCAAACCATTGCTCAGTATACACTGAGTTCATTTGAAGACCTGAAAGGGCTACTACACGTTGAGGGTTGTAACCTCCTGCCTGATTGATGGCCGCGAGGAAGATGTTATTGAGTTTATTAAGTTCGTTGGCATTTTCTTGCGTTGTTCCTGGCGGCTCATTGATCGGCTCAAAGATCAATTTACTAGATTTGCATCTCATTCTGGTCCCGATTTGAGACCAAAGAGCGGAGAATTTCTCTTCGATCATGGTAAGGTTTGCTCCAGATGCAGAGACATCGGCCCAGATCCAGGAGTCGTGGTGGACATTGAGGATAACATACATGCCCGTAGCAAGGGCTTGATCGACGACTGTTTCAACGCGATCCATCCAAGTGGTGTTGACAGTCCAGCTTGGGGAAGATGTTACAAAGTGATATGCCCAGGTAACTATGACTTTTGTCAGTGTCCTTCAAATGATAAATAATAGACGAATTGGAGTGAGTTAGTACCTGGTATTCTAACACTGTTGAATCCCTCGGCCTTAACTGCAGTGAATGTAGCTGGGACGACAGGAGGGTTGTTCCAAGATCCTTCATCTGGGGTAGCATCCAGAGTGTTTCCAAGATTCCATCCTGGATTTAATGCTGCAAATGCTGCTGAAGCAGTAACTGGAGTAAATGCTGCAGTGCATGCTGATTGCACCGTCGAGGCTGCCGTCGAGCTCGCTTTCGATGATGAAGCTGTGGATGTAGTTGGTTTAGAGGTAGCGGATGCGGTGCTGCTCTTGGTTGTCGTGGTCAAAGTTGTGGCTACTGAAGTACCTGTCCCGGGAAGACATTGGGAGTAATCTATAAAAATTAAGCATTCTTGGGTATATAGAGCTAGCGGTTGGTTCATCTCTTACACGCATTTTGAGATTGACAGACATATCCAGAAACGCAAGTAGTCGCTCCCGTCCAATTGCTTCCACCACCTATCTCAAATCAGTAACTGTCAAATGGCGACAATATGGATTGGTGAAAAGTACATTGACTATATCCGGCAGCTTGGGAATACACTGACTCCACTGCCAAGGACAACACGCTCAAAATAGCAGCTGTTTTCATGATGTCAACGAGACCTCTGATGGAGGTGTTAAGGTCAGATAAGTATTACAGCTCATTCGAATAGATTTCAATCACTAGGATCATATCATCTTAAGTACTTTCTCACAAATTGCAATTACTACTCAGAATCATCTCATAAGCTCCCCCTCGGTCCATGGCAAATCACCAGAATCACCAGGTTGAGCGGGAATCCGTCCGTAAATTAAAAGTCCATCTTTAAAAAAACTTCAATGAATCCCCGCATACTCGGTAATAAATTTTCCGCCCCTTCATAGCTGGAGAGAAGACATCACAAGGTGTTCTCTTGTACGGGGCTCTCGGGAATGAACTGAAGATATGTTTGAAACTAGCTTAGGCAGATTGCCGAATATAAGGGGAGCTCGACGTGATAGGCTGGGTATATTGAAATCCACAATATGGTATTTTGCCGCCATGTATACGTCGGTGGCAGCGGCCCGGAGTGTGGGGAAGCTGGGGCCAAAAAGATGTTCTCGTGATTGCATGAGTGAGATTTAAGGAAGCAAGGGGAGACAATCCGGGGAATCGGGGATGGCCACAGCTATATATCTGGAGCAGGATTCGAGCAGGCTTGCGATTGGTCAATTCATTGTGCGGAGCCTGGAGCTGAGCTAATCAGGACAAAGGTGACTGGTGTCATTCTTTGACTAAATATAGGTAAATTCAGTGGGTAGAATTTGTCCTACCTCGGTATTGTTGATATATGTTAAAGGTGGTCGCCTTCGTTCTGACAACCAAAAAAATGTTCTGCTACGCTGCCGTCAGAATTTGTCCCTCAAAGAGAAATATATATCAGAACAGACAATCATTATGATACTAAAATTTCTATATTGCATACACATGCTTCTCTTCTATGCTTTACTTAATGCTAATTCTAAAATTATTTGAAATAGTGTTGTCAAACTTCGAGATAATTGATTTCTTGTAAGATCAGCAATCGTCTACCTAGTCTACTTGTCCAATCGGTAGATAAAGGATATCTTTGCATGTGAAAAGTGGTGAGATATTCTCTGGTTTATGTGCAAAATGTATAAATGTTTACTTGGAAGCAGGAGTTCCAACAATTAGAGGTGTATAGCTGTCTAGATCGGGCTTCTGGCGCAATGGCAACGCGTTTGACTTCGACTTCTGTTAGAAATAACAGCTGATTCCGGCATCAAAAGATTGCAGGTTCGATACCTGCGGGGCTCACTTTTTTGGCATTTTTCTTGTGAAGATATTTGAATTTGATGTATGTTTGATAATGAAGTTCGAAATTGATTATCTTATCAGTTCAGCTTCCATTTCGCAAAAGCAGAACCGTTGCCCGATGGCAAGATTGCAGGTTCGATACCTGCGGGGCTCATTCGTGTCTTTTACTCTTCAATTCGTTCTTTTTTCCCTTTGGGGAGGAGCTTTTTGTTTCGTTGCTCACTCGCTAGTCAGGGGGAGGGGTGGGGGAGGTTTCGATGTTTTGGCCTATGCATTTTTCCTCCTATGGTGGCGAACATTTTTGTGGACCATCATGTTATATAATAGATCTAACCCATTCTTTGAGTTACGGCTATTTGTAAATAATGGATCGTTGGCTTTCAGTATGTTTGTGTCAGATATCATACGGTAGCCGCCGAAGTTCATTTCCCTCCTCCTTTTACATCCCGTGGGTAGCTCAAGGGAACAACGACGATCTAATGCAATCTAGACTACATGATTGGAAGAATCTGAAAAGTGGATACTTCATTCGTTCTGTTGCACATCTTTATCGATAAAGGTTATCGATATTCTTGTACCATAGAAACTGCATATGTCGAGTTAGTGTTTGCCAGACGAGACCATCTCATCATTAGTTTGTCTACACTATTGTAAGCTCTGTCAATCATGCCATTTATCGAAAGGTCTATGTGATTTCATCCAAACCAAGAGAGTTCACAATGCATGAAGTCCTCCATTGCGAAGTCATCTATTTGAAGGAGGGACAAGACCCCCATTTCTCATTTAAACTTTTCAATATTCCAGTGTCTCTAAGTCGTGGAGTTCGATTCTAGGATATCAAAGGCTCCATGTACGCAGTATGTTCTGCTTGCAGTCTAGACGTAGTTAACATTCCTTTACATTCAATCTTCTCGCATGTTCAAATCCACACTTTTATGGGGAACAAGCAACAAGTATCAAATACGTATGCTTCAATCTTCTCGCATGTTCAAATCCACACTTTCATGGGGAACAAGCAACAAGTATCAAATACGTATGCTTCAATCTTCCCGCATGTTCAAATCCACACTTTCGTGGGGAACAAGCAACAAGTATCAAATACGTATGCTTCTGCTGTGCTGTCAACAGGCAGGAAGCTGCGGTTGTAAAGAGCGTCGAATTAAAACAAGGACAACCCATAAATTTGCCGCTATGACATCTCAAGTTTGTGGGGAATTTGTTTCTGCAATTAACCGTGCACCGTCCGTTCCAAATGCATCTCGAGCTCTCAAGCAATCAAATTCGAACATCTGGTGATCTTATACGAGAATTTGACTTTTGTAAACTTATTTCACTTACAGAGTGTCAGTGCATTAGTAGGTGAATATCATAGTACGAAGCAATACCCATGTGCAGAGGTCCGCTGCTTCGATTATATAAAGGGTAGGAAGTATCTTTACACCTCAGTACAATCTTCAACCAAATTACTACAAAGAAACCTCATCAGACCATTACCACCTCATCAACACCAGTTTATCATAAAAATCTGTCAAAATGGCAAGCTTCGGTCCCAACACCATCGCCCAAGTCGTGACCGTCACCCCCAAGCCCGATAAGCTTGAAGAAGTAAGTTTATTTGTTCCCGGGCGATCCCAAGTCTTTTTATCGTCTCAAAATATTGCAATATGATGACACTATTTCTAACACAAATCTCAACAGGCTCTTGCCCAAGGGGTTAAGTTTGCTAAAGCTGTCGAGGATGCCGAACCCGGGTGTTTGGTGTACAAAGTTTCAAAGACTAAACCATTGACGGGTGATGGTCCAGAACAAGTTGTTATGACTATGGTGTAAGTAGTCCTACCTTTCTTTTTCTTCGTAGCTACCCTTCGTCCTTCCCACCACATTATTTCTGCGCCTTTGCTAGCTCAACCTTGATACTTCATCCTTCCTCTTTTCCGTACCCCAGTACTATGGGCTGACCAGATTTTGATAGATTCAAAGACGAGGCAGCATTGAAAGCTCATGAGGAGAGTGCTCATGTTCAAACATACAAGGCCGAGGGCAAGACAGCAGATTTATTGACTGGACTACCTGATGCTAGAGTTATTATTCCTGCTGGAGGATTCACCAGGGCTTAATTTAGAGGCTTGGTTCGGTTTCTTGTCCTTAAAAATCTTATTGTACTTTTTACATGTTCAATAAAGCGATTGTCGACCGAAGCGATCTGAATCTTGTTATGAATGATTATCCTCAAAATATTCTATGTGAACCACAAGCCCGCTGTTGCCAATCACTATGAATTCTAGCTTGTTGTAGTTCAATGTGAGGAACAACGGATTTTGCACACTACCTGATTGACCGTCACTATGTTATATGAGCCTTATCTAATTATCATCACTCGTCCTATAATCAGTGTGTCAAATAGTCTTCCTGTATTCGATCCGGACGGTCGTCTGGATGGCTAGTCTGTGATTTTATCGGATTAGATGGATTGTTCGAGGAGTTTTGATACAAAAAAAATGAATTCGATAGTTTCATATTAAAAAGTTTTGACTGCCGTTTGATCTTTGGTTCAAGTAGGATAAATATATGATGTAAGATATTCACAAAATTGACTATTATACGATATTACATCATATTTAAATCATAAAAAATTTCTTATTCAGTTCAAAACCCAGTTTGATTGGACTATAGTTTGGTTTGTTGGGGATATAAATTATCCTAGATGGGTTGTTTAACTTTTCAATTGATTAAAGCTCGACTATTTGACACAAAAAACTAGTCCTTCCTGATAGTCCATCCTGCAGTCCGGAATATCGGACACCCTGACTACCATACTACTTTCAAAATTCGGTGATCATCATGTTCAGCGCCAAAGAAATACCTTCTCGCGCATTCAAAAGATTGATTGTCATAGATAAGAGGGAAACCGAGTGAAACTATCAGTATCTTGGGTTCGCTAAATGTCGGGAACTCCCCAGTTAGTGGAGAGTCGTCTACTTCATTACGAGTACCTGAAGGGGGACTAAATCATATAGCAACATCTCCATTGGGTATGAGCAAATCATAGATGAGGAGTAACGACAAAATGCAATTCAAATACGTGAAAAATGCTGTAAAACCTAGGAAGCGAAATCGGAGAGCCAGATATACTTCACTATTCGTGGTAGGGAACAGCACTCCAGTTTCCACGAGCTATTTTTGCCGGCTTTTTGTCTCGACTTTTCGCTCTTTGATAAGGGATAGAGGAACAACAATAACAGTAGGAATGGTCGGATGGATGGTGCGATGACGGAAAGGGTGGCATGGAATAGTTATGATTGGAGATTTCCAGCAGGACAACAACGATAAGTTGCATTGCAACGAAAATTCTTTGGGGGCTAGTACATATGATATATCGTCGGTGAATATATTTTGAGGGTTCCTTGACTCAGACTCAGAGATGGACTGTATAGTTTTTCTTTGAATAAGAATGCAGCCATATAACGCCACATAAGAACAGGCGGGTGGTATACACGACCAGCTCCCAATACTAGTCGATCTAGTCATCTATATACTTTTCAACACCTCTGAAGTTCCTCCCTTTCTAGCATGCGGATCCTCAGCCACCACCATCTTATTCAATTTCCAGCTTTACTAAGAGCCTGACCTTGTCACATTCTCGTGCCGTCGTCGGTGCTATACTTGGACGCCAGGATTAACTGTGAATAGACTAGGCAAGAATCAGAATCCCTGGTGTGGGATTTCAGTTCTCGCGGTATAAAAGGCCACTTGGAGGGACTCAATTGCCTGGGAAGTGCGAGGGCCGAGTGTCAATCTTCTAGCTGTTAGGTGCTGGATAGATGAATAATAGCATGAAAATTGCGGAATCTGAGAAAGTTCAAGTATAAGAGCGTTCTTTTCAAGAGAGCTTAGGAAATGATAATGATAAAGAAAGTTTGAGAAAACCACGACCCATGGCATAGAATTGGCAACAAACATCTATGATAAACAGCAAGTTTCCCAGCTATATAGTAATAAACTATTGACAGTAACAAACTACGGAGGTAGGTGGAAAACGTGATGGTTCTTTTGATTGACCCTGGTGATGATTGCGTTCGAAAAACTTTCCGTGAAGACCCCTCGAGACTTTTTCTTTTGATGGAGCTAGACTTGAGAGATGACTACGTTCTCGCAGTATACCTGCTATCTCAAGTCCACCAACTACTCCCCTATGGAATTGATGCCAAAAGGTATGGTATGAAAGTACACGAGGCGAAACTCGAGAGTGAGAAATAGCTGGATCTAGGAAGTCAGGCGGTTGCCGTCAAGCCACCCAAAGATGAAGAAAAAGTATATTGGAGAGCGATCCGTGAGTAGCTCCTGATTCACCGCCCAATTTTGAATCTACGCAATGGTCTGCCCATCCGATGAAAATTTAATCACCTGGCTTTGAAATAAGGTTACAGCTGCCCAGAAACTCCTGCAGTTACATACAACGAGTCATTCGACAGCCAGCTTGGTCATGATCATAGTATTGCTGGTCTAGAGTCAATGTAATGGCTCGAAATGAGCTTAAGTATATATAGACACCAAAAGACTTGAGAATTCGGAGACTGTGGTCAACTGGCGAAGTAAGCGACACACCTACCGTTGTATTACCCCGCCGTATATCACACACTCCTTATCAGCACAGCACTTCACAATCATATTCATGGACTAAATCGATATCAACTATTGATCTAAAAGAATCTTGTTATAAAATGAAGGAACCTCAAGTTCTCAGAGTTCCCAGACACCGGGAGAGCTGGCGTCAGTTTTTCAAGCGCCTTATTTTTGCCTTCACTGCAATCGCTGTCTTCATACCCGTCGTGAAATTTCTAGCAAACTTTGTGGTGAGCACCAGCCTCAAGCATCAAACATAAGGGTCCAACGTTAACGATAAAAGTCTCCACGATTAAAGCTATTAATTGTCGTGAATATTAATTCATTAAAATATGAGACATTCCGAAAATGCTCCGTCAATACATTTCTTGAGACGGGGTTGCCATGGTTAGAAACCGCTTCACCCATTACACTCCAGGAATTCGTCAACCGAAGGAATAATTTAGCGGTTGCTCTTGAAACTGATGGGATCGATGCTTTTATTGTTGAGCCAGGATATACATTTCAATATTATGCTAATACCAGCCAAAAAGATTGGGAGGCTTGGGAGCCCGAAGAGCGACCATTTCTCATGGTTATTTCCCCTCATTTCGATACGGCTTTAAGCAAAGTTGTTGCAAAAACCTCATTTCTGGCACCACATTTTGAGGAGGGAAGGGTAAGAATGCTCGGTATGCCATTTGAGGAAGACCTGAGTATTATTACTTGGGAAGAACACTGGGATCCTTACTCTACGCTTTGGAAAAACTGGCATATAGCCACAGGTACAGAAGATCCAAGCTCTATTGGAACACCAAAAGTGATGGTCGATGAAGAAACGAGAGACTTCATCCAAAGAGGCCTTGGCGAGAATGATTTCGAGGTCGTGGGGCTTGCTGGTAGTGTGAAACGAGTAAAGCAAACGAAAACAGTTGGTGAGGTGAATATCTTGAGAGCAGTCAATACAGGAACTGTCGAGGCATTACAAGCCATGAGAAAGTGTATGGTGCCGGGCTTGTCCGAAAATGAGGTCATGGCTAGTCTTGACAGTACAATGCGAGCTGGTGGCATGGAGCCATTCTTCGATATCGTCCTTTTCGGTAAGCCGAGCAGTCAATTATCCCAATTATTTTCCGAAAAGTGGTCTCCAAACTGATTTCATTTGTCGCTGCGCATCTATTCAAAACTTCTTGGGACTTCAACAAATTTTCGTCTGCCATTTTCATTTGATCTAGCTTTTGTCTATATACCACCGTCTCCGTTGCTTGAAAATCCCGGGTTCTAGAAAGTGTTCCTATCCGATTGCACGGTATTCATATGGACAAATGGGGGAGTAAGAATTTGGCACATATTGATCCAGGAGAGAAGACCGAGGAACGATAGTTCCACGAGTAATTTCCAGGAGTACCTAGATCACTAGGGAGCCATGCAGCTATTTCTAATCAAGTGGAAAAGAATACAAGTTACCACAAATGTGGAATATACTGACACGTTGGCAGACGAGAATGCCGCAATGCCGCATGGTGGACCAAACGGAAGTAAAGTGCTAGAAAAAGAGACTCTCGTATTAATAGATGTTGGGTGAGCTCTGAACGCCGCAGTCATCATATACAATCAAGCTAACATTCCAAAGGGCTCACTTATATGGATATTCTTCAGATATTTGTAGAACGTGTTTTCCACCCTTCTTCACAGAACCGAAAGATCATTCACTTCTGTCACCAATCGCCCAGCACAAAATCGCAGTTTGGGGCGTTGTATTTGAGGCACAAACCAAAGCTCTTCATGCGCTGAAACCAAATTCATCATGCGCATCTGTAGACATCGCGGCTCGGAATGTCATTGCTGATGCCGGCTACGAGAAAGCATTCACACATCGTGTTGGACATGGAATCGGTATCAAAGCGCATGAGAGTCCATATCTGAATAGTGGAAATGTAGAAGAGATACTAAATGCAGGTATGGTGTTCACACTAGAACCCGGAGTGTATCTCGAGGAGAAGTTTGGTGTAAGGCACGAAGATGTTTTCGTGGTGAAAGAGGATGGAGAAGCGGAGATTTTGACGGGTTTCAGGGCGAAAGGCCCTTGGGATCCATGATGCGACGTCAATGGTAGAAATATGAGAAGCATTTATTCGGAGCCCGAAATGAGCGGCCGGGACGATTTTATATATAATTAGTGCCGATCAGACAAATAAGTAGTCAAACATTCATAGATACTAGCCAATAGAAACTATTCCATGTGATAATTCAACTTTTGTTGCATGTCGTAGGGCGAAGGGCGAGATGGCGAAATGGCCGAAAGAAAAGGGCGAGAAAAGGGCGAGTAAAGGGCGAAGGGCGCGAAAGGCCGAGAAGCCAGGATGAAAGGGCGAAAGCGAGGGCGAGGGCGAGCTGAGTAAAAAATAGTAGCATATCAGTGTCACAGAGGTCTCATTGCCTAGCTAGATTAATGGATTATTAACAGAGCCGTATGAGCAGCATTCATATGAATGATTATTGATATCGAGAAGCCCGAACGCCGTTTTGGTGTAAAAAGGTTTCCTGTGTCTGGAATGAACTTTTTGGGAAAAAAGGGAGCAAACCGAAAATTGTGGGGAAGCACAGCCAAACTTCATTTTAACCACATTTGGGCAAAACTTCCATGGTTTCCTTATCTCGGATCAACGACGACCCCTTCATTCAACGTTCGCCATTCATGTTGCGCGGAAATTTACCAGCTATGAAAGCTAAGAGAGAACAACTAACCAGTTGAGCCTTCGAGGTAAATTGGCACAGAGATACCAATTATGCACGCACGAATTACAACCAGTGATAGAGTCCAACAGTCCCTAGACGGATAGCTAAGATACCTCGATACCTGCTATAAGTCCACCCTGAACTCGAATCCGAAATCCACCCTATGCCACTCATACCGTGTCCGAGCTGCTCTGGGTTTACCCCTCCCTAAGGCCATCATGAAAGAATACCAATCCCCCGTGTATTTCCTATTTCAGCAATACAGTCCATGGACCACATTGTAGCTACCTCATATGGAAAGTATTCTTGCTACAGTGGGATAGTTAAGAAGCTGGTGATATGGCATCACGGTAAGCTAGATGGAGGGATGAATATATAAGATGGGGGGAGTATGGACGAAGAAAGCAAATGCTTCCAGTTCGACATTCACGCTTCTTATCCTCCGCAGAAACACAAGATACACCCCGCGATAGCTTCACATTCACGAATCATCCTAAGAATTCAAGGTATGAATACAACCATGTCCCTATTTCCAATCTCTACTACCAATATCACAACCTCTTTATTTCCATCTCATACGCTATCACCTAAATTTGATCCCCTTCATCACAACTAACAACGGGTTCCGTTATCAGTAAAGCCAAATCATCCAAATCCTCACCACAAACCGAAAAGATGTCTTCTCTTCCTTTCACATACCACGCCAACGCCCAAACCGAGTTCAAGCCCCCTCTCATCGCCAACGAGAATGCCTTCCTTGGTGACGTCGCCGTATCTACCGATGAAGCCGCCCCCCTTTCAGCTGGTTTCTACAGATTAGAAAAAGGCACCCCATTGATCTACGAGTACACATACCATGAGATGAAGATCATTGTTGATGGAGAATTTGATATTAGCGATGAGACTGGACAAAAGGTTCATGCTACCAAGGGTGATGTGTTTTACTGTAAGTTTCCTATGGATGTTGTGAATGCTCATTGTCTAAATCAAAATAGTCCCCAAGGGAAGCAAGATTACCTTCACTACTGAGACTTTTGGTTTGGGTTTCTTCGTGGGGCAGAGAAAGGTATGTTATTTTCGAATCTATGCCTATTCATGTAAGATGCTAATTATTCAACAGACTGGTACCGCGTAGGAAGGAAATATCAATTAAATGGAATGGAATGGATAATGGGATTTTGGAGTCTATGTGCTGTTTGTAAATAACACGAATAAGCAATGTCATGAATTATGATGCATTACATCTTGTTTTCCTCCAAAAAACCTTGACGCCCGATATATTTCCCTGGCAAGTGCCAAACATAGCTCCGTGACTTAATTGCAGTTTGTTTGTTTCACTCATAACATTTACATTTTTATTATGGCATTAACCATATCTCATATGTACAATTGTCCATCAAGGTCAAATACCCGCGTCGTACTGTCACTTCTTCATCCATTCCTCACAATAAACCCTCACCCACCTCTTAATAGTTATCCCCCCTGCTTCCGCACCATCCTTTCCAACTCTTGCACTGCACCTCCCCAGCCATTTCGTCTTCCACCACGACAGGCACCTTCCTATCCAAGTGAAAGTGAGGATTAAAAAGGATATCTAATATGAGGACGCTAAAGAAGACGTCTATTAAAGCTTTGAAGTTGTATTAAAGGAGGAGATTCGGGAACTGCCGCGGGAAAGTAAGTTCCGCTGCCTGTGGTGGCTACTGATGTTGTGATTCCTACGATATTTGCTTTTGCCAAAAAATGAAGGTGATGAGCGAATCGATATAGTGAAGATGGATCCTTCAAAGATGATCCGGCGAATTGGAAGGTAATGTCCACATGATATATATTTTGGAGTAAGGAAATCTTCACTGTCATCATTTTCGATATGATGGGTATGACTTACTACCTTCTAAATTATCACAAATGTGTCCTGCGGATCTGTGACACTAAAGGCCATTTCTGTACGGCTGGAGGTATGTGGTGTTCGACTGCATAAAGTAGCCCGTCACCAACCAGCAACAATAGTCGATGTTACTTATGCAGAATCAAAAATACAATGCACCATTTCCTATACTACCCTACAAGAACTGGAGATAAAGATAAAAAACTGCATAATTGGAAATCTTCAGTTTTATACTGGCTTTCGAATCATCCCGCAGACAATTTTAATGTTTTGCAGTTTGTCACTATACAACGTGGTTTATCCCGTAGACATTTCTTTACCAAGTTGAAAATCATCGCCCTGTATCTAGCTGCAAGGGGCTGGGTTCGCTATTCCTTCTACCATCTCTTGGAAATGTACCATCATTTGTTTGTGGGGCTGCATTTGCATTTCGAAGCACATTGGCACAGCTTACATTGTCGTTTTGAAAATGGATTCCTTGGCCTCCACTTGTACCTATCATGACTTGTAGCCGGGCAGCTGATCCATGCTCATTGGCTTTCTGGGTGGAGGAATGGCGTCGCTGCGGAATGATGAGTGAGATAACTGTGAGAAGGATGAGGGCGAGACCCCTAAGGGCGGTGCCGATGATAGGTTAGATCCTAACGACACATTGTTGGGTGTAGACTCTGTGTAAACGCGGGCTATATTTGAGTATGATGGAGCATCTGGTGCGAGATGTGCTGAGGTGGATAATATTGTAGAAGTTCTATAGGATGGTGATCCTAGGGCTGTAAAAGAAGGAATTGCAGGAGCTGTGGCGGACGAAGTCGAAGAAGTTTTGGTCACTGTTTTTTATAAAGTCGATATGATTGTCACTGCTTGTGACGAAGACACTACACTTGCTGGGGAAAGAGAAGTTTGTTGGGGCCGCTAAGTATAAGTCGGAGCTTGGAGAATTTGCGTATGTGATTTGCGTATATGTCTGGTCTTTAGACACTAAGAAACTCCGCATCCGGTGAAGCATACTTAAAATCCATGCAATACCCAGACAGCCCACAATCAGCAACGTGACTGTGTCTAAACAGAATTCCCCATAAACTAAGGTACAGTCTTTTCCGCAGAAATATCCAGGTGCTACCGTACGGGGAGCCATCGCGTTATTATTGGCGTAACCACATGTTTTCATTGGAGCGCTTGTTTGACGCTTGTTTAATCTTATTAGCACATTGAGGGCAGGAGCTAGACGGGGTGATAGAAATGCCATAAGCGAAGCGTTGATATGTATGTACCTCAGACTAGAAACGAAAATACCAGGGAAGCTACCATTGCTATTGATAAGCAAGTTAAACTTGGGCACGCATCGTGAAAGAAGGAAGGGAAGAATTATAGAGTTATAGGGAGAGTTTCCAGAGAACTGATGATGACTTTTCTAGGTTTTCTCTTTTGGGTGGCAGTTCATGCTGTGGTCCAAAAATGTGATACCTGCAACGCTTTTCGATCATGTTTCGTATAATCTAATGTCTGTTTGCGTGAGAAAGACAAGCTTTCCGCTATTAGAATTCAGTCGACAAATGATTTGAGACATAGGAAAGCGCGTGTTCCAAGTAAGAGAGTTTTTTCAACAACGTTTGCTCCAATCTTGAATTGGTAGAGTAAGAGTAACTTAACGTAACATAACATCCCCCCTACTCACATCACTTTTAATAAGATATTACTATCGAGGTATTAACCCGAAAGGTATCTCAATCTGGTAGACTTCTGACGCGTGCGAAATAGATGCTGTTCTCAACTCCGAAAGATTTGGAATCCTGGTTCATGCCAGATTCATTGGGAAACGGGTAGGCGACGCAATACATGCACGTCTTACATTCATTTCACTTGAAGATACCGTGATGCACAGCGCCTGACATCGTTCATTTCAGCCGAGCGAATATATCAGGCTGGATTGAGAATAAGAAAACTTGCATCATCATTGTCAGTTTACATGATTCCAATTCTGGAAAAGCAGAATAGTCAGATCCTGAATCAGCCACCACATGAACCTGTTCGTCCTTAACGCGCATTGATTATAGACTCTGTAAGGCCATACATTTTATATTCACTACTCCTGAGCTTCGTGTGCTAACCCTGATTTCGCTCATCAATGCAGACACTGGGACATTCCACTTATTCCTGCTTTTGGGGGGGTGTAAACGGCACGGGATGGCCTCAAATACCATAGCAAAATAATCATTCGACCTTGAAGCTATTGAATCTGTGGAGTTACTTGCTTCACTATGAAACTTGCGCTGAGAGGTTGGTTGTTTTCACTGCAGTTTTCTCTCTGACTATAATACCTGCTCAGAGGAGATTTTTAGGTTGACTGATGACGGTGTGTTTAAGGAACTGGATAAAAGGTTCGGTGGAGGAGGTTTGAGGAGACAGGTTTTGGGAGATGGGCTATGCGGAAAAGATCTTGGTAGGTTGAAAATCCATTCCGAGTTTTTGGTTGATGAGAAGTTTGCAGGGCTTGATCTGTCTGTCTTTATGCATGTTGTTCTTTGTGTGGGACTCCTGGTGCAATTTAGGGACGGGTGAGAGTAGACTAGCAAGATGTAGAAGGTATATGTTGCAAGAGAGAAGGTAAGAGAGATGAGCAACATATTCTATATAATGCTGAGGGTTGATGTTCGTTAGATTTATGCTTGAAACTGGGCATTTTGGACCTCAGCTTTGTACTTGACTGCTTCGTCTGCGATGTTAAAGGTTAAGCATTTGTTTTATCCCTTGTTGAAGATTTAGGATAGCAACTCAATTCTTTTAATATAGAAGTTAATTCGCAATTATATATTAGCATAGATATGTAAGGGAAATCTCTGTTGCTTTATATGTCAATGTATTCATGATTAGGCTACGCAAAAATAACCCGCGGGTTGCGGATATCCATAGATAATCCGTACCACGAGGTAGATTATAAGCCTACAACCCATCCCGTACATTACCCATTGGAATTTTAAAATAATCAGTATTGTATAAGTTATTTGTAAATTATCTGTAAATAATCTATTGATTTATAAATAAATATAATTTGTATAATTTATAAAGATTAATATAAAAACTAATATAAAAAAATATAAAATTAATTTTAAAATTTAAATAAATATTCATTTTATAAATTATTTGTAGATATTTATCTACTTACAAATAGATAGATAATCTGTAAATTGATAGATATCTACAAATAATCTGTAAATTATTTATAGATTATCTATTTATATTCTTCAATTACTCGCCTCATAAATGGATTATCCGCGGGTTACCCTTCGAGGGTAATAATCCGCCCCGCGGGCCCCCGTTGCGCAGCCTATTCATGATATGTATACCTAGGTAGGAAAAGCATGTATTTAACGGTTGGCAGTGGCAATGGGCGGTAGTTGCATTGCAGCAATCTATTAGGCAAAAAGGAGGAGTATCATAAATACTTACTGGAAACTTCCTCAATTTTTGCTTTGTTCCACTTCAGTTAATTTTTTTTCATTTATGATTCAACAATGGAAGTCTGTGATCTGCCTGAGACTATTGTAGAAAGCCATAGAATATTTCTTTATATTGGTTCACGGAGTCTGCATTTATCATGATGATTTCGAATGTTCTTTTCCGAACTGTACTTCCTACGGATAATGTAATTTCCGATATCTTCAAACCAACTAACTTGTTGGTTTCTGATTATATCTCTTATTCATTGGCTCGCTGAAATGACAACAACAACAACAACAATAACAATAAAAAGACTTTTCTGAAGTGAATAATTATCACCGCGGTTACATTAATTTTTGCTTTGCATTCTAGTTTCCTAACTTATTTTCCATTTACCTTGTTGTCTTTCTTGATCTCTAAAGATGTCAGCATAACACTTACAGTACACAACGTCAGATCAGAGAGATGTCTCGAAATATTTTGGTGTTTGCTTGGATAATTACCATTTGTTTTATAAACAATGCCACCTCAAAAAAGGTTGCCCTTACTGGGCTGAAGCCTCAAAGTCTCTCCCCGATACAAACGTCCATCACAGAAGATATTAAAACGCCAACAACAGGTACTTCGCTCACAAAATCACCGACGCCAACATCTCCTCCACGCAAAGCCATCTTCCCCACTTTCCAAGTCGCAAAACGGGAATCGTACCCAGAATCCTGTGGAGACTATGAGATCCCTGGTTTTAGTCTGGAATTAGACTCTGGACAAACTTGTTTGGTTGATGAGAATGGATTAATGTTTGGAGCTTGTGCGACGCGCATCTCGGATCCAAATAATTGTGGATGGGCGGAGATTTGCGTGGATCGACATGCCTGTACGAGTAGTTGTGGGAGAACTTCTGTCCCTAATTTGAGTGTTACGACTTGGTATGTGAGCTTGCTATATCTTCTTTTGCAAATCGCAAGTCTATGGTCAAATAAGGAGTAATTGGGAGAGGAGGGAACCACAAATTATAGTGTGCAGCTTTATATTTGACAGCACTCTGCTGACTTTGTGCTGACCTTTTGGGTTAACAGCGGTGGTAATAGAGATGGAAATGATTATTGCGCCATGTGGTATCTCGTGACAGAAACCTATATCTACACATCTATTACATGTAGCGATCGACAAAGCTGGCAGACTTGGGATGCTACTTTGGTTACATCAATGTCTGTGAATCTCGCTACCTTATTTACTACTACTGCTGCCGCACCCACATCTACATCTAAATCAGAAATTTCGAGCACTTTAACTATCTCAGTTGCAAATGTAAGCGGAGAAGGTAACAGTAGTACTGTCTACTCGGGCCCCCATGATAGCAATCATTCGTTAGGAGCAATAATCGGGGGAGTAGTCGGTGGACTTGGTGCTGTCTCAATTTTGGCTGGCCTCGCCTGGTTCTTCCATCGTCGTATGGAGTCCGAAAAAAGAGCCAGCAGAGCTCTCGCATTTGATCCTGGACATTCTTCTTCTGATGACCCCGATCCACCCAATGTGATAGGCTCCACTCAGGCCGGTTCGCACCACTCCGTCAGGTCGTCGAAGCTCACCGGAGGTCCTGGCCAAGGATATCCTAGGATGAGCTATGTGGATAGTCCACTTGGGAGCCCGAATATTGATGGTAGTATTCATAATGGCGGAATTCGCACTTCAATGGTTACAACACCAGGTGGTGCACCAAGTGTGCATAGCGCGTATGCTGATAATCCTGTACATGAAATGCATGCCGATACCATTGGGCCTGCTGAGTTACAAGCATGAGGATCAACAGGTTATTACTTATGCATCGAAAACGGAGTTGGGTAAAATTTCATACAGACTTTTTCGAGGGATGTATACGTGGACTTCCGCAGAATAGAACTGGTCAAGGGATGAAGGCATTCGAAAAGTTCACATTTGGAGTTTTCTAGTGCTGCCAATCTCATGGTGGAATGAAAGGGGGCATACAATTTCCTTTGACATGGCTTGGAAGTGAGGAGATGATAGATTCGTGAATAATTCTTGGAATTTATTCATGGTTATCCAGAGTCTTCTCCACGGAGTCGTCTTGTTGGATAATCTGACAATAAGTCTAGTACCCTACTTTCCGGCCACCCCTAATTCCGGCCACCTTTTCACATCAAAAATAATCATTTTCACCTATTAATATTTCAACAACCAATGAATAAAATCGATTGAAGTTTGAATTGTAGATTTATTATATAGTTATCAATCGATCTTGAAAATTTCAGATTTTTCACTATTGATTTGATTAAGATCTGAAAGGTTGAATTTTTGAATTTTTAATTTGTATAGGATTTATATACAAAATTGAAAAATTATTAAAAATAAATTATAAATTTTTTGGGAATATTTATATCATAATTGATGAAATGTATCAATTTACTTTGAAAAATAATTTATAGAAATCTTTTTAATCAAAATATTGTAATTTTTTATCTCTATAAAATTTATAAATATCAATAAAGATTTATTTATATTACTTAAAATTCAAAATCTTAATCCATTATATAATATTTGATTTGAAGATTTTAGAAAAGTTTATAGTTTATTTTTAGTAATTTTTGTTGAAAATTTATTGAAGTTTTTCTGATTTTTTAAATTTGTATATAAATCCTATACAAATTGAAAATTGTAATTTCAACTTTTAATTTCTTAACCAATAAAATCGCGAAAAATCTAAAATTTTCAGAATCTATTAATAATTATATAATATATTTGTGATTCAAATTTCATTAAATTCTAATGATTAATTGTGAAGTTATTAATAGTTGAAAATGATGATTTTTGGTGTAAAAAGGTGGCCGGAATTAGGGATGGCCGGAAAGTAGGGTATTAGACTTATAGATTTCAGTTTTTCATAGGTAATTAGATAATATGAAGCAATGAATAATTAGGGTTTATTGACTCTAAAGTAATAACTTCACAATTCCAAGACCGATTCTTTGGGAGTAAACGAACGATTGAGCACATATGAGGTCGAAGGTTTATGCATCTAGATGCTCGGCCTTCGGCTCTGCCCCTCCATCTTGCACGTGATGATATAGAAACCCACCCCTCCCCAAGTCCTTATCTTTCCAAAGCTTTATCCGAAAATAACACTGCAACGCCACAATTGTAAAAATCTGGACCGCTTTTCTTCCTTCTCTCGGTGAGCCTGTGAAAACTTGAATTGTACCTACTGAAACCTTTGCAAGAGCCAAAGTCATCGACATGTGCACTATTCCCACAAGAACCCACTGATCTGCGAAGAAGGAAGCTTGTGATAGCCTTGTGATTTCTAGCTATCTTCTAGTATGCAAACAAACTCAAACAAACTCAAACAAACTCAATCAAAGCAAGAGAGGGTTCGAAATCCAAGTAGATCCCGACCAAATTCCAACTAAACGGGCTAGGACGGGTAAGATTTAGAAGAATCAGACCATTCTTACATACATCACTAACCTGTTTAGCAAGGAAATGACAAACTAGTTGGAACTTCTGTCTGGCTCCCTTTTATGATTCAATTTCAAAGTAACTAAATATGGACTGGGGAACTTTCGCCAAGAAGGGGTATGCTTTTGAGGTTGCATCTCATCAGATAATTTGTACAACATAAACACTAGAAACGATAAAACTGTAACGTCACAGAGATACGAGAAAAGGGAAAGGAGGAAACCTTTGAGCCAACTTAGAATCGGAATTGAAATCCTGAGAGTTGGATAGGTTAGTTTTCTAGTCACGCATACAAAAGGAGCCAATTCAGAGAACAAAGAATCGGATCTTGGTTCAGAGCAGATTTGTGACCTTGGTTGTCGTACAACATAGCATATCGACGACATCTTCCCAGCGAGACCTTGGAATAATCAGCAACTGGTGACATATCAGCGTGAGAGAATTGGAAGGTCTTTTGGCTCAAAAGCATAGGAGGGGCAAGAACACCATCATCGTTCTGACATCCTCAAATTTACAAACGATAAGCAGCATTTTTGATTCACACGATACCGACGTTTATGCCTCCCACAATTCAATTGATATTGTGACTAGTTCGATTTCTATCCAGGAACCAAAAGCGCCACCACTCGATGGGCACGAGACTATTCGAAAATTGGAATTCGTTGTTTGAGAAGTATTGGTCACAAAGAAAATCTTGTTTCTAAATCTGCGAAGACATCTCCATAAACAAACTTCGATTCTGCTGGTATTCACCACTTTATCTTCATATTTAAATTGAAATCCAAGAGCGGCAAACACCCAAAGCATCAAATCAATCTGTTGACAATTGGAACAAAGTCGCCCTCGGACCTCTGAATACTTACAGGCCTAGGATCGAAAGTCTGCACTCTGCATAAAGCCACCGGATATAGATTCACCTTCAATATCCACACAGAAAGGCCTCTTTACCTTCTTTACATTCAAGGTCGACCTTATCAAGCTTTGAGCCTGGGTACGATGTTCTTACAGAAGCTCCGATCATTTTCCTTTTCATCAAATCCAAAAATTCCTCGGAATAACGACAAGAAACATCATCGACGTCGTAAGTCACTCAGAACTCCGAATTCAGAACACAGAAATCCTCTATCACCATCTACAACCAATTCTACCAAGGATTCCCATACTTCTCAGCGGAAAACGAATATATGTGCAGAAGCTACGGACATAATTAAAGAGAACAACGGAGAGGGAGAGAAGAATGGAGAGGGAGAGAACCATAGAGAGGGAGAGAACCATGGAGAGGGAGAGAATCAAGAAGGACGAGATTTCAGAGAATATTTAGAAAAGTGTCGGAAGGCAGAAGAGGCGGAGGAAAGGAAGAGGAAGAAAATGGCGGAAAAGAGGAAGGAGGTTAATCTGAGTCCGTGGGCTAGGAGGATGTAAAGCCGAGGAATGGAGGAAGTTGAGTCAGGCTCACTTTCTTTCTTTTTGGAGTGAGAGAAAAGAAAGTCGGGCTCTGAGACAGCTTGATACGCAACACAGGATGCCACACGCAAATAAGTCGGGGGAACGACGATACAGCACATGAGATATCCCTTGAAGAATCCCTCAGTAGACTTCCAAGAATACGAGACACGAATAAGCCATAGATTCTTCTTGCCACTCGACTCACTATTCCACTCGGATAGAATTATTTGGAATTATTACACAATTCAGGGACGACTCAGCAACTTTGTCAGCCAGGAAATCAAACAGCAAGAAAGACTTTACGAACCTCGAATTCCGCCAACAACAAAAACCACAGCCATTCAATGTACTGCTACACTTGAGCTTAAAGCTCTACCTCTCAGCTTGTACATCTCCCCGCCAGGAGTGTCGCCTTCCCCAACAACAGACGACATAAACCACAACAGTATTTACGATCTCATGATATCCAGATTTCATTTCCCTAGCCAGCGCCTTTTCTACTCCAACAGATACCCTTCAACAATTTTCATAGCTTAATTTTCGTTATTTGTCGCCTTGCGATCTGAGATTGGGACACATTAGAATTTAGACATATTTCCACAGCGCGTATTCCGAGATCTGCAATCAATAATATTCGTAATCCAATACTAATGAATTTTCTTGCAATTATACCATCCTGAAATCAAAATCAAACCTAGAATCTATTTGAGAATTTATATATAATTACACAATGCATATGCTGTAAAATAGTTGGAGTACGAGTGAGTACGTTGGCTTAGAGTTAGTTATATAAGGTTGAGTGGAGAGCTTGGCGGTCCGTTTGGTTACCTTAAGGTTACCCCGGAATATGTAATCTTAATATGTCGAATATTCTTTACATATTGCGTGCTCTGATTATCTTCAGCCCGTTTATTATACATTTGTTTATAAGGTTATTATGGAGTACGGAGTAGATAGGTATTTGTATATAAATAATAATGGTATTATGATAATGATAAAAATTATAAATAGAATCTATATAGGAAACGCTTAATCTCATATACACTTTAACTAATACTTTGACAAGCTCACTTCCCGGGAACCTGGTATGTATATGTATATGGATCTATCTAGTATATATATATAGTATATGTAATTAAGACTCTCTATATATAAAATTATATGTAAAATATTTATATGTATATGTATATCCAATACAATAGTAACACATTACATTGCAACTCCCAGCCCATTCCTGTATTTCTGCTTTACATATATAAGTTTATATTGAGAAGTACCTCGATACCAAAACCTAATCATTCGTGATTATCAGATCTTATAGTCATAATCTACGGATCTTATATTGATAACCTTAATCCACAGATCGATCAAGCACTGTGCTGCATGCTACAATTACAATACCAGTTACACAGCCAGATCATATATCTCACAAGTTCATTCTACACGTTTTACACACATGAACCCAGTCTCGATCCACGCATCACCATCTCATCGCATTGCCATCTCCATCTCCATCTATCCCGAGATCCCAGATCCAATATCCGAAATCCGGGAACAAACCCCGATTTCTAGTACTCTATCACCCGAACACCTATCTAATCAATACCAGATCTCTGCTAAAACCTCCAACGAGGATGAATAACGGACTACGAATATTTTGGTTCTTGATGGAGATGTGTTGTTTTCTTCCCTAGCTGGGTAGCTGGTTAGCTATATATATGTATACAAAATAGTCACACAACCCCTTTAGCTATATAGACACTTAGAATAGCCCATCCATCTCAAAATCAAATCTAGTTTGCACCGAGCGATTCATTCCGATCCCCTGAACCTAGTTTCTTCCCTTTCAATTATCATTACATTGAATCACATCACGATTTTATTCTCTTAGCCTGCTCAGCTCGCTCATTCATCGTATCCCGTGCATTCTCATCGACGGTCGATCAATCCTGATATCTTGTCGTACGCATTACGCACACATATTATTATATGTGGCACAATATTAAGAAGAGCATCCACCATCTTCTCGATACGGGGGTAAGAAAACAGGGGAATCCCATCTATTCCAAAGCCGGTTTACCAAGCTTATCTCGTTCCCAAATCCACATCTTGTTGAACGTTCTTTTTTCAAAGCACCTAAGATCTTACATCATATTAATCATCCATCATCACCTTGCTTCTTGTTCTTTGAGTCCATCGAGATTTGAAGCAAGATTCTTCGTCACACAAATTACCAACCATTACACCATTACACGTTTGCTTGCTGGAATTCAGTAGCAGGAAATTCATCAATTGATCGATTGGATATCTTGCTTGGTTGATATTATTCTATATATACGAATAGGTATTAAATCAAACTGAGTTCTCATCTTGATACATTTACCATCAGCCTAATACGACCAAGATAAAGCCAGTATCAATATCCACAACAAAGGAGACGACTTCCGAGTATAGCAACACTAAAACGCCTATTCATCCCCCAAAACGCCCCAAACCCAACCAAACGCCTCGCTAAAGAATCCATTTTCATACTCTTCTCAGCCACATTTCTGTTCAGTGTAGTCAAGTCAAACTGGGCCTGAGTACATACATCATTTTACCGAGACCGGTCCTAAAGTCGCCCCAAACCAAAAGCAACTAGCTGACCTCATATTTCCAATCAAATTCATTCACACACTCACTATGATTTCCAACATCCAAAGAAAGAAAGCGTCTTCTTCCTCTTCATTCTCATCATCCTTGAGAGAACGAGATCAGAACACTTCATCGAGCAGCAACAGCCATCATCAACCCTTCTCCCAAACGTCCCAATCCCAACAACAATACGAGCAATACAACCCCGAGCAAAATACTTATCGTCGCCGTCATCGCAACTCCTCGGCGACCAATTGGTCCATAACATCTACAATCCTTAACGAAGTACCTTCTTACCAACAACCATCTAGAACCTTAGGAAAAACCGACAACCATTTGGACCCAGATTCATACGAAGCGTTTATGCAAAATGCCTTGGAAGAAGAGCACAGACGGGAAAGACACGAGCGAGCTGCGCGAAGAGCAAATGATGCGTGGCAGCAGGGATTTCGAAGACCCGATGATACTGGTGTGAGATGTTGGTTACAGGGATGTGGGTTAGCCAAGTAGAACTGTTAGTTTTGGTGTCATTCATTAGCATTATATCATATATATCGTACAGATAACGAATTTCTTTTGTTTTAAGATGGGATTGGGAGGGTTTGTGAGCGGGCGTTTGGATGGAGATATACCCGTGATAGACAGGGAAAAGGATAGACAAAAAGGAAATAAATCAGAGAAATCAAACTTACTCTCCCATTCCCAATCCTTCATAACACCAACCCAATGCAATCTTCCTCTAACTGTCAACTCCTGATCCATCTCCTCGGTAATAAGACCCGCCGCCTGTCTCTGAGCTTGTAGTTCTCGAAATCCTCCCTGGGATGGCCCCGAAATACTATGTCTCTGTCTATTTCTCACAGGTGAAGCTCTCCTCCTCTGCCCCCTATTCCCCATCTCATTCAAATTCAACAAATCAGAAAATGAGACCTCTCCATTCCCGACCGCGTTACCCATTTCCTCGTCAAACCTTCTCATACTGTCGCTCAAGCCACCATGCATTCCACCCATACCCACTCTTCCTCCGTTTTTCCTCATCAATTCCTGTTCTTTTTGTCTAGTAACTTCATCCCTCCTTCTCCATACTTCTTGCATGACTTCCCAGCAGCGATCGATATTTCCAATCCACATTCTTCTTCCCATGCTTGCCCATCTCTCCTCAACCCAAGTTCTATCTTCCTCATCTTTTGCTTCACAGCCTGCTGCTAAAAGAGGATATATTTGGACAATGACAAGACGACTACTCAGCGGTACAGTGGCTAAGAAAACCAGGACTTTCTTGGCCAGTTCCGCACATGTTAGTGATGGAATTTCCGGGACAGCTTGATGCAAGTGAAGAAGAGTGGCATAACGATATGCTTCAGCTGTTTGAAGGGCGTGTTGGATTTCCGAGGTTGGATCTTCTGGGGTTGAAAATGATGTTGAAGGTTGCCATTGTTCGATTGCTTGCTTAAGTTCCATGGCTTGGGATACTATGGCTATGGAGTTTGATTTTGATTTCTGTACTTTGCGACATAGATTTGCAGCGCGACCAATCAGGGGGAAAAGTGTTGCAGCGCTGCCCATCAAAGGGTCGATTTCCGACATTGTAGTGACATCGGCAGAAGACGAGGAAAAGGAAGACGAGAGGTTACTAAGCGGTGAAAGAAGGTTTTCAAAATCCGTAGAATCTTCATCGTCAATTGATGTCAACCTTGCAATAACATCCATATAAACCCAAGTATTGCAAAGAAATTTCAATCTAGCCAAATCATCACCCACAAGGCTTCTTTTATTGTGTTTGATGAGTGCTTGGTTAACCAATATTTTTGCACCCCTGAGATGCTCGATTCCAGTAGAGATATGCTGATCCCATGACTCGGCGAATGCAAGAACGAGCGTTGTGGCGAGTGCAGTATCGGTGCGCATTTTTTCTATGCCTGTAGCGAGAGACCGAATACTACGACGCATGTGTTCCATGCCGTCGACACGAAGAGCAGGTTTTTCTTTGGAGGTATGAAAGGCAGTCATGGATGCGATAGCATGATACAAAGCTGGGGAATCTCGCGCCAGAGGCCAAACTAATGTTCTCCACGGATTCTCAGTTGGACCATCCTTTACTGATAGAATGCCACATGTTTGCTTGTCAAATCTAAGCATTAGCATTTCTGGGCTTCCGGCCGGAACGTCTGGCTGTCGATACATCGGACTGAAGCTTATAGGAGATGCAGTTGGAGATCTTGACAGAGGTTGAAAGGGACTCATGGCTAGCCACATATCAGCGTCAGATAACGGAGGATCTCGAATGATTTCCTCAATATCATCTTCCAGAGATGAATCATTCGTCATCTGAAACTGGCCCATATTTGGGCTTGACATTGTCATACCCATCATAGGGGATGGCATGGAAATAGATGGACTCATGGAGACAGATGGCGGCCTTGCATTCAACTCCGATCCGGGTTGTAATAGATCTAATAAGCTTGGTGACTGCCCCGAGAAATTTGATCTTGTTGGTGTGACCAGGCCAGTGTCTTCAAACATACTATTTAAACTGCTTGTGACCGAATCTGCCTCGATGCGAGGTCGTCGAGGGCCATCATGACTAAAGGTAGGTGTGCTCATATCAAACATAGGAGAAAACCCCGAATGGAGCTCCGGAAGTGAAGTCGGAACATCAAAAGTTGCTGGAGAAGGTACAGCGGTATTGAAGAACGAGTCCTGCATCTGCGTATCCTTTCCATTAGGTGTACCAGTCGATCCATCCGAAGCTACTGGACTTGCAGCCGTAGATTCATCCACTGGTTTATCCAGGGCTATCGAACCTAAATATATTAGAGACATTCTCTGGAATCTGGTGTTTATACATACCTCTCTTTTTCTGTGCCGGCGGCGCCGGCTTGTTTGTGAAGGTAGCTTCCTCGAATGGCCTCCATTTAAAATCCTTTTTATATCCTCCACACGTAACGCTTCTTTTATGACATTGCTGGCATGAAGGTTTTGTTTCATCGCATTTTAATCGTTTTGCTTTGCAAGTTATACAACCTATGTTGTAAGAAGTTTCAATCAGCATGCGAAGCTTGATGCGGGGCACGGAAGCTCTTATCAATCACAAAGATAAGGGATATGAAGATGAAGGCACCCTGATCTTACCATTCCGACTTTTGGATTGCTTGGGTTTGTTGATACCACTTTCTTTCTTTGAAGATTGAGAAGTCGATGGTCTCGAAGTCGATTGCTTTCGTTTTTTGGGTGGTGGGGGTGGTTCTGGTGCTGGTTTGAGGACTGGGGAGGAAAGAAATGCTGATGGAGAAGGTATTGTTATCGTCTCCATCTCAAAGAACTCTTAGGAAGATACATCGATGAATGTGAAAATGATATTGGAAGATTGAATAGCAATATTCCACGGAAATCAAGTAAGAATCTAGAACGATACTCTCTGCAACTGCAAATGCAACCGCCACTGCAGGTGATGATGTTCTTCTTGATGTGTTGTTCAAAATGAGGATAGGAGTTTGATTCCATGGCTGAGTCGGAAGTCTAGCAGTCCTTCAAAAAGGTGGAGGAGAACCTGAGATTCGAATTCATAGATAAATTGTCATCTGATTGGTGAGTACAATGAATGTGTCAGTTTGTGGAGAAACAGAGCGAAGTCGCTGAGGTACATTATCGATACAGGGGTTGATAGCAGGTGATAGCGAGTCAACCAAAATGTAACCATCGGACATGAATTGCCTCGAATGATTGGAGAAGATACTCGGGATAATGCTGGAGAAAAGACACTCAAGAGTTGATATGATTGTTTCCTGATTAATAATAAAGGTCCATCTACTCGCTCCCAAACATGCTGCATGGTAATCTTACATACTACATAGCTACGAAGCATTGATAGCAAATAACCTTTATCCTCATATATATCTCCGGCCTCAATTGTTCTGGAGAATTTTGCAATTCTTTCCAGTTCATATTCATGTCAATTGATCCATCATTATGATTAGACCTACCGTCGAATCTCTTCTCCTCCCTTACATACTCTGTGTCTTTTTCGAAAAGCGTGTAGGGCTAGGCGGGTATCATATTGTAGTGTCATGCTGATAGGCTGATGCATCGAGCAGTTTCCGAGGCTCGAGTAGATAAGTTGATAACGACGTGAGGAAAGTTCGTGTTATCGCTGGTGGGAAAATCTGGATTGTCTATCTATGGAACGGGCAGATTTCGGAGTTTCCAAGTGGTGGTATGATGCATGAAAGGAGAAAGAGAATATTGTGAAGTAATGAACTTACCAAGATAAAGTATATTTGTGAGAAACCATACCTATCGTGTTTACGGCGGCAAAAGCACAAACGTTGGCGTGTGGTAACACCATAGGTGACGCCTGACCGTAACGTAAAAAGATGAGATTACAAACACTGACGACAACCTGGAGCAGGAAAATTTCGAGAGTTTGGAAAGTAGTGTTGCGCTGCTGCAGTGAAGTGCATTTTTCATGCATTTATGCTTCCGAAGCCCTAAGGACTCTCGATTCGTCCAAATCCTGCAGCTGATTTAAGCCGATATACATCTTGTGACTTAATGCGTGGTTCTTTCGTTCGAGGGATACTTCTATTGTGTTGTATCCAAATCCATACGGGGTACAGATTATGCACGCAAGAAGTAAATATTCTTCCGCTGCCAGATCATCCTTCTTGTGAGCTGAAGGCAGTTTATGTACTTCCTTAAGTGCGACAACTTGGTACAGCGAGCCTGATGTCTTGTACAGGTAGAAAAAATCGACTGTTGTTAAATTTCGTCATGGTTGGTCTGCATATTTTGAGGATTTGACCAGCCCCAGATCCTTCAACAGGTCCGTAGCTGAATGGTTGTTGGTATTGGAAATCATTAGTTGAACGCGAGCTTAAGCAGTTGGCGTACACAACGTGGCGTGTCGCTTTAGACTCCCAATTAGCAGATTGAAACGGCACTCACGACAATGACACAGCAATGACAGCTGAACTTCAATGCTTCGTTGTAAATTTATCATGGTTTGATTATTCCAGAGCGCGATCGAGGCACCGTTACACCGTTGAACTTTCGCTTCACTGTATGCAATCGCGTAGATCGTGACGTTAATGTGTCTCAGAAACGTTTAATTTACTCAAAAGCTGATAATGAGTTCACAATATTTTGGCCAGATTGCAATGATGGAGCATGAAACTTATGTATGGAGCTTTGCATGTTGTGCTATTTTGTGCTGCTTCGGGTTTCATGACAATTTCTAGTTGGAGAGAATTCCCCGATGATCTACCTTTTCATCTCATCTCACAAATGGTTACTTTGGGTTGTTTACGGAGGTAACCAAGCAACGATATCTAGAAACCTGCACTATTTGAATAGTAAAATACAATAGTTTTGAGGAAATTATTTGAACGCTTTCTAGTTGGACCGTGAGCTTATCGTTTACAGGGAGTAGATAGCTACTCATTTCGGGCGCTAGATGCTGCTTTCGCTTAGCTTCATCCAGATTGAAAACAGGATGAAGGGGTATCTAGAATACGCTATTGCTACCATAGTCAATTTCACGAATTCTGGTCGTTGGCCTGCATCAATACGCTCTCCATTGCGTGTCCAAATGTTGTTTGTAGCCCAGTAATACCAATTCATGAATATCATTCGAGAATTTGGAAAGGAGACTGTTGATCTGTCGTATGCATCTTTCATAGCCCATATGAACTAAATCTAAACCAGCAATTTGTCCAAAGGTGTCTCAAGTATAGTCTGGCTCGAGTGATAATGAAAAGTACGGAGCATATCCCGGTACTATTGAAAGAACTTCAGACTTGGCGATGATATGCGTATCATATCTACACGATGAACGGGGTTTCGCCTGCAAAACGACTCGCGATAAGACTCAATTTTAGGTCTCGTCCCGCGTTCTATAAGATGAATACCAAGAGTAGCTAAAGCATCATTTTGAGGAGAGCGACCTTTTCTCCTTCTTTCCCAAGTTTGATTTGTACGAAAAGTAGAAGCGCCCGACAGATAGAAGGATCATGATGTTTTTAGGCAATCGATGAATATCGAAGTTATATACTCAGCCGCAAGGATCTGTCATTTTGGTTGAACTTATCGCGATCGAAAATTCTGAAAATAGCAAGTAACTTATCACAACTTGAATGGCGGTCTTCAAGCTTTTGAAAGTGGAGAGAATGAATTTCCAGAATCCACCAGTACAAGGGAAAAAAAATGCAGTTGTGCGGGTTCTCCACTGATAAATTTGACGCGCCATGGGAGTGAGTGGTGGAAAGAATAAATAGATCCTCATTCCTCAGCCACTCTGTGCGGGGCCAACCTCTTTAATTATCTTGAATCCTTGACAAAGTTGAGAAGGATTCGTTCATTAAAAATAATGCCACCAAAACTTAAGTTGCTCGCTAATGCAAATGCATCAGCCAAGCCGATCTTTTTCTATCCGTCGAGGTCTGAAGATTCCAATTGGATATATATCTCCACATTTAGCATACATTAGCTCAGTTATACCTGGTCGTTCCTCTTGAATCCTTGACCACGACGACCAAGTATTTACCGCTCTACAGTGTAGAGAACGAGGCTGTGATGTTCGAATGTGCTGGTGTGAGGATAGTGGTGAAGGACGACAATGGGATGATGAAGAATCAAATGAGAAGAAGTAGTTTCTGGCTTTGTGGAAATTGTCTAATATTGGGGAAGACCGAGGGGAACGTATGCGGGACACTCGATACCGTTGGAATGTACCGTGGATTGAGAAAGTACGGAGTAGAGAGAAGATGGCCTGATGGCTTCATGATCATTCTGTCTGTCGGGATGCTTGGTACAGCAGCCAGCTTACGCTATTGTGGATATGGATAGGAATACGGATATGGATATGTCGCGGTAATAATTGCTTCCTCGATATTAACAATGATGATGCAAATATTAATTTACTAGATATCATAAAGACCACTAATCATTGATGTTTCGTCTGAGCACGAAAGTGGTCTCTTTCCCATGCTTAAAGCTTTAACTACTAGGCAATTTGTTGCATTATCGTGAACCGTGACATCGACCCATCGTATGTCCAAACCTCGTTCTTTGCCCTCGTCTACTCCATACTCTGTACGCCAGCCACCCCAAAAAACCAAGATATTATTTCCTCATCCCGTTACTCAGACCGTCGTCAGCTTTGACGCATGTTCTGATGTAGACTAAGCCAACGATAATTGATTTTATACATACCGCCAGTGACACTTAACGATTCTGGGTCGCGAGTACAGAAAATGCCCATACTCCGCACAAATTGGTGATGTTGCATCTTTTTTTTCTGCATCCCTCTGAAACACCATTCAAGCGCACTTTGAACCGTTCGACAACTACGAAATTTATGCACAAATTGGTTGGCGCATAATTTTTATATTCACTTAACCCTAATGAAGCAATTTTCACATTTTAACCTGTTTTGTTCCTGATTTTCATTGGCAATGGTCGCATCTGAACTCCCCTAATTCCTCTAACTCCTTCAATATCCTTGATACCTTTTCAGAAATACCCCATTTCTATTTTACATGGTAATAGCTGCGAGACCTTGTCAAGGCTTCTAACCAACAATTAATCCTTGAAAAACCCCCTGTACTACTCTCCAATGAATATCGTGCCTTCTTCTTACCTTCGTATTGAGAATTGGAATATACAACAAGGCACATCACCATTTATGTCCAAACCCTCGACCTCCTCTCCTTCCTCCTCCATCTTCTAATCTAACGGTAGCAGAACTCTATCTAATCAATCTGCCCTAGATTGCACAACCCGGGATCTTGGTAAATTATAATCTGAACGAAATGGAAGCAATATAATATACATCTTCAGATGTATAATAACTAAAAGTTCAGCCTTCTCGACTTCAATTCTTGTTCCTCTGCAACAATCATGGGAAACAGCCAATCAGTACAGGGCCCAAGGCGGGGTAAGAAGCTATCGAAACCCAAAACTAAGCCTAGCGGACCACCTCTATCAAACTCCAATAGCCCTAATCCGAGTCGTCGAAATTCCGTTAATGGAAAAGGCATTGTAGCTGCAGCTGCTTCAATTCTTCCTCATGGAAAGCTGGACAGTGTTCTTGAGACGGAGTCTCTTGAACACATACCAGAACCAACACCCAAGAAGAAGAAGAGAATGAGTATCTTCAGGTCAAAGAGCTCAAAGAAGGATATGGGGAACACTCAACTGGGTGTTAATGTCAATAGTGTACCGAGTGTTTCACCACCGATGGATACTGCCAGGTTTACGAGAAGTGATTCCTTAAGCTCTGTTACCCTCGAGGCAACAGAAGAAAAACCTTGGGCTGCTCCAAATCCTAGGTAAGTCCTGTCTAGATGCTGCATATATAAAGTGCTCATTAAAATCTTAGGCCATCTTTTCATCCTTCCCGAAAATCGCTACCACACGTCCCATTTGCATCGAAAAATAATAATAATAATAATAGTAATAATCGACTTTCTCTCGTATCTGAAGGGCTTTCTCCGAGACCAGATTCTACAAATATTGCAACGGGTTTGGCTGGGCAACATTTTGCAGAAATGGATTGGCAGCTGTCAGACCCATTTTGTCAAAGAACTCAATCAGATCCTGCGATATATGCTCCAATCCGCCGAAAGTCCCTTCTTCAACATGGCGTAGCGACAAGACCCAGCATTACATCGAATCCGCAATCTTTCCAAAATCATACTCCTGTTTCATACCATAATATTGGAAAATGGTCAGCGTCACCTTTGACATTAAGAACAAATGTGGATAGTGAAAATCCTGCAGCACGTACTTCGACTCCCAATGACCTTGGCCATATTGGTTCATTTCAGCTTGGTTCATTGAGAATTACAAATGGTTCAGCAAGTCCTACACCTAGTGCCGACGAAAGAAGAGCCAGTCTCCCACACAATGATCAACATATTGCTACTCTGAAAGCAAGCTCCAAAGTTCAAGGTATTGCTCATCGAAGCTATACTATCTCTGTTCCCGCAGAAGCTATGAAACGTCCTTGGACACCAACCTTCCTAGAACCTTCTTCTGAAAACAGTTCTCATGACTCTCTAACCATCAAAATTCCAGATAATACATCTACTCTCAACTCTCCATTGTCACCCACTAATGTTCATTCTCTGACTCTTCCTCCTCAATTGAGCCCATTTTCTTTTGTTGAAAGTCCCATCGGATCTCCATTATTACAAGCTACGAGCAAGAACACTGCTTTAAATGACGAATTGTTTGAGATTGAAATGTCTACACCTACACTTGAGCCTTCTTCCAGTAATGATAATCGTTCATTTGACTCCGGTTATGGCCCGTCGCCTGCTACGCCAGAACAACAAACGGACCGGATTCAAGTTCCACGAGATATGATATTGAAACCACTGGCCAAGACAGACAGTGGATATAACTCATCTACATCTGAAAAGAACTCAACGGCGAAAGTTTTGCCGACAAAAATATCTCTCAAGACAACAGAAGCACCACGTGCTCTAGCCAAAGAATCTCTGCCCCATAGTCTATCTCTGGCATACAGTGACGTCCCGAGCGATAATCAGTTCTTCAATCATTCACATAGCTCTGCCAATCACGCTATTCCTATGGTCAGTCCGGAATCTCAGAAAACGTCAAGATTGAACAATGTCTCCTCGCCAAATTTAGGTTACGAAGCTCAAAATCCACAGCAAACGCCAATGTACCATCGGCAGAGCATGCCAGTAGTTCCGCGTCAACCTCAAATCTTCGCTACAGGCGAATCTCCAAGCTCGCAGTGGGAAATGCAGAGACAACTCCCACAATCTTATTACTCGGGTGGTCCAGGATTTACAGCGCAATCTCGATCACACAGTGAGAAGCACTTGCCTACTGCAGCTTCATATCAACATAGCGAAAGAGTGGATGAAATTATGGGATACAAAGCAATGCGGAGGGTCAGTTCGAAAGAGACCATTACCACGATCATGTCACTTGAGCCTGCTGAAATAGAGTCTACATACAATAGGCTACACAATGCAATCCCTCCTATTCCTACATCCATCCCAGAAGAGGATTACCATGCTGGCTGGAAGCCACCAAACGTACGAAGACATTCCTGTGCCCCAGCAGCTCTTTCTACACCAAGAAATCGATACACATTACAACCGTATCATACCCCCACTTCCTTGAATACATATCCACAGGAAGACCAGACAGATTTCGAAAATCATGTCACATCTTTCGAGACAATCAAGAACAGTCTAGGGGGCTCTCCTTATGATTTGGCACTTACAGCAATGGAAAAGACACCTCCGAGGGCTGAGCCAAGAGGCACACCTGCACCAGGGACGACAGGCATGACTGCGCAACTGCAATCTATACACGTCAATCTCATTCGATCTCAATCCGAGGAACCTCCAATATCGAGGCCTCATATCAACGAACACCAAGAATCTTACAACAAGCTTGTTGGCGGCAACCAATTTGATAATGATAGCACTGAACCGAACTCAAGGGCGACTTCATCAAGCTCAACATTTACTCTTCGAGATTTACCATCGCAAAGACGATCATCCGAAGACGATGGAAAGAGATTATCCATAGCGAGAACTAGTAGGGTCAATAGTCCTCCGCCTGTTTCTTTCCAGATTCAAAGAAATTCCGTTCTGGTTCCTGCTTCGGGACAATTGGTTTTACCAAAAGTAAGATTTCCATCTGTGGAACAATCTTTGCCACAGCCAATGTCGCCAGAAATGCAAACTTCTCCACAAAGAAAGCCTATTACAGCAGCGCCAACATCGCATACTCCTCATGCCATCCGAGAGGTAACAAGCCAGACATCGGTAGCATCGGGGCAAGAACTCTGGTTTGATTCACCAGAAAAGCAAGATTTGCCTGCACAACTTCAGATTGGTTACTCCGAAAGACCATATAAGATCAGATCTCAGAGCGTTAGGCCAGCTACACATTATCATCGACCTATTCCCCCTCATCACTTCAGTTTTGATGCCCATAATAACTCGGAAAAGATTTCAAGGACTGCGAATGTGTATAGTGAAAAGGAATGGGAGACTCATGCGGGGGCATACGACCATACGTATGGTTCTTCTACTAATCTTCACGAGCTCTCTGGTGATACCCCAAACAATGAATACGATGCACCATACTCAGAAGAACCCCAAACGATTCCAGAATTGGGGAATTCAACACAGGATATGTTAGTACTAGATCGGTATGCGGGAGGCCTAGGATATGGATTTGAGCCCGGCTACGGATTAGGTGGGAGCGCGGGAACCAGAAATGGCGGGATGATGAACAAAGGAGGGAGAAAGGGAGTTGGAGTGTCCAAAGAGTGGGGCTTGGATTTCAGTGACGTGCCTATTATCATGCAGAGAGTACCAGTTGGGGCTGGTATTTGAGGAACAATATATTCTTTATTCAAGCGGAAATAGCGAGGATCAATCGATTTGCAAACCTGCGACACAGATTACGAACTCTACGGCTAGCATACCGACAGAAAATTTTTCGAGTTTTCAAGTTTTTGCATTAGATTGTACCAGGAACGGCAACGAAAAATACAAAAGGAATGGAGTTAAATAAGCATTTAGCTGGCTACTATCGTTTCTATGGTTATATTTTTCTTTTGTACACAATTTCATTGGATTGGTGGATTTTGGGATGCTGCTGAGACTTGGGGATACAGTACATTTGGATGATGGATACCCAGATTCTCTTTATTCTCTTTACGTTTTTGGGAGTTTGCTATTTGAGCACAATAAGCGTGGCACTGGTTTGCTTTATTTTGCATTGCATTGCATTGCATTAGTCGGCGAATAGATGGTGCGTCGATACGAGGACTTCAGTGATGAGGGGAGGGACCCCGACAGTGAATAGTGAAATGTAATATAGCATATAAGGATTGACTCCTTAAAAACCGACTTCGGTAAGAAAGTGAAGATAGAAATATGATATCAGGTGGTCTAAGGAGTAGCAATATTTTCTTTTTTGAAATCGATCACCATGGTTTATCTCAACGCCTACAAGAAAAGGTAAGGGACGAAATAGTGAGATTTCATCAGTCTCAGTGCCATACTTGAGGATGGGTATTGTACATGTAAACACAATAAATTCATTGATGGATGGTGATGCTTTGGCCGGAAATTCTGTGCTGGGCTTTGTGGAGGTTGTAGAGATGAAAATGAGAGATTGGGAGATTGAGAGGAGGGATGGAGGGATGAGCGAATGGGGAATTTGAGAGGAGAAGGTGGGAGAAGATGATGGTGTAAATTTGGAGGAGATTTAGAGTTGGCTTGGGATTTCTGGAAACCTCCTCATCACTTAGGATTACTAGATTGGTGAGATGACAAGCATAATCTCAAATGCGAATTGACTTGAGCATAGAGCAATATTTTTGTATCACAAATCTAAGTTCGATGTCGTAACTTTGCTCATGCTCATGGTAGTTGCTATTAGACTTTATTGTATTGAATATTAACGTACTTCATGAAGAAGCAGCCTTCACAACCTTCTCCGCCATCTCGGGCAAACTATCAGCCATAACATCCATCTCAGTATCATAAATTTCAATACACGACTCCTTTTCATACTCCGTACAATAAGCACCCTTAAACCCAACCTTCTTCGCAGCCGACACATCCCACATATGGGCAGCCGCAAACCACGCCTCATCATCGGGAGCAAATTTCTCCAACGCATTTCTATACGCCGCCAATGCCGGCTTAGCCACCCCAAAACTATCACACGATATGAAGCTTTCCGCAGGCATCTCAACACCCCCTCTAGAAAAATAACCTTGAACACGCTTCAGATCAGCCGTGGTCAATAACCACACTTTAAATCCTCCCTTCTCCAAAATCTCAAAACACTCTTTCGCACCTGCTCTCAACCGTAACTCAGAGTAACCCCGAACACACGCCTTCATCTCCTCATCCGTGTAGAGAGCCCGCGGATCCTCGACCCCCGCAAACCATAACGTGCGGTAGAAGGTAGCTTCTAGGATGCCGTTGTACGACTTGTATCGTTCGGATATGGAGAGGAATGTGAACTCTAGCTCGGATGCCGTCATCCAGCTGTAGCCGAAGAATTTGGCTGTGATGTTGTGGGCGTGGAGTTTGGGGCCGATGGCTTGCTCGATTTGCGCGTGGTATTCGTCGAAGGATACGCAGGTGCCTACGATGTCGAAGACGATGTGCTTTTGGCCGCCCATTGTGTATTCTTTTTTCACTTTTTAGTTTTATGTGTGTGGTTGATGCTTGCCGGATGGGATCGAAGCACTTTACACTGATTAATTATGGCGATGTTGGAGGTCTGTAGTCGTCGATTTGGATTGAAGTGCAGAATGATCACGAGATGATGGGATTAGTTTGTTTGCCGGTGGATGGATGATATCATTCGTACATTTTCCCCCATCAAAGAATATTTTCTACTACACTGTAATTTTTATGACTCAAAAGTGCATCACCCAATGTCCGATATAGGTAGTGACAAGATATTCTGAATATTCTGGATTAATCATATTATCCCACCTACGTGTGCCTGATTGCGAACATACACATGCATGCTGTAATTCGCAATAAGCTTCCCCGCATTACCCCCGTTTGCACTATCTCCGTTCCGTACGTAACCTTACCTTACTCTTTCCAACCACAAGCAACCAAAACCTACAACAAACGCAATCTAACCTATCCGATGTAATCCGAAATCCGAATATTCCTTGGGATAAGTTATCTACATCTATCTTAATGCATATTGATAATGAGAAGATCTTATCTCACTTTAATGCATACCCCTCATTCCTTTCTCCACAATCACTTCTAGATAGATCCCGGTGTTCAAACCAACACTGAGGACAAAATCACCGATGGATCATGATGAATATCCCATTTAAACTATCTTCTTATCTGTAGTATGTTATGTCTATTTATCATCAATTCTTTTATTCATTATACTCTTCACTCTTCAATTTTGATATGATAGATATGTTATCAGAAGCATCTATTCCGTAAGTCGCTCTCTCAGGGGTTCGGGTCGGAAAAGCTTCGGATGTGAATACTTATCTAACCTTTCTATAGCGTTAGACGATCTACATTATTGGAAGATTATACATACGTTAGCCCATATAAATATATAGTTTTAATCAAAGGAAATATCTGCCCAACTCTACTTTCACGCCAGCTCTATTGAGTTATGTTCTTATCTACCCCTATGTTAACCATGCCTAAAGATAATAGTATATCATCTAATTGATAGGGAAGCTCTAGCGAATCGGCGCTTAATATCATTCCGTAATAGCGCATAGTGGATATCGATGAGTTGCTTTTAATGACGGGTAGACCACCAACGGATTACGCAGGAATGGAAATTTGAATTCGTAGAAATCATGACAGGTCAAAATCAAAAGATGATTGGATCATAAATAAATGAAATATTCTAGGGCTATAATTATAACACATCCTGGCCGGTTTCAACACAAGCCTGAATCTAAATCGTCGCGCCATACACCTGTGACTCTCTCTCGCTCAATAAACTATGACACTGATAATAACTTTATGACAAGAAACTTGCTAAAGTTCTCAAGACCATAGTATATTCAACCTTCGAAGTCCCTTAGTAGGCTTTTCCTCTGGCTCTGGGTTTTGTTGGTAAATCTCAATAAAAGCACGAATAGGCATCTCCTCTAGCGAAACCATTTTGGTCTTGGCATAGAATTTGTAACCAAAATAAAGTATGAGGATGAGTGGAATATTTAGGTATGACGAGACAAATGTCTCATTACTCCATTGGCCATGAATGAAAGTCGCGTATCCTCCCGTAAAGAGGAGGATGACGAAGAGAGTCAGAGAAGCCCATGCCGTGTATGGCTGAAGTGGTGCGGCCCATGGAAGCTCAGTATGGCGATCAATTCCTTGCTTTTTGCAGGCGTACAGGAATCTGAGATAGATAAGCAAGATGATAATCCAATTAACCAAGGTCGCGATGGAAACAAGATCTTGGAGCCAAGTAAAGACTGTGCTGGCCGTACTGGATAAGGTCATGTAACCCAAGCACATAAAAACAGAGTAGAAAGCAGCCGCGACGTAAGGAACACCGGCACGGTTAGTCCTAGTGAAGATTTTTGGAGCATGCCCATACCTAGCCATTCCAAAGAGCATTCGTGTTCCACTAAGCATACTGGAATTTCCCGAAGACCAAGCGGAGGTAAGAACAACTGCATTTATAATCGACGGAACAACTTTGATCCCGGCATTTTTTGCAGCAATAACAAAGGGGCTCTCTGAAGCGTTGCCAGAGGATCGGAGAAGGTCAGGGTCGTTGGACGGTACCACAAGACCGACCATGAAGATGGTCAGAACGTAGAACAACAAAATCCGGATAAAGATGCGCTTGGCAGCCATGGGAATTGCTCGTCTCGGATTCTTGGTCTCGGCAGCAGCGACAGCAATGTTTTCGATTCCGGAGTATGCGTATAAAGCATTGTTTAGCGTAGTCCAAAATCCGAGAAAGCGGCCCAGAGAGCCGCCAATGCCCAAGTACTGGACGAAGGCTCCGGGATCTCTCCAGTAGCGGAAGCCAATCGTTTCGTGGTCTGGAGCTCCTCCACAAGTAATAACTAATGCCATGATGTTGACTCCAACAATCAACATGATTTTTAGCATAGAAAACGTAAACTCCAGTTCACCGTACACCCTGATAAATGTGATTGAAGTGATGACCATGAGGAGCCCAAAGACCGTGATCCAAACTGCATTGTTGATCGTCGTCCAGAATTCCACCAAGACGGCAGCGGCAACGATCTCGGCGGGAATAGATACAAGGCATGAATAAACTTGGTTCCATCCGTTGGCGAAAGACATGGCAGGGTCGAAGAAGTGCTGAGCATAACGAATTTGTCCTCCGTTGAGAGGAACCAAAGCTCCCATCTCTCCAACAGCAAGCACTACGCTCGACACAGCGAGACCAACCACCGAATAACCAAGAAATGCACCCAGGGGGCCAGATCTCGCAATTGCTCTACCAGACCCGAGAAATAAACCTGTACCAATTGCTCCCGCGAGTGCGATCATCTGGATATGGCGTTGGTGTAGGCCTTGCTTAACAGTTGTCAACTCCTGAAACTCTGCTATAGCTCCAGCCCTATAATGACCAGAATGACCAGAATGAACTTCGATATTGCCTGGAGCTATAATCTCGTTCTTGCTACCGCCATGACCGAGCTCGTAGTCATCTTTTTTATGATCCGACGACATGTTGGAAGGATACCGAGGCTAAGTAAAACGAAGAGCAGGTAGAATGATCTTGAGTGAGAATAAAGGATATTCAAATCTTGTATGTATGGGCTTGCCTTGTACTCTTCGATCAGACGATCCTCTAACTCGCATCGATAGGAACTCAAGCAGAGTTAAGTGTAGATAAAGTATCAAGCAGGCGTCTCTTATCATCAAAACATGATAAGACAACTTTCATGCAAGTAAATGATAGCCAAATGACCAACGATTTACCCCAAATACCCGACATCTCATAGGTTCACTTGCCCCTGCTTGATCCCTCCCTCCTTGGGCAGTATCAATCCAGCAAAGACGTCCACTGGAGTTATGTACGATTGGTTATTATTTCACCTAGGGGGATTTTGACCCCATGAAGCTGATAAGGAAACCCTCAAGGATGTATGGTGTTGCTCAATATCTCGACTTTCTTTCATCATTTTCGAGCTTTCTCGATACCGTCAAGCATAGCTTCTCCGCAATCGGTCCGGACAAGTGATCTTGTTCCGGCCTTTGCTATTCGTACTGTTGTGCAACAGGTATTCGAAACAAGGAATCTTGTGGGGAACGTCATATTGCGTGACTTTTGCAATAACCAAGTGATTAAGCTCAGCCTGATTTGGTACATGCTTCAGGCAGAACCTATGTAGGATCTTTTGGAACGGGAGGAGCAATAATCCTTTCGGAATACCCGATTAGAGTGGCAGAAGTAGGGCTCGCCTCCAGTCAGGCATCCCGCCTTCCATTCCTATAAAACTCTTCGCTGTAATAGATATGCTTGAAACTTTCGAATGTCATATAGCGGTAGCATCATTCCAAAAAGATTAACCAGCCGCCCCTGTCGAATGGATGGAGACTTGAGCGGCATGCAAACGAGCTTATCATACTCCGTAGTTCTACAGTGGGGTGGATGGTGGGATGGTGGCTTGAGCAATATCGCCGTGTCTGTAACGGGAGTAATTTTATCAGGTCACATGTACGCTAGTATAGTTTAGATCTAGTGCAGAACAGGGTAGAAATACCCTGTCTGTTCTATTCTTCAATCTACACCCCTATCGTCTAAAACGCATCGCTTTTCTGTGTCTGACTAGGCAGACTATGTAATTTGTAACCATGTCACGTGTTATGTCAAGTTTATGCACGACGAAATCACGTCCAAATAAAATTGTCGAAATGGATGAAAGTGGGTCATTTAATCTTTCTAATTATATATAATATCGATCATTAATTATACTTTCATGAGCTGATATCATATCATGCCCCGTTCTATTATCGCATTTTAGCTAACCCTGTTTGGCGATGAGGGGCGGGAGGACAAGATCTGATAAGAATGCGGAGAGATCAGGAGATGTCACATTTAATCATCAAAAAGCTTCCTCGATGTGGAAAGGCAACATTGACGTTTGTAAGCTTTCAACTAGCTAGTGTATTAATAATCACTAGAGTATATCGACAACTGTATACAATCATTCACCGTCATACAATATCTTGGCAATCACTTTTGGAATTCTACACGGAAGAATCCCTCAACATTCCAACACGCACTTTAGGTACGAGATTTGCTTGAGTTTAAATCCCTATCATACTAATGTTCATCAGAATCTCTATTAATTTCAAAAATACAAAGTACCCTCCAGCAACCATGAAGACTGTTTCCGAAACTTTAGATAGCCTTTCAATCTCCGTAGCTCCAACAAAAACAGACTCAGATCCAGCAGTATCCAAGTACTTGCCGGTTTCCAACCCTTCAGATTGTTTCTGGCAATCAGAAAAGCATAGGTTGCATGACCACCGCTCTACAGAAGAGCTTCCAACGCACAGCGATGTAGTCATTGTCGGTGCAGGCTACGCCGGTGTGAGTACCGCGTACCATCTAGTCAAGGAGGGTGGCGACTCAATTAAGTCAATCACGATCATAGAAGCACGAGGCGCGTGTTCAGGTGCAACTGGCCGAAATGGAGGTCATATGAGACCAGATTTGTATGGCCATATTCCAACATATGTTGAGCGAGGAGGACCACGAGCAGGAGCCGAGATAGCCGAATTCGAAATTGCTCACGTCAAGGAGATCAAAAGACTTGTCGAGAAAGAGAAGATTGATTGTGACTTCAGTCTCTGCAGGACAGTTGATGTATGGTGCAATGAGGAAATGGCAAAGAAAGCCAATGCTGTCTATGACCAGATGGTGAAGAACGGATTTGAATACATGGATGATGTCATCTTTCATACCGGAAAAGAAGTTGAAGGCGTAGGTGAAATTTCATACAATACGGTTCTAGATTGCTAATTGTCTGCTAGATCTGCGGAGTTAAAGGTGCCAAGGCTTGTGCTTCATACACAGCTGGAAGTATGTGGCCTTATAAGTTCATTCTGGGACTGCTTGAGATAATTTTGCCAACTGGAAAGGTCAACTTGCAAACCAACACACCCGTGACAAGTGTGGTTGGTGATCCAAATGGAGGCTTCAATGTTGGGACAAGCCGAGGAACTACACATGCCAGCAAGATCGTATATGCCAATAATGCATACATCTCCGCTCTTTTGCCTGAATACGATCATAACATTATTCCTTCCAAAGGAATTTGTTGTCGCATCACTGTACCTAAGGGCAAGGTCGCACCACTTCTCAACAACACATACATCAACCGAACGGAAGACAACACTCTCTCATATCTCATCCCCAGAGCAGACGGTAGCATCGTCGTTGGTGGTGCCGCGGCAAAATTCAAAGCTCACAAAGATCAATGGTACAATAACGTCGATGATAGTGTTCTCATTGATGCAGCAAAAGACTATTACAACAACTACATGCAGGAAACATACAATGGATGGGAGGACTCTGGAGCCAAGGTTGACAATATCTGGACCGGAGTTATGGGATATTCTTACGACTCGAATCCTCATGTTGGTGCAGTTCCTGGAAAGCCCAATCAGTTTGTTCTTGCTGGATTTAATGGTCACGGCATGCCAGTCATTTGGTTATCTGGTAAAGCAGTTGCGAAGATGGTGTCTGAAGACGTACCGTTTGAGCAGACAAGTATGCCAAGGTTATTCAAAACCACCCACGAGAGAATAGACCGGGCGAAGAATGGAACAGAAGAGCAAGGTGACATTCTCGGTACTGGAAACCAAAAAGCGACAAAGCAATGAAATGCATTCCGCCTTCACATGCTGCCGCAAGCGCTTGCAACTTAAAACGATCATGAATAGCTCGAATGAGAGGACATGAATCTAAAAACGCAGTTTGTCCTGGACATTGTTCAGAGTAGAAAATTACTTGTTTGGTATCGACCACTTGGTCTTGAAAACTTTTGGTCATGCTACGGTTGCTGAAAACGCGGAAACTTGGCGCCAATCATCAACTTTGCAGATTTGAATGATGGCTTTGGAGTCAAAAATTATGACCTGTATATAGTCACTTTCTATTAGTTCGCTAAGCTCAGTCATTTTTTGATATTTTATATATCGATCGCACCATTCATCATTGTCTGCACAAGAGCTTCACATGACGGCATTCAAACATGATACTGCATTTTTTTTAGTTTGCTTTTGCCATCCTTTAGTTTTGCGATTATCGTTGAATTTGAGGTGGGATCTAGACTTCCCATTCGTCTCCTCTATATTTCAATGACATTTTAACTGACGAAATTTTATGATTGATTACCAGTGTATATCTTCTGTGATCATATATCAACTGTCTGTTACTTTCACCTCAAATATTAATGCAATGATGTCTGTCTATACCATTTCCATTCTATTTAACGATTCAATCTTAGCTACGTAGACTCTCAACAGAGAGTTTAGGGATCGTAGGACACCCGCGTATGCAGGTGTCGAGTCTTCTTCATTCTCTTAACTCTGCAGTCTTCTGTGGGAAGAAAGATGCCTATCTTTTCTTCCTACTGTCAAAACATAATGAGCATTTGAAGCAGATGCTCATTGTCATTCTAAAGTGGGGATACCCAAGATATATTGGTCCTCAATAGCCGAGGTTACACATGAATAGTGATTGTAGACAACGCAAACATGCGACTGTATCTTGACTCTTCCAGGCAAGCTATAATTCCAAACCGCCTAGCAATACACATGAATTTCAATGTACTTTCACAGGACAGAGCCATATATGGATCGATCTGATGATTCTCTAGCGACTGGACAGTGCGAGCCATCTGAAAAGTACACGGCCAACAATGATCTTTGCAACTTGTGTTTGGAAGCAGTGACTATCGATGATGAGGCTGCTGGTGGTTCCGTAACAATAGATTCCAACGACAGAGTCTCTTTAAATCTATCTGGTTTTGCATTCAACAATTGGCGGCATGCAGTTGGTAGCATAATATTATTGTTCCGAAGCCTCGAGAGGCGGCATCCTGTGGACAACAGGAAAAAAACACCGCACTTCCGTTAGATTCAAGCCCAATCAAGAAACATACGAAGACGGATGGAGCTAGTCTTTGAATCTCACGGAGGCGCTTCTACTATTTACTTACGTCGCCCATGCGTAGGCAAAATTTACAGAAGATGCGTGACGCTTCCTGGACTTCCTGAACTCTCGGAACCAGCCATTAAGGCGTGTAAATTCTGTTCGTTCGCCAAAGAAACTTTTCTGTAAAGAATATAGAGAGTGTTCCTAATGGGAAGACACGAATGCGAGACTCGACTTCAACATTCAGTATGAATGGATCGGGCAACGTTCTGTTAAAAAGGAAAGTGGAAGTGAAGATGCACCGCAAGAAACAATAAAGGAGCATGTTAATGGCTTGGCTGTCTTAGTTCATCACCCTGATATCGAAAGTGAAGAGTTAAACGTCTACTATTTTGATGTAATGGCTTGGCCAAGTACGTGACGCCGTCCCCCTTCTCATTTGGTCAACTAATTTCTTCCAGGTTGTTGCAAAGATTGGCTAAGATAATGGCTACACCACCAGATCCTGATGGACCGGTTTGTGAGGCAAATTTTCAGTTCATGAAGCGTTGCTTTGACGAATGCGTAAAAAACCATCAAGCCTGTAATGAAAAGGCCCGCAGATCCAAGTTCGTTCCAACGCGATTACTGGATACCGGGAATTGGGAGTCTTCTTCCGCGAAATTGGTAGAGCATCACCAACTTCCTCCAATGGACTCAACCGATCCTCAGCTTCAGTATGCAGCATTGAGCTACTGTTGGGGCGATTCGCTTACTTTGAAAACCACCAAGGAAAACAAGGATGAACATGAGAAAGTGGGCATATTAATATACGGTATGCCGGCGACCTTTCAAGATGCGATTAAGATCACTAGGGAGCTTGGCATTCGATATCTATGGATTGACGCACTTTGCATCGTTCAATGGAGCAAAGAAGATTTGGAAGGCTGTATCGATTTCAATGTGTGACATTTTCGCACATTCCCAAATCACTATTGGTGCAACTATAAGTTCCTCATCCACCGAGACCTTTCTTTGGCGACCAGTAAATGAACTTCTTACTTTCCAATTCCGCTCATCTCTGTTGAAGCATATTGCTGGAGAGTATTCAATTTCCCTGGAAGCAAGAGCCCCTAGCAGAGGGTACCGTGATATCAGCCAATCGAGATGACATAGCCGTGCTTGGGTTTAGCAAGAAAGGATCATGTCTACAACGACAGCTTCTATTCGTTGAGAAAATGGTTCAATTCCGGTGCGATGGAGGGGTTCAAATGGAAGACAGTCATCGATAACGTGAAGCTCGTTTAAATCTGCGCAATGGTTCAGGTTACGAGAGCTGGTGGTTTGATGCAGTTGAAGATTACTCTTCGAACGTGCTCTCGTATCCCAAGGACAGACTGGATGGCTTGGCTGGTGTGGCCAAATTTATTTCAGACCATCTAGTAGAGACAGAGAAAAGAACAGAGTATCTTGCATAATTGTAGCTCAACCGCGAGTCGAGAGGCAACTTCGATGGGAGTATGTCGAACCAAAATTGCCGTACACTGTCATATTGGAATCATTGCAGGACGAAGAAGAATTTATTGCTCCATCTTGGACCTGGGCATCTCGAAACACCGGTGTCTTTTTTCCTATGAGTGAGGAGGATAGTCTCTTTCAGGTTATCGAGTATGCCTTACAGCTGCTTGACACTAGTGCTATGATTGCAGTTAAATTTGGATCGTCAACTAGTCTTCGCGGAAAGTGTCGACAAACGCCAGATGAGCCAATAAGTGGCTGTTTCAAGCAAAAGTATGTCCATCCTTTCGAAATAGGGGAAAGTAGGCTCTGCAAGAAATGGAAAATATCTGGTTCTTATGGTCGTGTCAGCTTTTGGTTAGATTGGGTACCAAATACAAAGGACCCTAATCACGAAGGAAGAGAAATTCAACGGCAACTTCAGCTCTTCGCTATAACCAAGAATCCTAGTAAAGGGAGGACGGAAAAAACCTCTGGCCTTTTACTCTTACCATTTTAAAGTTCCAAAGGCACTGTATGCCGTAGAGTTCGGGTATTTCAACGAAGTGGGGGACTTCGAATGGTTCTGGAGTCAGCCAGACCGCGATATTACTATTTGGTAAAAACTCTAGTTTCTATATTTCAATTTTAATCTATCGAAGGAGCATTCAAACTGCTTATCCCATATTGCTCTCCAATTTTGTGGCTAAAGACTAAGAGAAAAGTATGTTAACGTGAGCCATGGCGTCATTATATCAAGGGTAACTACTCCCCAAATAAATTTTAATTATTGAACAATCATGTTTGTATGAACTAGGCAGGAAGCGGTAACTTGTGGTAGCTATTAGAAGATACAGCGACGAAGTGTAGTAAACTGTTAAAGGCAATATCTCGACGACCACAAGTCAGATTTGATTTACTTTGATCAGTACTGAGAAGAAGTATCAATTACTACGGAATTTCGACGCAGGATGAACGAATGCCCTCCACTTGACGACGTACAGCGCCATTAGTAATAATATATCACGCCATTGTATAGCATGAGCGAAAGTGCCGCTATTAGTTGATGTTATTCACTGCCATCAAACTAGTTTTTTATTCTTTTCTTATCTTCCGGTGTGCAGTTTTCTTATCTTCCCCCTACAAAGTGATCATGATGGAGGTCGGGAATCATCAAATGAGTGATTGCAAGTTATTCAAAGTTCTACTTATCCAGTCTATACATTAGCGCCAAGGGGGCCAAAAAGCCAAAAAGGAGATTCAAGGCTGCTTGAGATATCTACTGTTAGTAAATCAAGATATAGCCAAAGAGGAAAAGCAGACTGTTAAAAACTGTACACAAACGAGAGCGATAGCTTTCGTCTATAACTTTGGAAAAACAAACAAGATGCAAGCAGTGGACTTGATCGCCGTCATACGGAAATACCAACGTAAGAAAGAACCAAAGCCACCCTAATCATAAAATATTGTCATATATATGTATATCTTCTAAAAACTATTGCAAAGGTTTATGTACTCTAAGAAACATTATTCATAAATCCATTTCCAAACCCTAGAAAAAATAAAATCGCATAAAAATCTAAGCAGATGCCATTTTAGCAGCCTCAACATCACTGTTACTAGCGCTAATCCCTTCGCTAGTCTTTTCTCTCGACTCTTCCTGTTTCTTCATCTTCTTCTTCGTACCTAGACCACCCAATCCGGTCATTGCCTCTTTAAATGTAATTGCAGGATTAAAGAGGTTCAGTGCAAAACAGGCCACAATGACCATAACACCTTCAAATCCAATAAATAGATTTTGCTTCCTGATGAGATTTCCCGTCCACCCTTCTGCCAATTCGGCGACTCTGTACACAGATCTCCAGAAGACACATATGGTAGCAAGAGCAAGAGCGATTACAAATCCCTTGAAGCCTTTGGAAGAGCGAAGGGTTATAAAAGCGGGGTTTTGATCGAATGCTGCGGAACCGAGGGATCTGTATCGAGAGCGTGTCCGAATTGCAAAATCGACGCAGAGAATCATGAAGATTAATAGAGTGAAGACTTGGAATGCAAGGCCGGCTACCATGATGTTATCACCAGTGTCTGGCGATTTGTTCTGATGTGAGGCTGCGGATGCCAACCCGCCACCTGCGGCTTGAAGCAGGAGGGACATGAGATCACAAGGGATGAACTGTGAGATAGTTAGTTTCATATGTAGAAGCGTAAATGGCATGATTCATCGGGTACATACAATTCTAGTATAAGCCTCTGGGCTAATCCGGGAATTTTCCGGTCCGAACGCATACACGATTCTTCTCAAGCACAAATAGATACCTCCTGCCATAAACGCCGGTGCAATTGTCAGGCAAACGATTTGCATGAGAAATCCATTCTGCTTCCATTGGTTCTCCCAACTCATTATACGACCCACATACCCGATGATTTCGAGTATAACACCAGCGCACATGGCGACTGTGAAGGCCGTCGCACGACGAGTGAGTGCATATGTAAGGAAAAATCCGAGGAATGAGAGGCAGAAAAGTGCGAGAAAAGCGGCATTTGCGCCGATTGATACACGATAGAAATAATAGGATGTAGAGATGGGACAGGTATCGACTGTGCAATCTGCATATCTATCGAGTTGATTACGAGGGAGAAGGGTAAGGAGAGAATTCATGGTGGCAATGATGCGAGCATAAAAAAGATTAGATTTTTGTTCCTCAATCGATGGAATGATGGAAAATTAGACAATAATGAGTGTCCAGAAACCCGCGGCAAACTCAACAAGTCAAAGGCTGGAAGACTCGATATATGAAGTGAAAAAGCAAGACGTAAGAATGCGGGCGTAAGTGATAAATCAGAAAATCTTACAAGATGTAAAAACACTCTCCGTGTCCGTTTGCAGACAGACCAGGCAAGATTTCGAAACACAAATACCAAAACACGTCAGAAGATGATTTAGCCTTGAAAACCAAACACCAGAAAAGAGAACAACAAGAGAAAAAGACTTACGTGAGGTTGTCATCATTTGTATATACTGATTGGACTTTTAATCGGATCTGTAGTCCCTCTGTTGAAAACGAGCTGACGGTCGTGAGTGGAGGAATGTCAATAGATGACATGGATTTCGGAGCCACCGCGGACCCGGTCGTCAGAATTTTCCTAGTATTGACTAGCGTCATAGGGATGGTGGCCACATTTCACATTTCCATACTATTTTCCTTTTCCAGTTCGAGAAGATATCGACGGAAGCGATGCATTTGAGGTTTGAAGCAGACGTTCGCTATAAGCTCTTCCTGTAAATCTGTTTCATTATAGATACTCTAACCTTACAGATAAAATAAAATTATATTATAAACGTCGCCTTCCAATGCTGACATTTTTGCCAACCGGGCCAGCAAATTTCATTTCTCATACCTAAGCGGTTCCATTCTATCTCTTATCTAGACCTATCAGGCTATCAGACTCTGTAACCGAGCCCGAGCCGTCTTCATAGATGTCGCTTACATTTTGGGTTAGGCCTAGACCTTGTTTTCCTCAATTCCTGTGCTTAATTAAGCTTAATTCGTCTCTTGATCCAATCGGAATTTGTAGTATCCGAGTCTTTTATTGTGATTACCTATCTAAAGGTAAGAAATCTCCCCTTCTCATTCGATAAAAATTATTTGAAGTCGTTCTCAACAGAGATTTCCCCAGGTTTGGTATGGTTAGATGAGTTATCAATACCCGATAGACGAAGAATGAAGTTTGAATATCGTTGTCACCTAATGCTTGTGTGACAGCTTCTTCGGTTTCTTCATCTGCTGTATTTTAATATCAGAGAGCAAGGCAGGCGGTATATCTGGCCTTGCTTGATTTCCCATATTGAAGGATTTTCTTGGAACAAGTATGTTTAACAATGGTGATGAAAATGTTGTAGAAGCTGTTTGAAATGTTCCATCTTAGGCGTTTCTACACTGAATAAGAGAGCTCTTATGAAACGCTCATTAGGCTCTAATGGCGATTGTTTTGCACGATGATTAGCTTAACAACTCCGAGCTATAGTTGGCTACACGATCGAGACCATGGATCTGGCTTCAGATCTCATCAATTCACTACTGTTTTTGACAGGGTTTATGTCGCAAAAACGCGGTTTATGGTCACATTGTCGCCAATTCACCCTCGGGGTTTACCCTTTGCTAATTGAATAACATTAATCCACATCGCAGGAACTCTATATTACTCGTGCTTCCAGAAAGTACGGAACCATCCAGCTATATATGAGCTACTATTCCCCTTGTAGTTAACCATCTTATATCATGTGCTTAATGTGGATGGTATATCACTTTCGGGCCGCTTGAGTACGTTCTGTTAATGAAAAGCCTCTCCGGTTAGTTCAATTCGCCTGCGAAGCGCGGGGGGGTTGGTTAATGGAAGAGCAGAAAACAGGGTTTTCTACGTCAATGAGTTCAAGCAAATGCATCATGACAGATGTAAGGAGGCTTTACTAGAGTTATAGCCTATTCCGAATCGGGATGTCCTGGTATATCTTCGACGATCGGATAGATCTTGCATTTGATCAATGCATGTCTCACTGATCGCGGCGCAGTTGAATGTGCCCCTCACTTTAGACACCCCGTCATATAGCACAGCACGTAGCACTTTTTGGCTGAATGACATTAGGCATAGATGTTTTTCCGGCTCTCAATGCACGATCCTGCGGGTCCCAGCTCTCAGCTCCCCAAAATCGCCGCCCCACTTCAAGAGGTTGGGAGAAAATCATCAATCCGGTCGTTCACAGATGATGCATTAAGGATAGAAATATAAATATGCCATTTCCAATTTTAAAAAATGATATTTTCGAGACAGTAACAGTATCCCCGTCATCTCATTTGCACAGTCCCACTTTACAGATCAAACAATTTTCTCGAAAATGTCTGCAGTTCTCACCGCAAAATCACTCATAGTCCTCCCGGTTCCTCCCTTGGATCTGGGTAATATGCCCTTTGCTGGGGAAGGAGACCCAGAAGAGACCCTGGAGAAGGCCAAAATAGATCGAAAAGTTGGCTCTGCAATTCAATACATTAATTTTCCACAGGGCATCCCCCAAGAAGCTCGTGCAACTTTGGTCGAATATGAGAAAGCCGTTTTGAACTATCGCAGCTGGGCGAGTCTCAGATGGTGGAACACCACTTATGCCAGTGGTAGTGTGCCTCAAGATGAATCTGCAGGATCAGCTCGAAGCGGATTGGCTACTGTGCTCGAGTGGCTGAATATGATATGAAGAATACTCCCTGGTTAGCAGAATCCTTCCCGTATAATGCGTTGGTTTGAGCTCGATTCTAATGAAATTAAACAGGTTAGCAATGACCATGAGTGAAATTAAGAACAAGACCATCAATACTTCGACCAAGACTTTCCACACCGCTCTCGTTGATGCCATTCTAGAGGGTTTCGTTTCTGTACCATCCACTGCATACAACGAGCTCAAGAAAGTCTTTGAAGTCATCAATACCGCTATTGAGACCAGGGCCAGTGTCAGTGACAATATCCAACAATACATTTTCTCGCAGCGTTACGAATACTCACCAGCCACAAAAACCATTCGGTCATGTAAGTTCCAGTTGTACCAATGACTTATATCAGAAACAGGGCTAACTTTATAAAGTCATTCGTACCTCCATGTTCGAAATCACTCAAGAAATGGTCGAGGTTCACAAAAAGAAAAGTACTTCGACCTCTATCAATGCGGCCATTGCATACAGCGAGTACGAAGCCCAATTCAACATGGATGACTGGGCTGTGGCTTTTGATATGATTGAATAATGGAAGCAGAAGACGATGGAGGACTTTGTTGTGGATGCCACTGTTCAGGTTCCTTTCTGATCAAGAGGATAGAAATACTATATGTAAGGATCAAAGGTCCTTATCAGTCGTGTTATGAGGGATCTAAGCATTCGTAGTGAACTCGAGCTTGGATTAGGTCAATGATGAAAAGCTGCACTTCGTAAATATTACTTATAGTATTTGATTCGCACCCAACGTATATTGGTGATAATTCTGAGTGCCCAAAATTATGTTAATTTGAGAACAGGACTGAAGTTGAAGTTGATGCGGTTGTACAGTAAATCTTACCCCGCCTACCAAGAACCTCAACTGTATGCATACAGAGCTTAATTTCACCAGGTACTACACTGTGATCACCATTAAGCAAGACATATCAATGGGCTTGGATAATTCTATGAAGGATTTAGGTCTGTTGGCAGATGCGGGATGTGATATCTCCGCCCGTGCTAAGTCTGTACATAAGTGGATAAAGTCATACAATGAAAAGGCACGCTACGGTGCAGCTCTTCCGCGAGCGGAAAGAGAATTGGCACGGCGTATAGAATTTCGAATTGCGACAGAGTTTGGGCGGGAGTTTCTGAAGGCGTGAATTATTTTCATACCAGGAAAACCATGTCGAGAACACGATGAAGTCCTCAAATGATGTGCTCGACGGATCGGACATGATACGGCCAAGCCGAAGGTCGCTACATCTGCCAAGGTACATATCGACGCTCCGAGCATAGTTACGGCGGTCGCCTGTCAATACATATGTGACTTGCATTGCCAGCAATCAACGCCACCATCTTTAAGTCGGCTAGGGCAGTCTGGAAAACCACATTGATCCGTATGGACCAACAGGCGATATTTTGAAGGGCTTAATGATGAGTTATTCGGATCCATGGCATTTCAGGTGCTCGGTTTGGTGGTATTATTGTTTATTATAGGAAGATTTTTCTGAAGGTCGGATCTTGGACAAGAAATGCCCAAGATAGGCGAACGCAAAACTTCCAAGTAAGAGTAATTGAAAAAAATATGTAATATTGAAGAAACTCCTGACGGGAAACTGGTCTAGTTGAAGTATTTCCAATACTAACAAGAACTTATGCGAGCATGGGCACGACTGTATTTAGCATTTCATACGAGTAACAATGCTCGTTCTCGGATAGTGACGGAATCAGCCAATATCTAACCATTGTGAAAGCTGTTCAGACTTTGATCCAGCAAAGATGCGTAAGATAAAGACTCGTGCTCTGTGTGCCCGCGGCAGGAATTAGATCCTGAAAACCAGGCTTTCGAATATCGACAGATAGGTAACCACTAAAAATCAGTGCTGATATATATGCCCACGAAATTCTGGAATGCCGAACTCCGGTTACTTGATTCCAGTCTCTTTTTCCATTTCCCCTACCCAATACTCAAACAATCTTTCCTCCCAACCTCCTCTTCCAATGAACATTATTGAAATGCCACGCCAAATCCCTCACTCCATACTCGCCCATGAATTCCTGATCACATTCCGGACACTCCAATTCCTCCTTTTCCAATGTCTTTCCTGTTTGCACTGGCGTATAGGGACTATGCATTCGCATTGGTACTTCAATAGTGATAACAAAATTGGAGGTATCGATTTCCACCTCAACCATGGAATCTTCATGAGTCGAAACTGACATTGCGAAAACAAGCGCAAAGTCTTCGGGAGGATTGTAGAAACTCTTGACGCGGCGTAACGTTGGTGTGTACCTATCTCCGCGATTCCCGCGCTGAGATTCGATGTATAGTTGATGCAGTGACGAACACGGCGATGCTCTCCGGAGTCCCTTGAAACCCATGCTGGCATCATGATTTTGGTATACATTCGTCGTTGTTGTAAAATGGTTGACCCTAGAAATCATACCCATAGGTTGAGCTTGAGTGGGTTGTCAAAATGGTGAATCATGTGCCGGGAAAATATGTGAATAAGTTCCGTGCATCCCTTGGCTGTCGGATGTTCTTTCCCCGCACTTTTGAATCTGAGGGCGAGCATCATGGAATATAGAGGTTGTATGCATCATGACCCCATAAATGGCAAATGGTTTTTTGTGAGCTGAAAATAACTCGTCATGTCGAAATCGTTGGTGCAAAGTTTCAGTTTTCTTAAAACTTTTCTTGCAAGGTGAGGCTGCTATATACGTGGTCCACTCGCTAAAGAAGGGGGTCCAGTGGGAAAGGGTAATTGGACCAACGTGTTAGAGGCGGCTTGGCGGCCGAGCCGTTTATTGGCTCGCAGTGAAGTATGAATTATCTGCATGCTGTACAAATAACAACACACGGGCTCAAGGTTTCAGAATATTGAAAGACTTTGTTCCCAGTTCCCTTTGTGCATACTTCATAGCTTTCAATCATTGGTTATCAGATCATCACGAAGTCGGTTTAAATTAAATGAGTATGTATGTATGCTTGACCACTTTGTTAGGCAAGGCTAATTCTCAAATCCGCTTGTACTCCTTGTAACATTTGGCTTATTGTCTCGCCCGCCTTCCCTGGTCAATCTTAAGGAGCTGCTCCATAACCTACTGCGCTGTCGGCGACGGTATAAAAACTTTATCCGGCTGATATTCTCAATTGCCTTCCCATCCGGGCCACCACCTCCAAACCACAGGGCATTTGCAAAGACTTTTACAGTCAGGGCATCCGTTGCTCATCGAGTTCCTCTCGTGGATTGTGCCAAATATCGTATGCAAATTGATCCCCCTCCAGCATGCGCTTCTTTTTTCTTATATGATGTTTAGCAGAAGGTATGATGAGAAGAATTAGAATGAATACTTTGACCAACAGAAATGCGGGAGATGGGTAAGAAAGGGACACAGGCATCCAGCCGTATCTTCCTCATGGGCTTGCTCGGCTTCGCGCTTCTGGGAACCCAAGAGATGTTGTTTGTTTGCTTGTGAGCTATGGGAGGATCCTTGGTTGCCATCATCATTTGTGAGCGTTCTTGAGCCTTCCAGATTTGCATACGTTTTTGTATACACCGCGGTTTTTCGTAGCTTGCGTATTGGGATTCTTGCTTCAGACATTGTAATGGAGGGATATAAGAAGAAACCTTAACTTCATTCCACTTTGTAAATGACTGTGGGGACAGTACCCTAGAAGTCGGAAGGGTATTTATGTGACTTTGATGGGAAGGGCGGTATGGTAAGTGATCATTGTACTGTACTGCGGTGCACTCTCGTCCTTTAATAAACAGTTCATCACAGTTCTGTGTTCGCGTACTCACGATATCAGACAGAAACGAGATTATGAAGAGATGTTTGATTTTTCCAACTTGAAGCCTTTTAAAAACCACAACATGAATACCCTTGTTTCATATTTGTTAAGATTTTGATGACCTGGAATAAGCTTTATCTTCCATCTAATTCTGTAATCGAACCTTCTCCTCGTCTTTGTCTTCGGCATGTCTTGCGTTTCATCTCATGTATGCGACCAGGGACGACTCACAGAGGCTTTTCAAGCTCCGCTGAGCCTCGAACACACGAAGCTCGGCACACTAAAACAGGCGCGATGCTTTCTCTAGGAGCGGCTAGTAGTGATTAGAGCCCCTCTCCCAATTGAAGTGTTTTGGCAGCAGTATCCCCCAGGTCAAGCAGGACATCAATTTGTCAACCATTCAAATTTTTACCACCGTCGCAGCTGAATATGATAGTCAAAACAGCAGCACTATACCCTTTCCTTTAATGTCCATGTGGCGCATAGTTTAGAGCGTTTCTCCCCATTCTCATCGCTGACCACAAATGAAAATCTCACCCCTCTGGTCTCTGGGATTTGAGCAATGCTCCCAGTCGCACTCAGGGAGGAGGACGGCTCAAGCTTGCTTCAATCATCAGGAACCCGATGCTGAGTGGTCCAATGAAGAGGCTCTCGTGGATACTAGATATGTGGCAGTGAGCAATGCAGAGTAGAAGGCATTAACTTTGAGGTCGAGAAATGAGGTTGTGACAATCTCAAACTGTGCACAGACCATCAAACTAACCACCAATGACGTAGAGCAAATAATTTATCTGTATAACAAAAGGCTGGCGGCATGTTCATTGCAAAAACATACCACCGAGACAAAAAAACACTTCTATAACAAGCTACAAACATGTCACCATCAAGAGGTGTCACGGTTGACGAATCCACTTCTCCTTCTACTTCTCCAGAATCCCAATCCCTCAGCGCAACGGAACGAACCGCTCAACTTCGCAGTTCCAGCGCGCTCACCTCTCTCACCCAAAACATCCAGTACCTCCTCTCCCCTAGTTCCTCCACCTCTCCCAAGCCCGTCCGACTTCGCACCCGAGCTCTTCTTCGTACCCTACACTCAGTAGCTGTCTTCATATTCTGGCGCGTAATACGGTATGCCAAATATGCAGTCGTGGGGTCTATCGTCGCAGCCTTGTCCGCTACCACTATTGGAAGTTTTGCGACGGGTATAGGATGGGTTGTTGCGCCTACGGGAATTGTTGGGGTTTTGGGGATGAGTACTCTGTGGTGGGTTGGCAAATGGGGTTTTAGTAAAACGAAAATGGGGAAGAGGTGGGAGAGAAAGGTGGAGGAGGAGGCAGATAGGCTTGAGAGGGAAGATCGCGAGACGAGGAAGGAACAGGTAAAGACAGATGGGCAGTGGAGAGATGTTACGGGACCGAAGGCTGTGCCGTGGTAGGTCAGTAAGCAAAACCTTCGGAATTTTATAGTTTGGATGCTCTGTACAGATGGATTGAAGAGAAAAGTGTGGATAAGAAGTAGATATGTGTAAGATGCAAATCAACGTTTTGGCATTGCAATTTTACCGTTAACTTAATTACTTACAAAAGTATATATTGTAAAAGTGGTAGGTCGAGATACGTGCGTCCCGATAGCACGCTGTGAGAAGGGAATTGAAAGAGAAAGCTGAATTAGATCATATTGTAATACGTCATTTATGGAGAAAACGAGATTCATAATGGTTTTGAGGTTGATGCTATATGGATTCAAATGTATATATGTAGAAGATTGATTATAGAAAGGAAAGGCAAAAGCTTTCTTTTTATATTTAATTACAGAAGGTCATATGACTGATTGGTTAAAAACCTCTATATATTTGGCCTATAATTCCAACTTTCTCATAATATGATCTTACAAACAGCCAATATTGTTTCCTTCGACTTTTTCTCGACCAGATACATGTTCACAACTAGATCAACTACGAAATTTGCTAGTTATTCAACGCAGATAACCAGATTCATTCATTTTAATAGCAGTATCCAAACTCCAATGGTAGTCCTGGAACTCTAAATACACCCCCTCACGTAAATTCCTCGCATAAATGAAAGACGATCCTCCAACTTAATCATGTCAAATAAATTCCTTGTCTCTCCCTCTCCTTCTTTTCTATTTCACGTTCAATATTTTCTCCTTTCTCTCTCTTCGTACATTCGTACTATATTGGCTGTGCGTTTACAAATCCAGGAGATGATAGCTAGGAAGGAAATTAGAATTGCGGCGCTGCCGGTGGATGTTCCTGTCAGTTTGGTGGTAGGAAGAGGGAAATTGAAAGAGGAGGATGGGGAGAGAGTTTTGTCTGAGGAGGAAATTGATAAAGAGGATTGAGACGTCTAGTGGGAGGTGTCCAGTGACATCGATGTAGTGACATTGTAAATGTACCATGATAGCTTCGTCGTGTTGTGACAGGTGCCAAAAATCGAGATTGCTCGCATCCTCCGAGCACCAAACTTCCGGGAATGCCCACTGAAGTAAAACCAATGTGTAAGCGAAGGAATTTGAAGATATCTTGCCCTTGGCTTGGAAACAGAGTAAAGAAATTGTGCTGTATGATTAAGGTCCGGCTAGAGCTTTCGGCGCAATGTTCCCAATTTGTGGTGTGTACGTTGTTTCGTTCCATGAAGTTTGATTGGCGTCCTCAATGACAAAAACTACGAAATTAGCGATTAATCTGCTACTGGTTTCATTGAAGATGTTCAAGGTATGAATTCCCACATGAGCGTCACCAGACAATATAGGTAGTAGACCAGCTTGATATGAAAATGTAGTATCTACGATGATACCAGTGTCAATAGCTTAAGTGTAAGAAGTTAAGGCAAGCCTATTAAAAGTCCAGCATTGAAAGAGGACAGCCCGAAATATTGGACAAACTGAAGTGCTGAGAGTGTTAGCTGACCATGATCCTCCTGGAAGAAGATCAATATTCTGAGGTGTGCTAATACTGATCGACACTGACTGCCAGGGACTATCGGGATCATAACTTGCATTTGACCACTGAAGAGATATGGGATTGGCCAACTGATGCAACAGCAATGAGGAATGCTAATATCAGTGAGATTGCTCGTGGGTTTGAAGAAATCAATGCCATCATTATAAATATGCACAACTAATAGAGTGGAAAGAGACGATAATCCAACAAGACAGAATGAAAGATCACGGCTTTGCGCCGTCGGTGAGGTCTTCCGCAATCTACCAACAATAACAACGCCTATTTTGCTGAGAGTATCAGGCTTGAATAGTAGAGACTTCTAATCCTTCATGCCTACCTCGAACATTATAAAATCTTAACATTTGGTTCAGCGCTTGGGCTCTCGAAATGGTTCTAGGAAAGCGAAGCAAGTATGTAGCCCAATAGTAGAAACATTGCTGGTCGGTAAAGTGACAACATTTAGCCAACGAGATACCAACTATGGCGATGGCAGTCCTCCCATTATTTGGACTTGGTTGTGCATGGCCAAGGTCTAAAAGGGCGAGGCCGACGTACCGGACTACTTGACAAATAGTTGGTTGCGTCCGCGAGACGGATCCTTACCATCAGGCGCACTTGGAAGCGACGACTCTATGAACATACTTGAGTGTGTTTCTAATATTTTGTAAATGGTTGAGTCAGGGTGCTAGCATTTCACGATGACAGGAAAAAACTGTATCTTTAGATGTTTGAGATATATAGGTTGGAAGTGCTCGGTACGTACTATCATGGCACAGCCACAGCCTCGCTTGATGTGGCGCGAGCGAGCTGCAAGGCTATGACAAGATTACATCAATTCTATCTCCTTCCTTGCTTGCTCAAGGCATCATGATTCATCAATTCACTTCCATTCATAAATATGTTGGGCAGGCTTACTAGGTCCTTTCCCCTCCAACATGCCAGTAGATATAAAGTACAAAAGTTGTACTCCGTATGCATAGAATAAACCTCAACACGTCTCTCATTCTCAAAAGGCTACGTCCTCCGTTTCCTGCATTTCGTGAAAGAGGTCTCAAAACAACAGCTAAAAGAATGTCTACCTTTCAAATCCCAGATAGTAAAGTGCAGGTATCACTCTGTGAAGGTATCACCAAGGATGAATTATTGAGATTTCCCGCCTTTGAAGTACATACGAAACCCTCCTCATTACCCCTCTTTACAATATTTACTAACATTATCTTCCTTCAAAGTCATGGCACAGTCGCCTCACCGCATCTCTTGCCCTACAAGACCGATCCTCTGATCATCCATTCTATTCCGATCCATACCGTCTTCGTTCTATCAAAATTCAATCACTCGACCGGTGGGGTAGCCGCATCGGTTTCATCAAGATTAGTAGCAAAATCGCAAATGGAGCAGGCGAAACTCTGCCTGGGGATATCTTCCTCCGAGGACCAAGTGTGGGAATGATGGTTATCGTTCAACCTGAAGATGTAAAGGGTCCTGATGAAGAAAGATGGGTAGTAATGACTGTTCAACCTCGACCTGCTTCAGGAAGTTTGGCATTTATCGAGTTACCGGCTGGTATGGTTGATGATGGAACATTTAAAGGTGCAGCTGCAAAGGAAATCGAAGAGGAGCTCGGCTGGACAATACCGGCGGATCAACTGACGAATTTGAGCGAGCTGGTTATTGGTGATGAGGCAAACAAAGAGGGAGAGGTGTTGCCGAGAGCGATGTTTCCTAGTGCCGGGGGGTGTGACGAGTGTATCCAGATTTTCTTGCATGAGAAGAAGATTTCGAGGGAAGAGTTAAAGAAGACCACGGGGAAGCTTACGGGTTTGAGGGATGATGGCGAGAAGATCACGCTGAAATTAGTTAAGCTGGAGGATTTGTGGAAGGAGGGCGCAAGGGACAGTAAGGCATTGACTGCGTGGGCTCTCTATGACGGTTTGAAGCGGACGGGAAAGTTGTGAATATCTAGCATCATGTCTACGAAATTGTAGATCCAAATCTATTGCATTGCATTCTTATTCTGCGTTTTTATACTAACATACATCGTATAGTGTATTATCATTATTATCATCTGTCTATTTTAACATCGTGCTCTAACTCATTTTGAATATAAATTTAACGTTCTAGCAACTTCAATGCCTTCAGCTAAAGTTCCCACTCTAGCATCTATCGCATATCCTTCTTTCTCCCAATTCTTACATGCTTTCCATAAATCTTTCAGTGGTAATGTGAAGACTTCTATGAATTCATTTTCTTCGAGCTCAGGGACTGGATTTTGGTTCTTTTGATCGGCCATATCGATTGTGACATGAACCATTTTTAAATTGGTATTGCAAAAGCCTGGATCTGTAATCCGATCAATTAGTGGAAAGTACGTCAGTGGAAGCAAAAGGGGACGAGGTGTACCATTAAACATTATGGGTGAACTCTCGCTCAAGACTCCAATATAACCAGTCTCTTCTTTCAATTCCCTTATCGCAGCTTCCTCTGCAGTTTCACCATCATCGACAAGCCCGGCTGGTACTTCAATCACTACTTTATCTAGCGGTGGCCGGTATTGCTTCTGTAATACTAATTCTGGGCCTGAGTTCCACATGTATTAGCACTGGTCCTTGGACCAAGTATACCTTTCTTCCAAGGCGTTTGCATACCAGTCTCTTTCTGTATTATAGCAACAATCCCTACACCATCCACCTCGGATGACTTTGGTCTAGTGGCGCGTTCCGCATGCTCCCAATAGCGGACTTTTCCTCGAGGATCGCGGTATGTTGATCTGAAGGATCGCAAAGGTGTCAGCTGCAATGGTTCTGGCAGCTTAGATTTGGCTTATCGAAACATACAAGATAAGTTTTGTCCATTTCGCATTCGCAGGGTCCTGCTATGAAGTCAGTACATCATATTGTTCAAGGCGTTCGGAGTGTATGGAAAGGAAATAACTCTACCAATGGCTCTCTTTCCAAGACTTTTGCGGAGTCAATTGACATTTTTACGGGAGATTTTAAGATTACAGGTAAGTAGGCGAAAGGGAAGAATCCAAAGCCAAAAACAGGAGACTGTGTTGGGTCAAATACTTTTTGATGTAGAAGACCTAATGTGGATCTTGATGTTCTCGATTGCAGCTGTGATGCTTGGGTGGTGGGGAAGTTTGGTGGTCGAAGCTTGGTTTTATTGGCATCATTCTTCTTATGATCCTTCTGATCCTTCTTCCTCTTCACCATTTTCACCCATCATCATCAAGAACCGTTCTTAGCTGCCTGAGTAAAGCTCATGTCATGCAGTTCATTTTTCAATCAAAAATTTATTGATTTGTGCACAACAAACTCGCACAATCAGAGGAACGTTGTCGTGTTGTCACCATCCGTGGTCACAATTAACCCGTACTTGCGAAGATGAAATGTGCTGGCACCTTTCATTGTCATTTCACTGTTTAGACGAGCGCTCAGGATAATTCTCGTTCACGCATCGCGATTGCAATGATTGCGGTCTCTGAAAAAGCTTGGAAATGAGAAGAAACTCGGTTGATGATGGGCTGGTACCCGTCAAGCTCAAGGCTTTTGCATTTGTTAACTGGTATCCTGGCACCTCGATTGCAAACAGCAACCCTATCAATCTTAACACGATCTCGTTTCCATGGTACGGGATTGGGATCTGTACTCTATTCGAGTAGTCTTGTGCAACAGGAAATACTGGCACGCATAAACTGTGCCAAGAGTTTTCCATTTCAGTACTTCCCGAAAACCCGATCATTCTACCTAAAGTGTATATCATGCGGTACAACTTTGGAAGCCCTACAAAAACATATCTTTACCAACGGGTAGTTCTCCAACATGCGGCAGAAGCATGGGACTGGTTTGTGCGAGCTCCTCCATCTCTCACAAGCGCAGACCCTCTCTATTGCCCTGTGTGAGTCAAGGGGGTAACGTAGCATCCATCCAGCAAGCGCTGGCCTAGAACAAGAGCCCCAGGCCTCGAAATACAACCATATATTACATATGCTTATTAGTCTCGGTGGATCTTATGGAAACTACTCTGTTTATCAATCATGCCACTTGATATATTTGCTTTGATTACTCTATATACTTCAATATATGGATATTGGTACAACCTTTGATTGCCAAGAGAAGATTTGATGCACCTGATTTTCTCCTCATGGCTCGAAAACAACCTCCATTTTTGCGGTTAGTCTATAGGAAGTATTTTATAGCAGTCAGTTGATGCATTTTCCATTTACCATTCCCTACTGCGCATGGAGGGGATTTTTTTCTGTCTTTTTTTGCGCATTTACATAACAGTAGAGCCCGCGAAGTATAGATACCAAATGGTTATTGCCAGTCACAGGGCTCACTCACGAGCCTTATCCCAATGTTACTATGGATGTGCCAACATGTTTGTAAGAAGTTTCACTTAGCAAATATAAAAAGTGCTCTTAAGGATTTAACTTTTCCTCAATTGATTGTCTTGCTTAATAAAATATTAGCCAGCTTTCAAAATGAAGATTCTCAATCTCCTCCCACTTTTACCCCTCATCCAAGCGATTCCAGTCGAGCCACTGGCTGCTAAGAGCTTCGTCCATGATGTGGCCATAACTCCACGGCTGGCTGTTTATGTGCAAACTTATCACGATGAACACAATAAGGATACGAACCTTTCTCTCCTACCTCTACTGGGTGCAGACATCCAGCCAACTCATGTCATCCTCGCAGCCTTGCATATCATGGGTACTCCGGGGGAGATTCACCTAAATGATGATCCACCTGATGCACCAATGTATGATGAGTTATGGGCTCAAGTAAAGGCTCTTCAGACAGCAGGAATAAAAGTGTCATGTATGATGGGCGGAGCTGCTTGGGGCACTTGGAATTACTTTACCGGTGATGACAGCCAGGTAACTTGATATTATTGATGCATGCTTATACCCATTACTAACTCCTCATAAGTTCCACCAATACTATGACCCTCTCCTCAATAATTTTATCAAAAAATACAATCTCAATGGTATAGACATTGACGTTGAACAATTCGTGGACATCACTGTAGTTCTCCGTTTGATCAAACAGCTTTATAATGATATGGGTCCGGGGTTCGACATTACAATGGCACCAGTAGCTTCAGCTCTATCATATGGTGGCAGCCTCTCTGGCTTTTCTTACTCAGATCTCGACGCCCAAGCACGAGACCCGAATACCGGCGCACCAATGATATCGTTTTACAATGCTCAATTCACCAATGGGTGGGGATATGCAGGAAATACTAATGATTATGATTCTATTATCAACGCAGGCTGGGATCCCTCGAGAGTAGTCATGTTAGCTTCAGCTGCGACTAATGATGCAGGTGGATGGGTCCCGATCGGTTCGCTTAAGAATACGATCAGGAGTTTGAGAAACAAGTATCCGAATTTCGGTGGTGTTAATGGTTGGGAGTATTTTGATGCGGGCAGTACTGATGGATTGGTTCAGCCATATATGTGGATGGCGAATTTGAGGGATGCACTGAACTCTTACTGAATCTTTTTGTAAATTTGTGGTATCTTTATGTATATGGTGGAATTGTAAATGATAATTTGTTGAGAAATGCCCACATGAAGTGATTTTCCATGCAAGAAATTTAATGGGAAGGGAAGAAATTCTAATATTAATAGGTCTAGTGCTGAGCTTGCCCCACAACATATGCACAGATCTTGACCCAATGCACAGCGTTGAGATCGTAGGGCTTGAAGGATCCTCTTGTAATGCTTGGCTATGACTCCTGACAAGCCAAGCACACTAGTTCAACCCTTCAAAAATACTGTGAGTAAGTATCATGGGTAGACCTTGCAGTTTTGAATACAGTTACAGTATTTCCAGATCGCAGGCTAACTTCAGAGAAGTCAAGATGAACTTGTTAGGTGAGAGATAAAGGCTATGAACTCACGTGATAACACAGCAAACAGCCGCAAACAGGTCAAGGTCTGAGCGGATGTGCGACAACTTGTGGTTTCATGCAGGCCTGAGAGTTTGTATGAAGGAGTTCTTGGACTTATCCGTGCTGCTTAGAATGGATGGATGATAGATATTAAACTCATGTGTATACTCTAAATTCGGATCTTCCACTGCAGTTTCTATCGGTTTTATACCACCACAGCAGAGCTGTCTATCATTACACACTAATCAGAGTAACATCATCATCAGCTTCCATCATGTTCAGCAAACTGAGCACGAAAATCGCCCTCCGAAAAGCAGGTCTTCCATCAAATACTCTTTCCAGTTTTTCAATCACAAACCTCGATAATGGCGATAAAAAATCCATAAACTTAAAGTCTGGGAAAAATAATGAACCACCAGCTACATGGGCAGATACATTTTCGAATATGACTTCAGAAGTTAATGTTCCGAAGAGTTGGAAATCATGGGGAAATCCAGCGCCGGCGATAGCACAGGTTGCTCCTGCGCCGATGGTGGGAACGAAGGCGCCAAGTACGGGGAAGTTGATACTTCCTATGGGGGATAGAAGGGCTTGTGTACTTGTATTTTTGAGGTGCTGTGGCTGTGCTTGTGAGTTTGTTTACTGCTATTGAGAAATTTCGAGATGTTGTATCCGTTCTCCTTGTCTATCACAATCCGGACAACCCACCTAGAATCAAGACTAACAGATTTTCCTTCCCATTCAGTTGCAGAAAAGACCTTCATCGAACTCCGTCGCTTAGCCAATAAACATCAAAACCTACATTTCATAGCCATATCGCACAACTCCAAAGAAGCAACAGATAAATGGGTGCTGCAAATCGGAGGAGCATGGTCAGTTCAAGTAGTCATCGATGAAGATCGGGAAATCTATGCCAACTGGGGATTGGGAGTGAGCACGACGTGGCATTTACTGAATCCATGGACTGAAATTGCACGACAGAAACTGGGGAAGCAAGAGGGGATTTGGGGAAGAGAAGTCGATCCTAGTGGGAACCGATGGGTCGTGGGGGGAAGTTGGGCTACGGATGGGATGGGGACGATTAAATGGGGTGGTGCAAGCAAGAGTGCTGATGAGATACCTGATTTGGTAGAGGCCTGTAAGAGTGTGGGTGTTTTATGAGAAGTTAAAAGATGGCTATGATGTAGACTGTGGAGTTTTGGCTACGGAGTTCTGGACTATTAATATCGAAGAATCTCGGAACTTTCGGTTCGACTTTCTTGAAGAGCTACATCATCATACTTTATCGGGTACGAAGAAGTAGACCTTCCTGCGAGATTTCTGCTCTTATATTGGATCAAGGGGTTCGTTGATGCAGTTCCATCTTGTTTCACAATATGTAAATCCTGCGTTTGGGTCACCAACAATTAAAGTATCATCAGCCAGTCGATTGCTGTCAGGGTTTGCAATAGAAAAACCGAAAAGATTTTCGGAAACCTGGAAAGGGTTAACCGGGCCAGGCGTCGAAAATTGCATGTTCTATTTTCAAAATAATGAGGGCTAGAAGGCCTTTCTTGTGTCTTAAGTAAAAAGGAATAGTATTCCGAGCACTAACCTCACACGATTTCCCCTACCTGATGCAACTTAGGGCCCTACCAAAAAGTTCCGAAATCCCGACTTAACCCTCAAGAATAGATAACACTTTAGCACGTGATTCGACAATCTTGTTTGATCCCCTGGCGCACCATCCCGTATACGATCTAGGACAATTCGATTTAATGAGCTGACGAAATAGGGGTCCACCTACCACCTCATCCAAACCTCATCTTCCTTGAATTTTCTGCGATTTTGCTCATGTAGGTTCCGTAAACATTCAGAAAAGTGGAATCTCACATGGAATGTTGCTCGCGATGATGCTTGAACCCCTTTCCCATAGCACTTAAGGCCCTTTTCATTCTGCAAAGTTGTGGGTATACGAAGGATCCTTGCCTGAGCGTCAAAAAAGCTTGGTGAAAAGTCTAAATGCCGGTTCAAGGCCCTGGCCGCGGTGTAACTTGCCATCTGATATGGGAAAGATATATGGTTCGTATGATTTCCAGATCTAATTTTTTCTGATGCTCTCTTTTCTTGCTCTTTGCTCTTTGCTCTTGTTATTGATTGTATTTTTTTAATAAAATTGTTTTGATTGCGGTTTACGGCATTGTTTATGGTGCAATAGCACCACCACTCGTTAAATTGAATCTACATCAGCAGTGTGTTTGATTGGTTACAAACCATGGCGGACGAAGAAATCAAGCGTACGAGCAGTATAGAGGATGGTGGAGGAAAAGACAATGAACATGAGAGTGGAATGACCAGTCTACCGAATCTACCTAGCACGAGGGAAGAAACTGCACATGAGTTGAGTCAAGAAGCTGGGACAAGCCAAGCACAACCGAGTAGAGACCCGGGGATAAAGCCCCTGAAAAGATTTGATACGCTGCCCACAAAGCGGAATCCACTTTCACCAGATACACGGAGACGAGGACGGACTTTGACTGGCCAGGTTCCTGAGAATAATGACCTATCTTCGAGGGGACAAATTTTCAAGAGGGGGACCTCAATTTTCGCCGGAGAGACGCGGGGGAGAATGGGTTCCATACCCGAGCGAGGAGCTATTCCTCCAAATGCAGAGAGAGAACCCCGCCCTAGTGGCGTTTCCGATCGCACTCAGGGTTCAGGTCTTCGCCCACGCTTGAGCACGATAAATCGTCAACGAGGACCCTCTATCCGAAGAAGACCTACCGTTGCGCTAGAAGCTATTACATCCGGAGCCGACGTTGGAGGTGGAGATAACTTTACATTGGCCGGGCCTGCACCAATCGAGACCTTGGTGCAAAACCAGCCCTACGTTGATCCAGGTTACGCCCATCTAAATCCTGCCTATGTTCAACCCGAGAATGTCAGGCCAGTATGGGGTTTAGCCAAGCCCTTACCGCGTGTGATTCGTCCGGGTATGATTCCCTCACGCTCGGAAATCAATATCAATATCGCCCAACAACAACAGCAGCAGCAGCAGGCTCCTCAAGATCAGGCGGATCTAGACTTGGAACAAGGTAGGATCGAACCAACCCTCAAATTGTCCAGAATCTCAACCGCCCTTCAAAATGCTAGACAACAACGTGAAAACAACCTCATGGAAGCACATGGCTTGGTTGCGCCGACAAATCTACAAAGTACGGCATCGAGGCAAGAACCACTGACTTCTCCATCTCAAGTCATTGAAGAAGAGGGGCCAACCGGTAAACCCACAAACACGGATACCACATCCCCAGAACGTCTCCAAACACGCCCACCCCTCTCATTCGATGGCCGCCCCTCTCAGAACTCACAAACTTCACAAATTGATCCTTTTCCCAGTCTTTCGGACCATGATGATCAAGCTTCTGTGACAACGGAGGTTGCGGGCGAGGGTGATCTAGGTGGGCCGTGGATTAGTCAAGAAATTCCTTTGATTGCGTACGATCCCAATTATGATGACGAAATCCACAATCTTCACACACATTGGTCCGTTATTCGATTACGGTTCCGAGAGCCACTTGCGGAACTGTTGGCTGTGAGCTCTTATCCTGTCAAAAATCTCATTTCGTCACTGACAAATTCTTTAGGTCACTTGCCAACTAACCCTTGGATTTTGCGCGGATTTAGTTGTAGTAACATCAGGTAAAAATGCATCTCCTGCTGGAAATGAAGTAACTACCGACTGGGCATGGGGTTTAGCTTCAATGCTTGGTATTTATATTGCTGGTGGTATTTCTGGAGCGCACCTTAACCCAGCCATTTCGATAATGCTCTGGATATATCGAGGTTTTCCTCTTAGAAAAGTACCAATGTATATCCTTGCACAGATACTCGGAGCATTCCTAGCAGCCTTAATCGCCTTCGGTCTCTACCAAACCAATATTGTCGAATATGGCGGAACCAACTTAAAGAACGGAGACACCATGGGAGCATTTATTACATACCCGCGATATGCCTGGATCAATGCTAGCACATCATTCTTCACCGAATTCGTCGGAACCGCAATCCTAGCCGTGGCAGTCTTAGCCCTAGGAGACGATATGAACGCACCTCCTGGAGCCGGCATGTCAGCTTTCGTCATGGGACTCGTTATTACAGTTCTCAGTATGGCATTTGGCTACAATACCGGCGCGGCGATGAATCCCTCCCGAGATTTGGGTCCACGTCTCGCGCTCACAGCGCTAGGCTACGGAAAGGATCTCTTCACCGATGTATATTGGATATGGGGAAATTGGTGCGCGCCAATTTTAGGTGCCATTTTCGGCGCGTTCTTGTATGATGTTGCCATCTTTGCTGGTGGTGAGAGTCCGGTTAATTATCCGAGGAAGAGGATTAGGAGGGCAGGACATAAGTGGAAGAAGAGATGGGGCGTTAAGTTGAGAAAGATGAAGCCTTTGAAGAAGGGCGAGGATGAGACTTATCGGAGGTGGAAGGAGGGTCAGCAGTGATTTTTTGACTGTTTCATTGTATATGGAGGATGTAATTCCTTAAAAGCAATTGGTGACAATCTGGGGGAGTTATAGTAATTAACTTTTCGTTGTATATTTTTGATTGGATTATTTTGGTATATATTTAGAAGAGAGTTTGAACAGATACCGTATAATCTTGGGAGATTCAGATTCTTGGCATCCAATTTACATTTGATCGATCGAATATTAAATCACCTCTAGCTTCACTAATTGCTGATTTAATCATGGCTAGAGATTTTTGCCTAGCGTGCCACACACAAGCTATAAGTTTAGCACTTAAAATATCGGACAGTATCGGTACAAACTCGTCCAAGCGGGAGGAGGAAAAGGTCGAGACTAAGATTAACAGAAGAAAATAGATGGTACAAATTTCGATATATCTTTCTTCATTCAAGAAAGTCAAAATTAAAAATCTTTTATATTTCAATTCAGAATTCCGACGAAAATCCCAAATCTGATTAAAAAATAAATTTACTTGTATAATTATTAATGAATTTATATTATAATTTGAAAAACTTTCAAAAGAATATAAAAAAAGAAATCGAATTATTAAGTTAATTTATGTTCAAATTATTAATTTTGATTAAGTTAATCAGAGGTGTCGTATTTTAGTTTCAATTAGTTCGTTTTTAGCTGAGGCGGTTTTGGGACTCAACCAGAAAGTTCTACTGAAATTTCAGGTATTTGAGAAGTAGCTAATAGATTTGCAAATCATAACTCTTTCCTCGGACTCTAACTTATTTGTAAGATTTACCTAAATTGACAAACCGAGCTTAGCTTGGTCGAATATACCAAAGGAATACAAAGTTCAAAAAGTCTAGTTAGACTTCAAACCTTCCTTCTGGTAGACACTTTTCACCATTTATGACACTGGTACTAACTAGTTCTGTGAACCATTCCTCACACGGAATATCTTTCACGTCAAGCTTCCTAAGAATTTACCGTTTACCCAAGCTAGTTTTCAAAGTATCGATATCGCATCCACTACTCGCGGCAGTTTTAATGCCTTGAGGTGAAAACTAGACGGGTTTAGTATGCGCGGCTCGCTTAGCGCTTCCCTAGATTAGTCACTTGAGCCTGGAAAAGTTGATGACTGGATTTGACTTGTATAGGTACTAACAATGTGGTCTGCTGCTTAGTCTGGTATTTGGTCTGTATATGTACAAGTACGAAAGCATATTTTCCACCGGCTCACATAGGTCGATCTGGCACTTTCTTCCATGTTAAATTTCTTTCTGGCTTTATGGTATGTATTTGTATAAAAAGATTACTAGATTCCTTGGGGTTAAAGAATTCTGGTACTTATGGTCCTGATTTCGAAACTCCATTTCTACATATATTTTTGCGACAGAAATACTGTTTTCCTCTTATTTCTTCAAGCATTTTCCTGTATAGGTATCTGGAGGAAAGAGGATTTTGGAAAATGATCATTTCGAAATTGAGAACGTTGGTGCTGTCTTGTATTATTTTGGTGCTCCTTTACACATGGAAATTCTTCCTGCCGAAGTTTGCCAACAATATAGTTGATGGGAGGGAGGTCATATTGCGGGATGGTTGGGATCAAGTAAAGGGGAACAACGAATTTTGCACGATGTTAAGGTAGATGGAGAACGTTTGACGACAACGAGTTCGGCGACGAGCGGGACGGAGGAAGTGAGGATATCGACATCACCTAGGGTTGTAGCAGTGACCGATTCAGCTTTGATTTCTTCACCAACGCGAACACCATACACGTCAAAAGTGGTAGCTGAGCCATCCGAATCCCAGACGGCTCGAAACGAGGCCTCTAACTCGAAATCGCATCATCCTTCAGAGCAGGCACCAAGGCCGAAATCGCAGTACAACATAAAGCAGACTTCAAAGCCAAAATCGCAGCATAAGAAAAGCAGAACAAACCATCGCAAGCAATGATCAAAGATAACTTTCCTTTGGCGATGAGTGCTCGCTCAGCCGCCGATTTACCACCCGTTCCCCCATGGAACAAACCTCCAGTCCCTCACGTAAAAGAAAATACACCACTCTTTATTGCTTTCACGCGGAACTGGCTATTACTCCAGCAAACGGTTGTCTCGTGGATAACGTCCGGTTGGCCAGCAGAAGATATCTATGTTGTTGAAAACACCGGCACTATGAGATCCAACGAACTCGGCCTTCTCTCTCTGCAAAATCCTTTTTTCCTAAACCACACTCGACTTCATATGTTGGGTGTAAATGTAATCGTGACACCTACGATCTACACATTTGCCCAGTTACAGAATTTCTTCCTTTGGACGGCCATTGAGAAAGATCTGGAGACTTATTTTTGGAGTCACATGGATATCATTCCTATCACATTCGAGCAAGGTATTTCTGCGTCCAATGGTTACGCCGGACATCAGACTATATATCAACATGCTGTCGAAGTTCTCCGATCAGCACAATCAGCAGATCCGGATCCAAATGCTTCGGATCCAAGTAAACCATGGGCGATGCGGTTCTTTGCTTTCGATTACCTAGCTTTAGTTAACCGAGCAGCTTTTGAATCAGTTGGTGGGTTCGACACTACAATTCCGTTCTATCATACTGATTGTGATATGTACGCTCGATTACTTATGGCTGGATATGGGGTTAACGAGCCCCGGCATCTGATGACAACATTTGGAAATGATTTTGCCGGAACGGACAAATTTGGAAGTGGAATAATCTATGATATCGCGCACAGCATTGACGATTTGATTGTCCTCTACCGAAAGAAAAGTACAGTAGAAGCGAGTTTTACGGGAGAGACCACATCGAAAGACGATGAAGCAGGCCGCAAACATGGCGGAGAACAGTCGATAACGGTAAAGCAAGCCCACGAGCAAGAAGAAGCTCACAGAAAAGTGGAAGGAAATCAAAAGCAGGCTGCGACCGATGACGATGACGCACAAGCATATACGAAGGCGATGGAAGAACAAGTCCCTTTTGGTAACAAAGCTGAGGCGCAGAATGAAGGATATATTAAGGCCACTCCCAAGGCAGATGTCGATACTAGCGATTCCGATGTCCAGCAAGCATCGAAGATACATCAAGGATGGCAAGGAGCAAAGGATGCAGGGGGAAAAGAACCGAGCCCCATGGTCGCGAAGGATCTTTCGCAAGCAGGTTCTTCGGTCACTATGTCCGAAGCTGGCGGATACAAAAGCGAAGCCTGGGAGATTCCCAAAAATCCCCAGTTCAAGTCACTAGAGGGCCTCCATCGCGACGCTACCGCGAAAAAGTCAACCACGTTATTCTCATCCACATCCTTAGACTCAAACTCTAAGTGGGTGACCGACGAGCCCGGTTCCCCGGCCTACTTTCACCTCCTCCAAGTCGCCACCAACATGGTACTCGCCAAGTACTCCCAAGGCGCCGAAGGTCGAAATGAATGGCAACATCTACAACCTGGAGGTAAAGACGAACCTTATTATCGTCATGCAGAGGGTTTTGAAAAGGCTCTTCAGTTGACTATTGAGATGGGAAGAAGAGTTTATCTCGAGAAGTGGGGGACGCTGGATTGTGAATTGATTCAAGGTGGGTTCACGTTGGATGATGAGTGGAAGCCTGAGGAAGGGTCTGAGTTAGTGTAGTTGTTGTGAATGCATAAGCGGTTTTGTATATCGGCTGGTTGGAGATCGGTTGGATGTGTCTGGGTGGTAGTTCTGGAAGGACTTTGGTGTTAAACAGGAACTTTTCGATGGTAATTAACGGGGAAAATTGCATAGGAAATTTGGATTATTGATATAAGATTTGGGACATAGGCTGGATACCATTTGTATTATATATTATGTTGTTTGGATTTAAGTATATAGAGACTTTCTCTTCGGAACAAAATAGATACGATATCGCAGAAAGCAGTTCATACTCTATATTTTGCATGCTATTTATTGGTCATCTTTCTGTTTCCCATTTACTCAATTGGGGACTCATTACAATGATAGTCCATTTTGTACATACCACGCATGCGCATATTCTCCTTCATACGGCGGATGGTAAGTGCAAAACCTCCGAGATGTTAAGTTTCTGTGGTTCACCCTTTGTGAATTTGTTGGAAAAGGTTGCTACAGAATGACGACCTCATGGTCTCGAAGAAGCTGCTCCCGAGATCGCACAATTTGGAGTCGCAATCTTTTCCAAGATTCGGCGAGCTCCCGCCGCCGCGTAAAATCATCGACGGCTGTAGAATAGTCCTCAATTAGGTCACCGAATTCTCCAGATGCCTTACAATACCCATCACGGTGCTCTAATCGCAGACATTAAATGATTCACCTGTAGGTGATGCAATCAGAAGATTCAAGCTTAGGCTAGATTTGAGAATGTGCAACAGAGATCGACAGATTACCCACATACTTCCAAAGTGAATTCCCATTACTCTCTTGCTCCCTAAACTGGACCTATGCTACTGTCATGTCCACATGATTAATCCCCTCATGAAAAGGAACAACAGGAATGTAACGAATGGATCTGAAAGAGCAACAGAAACTCTGCTATGAACTTCATTTGTCAACATCCAACAGCTGTATATAGATGGGCAGTATGCATACATGAAGACAGCATTCATTTGTTGATATGTGGGGACTATGCATATCTATCTGCCACCTCATATTGAAAAGTTTAAACTGTGCTCCTCTGCCACACATACTCAGAACATACATCAGTGATAGGACTTCCCATGGTTCTATTAGCACCTGGTGCAGTCTAAATTTGCCCTCGAGGGCAAAGAGAGCGATCTTCTCTTCCTTTCCACGCTGAAATTGTGGGGCTATACAAAAGCGCATGATTGCAAGTACATATTTGATGATTCCCCTCTAATATCACAATAAGTAATCATCAGGATATTTCACGATTGGGTAAATCCATACAATATTTGATTGCATTCTGAACCATTTCATCCAATTTTAGCATTTTTGCTTCCGGCATCTGAAATGCTCTGTCCGAAAGTAGCCACTAGGATTTCTTCAGAGCTTCGAAAGATAGAGCCTTTGATGTTGTGAATGAAGTTGGGCATTCGAAACTTGCAAAATAAATTCGCAAATTGATGATGATCCTTTGCACTTTGAAATGCTGCCATCTCTAGTTCCAGTGCTGAGCAGAAAATACTTCAACAAGTTGAATAGCTGCGCGCCGGGCAAAATAAGTCATACAGCAAAGAAAAAACCCAAAGAACCCATCATATCTAGAAATATAGGTAAGCCTAAAGGATCAAGTGATTATTAAATATGAATTAGAATTGGAGAGTGCTATGAGGACAGGCAGATGACTTCAGTATACGGTTCATTTCACTTCTTAACAAGATCACCATCTCGACAATCCAGAACCAGCATGTGTCCCGGTGCATGACCCATAACAATTCCCTCCAAGCCAGCGCTCACGACAGCGTGCTGCGGAGTGACACCACATCCCCAAAATACAGGAACAATTTCATCTTCACGTCCTCCCACCAACACCAGAGGGTACCCATCGTCATCCATGGAGATATCGCCCCAGTCTGGTTTAGCAATGTCCTGAATTCCTAATTTCTCGACAGCATCCCATCCCCAGGCAATCGGTTCTCCATGAGTGGCCAGATACGGTCTTGTTATGTTCCTAACTTTCTCGATATCATCCTTCTTATAGGGTCGCATAGATACCACATATGTACCCTGATCAAAACTCCAGCCGGGCAGAGCATTATATTAGTCTTGTACATCGGCACATTTCGACGCTGTCGGATATGTTGAGGCATTAGTCCGCCGTCTATGAGAGCTCCTTCGAAACTGTAGGAGCATCCAATTAAGAATGCTACGTGATCCTCTGTCCAGTGTGCCTTTATATCATCAACATGATCGTGCAAAAGCTCGCCGTTTTCGTAGACCATGTATTTTGGAATGTCGATTCGAATATCGACATCCGCAGCCAAGTCTTCACCTGCCACTCCCTCAATCCATGAGTCGAGGGTATTGTATGATCCTATGCTGGCGGATTTGGCGATGAGAGGGCATGGTACCGGATTTCTTTTGCAGAGTTGCTCGAAGTCATCAGCGTAGCACGAAGGTAGAACGATAAGATTAGCTTGGAGGTATGAGGGTGCAAGAGCTGATGTCTGTCCTGTTATCTCGCCATTACGTGCGCCTGCTCGAACAAGCGCGCCAGACATTGTGTAAGGGTATGAGTAACAATGAAATTTGTATCAATGTACAAGCAAGCGTGAGGAAAATTATGAAAATACCTACCACCTACAATCGTACTTCCTTACCTAAATATATGGCTGTGTCAAGCTGAGGAATGTACAACCTGAGACGGAGTTCAATCTGCGCTTGGTGTGTATATGTAGGTTCGCAAGTGGGAAATGGCCAAAAGCCACTAAAGTCGAATATACTCACACACCTAATAAATGGGTTTGCTTCATAATGGTCCAAGTTGGATTTTTGAGAAATGATATCGATATGTTGCGCGTCGAGATCTCGTAACAGTTTACAAAGCCTTTATTCACATTTACAATCAGATAACCTCTCGGGTTTATGTCTAAGTCACGAGCTTCTCAAGTAGATTCTGGACTGTAAAGATTGTTTAAAGTGTTCAGTGTAGAGCTTTTAAGGAAGTAGATTTGAGTAGATACTTATCAGCCAAAATCTTTGAACGGACAACATTAGACAACTCGAAGGAAGGGTCAGCTTGGGTGCGGGACAGACATTTGAACCTCGGGCATAGGCGAAATTTAAGTAGGCAGAAACTCTTGTTGTCCCTCCGGACACAACAATCAGCCTCACCTGGATATGAATACAACAGAATGTAAACCCTACGAGAACAAATCTTATACATATGTAACCTTGTCATGATATTCCGAAAAGGACGTATCTTTTAATGGTTCTGGTTCTGAAAGAACCCCAACGTTCTGCTTCGTCTCCACACTTACACAGTTGTGTGCTGCGTCGATTTCTCCTCAGCCCTTTGGAAGGGCGCCAATTCACATTTTATCCCTCGCAATGAATCAATCGGAGGAGAAAACCCCTGGTCAAAAAGTGTCAAAAGTTTCGTAAGTCTCAATTGGTGATGTGGTCGTACACAATGGCTAAAACCCTCATAGATGTGAGAGGTGCCGGTACAGGAGGGTGAGCTATTTCAGTGATGTTATCCTCGCAATTGTATCAATGTCTGACCATAAAATGCCAGATAAGATGCGATCGCATGCAGCCATGCCCTGCATGCCGGAAAGGAAATCATGAGTGTGTTTATCCTCAATCGGAAAAGTCGAGGTGCGTTCCTGTGCAGCCACTAAACCAAAATTTCTCTAACTCCATTCCGTTTTCCTGAGTCTAGACCAGTCCCAAAAGGCTACGTACAAGCTTTGGAAGGGCAAATAGCCTCTCTGGAACTGTTCATCACCAAACTTGTCGCTGCAGATGCTTCCAAGCGAGACGAAATGTTGGCTAATTTCAGCGCTTCTACGAATCACCTGAGTCTACAGTGGAAGCAATCATCTGCTTTACCAAAATCCGACCCATTAGACACTCCGAATATCCCAATACGTCCAAGGACTGGCCATCTGAGAAAACTTAAGGACGGTAATTCGGCTGAATTTTATGGTGCGACCAGCTTTTTCCAGATTAATCCGTCAGAGTATCCAGATGATACTACTACGCCTACTTTACTACCACAGTCCGGAATCACTTCGCCAATTTTGTCACAAACATCGATTGTTGCAGGTGGCTACATGCAAGAGCACTTAGCTTTTTCTCCTCGAAGCGATATTTGCAAATACCTAATGAGGATATTCTTCCGACATCAATACCAATACCACATGTGCTTGTATCGGGAATATTTCCTAAGAGACTTCGATGCTGGTACCGGACCATATTACTCAGATCTTCTCATGTATGCCATCTGTTCGATGGGTGCTCTTGCTAGCGAGAGCACAGCCCAAAGGGAACTTTCCGATATGTTCTCCAATCGTGCTCAAGAACTTTTATATGGATTTGCACTCGAATCCCCAAATCTCACAGCTTTACAAGCTCTCATACTTCTTGGTCACCGAGAAATTGGACATGGGAAAACTTCAAAAGGGTGGCTTTTTTCGGGCATGGCTTTTCGTATCGCCCATGAAATGGGGCTACATCTTGATCCTACTAATTGGAAAGGTTCTAATAACTCCTGGATTGACAGGGAAATATTACGTAGAACCTATTGGGCTGCCTTTGTAGCAGATAAGCAGTTGAGTCTCTATTTTGGAAGACCACCTGCTCTTTACCCTGGAGAGTCAGATGTCCACGATACTGTACGAATTCCTTACCCACCAGAATGGAAGTCTCTTCTCAACAAATACATTATGCCAGGCACGTCGGAGACTACATATGAGGATGGCCTTACATTAGTCGCTTCATGGGTTCATCAGATTGAGCTTTGCAAGATCTTACATGGAATGATCACGAAAGTCTTCGAGAATAGAAACTTGAATACTGATCCGACGATCCTCGCGACCTCGATTAGAGAAGTAGATGTAGCCTTGACGAAATGGCTTAAAGATTTACCAGCGAAACTTCAGTGGTCAAGATGGGATGTGGCCGACGTGCCCCCTTTTGTCCTTCATCTGCAGTAGGTCCGACATGTGAGTGTTTGTTGAGATTTACTAACACCTAATAAGTATGCAATATCATACGGCGATGATAATTCTTCACCGTCCACCGAGAGCTGCTTTTAAAGAACCGGGAATTGGCGAGACTGAAGATGTTCAAATATGCTACGAGTCATTGGATATCATCATGAAACTCCTCCGAATGCACTCTAACAACCTTCAAAACTATCCCTATATGCACCTACCTATTACGTTTGTCCACACACTTGCATCAGCCGCAAGTATCATATTGATGAGAAGATACATCAAAGGTTCTTCTTGGAAGGAGCCAATAGTGTCAAGATCTTTGGATCAAATATTAGAAGCCGTGAATAGCGTATCGTTAACATGGACATGCGCAAATCAAGTCCGAGATGTCATTACCTCTGCTATTAAAAAACCATCAGAAGAAGATCCTCAAAATGCCTCTCCAAAGGAATTTGATCTGATGGCGGCCCTTATCGATCCGGGAGTTGACAGCACGACTTCACTGGACGGTGTAGACTGGGATAATCTTGCGATGAACGATACTGATTTTGAGCTTTTCATGGAGAACCATTTCGCTGTCGATTTTTCAACATGTTCTGATGGATCTTTTCCGCAGGTATGATTTTTAACTATGACACAACATTCTAGTCATTGCGCTGCCTACTCAATCCCCCGGTGACGGGTGAACGGATGTCAGAAATATTTCGACTTCAATTATCAAGGCGAAAATGCCCCTTCATTCATTTCTAGATTTCAGAATATGAATGCACGCATTGTAGGTCAATATATGGTCTTTCATGGATATCAAAATACATTTCTTCATGTATTGTTATTATTCAGTTATCTTCCCGACAAGATAAACATTATTTATGGGGTTCGTAGATGTGGGACCGCATGGCACCAACGGAGTTCCTCCACCGTTGGCGCATCATCAGTCACACGAAGTAACTATATTAGATATGCGTGCATACGCCACTAGCTGAATGGACGACTGTCGACGGCTGCCTTTACGATGATTGATCATTATTAATACTGATAATTGCAGATAAGTACAGATAGCTGGATGATCTTGCATAAATGCTTCCGATAGATATCTTATCGGAGTGACCCCGCGCGCGGGACTGCAAGCCCGCCAACATGACAGTCCTGTTCGTCACACTCTTCATACATATAATAAGAATATGACTACAATGGTATCTTTAATGTCTATCTATATTGATCAATCTTCGCCATTTTAGTTGGTTGGCATTATTCTTCGCGATACTCCGCATAAGCCAATCTAGCATGGAACAACCCAATAGTGAGAAGATTGGACCTCTCCATGAGAAACCTGGGATTCTAGACCACACAGACGATTCAGAAATCGATGTCTACATTGATCCCGCAAAAGAGGTTAGGCTACTCGCAAAACTTGACCTTGCTTTTACGCCGGTGATAATGCTGGTATACTTATCTTGTTTCTTGGATCGTTCAAACATTGGTAAACGTCATCCATAGACCAGAACAAGATCAGAAACTAACATTCATTAGGCAATGTAAAAGTCGCTGGTATGTTGAAAGACATACACGCTACGAACCAGCAATTTTCTATTGCTGTATCAATCTTCTACGCGACTTACGTGACTTTTGAGACACCTGCGGCAGTATTGATGAAAAAAATCACCCCTCGTGTGATTTTGTCTACCCTATGCGCGGTCTGGTCGCTCACTACCATTTTTACTGGGTTTGTTCATAATATTGGTGGTCTTTATGCTACAAGATTGATTCTTGGATGTTGCGAAGCAGGTCTATTTCCCTGCCTGAACTTGTACTTGACGATGGTGTATCGCCGAGAAGAACAGGCTAAGCGAGTTGGATATTTGTTTAGCTGTGCTGCATTGTCTGGGGCATTTGGAGGACTTTTGGCTTATGGTATTCTTCAGATGGGTGGTGTTTCTGGAGTTGCGGGCTGGAGGTTCGTTCTTATTGTGACCAAAGGATGATATGGGAGTTGCTAATTGTTTCAGATGGGTATACATTATTGAAGGGCTTTTCAGTGTTATTGTCGCTATCGTCGTTTGGTTTGGCCTTCCAACCGATCCCGGTAAAGCTTGGTTCTTGAACGCGGAAGAAAGGGAGATGATGAGACTGAGAGCTATTCAGAGGCAAAAGTATATGGGTGAGCCATCGATATATTTTACGTGCATTCGTGAAGCCTCAGCTGATCCTTATTTACAGGCTCCGAGAAATTCTCTTGGGAAGAATTTCGAATTGAGCTCAAAGACCCCAAGCTTTATATCAGGTATAAATAATATATCTATGTCTGATCAGGCTATGCGCTAACTGTGACTCTAGCGCTGCTATTCAATTTATGCAAGACTGTCTACTGTATGGGTTTAGCACATTTTTACCATCCATTCTGAAAGCAATGAATTATAACACGCTCCAAGCAAATTATCTCACTATACCCGTATACATATGGGGTGCGATTAGTTTCTTATTCTTAGCTTGGGTATCTGACAAAATTAGTATGCGTGGACCGGTAAGCTAATTTTTGAATATTTAAGAATAAAGCGGAGACTGACCAAGATTCTAGATACTATTCTTCGCCAATATCTTCGGAATAGTTGGTTATATTTTGCTACTCACAGTAAAACATGAAGGTAAGCTATGATTCCCGAAGCCATATCATATCATACAAAAGCTAATATCTATCCAAGGAGTAAAATTCTTCGCCACGTTCCTCTGTGCCATCGCCGTCTATACAGGTCCTGGTCTCAACATAACCTGGCTAAACGTCAACGTAGCACCGCATTACAGACGTGCAACAGCAATTGGTATCCAGCAGTCGATTGCCAACACGGCTGGAATAGTTGCTGGACAAATATATCGCACTTCCCCATACGTTCTTGGGAATAGCTTTTCTCTGGGAGCATTATGTGTTGCTCAAGTGTTAATTGTAGTGAAGGTTTGGTATGTGAAGAGTCAGAATAGGATGAAAGAGAGGATTGGGAAAGGGGAGATTGAGGATAGGCGGAAGGTGAAGACTGGGGATGGAGAGTTGGATTTTGAGTATCATATTTAGAGTTTAGGCTTTGTTGGAGAATAGGGTTAGCGTGATGTTTTGGGTATCTTTTGTATGATGGTAGCTGTGCTTGCTTGTGTGGTTGGTAAATCATATGTAGTCGGAGGACTGGTGAATAAGAAGAATGCATTCAGTGGCCGGCAATTTTCAACTCTCTGTACAATATAGATAGGTAATGTCTTGTCCGGGTGACTGTGGCTTATGAGTAGAATGCTTCATCCAATTGTCTGCATCTTATAATTAAGGTGATATTTATTACCTTAAATATTGGCTGCTAGAGTAAGGAGAATCGAAATAAGATACCAGGAAAGATTAAATAGTCATGTGCGATAGAGTGAATTAGGAAACTAAATGCAATGATGAGAATGAATTATGTAATTTAATTAAGAAAAGCTTCTGATATTATTATTTTAATAAAACCTCTCTCTAATATATCAAGATCATAATCCTCTCGTACCTAGGTAGTAATTAACCACAGTATTTGCTTGAACCATCAACCAATTTCAGCAATTTAAGCAAAACACTATGGATAAATCAGGTAGGCTATTCCTTATTAGGACTAGTTTATAAAATTAGCCTCGTCTCGAACCATGAATCCGCTCTGGCTTCAAATTCATTCACACACCCTGCACATTCTAAAACTTCTCCCACATCTCTAAAGATCATTTAACTTCAACTTACTTATGCCATCAGCTTTCCACACATTTAAGCTCGTCCCAGCAATGGCACAAAACGCTTCCGCCCGTCAATCGCAAATCTCCACTCCACAACCTGCTCCCATCCTTCCTCCTTCTACCCCAGCAAATTCGCGTCCATCGCCCAACATGTCCTCTTCAACACAACCACAAATCCAAACCCCAACAATGGCGACACCTAGCAGTGAATCGCGCATGCATCCTCCAAGTATACCACGAAGTTTGATGACGCCAGCGAGAGAATTAAGAGAGAGTTCCGTCGCGAGTAGCATTGGAGGTGGAAGTGCGACGCGCAAACCGAGACAGAATTTAGATGAGCGCGATCAAATTCAGGCATTGAAAGCTTGCATTGCTCAAAAACACAATTTCAAAGAAGGCACCAAGAGTCAATTTTGGAATGGAGTCAATGCACAATTCCATGAGTCTACAGGTAAAGTTCTAGCGCAAATGAGCGCCACGGTCGCAAGATTGGTAGAAGCTCGTAGGAGACAGGTCTGTGATTGGGAAAATGAAGTTATACCAGAAAAGCCTGGTGGTGAATTAAATACATTATTGGATGAATGGATTGAGTTTTTGAAGGTGGAAGATGCAGATGCGGAAAATGAGAGACAACGACAAGTCGATGCGAGAAGGAGGGTAGAGGAATCTAGAAAAGAGGCCAGAAAACAAGTGATTGCGCAAGAGAATTTAATGCAAAATCAAAGTCCAGGCGTGAGAATTGTCGCGGGTCCAGCTCCTCCACAGCCAGTTGCAGATATGGGACAAAATCAACCTCAGCATCCTCCTACTGGTCAAGAATTGGTATACCAATCAGCTCCAAATGGAGAATTTTCCGATGCGAACGGATTCCGCCCGCACAAGAGACGAAGAACTACTAATAATGAGCACCATCTACCACCACAAGTTCACCAGGAACCAATCGTTCACTACGGTCAAGACTATCGACTTCCCTCCCTCCCTCCATCCGAACCACCGCGACGCGTAGTAGTAGAAGGGCAATTAACCAAAGAAGACTGGCGCGATATCATGGGCAACGATGCACGATTGCGGGTGCTGGAAAACAAAGTCGATAAAATTGAAATGATTGTTTCACAAAATAACAAGCTGTTGTTGCAGTTATTGGCGAATCAGAAGACAGATGATAAGGACAAGGAGAGAGAAAGAGACAAGAGGATCGATTCAGAGGATCATGATAGGGTGCCCGTTCATTTGGATGCGGAATTTGAGAGGGATTATCTGTGAGCCTACCCTTGCGCTTCGATGCGCAGTTCAATTATATCTAGAAAAAGGACATTTGCTGAGTTTTTATTTTTATTTTGAAAGAACGGGACGCTACTCAAAGACCCCATTACCCATAAATGATTAGCTGAGCTTTCGCTTGATTTTCTCGTCTAGGCTTTATGGGTACAACAGAATTCATCTTCATACCGGGCTATAGTTTGCATAGGACATCAAGGTTCTTCTTAATCTACTAGGCGATACCGTCAAATCGTCGACTATCTCCTTTCACTCTGGAATTTGTAGGTAGATTTGTTTGTTCGCTTGAATATATCTACACGAGGCTAATAGCATTAAGATAGTGCCCTAGGTTTAAAACGCCTTTGAGAGATCCTCCGATCAAAATAGCCCTCAAACTTCCTCCCCATCTATCCTTATTCTTCTTCTCTCCTGTTCTTTACAACTCACTCTACTTTACTTTACGCCGCTACACCAGTAACAAACAACCTTCCAAATTACAATTCACGGAGCGAAATCCAGAAAAAAAAGCACCAACATCAACACCAATAGTAACAGTCACAATCCGATGTCTATTCATCAAGCAAATCTAATTTGAACAAACTGCCTTCGTATATGGATTCATTGGTTTCTTGATCTACTTGTTATTTGTATTTGTATTACTACGCCTCTAGGTAAACATTTTCATTCCTTCATTGCCATTGCCATTGCCATTGCCATTGCCTCGAAAGCATATCTATCTAAAATATTACCTAAAACCTCGTTCTGGATAACGGGGGTTTGCTCAGGAGCAGTATTGGAGGATTAAGGGCGGGGGTAGGGGGAGGGGCAGGGGATGAGAAATGATTTTGGGGGTTTGATGACGGATGGATGGATGGGTGAGTGGATGGATGGACTTCATTTACAGATATACATACGCACATACGTACATACGAACAAACATAGGTAGTACTTTCTTCGCAGAGGGTGAATGAGAATTGAACTGAATTGAATTGAATCGATATAGGAATGCAAACTCAAACTCAAACTCACACTCTCACACTTGAAAATGAAAGTGGAAAGCCCTATTCTGAAAAGTAATATATAATATAAAATGTATATCAAATTATTCTATTCTATTCTATTCTATTCTATTCTCTTCTACTCTACTCTACTCTACTCTACTTTATTCTATTAATTTTTATTTTCTTATTTCACTTATGTTCATTTATCTTCTCAAATATAAATCAAAATTCAAAAGAAAAATAAACTAAACTAAACTAAACTAAAATAAAATATATAATTATATTAATAATATATATTCACAATAATAATATTAATAAATTAATTAAATATTGACTGAGTATCCCCCAATCTAATCTCTTCCTTGATAATCTTTTCTTTTATAATCACTCACTCATTCATTCATTTATTCATTCATTTAAAATACAGTTATTTATTTTCATTCTCATTTGTATTTTTCTGTTCTACATAGATAGGTATGCAAGTTGATAGGTAATTATCCATGGATCTGAAATGAAATGAAATGAAATGATATGATATGTACTTTATTCTCTCTCTCTCTATACATTCCAACCTCATCCCATCTCATACCCCATCTCCCACCTCCCCCATTGGAACCAATATATTCCCCCACCCGCTTCCCCCAATAATATCCACCCTAGAATTTCCATTCTTTCCTTTCCCTTCCCTTCCTTTCCTTATTCCCTCCTACCGCTCTAACCCATCTCCCATGTCCCGCTGCCCTCCCAGCCCCCCAAAGGAATCTTATAAAACTAACCTCCCCCACTAAAGAACCGTCATTAAAAACCACCCATCCCTCAACGCCAGTCGTCCCACCCGTGTCACGACATTTGTATATTTTAGGCTCCTACCCATTATAATCCGAACCCAAAACTTAACGTAGTCCACAATCCACAGCCATGACCCGAAGTGACAAAAGAAAAAGAAACTTCCTGCTTGAAGTCCTGCTTGAAGTAATGCCACCAAAAACAAAAGAAAACAAAAGAAAATTCCGTCTTCAAAGCTATATGCTATGCCGCCGAGCCTCAAGTGTCAAAACCGCGCAATCTCCCTCAGTTCTTTAGATCATATATTAAGGTCACTCTCTCATCCCACGACCACCTCATTATCGACTCCTCCACCACCCTGGCCCAACAAACTCAATTTCGTACTACTTCCCCCGTGTCCTGCTAATCCACTCAAACTCCCAGAATTTCTACTCTTCTTCTTTGCTTTCACCGCCCCTTGAGCATCCTTCTTTTTCGTATCAGTCGCATCTTTTTCCGCCGCTTGTTGGGAACTGAAGTCCTTCCATTTCCTCCAACCATCAAAATCGATTAGTGCTTGCATGCATCCCCATTCCATGACTTTACGTTCGAGCCAGACGAAGTTAACGGGCTATTTGGTCATGTGTTAGCATACGAATGACCAGACAAATAAAATATGAGGGCTAAACAAACCTTGGTCAAGAAATCATTACAACCGGCTGCCAATGCCTCATGTCTATCACTTTGCAATGAACTAGCTGTCAAAGCCACAATAATAACTGGACTCTTAAAAAGTACCGTGCTTGGCAACTTATCTCCATCTGACGGTTCCTCCTCCAACTCTCTTTCGCTAGGCGCACTACTACTTGCACTGCTGCTAAAAACTCCGATGCTGTTAAGTCTCTCCAATCTGCGAATTTCCTTTGTAGCTTCAAGTCCAGACATGATAGGAAGTTGAATATCCATTAGTACCAAATGAAAACCACCACCTCGCCATTTATTTACTGCTTCGCGACCGTTCATGGCGGTTTGCCAGCGGACTTTGAGACGTTTCATGAAGGCTTCGAGGAGTTTTAAATTGATAATATTATCCTCGACAATGAGGACGTTAATCGGTGGAACGGCGCCATTGAGCATGCCTGCTGGTAATGAAGGATGATCGACGCCAACTTTCTTCTTAGCTCTTCTTTGTGGCCGAGGGGATGATACCCTCGGAGGGGGTGTAGCGACTCGTTGGGGTACAAGATCCTGGTTTGGCGCAGGCGGAGTTGGGAGTGGAGGGGGTGGAGGCACCGCGGATTTTTCTGAGGCACTTGAGTGAGTTCTTGATCTCCCACCACGTTGAAATTGCGTACCATTGTTTGTAATAGGAGCTTGGTTATGTCCACTAATTACTGTAGGAGATGAAGTATGAGTCCGTCCTATCCTTGGTCTCGAGCTATGATGTCTTCTCGGAGCTGATGGAGATGGTAAAGCTGGTACATGACCGGTTGTAAGTACAGACATGGCATGCGCTAACAAGGGAGCTGAATGTTGAGTTCCATTTTGGACCGGGACACTATGCTGTAAGCCTGGAGACGGGACAGGGATAGGCATAGGAGGAAAGTAATCCGATCCAGCTTCAGTAGGTCGTCCTTCTTCATAATATACCTGATGCATGTTAGGCCTAGGAGAGGCTTTCGGTGTCCTTCGCGCAGGAACATCAATTACCAAGGCTTCATCCACTGATTGACCACCTGGAAAATAAGCATCGAGTGTTCGACTCATTGGTTCCTCCGGGCCCAAGATCCTTTCCTGCCTTTGTTGCTCCCTTGGTACAATCCTTAATGTAACATCGGGAGCATCGAAACTTCTTCCCAATGAATTGGCATATTTCTTTAAAATCATGTCTCGCACATCATCGACCAAATCATCCTCATGTATAGTAACCAAGGTCGCAGAAGCACCAGGCCTTTTAACCCATATCTTTCGAGTAACCATCGCTGCGCTTATCGTTAAAGGACCGTGATTGGAAAAATAATCGGCACCAACGGTTCCTCCAGTTGGTGGGTTGACTTGAGGTTGTGCTGGTAAATCCGTCTCTAATAAAGTTTTGATTAATTTTGTTTGTTGATGAGGAAGTAAACTCTGGCGTCTTGATAATTCGGGTTTTCGAGGTGTAGATTGGTGGGTAGGATTAACTGGACTGATAGGGCTTTGCGGTGTTGAATTACCAAATTTCACTTCTCTAATAGACTCTGATTGCCGTTGATGATGAATTTCATCCTTTTCTTCTTCTTCTTCCTCTTCTTCTTCCTCCAAAACTCTTGGTATATCCGTATTCGGAGTGGGAAAATCTGTTGATGTAGAAAAACTATCGTATTTATTAATTTCTTCTTCGATAATCAATTCGGGATTGATAAAAGGTTGTTGTTTGAAATTTAGGGTTGAAGGTGCACCTGGTAGTGAAGTTGTTAGTTGTTTTGTGAATGTGAAGGATGTTGCAGATCGCTACTCAAACATACTATTTCGAAAGTTTAACCTTAGTTCCGCGCCAATTCCATCTGCTCCTCCATCTCCTCTTTCAGCACCAATTTCGATCCGACTACCATTATTATTATTATCATCATGGAAATCATGAGCTGGAATTATTTCTTCAACGTTTGATGCTTCTTTTGAATCTCGACTTTGGTTTTGACTTTGACTCTGACTTTGACTCTGACTCTCCCTCCGACTTGGACTCTGCTCTTCAACCATGCTATCCCTATTCCCAGAACCTGAACCATTCCTTGATGAACCATTTGTTGAGCCTCCATATATTGATGTTCGATGTAACCTAAAACTTGCTCTTGATCGTAGACTGCGGGTTGTCACTTTATTCTCTCCTCCCGCGGAATGAATCTTTTCTTCTTCATCTTTCACGGATGTTATCGAGGCAGTATGGGAATGTCTTCGCTGAAATTTGGCTCTGAATCGTGTTTTAAGATCGCCTATCGTCATTTGGAATTTGTTAAATATGATTCTTCCTCTCAGGCCCGAAAGCCTTGTCTTCTGAGAGAGTAAAGTCGTCAAACCCCTTCCTGATGTTTCGCAGATGTTTCGATATCGAATCTCGGGTGATGGGTGAAGCCGCGTATAAGTAAGGTTGTCGAAAGTTCAAATATAATGCTGTACAATGGTTACACACGGCATTCGGAGAGTTTTGTTGAAGGGTAGTAGGGGTAGAAGGGTAGAAGGGTAGAAGGGTAGAAGGGTAGAAGGGTAGAAGGGTAGAAGGGTAGAAGGGTAGAAGGGTAGAAGGGTAGAAGGGTAAAAGGGTAGACACAGTAATGCTGTTGATTCCTTTGGGGTGTGCACGCGGTCGGTCTGTGTCGCAGATGAAGTAAATAAAGTTGTCGCAGCAAAGTCAGTATTGATGATGTATGTATTTATTTAAAAATCAAGAAGAAAGGAAAGAAGTTAAACAAAACACAGAACTAAAAATACGCATACTCTATAAGACAGAAGATAGAAGATAGAAGAAGTATCATCATCAGATCAAAACTACTACTCCGCAGAGAAGAGAAAACAAGTCATTAGTTGATTAGTTCTATTTATTTTGATTAACTACCCTACCGACCTAGGTAAATATCAATATGAACATCCCATTGCTCCATCCCCCATCCCCATCCCCATCCCCATCCCATCAAGCTGAGAAGCTCGGAATCTCTCTCATCGTAACTTTCCATGCGAATCTCAATATTCCGTAGCATTAAATCTTTTAATCACTGCTAATCTCGCCTTCCACCACGCCAGCACATTATCAAGCTGTAATTTCACTGGTTCCCTTTCATTTTCCACCCGTGCGGATGGCATAACTAGGGACGATTGGTACTGTGATTGTTCCATTTTATGGAGGTTTTACTCCATAAAAGCCAAAAGAACCGAGTCGACCCAGACCCATGACCCCGGCATAGAAGCATTTTGCACATCATTTTCCCCCTTGTCTTTTTCCTTTTGGCCACTCCATTGAGTCCATTCGCTGTTTTGAGACCAATTGATGCCTTTTTGACTCTAGAGGGCCTTCTCTCCCTAGTCCAGAATCTTCCCCTCCTTGTTGCAACAACTTCTACCATACTACCCTATACGGAGTATATACCTATTCATCCATATCGTCATACAAAACTTCCATGTTCACAACCTCTGTCAAACCACCCACCAGTGGCCACCACCAAGACACACCAGACTCCATCCCGAATTCACGCTAGAACGCGGAAGCACTGCAGTCATTGACAAACAAGTAGCTTAGCAGCCACGAACGCCTCAGCTCGTCTACAAGTAGGTAGCTAGTTCCTCAAACCATACGTCCGCATCAGCATGCTTCCATAACCCCTCTATAGTACATCCGGCAAGCAAGCCGACGATCCCAACGTGGAAGTTTTCCATCATATCAAGCCTATCAAGCGTCAATCCGCCCTATCTTGCGCCTCATTCAAACAGATGCAAAAGGGCACGGAACCTAAGTTTCCCAAATCCACGTTCGAGACCCTGTCGTACATTCCCCATGAAAAATCGTATGATATCTCGATTTTCTTCATAGCATACATAGTCTGTATAAATTGCATTTGTCCATGTTTGGTAATCTACTCTACTCGCCGAGTATATTTGCTTTTTCTATCTTCTTCTATTATAGTATCGGTGAGGCTGGATTGTTTAGTGTTGGTTTGGTTGGGTACCTACTAGGTAATTAGGTACCGGTATACTTTGTTATTGCATTCCCCATATAGACCTAGGACCCCGCTATACCAGACCCAAAAAATTAGATCCATTTAAGGGCATGTTCAGATCGAAATCTTCAACTATAATAAACCGAATAAAATAATTATAAAAAAAAAATTCAATCAATAGAATCTTATATAAAAAGAAATCTTATATATCTTTTTAAGATTTTAAATTATTAATAAAATTTATATTATTATTATTGTTTTTATTCTAATTTCAATTATAAAATTATTATATAAATAATAAAAATATAATATATTAATATATATATATAAAATTCATTACATTTTATTTTTATTTTAAAGTTTTTTAAAGAGAAAATTATTATTTATAAAAATAATAATATTATTAATATAATCTTATATAGATAAAAAATTCTTTTAAATTATAAACTTAAAAAATATATCAGGGGCCTGCGCCCTCCGGACCCCTGGCTTTTCGAGAAAGTCTAATGAAAATTTAAGGTTTAAAAAATTTATAATAAATTTAAATATTGAATATATATCAGGGTGTAGTGTCACGATTTACGGTTTTCTTTATAATAGTATTATTGACATCGGTGATTTATAGGCCGACTACAAAGGGAATATGATTTAACCGTTGCTTTCAAGGGTCCTGATTACCTAAGCCTAGGACCCCAGGATTCCTAGAATAAGTATCCTAAGCAACCATAATAGAATAAAACAAATGTCCTATCTAATTAATTGTAATAAAACTATCACCCTAGAGGATATCGTATCCTAGAATTATGATTCCTAGAGGGAAAGCTTCTGAAACAAGTGTTCCAGGAAAGGAAAGACCTTGGGATATGAGAGGCCTCAAGATCAATCACATGATATGCTAGCTCTGCTAGCCAATTAGTAGAACTAGCATCACAGGAATGCTAGCTGTACTAACTAGCTAGCATAACTAGCATGGGAAAAGAGATTAGTATATAATCAGAATAGTTTCATAGTTTAGGAGCTTCGTACTCAACTTAGTTATCAATTAGTTTATCTACATTCCAATTGATCTAATAACGTATTCACCTTCGAATGGATAATCCGTGATTATTAGCCTTAACCTACAACTACCAACCATACGAAACCCTGAGGCAGCCGCTGCCTCAACCAGATCGTTACATGTAGATAGAATATTAACTTGTTTTTAATAATTGAAAATTAAATTATTTTATATTATTTATAATAATACTATTTAATATTATTATTATTATTATTATTTTTTATTGAATAAGATGAATTGAATGAATAAAGTTGAATTGAATAAGTTGAATGATTTCAATTGAATTGAGTTGAAAAAAGCTCTAAGTTAGATTTGTCTAAGGTTATAAGGCTTATGTCAAGCTTTTTGTTAGATTATTTACCAGGGTATTTACCGGGGTATTTTAGATCAATCAGATTATCAGGATCGTGACTTATTTAAACGAGTTTCTCATTTTCTATCATTCATTAAATAAACTTTATATATAATAAGATTATAAAATCAATAAACTGATAATAAATTTAAAAAATATATAATTTAAAAAATAAATTTTTATTTTAATACGTGATTTTAATAAAATTTTATTTATATTTTAATTAATATCAAATAGAATAATTGATTTTTGTTTATTTATCTAATATTTAATATTTAAAATTTGATAATCGATTTATTATTTATTATAATTATAAAAAAAATATATATATATTTAATTAATTAATTTAATTTATTTTTATTTATTTATTATTTAATTTATTTATTTTTCTTTTATTTATATATTATAAAAAATTTAAAATTACAAATTATATATATAAAATATAATATACAAAAGTCTTATAAAAATTGAATAAACAAAATCAATTATATTCTTTAGAATCTACAATTGAAGAATTATAACTTATAAAGAACATTTATATATATATATATACAAAATACTTATATAATAACTATATGATTATACACAATCTATCTTAAAGTGATTATAATCCCATATTAAAAGGAGTAAATCTGACAAGATACACACAGACTACCAGCTCACCGATAGAAATTGGAATCACGTGATTGTCCTTATACGAGATCCGTGACATAAAGATTTACAAAAATTTAATTATATAATCTTATATAATTAAATATAAAAAGTTTTATCTTCTTCTTTTCAAAATCAATTAATTCTTTAAACTCTACTTTTAAATCTAAATCATTCCAACCCCGAATCTATTATAAAATTTATTTTTCTTTAAAAATAACTTGTTATAATATAATCTAATCAGTCTTCTTCTTCTATCTCCTTTTACAGTATACTATCGGGACGCACGTATCTCGACTACCCTCTTTTACAATACCCATCCCATCCCAACAACCCATCCTATCCTAATAGCCCAGCCACTCTATTCATCTTCCCAATTCACCCACAACATCTAACCCCTCCTTCCCCCACTCCCCCATCTCCCCATTCACTCACATCCATCCAGCCAGCCATCCCCCATCCCCCCACCCTCCCCCATCAACACAAAACCCCAACTTCCCAATTACAAGATCCAAACCCCTTAGTCTTTCCCCCCCCTACAATCCAATCCTCATACCCCTATATAGGAAAAAATATGGGAAAAATGAGGGAAAAAGAGGAAAAAAGAAAGAAGAAAACCTCCCAACTATCCATCATCTATCACACCATCCCAATCTTAACATATCTAGCTAGGTATTCTATGCCGCATCCAAGCCCATGCATGCAAAATCACAACAGGACACACTCACACGAGATCATGACTACAAGCAAGCAAGCAAACAAGTAAACAAGCAGAGGAGACCACACAAACACTCACTCACTCACTCACCCCACGAAAAAAACACACAAATCTACACCAACTGAAATGAGAATTTTTGTTCCATTCCATGTCAATTCCATATCAATCAATCCCAAACCATCATAGTTCACTCCACTTATTCCATTTGTTATTTTATTTTTACTCCCTCCCTTTCTCCCGATACAGTTTTCCCTCGAAACAAACACCCCTATGTGTAGGAAAGAAAAGCAAATACCCCATACCAGACCTTCGCAAATATCAAATCCCACATCAAGATTCCCCAAATTGTTGTTTCGCCGTAAATGCCACGAGACAAGACAAAATAGCAAAATCCATTCCCACCAGTTATTACCATTTGAACATCCGAAAAAAGCAAAAACACTAAAAAATGACTCCTTCCTTGTTGCCGCTGACGAGAATCAATTAGACTCCTGCAATATGTGTTGAGAAGCAAAGCATGATAGCGAGGTGGTAAAAAACTCGCTCCCCTCCATCCAGAACCTGCCTTCCGATAAATTCTGAAAAGGTTCCATACGCCTGCCATGCCAAGCCTATTATCGATATTTCTTTTTGTCCAGTTTCCATCCACCACGCACAAACATATGCAGATAATCAATCAATCAATCATACCGTTTCCCTTCGCGCCTGTTTTCTATGTTCATTCATGATATCATACCAAATTTATCCCCAAACCGAAGCCTGTACACCAAGATTCTTGTTACCCCAAACACCACTCTTAGATCCCCAACCCAATCCACTCTCGGTCTGTCCTTGAGGGTTGGGATTTGACGAAGCGGAAGTCGTTCTTGCATCCTTAGATTCGGTAGTCGAATCATTAGCGGCAAAGCCATAGCTCAATGGTGATGGTAAAGGAGTGGTGGATCGCTTATTCAGAGCTGGATTAGCAGCTTGACCACTAGGTCTAGTGCCAATTGGCGCGACGCCGCTAGCGGAAGCCTTACCTCCTTGGCGTGGCGGGGACCCACCAGGGGAGGAAGTCGAAGTCCGACTGGACTGCTGAGCAGCAGATTCGAAAAGACTGAAGCTGGTAGGGTTGGACGACGGAGAAGATGTGCTATTAGCCCGAGATCGCTGTTGACCCAGAGCCTGTGCGGTTGTAGCTGATTGAGGCTCCGTAGTATTTTGCTGATTTGAGTTTTCGGCCTGGGTAGCTTGGGCATTGAAGTGGTCAAAGGCAAGAGGGGAGTGCCCACGAATAGCACCAGGGGCAGCGTTAAGGGTTTGAGTGGTAGACCCTTGAGTGGTTGGGCGTGGTGTACCATTTTCATCAAAACCGCCATTTTCAGCATTGAATGCTGGACTATCTCCATAAAGAGCACTTCTTTGACGGGCAATCAAGTCACGACGTTCTTCCTCGCTCATACCGCTCCCTGGGCTTGCGATACGGTCTGGCTTGCCACCCAAGATCTCAGATGTGACGCCTTATTTCAGTCAGTAAATGTGCAGAATGTGGTGTCAAAAGTGAATAATAAAGATGTCGTTTTTTTCTCATTTCACACAGAACAATTGTAGGCGAGAAAAAGTCATGTAAAAAATTTTGACTGATATGAACGAACCGCTGGGAAGAGCCGCTGGGTACAGGGTATTTGACAAATAGAATTTTTACACAGCGGAAGAGGGTGGCCTACTTCGATTATACTGCTGCTCTTGATGGTAATTGCGCAGTTCTCTCTCACGCTGAGCCGCCATTCTCCTCTTCGCCTGCATCACTTGTTCGGCTTCATTTGCGCCTCTCGAGGGTTGGTGTCGCTGGCTCGCATAGAAGTTCTGGAGATTGGATCCCGAGAAAGACCGAGCATCACCGCCGAAATCGCTAACCGAGTGATGTCTTGGAGGACCAGCAGTCATTCGAGGATCTGCAATCAACATGTTAGGGCCTAAGAATTTTGAAGTTGTCCTCTAAAAGTGGAGCATACCAAATTGTTCTGGGAAGGTTCTTGAAGGACCAACCATTGGCATGGAATCGCGACGACCACCAGCTGGTAGGTTGAACATCTTTCCGCTCTTGACCAAGTTGTCAATGGCACGGTCGACCTCTGTACATGACTTCATCAGCTTCTTGATCATGATAATACTAGCACGATTATCATCGAGTGCCATATGATAAACTCGTTCCCGTCGTAACCCAGACACCAAACTTTATCCTGCGCCAGGCAACACCCAAATGATCAATTACTATGAGCAGTATATCTCTTTGAACGTACCCTCAATTTGTGTGCTGAATGCAGTGGAGTCCTCGCGCGGAGCAACTGAGTTGGCACCTGTAACACTTGGTCAATTGACACCCTGGCGATAACATCAAGAATTTCCCAACATACCAGAACGAGCTGGCGGGGTTTGTTGCTCCCAAGATGGTTGCCCAGCGGCGGACCATTGCTGATTATCGTAATAAGACATATTTGGTAGAGCGTCGATTCAAAAAGATGCTTTGAAAGAACTGAGGCCTGCAGTGGTGGTCGATCTGATTGAAAGGAACGTGAACGACTAAAATTGTCGTGGGGATGGAAATTCTATACAAAGATTTTTAACAATTAGTAATGATCGAGTGAAGGAACATCAATATTCCTCTTGGATATGTACTTTGAGGCAAAAGTCCTTGAAGATTGGAGCGCATACAGAACAAGATTATTATGTATGTAGCCGAGGAGAGAAAATTGATATTGCAATAGCAGCGAAAGCGGCGTGTGGATGTTTTGGAGGAGGGGGGAAAGAAAAAGCGAAGGAAAGAAGAAAATTTGTCTCACTGAACTAACTGACTACTTTTTTTTTAAGGAAAAAAAGTCTAACTAACACACACTTACCAAAGTGAAATAAATAAATCCAGTTTAACAACAAATAAAACACAAGCTTTTGGAATAAAAAAAACAAAAGGTACTAGGTATTTCCAGTCAGGGAAAGGAACGACGTAAAATACTCCTAATGACAAATCGGTGTATATATATATATATATATATAACTTGATAAGTTTAATTTGATGGATGGGATGGATATTGTTGATCCTTTTGTTGATGTCGAGAAAGAGAGATTCAAAATCGGTGGTTGTTATTTTAGATGGGTAAGGTAGATAGGTAGGGAGGTAGGTAGGTGACGATCATGGAAAGAGGGAAAGAAGAGTCGAGGATTGATGATTTAATCTTTCTTCCTTTTCTTGGTGATTGTACGATGGCGGTATGGAGGGAAGTAAATAGGTAGATGGGTTTAACGGGATAGCAACGAGTAATAATGAGATTTGGAATTCGAAATCTGAAATGGGAAATCGGAAATCGGAAATCGGAAATCATTAGGGCTAAAGGCTACGGATACAAGAGTAACGGTATCGATAATAATCGATCGTAATTGAATTGGGGGTGGGAAAATAAAAAAGGGTACGACTGAGGTTAGCCAAGAAAAGATTTATCTACCGGTAACACACTTTTTAGATGATCTTCCACGTTGCCCTTTTTTCCCAGTTGGTCGATGAATGAATGGATGGATGGATGAATGAGTGTCCCTCCAACGGACTTCTTCGGTCGTTCAATCAAAAATGGCCAGTGAGAATGGGAATGCTTCCTCTTTTCGGTGCTAAGGGCCGGTATGAGGTTATGATAATCATATGAAGGAAATCGAGGATGGTCCCAGGTTCCAATTTCTTACTCTTAGTGAAATCTCTTTTGGCAGATCCGTGAGTTTGTAGTGGTGGAAATCTGGTGATAATTTTATTATTTTCGGGTGGTGGTGCAGTAGTGTGTACACTGTATGCTGACAAGGAAGAGGAGAGGAGAAAGAGATGAAATTTGGATCTTTCACCAATAGGATTGGATTGTATGAGGTTGTATTCGATGCAGATAAAATCATACATACGTACATATCTTTTCTTCATGGCGGCCTCAAGATGGAGATGTGGCTGGATGCCTCCGTCTATAGAGCTATATATGTATCTATGGAGTATATCAATGCTCCCTTCTTCCTCTCTTCCTTTGTTGCAAATTTCTGGTTGATGGCCTGTACACTTCAACCCATCATCTTGTTGATGTCCGAATATATCTTCTTGCATCGTCAGGTCAATGGGTAATTCTTGCAGTCACGGTTCTCTAGCTGTCCCTCTTCCTGTAGGCCCATTTGCTCCATATATATCCTCCTAAGTATTATCGTTGTGTCAGTGCTTCCTACCTAACTATTCCTAGCACTAGTTTTATATAAAATAAAAGAAGTGTCAAGTCACTGTTCTCCGTAATACAGGAACTAGGTATATTAGGTCATCAAAATGTTTTATCTACTTTCCTCTTTCATCCTTCATCTCAGATTCATTTCCTCTATCTTGGTTTTGTTCTTGTTCTCGACCCCTTTCGAAACAGACATCGGTACGTGGATATGGGGTCTTGATATTGGCATTGATAGGAAGACGAGAGTTGTATCATCAACCGGCACGACAGGATTTTGATTTAGTTTGGCCATGGTATCCATCAAACGAATCAGATCAACGAAAGAGGGGATGGTTACACCAAACATTGTCCCCTCGTCCCTCTCTACATTTAGATGGGTTTGTGCAGGAAAACCCGTTGATAAGGATCACCATGACCTACCTACCTTGATCCTTCATCTTCCATGTATAAGGCTGATTATTCATTTATTCAAGATTTCCGGTAGTGACAATGTATCACCGTGCTCATCCCAGAATGATATTTCTATTCAGCCTCATCACTGCAGGTCCTGGATGTTGTTCCATCCTCTTCCTAGACACTCGACATTCATCACGATTCACAATTACCTCAAAAACTGATGAGTTCCGTCGTCGGAGCTTCAACATTTATTGATTGATGCTAACACACCTCTGTCTCTCTCTTCGATCTTCACTGCTCGGGAGTCGGGCCTGATCTTTTTTAAAATGACCTCCACAAATCTACACGGACACGACAGACTATTTAAAAATGTATCAAATTCGTTATTTAGCAATGACTTCTTTCGCTACCCCTCTTCTGTTTCTCCACTATCCTCTGGGTCTTGAGTCTTGACTCTTGAGGAGTTTCCACTCTTCAATCAAACAACTTGGCCCAACGGATCACACCTAGACCAAACGATAAATCCACTGAAGTCTGCATGCTTATTATTTCTCTGATTTCATTCATATCGTACCAGAAAACTATCCCGAGCGATTCCTACCCGACGAACAGGACTCATGGAAGAAAAGCGATTGTTCTCCCACCTTCGATTCTTCATCAAAATACCTAGCCAAGTGTGTCCATCGGATGATACGAATGATACGAATCACCCCAACCACGGAATACAATTTCACTGAGCGCGATATGCGGCTGACCCTTGTATAATTCTATTTTCTAGATGATAGATGCCAGTGATCAAGCCACAGACGACAACCTCTGAATAAGTCTCGGCTTATCTGGATAAAGTTTATCCAATCCCGAGGTTTCTCGTGGTTTTTTGAGAAAGAAAGGAATCAAGCTCAAGCGCTTTTCATTTTTACCCCTTATTCCAGATGTCCGACTTATTGACGGATGTGATGAAATCCTTTAGTGAGAAATCTTTACACATCAAACATTTGGAGGAACCATTCATCCTTCAGCTTCATTTCCAGAAAGGATAAAATAAAAACATCTATTCCTTATCGTACACGCACCACAGTTACCACACTCCTTTTACCAGGATTTTCACCCTACTGTTCCTCAAATACCTTGCTGCTTTAGTCGAACATGTCCGAACGCTATCTTGCTGATTTACATGCAGCATTGGCATTTCAACAACCGAGGAAGAAACTTTATTCTCAACGTACTGTACCTATTCTTAGGAAACGGTTTTTTCTTTTGAACATTAATTGGATCAATCGAACCATGAAACATATCCACTCTCCCTAGCTATACTCCGGAGTCCGTACAGAGTAGGCTGGATTTACAGATTGTTTTTCCGAAAAAGCTTCATGATCACCTGGCAATCATGCAGTGCCGCAAGAAAATCCTGCCAAAAGACCACAAGGGAACAAACAAAAATCTGTGAAGATTGCCCAACGAACCGCAAAACATATGCATCCCGCATCGAGGTCTCTTGTTACAATCACACCTAACTCAATACCGGTTCCTTCATGCAGTGCACGCCACGAATCTGCAATATCTGCAATAGCTTCCCCAAATTCATCCCACCATTGGTCCAGATGGATTGTTTTGGTACCGTTGCACTGAGTCGGGAAAGTTTGATACGACATTCCCCTCCTTCGCACAGCTTTCCCCACAGGAAATTATAGTCACACTTTTCCTATTTATATCAGAGATATTTCTAGCCACTAGATCGGAAGGGATTAGGATACATATAAGTGAAGGGAAGCCATCACCGGTATTATTGGCAATCGGCGATAAGTGTGTGAAGTTTCATACTGTGCAGCTTCTATGTACTCGGGATACCTTTACGGAAAAAGTACGGCCTATATTACATGTATCAGAGATGGCAGCTCCAGCACAAAGCACAAGACGTCAAAACGGTAACGTTCCTTCATATAGTCAGTTTTCACCTCGAATAAAAATATCAATGGTGGAAGTTTTCGGAAGCGAGTACTGCCGGCAACATACATTCGATAATAATGGACATTATCCACAATCATCCATCTCCCACCAGTTCATCGCTTCTTATCATCACGAGGAAACTCAAATCTTTACTTATCGGCATGTTTACCCCACCATGAGCTGTTTGTTATTTGCCGTCAGTGGGGTTTAATACAATTGAGTGAATCTCATTATTTCTCAAAGTCCTTTCCTTTCTCTCTCGGGCTTATTTTTGAAGACCGGGTTCCGAACCTTTGCTGAAAACACATTGATTTTGAAAATATATCGATACATACCACCAGATTTTGTCGGGTTGACCGAGCTGCAGTTTCCATTGCTTCTTGAGAGCATGTAGATGAATGACATACGGGCATAATAGCGACAAGCTGACCAGTGGTCGAACAGAGTGTCTGAGGTGGTGTGGCTTTTGGGATGATTTCCCACAGAAAGGTCAATGATAGTGTTGAGCATCTCATTTCTATCGTCCTAGACTACAAAATTCACTTAGTAGCTTGAATGAGATGATGCACGGAGTATTGCAAAGAATTCCTATTGCTATCCTTCTCAACTAATCTATAATGCACTAGTGTGCGAATACTCTACAAAAGCCTAAACTTACAAAACAAATTCAACATGACGAAATGCGTGCAAGACTTCTGCTGAGAACTGTTACTTCAAGTACTACTTCCCATAAGGAAGACTGTTGGGTAATATTTGTCAATCTAACTCTTCAGAGAATCAACGATAAGCTCTAGCCTCAGTCAGAACCAGCAAAGGAAAAGGAAACAAAAGAAAAGAAATATAAAAGACTGAATTTTGACATACCTAATCAAGACGAATGAATTCCCCAGCCATCTAAGCGCTTGCTTCTATCCTAAACTTGCAAATCCTATCATATCTTCCAATATTTCCTTCCTATACTCTTCACCTTTCAATAATACCCATAGAAGATCCGGAATCCTCGGACTCGTTTAAACCCGAGAGAGTCTTGCGTCACCTAGTTTCTTTCCTGGAGACTCAGCTGCTTCTTGCTTTGCCTTTCACTATTTGTATCTATACTATCGTCGCTGCTATTCAGATAATTCTTCGTTGGTCTGGTTTCTTTTGGTAGGTATGCTGCGGGCATGGATGGTTTTCTCGCCCCCCGCCTACCGTGAAGTGAAGTGAAGTGAGAGGAGCTTTGTGGTTTGAGTTTTAGTGTAGGTAGCTACTAGTGTAGATAGCTCATCTTGACGCCATTTGGCGAAGCGTCTTTGGTAAATATGTTTGGGTTGTGTGAGAGAAGGTTTTGTGAGTAGAATGGTTTTGTAGATGCTGTTGTAGCTGATTGTTTGGTTGTTGAATTTAGTAGTTCTTTTGGTTTTCTTGTGTATGATTTTTTTTAATATATGATTTTCTCATCTATGATCCCGTCAAGTTCCATTTTCAATGTATAAAATATAGTGTCAACCACCCAACCTCGCCGGTAACCCAACAGTCTGCTCTGAAAGATGGAATCATAATTATTCCTCAAGGATCGAAAATATTCTTTTACCTTGGTGTCAACTGGCAAACGGTGTACGGTTGTGTATTCATCGCGTCACACATGCATGGAATTGTTTCTCAAAAACTTTACTATAGCAAGCAGGGTTAGAGCTATAGGCTTAGGTCTGCAGTTCAGACCTGAGAATTTCGAGAATAAGAATAAGAAACGGATCTGAATCCTTTTATTAATTATTTATCAACTTGTAAAATAGTGAGAATTAGATTAGATTAGATATTAAAAAAAATTAAAGTATAACTTTAATATTTTACTTTTAAACTACTTATCTTTTGTATCAATTTTTTATATTAAAAAATTTTATTTTCGTCTATTAATAACTTTACAATTAATGAATATAATTTAATAAAATTTATATTATAAATTGATTATATAATTATAAATAAACTCTGAAATTTTCAATTTCTATAAGATTTATATATAAATTTGAAAAATCTTTAAGATCTTGAATAACTTTTTAATAAAAATAATTAAAAATAAATTATAAATCTTTTTCAAGTATTTAAATATATTTTATTTTATAAATGATTTTTGATATAAAAAATAATTCAAATTAAAAGATAGTCTGAAAGTGGAGTATTAGATTTAATATAAGAGTGCTACGATCATAGATCTTACAATAACCGGTTGTGTGCTTACGAGATATGATTTGATCAATTTAGTATAGGATTAAGATGGTGTGGGAATCTAATAAGCACAGGATTTGTTACCATTGGATCCATTACGATAATACAATAGATTTATATGGTCGAGTAATTATATGATACTATTCCCATTAATCCCACCGATTTAAATCGGCAGGAGTAATGGGAAAGATTCCTATCGATCCCACCGATTCTATACAGTGAGAGCAGTGGGATATAGAATACGAAGAACTATATAGCCAGAAAGGATTCCTTTTGTAGAGCTTCGTACTCAAGATCAATCATTTAGTATACTCTACCATTAGTTAGAATTGCAACTATTGATATTACTTTGAAGCCCCTCCCTGCTTAACGCGTAGTTATAAACCTTTGAGGATCCAGGCCACTTCCACGTGATCTAGATCGCATCCCTCGTAACAAAGGGTAAGGGTAAAAGAACTTCTTTATTTCAAATTTATAAGTTTATAAAATAATAGTTGTAATGATTAATAATAAATAACTTTATCTAGCTAATTATACTTTATACTAGGTAATCTTAAAACTCTTTATCTTCCTACACATACACACACACATACTTATTTATCTCCATCTCTCTACCATTACCTACTTCAACATAAACATTTTGCAGCAGCACTACCATATTTCACTTCTACATTTTCAAAAGCATATAGGTATCAAATGAATAAACAAAAGTTTAAATATTCAATATATACATATCCATGTATCCCCTACTCCCTATCCCTATCCCTATCCCTAAACCTTCCAAACCTCCTCAAATCCCCCATGGTATCGGTAGTAATGGTATCAAAAGAGCGCCCTAGTTCCATATCTCATACTATTCTTTGCTTCGCTTGCTTGCTTCATGCTTTACTTTGCTTTCCTCCAATTATATACAAATCCTATTGTGGCAATTGAAGTTTCGTTTCGTATATCGTCCGTCACTGTTTTGCCTTTGTATAGTACAATCTTATCGTATCATCTCGTGTCGCTTCATCTCTCTTCCATATTTTATATATCATCGTGATATATATTCTCCGGTTTGTGGATGACGGGGATTTCGTATCATCAACTCACACTACACCCGTATCACGATGACCAAAGGAAATCTTCAAGAGAAGTCTCTCTCTTCCGAAATCGGCGTCATCCTCCTGAACTGCTCTTCCTCCTCCCTATCCAAAACCAAAAGCGGTCGGAATCCCTCTCTATCCACCATTATCACCTTCTCCCTCCTCTCTTCACTCCCCTCCTTTATTCTTCTTTCCCATTCCCCATCTCCACTTTCCAATTCATTCCTCTCCGCAAGAAACAGACCCCTAGCATAATCCCTCACACAGAGCGCACCCAAAACCTGTAAGCCCATTGCAACCATAACACCTCCCATCAGAGTCACATAACCCAAGTACATAACCCTTTTACAACCCTTTTCGCTCCATCCATCTTCTCCACCCGTCTTTCCCATAAAATCCGCAAATCCAGCGACATGTGATGATGCAGGGATGTGCGAGGATATGCTATAAGTTGCTAGGCTTAATTCTTGACTGTTGATGTTGGATGGGATTTGAGTGGTGAAATCGAGGGAGGTGGTGGAGGAAGGGGCGCAGAGGATGGAGGAGGAGTTGGATAGGAGAGTTAGGAGGAGCAACCGGGGGATGGTGCTCAGGAGTGTGTCGAGGAGGAGGTAGGTTGAGAAACATAGGATTGAGAGGGCATGTCTCTGATAGGTTGTTAGTTACTGTTCGTAGCTATATCCTTTCAAACTCGAAAGCTTCAAGAAAAAAGAAAAAGAAACATGATAAAATCAAGTAGATCCATCCCCAAATATTCCCGTCCAGAACAAGTACCCAACCGTTCACCCAAGCCGATCTTTTCAACCCCATCCACCCCCGGAACCATCCAAATAGCCTCTCTCTTCCTAACAAAACAACATATTCCTCTAAGAAAGCCAAAAGAAGAAGGAAAAAAGATAAATACGTACCCTCAAACCCCCAATAACACCAAATACACTCATCACATTGGCAAAATGTAAATACATGCCATAGTTAGTGGCGAGATGAAATGGATCATCGGGTAATTGATGGACGAATATTGAAGACAGGATATTGGATGTGAGAGAAAGGAAAGCGATGAGGAGAGTGGTGGAGCGTGTTGAGGTTATGGATCTGGGTGGTGTGTTAGTTGGGTTTGAATGTTGATATTGATATTGGTATGTGATGTATGAAAACAGGTGGGAAGGGAACAGAAAGAAGGAGAGGGTAAAGGATGTGGTAGGAAATATTCTTACCTTGATCTTAATCGTGTCATTGCTGTTAGAATAACTATGTATCTTGTGGAGGAAGATTTATATCCTGGTCCCGACGTTGATCTTGTGCCTTTTCTTTCCTTCCCTCTTCCTCCGAAAGTTCTAGATTCAAAGACCCAAATTTAAAATATCCTTTAATCCAATGTCCGATATGGAATCCAATGTATTGAAATTTAGTCGTCGCGGTGAGGAGGTCTCTCCGTAAATCCTCAAGTACTCTCAAGTACCTGGTGTATATTTATATGTGTATATATATATATAACAAAGAACCCCTCAACCCACCGTTTTCCTACAAAACAAATGACGAGATTCGATGCAGATACTTTGGAAAAAACCTTGTTCCAGAGACGAGGATAGACTCTGCAGACTTTTCAGAGGACAAAATGGAAAATGAGAAGAGAAGATAAAAGTAAGAAGTTAGGTGGGAAAATGATTAGATTCTTAGTAAAATCAAAAGCTTTATTAGAAATGCTTTGATTAAATCGATGTGTTGTGATGTGATGATTGCGATTTGATTCCGTGGATTCCGAGAGGGGACGGATAACGGATTGCTTTGGTTACCGAATCGAATCGTACGTACTAGATGCGATGCGATGCGATGCGATGCTGGATGGATGGATGGAATGTTCAGAGTAAATATTATGAACCCGAGTTCGCTTGGCAAGAGAATAAATGATTGTTTTGTTGGTTTAATATATATATTTGTATGGACTATGTATGTGTAGGTATTGGAATATTTGTGAAGGTTTGAATGAAAGATGAGTGAAAGTGATGGGCGGTTCATAGAATGTATATTATATTATTTTGGGTGGATAGTTTTGCGTGTATGGGATCTGGATGGATGGATTGGATGTTGATTTCTAAGTATCCATCAACAATGAAAAGCTTAAATCCAATGACGTCCGGAATCCGATTACGAATGGTCTGTACCTGGGGTAAGGTACCAGGTATTTATTTGGGAGTAGATGCCGAGTGGGCGATGTCAAGCTTGATAGGAAGGGACTAGTGATTTTTGGAAAGGAAAAGAAAAGCTATTGGAATTTTAGACGGGAAATAGTGTCAATCTGCTAGATGTTTCGAGAAATCTTCTTGCCTTTGGATGGATAAGTCGGAGGAAAGATGCGGAAGTGCCGGGTAGATCGATACTTAGTCGCGACATAGAGGTCATTAGGTCATTAGGTCGTTAGGTCATTGAGTTATGCTTCGGGGATATGTACTTAAGACCGATTTGTCTTTCGGCTTGTCTAGTCCTACTCCAAAAGAAAGAAAAATAGTACCGGCATCGAGTATGCATCGACTATACATCGACTATACATCGACTATACATCGACTATGCATACGGAATATGTAAGTTCAGACGAAATAGGACGAAACAAATTTGTTGGACAAAGCCGACAAGCTGATTGACACTCTTTCTCCTCGTTCATGACCAATGATGGGAGAGTTCCAGACCAGGTCGTGCTTTGTTGTACGAGAGCTCCACAATTAAGGCAGGAGAACAGGCTTTCCCCATATGTATATGCTGAGCGGAAAGCATACAACTTATGACACAAGGCTTCTAGACAATTTAAAGTGTGAGTGATGTTTAGGGGAGATGTTACCTCATCACCTCATCACCTCATCGTTCGTAAGTCAAAAAGGAGACGAGTCGATTGTTTGAAGTATTTTGGGATGAGAAATGAACTTGATTGTTGGAATGGAAATCGTGATGAGAGGTCTGAGAGAGGCATCAGCCATGAGTAAGTTCTTTCAAAGTGATAAGAGTGACTTCATGATCTTGGAAGATACCGTCTGTTCCATTGTCCTCGTATTCATGAGTGGTACGATAAAGCGGAAGACGTCGGTTTAGATAAAATCAAAGCTTTGTTCCGCCGACACAGAAAAGTCGAGGAGAAGGTTGAATGGGAGGCGACAGATATAGAGATATGGAACATTGGAAGGAAGATGGAGAGATGGGAAGAAGGAATGTCGTAGTCGAGTTAGAAATTGAAAGGCAGAGAGGGAAGAGTGTGAAGAGGTGAAGACATGAAGTATTCAGATGACTTAGCATCTGTCGGTACTTCAAGGCACTCCGAAGCACTTCAAGGTTGTATGCATTTGGCATTTGTGAAGAAACAAAAGGCTTGGTCGGGAGAATTGCCGCGGAAGATCCTCGAACTCTTCAAAACTCAAAACACGACACTGAACCTCGAGGTTCTTTTTGATCTCTTCACGAATTACGACTGCAGCGTAACATCCATCAAGCTCCTTTTCGACATTTTCGATATTTCGGCGGACAAACAGGGCTAAAATGTTAATAATAAATGTAGGGGAAAAATATACCTACATCCAAATTAGGAGTGAATGAAGAAAATACCTCGTAATGGAAAATATATTAATCTGATTGGTTCACCGATTGTCCAATGGAACAAAGTGGAAGTAGATAATTGTATGCCGGCCCTCGTATGCCACCTTTCCCCAGATTTATTTCTAAAGGACTTTGGTGGACGGTCAAATATCTATAAAAGAATCCATTATTGATCATCGAAATAAAGGAAGATTCTTTGGAAAGACGTCGGGTATTAGATGGATTGTATGGATCGGACTCCATACAGAGTTTTGCATGGAGTACGGAGTATGCTGAGTACAGAGTGGCTGTCGTATTGTCGGAAGGATTCTGGAAATCTTGGAGTCTGAGATTCAAGGGGATTAATGAATTTGGACGGAGACCAGCAGGAGGACCCTGTTAACCCCTCAATTATTCGGAGATGCCTTTCCATGGGTAAAGGAAGATACGATACGCCGTACTTTCCATTCCTTTTTGCTTCCAGCTTTGGAAAATGGCATCATACATACGGAGGGAGTATCTCGTTGAGATTGAGTGAGGATCAGATTGAGTGAGGATCATGTTCAGGGTATCAAAGTATCTCATATCGAGTATAGGAACCCTTTCTTATTTCATGTAGTATTATGGTGTTCCAATATACTTCTAACCAAATCTCACGCTTCTCTTTGTCTTTCCTCTTGCATTTCTTCCAAACCTCGCCAAGGCCAATAAATTTGAGTTTTGAATTGAAGGGGTGACCCTTTTGATATTGAGGTTTATCTGGTTCTAACGGTTTGCTTTTGGTGATTACTATTGACCCTGAAAGTTTAATAAATTGCCTCGAGTACCTAGCTATGGGTAGGTGTTTATCCATCAGTGAAAATGAGATATAATATAAAAGATTGAATGTGGAGTCGGGGATATCGAAAAAGGCTCAAGAGCTCTAGAAAGATCAAAGATCAAAGATCAAAGTTCAAAGATCAAAGTTCAAAGATCAAAGTTCAAAGTTCGAAGCTCAAAGCTCGACCCCTTCGTCTCAGAAATCGAAATTTGACTTTGATGTCATGTTAGAATGATTATGATTGAGCCCTGCAGGCGGGGCTCCTTTACGACGCGCGATCCAATCGAAGAAACAAAACGTCTTCAATATAAGATTATTTCATAAATAAATGTATACATACACAAGTAGAGCTTATAAAGATGTGTCTGTGCCCGTTTTATTACATTACGGTCGACTCCCCTCCCGCTTATTTAATATGCTTCCTGGCCTCATGTTGATTTGATGTCTTGTAGGTGGTAAATATCAAATATCCCTTCGTGTCAGACTGATGACTTTTGAGTATCCCAAAAGATGTCATTTTGCATACCGGCACAGCGCAAGAATACGGCAGGCGCGGGCTCACCGTCCTGCTTCAAACTGAGACCCTAAAACTAACCCGTTATTCAGTCCACACATACTCCGTACCGCATGCACATGGATACTTAGCACAAGGTACCACCATAGCCACGTCTAAATTCTATGAGATGGGGAATTGTGATGAAGCTTTTAGATAGAGGAGCTGAATTCCAATTTGCCCCCTCAAAGGGATGAGTCTCTCCAGGGCTGAAACTTATAGTTCTTGATCATTTGCTTCAAATTCCTTGATTTTCTTAGTAACCACATGTACTCTGTGAACGTACTTTTTACCAGCGAAGAAAGCCTTGGAAGAGCCGGAGAGTTCTTTGTAAGATCTTACCTATGAGGAGGTGGAGGTATCCATGCTGGAGTGGGCATTTGTGATGCAATTTGGGCGGGCGCATGCTATTTATATTGAGGTCACAGTCACACTTCGGTGCTACTTGAGATGTGAATGGCTAGACGGTTAGGCAAAGGGAAAAGGCTCGCAAAGAAACTGGAACTAGAATTACCTACCGCCTACTGGGGCTACGAATGGCACGAGGTGTATAAGAAAGGTAAGGTTTGAGGATAGTTGGGGCAGAATAGAATAGATGAGACTTGGCCCTCTATCCATGGGCTCATAAGTCGGGAAATACAATGGCCCGCATGGTGAGAAGGTCAAGGTCAAGGTCAAGGTCATGAATGAATGAATGAATGAATGAACGTATCGTACCTATGACTGGATGGATGGATGATGCGTATGAATAAAAGCAGGTACAATCAATCTCGTTTCCCATCACCTAGGTACAGGACTTTGAATAAAATCCTCAAAATAGTACACTCATCCATTAGTCAATCCTTCGATTCTCCAATTAAAATTTCTGTCTATTCATGAAGTCAATATCCAGAACGGGCTTGCCTTAAGGTACTAGGTGGTTTCGAATCATACCAGCCCATCAGATAAGAGAATTAATAATTGTATCCAAGGGAAAGTGTAACTGTCTTTTAAGCACTTACCTCCTTCTTGTCCCTTTACCATTTCCACCTCACCTCACCCCGTCGTTGCTTGCTGGGACATATCCATGCTTAGCGTTCCCATTTAAATCGAGAAAGGCATATTCACGTTCCATCCACCATATCAAAGTGCTGCTTTACACTTTACTTTACTACTTAGTACTTACTATTTACACTGCTACTACTTACCACAAGTAAAGTAGGGTACAGTAAACGGTCACTCTGTCACTACTTTTACTCGGAACGTTCGCTCTATTGTATGAAAGTACCCAAGACTGATACAACTCTTTGAGAACAAAGCAAAGCAACGCAGTGCAAAGCAAAGCAAAGCAAAGCAAAGCAAAAATACTCTTCAGTCAATTCTCTTTCTACCCAGCTAAATTACTTTTCTCCCTCATTCACATTAATCATTTTCCTAAAAGAGAAGAGGGTTAATAATATTTTCTTCTCATGCTTTATGTTCAAACAGCAAGAACTCGTAAATATACCCTCACCCTCGATACCTACTCAAGCAGCGAGTTCCCTCTTTTCTCCACTCTTCAATTTCAATACGAATTTCTATGGTCCGGAATTAAAAGAATAGCGAGGGACCAATACATAGACCGACCACCACGCTCACAACTGAATATCATCACTTCCTTAGAAGGGGGCCAATCTCGAAAGAAGGAAAAATAACCTTTCGAAACCTCTCATTCTTCTACATACGAATTACGACCCACAACCACACGATTGTTCACAATTAGATTATACATCATATTCGGGGGCACCGATTTAATTTTCTTTCTTTTTCTCTCTTCATAGTCGCGTGGCTACCTCCATCGTCTTTAATCTTTAGCAAGACCCTTTTGTCTTTGCTTCGATATTCCCGCCTGTCGTTTATGATTGAGGGACATCCTCAACACATCGTCAGGAAAACCCCGACATTCCCTCACCCATAACCGACGGAATTTTATAAGTTTGATGGAGGGCCAGCCTTCTACAGGTAATTCTCAATATCAATATCAATCTGCACAGTGGTCGCGACTTGTGCGGCGCAATACCCACGCCGATTCAAATTCCAGCTCCTCGCCGAGTATTTCTGGTCTCCCTCAGCTTCCAACTCAATTTATCCCCATTCTACTTCCCCAACAACCCTTATTTCACCAGCAACAACTTGCACAGTACAATAGGCTCATTTCTTCAGGCAGAAACAACAGTCTGCAAACCGCACCACTTCCCCCACTACTTTCAGCACAACATATTCAGGCTGTGCCCGGCCAGAGATCCAGCTCAAGTGGCGTTACGACGGAACGAAAACATAAACCTGCTGCGAGGGGCGGTCATGGGAATAGGGACGTACGAAAATATAGCAAAGGCGAGCGCGCGCTCATAACAGAGAAGGAGACATCAGCAACGATGTCGGGCAAGAAATTCGAGTTGACGGCTCAACTACCCCCACGACCAGTTCCACAACATCAAAATTCTACATTATCTCGAGAATCGAATTCTGTACCTTCGACACCACATCAACATGCGAGGAATTTCTCTTTTGAGTCAAGAGAACCCTCACCGAGTGCTCCTGGCAGCCATTCCCCTAGATCAGCATACTCTGAATCGAATATAACTCTACCTTCAAGACCACCTCCTGCCCCACGAAGGGGATGCCCATATGAAACAGCCATGGCTTTCACGAAACGGCGCATGGCTTATAGCCTTGGGACTGATCGATTGGAGCAATTGAAAGATTCTGACATTAAGAGCAAACTATCGGATGATGAAGAGAAGAAGTTGTCCACAGACATGCGCGAATTGTATGATCGATTATTACCAACCGCCGAGACTGATGAAAGGAGGAGGAAGTTGGTACTGAAGCTAGAAGATATGTTTAACAAAGAGTGGCCTGGGCACGACATACGGGTACATGTTTTTGGGTCATCTGGCAATTTGCTTTGCACAGATGAGTCTGATGGTGAGTTGGAGAGCAGCTTAAAGATTTGAAACTCAACTAATAATTTAGTTGATATTTGCATAACGACAGACTGGAAGGCGATGGAGGGTGTGTGCATGATTGCCGAATTGCTTGCAAAGAGTAAGTTTTCAGAACTCGGTCAATGGCAACATAGCTGACAATTTGTAGATGGTATGCAAAAGGTAATATGTGTATCAACTGCTAAGGTTCCAATTGTCAAAATATTTGATCCAGATCTCAAACTGTTCTGTGACATGAATGTCAACAACACTCTTGCCCTGGAGAACACCCGAATGATAAAGACGTATATTGAGATCGATCCCCGGGTGAGGCCCTTGGCTATGATCATTAAGCACTGGACAAAGTCAAGGGTCATCAATGATGCTGGTAAGAATAGGCAATTTTTTGGTACAACTGTTTCGCTCACATTTCATAGCATTTGGTGGCACACTGAGTTCATATACCTGGATATGCATGATCGTCAATTTTCTACAAAGTCGAGAGCCTCCCGTCCTGCCAGCCCTGCACCAAAGACCTCACCTCAAGCTACCAACAAAGGAAGGCGGCGAGAGCAGCTTCGCAGACGACGTTGACGCTTTGAAGGAGTTTGGTCTGAAAAATAAGTCGACATTGGGAGAACTTCTGTTTCAGTTTTTTCGATTTTATGGGCACGAATTCGATTATGACAAGCAGGTTGTCTCGGTCCGAAGCGGAAAGCAAATATCGAAGCAGGAGAAGGGGTGGTCGATATCAACGAACAACATGTTGTGCGTAGAGGAGCCATTCAATGTCGGTCGCAATCTTGGGAATACAGCGGACGATTTCTCTTTCCGTGGACTCCACATGGAAATGAGGAGGGCATTCGATCTGATATCTGTCGGTAAACTGGATGAGTGCTGTGAGAAGTTCCAGTTTCCAAAAGAGGAGGAGCGAGTTTGGGAGAAGCCACCTCCATCTAAGAAACCAACCTTGACTGCTAGTCACCCCCCGCATAGATCAGGTAGAGGAGGCCACCGTGGTGGACGTAATAACCATTCCAATCGCAATTCATCAGGCGGCAGCCGCAGGTCATCGAATAGCAATTATGATCATCAGATTTACCAGCAGCATGGGATGCCATCAAATATATCTACGCAAGAACAATGGGTTCAGCAACAAGCGCAAGCACAGTTGCACAATCATCTTTACACGACATATTCGGTTTTACAGGCGCAGGAAAATACTTTAAGAATGCAATTGATGCAACAATCGTATGCAGAGCAGGCCCATGCTCAAGCTCAGGCGCAAGCATATGCACAGTCACATGCTCGAATGCAAAGTGGTGGCATGCCGATCAAGCAACAGCCCAGTGATCGAAATCGACCCTCTTTATTTGAGCAAGGGCCATTAACGGCACCTATACGACCAGAAGGTATGTATTTCTACCCTCTTCAATATGCTGGGCAACCAATGTATGCATATCCAACCTCAAATACGAACCCGTCGTCACCGCAATTGAGTGCTGTCACTCCTGAGTTGAGAAGAAGCATGCATCGATCCACCGTCACAAATGGCTCGAATTCCAACATGATCCAATCGAATGGGTCAGTTAGGTCACATTCACAACCTGGGACTCGTACCTCGCCTTCGCCTGTTCTACTGCAAGGGGCTGGTCATCCGGCTCTGGGCGCCAATGGACTTGGAGCATATCAGCCATCGCGACAGCAGATTAGCAGAGTTCCCATCCCGAATTTCATTTCAGACGAGGCCACTGAGCAAGTATATGAGTCGCGGCGTACTGCAACCACTCCACCCGAGCTTAGTACGCCGAAGGAGTATGTTGGTTATTACGTCAATGAACCACAAAACACGTCTTCTCGTAAAGACATACCTCTAACGATACCTTCGTTTGGAGACTTGTCGGGAAATAGACGCCGGTTGTCAACCGATCAACTGCCGCAATCAATTCATGATCGGATTAAGCGCAATCCTTCAAGGTCGCCTTCTCCCCTAGGTAATGATAGGCATTTCTCACTGGCTCAATCTACACCAGCTCAACATACGATGTCGAGTTCCAATCTCCGTATCTTGAATAATCATGGGCCTTTGGTGGTAAATGGTTCCTCCACAGGAGGTCCTAGTTTGACTCATCAAACTACGGCTGCAAATGTGGGCTCAGTCTCTGGAGATAGATTTTATCGCACAACGGGATCCGTTGGATCAATATCTCAAGCTTCCGCTACTGAGAGTGATATCTCATTGGGGGAGGGTCTTTCCGGGCAACTTACACCGAGGGATTCGAGAAACGCTCCGAACGGGATTTCTCCTTTAGTTGTCAATGGATCTAGCGCAAATTTGCCCGCCACAAACGGCGCTATTAGCTATCAGCCTGCCTCTACAAATGGGCCGTCAATTGCGGACAGTCTCGACGGGTCCTCACGATTATCACCCAGTTCTAGGAACAAACCGGCTCGCCAAAATGGCGGCATGTCACCTCTCGACATAGGGGGTAGCCATAATGACCTCATCCCAAATGGGTTTAATCATCTTTCACCCGTATATGAATCGCACACACCTTCACCGACGATCAACAGGAAGCTCGAGAACCTCAAGTTTAATGGACCCGCTGTGTCAGAGAAAACCAATTCGGAGCATCCAAAGACGAGTTCAAAGCATTCAGTAGGAACGGAGCAACCGGCTAAACAATTCACATCCAATTTGAAACAAAACGGACATACTAGGGCTGCTAAGAGCGAGGGCAGTGGATTCGGAGTATCCTCAGGAAGCTGGCAAAAACCCAAGGGCAAAAAGGGGCGAAGTCCTCCTGAGGCTAAGACTGCCAATGGGGGCAATGCTCACGGCGAAAAGCTCCCAGTCAACGAGAGCGAACGCAAGGGTGGTTAAATCATTAGTGACCAGATAAAGAGATATTCTCTTGATCAGATGAAAGCCAAGGTGAGATCAGCATGTGCTCAACGTTTGAATGAAAGGCTTAGTTCAACATCTGTGGGCGTATTATGAGGCAAGTAGCTTACCTTGCGCATATTGAATGGAGTTGGGAAGCTACACCCAGAAAGGTGCATATAAATGTGCGATATCTACTACAGAAATGGCAGGGGAAAAGGGAAGTTTGTTTGCATACGGAATCTCCTTGGCTATCATTGAGTCAGCTTGTTTTGCGACTATTATAGATTTCCTTCCCATGTCACTCGACACATGGTCAAGAGTGGAAGCAAAAAGAAGAAGAAATTAAACGAGTTTTCCAAAAAAAAACTCATTCATTCAGATGGATACTTTGTTAGGTTTTCTATCTATGCATTTGCAAAGCGATATGGTTCTGGGTTCCAGTCCGGGCGACTTTTTCTGGTTTGGGATTGTTTTCGATTCTTTCTATGCTTTTCTATTTGAGTTTTTGCTTTGTTTTGGTCACAGAGGGTTCATAAACTTGCACAATGGGTTTCTACTGGTCGGGTTGTTCTTTGATATACAATTGGCATGCATACACATAGGGAAAGCTCAAAAATGCGACACTTCATACAAAGTTATCGTTTTGATGGCGCGGGGCGACGTGGGTGGTCGGATAGCGAGGCATTCAGCGGGAGTGGGGTTTGTGGTTTGATTTATCTTTTTAGTTTTTTCCTCATTCGGAACGGGTGAGATGGCATGAATGGATGGTAAATGAGGCCAGCAAGATGAAAAAGGAAGTGAAGAGCGTATGATAAGGAAGAAATGGCCTCGTGTATGTTTATAGTATAGATGTGCAAAAGCTGGGCGAGCATAGCGATGGATAAAGGGGAAGAGGATGAGGAAATACCTACTGGATGGTGGATTTACAGAGCCAGTGAAGTGCAGAGCGGAGAGGAAAGAGAAACAAGAACAGAAACAGCGATGCACAGCGGAAGATATATGAAATGAATGAAAGAATAAAAAAATTGTCAAAATAATTGGAGAGATGGGCGATGGCCATTGTATTGCATTGCATTGCATATTAATAATTGTGTAGGTTTTTTGCTTGATGAGGTGTAGAAAGGGTGTAGTTGGTGTGGTGTAGTGTGAATTGACATGTTAATACCTATGATGCTCAGATTGTGGGAGTGCTGAGAAGCTTGGGATGATATTTCATACTCGGCAGCTATATCCATTCCTCCATCTTCTAATCAGTATTGAAGGTTAATCCAAAAAATCAAGGGTCTTGATCGGTTTGACCTTGACAACTACCCGGCTGGGGTTGAGTGATTAATGGTACTGTGTGTACCTACCTGTCCTGTCCCACTTAACGCAGCGAACAAGACAGCCTGGTTCAAGGACGCCCTTCCTTCTCTTACCGCTTCGAGGTAACTCTCGAGTTATATCGATTCGTCCCCATAAGGTAATGTACCGAGTAAGAATCACCTATCCTATAATGTCAGCCATGATCCATAAATTATGAGTCCTGCTCCGTACAGCGAAGACTATTGCAGCATCGAGTCCGGAAAGATGCAGGATGAGGACGGAATATGAGTCATCTACCGTATACTACCGAATGACAATCCATCATGGACCTGGACGTACGCCACTCTCGAAGGTTTATATCAATTAGCATCTCCGCTCTTGAAATTTCCGACATCATATACAGAAAGCAGTGATGAGCCAGAGCAATTGGCCAATGATATCTCTTCGTCCAAACATTAAACCATTAAACGGCCAAAAGAACGACTTTTCCTAAAGTTCTGCCTTGTCTGATTGTTACGCGAAGAAGATCATGGGGAATTACGCTTTTCCTTTTTCTGTTGGCCGAAAAGGCTGTGCTAACATAATATAATCGGAACCAATCAGAGTGACTACACAAGATCCACAATGACTCGCCGGTACAGAATAGGTATAGTCTGTTGACATGAATCCATTAGATTCATTACGACGTGCTTGATTGCTTCGTGTGAGATGAGCCTCGAAAAGTCATAATAGCTACAGATTTTCCTTTCAGGCTTCCAAACCTTTTCTGTCTCTTTTTCCAAGATTCATCTATTCCACCTTGTTATACTCCTCGTCGTTGATTCTGTGAATTCGCGGCAAGTAGAGTCACTCCGGAACGTCAAATCTGCTCCGTCATCAAATCTGAACCTTAACCCTACTCCTACATCTCTTACAAATCATCCCTCTAATCGATAAGGCTGTTACTGTTACTGGTAGTCAATTGAATCTCATAATGTCTACAAGAAATCAAATGCCTACTTTCAACTCTTTCACCATCACTCAACCCTTTTTGGGTGCACCGCTTCAATTCCAACCTGCTCTTGGATCAAGAGAGCTCGAGGATTTGATTGATGCTTACGTGGTTGGAAAAGCTTGCAAACAAGATAAGCTTTCCACCGTGACGATCGATTTCTACAACCATGCAACCGTTGATATCAATACCGGTTCCCTCGTTCGTCGATACGATGTGATGCCATGGGCTTATGACCAAAGCCCCTCTCAATCACAATCTTCAGGATTGAGTCCACCAATTTTCACTCCTAGCCCTACTTCTTCAGCTACCTTTGCCGATTCCACTTATAGCTCAATGAGCACCCCTTCAAACCGGACTAGAGGGTCACGAGTCACGAAGAAGACGAAAAAAGAGACCACAAAGAAGTCTGCGGAAGTCAGGCTACCTGGCTTTTCCATCATGACCAAGGATGGTATTGATGTTACTAATTCTGCTGGTCGCGGAACTAAGACGAAAGAACAGAGAGAACATGCACATCTGATGAGGATCATCAAAGCTTGTGATGAGTGCAAGCGGAAGAAGATCAGAGTGAGTTCCTTCCTATTCCAACTCATGATCGAATGTTAGCTAATTAAATTATAGTGTGACCCATCTCATAGACGTTCTTCACGTACAGATATGTCCAGAGCATCTGCATCAATCAGGCCTTCTCCTCCTTCACAATCAAATCCAAGTCCTGCCGCATCAACCCCTTCATTATCTCGAGAAACAACAAAAGGCTCTGAGCAAAGCAGTCCTCCTGTTGATTCGTTCACCATGGAAGATTTTGTTCTTTTTCCAGAAGACGACCTCAACCAATGGAACCCAGAAATGTCTATCCCAGGTTTCGATACCCAATACAGCGACTTTAGCATGACCAACTACGACAGCTTCCCTGATTTCGATACTAGCTTCTCTACAATGAATGATAATCTATCATTTGACTTCCCATCATTTGATCAATCGTCATCTTTTAGTCCTCAATCATTGAGTAACACCAACAATTTCTCAAACTACTACAACACACAGCCATCGGCTCATTCAGATGTCAACTCACAATACATCTCTTCAACTCAACCACAATCCGATCTAGATTTCTTCGAATCATTCGGAGATTTACAGCACTTCTCACCGACCCACTCTCAACAGGCTCATCCACAAGCTGTACCGGATGAAGACCCCGGAAAGATGAACAGTTTTGCACACGCTCCGGCTTCGAGATCTCGGGTAAATAACAGTCCATCGATATCACCAACGACAATTCCTCAGACCGATGGTGGGGCCAGTCTACAGGACTTCACTACATCATTTAGCTTCTCCCCGACTGATAGCTGTTACCAATCACAAGGTTCAGAATATGGCTTTGTAAATAGCGGCCTAGAAGATCCATATGGAAATGTTCCTGGTTCGGGTGTTGATTCGGCCTTCGAGCAATCACCTCAATCTGGATCGAGTGACTGTGGCCTTGAAAATGTAAGCAGTATCAAGGAACGCAGTCGCAGCCAGCGCACCAAACGCCAAGTCATATTGGACCGTGAGCGCAGTCGCATTGACGATCACGAGCGCCAACTTGTGAACGCTTTCTCATCCAGCATGGGCGAGTCACATGTTCCGCGTGCTTCCGCTGAACAATTAGTTTCGAGTCCGGGCGTAATCAATAGCGGCGACGGGCTACCGATGAATATAGCCACTTCTAGAGGCTTAGAATCTAGTTGTAGTCCTGTACCTGGAGAAACTCCGTGGAGCTTTGAATCAACGCTCTCTTCATTGACTAAGTCTAGATCGGATACACCACAGGATCCCGCGAAGAGCAACACAGGCGATGACACACTCCCGGTTGTGAAACCACAAGAGCACGCTGACGCCCACGCAAGCTCGAACAACTCGACGGTCATTGACACTTCCAATAGTCTTGCTACACAAGTAGTTGGCAATTATGTCCAGTCTCGACGTGCAAACTTTGCCACGAGCAGTTCGGATCGACAGGTATTGGGAGTCAACACCAATATTGTTTCTACGCACGTAGCTGTTAGCTCGTCAATGTCAAGTCCAAGATCCAAGCCAATTGTAGAATCTATGGCACAGGCACTAGCCGGCATAATCGCTACTGGAGCTTTAGTTGTACCTGATCGCGTCAAGGTCATGACTTCACCTCGTTTCTCACTTGTGGATAAATTGAACACGAAGGCATCTTCGAATTCTACCGAGAAAGTCAGCAGTAGCTCTTTGGATAATTATGGCAATGAGACTATTGTTTCAAAGGGAAAGAATACTTCCGCTGTACCATCAGCCGGCCCAAGCTTGAATGTCAACATTCCGGGATACTCCACGCTTGTCAAGAACAGTACAGAAGCTGTAACCGCTCCGGCTACAACGACCCTCTGCAATGTCTCTACATTTGCAGCACTAGCACTTTGCCTTGCCGCTGCCATTGTAGTGTCGAGGTGTCTCGAGTCATCCGCAATGGCATTAGTCGTTTATCTTGTTGCATCGGTATGTTGTGGTTCTAGTTGTACGGTTTCCCGTCCTGAAAAGAGCTTCATGAGCACATTTATCAGTGCATCTACATGGAATTCGTGGTCCGATATGAAACAGAAGATCGATTGCGAAAATCAACGTGTAAGTTTTTCTAGGCGAGAACCTCCGCCAGATTAGGCTTTGAGGAATATGGACTAATATTTGTAATAGTCATTGAAAGGAAAGAATCCTGGATCACTTGATGTTGTTGGAAAGATGATAAAGAAGTTTTCCTCGGTGGTTTCGATCTAGATTTAGATGTTGGCTTGTGCTAGGGTTCAAGTTCTCGATATTTGAATGCATGATTGGTAGAGATTAGGGAGACGATACTTTATTTCGTTTATAGATGCTCTTTTATTTTAGGTAATAGTATACTGGTTTAAGATCATGTGATGGTACTTTCTGTCTGTAGTAGACAGTACACTTCTTTTAGCATGAAAGAAAGGAAGGAAAGAAAAGACTCGCGGTATAGAACCTCGCAGATAAGATTGAAATGCATATACATAATCGCGTACAACCATCCATCGTATCATACTATCTCTTTGTTTTCATCTCGGTATAGAATAATTCATATAAGATTTCACATTCTTAATTATATGTTAGAGGAAGTATTATAATCCCCGCCTGTATTTTAACTTATAAGCAACTATAACTCTTCTAGATCAAGTAATTACAGCAGACTAGACACTTGTATTCTATCTAGAGTATTTCATCTTTATAAAGTTATTTTATAAAATGATAATAAAAATATTATAAGTGTAGCGGCATCCGCCACAGGCAGGCGTGATGTATGCGACGCATATAATATAATCAAGATAACAGACGTTATCAATATATTATGAGAAAGTTGAAATTATAAACCAAATACATAGAGGTTTTTAGCCAGTCAATCACATGACCTCTTATAGTTAGATATAAAAAAAGAGCTTTTGTTTCTTCTTTTTATAATAATCAATTTTTTATATATATATATATTTGAACTAATATAATATCAATCTCAAAATTATTATAAACCTTGTTTTCTTTATAAATAATATATTATAATATAATCTAATTTAATTTTCTTCTTTAATTTCCTTTTACAATATACTATCAAGATATATATTTCGATGTCACGATTCACAGTTTAGATTATAGTAGTATTATTGATGTCGGTGATTCATATGCTGATTATTGGAGGGGGTGTGATTTAACCGTTGCTTTCAGGGGCCTAATCACCTACGAATAGGACCCCAGGATTCCTAGAATAAGTATCCTAGGCAATTATGTTAGAATAGGACAAGTGTCCTAGTTAATTGTTTGTAATAGGATAATCATCTTAAAGGATATTGTATTCTAGAATTGTAATTCTTAAAGAAAAACTTCTGGGATAAATGTCTCAGGAAAGAAAAGGCCTCAGGATTAATTATATTGTAAGAAAGTTGGAATTATAAATCAAATATATAAAGGTTTTTAACTAGTTGATTATATAACCTTTTATAGTTAGATATAAAAGAAGAGTTTTTATCTCTTCTTTTGAAAATAATCAATCTTCTATATATATATATTTGAACCTATATAATATCAACCCCAAAACCATTGTGAACCCTGTTTTCTTTATAAATAATATATTACAATATAATCTAATTCAACTTTCTCTTCCAATTCCCTCCTTACAACATACTATCAGGACACATATATCTCGACCTACCACTTTTACAATATAATAAGAAGCTCTAGGAGCTTGAAAAGCTTTTAAAGTTCTAAAAGCTTTTTGAAGCTCTTGGGCTTTACAAAGCTCCTTTCTATTCATTAATATATAATCGAAATAATTTCATAATTTAAAAGCTTTATACTCAACTTAGTTATCAATTAGTTTATTTACATTCCAATTGATCTAGTAACGAATTCACTTTCAAATAAATAACCAATGATTAATAGCCTTAATTTACAACTATCAATTATACAAAACCTCAGGCAGCCGCTGCCTCGACCAGTGTAACGATCTGGTCGAGGCAGCGGCTAGGTTTCGTATGATTGATAGTTGTAAATTAAGGCTATTAATCATTGGTTATCCACTCGAAGGTGAATATATTATTAGATCAATTGGAATATAAATAAACTAATTGATAACTAAGTTGAACATGAAACTCCTAAATTATGAAACTATTTTGATTATATACCAATTCATTTTGGGAGCCTCCAGAAGCCTACACTCTTAAAAGCTCCAAGGAGCTTACAAAAGCCTATACTTCTAAAAACTCCATCACATAATTAGGATCAGACTATATATTTGAACTTACTGAAGATAAAAAGATTATACAAAACAATTGTTATACAAATTTATATATAAATTGCTTTACTTTTCAACAAAATCAAAACTTATAAAGATAAATTGATTATTATCTTATAATATTTTATAAAATGATTTTGTAATATTATTCTTTTTTTAATCAAATGTTATCCCTGATTACTTATAATTAATATATAATTTATTAATTTTTCATCGTTTTATATCTTGATCCTTTTCTTCATTATAAATAATTCACAATCTAACAAAATTCATCGAAAGAACAAAAAGAAATCCTATCTTATAATTGAAATCGAGAATTCTAATATCGAAATGATTCTATATACCTATTGTTATACAAAGAACCTTTATTGTATAAAAATTCTGAATAATTCACAAAAGATTCATTATTCCGAATATATACAATCTTATACTCTTTATAATATAAAACAACATTTGAAAAATAATTAGAATAAGAAAATTCTTTAAATAAATGATTAAGAATCCTTAAATAAACAAAAAGAAAAATTTTGTAAAAAAGAAGAAAAAATTATAATTAAAATTCTTTATTTTCGAAAACAATAAGATTATTTACAAAATCATCATAGAAAGATAATTAAATAAAATCTCAAATATCTTAATAAATTGAATACTTTGAAAGAAAAGGAAAGAAAAAAAAAAAAAATTGTTATATCTTTGATACTTATTATTAATTCCGATTCTTCTAATCAATTTGATCAATTTAATCAATTTAATCAATTTGACTAATTAACCTCTAATCAATTTGATCAATTATCAATTGACTTTATCAATCTTAACGAAATTTTTATAAACGAATTCGATTCTTTCAATCCTTTTTATAAAAACAATGAATTCTTCTTCCTTTTGGATAAATCTGGATTTTATTAATAAAATTTCTGATATTTCTTTAAATATTTAATTTCTTTTTTAAGTTCTTATATATTTTTGGAATTGGAATAATCTTCTTATTTCATTAAATACTTAATCTTGTTTTTAATATATTTACAATTTAATATCTTTTCTATTTTGTATTCAATATCTTGATTTATAAATATAATTTTTATTTCAGAAATTTTAAATGTTTTTAGAGATATTAATTCGAATAAGGATATATAAAATATTGGATATATATTTATACTTTTTAATAATATTAATTTATAATTCAAAAATCCTTTAACTTTCTTGATTTTGAATAATCTAAGTTTCTTATAATTCAATTTTATATTAAATTTTTTTGTTTCGATATTTTTTCGAAATAAATAGATTTTATCTTTTTTTTTTAATATTGGTTTTTGATTATATTTCCGATTGTAATAGTATGTATTTCTTTTAATAACGAATTTCAATTTTGTTGTTATTTCTTTATAGACTTTTTTGAATCTTTTCATTTGTATTATTATAAACTGATTTTCTATCTCTGTGATTTTTAATTTATAATATATGATCAATTTGTATTTATAATTGATATAATTCGGAATGATTTATATTGTTTTTGATATTGAATTGTTGTATATGAATTATATTAAAGATAAAAGTTTCATTCAATTATTCTATTAATAATTTATATAGTATCGAAAGTAAACTTTAATAATTTGATTTATTTTCTTGTTTTCTTTATTGATTTGTAGATAGAATATAATAGATATTTTTCTTTTTATTCTTAACAATATTATTAAAATAATTCAAAATTTCGATGTAAAAAGTTTATTTTTATTAGAAAGTATTTCTTTTGATAATTTATATATTATTATAATTTTTTTCAGAAATATAGAGATTAGTATTTCTATAATTAATATTATTTGATATAATATAAGTATCAAATATTTTATTAGTTTGTTTATTATAACAAAAAGATAATTGTATATTATTTCTATTATTAAATCCTTGGATTTTGGTAATGGATTTATGAAATCCTATAATATTGATTTTTATAATGTAAATGATATTTCGATAGTATTTATTTGATTATAAAGAGTATAATAGGAAGTTTTATTTTTAATATAAGTATTATATTTGATAATTATTTTATTGATTATATTATAAAATCTTGGACTTTAATATTATCTTTTGATTCTTAAATATATTTTTTATATTTCTTGATATTTATAAATTGGTAATATGTATTGTTTTGTAATATATTTAGAGATAATATTATTTAATAGTTATATTTTGTTCTTTATTCGAAATAATCCTTCAATAATTATTAATGATTTTAGTTATTTGATATTTTTTTTATTTTGTTGTATTTTTATAAGTTTATCTTTTTAGATCTTTATTAATTTATTTTCTATAATAACGATTTTCGTTAGATTAAGAATAAAATCTTTATTTGATAAAGATTTCAAGATTATTATTTTTTAATAGATTTTATTATCTTTGTAATTTGATGATTTGTTTAAAGTATTTGTTTTTGTATTATCTTTTTTTTTGATATATTTGATTATTAAATCAAACTTTGTTAATTCCTCAATTCATTTAATCAATTTACAATTATCTAAAATCTTAATAATAATAAAGATTCGAAGATTTATATGATTAATATAGATGATTATTAGGAATTTAATCTTTTAAAAATAGATTCTTCAATATTTCAATATTTTTATAATAATTATAAGTTCTTTTTTATAAATATTGTAATTCTATTTTATTTTATTTATTTTATTTGAATAATAAATAATAGAATATAGTTTCTTATTATCGTCTTTTTATAAATAAACTTTTATTATACAAATATTAAAGGTATTTATTTCAATAATACTTTCTCGATTATTATAATAATTATAAAGAATAAATTCTTTTATAAATCTATCTTTGATTTCTTGGAAAGTTTGTTTCGTTTTTTCATTTTATATAAAAGTTATTCCTTTTTTGATTATTTCGATAAAAAATTCTATTATTTTCGAAAAATCTTTTATAAATATTCGATAGAAATTAACAAATCCTAATATAGATTATATATCCTTAATATTTTTGAGTTTTTTCTAATTTTTTATTTTTTTTGTTTTCTTAGGATTTATATTCATTTATTCTAATTGAATAATATATTCTAGGAATATTATCTTTTGTATTCCAAACTTATATTTCGATAATTTGAATCTTGAATTTATTTTTTTGAATACTTCAAGTATTTTTAATATATATCTTTTGTATTTCTTTTCTTTCTAAAAGAAAATTAGAATATTATTCAGATAACAAATTACAAACAAATTAAACTTTTTAAGTATTTCATTGTTTTGT